ATTAAAAGAATTATAAAAATATATATTTTAAATTCTTTTAAAAGTTTAATAATTTATTAATATTATTAATAATTTATATAATAAGAAAAAAAATAATAAAGAAAAAGAAAAATAAGTTAAATTACTAGAAATATTTATATAGGAAAAGCAATAAACTAATATATATATTAATTTAAATACATTAAATTCTTTACCTAAGAAAAGAAAAGAAAAAAAGATAAAAAAAAGAATATTTTAAGCTTTTTTTTTCTTATCAATATATTTAAAAATATAAAAAAAGAAGATAATTTAAAATAAGAAATAAATAAATATTTTAAAGAAAATATTTAACCTTTTAAAGTAAGTATAATACTTTTTTATTTAATAAGTTAAAAAAATAATAAATATTAATATTTAAATAAATTAATATTTTAAAGTAATAAAATATAAATAAAAACTTATATCCTTATTTATTTATATTAGCTTTAAAATATTTAAATATTTTAATTATATTTATTATAATTAAAGGGAATTTTAATAGTAAAATAAATATTATTATTAATAAGCGTATTAACTTATAATATATTACATAAAAAGAGTTATTAATTTTAAAATATAATATTAAAAAAAAGAAAAAGCCATTAAAGATTAAAAAATATTTAAATTTAAAAGCTGTTAGTTTGGCTTCCGTATGGTTGGTGATAGATAAATAGAGTGTGTAATTAATTTAGCTATGGTGTAGAGGGTAGGTTGCAGTGAAGCTGCAGCCTTTCCTCGTTTGGCTATAGGCTAGCTATAATAGTTTATGCACGGGGCATATAATCACTAGCTGGCAGCTACCTAGCATCGGCTAGCAGCTATTATTAATAAGATTAATTTAAACCTTGTACCTTTAAATCTATATATTGCCTGTAATGCACTTATTATATAAGCACGCTATATATAATGCTTATATATATTATTCCTATATTAGCAGTTTTTTAATATATATATATATAAATGCTTTAAAATTATACTTTTTTTTAAATTATTACTTAGCTAATTAAATTGCTTAATTAATGTAAATATTTTATTCTTTAAGGGGCTATAGTAAGTTAAGTACCTTATAATCATTGCTTTAATAAATTAAGTATAAGTATTTAAGTATGAATATACTTGAATGTTTTAAATGCTTAAATTGCTTAATTAAATCATTTAATTACCAATACTTTAAAGCTTTAAAATATTTAAATGCCGTGCTTTAATTAGTTATTACTTTAGCAGCTTCTTTCTTTTTATTATTAAGTTAGTTGAGGTGCTTAAGGGATAAATTAAGCTTAAGCTGGTAATGGCTGCTGCTATTATGTCTTTTAATAAGGAGGAGGTTGTTGTTGTTATTGCGAAAGAGGCTGTTGCTATGGGGCTTACGTTAAGGGCATTGCTGGCTAAAAAGGAGGTTGTAATTAATAAAGAGGAAAAGGTGGTTACTTTATGATAATTAGCTTTATTTTAATTAGCTTAGGCTTCTTTTAAATATTAATATATCTTTAATTATAAATGGAAGGTTATCGCTATAAACTCCTTTTAAAGCTATTAAAATAATTTTTAATTATTTAATTAAGTTAAAATAATTAATGCCTTTGCCATTAGCATATAATTACGTTTTATATATACTTTATAATGGTAAAATATTTATTTAAGCTTATAAAGAAGCCTTTAATTAATCTTTTAAAAGCATTCCTTTATTTATTTATAAAACTTATATTAAAATTTATTAAAAAGATCTTTATTATAACTTAAATAACCCTTAAGGCTTTTAATTATATTAATAACCTTTTCTTTATTAAAAAAAAGGGCTATTATTAATGTAAAGATTATTGCTATTAAGCAAATCTTATAATGATTAATTATAAAGGAAAAGGAAAGGGAAGAATGTTTTTATGCTACGCTTATAGATTAATAACCAGCTTTTAAACCATTTACCCATAAGTAATAGCGCTTAAATGTTATTATTACTTAATAAATTAATCTTTATTAGCTTTAAGGCAATTTATACTTAAGATCTTATTAAAGGGCGTTAATAAAAAGGGCATTAAGAAAAGGGAAGGTTATGCTTATTAATTAAATATTAATTATTATTAAAAGGTAAATATTTTAAAGGTTTAATTAAATTATTTATATAATTAAACTTATAATAAATCTTAACTATCCCCCTTAACGGTTTTAAATTAATTAAGAAAGTTGCTTCTTTTATTAATACTTTAAAGTGTTAAATTAAGCGTATTAATTAAGTATGCAAATCGCTTAAAAGAAACATTATTTACCAATACTCTAAAGTATTTAAGCGCTTTATGCTTTATTAAGTGCTTAAAGGGTTTTTAAAGAGTTATAAGCCCTAAGGATGTTATGCAAGTACCCTAAGGAGCGTTAATTGCAAACAAAGGCTTTTTAAAAGTATTAAGTAAGGGCTTCTTAAGGGTGCTAAACAAGGGCTTCTTAAGGGTATTGCAAGGAAAGCTTTTTAACGTGCTAATCACGGGCAAAGGCATTAATAATTAAGGGTGTTATAAAAAAGGCTAAGGATATAAAGGTAATATAATTAAAAGTTAGGCATTTGCTATAAATTAATTAATCTTACTTAAAAATTAAGCATTTATTATAAATTAAATGGAATTAAGTAAAGCTTATTATTAATTTATTTAATAATTAAGGGTATTGCAAAAGGGCTTTTAATAATTAAGAAAGGTTGTAATTATTTAAGGGTATATTAAAAAAGGCTTTTTAACTAAGGCTTTTTATAATTATTATTATTAATAATTTATATTAATAAATATAATTAAAGATTAAATATCATTGTTATAAATTAATTTTTAATGCTTAGTTAGGCTTTTTAACGGCTTATAGCATTATTATTAATATAAAGTTCCTTAATAAAATTATTATAAATAAATAGGCTTTTAAGGGATGAAATTTATCTCTTTAATACCTAACTATTTATGCTTGCTAAGTAAGCATTAATTAATATTAATTTAGCTTTTATATAATTAATAATAAATAAATAAAGTATGTAATTAATTTAGCTATGGTATAAAGAGTAAGTTATAGTAAAGCTGCAGCCTTCCCTTGTTTAATTATAGGCTAGCTATAGTAATTTATATATGGAGCATATAACTACTAGCTAATAGCCAGCTAGCATTAATTGGCAGCTGCTATTAATAAGATTAGTTTAAACCTTGCACCTTTAAATCTATGCATTGCCTGCAACGCACTCACTGCATAGGCACGCTGCACGTAATGCCCATACATACTATTCCCATAAAAGCAAAATTAAATTTAAAAATATTAAAAATTAATTTAAGTAAAGAGGAAAATAGTAATATTAATTAATTAAAAAAAATAAGTTTAGCTTATTATTTAATATAAAAATAATTATTAATATTTAATAAATAATAATAAATTAAAAGTATTTTTAAAATAAAATATGTAAATTTAAATAATAATAAATAATAAGTATTTTTATATAAGTTTAAATATAATATAATAATTAAATTATATTAATACTTATATTAATATTAATAATTTCTTAATTAAAGTAATAAAAGAAATTTAATAATAAGGAAATAATTATATATATATATATATTTCCTTATTTATTTCTTTATTTATTTGCTTATTTAATTCCTTATTCAATCCCTTATCTAATCTCTTATTTAATCCTTTATTTAATCCTTTATTTAATCCCTTATTTAATTCCTTACTTAATCCCTTATTTAATCCTTTATTTAATCCCTTATTTAATTCTTTACTTAATTCCTTACTTAATTCTTTATTTAATTCCTTACTTAATTCCTTATTTAATTCCTTATTTAATTCCTTATTTAAATTAACTTTATTTTAAAACATTTTAAATTTAAAACTAATTTTAATCTTAAAACGTTTTAAATTTAAAACTAACCTTAATCTTAAAACATTTTATATTTAAAATTAACTTTATTTTAAAATATTTTAAATTTAAAACTAACCTTAAAGCTAAAATATTTTAAATTTAAAATATTTTAAATATAATATTATTTAATTTTAATAATAAGCTATTTAAATATAAATAAACATAAATATATTTATCTTTCCTACTTATATTTTTTATTTTTCTTTCTTTTTAATTTACTTATATCTATTTTTATTTATTATTTATTAGCTAAATATTTACTTTTAATATTTTAAAAATACTTTTCTTTTACTTTATTATTATTATATTTTCTTATATTACCCTTAAGGCTTAAGCTAAGCTTCTTAAGCTTACTTTTTCCTTTTTTATTAATTCTTTAATTAATAACTTACTTATAGTTAATTCTTTTTTTTTATTAATATCTTTTTTAAAACCTAAATATTACCCTTAATATAACTAATATATTATATAACTTAAGTAACCCACTATATTTTATATATTTTCTTTTTTTCTTTTTTTCCCTTTTTATTTTATTTATTTATTTTTTTTATTTATAATAAGATTTTTTTTAATTATTTTTAAGGGTATTTTAAGGTTAAAGGGCATAAGAATATATTATATAATCCTTATAACCCTTTATTTTAACTAAATAACCTTATAAGTATTCCGTATTTTATTTTTAACTTTTTTTTATTAATATATATTTAACCTTTCCCTTTAATTAATTCTATTTTTAAAGATAATAAAAATACTTTTATATTGCTAAATATTAATATAAGATTTATTAAAAAATTTTAATAAAATATATATTAATATTTCTTAGCTTCTTAACTTACCCCCTCTTCTTCCTTTTTTTTTCTTTTAAGCCTTAAGCTTTTAAGCCTTGCATATAACCCTAAGCATTTATATTTTTAAATAAACTATATATTATTTAAAAGCCCTTTTTTTACTTTATTTATTAATATTTTTTTAAAGATTTATAATATTCTTCTTAATTTTAATAAAATCCTAAACCTTAAGCTCTTTGCTTTTTAAGGCTTAGCTTTCTTAAGGTTTGATTTTATAAATATTAACCTTATCCTTAAAGTAAGTATATAGCCGCGTGGCGCATTGGTTATGCGTTTGGCTTCTCTCTATGGAGGGCATAAGTTTGAATCCTATCGTGGCTATTAAGACCTTTTTTAGGAATTTTCCTCTTAACTATATTATAGCGAATCGCGGCCTGCTTATTTATAACCCCCTTAGCTAAAAAAAGGGGCTTATATTTAAAGCCTTAAAAACTTTATTAAAGCTAATAAAAATAAATACTTAAAGAAAGCCTTAAGCCCTTAAAATCTTAAGTTAATAATACCTTAAAATATACTTTATAATATAGCTTTCTTATAAGGAGCCTTTAAATTAATTAATAAATAAGCTTTATTATAAGCCTTAATTATCTTTATTAAAAGCTTTATATTAATAAAAATAGCTTTATAACCTTATATTAAAATAGCTATAACTCTTAATAAAAAAGTAATAATTTCTTATTAAGTAATTATAAGGGATTTGCTTATAAAAAGCAGCTTTTATTAAGATTAAAATTAAAAAAGAGAATTATTAAGAGAGAAAAGTAAAAAAGGGCTTTATAAATCTTAAGAAAGATTAAGAGAGGAGCTTTTAATTAAAGAAATTAAAAGGCATATTGGTTTTTATTTAGCTTTAAGGCATAGTTTTTTTAATATAGGTGAATTTGCAAAGGGACTATATGCTAAATTGGCAAGCTTTATATATATATATATATATATATATATTATAGCTTTATGTAAATAAAATATTATTATTATTAAAGTAAGTATATCTTTAAAATACGCTTTTTTTAATATATATTTTTATATTAAATTTATTAAAATAAAACTTAATTAATAATCTTAAAAGATAATTATATTAAATATATTTTAATAAACTTACCTTTATTTAATAGGAGAAAGTAATTAATACCCTAACTTTATAAAAATATATTTAAATATTAATAATATTTTAAATTATTACTTAATTTTAAGAAAACTAAGAAAAGGAAATTTAAAAGGAAATTTTTTTTAACTTAGCCTAAAAATAATTTTTTTTAAGTTACCCTTATTAAGAATTTATTAATTTAGTAAATTATACCTATGGTTATGCTATTTAATATAATATAAGTTTTTTTCCCTAACCCTAAATATTTATATATTAATATAATTAATTTATTTAATAGTATTTTAGTAATTTTAAGGGATTTCCAACTTATTTTTTATGCCTAGATTGTGAGAAGGTTTATATTTTTCAGCAGCAAATTCATATGCATCGGCAACATATTAATAAGGATTGCCATAGCAATTATAGCCCTCTTTATATTTAATTATTTAATTATTTAATTATTTAGTTATTTAATTATTTAGTTATTTATTTACATTTTTTTAATTTTTTAAATTTCTTTTATCTTTTTAATTATATAAATATAAATATAAATATAAATATAAATACAGATATAAAATACTGTATCTGTATCTGTATTTATATTTGTATTTGTATTTGTATTTGTATTTGTATTTGTATTTGTATCTGTATCTGTATTTGTATTTTGTATCTGTATCTGTATCTGTATTTTGTATTTCTTTTGTATTTGTATCTGTATCTGTATCTGTATCTTGTATCTAGTTTGTATTTCACAACTCTGTATAAGGGTAAAAAAAACCCTTTTTGTTTTCATTCCCAACCCAACTACTTATTTCTTTTTTATTAGCTTAACTATTTATTATAGGAGGATTTATGGAATTATAGATATATTAAAAATAAAAGCAGGTTTAAAGTTAATAAGATTTAAACTAAAGCTTTTAACATAAATTTTTTAATAATATAAAGTTAATGGTTAACATAGCGCTAATATTAATATAAAGTTAATATTAATATCATTTAAAGCTTTAATATAATTTGCTTATAATAGTATTTTTATAGCCTTTTACTAGCATTTCGTTAGAATTATAAATTTTCGATTGAATGTTAAAACATGAGTGCATTGCGTGACCCAGTCAGGAACCCCCCTCCCCCCTGGTAGGCACGGAGAATTGTGGGTTTATTGTCCCCGGAACCTTATTTCTTTCCACCTCCGCGGAATCTTCGGATTTAAGTCGTCGCTGTACTGGAGATAACGACCGGATGTTGACGACGAGGATCAAGTGAGCTAAGTCTAAACCTGGCTTGAAGCAACTATCCGGCGTTGCCGGCATCAAGGGACAGTGTTGAGGGAAGAGTTTTGTTGACAGGTCCCAGGCCAACGCGGGGCATTTCTACTAGAAGGGGATCCTTTAAGAAGGATCAAACACAACAGCACAATCTTCATATGAAGTACATTGGCAAGTTCCTACACGCGTTGGTTTTTAATTGCTTCGATCCAGATCAAAGCATCACGGCGAGCCCCTCCCGTAAAGAAATTCCAATCTGAAGCGGTAGCAGTTGTAAGAAAAGCTTTTTGAACCACGGCATTCCATCACCCTTAATAAGTCAGTTAATGCTGGAGATGACTTCTGGTATCCTGTATACGGACAGCATAACTTCATGTGGTTATATGGTCATCGGATATGTATTATGAGTCTGCAGGTTGCAGTGACTTGTGACTATGATGAAACTGGACCAACAATATCCATGCCTTTTCTGAAGCCATAAGGCTGGATGCAATAAGTTCCCACATCTATGGGGTCTAAAAGAAACTCTGAAATAGTCATACCATGGGCACAATCGGGAACAGAACCTGAAGAATGTCAGCACAGTCTCCGGGAAAATTGGATGGCTCACATGAGCATACCCAGTTGTCGGTAAACGCCATGTCGTGTTGGAAGCCGCAAAACGGAGCCCCGAACCAGACTTTCTCGGTGAACTTGCCGTGTTCGTTGATCGACATGTAGAAGACGTCCTTGCTTCCAATCCCCTTGCCCTCGTATCCGAATGCAAGGAGTTCCCTTGTCTTCACATCATACTTGGGGTGCGCTGTGAATGTCTCACTCTCCAACTGACCATCGAAGTCGAACCTTCCGATCGTCTCAAGCGTCCGCGGGTCTAACGCATACGGCCAGCTGTCCTCCTTCAAGGCGAGGATGAGGCCCTTATAAGGGAGTGCTGTAGCATTGGCTGTGGTTCGATCCGCGAACTCAACCAAGTCTGTCCATGGATTCCGGTATTTGCCTTGGAAGATGTTACTTGATGAAGTCCGATTGAAAACACACACCTGGGCAGTGACTTACCCAGGAGAGCCCTGTTTTCGGTAGCTTCAACCCGGAACTTTTCTGTCTGAACAAAGCGTTGCTTGAAGTCGACGTTACCTTCCTTGATCCTGAAAGATGAAATTGCGCCGTCACCGTTCAGCCACTGAATGGGTCTTAGCCAAATACATTTACGTTAAGGTCACACAGGGTTTAAGACTTGCAATGTCATTCTTCACCAAGGGAACATGATATGGTTCAGGCATGATGCGATAGAACGTTCCCGAAATGGATTAAGGAATCTTTCCGAACACCTCAAGATTCCGCATCTCTCCTTGATAGCGCGTGGGTCCCAGCAAACTGGGGACCAGCACTGTCGAAGTTGGTATCGCATTCCGGCCAATTGGCTTTGTCCATACCGGGACCGATCCCCTTCGAGGCAAGGTACTGCCAAGCATCCATAATTGATTGGTACAGATGTTTTCAGTATGGCAGGAGCGAATTATTGCAAAAGGTCCATGAGGTGCCTGTTGCAGTCAAAGAAGTATATTCGAAGACTGATGATGCATGTCGCCTTTTGTCTTTTCGGAGCGGGGTCAGTACTCCAAACCTTCTCCCCGGACATGTTTATGCCGTGGACTACCGTGTTGGACAAGCCAAACCTGGGGAGAAATAACACGGGAACGGAGAGCTGGGGGCCATGGCACCTTGCAGAAATTCATCATGTTCCTCCGCGGCACGGAAGGTGGGGTTTACTCTCGACGTGACCGAAACACATAGTCGAGCTACATTGAGCGCTGAAGCTTTGGAACATCATTAGGTGGGTTGCATCCACACCGATTCCGCGGACGATAACCGTGCGTTTTGGCAGTCCGAGTCCCTACTATTCGGCACATATACCGGGATGTACTCTTCACAGGCAGCTCCGTTGGTGCCTTTTTTGTTTTCTCTTCTTTTTTTTCTTTTTGGAGGGAAGGGGGGTACGAGGGGCTAGTAGATTGCAACATGTCCTAATCTCGAACGAGAAGGCGACTGACTTTACAAGAATCATGGGTCACATTCCCAAAACCAAGGCCAAGTTGATCATCCAAGGCTATAACGTGCTGTTACGAGGCCCTGCCCGGCTCACAAGTATAGACTATTGATCCCCTGATTCTGTCTCAGCAGAAAATTCAGTGCAGCTCCAAGACACGGCAACATTTTCTGCAGAGTCAGTGGGCTGGTCCATGGGCGGAATCAAGGAATTAGACACGATATTGGTGCCGAGCTAAGACTCACCACTAATAAGACCACAAATAATATCTGCTGAGTAGCAAAGTTTCTTTTTGATCTCTTTCCTCCCCGAATTTACAGTGGACATACTTCATTCGGATGTCTTCAATGCTGTGGCAAGGGAAACCGCCCATGATGGCATCCTCGGCTGCGAGATACTTTCATGGGGAGTCGACTTGCCCGGAGAGATGTCTTGATTGAAGAGGCTGGAGTTATAGATGGCCCGCAAGTCTGGGAAATACGACTGTCTGTTTGGTAGGATGATTGCACATGGTTCTATATACATCATAAATAGATCGAGCTGCCTTCTGCCGAGAGCAGCCCAGTCCGAGTTGCGGACGAGGTAGAACGGTAATCTGAGCTTTGTACTGAACAAATGTTGCCTCGATATTTGTTAGATTCAGCGCTAGACCAACCATATCCCATGTAGTCTACTGTGTGCCAGTCACACTCTCGATCTGATGATTCATCTCACTCCAAAATCTCCCCCTGGGTTCCCTCAGTTCCGTCCCGCGAGCCAAGATACATGATATCATGCAATATCTGCGACCACACGCCCCGTTCTTCTTTCCACCAGTACTGCACCTTCACCAAGATCCCCAGCCTTTCACCTCCATGGGCAGTTCCCTCATCATCCCACAAGTCAACCCTCATGCCGACCCATCCTTCCCTTTCTGCTCGGAGCTTGATGGCGTTGGCCGAGTCGAACCCCGCAGGTACGGCAGTCTCATCGCTTCCAAACTCCAACTCACCGTCCGTGAGCGGTCGGATCGTATAGAAGCTCTTCTTCGTGGTGCTGACACCAGCCACGGTGTCATTGCCTGGGCCACGGATAGCAGCCGTCTTGTCTGGGTCTTCCGCGTAACTTTGTATCTTCTCCGTCCCTTTACCAGAAGTCTCCCGGAGGTATCTCATTATTGTATCTCTGTTTCTGGCGGCAAAGGCCGGCATTGATCGGCAGATCTGGCGACAGTCTGGGGAAAAGAATTGGGACTTCGCTTCGACGTCCGCCGTGTGGCGATATTCCGCGTAAAGCTGCTTCAGGTGAGCTGTGATGACGGGTTGATCCGATGCTCCCATTTTCGTATCTGCAGTTACGTCAAGGAAGATAGTGTCTGAGTCAATGCTGCTTGGTATCTTCCAGTTGGGAACAGCTTTCTTTTGTTGCCATCTCAAATACTGCTAGTACTGATGCGCCATCATTTCCAAGCCCAACGAGGCCTGAGTCATCATCATCCCATTAGCGTGGTGCTGCTTGGTGATAGTTCTAATTTCTGACTGCATGCGTTTCTCACATGCATACTCTGCTACCAGCTCTGGCCCGAGCTACTAAGTGAGAGCTAAGTGCAAATTGTCACCTGACAGACTCCGAGACCACTGCAGTCTGTTGGCTGGTTTTCCTTGAGTAGCATTCCTGCTAGTTGGATTTATTTTCATCTGGTACACGTTGTCTTGGGCTTCTCTCTTGTCTTCCTCTAACCAAACACGAGCCCTTTCCGCCCTTTCAAACTTGGTTGTGATGGAACGAACTCTATTCTAACCCCTCCCCCTAAAACAACCCCCAACCTTGGGCTAGACTGTGAGCAAACCACAACGTATCGCAACTTCCACTACCAAACTCTCAAAAACAAGACAGTGGCGTCGCATATCGAGGCTTGTCTGACTGGCAAACAACCGTAAGAGGCGAGAGGCCAAACTACCTCCTTGATACAAACAAGTCGACTACAAGCCGCTGAAAGGTTCATAAGCCCGTTTGTGGGAGAGTGTTTGAGATCAGACCAAAATTGCCAGGCCGTGCTCATAAACGTTCAAGGCAGACGAGTTCATAATTGAACCAGCCCTCTCCATTTCTTCATTGAGTGAACGACTTTCTTTCCAGGCCCTTAATCTGACGGGCCCACACCTCTCGACACATGTCAACCCAGCTCTGTCCGAACTCTTTCAGGACTTCGTTGGCGTCCAGGGCGTTGTCTTGGCACTCTTTGGTGTACTCCTCATCAGTTCCAAACGTGGCAGTCTTCCACTCAGCCGTCCACTGCTTGACAGCGTTCTGCGCCGCCTCGGACTGGCTCTGGATGTTGGTGGCAATCATGTAGAAGCTTGACCGGTGCTGGTGCTCCACCTCAGGCTTGAACAGGCGTACCTCGGAGAACTTGGAGAACTTGTAGAACAGAGAGAGACTGTTCCAGGTCTCCGCCTTGTGCATCAAGACGACCATGCTGCCACCAGGCTTGAGGCGGGCGAGGGATATCGCCAGCTGGGAGGCCTTCAGGCGGTGAGCCTCGCGGTGCTCGCGATAGGACGCGATCTGGTGGGTACGAAGGACACCGCCCTCGCAGGTGATAAGGTCGAACTGCTGTCGAGGTCGGATGGCTCGCTTGAGGAAGCGCTTGGCGTCAGGGTGGTCAGGAGGGATCTCGTCCAGGGAGACGCCGAGGTCAACTGCCAGCATCGTGACGTCTGCCTGAACCAGATCCAGTCGCGGGCTCTTCACAAGACTCTCCACGCCCTTTTCCTTGATGGGAAGGGTAATGCCGACCACTTGGACATTGGGGTTGACCTTCAGTGCCTCGCCCACGAAGCCGCCGGGCGCAAAGCCGAGAGCGAGCATGCTCGGTCGCTTGCCAGGGAGACTGAAGACGCCGGTGGCCTGCTGCATCTTGTTTCCAACACGGTTCATCATTCCGAAGAAGATCTTGGTCGTTTCAGGGTTGGCATCGTCGCCGAGCTTTCGCTGGCGCTCAAAGTACCGATCACCCTCAGGATTATCCCAGCCCTGCGATAACAGGGTCAGTACTGTTTGCATAAGCTACAATAGAGGATTGATTATTCACCTTCTTGCGGATCTCGGTCAGCTCCCGAAACTCGGCGACGTTGTCGAGCAGGTACTGCATTGAGGCGGCGCGCTCCCGTTCAAAGAGCCGATCCTCATCAGCAGGCGGCGGCCCCTTTTCAGGATCGTGCAGTTCATTGTCCCGCTTCTCGAGGGGCGTCGCCTTGTTGGGGCTGTTGACATCTAGCTCCTCCAATCCAGGAATCAGAACGTCGTGGAGGGTTGGTTCACCGCCGTCAGAAGCCTGGCTAGACGCGTAGGTAGACGTGTGGCCCGACGGAGATTGTTCCCGACGCGCAACTCCTCCATGGCTCTCGCCAGCCGGCTGGGGCCTCTGGTTTTCGATTCCAACAGTATGCGGTGACATGGTTGCGGTCAGAAGGGTAAACGTACATCTGACGCGGTTGTTGCGACAAATCGAGGCGCGAGTTTGCGAGCGTGGTTCCCACACGTTGGGGGTGAGGCCACAGCAGGAAGGGACAAAAGGCGCAGGGAGATAGAAGCCTTGAGGTCGGCTCAAAGAGCTCAGAGACGCATGCTTTGGAAACCTACGGAAGACCTAGGTGGGGGAGCTTGACCAGTGTTCCAGAAAGACGTTCTTGCCAAATCAGAATGAACGGGCAGCCTGCCTTAAGTGGAAGCCTTCTGCCATTCTGCACTTTGAACAAGACTCATCCCAACATCAACCCTGCCTTTTGAGGCGGGTTCAATGCCTGAGTTCGCCTCTGTTACCATTGATCGGGTAAGCATCAGTTCTTGTCTCCTGTTCTTCTGAACAGGCAGGGGCAGTGAGGGTTGTTCCACATCCCTTGTATGGAATCAAAAAGCTTCTAAAACACTGGTTTGTTAGGCTTTTTGTTTGAGTCGTTGATATGTTTTACGAACCCTTCTCAACCGCTGCTGGTCTTTCCGAGAGACCCTTTGGGGGGAAAAATGGTGTGGTATCGAATAAGACCACACTTGGAGCCACTGCAATACTGGCTCCTGGCACAGCTTCACACTGATTTACTTCGGATGATCGGTACCGGTGATAATGCGAGCGCAGTGACTGAGTGCTCGAGTCACAGACAGGTTGACCTCTCTACCTTGGCTGATCTTGTGAGCCATCACTGTACCCTTTCAAGGCAACAGCGTCTCCTGGTTCCAAGATCCTTCCAAATTTCAGACTTCCTCAGTAAATCAACCCAACCTATTGAGGTATTCAGAAGAAGAGAGCCAGTCCAGCCCATGAGACCTGACACTCCAACCAAGCAACCATGTGCACCTGTCTCTGGGTCGAGTACTGCTGCGAATGTGACAAGCCAGACTGCCCTCACAAACGACCCTCACACCCACGTCACCACGTTCAAGACAAGCTCTTCCAGATCGACCACAAGGCCTGGCGATACTGCCCTGACTTCATCGAGTGGCTAGACGCAGTAAAACAAGAGCTCCAGGATGCCATTTCCAAGAACAACAACAGCACCGCCACCAGCAACAATGAGCGCAGTAGATTTACCTCTCAACAGCAAGACAAGGCTGCTACCATCCGACCTTCAAGATGCTTCGAGGACAGCACTGATCCTCGGCACGATGGCCGGCTGCCTCTCTGCGGAGACATCTGGTACAGCGCCCGGAGGATTGTGAAGGACTGTGATTATTGCAGGGACTACTGGATCGGACGGAGCACGGACAATGCCTTCTGATGGAACGAGCGAGACTTCTCCATTGTCATTTTGGGTCATGGGTGCTGGTGAGAGAGGAACGCTGTGGACACTGGCTGTGTGGGGACGGAGGAGAGGAGTGATGAGGTGGCAAATGATAACAGCCCGATAGTGGCCATCGACGTAGCAACAGGCCAATTGACGGTAGTGCTTTTTTGAATCGCTGTGGCCATTGTAGTGTGACTGTGCGAGTAAGAACCAAGACAGAGATTAAAGTTTCGAGAGACAACAAGAGAGACCCTGCTGTGTGACTTAGACTTCCAGTATGTCGTCCATGCTTGCCAGGTGAAGCAGCCAGACCGATGGGCACCAATGATCCATTGCACTGCCTGCATAGCGTTTCCAATCCATTTGAGTGTATCCCTTCTCCGCATCACTGGTCTTTGTTCCCAATGTAACGAGCCATGCAAGACACCAATATAACACGACCGCCTATGTCGATAGGTAGTCTGGAGGTCCTTCCAGCCCAAACGCCCCAGGTGCACCGTTTCGAGCTGCACGCTTCGGAGCTCGAATACCTCGTGCGTCGTAGGTTATTTTCGGACCGTCCGAAAGATCTTGTGCGTCTTCGCAGGCATAACTTTGTGATGTTCGAGCTGCACAGTCGTGGTATCGACCTTTGTGCGCGTACCGGACAGCGATTCCCTGGAAATGGGTGTGAATCTTGTTCCAGAGGAACAGCACCTTTGACAATGCTGCAGGAGAAACCTCCGCCGCAACGCGTCCTCTTGGGGTCATTTGGATGCTGTCAATTGACAGTGAAGCACCTCCTCAGCCTCACTGCGATCGCCGCTTCCGGAGATTCGGTTGGCAGCAGTGCCGCACATCCATCTTGTGAATTCAACACTTGTTTTGCGTGTATTCCCAGTTAATTCGAAACATCTGTCTCTTCAGATGGGCACTGTCAACCCAGCTTCCATCAACTTGGCGTGAAATTCATCCAATCTGGGGTGAACATGGGAAAAGCTCTGGCCCAAGACGTGCAAGAATCCACACGACCCGTCGATGTCAACGACATGAGGCATTCTTAAGGGCAATGTTGCAAGGCCTTCAACTCGTGGCAGCATCGGACTGGGATAAATATGCAGATATTCGCATCGATCGACCGGGGACGGCAAGGGAAATCTTCACGTCGCGCAGGTTCGGGGAGGGATTTGTACCACTTGACTTGCTCCCCGGGAGCGTTGATAGCCCAGATCGCGGCAGCGGAGAGGTGGAGGGGGGTTCGGAAGATCTCGATCGATGCTCGAGTCACCGGGCTCGAGTCACCGGGCTCGAGTCGATGACTGCAGGTTTTGACAATCTAGCAAGCTGGAGGTCAGGTAGAAATTCGCGATTTGTTCACAGGGCTTAGCGGGCCACATGTCGAGAAAAGAACTGGACTGAGGTGTTAGGATTGAAATCGGCTCGGAGGATCTTCAATGCCCGAATTTTCTTCGAGACGGGGAAATCGCCCAGCTTTTCTTTTCGTCAGCTTCAAGACTCAAGATTGGAAAATCACTCAATCTTGCAAGTGAGTGGAAGTCCCACTCTGAGCTTTGTCACACGTCAGTCATCGACTGTCACTGCACGAACATGACCGTCAGTCAGCGGACATTTTCTGAATCATCTCGAGACTCCACTACTGAAGAACTCGCTGATTTGTTCGTTGGTCACGGTACATCATCATACAAATAAATGAGGCCTGTTCAGGCTGCTTGTTGTCCCGCCGGACTTTATTCCCGGTCCCGAAACACGCAGCATATGTGTGAGAGGTTGATAGTACAGTGCTCGTTATGCCACTTTGTCGCTTTAAAGTGGACCACGAAGTGTGAAGCACGTCTGGCAGACGCTCCTTGCCTTCAATCTGAATTTGGCTACCGGAACTCCGGGGATTTTGATAGGCTGCCGTGCGAATATTGCTCAGCACCTCCGAGCCGCGATGGTTAGGTCAAAGCAGTCCCGGCGCTCCCCGTAGGAGACCAAGCCATGTTCCAACCATACTGAAGGAGTCTGCAGGTTGCGTAGACGTTTTCTCAATGAGAAATTGCGGAGAAGTTCCTCCTCTGGTGACCCGTAAAAGCTCCTCTTCGATCGTAGCCGTTATGAATCATGCAATTGACCCTTCAGTGAATTGCGGGCCACAGGCCAGCCCTTTGGGGTACGCTGTCATTCTCGCATCTGGACGATCGGGGGCTCCGCGATGTCCCGAGGACAATGCGCACGCCAGGCGAGTCCACTACAACCCAGATCCCTGCGAGCACCATGATGCGCGCGATGCCGACGGTCTCTGCCTGTCTGATTCCTCGAGAATGATTTTGTGATAGGTCAAGATGCGGAAAATCATAATCCTCCCCCGGGGGTTCATCCGGATTGCTTGAGGATCACCGACAGCCTCGTCGCCCCTTGACCCCTGGGCTTCTAGGTGCCGGCACCGTCTGGTCCAGGCGAGCTGCCAAGGCTATAGCGAGGGCTCATGACATGCTTCTGCGTGCCTGGAACTTCATAGAGCTCAAGGAAGGGACGAACCACAGGGCTTCAGAAGGCGATGCCGAACAGCAGGCTGCAAGGACGCGTCCGGTTTCCCACACAGCTGCGAGTGTCCTTCGGCGGTAACGGACCCACGGCTCCATCGTGCGCGAACGAGTAGGTTTGCTGGCTGATCCGTGGACCCAGGTAGAACAATGACTTTGTGATGATGACTTTTTGAGGCGGTGATATGATGGGTCTCAACGCCTGTGGCGCTCGGTGACTATCGAGCGCGTTACGCTCCTCAGATCTCCTCGCCATTGACACATGCTACACGAGGTGCTCTCCAGAAGTGCCGGCGGGTTAGTGCTGGGGCTGTACACTACTCATCTCGGTGTCATCCAAGGTACTGATCGTCAGCTTGGACGCGTTGTGATGCAAGTGATGGCCAATCACCCATCTGACCACAATATGTAAAGCACATCTGCACGGCCGCAGGGGCCTTGCTTCCAGACAAGCATCATGAAGCCAGATAAGTTCAGAGAAGAGGAAAAAGAAGGATCCAGATCCCCGCGCCGTCACAAAGCGATTGGTGCCCAAGACAGCAGATCCGGTGCCCCGGACCACCTAGGCCACCTCAAGGGACGCAGATGCATGCGCATCCGAGCTGTAGACGACACCAGGCCGAGGAGGTGCATGAGGTAGGGTTAGATACGGTGGACTGCTCTGGTGTTGTGGAACAGCCAAGGACGGTATTGCTGTTTTGATGCCCTGCAACAGCGATCAGTTCTTCAAGATGTGCTATGCAGTGTTGCCGACGCAGTGAATTGTCGTATGATCCGGCATCTGGGCCAAGCGAGCTGAGCGTCCCAGAAATAATGATGATGTTGTGGTGTGCATTGTGCTACTACACCTTCCTGTACACTAAAGCTCCGGAGGTATTCCGCGGGCCTTTGAGAATGCTGGATGGTCGGTTTTCGCCCTCGCTAGAGAGCATAAGGGTCTGCAGGACGATCCAGGCAAGCAAGGCCAGTTACTTTGAAGATTGAACGAGACACTGGGGCTGAGTTATGCGTGTCGAATATACTCTGGGCTCGCTTGGAGTCGCCACTTGGCCGTCCGGATTCGCTGACATTGGCATTGTAATGAGGAGACCAGAAGAATCACGGTCCACGGTGGGTCTTCTGCAGATGGTAGTTCTACGTTGACGACGGTCGTTAGTCGTCTCGAATTATAGTTGACTAGCTCGGAAGAACCCCGGGAACGAGTCCCTAGCCGTTCCAAGATGCCGGGTACGGCCGAGCGTGCTCCTCGATCTTGAGCGCGCGAGCTTGTCTAGGTCCATCATGGCCACGAGCTTGTCCACATAGAGCATGGATGGCACAGGTACTATCGACGTCGGTAGTGGGGCTCGTCACGCTCAGTGCTCTCAACAAGAAAGCCGTTGAACGTCGCCAAGCCGGGTAGTGCTCGTACAGTTCCTGATGCGAGACTCGACGCCTGTGCTTGTGGGGTGGCACTAGAGATGTTTCCAGGGTCTTCTTGAAATTTCGGGCCCGTCCACTCCCCGGGACAGGTGCTGTAATGTGACTGTTTGGAATCAAAGAAAGTCGTGTCGACTTGCTTGTAGTGGATCTTGCCTGAGCGGGATGCTACCGCAAGATGTGCCTGCGCGTATAAGGGGTCGAGGGGTCCTGGATGTCCGGGTTCGAGATCTGGTGACTCAAAGCCCACCCACGTAAAAAAGCTTCATCGTGCTGCTCAATTCGGCACCTCGAGGCCGGGACCACCGGTGAAACAGTCTTGGGTCTGGCGGGTCCTCGAAGCATCGCGAAGCTTCGAGTCAAGACAGCCAATCAGGCACGCCGCCGCGCCATGATGAATCCATGACGGCAGGGGGACCTCAAATATATAAACGTAGCGGGCACATGTGCGGCCGCCACCGAAGTCGCCCCCGCGGAGCTCTTCCAGCTTCCAGGCGTGAGTGAAATGATAAAACGGCAACCCATTCATGGTTTGCCTGCTCGATCGGCGGTCCATCTGGGGGCTAGACCGGCTGTCTGGAGTATTACCAGCTTTTTGCTTGGCCTCCCAGAGGGTAAGCGCACATAGCACGGACCTATCAACGGGGCCAGGGAGCAAAAGCTCCGGGGCTGTCCTTCTACAGCCCCCCGTCAGGGACTTTAATGCTGGGTGGACGAGGAGGAGGTAGCCGTCCAACAGATATTTCGCGGGGGAGGAACAGCAGCAGCTCCTTTACACCCCAGCTTTACACCCTGGAATTCGGGGGAATTAGATGGATTTGTCAATTTCAGAAAGTGGTAGAAAACCAACACACAAGAAGCTCGCGAAACTTAGAAGAGACTCTTTCCACTCCTTGACCGCGTAAAGGCGGCCAGATACCGTCACCGACGCCCAGTGACACACCCCACACTCTGGTGAATCGAGACCTCACAGATGCAGGCTGACAAGGAAGAGCACGTGTGGCAAAATTTCGAACATTTGGCAACATCCCCATGATTCGACCATTTCTTTCCGGCCTCCTTGTCAGTGCCTTGCGCGTGTCTTTTCAGTTCCACAGGCGGAATCGCCACCTGAGGCCTGTACTGACTATGCCACAGGCACGTCGAGCTCATCTCTCTTCAAACATTATAAAAGAGGCACTGGGACCGATTCGTTGATGATGAGCCGGGCTTCTGCTCCCGAGAAACGACGACATCTTCAAAATCTGCTGTGGGAACCTTGCGTATTTGGACTTCATGTGCGAGAGACGCTCCTACGATTGCCCAGTTTGCGGGAAGGAATATATCATCTTCGTCAAGTTTTGTCAGCACGTCCGTCCACCAGAGTCATCTTGCCCGCAGGAGATAACCGAAGTAAAGGAGATCATGACCGAAGGACAGTGCCCGAGTCCCGTCTGCCCCAATAGCAGATCCAGCAGCTGCGTGGTCAGTTGACACCGATGTCAACCCGGATCAAACCCTGTCCGAACCACAACCGCCAAGAATCAGCCGGGTAATCATTTACAACTTCTGCCCCTGAGCGCCGACTTCAACGACTTGATCGATGCCGTCGTATTCTGGCACTTCGAAATCGTACTTTTTCGCAATATCCGGCGCAACGAATCTGTTTTCTTTCAGCAGCTGCTCAGAGCAAGTTGTCTAGCGGTACGCACCTCCCGCCAATAAAATGCCGGCCCTTGAAATATTTCACGAGTGGTTTGGGCGCTGTCAAGCTGATCAGGGCTGTAGGATGGAACGTGCTGCCCAGGCCGGATTTAGGGGGTCCATCCTCAATGTTCCAAGACGATGGAGCATCAACCGAAGTCACCGGAAGTTGTGTCTGCTCCATTGCCTCGATGACCGCGGGAAATGGCTCGCGAACCTCGCCCGAGAAGCTGAAACCTAGGACAGTGTGAACCAATGATCGAACAGCGGGGTGGTCTCGACGACGAACCGAAGATTGCATCAACTATATGGTCCGTGGACTTGATTGCCGTTGGGAAGTCCTCGGTGAAAGGAATCTCTAGGTCCTCCAACTGTTTAGCCAGACGCTGACCGATCCATCAGCTTCGTGGTCGAGCAAGTAAACCACACACGAGAAATAAAAGGAGCAACAGTCACACAAAATTCATATCCTCTCTGCTCAGCCGGAAGCCCTTAACTTGCGTGCGGTTGTAGCCTTCATCATAGGGCAGGGGTAGAGCTCCTGTGTGCCAGAGGCCGGCCCCAGCACAATACTCGCAGGGCTCGTGTAGATTAAGGAGTAGCGTAGTACCCACCTGGTAAAGGTCATTCTTGCTCCGCTTGGGATAATAGATGGTTGGTTGGTAGCCGTAGTGGCGAAGGTGTCGAGCAGCAACCAGTCCATCACCTCCTGATCACGAGGTCAGCTCTGAGGCCTACAGACTTTTAACCTAGTCGACGGCAGCAACGCACCGTTATTTCCGGGACCACATGCAACCAAGATTCGGCGGCCACTGCTGGGAGGCTGAACCCGGTAGACTGGACAGGCTTGGTCAGCCAACTCCTCATTTTCTAACCCAAAGAATGGCCGAGGAGAAGAACTGTACCGGCTTGTGAGACGGACAATCCAGCCAATTCCATGAGTTGGTCAATCGAGAATGCCCCAGTGCTCATCAGTTCTTTGTCCAATGCTGCGGCAGCCTTGGCTCCAAGAAACTATAGAAATTTGTTAACAGAGCAGCCTGACTGAGCGTCGGTGTTGGCGGTGCGCCGATGAAGAGAATCGTACTTTAGAAGCCATGATGGAAGTTGGCCGGATTTCGTCTGTCGATTTGTAAGTGTTTAGAGCATGGGAGTGGTACACCCGGAATAGACAGGAATTAGGACAAATATAACTGAATTGTTTGACTGGCAGACGGTGCGGTCATTGTGAGGCTCCCCAGATGTCGGGATGTTTCTAGACTGACATCACCACGGACGTACCCTGCTGCAAGCGCAGGGGTGTAGGCGCTGATCCAGATGACTAAGGCCCGGCACTTCTGATTGGCGCTCCCCAACGTCGAGGGAAAGAGCTTGGGCTCCACCCAAAAGTTCAGGCCCGACACCCTCACCTGGCTGGATCATCGCGCCGCTGCACCTGCTCAAATCGAGGTCTCGACGCAGCAATGGTCGTCAAAATAAGGCTCGCCCGGTTTGGGCGGACAAACTCTCCATTCTACAACATTGTGGTCGCACATGCAAGGCAAGACAGCCCGGATCCACACCCCATCCACCCGTCGCAACCACGAGAGAGCCCAGATGCTGACTTACTACTACCCTTCTCCAGGACGGCGCGGAACTCGAAACCACTCGAGGTCATAGGCACATACGACCCCATACCCAAGAAGGACTCGTATGACGAGTCGGGCAAGCTTCACAAGGACATCAGGCTCGACGTCGACAGGGCAAAGTACTGGGTGGGCGTTGGTGCACAGCCGACGGACACAGTGTGGCGTTTTCTCTCCATGGTATGCGCGATGCCAGACAAAATAGATATTTGTTATGTTATGGACCATTTACTGACGATCCGAACTCACAGCTCGGAATACTCGAGCCCAAGTACCGGCCGAAGGCGAAGAACGCTCCACCACCGCTGCAGACGGACAGCACCACCACGACTAGCATCTGATGGACGAAGAGTCTGTTTTCCTTACCGGCATTCTTGAGGCGTCATATCGGTGTACTTGTGTATTTATATGGGATAATGGGCTCGTGCTGCCGAGTCGCATGACAGTCTGATCAAGACACTTAGAAACGGGACGAACTACCAAATGAACAAGATACCACTACCTTTCCGTCATGTTCATCTTGATTTTGCTGTCAGGCGACCTCTCATGTATTTGAATTGGCTCGAAACATTCCTCAATCCCCTTTATGAAGAGGACACACTGTCTTGAGAATGCCCTCTGAACAGGCCCGTGGCATCGAAGACTTCAGGAAATACCACAGGTCTTCTTTCTGGAACGGGGCTTCGAAAGCTGCGATCTGTGGGGAGACCAGGTTTCAATCTGGTCGCTGCGGCACCTTGACACCCGGTGAACTTCACCCTATGTCCAAAAGACTTGTCGGCTGGTCAATGAGCCGCAGTCAAGAAACGTGAGGAAATCCTTGGGCAGATGAGCTGTGGGTTGATGGCCGAGGTTGCGCCATTCCAGAGAGGCACAGACGCAGCAGCATCATACTAAGCATCGCCACATTGGCCAGAAAAGAACCTTACACCATACAACTCAAATGGCAATTTGTTGGGCCCACCCGAGATCCCTCGGCTCTTGTTCTTTTCCTCGGATTCACCTCGTATTGGGCGTTTCTAGATAAAGACAGCACGGTCCATGCAAACAAACATAAACAAACCCTATATACAAAATAGATACAATTCTTGCTATGTAAACTCTTGGCATTCAAGTGTATCGCTAAGGTTCTTTCCCTCTGGAGCAGAAGTATCCAACAGAAACAACCCATTCGAGCCTAACGCCGAACAGTGTCTAGTCCAAGGCCAGCAAAAGCAGGGCCGGCTCTATGTAAAGATCAGAGAGAATTTCCCAGCCCCTGAACACCGTATATATGCAAAGCAAAAATAGAAAACATGACCCCATAGGCAGGATACAGAACGAAGGTAAGGATACAAACGAAACGTACGGGATGCACCCAATACCCCATGTAAGTCTCTCTGGGGGTCATCAAGCATCCATGTGCGGACGGGTACACATCGCTTTGCCGACGTGATTTAGTGTGCCACAGTAAAGAAGGTATTCAACACCAGGCACACGACCATCACACACATGCCGTATATGGCCAGACACAGCGCCAGCCTCCTCAGCAGGCCGTGCTCGATGTGCTCCATGTCCCACCTCCACCTCCTGCGCATCCTCCACCAACCGCCGTAACCGGCACTGACACCGCCAGAGCGGATGCTCCCGCCAGCCTCAAGGATGCCCGAGCCGCTTGGCTCAAACCCAATATCTGTATCGTCGCTGTCGTTTGCGTCTACGTCGTCATCTTCCTTGGTGAGCCTCTGGTGATGGATACTATCCGGATCGCTGATCTTGTAGTAGAACAGCCCGGGGAGGATGAAGCTGATGGACGTTGATCCCGTGGCGCCGACGTACGCCAGCACACGGTCCAGCTGGCTGACAGTGAGAGAGGTGATGTATGCCAGGACGATTATGACTGTTGTGAGAAGGGCGAAACGCATATCGGACATGGACACAGCCGGCGCACCATGGCTATCGGTTGGCCCAGAGCTGTTGGGGAGTAGGGAGCGGTTGCTAGGGGAGTCTGGACCGCGGTGGGCACGGTTGGGTCGCCACCTGAGCACTGCATCAAGAGAGGCTCGGCAAGGATGGACCTGAAGTGGAACGCTGAACATGACCAGCACGACGATGGCAGCCTTGCCGATGGTCGAGGCTGCGGACGAAGGGTACATCATGATGATGTTGCCCAGAACAGTGTTGCCAAAGGTCAAGTAGCCTGTAATTGCAACCAAGACGTAGATGCTTGCTGCGGATCCGATGCTGGACGAGATAACACCAACGATGCTAGCTGGTGTGTTATCCTTGATTTCGTTGATGACGGAGAACATCTAGGATTTGTTAGCAGAGGCGCCGCTGATAAGGAGTGACGGTGATGACCGTGGGGTCGTGCAGTGCAAAAGAACCTACATTCTGATGGCATGTGTACGCAAAGACTACCACGGGCAGGCTGCTAAGGAAGGATATGGCACCGTTCCAAGCGATGTAGCTGACTTCGCCGCGGTTCTCCACTGAGTCTGAGGCAAAGTGGTAGACAACAAGGACGATCAGGTATCCGATGGAGATGAGCGCAATAACGCTCGTGTACTTGAGTGAATCCAGTCTTCTCAAGAAACTAAGAGGGATGATGATGAGCATAAATGCTGTGATCCAAAAGTTCCGGTCGACCAGGAAGGGAACCCGGTCTGCGGATTCATTAAAGCCCCTCACGACGCCTGGCATCAGGTCGCCGATGATGATCAAATAGGAGACAGCGACTCCAAAGCATTTTACGGCGATCGCGGCATCAAATATGACGGCGGCATTGGGGTATGTGAGCTGTGAGAGCGCAAAGAAGGACGAGCTGCCCCTATCGAGATATCGGGCGCACCGAGCTTGAAGGTAGAGTCCGAATGCAGAGGTTATCCCCGACCACACTATTATAAAGGTTCCCAGCAGCATTCCCATCTGTGACATGGCATGGGGCATCGCTAGGGTTCCGGCGCCAACGATCGTGTTTAGCAAGTTGATGTTGCTGCTCATCATAGAGGCCTGGCCTCCCCCTTTGGGGCTGCGCCCTCTTTTTGGTCTGTCATTGACATGCGACGTTAGCATTGAAGAAAGTCTTCAGGAAGAGAGTGGTGTTTGCTTGGGATGGCAGGGGACGGGGTGCGCCTCAGACTTGAGCAGCTCTCCCGGGCGTCAGCCGAGGCCAACGAGGCCGGTGCTGACGAGAACAGCGTCGTGGTCTTTGGGCATGGCGGCGATCAAGGCAGAGACATACCGTGCCATGGCTCCGGCTTCAGAGCCAGTTTCGTTTCCATCAGAGAAGGTCGAGTAATTCGTCATATCACGAGCGCAAGACCGCAAGCCACCTAGCTCTTTTAGGACGCACTTGTGGGAGGAAGGAGGTCGCTTCGCAGTCGTGGGGTTCGTCTGGGTGAGGCTGACACAGTCGTCGACGTTGGCGTAAGAGGGCTTCGTGGTGGAGAGATGGAGAGGGCGGCGCGACAGTTCCGAGTGTGTCTCAGTGAGGGTATGCGCAGGTGTGCACGAGATGTCTGAGGTCACAGAACAGAGGACGAGGTCTCGGCCGGGTCTTGGGGACAGAGTGCGGGTCATCGACTGCCGCAGATCGGCTTGCAACCGGGGCGGGCGGGAGAAGGCAGTCTAAACCGGCAGCGGCTAGCAGGAGGAGGCTCCCGATACCGATACGCAGAGCTTGACACCTTGACGCCACCCCCCAGCGTTGACGTGATGGTGGAAAAGGATGAGCAAAGGATGACTGGACGGATGCACACACGACACAGGCCCATGCGGTCAGCGCACGGGAAAATGCCGCCGCGGAGCTGACTCGACAGTCACAAGCCGCAGGGACAAGCTCAAGTGACACCTCGCCGTCACACGACGTTGAAGAGGGTGAAATACCGGTTGATGTTCCCTACTCCCTCCAGTAGAGCAGTGAGCAGTACTGTAGGGCTGGCTGTCTTGAAAGGCCAACAAGGCAGGCACCTGGCTTGCTGGCAGGGTTGGCGGTCCCGGCTATGTCCATGTGTCCATGTGTCCATGCCAATGTCCATTTGCCCCAGAAACCTTACCCGCGCACCGCGGCACAGGGCCCCTGACACTTGGAATCGTCTCGGCCTAGCGTTTCCTTCCCTCTGACGTAAAATGCCCACCGGCTGCCAGGCCCGCCAATCAACCACCTCTCTCCAAGGCTCCCAGCGGGCCAGGGCTCAGGGGTGCGCATCTTCTTGAGCTCTCACCCGAGGTATCGTTCTTGGCCTTCCGGATCGAGCTTGCCGGCTGGATTAGGCTTTTACACTGCAGGCCGTATGTGCGACGACAACGACGACTACGTTCGACGCCAGCTTTTGACACTTCTTGCAAGGTGGTGGCGCTGCATCGCCTGAGGAGAGAGGACGACTCATTGGACGGCCAGACAAGTGGGTTTGTTTACATCGCGCGAGGCTTGCACGGCTTTCCACGTTGGGCCTGGAACACACCGCCCCGCGCGCCCAACGACGATGGAGGAACAATCCCTTGACAGGACCACCCTCGCCACCATCTCGCTACTAGAGGCCCGTCTCCTGCGTATCGAGCAGATTCTGCACGGCTCAAAGTCCGGCCCAGTCCCAAAGCCGGCCGGCGACTCAGCCGTCGAGTCACTCGCCAACCTCGAGCGCCGCTTCGCGACCCTTATATCGCGCTTCCGCGTCTACGCCGACATCCTCAAGCTCTGTACGTTGCCGCCTATCAAGGCGCTAGCTCCCATGCCCTGTTGACTCGTGTGGCTTCTGACCGTATTCCAGACCGCACACACCCTTCCTTCTTCCAGTCCCCAACACCCGACGACCCAGCCCCTTCCCAGCTCGACACCGCTGCCCTCCGCGCCACCGTGCTCTCCTTCGCATCCTCGTTCCCCAGCACCGTCTCCGCCCTCACAGCTGTCACATCCGACACGCCTGTCCCAGACCCCAAGCTCAGCGCCGACCTGGTCGCCCTGCTGCCGCGCATGAAGGGCGTCGAGGCAACACAGCTGGCCCAGGAGGCGGAGATCGGAGAGCTGCGGGACCGCAGCGAGAGAGTTGTCAGGAAGTGGTATGAGGAGAGGGTAGTAGGGTACGGCAGCTTCATTGCCGACGCGGAGGGCCGGGTCGAGAGCGTGGAACGTCAGGTGAGGAGGGCGGAGGCCCTGAGGGACAAGGAGGCCGAGGCTGTTTGAGCTCTCTCGGATGGAGAAGAATCCACTACAATTCTGCACAGCACACTATGGTCCAAAGGGACGCACCATGATGCTCCCAGCCATTGCGACTTGGCGTGGCGTCACGATTCTCATCGCCAAGCCTTGTTGGTTGTGACGCGGACAGTCACCTGCACTGTTGTCGTCGGGGCAGGAATACAATCCAAAGGTCGGTCAAGATGTCTCCAAGATGTTACTCTTGTGTCTTCGGCCCAGTGCTAAGGGGTCAAGAATGGACGACCGGAGAGGGCAGGCTGGTTACAATATCCATGGTTTGGGTCGAGGTTCAGAAGTATGGCCGTGTTCATATTGTTATGGCACGCCATGAGACATGAAGGCTGCTGCAGGAAAGCCGATGGTGCGTGGGGGCAACCAACCCATCACGCCGGCCGGGCGAGGCCGAATGTTTACACGCAAGCAGCCGGCTCGTAACTGCCAACCATAGTACGTACCCTGCAGCAACGACGGTTCCAACTCAGCCTCAATCTGGGAACAATGCACAGTTGTCTTTGCACTGTGCAACAACTACAGAGGCATCGCATAGGGCTCGACTTGACAGACGTGCAGCTGTGCAGAATCACACCCGGGAAGTGGCAGCTCCGCGTTTCAGGGCCTGTGATATCACTCAATGCGAACAGCACCCTCTCCCCGGTGGTTGCCAGCCGGGCAGTATCTTGGGCACGTCGTCATCGCAACATCAGACGATTATTTCCCCGCTTGACCGTTCGTCGTCAATGTCATCGACAAGCCTCGGCAGTCCCCTCGCGCAGGTGGGCACGTGTGGGCCAAGGCAGGCGTTCCACCAGAAAATCACGGGGGCGGCTGGAAGTGTTGCTATCGTGGCTACGGAGCGTTCGGATGCACACCGCGAACAGACGTGCTTTGCGGCAAGCCACTTGTTTTACTGCGATGTAGACGGCGCAAGATCGTCTTGAGCCGGCTGATCGGGAGGGCCAGCTAGTCGGGATAGATTGGACGATGGCCGCGGGTCGAAGCACATGGACGTGCTAGGTCCCCAATCGATATGGGCCAAGAGCGGCATGTCAAAGTGCTGGGCTGTAAACAGTCGAACGGCGTAAATTGTAATATTATTATTAGGAGCAGACCAAGTTCATGCGTGCAGTAGTGGGCGGTCTTTACCAAGAACGGGCAAATGTCACGATTTGCCGGTTATTTCAATAGAGATGGAGCTAACGACATCGGATTCTGGGGACCTAAATGCCTCCCGAAACAGACATGTCGTCAAATGAAGTACGGTGCCACCAAGCCAGCGAATATGAAGATGACACGCCACCAGCGAACGGCCGAGGCCATCAATAAGGTTGCCGGTATTATGAGGCCACTACTGGTAGCCAAAGGTGTCCCTCTCAAGGGCCCCGTACCCACGACGCTGGCGCGCTACGGGCCCTGATCGACGCCGGCGACCCGCTTGTTGGCGGAGCAGATGCAGCGTGTGGGCAGCCCTAAATTCAGGAACCCAGAGTGGGTGGCCCGGTCGAGCTCAATCTGCGCGCGCGGATACAGTGCGCGCTTACTTCTGGACAGATGTAGCACCATAGAGGTCGAGGACGCCTAACCTGATCTCAGAGGTCGTACAAGGTGGTTCGTGTGCACATGTCTCAGTACCGTTGGGTCCGATTGCCCCAGGTTTTGCCACCTAGGCGCTACATTCGCGTGGTCGGTAGGTATCTGCGTGACAAGAGTTACTTGGTAGATGGGAGATCCGGGACCTCGGAGATCATGAACCGCCAAGTTGGGGCTTGCTGGGTTTCAGGCGCCGATCCCTTTTGATGTTCGCAGCTCGTGAGCAAGACTTCTTCCTCTTACGGCGGCATCGACGCGATGGACGCACAGCTGCCAGAATTTTAGAGTTGGCGGCCATGACGATCAAACGGGCGAGAGCGCTGCGGTGGGGGACGTTTCGTGGATAAGAGTGATTCCAGGACCCATCAGGACCAACGCGTCAAAATTCACTGGGCAGCAGAGTCGAGTTGGACGGATTGGAGTGGGACGCCAAATGCGCTAGAGAAGCGCTGAGGCCGCAATAACCGCTTTCGCTGGTCTGTGGGCTCCTCCACCACGGGACACCTAAAGCACACTGCCCTGACAGGTTCGTCTGTAGTTTAGACCGGCTGGCCGGTGATTGTGTCACTGTGTCTGACTTCTCCTAGCCCGGACTTTTTCCAAGGTGATTCGCACCGCATGCGATGGACGCTGAATACGGGTTTGGTGTGTGATCGACCGGCAAGCTGCGATAACGGTAAGTTTCAGGCTTGGCTCTGAACTGGATCAATTAGCTGGCTCGTGTGTCCGCTCTGTCCCCGCCTCGGACCCCTGCGACGCTTTTGGTGATGAGAGCCCAGAGCCGCGCATCCGGAGTCGGTTGAATACGTGAGAATGCAGCTCCGTCCTGCGTTTCCTGTCGGTCGGTTGGCGAACACAGGTCCTCCTGTCACACCGCCGCAGACCGTTCCGTTGGCAGGGTGCGGCGAGGTGATCGTCGAGGTCGAGTTTGGTCATCCGATACCCTTATGCACCGTAACGGAGCACGTATGCAGGAGCATGCAGCACTGGCTCCCGACTTCTAGCCGGACACCCAAATGGAAAAGCCAACGGTCTGGGGCGTTGTAACCCCCGAAGAGCTCAGCGCTCGGTTGGCCAGAATATTCTTCAAAGTTGAGAGCCTTGACACAGGGCAGGGCAGGGCAGGGCACAGTAGCTTGCCCTGCTTGCAGAGGCCGTCTGAAACTCGACGACAGTTGCTTCAACCCCTGCATGGTCGCAGCCGAACCACGAGGAACGACAAGGGATTGGGCTTTAAAATTGCAGCAGTCAAATGGATTTGACAAGTTGCGCGCCAGGTGTCACCGGCGAGAGCCCACACTGTCGGAGAATTATGTAGAGATCTTGCTGGGAAGCCCAGGACTAGCTGTCCACGGCCTTGCTAGCCTTGCTAGCACCTCTAACCCGCGACGATCTGGAGTCGTTACCAGCCTATCACCACGTCTAGACTCTGATCAATTGTCCTCTTCCGGAAACGACTTGATCCTGGTCTGTTCTCAAACGCCCTTCCGAGGCCGTTCACTTCTGAGACTTGACTCGACCTTGCTTCTTCGGCAGCAACCTACCGAGCCTCGTGGACTCTGCCTGACAAGTTAGTCTTTCTCGTTGGATGCTCGCTTGAGGTGTCTGTGGGACAGAATGTGACTGCATGTGGACGATGCATCGACATTCCAAGGGTGCTATGGGGTCTAAAATTGAGCCTGCTTTTAGGTCCCATTAGATCCATTCAGGACGGGCGGACGACTCGAACGGTGGCGTGAGCCCGGGTGGTAACAATAGGCAGCTGAAAGGTAGGAACAGGGTAGGATAGAATCCAGATGGGGAGGTGACAGCCGCACACCACCACGAGCGCATTCAAACAGGCGCAGTCTGAGGTGGCTATGCTACCCACAATGCATGATGGGTAGCTCGATTTTCAGCACCAGGACGAATCTGGTGCCATCAGCTGCAGCCGGGGGAGGAAGAAGGAGGGGTTGGGCCGTCGACATGTGCCGCTGTGCTCTCTCTTCTGCCGTTGCCGCTGCCGCAACTGCCTACAAATCCAGCACTCAGTAATGAGTACCTGGGCCGGTGTCCGTAGTCAGCACGACCAAATCTGGTTGAGCTAGGACCCTCCTTCGAGTCCTTCCCCTGCAAAACGTCTGGATCTCCCTGCCAGGAACCTTTGAGGCGATGCCAGGAAGACGCACACGCGCACACACGCACACAACAAGCACAGTGCCTGCAGTGCCTGCAGTGGGGCCACCCCATTGACTCTCTTTCTCTGCCTACCCCTGCAACGAGGTCAAGCCGCTCCTTCTCGCCTGCCTTTCCCTGTCGCACTCTCTGCAATCCAATCCAATCTCACGCCCACCACCATTTCCCCTTCTTTGCTTGGCTAGACCACAGCATCCTCCTCTCCCTTTCCCCTTCCCCGACTTCATCTATCCGCCCAGGCCCTGCACAAGGCAACCTGACCTGCTGTGCTTTTACACATACACACGCACATAGACTGACTACCCGGTCTTTCAATTCCCTCCTCTCTTTTATCCCTTGCCCTGACTCACGATCCAATTCGATTCTTCTCTTCGACTCCTCGTCTCCTCCTCGCACCCAGGACCCTCGCCTATCCGACTCCTGTCGATCAATCGATCCCATCTTACGACATCTTCCCCGACTCTCGTCTGCGTGCGTCCATCCACCGGTTACGAGGTATCTGCGCTGTCCGGCACTGCGAGAGACTTGGCCGACTTACATCCGATTGCCGAAACGAGGATACATCAGGAATCAATTCCATCATCCGACACAACTCGAAAGAGGTGGCATTTACGTTCGGGCGGGAGACGCTGAGACGCTCCGCTTTCTGGACTACGCGATTCACTCGTGGACGGCGATATCTGTTTCGGGACTTGCCGCCCATTCCAACCTGACAAAGGAAATCACATCGCACGGCTCATCAGGAACCTCCTAATACGTCTTCTTCTCCGACACGGCCTCCGGCACAATCTGTCGCTTTCCTTCTACGGTGTCATCGCCCTCACAGCAACGAGATTGCCTCATCCCGATCTGGTCAAATCTCGTCGCGGTTTCCACCAACAGCCCGCGGCTCTACTCGCCGCATTTGCCAACACGAGCCGTGTTTGGGACCTGCCAACACCAATACCCAGACCACACGGACCGTGCATCGCCATCAATTAATTGAACCCTGCGCCAATGTTTCTTTGAGGCAACAATCGAGCCGTTGCAAATATCTGCAAGCCGAACTATCTGTCCCAAGGTAGTTTGTTGCACCGTCGACCTACCTAGCCATCCGAGCAATCGTTCCACATGCCGAATTACGGCTCACTCCATTCACCATCGCTGCGCAAAATGGAATACAACAGACAAAATAGACGACGAGGCATCGACGTCGGCAACATCATTGGCGATCCATTCGCTCTTGCTACCATCTCCATCTCAGCGGTAAGCACCCAACGGGTCCCCGTTCGGCCCCCCTCACAGCCCAGCCCAGCCCAGCCCAGCCCGTCCCGCTTGAGCATCCTGCAAGCCATCCTTCGCCCCCAACGGTCAATTTTAGATGGACCGTTTTGCTGACAGTTACTTAGCTCGCATGGGTCATTGCTTTCATCGCATCTATCATCGCCCAAATCCAGACCAGAGATAGCTTCCCCACCTACACGTGGTGGACCGTCGTCTACTACTTTTTCACAGTAGGCGGGGTCTTCGTTGTGGTCGCATCCGACACCACCCAGACCTACCATGTCGCCGTGGTCGGCTACCTAGCATGCGGGCTGGTCCTTACCACGTCCTCTGTGAACAGTCTCGTCTATTCAGCCAATGGAGCCAAAGAAGCTGCCTCTGCGGGATTCATCCTGCTGTCCATGGTGACCGTACGTCGCTTACACTTCCTCTCTGCTCCAGGAATCGTGCTGACCAAGCCACGACAGATTGTGTGGATCTTCTATTTCGGCTCCGCACCTTCGGCTGTTCCGCGGGCCTACCTAGATTCCTTTGCGTTGACCAAGGAGTCTCACATGATGAACCGACAGACAATGAACGGGTATGGCGGTGGCCGCCCCGAGACGTCGACTTCTGTGCAGCCGCCGCAGATGTACACCTCTGCCCAGCTCAACGGCTTCGAGAACCCTTCGCCTGTCGCCGGCATCTCCACCGTGCCCGGCGCTCGTAATAGCGCTGCAGCGAATGGTTTCGGTAACTCGCAAATGAAGGCGCCCGGTGCTACGAACAATGAGGGGGAGATAGTCCCTCCAACCGAGTACCCGTACCGAGCCAAGGCCATCTACAGCTACGAGGCGAACCCAGACGATGCCAACGAGATTTCTTTCTCCAAGCACGAGATCCTGGAAGTTAGCGACGTCAGCGGTCGGTGGTGGCAAGCACGAAAGGATAATGGTGACACCGGTATTGCACCCAGCAATTACCTGATCCTGCTTTAGACACCAGAGCAACCACGGAAGAGCAATTCAAGCATAGCTTGTGGGGATGTGAGAGGCACGACTAAAGCCACCGAGGAAATGGCCGCCTCCGAAGATTGGAGGCCGGGCCACCTGCTGGTCGCCTCATTATGACTTGTATTATCAACTTAAGCGTATACCCAAGAGACTGGCGGATTCGTGGGTCGCCTGTGCGGAGGGGTGGACAGTGCATGCTTCTCACGGACCATGCGCCGTCGAGACTTGCTGAGGGGCGATGATTGATGGAGACGAGATGCAACAGAAGCACCGTCCAGGGGCCGTGCAGAAGGCACGACAAACCTTGATCATCCCGCCGCATTGTGTGGGCGGAAATTTGAGAAACCATCAGGCAGACCTCGTTTCCGGGCCGGGCGAGGACATTATGAATTTGTTTTACCCTTCTTGTTTATCTCATCCTCTTACAGTCTCTCGTTGGGCAACACCACGAAATGCGACCACCGCACAGATTCTCTTTCTACCAAACCTTTTTTCTTTATATCGCATTTTGTGTACACTGTGTTGTATGTGGATGCGCCCATCCATTTATCCCAACTACTATTTTCTTTTCTATTGAACTCTTCTGGGTTTTCTTCCTATACCATTCTCCGAACGCTGTACACACCCCCTCATAAAGACATGGGTTTATGATTTTCATGGCTATGGAGCAGCTTGCATTTGCAAAACAGGACGGGGTTGTTGAATACGCTCGGGATTACAGGCTGAAGATGTTAAAATCGAGGCGCAACCAGCCGGAGCTAGTGGCAATGAGAGAATACTGAACGAAAGAGGGTGCGTCTAACTCGATTGTGAACATGTGTCTCTGTGATTTGCACCTTGGCTGCCCTTTGACTCCCCGAATGTATGGGCGGCATGTAATGATGGGGTTGTCCCTCTCCCTAACGAAGTGCCTAGATCCCTCGCGATCCGATTTGCGTTTGCGGACGTTTCCGCAAACAATATCGCATCCAGTGTTGAGAACTTAATGCCTGCCTGAGAAACACGATCCGTTCCGATCTGCTCCCCCCGACATGTACCCACGACTTGCCGTCGGGTGCCTTCTAGACAATCCGGAACGTGGTCGTCGGACAACATGAACCGGCCACGTCCAACCTTGGACTCCAGGTTTGCGAGGTGCCTAGTTCCCTGGCGTGTGCCCGCACTGCTTATAGATAGATATCCTGTACAGGTTTTCTCGCGTATGCCACGAGGACATGCGTCGCAGTCTCCTCAGTAATCGTACGCAGTGAATGAACAGGGCGTTCCGTCTCGCCAACCCTCTTTTCAGAATCGTACCAGCTTCTGACGGCAACGGAGGCCATGGTATGACTTTTCCTGCAGCCGTGGGCACACCAGTCTTGTCGTAGACCTCCAGACAGCGCAGGATAGAGAAGAATCCCAAGCACCACCTTTGTACCTCGTCGCAAAGATCAGACCCCAGCGCGGCCCTCCCATCACGCCTCCTGCAGCCGCACCCTGAGCTCCCTCTCCTTCTGCGCGACCTCGAGCTCCAGCCTCTCGACGCTGTACTTGAGCGCCTCCTTGCGCTGCCGGACGGCGCGCGCCCGGAGCCCGGCCCCGCCGTCCAGGGTCTTCCGCCCGCCGGCGGCTGCCCTGCCCTTCGAAGTTGCTCTCGGCTTCGATGATGACGGCAGCGGGGGCGACGGGGCGCCCCTGCCGAGCCGCCCCGCGTTGAGGTCGCTGCGGGCCTTGAGCGTCTCGATGCGGCGCGCCTGCCGGTCGATCTGCCTGTCGGCGCGGTCGAGAAGGTGTGTCACGAAGGGGCCGATCTCGTCGCGCAGGGACGACTCGGCGGCGGCGAGGGTCGGCTGGGGGATCAGTTCGTAGTGCTGTTTGCACGGGTGTCAGTCGGTTCGCTGAGGTTGTCTCGAGGTTCCAGGGAAGGGGGCGGGGTGGGGGGTGACGTGGGAATTTCGACGTACGCGAACGGTCTTGAGCACCGATCCGAGCCTGGGAAAGTCCGAGACGCCGTTCCCCAGCGTCTCAACTGAGGACTCGAGGAGGTTGAGGGATGTGCGGAGGGAGGCCACGCAGTCGCCGTAATTTGACGGCGCGGGGGAGTGGGACATGATTTCTCTCGCGTCTATGTGTCGGATATTATGCTGTGGTTCCGATTGGGAATGTTGATCGCAGCTGTGAAACCATATACTGAAGCTTCGCTGGGGTTCTCTGTGTCATTTGCAGTCGGTTGCAGGCGCGTTGTGCTGGTTGACTGCTAGTGTCCCGCCAAAGTAAACAGTCGGAAGGTGGGATGAGGTCAGGTTGTTGGCAGGGATCTTCGGCGCCAACGCAGGGCGGGTCTGGGGAAGCTCAGGGGTCTGCCGCCCTTGGCTTGATAGACCCGCCACGGGCCAGAACATTGGGCATCGATTGTATGACCTACAAGCTTCAAGGCAACAGGTGATCTCCACAGATTGTGACCGTGAAGCACTTGCAATCTATCCTTTGCTATAGTTTCAGGACAATTTGAAGTCTAATGGGTGTATTCTCTCCGTCGATTTGCTGATCTCTCACGCGCAGCAGACGCATGTGGTCCATTAAGATGCCACTTTCGTCCTCAAAGTTCCCTTCTCGTCCCCAAAATCCGTCAATGGCTTCTGATGTGTAAAGAACCGCAAGTAAGGCATTGGCTTTGGGCCCTCAAAACGTCGGCTATTTCGGACGAGGTCGAGATATTGTCCGATCCCAACCACCTTACCGTCCGCAAAGCACGATCTCAACCTCTACCCTCAGCCTGAGTGTCTCCAAGATTTGAACACATTCAAATCCCCCGCTTGCAACTAGCCGAACCAAAAGGAGACCGTCTTATCCAACCTTGCCAATACTCCCAAACGGAAAACCAGACGACGTGATCAAACAACATCACGCAAGCAAAGCAACTTGAAAGACAGTCTCAAGGTAGCCTTTGGCAACCCAGAGGAGAAGTGGATTCGCATCAACTTGTTCAGCTCAAACTACGAGAATCAGCCTGTCGCAGAGCACCACACGTGGCAGTATAGTGACAAAAACCGTAAGACAACTGCTAAAGTAGATGTTCTTGGACCGCGACGTCTTTCATAGGGTCATATTAATATCTTGTAAGGTTTGTTATATTTCAAAGGAGCTTAGGTTTACCTAACGGTTGGATGATGAAACTATTGAGTTGATGCCCCCCCTCCTGCATCCACCAGGTACCCCGTCTACCTGCTACGGCTGTGCACGAACCCCTCCTCGCGATCCTCTATCCTCTATCTGCATAGTAGTTAATTATGAAGAGGAACGTTGAGCCATCTGCCATGGACTTTCCCTCGGGGTTTCTGCCAACCATCGAGCCATTGGTATGGAGGGCTTGGAACATGTGGTCTTCTGGCCCAATTTTCCATGGCAAGATGGTCGAGTCTGATGCTTGGCTCTGGTACCAGAGCTTGAGAGCTGTGTCATGGTTTAGCCATACGGCAATAACTCAGTAAAAGACAGCAAAACGAGCAACTATACCTTGGAAAATTGGGAATTGTCACTGCACCAGCCTCCTGTGTGGGCTATGAGGAGCTCAGTCTCTGGTGGAAGAAGTGTTGCAAGAAGCCATTTTGTTAAGCGAGAACCTGCAAGCAGAGTAGTTCAGGAAGACATGTGTTGAATGAAGTCTATAGGAGATTGATATGCTGCCCTCCAAAATCTGTAGTCTTGGCCACGAGGTTGAAGCGATTATCTCTCAATGTCGAGTGGAATCATTGAGGAATTCTGCGCCATGGCTTGATCCATAGGTATTCAACGCTTTCTTTATACTCTTTAGATCCAAATCTCTGCTAATATATATCTACAACATAATACCCAGGCCAGGCAGTACTAGCAGATGACTGAGGTCCTAAAAAGGAAATTTGGTAATTGCCACGATTCAGAAAAGATACAATTATCCAGGTACGTTGCCTCTCTGTCAACTCAATACCAGTTCCAAAGCTAATTCTGGTGGAACAAAGTTGATCGCATCCACTCACAGCAGCCGTACCGTGGACAGAAATTACCAATTGCCATATTGGGATTCCAAGGGTCTTGTCCTGGTGATGAAGCGATGTTTCACCCAGGCTGCAGCAGGATCTAAAGCATGCAGGCTTGCATCATGCAGCCTCGCCCTCCCATAATACAGCTGCATGGGTCTCAGAATTACAATCACTGTATGGGGCTTAGCGTCCCCTTTTCTACACATTCATCTCCAATGGCGTGTCACTTAGCCACACATCTCGCCCAGCCCTGGCCCACCAATGGAGGCTGAGTTACTGCAGTATCTGATGAGCTATTCCCAGATAGGGACTTGTATTTTCAAAGTGCAAAAACGCTGACATATATGGATGCATTGCCTGGCATAAGGCTCCGGCCAACCTTTCAAATTCGATGGACGCCTACTCCTGGTGAAGCTTGGTCTTCCTTCCTCAGGGCTTGTGTGCTTGCGAAAAGCAGATCATAGACTCCTGATACCATTTCCCTCCATTACCTGCTGAAAATGGCCGCGGAGTACTCCGATGGCAAGCACATGCAGTACCGCTGGGTGACCGATGCACCTAGTCGTTCGCAACGCATCCCGAAGGCTTATTGGGACACCCACAAGGCAGAACTTGGCGATCTGTACTATGCTATGTCACTTGATGATCTCATGACTTTCATGAAAGAGAAACACGGCTTTGCACCTACGTGAGTATATTGTATCTATCCACATGAATATTGGTTTAATGGACTGCAAGTACGTAAGTTAACAAATTCTTAGTCGCCGTCAATACACATACCAGTTCGAAAAATGGAGCTTCGCCAAATATCGGAAGGAGACAAACCATCCGGCAGGGCCTGCGACACAGCTTCCAGACGCTGCATTGGAACCGTTTTGCAGCGTTGTACACGAGTCTCCGGCCATTTTTGAGACTTGTGAACATGGCAAACGGCACCGAAGTATGCTAAGTTTCCAGAGCTCCGCAAGTGGCTCGTCAAGTCTCTCGCGACCCCCAGCGAAAAGAGGCCGACATGATCCTCACTTTAGGTCAACCATCGGGACGTCTTCACATGCCGAGTCGACTCAAGACACTGAGGCGGACGAGACCTGCTCTTCGTCTTGTCATGCCTCCAAGTACATGGGAAACCACTCAGTACAATGCAATCTAATGAAACTTTCCAACTCGGCGCTACCGCTTCGACCCGATCGAGGGGACTTGAACGGGCGTTCAAGTTTCTTTTGTGAGCCAGACCTAGAGGCGCCTTCGACTTCGCTCGAGAATTTCAAGGAAGAAAATCAAAGACCAGACTTTCCGTCACGATGGGATTCAGTTGAAGAGCTATGCAAGTCATTCCGGGCAATCACTTCCCAGCGGCCAGTAAGCACATATACGGCCAAAGACATGGATCATATTCAACTTGCAGCTGAGTACCTTGAGGCAATGGGTTATGAGGAGGATGCTTTTTCTCTTTACGCGCTTCTACTGAAGAAGCTTCACGAAGATGGCCCTCAGGACAAAGCGACATTCCTCAACGCAATTATCAACTACTCTCGATGCGTGTCTACGCCGGGACATTGCGAAATCATTCAGCATCATCTCAGAGATCAAGCACAGCAGCTCTCGGAGGAAGTCAGCTCATGTCTGCTCTACCAGCTCTTGATTGAGATGGCGCTCGCCGAGACATACAGCAGAAAGTTTGACACGTCAGCCGTCAAAAGACATCTTCGGAAAGCCCGTCAACTCATCCCACGTGACAACGGCTTCCACCAAGTCACCAAGCAGCTGCCTCAGAAAAATCGAAGTCTGGATCTGGTACTTTATCATAGTCTTCGGCGCTTATGTGACCCGTACGCAGAGAACCTGTTGCCAAGAGAGGATCCAAAAGAGTTCACTTCCTGGGAATTCGATGTACCGGCTCTGGAGCGAACAACACTACATCGAGTTCCTGGGCCTTTCGAACTAAAATATCCGGAAATGGGTAATCCCTGCATACGACAGTGTTTGCAGTGGTGCTACCAGAAACTCCAACAGCTGAGATATGTCTCCGGGCCGTGGATGGAAGTCGTGTCGTCAGAGAAGAAAGCGGACAAAGAACGAATTGCAACGGTGCACAGGATGTTTTTATTCACGTGTCTCTGGAACATCTGGATAAATGAACCGGGAGCCTCCAGTCTCACCAGTGCAGCTGACACCTGGATGTGGCAAACCCACTCTCGCCTCGGTGTCAATGCTACTGAACTGCTTATGATAACCTGTGCACAGATTGTTCATGAGTCGGGCTCTTCAAAGGGCTCAAAATGGTTTCCCACTGAGCTAGAGCTGATTTGGCGCTTGCGACGAGGTGCAGAGAGGCTGTTGGGACTACGCGACGACGCGTTGGCCCGGTGGTTCTTGAATGCGTTCGTCCAGTACAGAACACTCGAAGAAGAGGAATCGCAGTGGCTGAAGGATCTACGTCAAAGATCGCGCGCAGGAACAATGGGACAGCTTGAGCGTGCCTTACACACCACGTTCTCGCAAACGCGAGAGCTCACAACCCACCTCACGCGATCAACGCGGAGGCTTAGCATGCAGGTGGCCGAGACAGCCAGACATATGACGATGACATCAAGTCTTCGATCATCTGACTTGAGTCTGCTCAACTTTCGGAAGGTGAAAGAGTCCATGGACGAGAGGGTGAGGAAGTTGAAGGATCAGCCATCAATGTCATCTGTGTCTTTTGGACGCAGCTCCCAGAGGTCGAGGTTCTCATTTTGGACAATGAGCCAGTTGAGCCAGAATCTGGAGAGGACCAGCCTCAGTTTGCAACCGGCCGGACCAGTCTCTTAATGTTGAGGCTCGGATTTGATTGGACTCATTTGACAGATTGTTTTGGTAGGCGGTTGGTCTCTATGTGTGAAGAAACCTTTGAGGCACATAATTTGATGTCGATAAGTTCTTTTGACGGTCATAGGGGCAATATTGCAATACAGCTCCCCAACACGGGCAGACCGGCCGGGCAAGCGCAGCAGGCCTAATTACCCAGGCACTGCAGTTGTCTAGTGAACCCCGCAACCCTAGCTCATTCCGCAGGCTGCAATGTTGACAGGAACCCAAGCACCCCTCTGCAGTTCTTCTCTGAAGAAATATCATCACGAGTGCTACTGAAGTCCGCCAAGATCTAAGAATCTTCACCATGCCGCGCAGTGCCCTCTTCGTCATTGACATCCAACGCGAGCTCGCGCACGACCCCAAGACGCAGATCCCCCACGCCGAACGGATCCGCTCCGCCGGCGAGAAGATCCTCTCAGCCGCCCGAGACATCGTCGACCAGTATCGCACAGCTCACAAACAGTCGCCCTCGGTCATCGTCTTTGTCCAGCATGAGGAGAAGCCAGATGAAGGCACCCTCGTGAGAGACACCGAGCCATGGAGGCTGGTGTTTGAGCCACGGGATGGCGTTCAGGAGGAGCGCCTTGTTGCAAAGACCACCCGTCAGTATTTCACTGGAGCATTGAAAACTCACATGCCCGGGGAGTGAACATCGACTGATCCTCACCAGAGAACACCTTCGAGTCGAACCCTGACCTGGCCGATAAACTGAAGGCCGAGGGCATCACGGAGATGGTCACGTTCGGCATACAGAGTGAATGCTGTGTTGTCTCGACGTCCAAGGGGGCCCTGGAGGCTGGTTTCAAGGTGACCATTTTGCAGGGAGCACATTCAACCTACGATACGGACTCCAAGTCTGCGGTGGAGATCGAGAGAGATATCGAGCAACAGTTGAGGGATAAGGGCGCCGATGTTGTTCCGTGGGAGGATGCAGTAGCTTCCTGGGAGCAGCGACGTATGATCTCGAGCTATTCGATCTTTTCGGAGTTGTAAGCTGGCTGATGTTGAACGCTACTCCATGGAAATGCAACAATGTGATGTACTGGATGCCTCGGAATCGTTCGGAATGACAACTGAGAATTCCGCAATTTGCTGACAGTTCTAATTTTATAATATTCAGATGATCGAGAGTAGCTGGATCGTGGTTACTTCTAGCTAGCCTGACTTGAATGGCTTACAACTGGCAGTTCTTGACTGTAAACAAACTATGGTTCAAGCAAAGTTCCCCTGCCACTTCGTATTTTCAAACATAGAAGTCATCGCCATAAAGCACACAACATTTTGGTTAATAAGGCGTCGTACAGCAGAAATCCCTGGCCATGGTCTGAGCAAAATGAAGGGGGACAACTTAAATAGATTCATCATGGCCCATTCATCGTGACTTTAATGCAAGCCCGAAGGGGACAACTACGACGTAAAAGAAGAGATCATGGAGCAAATCTTTCATACCACTAAGGTCTGAAATCATGTCCCACTTCTGCAAATTAAGTGAAACGCTGTGATAATGTGTCAGGTTCAATCTGACCATGTGGCGCAGAGGACCGCATGGAGCCTGTAATGGGTACCTCAATTTGTTTTCGGCTTTATTCAGGGCAATTGTAAGTCTCACCCTTCTATATAAAGTTGACTGAGTATGCTGATAACATGCATACTACTCCTCACTTAGAGCGTCCTAATATCAGCTCTATCTTAACAGTGGTTGTGGCAGCACGGCACTTATATACTGCTGGGTTATTTCCAATAGCAATTAAAAATTACTAGTCTTATAGCAAAGTAGTTTATTATATTAACGGTTAATAAATTATCTTAATAATATAAGTTAAAGGTTATAAGGTAAAAGTTAATAAAATATAAGTAGTTTTTTTCTTAATTTATATATATATACTTTTTAAGCAACATATATTTAATCCCTTTATATAATAATAAACGCTTAAATACCCAGCATTAAAAAAAATAATGTTGAAAATAATAATATAACTTATAATTAAGAAAATAATATTAACTTTATAATAACTATATAAATAAAGCTAGCAAGAACTATTTTTAGCAGCGCCATAGATTAACAAAACATAAGAAGAGTATAATATATAAAAAGGATCTGTTTAAATCTTTTGTGTAAATTTTAGAAGTAAGAAAACAAAAGAGTGGACGACCACGGGATCGAACCGTGTACCTCGCGCATGATAAACTCTCTTCCAGAAGAGAAGATTAATGCTAAGCGCGCGCTCTACCATTTGAGCTAGACGCCCCTGATGGATTTTGAGTTTCATCACATGACCCAACAACTCGGGCAGAAAAGTTTCTGGGGAAGCCGCAATTGCACTGCATGAGATAGTAATTTCCCTCTCATAACCAAGTGGCTCCTTCCTTTTAGAATTCCATTGATATAGTGTTCTTTTCTTTCTTGTTAACACCTGCTTATTACATTTTATTAAAAAGGATACTTTTTATAAAACTCTTTAACTTTTTCCTTAATATTTAAATATAAATAATGTTTAAAGATATAATTATAAGAGTAAATATAAAGATAAGGCAGCTATCCTTAATATATTAATTTAAAGCAAGATGGCGCTACCTTATATGTAAGGAAGAGGTTTGGTGGAAATTTTAAGTAAGGGGTTTTATGCCTGAGGGGTATAGGGCCCAGAGCCTTAGTGAATGCCAGCAGTTAATGGGGCCCAGTCACACACATAGTCACAAATATACTTTATCAATTTTGTTCAAGTATTCCTAGCGAGTCTGGGGATAACACAGTTGTTGAAGATATGAACACAATCATGTATACCAGCCGTGGGCTATGATTAAAACATGAATGCTGTTAGTTGACATGTGGCGTTGGGAGTGAGATATCATCAGTAACAGGAATCAGTTCCTCTGCAGGGACAGCAGATATTACCTTCTGAGCGGTGCAATGTGCATAGACTAGGAAGCTGTGAGAACAGTGTACTTGACATAGGGTGCAAATAATTACCTCGGTATTCAATTACCTGTGATAGCGTTGTGGTGCATGCGATGGGACCCTAAATATTCATGAAGGCAGCCTGTAAGGACGAGGGACCAATGCAGAGCTCGTTGCCCCCAACATCTCGATGATGGTAGATAAATTCCAGATGCCGTTTCCGAGGACCCGCAGGTCTTGTGCAGAAGTCAATGCATTACGACCTGCTAGAGTTGAGAACTCCCTGATCCAAACCTCCACATGCAAAATCGTGTTCTCGGAGTCATCTCCAGTTGTGCTATTCCACAAAGCATCCCAGGTATCTTCTGACAAGAAGCTGAACCAATGCAATATGCCCCATTCAATGTGAACCACTTTGCAGACGAAACGCCAGGACATGAGCGAGAGTACCAAGAGCCTTCCACCACGCCTAGAGCCGGGACGTTCCCTCACCGAAGGCTGATGCCGACTTCCAAGCAGTTCACCATCCTCGTCCTGGACTCCCCTTCCGCCGCAAAACCGCCCTCGTCGTCCGCACAATCCTCGTCGACGACAACATCATCGACCGTCTCGAGGCTCATGGTCCGCACACTGACCACGTACTCATTCTGCTTGCCGAACCATGCCGCGACGTGCAGCGCCTTGGCCATGGCCCGACCGGTGCCGCGTACCAAAACCTCATCTTCGACCCGGTCGGAGGAGGGGGCCGGCGAGTTGAGGGCCGCCATCCGCGCGGCGAGGGGAAGCCCCTTGGTCGACCGGGAGGAGGGCGCCCTGTCGAGGGCGTGCCGGATTTTGCTCACGATGCCCATGAAGGGCGACTTGGTGGCGATGTATATGATGGGCTGCTTGGGGCTGAGAGGTGCTCCTCCCCGGTTGAAGACCCGGCCGCGGTTCATAGGGCGCTTGTGAATCTTTGAGTCTGGGAGAGGCGTCAGTCACAACGCTCCACTCTGCCCAGGTTATGCGGCCGCGCAAGGTCTGCAGAGGATGGTTGTCACATACTCTTGGGGAGGGAAGAAAGCTTCGCTGGCGCATTGGGCAGCTTGCTGGATGACACTTTATCCATTGCGGAGGATCAAGCTGTTGAATATGTGTATTTGGCAACCCGTAAAGGATGAGAGAGGCAGAGACAGAAACGCCTCATACGCGCGAAGTCTCAGTGTGGAGTGTAAGATGATGGCTGAAAACTTCTGGTGACGTTGCGCCGCCCCTTCATGGCTGATGCATAGCACTGTCGGATCGTAAACGTTGCTTGCTTGGGTTTCGATGTCTTTCCAAGAGTCCAAGAAAGAAAGTGAAACAAAAAGCAAACGTCTTCCAAGATCGTGTCGAGAGGAGCAAGTTCACTTCCTACCTGAGCGCCTGCCTTCAAGGAAACTGAGTGGGGCATGGCGCCAGGCGGTTGCTTTCATCGGGTCAAGTAGCGCTAAATGAGCAGGGGCCCAAACCGGTCGACGAGTGAGTTCACTGATGTACGTTGTACCAATATCTTTACGAGACAGATTCTCGCACGTTTCAGGAAATTAATGAGATCTGTTAGGGACAGATCTCATACTTGGGCCATCTTTTCTCGGGCCGTAGCTCTATGCACATTCACAAGCAAAGAAGCTGGCAGGCCCTTAGAATCCCTGCGAATTGTAGTAGAGCCGCAACGGTGCTTGGGGCCTGGCTTGGTTCACCGCCTACCGTGAACGGTGTGGCCTGCCAACAGCGACAGGGGTAGATGACATGACGACAGCAACCGCGGCAGGAACAAGCTCGAGGACCCCCGGCCGTCTGGGGCACTCAAACTATCGCAACGACAACACGTAGACTGGCCGTCTTTCTTCTTCCGCAGGCTGCCACTTTAACAACGCACCGACCACGTCCTGCAACGACTTCCCATCATGGCTGCCTGACCCCACCCGAGGCAACTGTTCAGTGTCAATATTCCGATATGTCTGTTGAAATCTGGCCATCTCTGCGTCCGGAGCAGCTTATAACAGCTGTCGAGCAGACCCAAGTAAGCTCGTGCACCACAGCCCCTTTGGTCCTCAGATCTGTTGCACTCAGCCAAGGCACAAAATAGTTAAAATGTTTGAGCCAATTGGTGACGGCTGGGTGCTTCTCCCACAGCTTCCTGGGACCAGACCGCTGACAACTTCGGCCGCCCAGAGGCGAGAGCTAGAATGGCTCCTGAACGAGCTGCATGAGACCCTTCAGAACCTCAAGAGCGGCCTCGAAGACTGCTACGCCCTGCTTGCCCCTGTCGACCCCGGTAGCACCCTCGTCGTCAGCACCCATAGGAACGAGATCGTCAAGGGCCACATCACGCGGGTCGGGACACGGATAGTCAAAGGCGTACGGATCTGGCACCCCTCTTAATGTGCTCGGCAGTCCAAAGACTTACACGTATCGTCGACTTGCAGATCCTCACATTGAAACTCCGGACTCTCCCACACCAGACCTACACCATAACTGCCGAACACCCAATACAGATCGCGCCTCTGACGACCCTCCATGCCCTTCTCAACCACTCCATCGACCTCCTCACCCTCACCCTTAGCTACACATATTCTTCCGGCTCCGCAGGCGGCGCCGAGCCACCCCCCTCACCAACCCGACCCACAGCCACGTTCATAGCCGCCCAGCTCCGCCTGCTGAGCCAGTCCCTCAACGAGGCCACCTCCCTCCTCAAGGGGCCCCAGCCCCTGACCGCGTCCGACGCGACCTGGGTGTCCAAGTCCTGCACCCCGGCCCACTTCTCCCCGCCGACGGGGCCCAACCTGAGCATACAGTGGGGCGTCCAGGAGAGCCAGCTCGTCCTGTGGCTGAGGACCCTGGAGCCCGCCGACGCCCCCGTGAACCTGGGCATGAAGTTCGCCCTGGCCATCGGCACCACCCGCCGCCTGGAGCACGACGAGGCCGAGCAGGTCTTCATGTACACGTACCCGGAGGGCGCGGCCCCGGAGCCGCAGAAACACGGCAACAATGGCGGCGGGGCAGGTGCTCCTGGACAGAGGGGTGCCAGTAAGGAGAATGACGGTGATAAGGAAGGCAGTGGCGAGGTCGAGGCGCAGGTCTTTGTGCGGGAAAAGGTGCGTGTCGAGAGTGCCGATCCGGCCTTGATGTCGCTCGGGACGAAGCTATCAGCACTGGCCAAGACGCTCGCAATGGCCAGGGGAAACCTGGCGACCGTCATGGGCGAGGAGCTCGACGAGTGAGAGTGAAGGGAGTGAGCGGTTGAAAATGTGATACCCGATGTAAATTGTTGCATGCAAATAGCCTCTGACGTGAATGAACAAACAGCGTTTCTGTGACAGAGCTGTCTCAATTTTATTGCTGAAGTAAACTTTGCCAATAGACCCCCTTTCCTGACGCCCATCTGCAGGACCCGACAATACAATACATGTAGCTTGAGCGATCCTTATGCGAACGGGTTTCCTACCATACCTGCAAATACCAATGCAATCTCGAGCAGGATACAACTGCAATACATTATATCCATCGCCCTGCCCAGCTTCGTCCATCATCATGCTTCCTGGTGGCAATTCAAGCTGCCAGAAAGCCTCTGGGATAAACATATTGCTGCCTCGAACTTAGACCGCCCAACAACGGCTGGTATAGTAGAGGCCACTATTGAACCTCAGGAAAGTGGCCGTGGTACCAATGGCAATGCAATACCACTTTATGGACGGAATGCCGCTTGATGGCTGGGCTTGTACTCGTAAACCTGATCGTGGGCAATGCCTGATCGCTCATAGTGGTTGGAGAACAGACTAGTCATAGATATGACACCCTCAGATAGATGGCAATGCATTAGGCCACCGGCGACCAGGGCATTGGGATCAGGATCCTCGACTTCATGTTCTGAATCAAGGGCACCGTCTTGTGGACCGTATCCGCCCAGCCGGGTATGCGCCAAGAATCTTCACGACGGATCTTCCGCTCTTCCAGGTTGGCAAACTGCCAGAGGTGATGCACCGTGTTAAGGTCGCCGATCTGCACGAACCAAGCCCCCACGCCCTCCATCACCTCACGCCGAGCCTTCAGGCCCCTCCGCCAGTGGGTCTCCCACTCGAGCAGGTTTCCGGGACCGAGTGTGTAGGACCGGAGCTCGAAGACACCGCCGAGCTCTCGCGGTGGCGTGGTGGGCCAGAAGCTGAACTCTTGCATTACTGAGGTCTTCTTGGATGTGATGAGTGACCTTAGCTTCTTGTCGAACTCAGGGAACTCGGGATGGGATGAGATGTTGTGGAGAGAGGTGTGGTAGCCCGTGTATCGTTGGTACTCCCAGATATGGACTATGAACCTGTTAGTTTGTGGTGCTCCCTTTGGCGTGCGACGTAAGACAATAGCGGATACGCACCGAAGGTGTCAACATCTCCCACCTCTGTCCGCCAGCTTCCAACCAGATGAACCTTATTCTCCGGCAGGGAGGCCATGCGGGGGTACCAGTTGCCCACCAGCTCAGCGTACTCGTTCACCTTGTCGGGCTTCACCTCGTGGAACACGATGCTGTGCACATACTTGCCCCGCGCGATGACCTGGCTGAAGCTGGCCTCGAGCTGGGCGTCAAGCTCGCGGCCCTCCTTTGTGCCATAGATGAGGTTGGTCAGGGGGCCTGCCTTCCGGGGTGGCTCCTTCTCGGCAATCTCTGCTGCTCGTTCTGAGGTAGAAGCAGTGCTTAGTGAACCCAAGCCCTTAGGAGCATCGCCGGTGTCTGGGGAAGAGGAAGAAAGGAACCCACTAGCATCCCGCTCCTTCTGAGCTGCCACCAACTGCTCTCTGAATGCCTTCTGTTTGCGATTGAAGGCCTCGACGCTGCCGTCCTCGGGATCGATATCTCCCATCGCAGGGGTGCGCTGCGACGCCACGGTTGACGAACCGCTGAACATACGAGCTGCTTGGCGCGGGGTAGCTGTCGCCAGGGCGGCGCGTGCAAGCCGTTGAGAAAGCATGACGAAGGCTTGCCGTAACAAAGAACAGGAATACTGGATAGCTGCAAAAACAATTGGGTTTGAGGATGAAAATAAACGTGACTGTTTCCAAGACTCGAGTCAAAGCTGAAACAAGCACTGATAGGATGGTGGACTGATGCTCTTGGGCTGTCCAAAAGGCCGAGAGACCAAGAAAGATGCAGTGGTAGGCACAGGTCAAGGAGGATCGGCTCGTGCGATGGGGATAGGAGTTGGAGGAGCAGAGGGAGGTCCAATCGTAGCAGACGCAGAGAGGCAAGTACAGAGGTGCTGGTTGGTGGTAGTCAGAGTGTCAGTAGCTGGGAAGCTGTGCGTTCATCAGTGTGCCATGCAGCAAATGCAGAGGGGAATCCCGGTCAAGTGGTCTTGGTGACGCTCAAGTCAACTTGGAGGAAGGTGGTGGTGGTGGTGGTGTTCCAATTCGGGAGCTGAGCTGTCAAAGGGTCTTGTGTCCTCAGAGCTCTCCCCGCATTTTGTGATACGTCTAAGGAGGAGGAGGCAGAGACCTGGATGGAGGACAGGCGCCTGGAGTTCAGGGAAGGGCAGCCCCCTAGGGGAGCTCCCTTCAGAAGCCGGGGTAATGATGTCAGGGCTCCGCAGGGGCTTCGGGGTAGGCCCCACCCGCCTGAGAGGCCAGACCACCAGTACGGAGGATTGCTGACATAACGCCGGCAGCAATGCAGTTTGTACTTCGAGTTGCTGCCTCAGGCCACAACCGTCCCGGCTGCGACCGGGGCATCGGAGCAAGCTGGAAAAAGACTCGCGTATCAACGACGACATCGCATCGAGTAAACCAAACCCGCCTACCCACCCAATTCGACTCCGTCTCTCCCCTAAGTCGAAGCAATCACTCATTCAAGATGTCTTGGCTCGGAGTTACCCCCCTCAAGAAGTTCCCGGCCCCTGTCCGTAAGTCAATTGCGCTACAAACCCATCGACTCGAGGCAGGGCGCATGCTAACAAAGTCACAGTCAAGCCGATGGCCCCCTTCTTTGCTGCCGGTACGTGAGCACGCCGATCTCGAACTCCGTCTCCTCCTCGAATACCACGTAGTCTCCTTCTCCGGGACGGACTGGAGTTGCACGTGGACCGAAATAAAGAGCTTGGAGCTGACTGGAGACAGGTCTTGTCATCGCTTACGGTATCAACGCCGCACAAAACGCCTCAATGAAGAGTATGTCTTCCAGCAAGACGAGGGACAACACATTTTTGGCGCGATAGCTTACATTATACACGCAGGCGACGAGTTCAAGAACGACCCCAGGAACCCCCTGGCCAAGTCCGGCGGTGCGCACTAAGGAACACGACCCAGACCAGGGACGAAGATGAGTGCATGGCAAGAAGTCTCGAGGCGATGATCGATTGCCCATTTTGAAAGGGGGCTGGATTGTATCATAGAGCATCTAGAGAGCGGAAATCGACCCCTGTCGAGGCGGCCGGATGTTGACTTGAACAACCCTTTTTGCATCCTCTGATTGAACGGCCGCAAGCACCGTGTCACGAATTGCTAGGCAAGACTTCAGAAACTGCGAGAGGCCAGACCGGACGAGACCGCATGCCGCCGTTTGTCACCAAGGTTCAATCAAGCCCGCTGTGACGTTGTGTACCACAAGATGTACTGCATGCTCTGAAATGCGAAATGGCAGTTGCGCGCGCAATCCAGAGCCGGTGGCTGCGTTTGTGTATGTGCATGGTCTACTCTAGACGCATCAAGCGTCACACTGTCTAGATTCGTCCTCTTTGGCGTGTAGGTGAAATCGGTGCCGTATGGCTCTATCCCAGGCGCTCTCCCACAGCGCAAACCCGACTCCTGCCGCCCTGATACAGCCAATGCCTCTGTTCTCTATCCATGCAATTATACATCCATCATATCAGAGACGCCCCAACCTCTCTTTGCCATCATATAGTCAGCTCTCCTCCGCACCATCCTCACAATACTGCTTCACAAACCCTACCAGCGGCATCACGAATTGCTTGTTCACGGGGACATAGTGCCCGCCCGGGTGGACCACCATGACGGGGTTCTCAGACCGTGCCTCGAGCCCGCGGCTCCGGCCCTCCTCAACGACCGTGTCCAGACTGCCGATGAACTGCAACGTCGGCGTCGTGATCTTGGGCTCGTATAGCCATGCCAGGGCCGCCGGCGGCGCGAAGAAGCCGCTGTAGACCACGGCGAAGCGGAGCGCCCTGCCGCCGTTGGCCTCGCGCAGCGCCGGCACCCAGCTCCAGTCGTACGTCTCGTCGCTCGGCGGCGGCTGCCTCTGGGCCCCGCCCTCGCCGACGTGCTCGAGCACCGAGGCCAGCATGGCCGCCACCGCCCCGCCCTGGCTGAAGCCCACCACGCCGTCCACGTGCCCGCCGGCCTCGTCCCTGATGCACCGCGCGAGGCTCTCGAAGCCCTCCCTCAGCAGGCGGTAGTTGCCGCTGGCCTCGTCCTTGCGGAACCACGCCCACGCGTCCATCTCCGAGTCGGCGCCGCCGCCATCACCGGGCTGGTACCCGGGGATGTCCTTGGGGCTGAGGCGGGACGGCGCTGTGGGGTAGAAGAGTGTTGGCTGGATCTTCGCAGGCGCGAGGGATTTGGCCAGGAGCTTTTCCAGGGCGCGGGTTTTGGCGCGGAAGAGAGGTCCGGATTGGGTGTATCCTAAAGGCTTTTGTTAGTAGGTCTCTTCGCCATTGAATCGAAGCCAATGAGCGAGACGTGTGCCCGAAGACATGCCTCGATGAGGTCCACAACCCGTTTCAGATTGTGTGAAAGACACTCGGAGACTATCCTCAAGAAAGAGCCACAGAAGTGACGGAAGCTGACAGTGGCGGCTTTCTCACAGACGGTATCTTACCATGAAGCATCAGAATCTTGACCTCTCTCATTGCGTTTCCTTCGGCTTTACCTCCGCCGGCCCAGCCGAGGCTGTCGCACCTTGGTCACCAGCCATGACTGTGGAGTACCTGCAGGATAGAATTGTGGTTGCAAATGGCTTGTAATGCAGATTGAGCCCCCGCAGACTGGAAAGACGATACATGAATTCTTGTTTTGGTGTAGTGGTGGTGAGGATCGGCCTTGTTTGAGTCTTAGCAGGGGCTCCACTTCAGCCGTCGACATGCTTCCCCAATCTGACCGTCCCTGGGCCGTGAATTCACATATTCACTCCAAGGCTACCCACATCAGAATATCAGCAATGTGACTTATAGGACTTTTCAGGCGGGTAATTTGAGAGCCTTCTCTGGCTTGTTTGTAAAGAAGTCGTCTGAAACGCCCCATCAAATCTATCTGCATGCTGTAGTACACCGGAAAAGAAAGTATTTCTAGTGCAACCCTAACGATCGAGAACCTGCTTTTAATGCTATCATCCCGAAGTCCAATTATTCCTCAAAACCGCGAATCTGCTAAGCCTGTGAAAGTCTGTATCATGAGTCGATTCTGCAGCACCGCTCTCATTTACATCACCATCCTAGTCCCTATTCACGTGCATCGTCCATATCGTGGTCTCCTCTTCTTCTAAAGCCAACAAGCTTCACCGCTCCGTCTTGCGAAGAGGCCACGCTTCGACTGCGTTGCCCATCAGAGCCACTCAGACCGTCGAGACTCCAGTCGCCCCCAGCTGAAGTGCCGCAACTGATTCTTTAACCCGAAGTAGCACCGCAATCCTCTTGCGCATCCGGAGAAGCCGGCCGTTCTTGATTCGCTTCGCTCCTCTGGATCCATCGTCGAATAGCCCACACGCTCGTTAAACCCAGGCATAGCGGGTTTGCGCCTCCTCGCGCGAGATCTTTGTTGAGCTCAACAAGCCAAGTAGGAGGAACCCCGGTAGGCGCATAGTTTTGCCACGCTCGCCACATTACTAGGTCATTCACTGGCAGTTCCATAGACTGCAGATAGTTCCAGGGAAAGTGGTGGTTCTAAAATCCATGACCCGCAGGACTAGGCGGTATAATGAAATTCAAGTGGGAAGGGTATGGTGAAAGACGCCGGTTGAAAGAATTCGGGTAAGCATGCGCCGCAGGTACATCCAGGGTTATATTGACCGAAAACGCCGGAGCATAGGGGCGCGACCAGTCCGGCGGTGCTGGCGAGACATCCGGGTTCGTACTGGCGGGTGGCGCTGGATCAAAACTGGGGTTCGGCACACGATGAGGCACTTCGTCCAGGTTGTCATTAGGCCTGGCGGGTGGTGCTGGGTAAAAATTCGGATTCGGAACTCGGCGAGGCACGGCGTCAAGGTGAGAATTTGGCCCATGTAGAACCAAAGGTGAAGGGTAGCTCGTAGGATTGTTGAACGGTGTAATCCGTCCATTGGCAACTTGAGCGTCGTCTGGCGGGGCAGGCTGATCATCGTCAGTAACAGTATTATCCGCAAGTCCATCTTGAGGCGCGGGCTGTTCTCCAGATGGTGAAGACTGTTCGGCGTCTTGTCGGCCACGAGCGCGACCGCGACCAACGCGGGAACGACCAACTCCTTTTGCTCTGGTGGGTCGACTGCCACGGCCACTACCTCGTAGACACAGTACAACGTTGTCTCCATCATGGGCATTTGGAGCTTCCCCTACATTCGTCCCACCACACCAATGAACGATATCAAATCTCACAAGTTTGCTCATAATTTCGTGTTCATTAGTGGCAGAGTCCTGACGGCAATCGTTGTCGTAGAAGTCTGTCTTCGGGCGCGTCTCCGGTAGCGCCGCCCTCTTCCCTCCAAGTCGATCTTCATGTCTAATAATATCCCCGGAAGTAGGTCCGCCTCTAAGCCCAGGTCCGTACTCATACACAGGCTTCGATCCTCCCCCGCTAGGTCTCTAGCCCTTTGTCGCAGCCTTTTTGCCCGAGGGCTGGATGCTAGCCATCATCTCGTCTTTGGTAATTAGGTGCTCGATCTTGCCGAGGTGGCTGAGCAGATCCTTCATGTTGTAGCTCCACTCATTCAAGATGTCATCAACGCTCCGCGGCTGCGCAAAACTGACAATGCGAGCGGGACGGTCGATCCGAGCATACACCATCTTGGAAGTGACGAGCTCGCTAATATACTTCTCAGTCTCATCCTCCGTGAGATCCAGATGTTGTGTCAGACGGTCCATTCGGATGCGGGTGTAGTACTTGGCAATGACTCGGACGTTGTGCTCAATGACACGCTTGCGCAGGTCCTGCCATCGCTGGTTGGCTTTGGGGTCGGAAGAGGTGCCCAGCTGTGCGTCGAAGATGTCTGTTTGGCAAAGATGGGGGCCGTATATTTGTTCCACGTTGGGCCAGCGCATGAGCTCCTGGACTGTGAACTCCTCGAGCAGCTTGGCCTCGAGGGGCACTTGGGCATTGCGCGTGTCCGCCTTGATCCGGTGCATCAAGTCATGCTGCTCGTTGTCGTGAGGTGCAAGGATGACAAAGTAGATGATACGCGCGAGAGTCTAAACCGCGAGCATTAGCACTGAGTTGCATGGAACACATGTTTCGATGGTAGTGACTTACGGCCTTGAAGAGCGTTGGATCGTCTTGCACGGACTGGATCTCGAGAACCTCCCTGTAATGCTTGCATGCATCCAAATACCTGTCCTCGCTCTTCGCCAGGATCACCTGCTGCTCATAGTACCTGAGTTTCAGGGGCGTTGCGTCCGTGGCGCTCTGCAGATACTTTGTGCTGATCTTCCGGCTGAGGATGCCAGCCTGACTCCAATCTTGTGTCTGGATACAGAGGGCGACCTGATCAAGGATGAACTCTGTCTTCTCCTTCCGGTCCATGGATCCAAAAGTCTCAACTTGCAGCTCGCAGAGAATATCACGGGCCGCCTTGACATCGCCATAGTGGTCCTTCTTGAGGTCCGAGAGAATCTTGGTGACACGGGCACGCTCAACCTCGACGAAGATCTTGCCCTCCGTGACCGTTCGCAGGGTCTCGATAACTTGAACCTTCCTGTCAATGTTCGATATATCGCCTAGGAAGTCGATGACGGCTTGTACCATCTTCTGGATGGCTTGCTTGAGTTGTCCATGCTTCTTGGACAGGATGGTTACTTGGTCGCTGAGAAGATCCCAGTCACCTGCGGACTTGCACAGCGTGACAATTGCGATGAGGAGTCTGGATGTCGAGGCAAGATCGGAAGCCTGTCGGCGACGACGTCAGAACAACTCGGAAACCAGAGATCTCGGATGCTGACGGGGCATCTTGCTCACCTGACGTGTTTGCTTCTCGAGCAGGGCGAGCTGTTCGATGGCCCCTTGAAGGTTGTTCTGTCACGAGTGAGCAGTCAGAACATAGGAGCCCCACTGAATATCTCTGTGTTCTTGGGTTACCTTAGCGAGCAATTCTGCTTGGGGGATCTGCTGGTCGACCTCCTTGGTAAAGTCCTTGTCGGGCTTGAATGCGGCGTTCGCCATCTTGGGCGGTTGATGATGGGGAATGATGACTATGGAATGGATGAACGGATGTGGAGGTGGTCTAGATGAAGACTATTATTGGGTACCCTGGAAGAAATGGAGTGCAATTGCGAAGAAGCTGTGTTGAGGGTGTGTGGGAGAGGATGGTTCGGGCCTGGTTGATTGACGTTGTGTTGTGGTGTCTGACGGAAGGAAGCTGTCGCAATGGAAGCTCTGCCTGCAGCTTCGCCGGGGCGGCAACGTCCCTTGGCAGGCAAGCAGGTCCCGCGTATCTTATGTAATCATGCTGGGCTGCAGCTGCAGATCACGTCGAGGTACCTAGGTATTCACACACCAGGGAGCCTTCCAACCTTGGACACACAGTAAGCACCTTATTCGTCTAGACAGTATCAGCCTCATGCAGCCTTGTGGACTTATTCGACCTCCATGGCGGTTCAATCTCGCAACCTTATGACTGCACCTTGAACCTTGGAGAGATTTTGATCCCGGTCCGAGTGGGTACCTGACAGATTCTAGACCAGACCCCAGCTTGATGTCCCATCGCCAGGCGCTTCCCCCCTCCCCCTCCTTTTAGTCTAGAAACGACAGGAACGATACTTCGAAGGAGGGTTGCTGTTGCGCTGCGACATGAACGCTAAACGACACTCTCCAAGGCGACATGGTTTCAGAGCCAACGGCTATCTACTCTGCCTGGTGTCGAGTGCCTGACCAGCCCAAAATTTGTGGTCGCCCAATTCCCCCACCCCAATGGCGTCCTTCAGAATATTAGCCGTCTTGGTTCTTTCTCACCTCCTAGTAGTCAAGAGAGACCAGGCGAGCATCAGCGACCAGACTCACGCATGGGCAGAGTCTTGCTTGATTGCGACACATACGAGGACATGGGACGAACTGGATGCGGGGAGAGGCGGCCTGCTCTGCGAAGCTGTGCCTGGTAGGTCTCCGTCCCCACGAGAGGCCTTCTTCTGTGAGGAGCCGGGCGAGCAATCAGTAGGTACGTCGCGAGTGGCGATTGGGGCGCAGCACGCTCCACGACGTCGTCGCAAGCCCATACTGTTTGCGCCGTCCGAGTCACAACGAGTTCTTAGCGCTTGACCCTATACCACATAGAACACATGAGTAGCGCATTGCAACGTCTGCTCCGAGCCAGCGATCTCCCCAGGCACGATATGTATGCATAAGCAACCGGTAAACATCGAGCTTGGTGTGGCCTGTCAGCCTGGGAATCTGACAATCTGGTTTAAATTCTTATGAAAGGCGTGCGGCGACGAGAATTTAGAAGTCGAGCCTACCATGAAGCGGTCGCATGCCTATTTGGCCTCCGGCCGGTATGCCTTCCGAGTGGAGATGCTATAATGAAATGCAGATCGGCTATCCCCCGCCCAAACAAGGCCCAGAAGGCCTAACCGAAACCGAGAAGGCACTGTACCGCGTCTGCCCTGTTTCGTCTAAGATACGAATACGTTCATACATTAACGATTACGGCCCTACGTGAACGAATACGTTCTCTCCGCGATAATCATTTCGGGCTCGAATGGGACCCCGGATGTTTGCTGTCTCGCTCTCTCCCTGACCAGTCACAGTTCGGTCGTTTCAAACCTGTGGGGTTTAGGGAGACTGCTGGGTACACAGAACGCACAATTTGCACCGGCGCAGGACTGTCCCGTTCACAGATATGACGTTGCACTCATGCCCCCAGCATTAGTCCACGCGTGCTATGCAATGCAGGAACTGGGGGCTACTTTGTGAACGACACCCGCCGGGAATTTATAGTAGATATAATGAGATTGGGTTTGGCTATTCTTCAAGTGCCGTCTTGGCAAGAAGTAGTATATATTGACGCCTCCCACACCTGACCACATCCTCTATACCACTCGTGGCACACCAGGCACACCAGCGATACCACAACAAGAGAAGCTCCCATAAACGCCGACAATCCACAATGGCGTCTGTCTCTCCTATTCCTTCGAAAGTCACAGAGCTGCTAGCCGCACAGTGGCCTTATGTGTTGAGCACATTCTTGGCCTTTGCTGCGGCATGGCTTCTTCAAGCGGTGCTCAAGCAGGACCCCCTGTCCAGCCTACCCATGGTTGGGTCCGAGATTGGAAATGCGGACAAACGGCGGGCAGCTTTCGTACAAGGCGCCAAGAATATTTATCTCGAGGGGTACCGAAAGGCAAGCGATTAGTATGCCACGATTTGACGGGCTCGGACTGACAATTACGGTGAACAGTTCAAGAAGGGCGTGTTCAGGATCACCACAGCAAGCTGCAATACAACCCGATTCCTTAGGAGAGATCTGATCATCCTTTGCTTACTATAGATTTCACTCACAGATCATGATGTTGTTGTGCTCGACCCTCTCTTCCTGACCGAGCTGAAGAACCTACCCGACGATACTGTCTCCTTCGGCGAGGCCGTCAGCGACGTACGTGGACTATACTTCAATAGTTTCGGAAATGGAGAGAACCTTGATTAACAATGGCAACAGTTCATGCAGACCAAGTACACCGGCATCCGGGCTGATCGACCTATCATTCCACATGTGGTTAAGAAAGACTTGATCCCGGCACTGAGTATGGACAGGCATAGTCTTCCCCAAAACACGAACATCCGCTGATTGAATCTTGGCAGATCGTCTAAATCCTATCATCGCCGAGGAAGTTGATCAGTCATACCGGGAGGAACTGCCACCTTGCAAGGACTTTACACCGGTCAACATCTACGGGAAGCTACTTCGAATTGTTGCCAAGGTTTCCGGGCGTATTTTCATCGGTCCTGAGCTCTGTCGCTCTGAGAAATATATTGATACGGCTAGTAAGTTGCTTCTGGGAAGAGCCCTTTCTGTTCTTGGAGCCCTTGGCGCTGCGGGTAGGAGATCCGACGAGATGGACTTGCCATGATTTTGGCATGATTTCTAAGATCCCAACCCGTAATCTTTTGTGTCCGCATGGGGAGATCATTTTCTAACAATGATTTAGTTAGCTACACGATTGAAGTTACAGGCGCGGTGAACGCCATCACCAGAATGAACTTCTGGCAGCGCACCCTGAAGGCTGCTGCCCATCCCAGTGTCAAAGCCGTCCGCGACAGGGAACAAGCTGCGGATGCTTTCCTGAGGCCCATCGTCGAGGGAAGGAAGAAGGCTCAGGAGATGGATCCCGACTTTCAGAAGCCCGATGATCTCTTGCAGTGGCTACTGGATGACGGCCAAGACAAGTTTGGCGAGAAGGGCAGCAAGGAGCTTGCTTCGATCCAGCTGGGCCTGACATTTGCTGCTATCCATACGACCTCTTTGACCGCCACGAATGCCTTCTATTCCCTCGCAGCGATGCCCGAGATTATCCCCGAACTACGCGAGGAAATCAGCACTGTATTGAAGGAGTACGGCACGTTCACCACCCAGGCCCTGCAAAAGATGAAGAAGCTCGACAGCTTCCTCAGGGAGGTGATGCGCTTGCACCCGCTCGGGTTCTCTTCCTTCCAGCGCAAGGTCCTCAAGACGTTCACCCTCTCCACCGGGCAGGTCATCCCCGCCGGCTGCCTCATCGAGGTTCCCGTCGTCGGCATCAACTTTGACGACGAGGTGATCGAGAACCCGGAGAAGTTCGACGCCTTCCGTTCGTACCGCGCACGGGAGTTGGAAGGGCTGGAGGGCGCAGAGAAGGCCAGCGCCGGTGCGAGCAACCAGTTCGTCACCGTGAGCCCTTCGAACCTGCTGTTTGGATACGGCAGACACGCCTGCCCGGGACGGTTCTTTGCTGCGAACGAGATCAAGATGATTGTGTCGAGAGCGGTACTAGACTACGATATGAAGATGGCTGACGGCTCCAGGGAGAGGTATCCGAACCTCTCTTTCGGCGGCCAAAGCGTCCCGGACCCATCTAAGGAGCTCCTGTTCAAGAGAGTCGGTGTCTAGAATTTCTTGGTCCTTGATTTCTTTCATTTGGCGGAATGGCGTGGTTGGTGTTGGCTGCTTTCTGTCTTTATCTCCTCTTCGTGTTCGAGGGCGATTTAAACATTTGCAATATTATTTCGCTGTTAAGATTTGATTTGTTTGAACTGTCGACTGCCAGTGACGTTCGAGACCTTTACATCTTCCATACCACAGTCTCAAATATGATCGGCCTTTTGTTCACAACTTTAGAACCTCATCTCGATGACCTTCCCGTAATGTCCGTGGTCATATGAGCAATATTGATCCACTCGAATTTGCCGGCCACGTGAGCCATTACCTCGGAGACCAGATAATCCACAGCTGTCATGATGATATTGAAACCTTGTCATGGTGCGATCTCCCACAGGACTAAACCTTTGGGTTATGGGCGAAGTACTCTACATTGTTGCACCCGACGGCCAAGTTAGTCCGCTGAAGAAGACTTGATGACAGGGCATCGTGTTCATGAGCTTTTAAAATAATTGGAATGGTTCACGGCGGCTTCAGAGCTCTTCCTTTCTCGTGTTAGTGTGACGTTCTCCTGTCTCGGTGCGCCGGCAGATCAGTGCCGTGGTGGCATTCTCAAGTCTCTTGTGACTTCAAATGGATGGAGCTTCATTTCACGACAATTGTTTCGTTCATTAAGCGGTTTCGAAGCTTTGGAACGCACGACCTCCGCTCGGGGGCCGCAAAGGTCGTGGAACTGACGTTTTCGTACTACGGTTAGGACGCCGGCAGAGCAGCTCCTGCGTTTTTACTCCGCAGCAAAGGTGATACCGTCACTGGGCTAGCTGGCCTAGTGTCCAGGATTGTACTTGCCTCCATAACAAGGCGTGCCTGGCTGGGCCGGCACCTGTAAACACAACCAGATGGTTTCATTTCCTTGCACAACCTTGAGTTCCCGTCGGCCGAGACAGGGAATCTTCCCCATCTACTTCAATCCTCAATTTTGCAAATCACAAGCATACTCATTGGCAATACCACCATGGCCGATTCCGAGTTCAGCATTTTGACGCCGGTCGGCATGCTCGGCTATGGCTACACCATCGAGCACTTTTGGTACGGAATCGAGGAATATCGTCCTGAAGCCATCATCGTCGACAGCGGCTCCACGGATGGCGGCCCATTTAAGCTTGGCGTGGGCAAGATGACCTGCGGTCGAAACTCTTATATCCGCGATTTGGAGCCCATTCTGGCCGCATGCTTTCATTTCAAGATCAAAGTACTTATAAGCTCAGTGGGAGGGGACGGCAGTGACAAGCACCTGAAGGAGATGTTGGAAATCGTGACCGAGATATCCTCCAGGCTTGGATTCAGCTTCGAGGTGGCCACTATCAATGCAGGCATTGACCGAAACCTCGTGAAGAGGAAGATAGCCTCCTCAAAAGTCCACCCTTGCGGACCCGTCGAGGATCTCTTACCAGATGTTGTTGATGGTGCTGTTGATGTCGTCAGTCAGATGGGCGCAGAACCGTAGGTGTTACTCACCTTTGTCTCGAGACGAGGCAGGCCCTTTCGCAAGCGATTCTGCAACAGACGGCTAACAGGATTATGCGATCAGTTTCATGGAGGCTCTCAAGGGCAATCCAGACATCATCCTCGCCGGTCGCTCTTATGACCCTGCACCCTTCGCAGCGTTCTGTCTCTCACGCGGTGTGTCGGAAGGTGTGGCATGGCATATGGGTAAGATCATGGAGTGTGGCGCTGCCTGCGCAACTCCAAAGGGAACTTCTATCATCGCCACGGTACGCCGTGACTCTTTCGACCTGACGCCACTGGCTCCAAGCCACAGATGCACACCTCTCTCGGTAGCCTCGCACACACTCTACGAGAAGACACGGCCAGATCGTCTTCCTGGCCCGGGAGGCATTCTCAATTTGGATACTGCCAAATACGAGCAGTTGACGGAGAATACTACTCGGGTTTCTGGAGCCACGTTCATACCGACTCCATACCAAATCAAGCTGGAGGGTGTGACCCGTCTCGGCTATCGTGCCGTCTTTGTCGGGGGTATTCGAGACCCTATCCTGATCGGACAAATCGAAGACTTTCTCAAGCGTGTCCGCACGCACGTGCGTGAACGTTGTCCACTCCTTGATAAGTCGGAAGCCTGCCGCCTCATATTCCACGTATATGGAAACAACGGCGTCATGGGTCCACTCGAGACACAAGCAGCAGGGTTTGCTCATGAAATTGCGATCCTCGGCGAAGTTGTTGCTCCAAATCAGGACCTGGCTTCCACTATCGCGAATAGCACTCGGGTATGCCTTCTTCATGCTCCGTACCCAGGCCAGATGGCCACGGCAGGAAACTTTGCCAGCCCCCTGTCACCATCTGAACAAGAGGCTGGACCCGTTTTTAAATTCAGTCTGTATCACCTGGTCGACCTTGAAGAGGACGAGCAGGTTTCACTGTTCCCAGTCAGCTTCCACCGCATAAAGTCGACACAAGAGCCATCGCCTTTCAAGGCGATAGCAGAGGATCGAAAAATCGCACTCCGGAATGGTTCGCTAGCTCCTATTGGTATGTTCCACAGTTCTGAAATCTCGTATCCAGGGGCTAACAGCTGCGGTGTCTAGCGAAGAAGCAAGTTCCAAAGGGGCGCGCAAAGATGAGCTCGCTTGCTCGCGTAATCCGGTCCAAGAATGCGGGCCCCTTTGAGCTAACTTTCGACATCATGTTTGATTCGAGTGAAATATACCATCGTGTGCGGGACGCGGACGTCCTCGGAAACGACGTAATCCGGCGTCTCTATCGCGTCGAAGACGAGGACATTATCACTAACATGTTTTACACGCCTGCTCTTGCTTGGAAGTGTACCATCAGACGACCATGGGCACAAGGAAGCGTTGGGGAGAGAGATACCCTAGGAACGCAGCAGCACGCGCCGTTACTCAACATAGAAGTGCCCGGCACCGAGACAGCTACACCCAGTGCCATCGACACCGAGGATCGCACCGGCTTTCTCGCCCGGGATATCGTGCGTGAAATATGGACAGGGCTCCAGCTCCCAGAAAGCGCACTCGAGTCACTGGAGCTCCCTGGTGATGATGGGAGGCCTGCATTGCCGTCGTCATACAAAATCGGATCTCTGGCCCAAGGCACAATCGCACTGTCCGGACTCACAGCCTCGCTGATTCACTCGCTGCGCAACAACATGTCCATGCCTAAAGTCACAGTTCCGGTGAAGCACGCCACGATTGAATACAAGTCTGAAAGGCTTTACACCCTCGACGGGAAGCCACCTTCCCACGTTTGGGGCCCAATAGGCGGTCTTCACAAGACCTCGGATGGCTACGTCCGAATTCACGGCGCCTTCCCCAACCACCGCAATGGGGCTGCCAGGCTGCTTGGGTTGCCACTGACTGCGAGCCGGGCCGATGTCTCGGAGAAGACCGCGGACTGGGCAAGTGTGGATCTCGAGTCTGTGGGTTTGGATAACGAGCTGGCGATCTACGCACTGCGTTCCTATCGCCAGTGGGACGTGCTGCCCCAAGCCAAAGCAACCGCCGACTTCCCAATATCCATCTCCCAGATCGCCACAGGACCGGCCGGGCTCCCAGCTCGTCTACTTCCAGGAAAAGACAAATGCCTGCGAGGACTCCGCGTGGTTGAGATGAGCCGCGTGATCGCCGCGCCCCTTGCGGGCAAAACATTGGCAGCCCACGGCGCCGACGTTATCTGGGTCACTTCGCCAAACTTGCCATCCTTACCGGAAACAGATGTTGAATTTGGCCGCGGAAAACGTACTGTGCAGCTCGATTTGCATCATGATAACGAAAGACAGAAGCTGCTTGAACTCGTCAAGAGCTGCGATGTCTTCATCCAGAGCTTCCGGCCGGGCAGCCTCGCCGCGCGTGGTCTCTCCCAGGAGGAAGTAGCCGCCCTGAACCCAGGTGTGGTGTATGCAAGCCTGTCGGCCTTCGGACCTCGGGGGCCGTGGTCTGGCCGCAGGGGTTTCGATTCTCTCGTACAGACATGCTCGGGCATGAATGTGTCCGAGGCGGAGCATTACGGGACCGGCGAGGCGGCCCGGCACACCCCGTGCCAGGCTCTGGACCACGCCGGTGGCTATCTCCTGGCTTCGGGGATCATGGCAGCACTATACCGCCGGGCCACGGCGGGTGGCTCCCATGCTGTGGAAGTGTCTCTGGCGGGAGCGATGAAATACCTCCGCAGCCTGGGCCAGTATCCAGGCAGGTCGGGCTTCGAGGTGCCGGATTTCGAGACGGCTGCGGATGTGGACGAGTACCTGGACACGCACATGAGTGGTTTCGGAGAGCTGAGGGCTGTCAGGCACAGCGTGACCGTGCAGGGTTGCTCAACTGACTGGGAGGTCATGCCTAAGCCTCTTGGAAGCGACAAGCCGGAGTGGATGGTATGATGGGTGGTGACATCTCCTATGGGGATACCACGGGGCCTAAATCCTAATATTCGTCTGCTCAGTGTCCTGGGGTTTACGTGTAATGTTAGAACAGCCGCATACCACCATATCTAGCTACGTAGGTGGTATCAGTAGGTGGGTTAATTCGCTGCCAAAGGATGGCGCATTGGGTCATTGATGGCTATTAGTAAGAGCATTATCCTACGTGTCCCGGTGGAATGTTGGAGAAGAATCACGGGTGGACTTAGGTTTCATAATTAGTCTGTTAGCTACTCCTAATTCACGAGCTCTTCGGCAACCATTATTATGTTTGAGCCCCCTGGTGAGCCCATGGTCTCTTCACTACGGCTTCCTTGCCGCTGCAGAAGTGTATGTGTGTGCCTGTAAAGTTGCGGCACTGAATCACACGCCCAGTGGGTTTCAGAACCACGGAGGTGTACACTGTGATTCATTTCAAATACTGGGGATATTCGGATGGTACTGGAGACCTGACTAATAGTCAGTTACTGTTCAACGCAGCCACTGCGTTGTCACAAGTCTTGACAGTGAGTCAGAAGATTTGTATATAAACTTACCACCAAATCCCCAGCTCCAGGATTTTATTCAACATCAGATCCCCGAATCACTTCAAGTTTGACCCCATAAGCTCACGAACAGACAATGCCATTCAAACCTATCCATTTTCTCTGGCTGTTAGCCCATGGGCCAGGACAGGCCCACGCATTTCCCTTCCTCCAGAACCAGCGGCGCGAGACAACCTCGATATCTACATCGAGCATCGATCTTGCACATATCGTAACCCCAGTCACCCTGACGACTTCACACGCCAACCCGTCCACTGGAACTGCAAACACTCCGACCGGCACCTTGGACATGGAAAGCCAACAGAGAGGCACAACCAAATCGGCGACCTTGGCCAGCGTAAGTCCAACATTGCTAGCGTCAAGTGTCATCTCCAGCGGCTCTCAGCCCACAGCCTCGTCGTCTATCATTATGAAACCATCTCCAATAACCTCTGACCCCACCCTGACTCCCACTTCAAGAACATCCAGTGGGCCTACTACGGGGGCCGGAATTAATGTACATACGCTTACCTTGAATGTGCCTGCTATCATAATGGAGCATACCGTGGCTACTACTGTTTTCATCATGCAAACTCCCGCAGAGCCCTTCAATTTCCTAGCTACACCAAGTGGTGTCAATTAGGACCAAAGTCGCCAATAGGGGAACATCATCACAGCATCATGGACAGACTTTGACCAAACACAGCAATCTGCCCGCACTCAGTGATCTTGATCCCAAAATCAGCCGTACAGGGACCTTTTCAGGGCACTCCTTGGTTGAGATTTGATTGAACGAGTGTTGCTGACTCCGCCATCTTCAAGGACGATTCAGAGACTCAAAAGAGACTACTCGAGGCTATCAACAGGAACGCTCATGCTTCTACAAGATTCAAACCTTCAAGTACTATGAGTGAGAATGTGTTGCATACAGCGGGAACAAGCAATGCCTCAGAACAATGCACAAGCAGAATCCGCCATGAAGCCTACCAAACAGCTCCGAAGAGGGTGCAAAGGCGCAAAGGGCGAATTGAAATCTCTTGCTGTAAACGCAAAGCAGCTGTGGCAGATAATGCCAGCAACAGTCTGGGAATCCATACTCTTGAGGGCCCAAACTTGGTTTTTTGGACTGGGGTGGGCATCGCCATCCTGTTCCAGATCTCTGTGGTTCTAGTTTTGGCCTGAGGGTAGATCACACGCGGAGAAGATTTATGTTGATCGATAGAAAACAATTCGATTTCCTGGCACATCAGTTTGCACTTTGTTCAGCAGGTGATAATTCCTAACCATGCACATGTTCAAAAGCCAAGATGATCTTCATATAGACCATAATCATAAAATTGTATTTCTTGCAGAATGTCTAGACGACACACATACATCTAATGGGAATACCCAATAGCCCCATCTAGCAAACTGCTCTCATGATTGATGATCCCTACCCGTAAGGTCTTTTCTAGGCGTTGGTTGCTCTGTGATATGTAAGTTCTGTACTTGAGTAGGAGACGGCTTTTCTATGTCTTGATGAAAATGAACTCGACAGGCTATGCCTGGATGCATATGTGTGACATGAAATGCGTAATGGACCGCAATAGACGTGAACAAGCGAGACTGTTCGACTTTGTTCGCAACCTGATCGTCACTCGTCCGCTCTAATCATGGCCACGGAACCAAAATATGCAAGAAACTGCCTCTTCAATCGATACTGTGATTGGAACTGGATGACAAGTCAGTAGCCCAATCAGAAAATAATTAGTGTGTGACTTGGTGTTGGACTTGTCCCGTGAGGCATGTGAGTAAAGCACTCTCCCATTTATGCACATACATAAACTTCTTGGTCGATGTTGTTGGACCTTCTCCTCAATCATTAATCCAACACTTCAGCATCCAAAAATAGCAAATATGTCCTCTCGACCACGAATTTTCGTTCTACTTATTGGGGCTGCGAGAGCTGTCCCTCATCCGGTTTCATTGAGCCCAATGCACGACACATCGGGACCCGATGTTGAAGATCCAGGGGCCAACAACGACGCGGCAGGTCATGTTCGTCTTGTGGCCTTACCACCCTCCTCGACCGCAGACCTCGCCAATTTGGTGACTCCCGTTACCCTTCATACATCGTCAACCCCTTATGAATTAACAGAAATTACACCGGTAACTGAACCAACATCATCGACCCCTTATGAATTGACAGAAATTACACCAGTACCCAAACCAACATCTTCGACCTCTTCTGAGTTGACAGAAATAACTCCAGTACCTGTACCCACGTCTTCACCGCAGACCGTTTTTACAATAAGCTCGGCATCATCTACTTCTACCACTGACGGCGAAAGCCCAGCACAGCCCCTCCCGGCCTCGCCTTCGATCACAATATCCGCTACGGGACAGCACATAGGGACTGTCACCATTACCGACTGGGTGACCGTCACGCTGCCCGCAGGTGGCCCAGAGCCCGTGGAGACCCAAATGCCAGGCTCGGAGACCGTGCCGATAACCATCATTCCGGTTACTTACAACAGCTCTGCGAGCAGAAGACCTGAAGTTCCTGGAGGTTTTCTGGGCCCCCGCGGCCTAATACTGACAAGCCAGATGAGGCTCAGCGCAAGGAATAGAGCTGTGTGAGAGCATTTCAAGGAGTCCTCGTTCTGCACATAGTGTTGCACACAGCCACATCTCTACAATTTGTAGGCTTGAGCACCTCACTTGTGCACAAGGTCCATGCATACACTACTCCATTGTTACATACCTTGGACAGCCGGAATACAAGATGGAGGGTAAGGAAATTACCCTAGGTGACGTTCGTGGGTGGAGATACAAGTAAACGCTTCGTTGGCGACACTGAAGTGTAGGCCAGACATAGAGGAGAGAGTGTCCTACGATAACATAGCTTCGTCACAGGGATCATCAATGTAGAGATAATTAAATTAAAGCCATCTCCTAACTCCCGCTCTCGTTGTAGTGCTGTGAACATAGTACAATTGAAGAAAACATAGCACAGTCGCAAAGGGTCCTGGCAACGGCCTGCCAGAACGTGATTATATACAGCGTGATGTTGCTCACTATCGAAGATCGTGACCTGTGGTGCAGTGATCAGTATTATCCCATCAACCGTGTCAACAACAGTGTCAGACTTACGTCCAAGAGCCTTGCCACGCTTCGAGACCTCCTTGGCGTGGTAGGCCTTGATCTTGGCGCGCCTCGCCTCCTCCTTGGCCTCGAACTCGAGCCTCTTCACCTCCTCCCGGGCGTCCTTGACCTCCCGCCTCGCCAGCTCCAGTGCGCGGTCGGCTTCCTTCTCCGCGGTCTCGGCGCTCATCATCCTCTCCCGCGCCTGTATGATGGAAGGGTCGAGCTCCTCGTTTGCCTTAAACTTGTGCAGGAGGCCACCACCACCGCCCCTCGTTGACGTTGAACGGCTGAAGATGCTGCTGGAGCCGTCGTTGTGCGTCGGGCTGGTGCGGTATGTGCTGGACGTGCGGCGGGTTGAGTCGGTCGCCTGGGTCGAGGTGGTTGGTGTTGGTGATGGGTCCCGTCGGAGCGAGCTTAGGAGGCCGCGCTTTCGTGGCTCCTCCTCATGGTAGGGCTCCTGTGGTGGGAGCTCCTCTTCAGGCTCGCGGCGGGTGAAGAAAGGCATCTTGATGATATGATTTGTATTGTGTTATGTTGGGCCCACAGGAATGTATGCGGCGTGGCGTCGATGTTCAACGTAGAAGACGAGGGAAGAATTGGAGGAACGACTTTGTTCTTGACCGGGCGATCAGTCCCTTTTCATGCATTCTCAAACTGCCACTATCACAAGGTCTGTCACCCCCAACCATTGTTGCGCTGCATCATCAAACCTGCTTTTGGAATTCAGGGTCGTTGGTGATCGACAGTGACGTCAGAGCATTCCAGCCAATAGAACAACACGATGCCCAGTGGGTCATACCCGATCAGGTCAATTAGTGACCCCTAAAATAAGCCAGCCAATATGCAGGGTCCAAACCTGCCAGGGGGTACATCATCGCTGCTGGCCTCCGACCGCCCTTTGCTGTGCGATGATAGCATGGCTGAAACCACTTCATGTGGCTTACCGTGCGAGGGGTGCCGCCAGCGACGCCAACGATCGTCAGCTACGACGCTGAGACTTTGAGGCAGCAAGGCACCAGGGCAACCGAGCAAGAATCTGTCCTGAATTCGGACGAGCTCAGCAAGAAAAACCTCAATGAAGTCTCGTATCTTTCAATGGCCGTGATGGTGCCGCGCCGATCTAACTCAGGCCATGGTAGGTCACATATTTGGACAAAAGTATAATCAAACGCCTGATAGCATCCATTGCGGGCGTGGTGTCGAAGCGAGAAAAATGTTGAATTCACTAGCATGCCTAAACAAGACACTCTGCGTGAATATTTATAAGAAGGAATGGAAATGGAAGTCACGTGTACCGGGTGCGATTTCGCGGCTCTCATGCCCTGGAAACCTTGGGATCTTGTCTCGGTACTCGATGGTGCTTGTCCTGCTTGGGCGTGAGCCCGGAACTTGCCACTTCACTCGACACCTGCTTTCCTGGATTACTCAGCAGTGGTCTAGCCTTTTCTGTAGTATCTACGATATGCCAATAGATACCTGGGGTATTTCGGAGGAAATGATGAATCTTGGGCCGCTTGTTCGCGACTTTGACCAGTGCAAGCGTTTTGGGTACACATGACCACACATGTTGCTTGCCGGCGGCACAGTCTCGACCCCGGTGGTGGGGCAAGAATTCCGGAGACTGGAAATCCGAGCGAGGCAGGGAAGTGAGCTCGATTGAAGAGCCACGGACCGACCGGAGCCGTAAAGCGTGGGGTTCAGCTCATTCCTACCCTGTTCCTGATTATCAACCTTACTAACGCGCGCCTAAGCACGTCTCGTCGCATCCAGACCGGAAACTTTAACTTGATGTCGGTAGTTCTGGCACCTCTGAATGCTTATTAGGCTCTACTGCTCATCATTTGTTGCTGGTGCCAGTGACAAGCGGCAGAAATGTAGTCCTTGCTCAGTTCTATTTTCCTGGCTTTTGCTTCAGCGACAAGGCCCGAGAGCACAGCAAGTCGCGACTCATGTGCCCGCTGCCGAGTGAGCTGGTGAGAAGCCATGCCCTCACGGAGCTGGCCCACTCCGTATCACACCTAAATCGCCTATATCTTCAGATTCTACAGCGGGGTTGATGAGCAGCGTTGTAACGGAATTGTGTTACGCTTCCACCATGTTGCTTGGACCACCAATGGACCATGCACATCGTGACAAACGAGTATATGACCCTGTTCAGCGGGCTCGCGAAGGGCGCCTAGCACCTACTCGTTGCTACCTCCCTCGGCCGCCAAGGAAGGCCTGACTTTGAAGACCCTACGGTTATTTGTTTCATGTCAATAACTATGTTTTCAAAATGTCTATGATGGCACCGACCTGAACGGGCCGATTCCTGCTTTCCTATTCTGTCCTCTCGGTGCTTGGTGCCGGTCGCCAATCTCATCGAGGTGTTCGCCATGTCGGCTGCTAAGTGGTACTAGACCGTTTGAAGAACTTTTCCCGAAAATCCGGAATGAGGGCCGAATATCGAAGCGCCACGGGAAGATGTCAAGAGAGGAAGGTTGCATCTGCTCCCGGCATCGTCAAATCACAGAATGCTCAGTGTGTCGCTCGGCTCTACCCCGTGGGGAGATGGATAGCGCAAAGCTTTGACGATGACTGGGGGCCGCACTAGAGGAAGCGGATAAAACGACTTGGCCAGAACATGAGTCCCGAGTCACACCGCGGAATGCTAGACCTCGAATATGCCCGGTGCCTGAACACACGATGCGACAAAGACGCGGTCCTAAAGACTTTGATCTATGTACATACATATTTTAAGCTGTTTCGGGAACACACAAAAGTCCAACCGTGCCTGTGACGGAGGCACACTTTGCCAGGCAATCCTTCCCAATCTTTTGCTTATGCTTGGGGCATACACAGTATCCAACGGACCGTTGCATTCTAGGCTCTCTTCCAGAGACACCCTTGATCATCAACTTGAAGCCAACGCACTATATCCCCGTGGACGCTTCGGTAGGCCAAGTCGCCGTTCCTGATGCCCCAGACCATGCCACCCGGCTGACATGCCTGGTGGATGCAACCCCAGAAAATGATCATTAGCCAACAGAGCTGCTGCATTCATGACATCCCTGGACAGTTCGTCCCGTTCGCAGCCGCCGCCATGCTGGTGGGCCCACAAAGTCTCCAATCGGCAGGATAAGCTTACCCCACGCGACCATCCGCGGGTGACCACCCCTGAGGGCAAATATCACAAGGCTCAGCACATTCTTCTCCAGATTCCTGGGCGGCCCAGGCCACGATAGTTTTGCCCATTCCACTAGTCTACCAAGATTTGACCTGTCTCGCAACCGTACTCACAAGATTGATGAAGTCTTGGCAATAGGCTGAGACCACACGCTCTTGGACCCAATCTATCCGCCTTGGAGCCTATCATAAACGGGCCGTTTTGATGCCCGTGCAGCGTGCCATGTCCGGGAGACAAAGCGCATGGTGTGAACACCGGAGTGGGTAAGGTCTTGTCAGGAGGCGCCTGATAATATTCTGTCAGTAGGCCGACTTGTTGTGGGTCTCATGAGTCGACGGCATCAACAATGGAGATGCAGGAAGGACTTGAAAAGAATATATAACCAGGCCAGCTCTGGCTTCATGGGGATCCAAGGCGGCCTGATTCTCAACCACTGATCACACTCCCTCCTTTTACATTCTTTGTCTTTGTATATACTTGCATCCCCCGTCGTCAACTGTATACATCACTGTGACGACCTTGCCACCACTGTCCCTAAATCAAGATGGGTATTCGCAACGTCCTCGCCACGGCCATCGCCGGCCTGCCAGTCATCCAGGCTGCTATTCCCAGCATCTCAGGATTTACGCTGACCTGGGGTGACGACTTCATTGGTTCCGCCAACAGTCTTCCCAGCACATCAAACTGGATCATCGACACCGGTACCTCTTACCCGGGTGGCCCATCCAACTGGGGTACAGGAGAAATCCAGACTTATACCAGCAGCACGAACAATCTGAAGCTCAACGGGAATGGGGCGCTCCAAATTACCGCAATCAAGAGCTCGTCCGGTGCTTGGACCTCTGCCCGTATCGAGACACAGCGCAACGACTTCGTTGCGCGTGCCGGGGGTAAGATGAGGATCCAGGCGAGCCTCAACCTGCCCAATGTTGGCAGCAACGGCATCGGATACTGGCCGGCATTTTGGACCCTGGGAAGTGCGTACCGGGGCAACTACCAGTAAGTCCTACACAGATATATCGCCAGCGAGCACGAAAACTCACACTCCTGTAGGAATTGGCCCTCTGTCGGAGAGTTTGACATCATGGAGAACGTCAACGCCATCAACCGCGTCTGGGGAGTAATGCACTGCGGAGTAAACCCGAATGGCCCATGTCGAGAGACTGACGGCCTTGTGGGCTCGCGCGAGTGCCCGGGCAGCCCGTGCCAGGGCAACTTCCACACCTACACCCTCGAGGTCGACCGCACCCAGGAGCTCGAGGCCGTGCGGTGGTTCGTCGACGGCACTCTTTTCTGGCAGATTGTGGAGACCGACCTGCCCGCCGACACCTGGGCCCAGGCTGTCCACAACCCTCACTTCGTTTTGCTCAACCTCGCCATCGGCGGTGCATTCCCGAATAACAACTGTGAGTGCCATTCTTCTCCTGCTACACATCCCCGATCTTTGTGCTTTAGAATGTTCCAGAATGTATCACTTTGGGATCCGCAGCAGGTGACTAACAGATACTAGACGGCAGCGCCACTCCGCTGGCCAATACTGTCAGTGGGGGCACGTTGCAGGCAGAGTACATCGCCGTCTACAACGCCTAGGCTCGTCAAGGAAGGGTAACGGGAGAAGTTTCGATTTCCCCGATATTACGGATCTTCTTGAATTCTTTGTATATATCTATCAATATTCACCCGTGTGAATATGGCGAGGGGCGGGTTTCTTTCTTTCCATCCGTGCTGAGACGCATCGAATCCAGGCAATAAATTGCTCGAGATTGCGCCTGTGTAGCGAATCGATCGATTGAAAATGACTTTTCCCTGCAATGGGGTTCTAGGACATAAGTTGTCAGTTCTGCATTTGAAGACATAATAGGGGAGCAAGAGTGAATGTATGACCGCCACAGAGACGAACTTGAATTCCGAATTGAACAAATCCAAAGTATGTATGCGCTGAATTAGGCTGGAAGAGTAAAATGTGCACGTGGACTGTGTTGCATTCATGGCGCTTTGTACGACACCCAACTTAAGGTTCGTGCAGTATGTAGACGGATTTGAAAGCTTGATACTTAGATTAGCATCCTCCTCCATCCGTTCCCTGAGGTTGTCAGGTGATGTCAGGCATGAGCACATGTACAGGGGGAATAGTTAGAGATCATTCCACACGCTCCATGAAGTTCACGCTATTTGCGATCTAATTTCATCCACATGTTTTTCAGAAAGGGTGGAGACTTCTAGATTGACAATAATAATTCAGAACTCTGTGTTCTTTTTTTGTTTTGTTGTTTTCTTGCCCCCCCCCCCCTGTGGGGACTTTGGGTAGGGCGGGGAACGTTGCTTGAAGAGGCTGGCTAATGCAGAGGCAAAATTCACGGCATCATCTGGTGTGTTACCAGATAACGATAAACGTGTTGCTTGGTTGTATCTGAGGTGGCGGGTGTGTGACGTGGGCTTGGGCTTCGTCTGGAAGCCTTAAAAGCGGATTTGGAAAGTTTCCCCTGGCACAGACTAAGGTGGGCGTGCATTCAAACGGGGTTGCAGCGTTTCCGTACTACGGATACTGCAACTTTCAAGCAACCCAGTTGAACTTGTAGAGATTGTCGCATCCAGATACGTACTGTGAGCGCATGCAAAGTCTTGCGTGACCGGAGACGTCCATGGCATTGGTTTCCTAACTTTCCGTCCCGGTCACCGGCAACGTCAGCAGAGACCTTGCAGTGACTGGCGGCCATACCACAAGTATACTTGGTTGCCATACTTGATAAATCCGGAGAATTAGGCATCCAGCAGTTGCGCCAACTGTTCCGCGCACGTCTGTCACTGTTTAATAACTAGCACCGTTCATACAACAAAGCTTAAATCATTACTCTTTTTCACTTCACTGCAATACACTGGACTTCGGAAACCATGGAATCTCTAAGTGTCGAGCCCACGTACGATGTTCTCATCATCGGAGCTGGGCTTTCTGGTATTTGCAGCCTCCACCATGTCCGCGAACGCTTCCCTACATGGAATGTCAAAGTCATAGAGGCTGCCAGCGACGTGGGTGGCGTCTGGCATTGGAACCGGTACCCTGGCTGCAGACTCGACACGGAGTCTATTTCCTACGGATACTCTTTCGACAAGGAGTTTCTGCAGCAATGGGAGTGGAAGGACACGTTTTCTTCACAGGCAGAGATGCAAGAATACATCAAAAGCATTGCCAAGAAACACGACCTGTACAAGGACATACAGTTCGATACGCGCATCACTTCAGCTCACTGGCAAGACCAAGACCATACGTGGTCCTTTGTGGATGAAGCGGGAGCTTGCTACAAGACTCGCTTCTTCGTGAGCTGCCTAGGGTTTCTCTCGGCGCCAACCTGGCCTGCGATACCCGGCCTCGAAGACTTCAAGGGGCAGGCCTACCACACGTCGCGTTGGCCGAAAGATTTTGACATGAGCCGCGATCTTGAGGGCAAGCGCGTCGGCGTGATCGGCACTGGCGCAACTGGAATTCAGACTATTACAGCCATATCTCAGGAGCCAGGCATCCGCTCCCTTACCGTCTTCCAACGAACCGCCAATTGGTCTGCTCCCTTGCGCAACGCCGAAATTACTCCTGGGCAAATGGAGCAATACAGGAGTCAGTACGATGAAACATTCGACAGATGTGCCCAGACGTCTTCAGGATTCCTGCACCAAGCCGACCCTCGCAAATCCGTGGAGATCAGCCAGGATGAGCGTCTGGCCCACTACGAAAAACTCTACGCTGAGCCAGGGTTTGGCAAGTGGCTGGGCGTCTTCAGTGACACATACAACGATCGCGAAGCCAACAGGCTGTACTCAGAATTCATAGCCGGGAAGATCAGGGGAATAGTCAAGGACCCGGAGACGGCCGACAACCTCATTCCCACCCATGGGTTTGGGACTCGACGAGTGCCGCTCAACAGTGGCTACTTCAAAGCATTTAATAAATGGCGCCTCTGCAGGTGGCCGCCTCCGCTTCCGGCAGTTTATGCTTAGCGAGCAAGAGCGCCAGGCCATGAATAAGTGGTTAACTATTAGCATCCCGTTAAAGTTAGTATTTAGGTATATCATGCAGATTAATGATGAATATAAAGAGGCATCTCCTAATAACAACCTTTATATCTGCCGCGGTTTGTTACCAACTTAAGCATTCACTAGGTAACGGATTTATTTACAAGGCAATAACTAACCTAGTCATCAGCATCACGACCTCATTTTACCATTCCGACTTACTAATCATCGCTACTGCGGGTCAGCACACGCATTGCTTGCGCAGACACGCCCGACAGCCGCCCACAGACGCTGGTGGCGCGAGGAGGCAGGAACACCTGGCTGCTGTGGCAATGTCTTGGCTGTTCATTTCACGCGATGAAATGCAGGTTGAAAAGACTCAATAGTCATAGATAAAGTATTAACATTGGGAGGGCTGGTGTTTCTGGTCTCTGGGCTTGGGGATGGCTATTTTGGCAGTTGACGAATTTTCAAAGAGCATCCACGAAAGCAACCATGACATCCCGCTGGCGAAATATAACCACAAACCAGGTGATACAGCCAGCGTCATCCTTAAATTATTAACAAATCTTCAAAGAGCATCCACAAAAGCAACCACAACATCCCGTTGGCGAAATATAACCACAAACCAGGTGATGCAGCCAGCGTCGTCCTTGGATTACAGGATTAGTTGATCGGCCTCGGAGAGGTGGTCCTTGAATTGCAGGATCAGTCCATCGGCCTCGGAGAGGTAGTTGTCGTATTCTTTTGTACGACGCTTCACATCCCCTACGCGATCCTTGTTGACAGAGGATGATTTGATCAGAAAGGTAGTCGTCGTATTCTTTTGTACGACGCTTCACATCCCCTACGCGATCCTTGTTGACAGAGGATGATCTGATCCTCATTCGTGGCAGGTCTAGCAACTAGGTAAATAGTGCCGGGATACTCAGCCATTCGGTCGAGGAAGACGGGTGACGCGAATGATACCGTTGCCTGGAACAATACCGAGAGTCCATCTGGCAGTTCAAGGCTCACAGTGGTCGACCGCATTCGGACTTCCTCCTGTGGAGTGCTGCTGACGAGGAAGGCAGGTGACGGGAATGATACTGTTGCCTGGAACAACACAGTATCCGTCAGGCAGTCCAAGGCTCACAGTGGTCGACCGTACTTGGAATTCCTCTTGTGGAGCGCTGCTGATAGTGGGAACCGCTGTGAGCTAAGGGTCAGCCACCCCGTCCTCGTCAGGAGGAACAGCAGCAGCAGACACGATCGACAAGCTTGACCTCCTCGAGGAGCTCGGCCTCGATGGCCTCAGTGAATCAGAAGGATAACAGCGTCGCCGTGCTGGTGAGCATGTTAGTGATCGCTTCATGGATGAAACCATCACCTGGAGAACGCTCGAGCTGGTAATATGTGGCTTAGCAGCCACAAGGATCCGTGGTAGGACGGGGAAGGAAAGGCAGGCATGCCGTGCCGCAAGTGTTGTCCGAGAGGAAGACCTGGCCTGTCTATCCTTGGCCAACGACTGAATCTGGCTAGGAAGCCTTATGTTTGAAGACGTGGGAGGCTGCCGTACAGGAGGCTCATTCCCCAGGAGGGTGGGCAGTGAGAACTCATGTGATCAAGATGCCATGGCCGCGTAGCGGACACCCAAGCAAAGTAGCTTCTCAACGGTTTACCTGGGCCGACGGCGCTGCGTATGGTGCTCTCTTGGCGTACCTCTCCTTTGACCTGTACTGCAACCTCTCGGATACGTTCAAGCTGGAGAACCTGTCGACAAATACAGCCCGCTGCTTGAAATCGAGGTCAGAGGAGCCGGCCAGACTCCCAGGTCGGGGAGGGCATGGTCTCTTGCACATCTGAAGACCTCTGAGTCCTAGGCAAAATTGTTGTCATAACCGCCGATGGCCCCTTCTGATGAATCTTCAAGCATTCGGCGCTTGAATCGCTCAGATACTTGCGGGGCGCAGATATCGTCGAAAAAGGCAATCCGTTGTTTGGAATCCAGGTCGGAGAAGCCATCATGCTTTTCCATCAAAACTGCAGCTGCCGCTCCTTGAATAATGCCAGGCAGTGCGTTGGCATTCGCAGGGCCAGAGTCTTGAGTGTTGAATGACGCCAGCTAGTGCGTCGACCTTTGCCAGCTTAACAGGACCAGAGTCTTAAATGATGCCAGGTAATGCGTTGGCATTTTCTAACTTAGCAGGGCCAGGGTTTTGAACGAAAGCAACAATATATATAGCCTATGACATAATGTCCTTAAGGATCGCCATAGAAATCGTCCTTATGGTGTTTAGGTGCCGAGCTATTGCGTTCCGCGAAGTTATCTCCGCGAGGGATTTGCCGGCCATGGTAAGGTTAGATGTAGTTTTATTTAGCATAACGGGGCTCTTAATAATCGGGGCCGAGGTATTACGCGAAGGCTTAATGGGCATAGCCAAAGTATCGACGAGGGAAGGGCCTATATTTATAGCAGCTGGGCTTAGGGATGGCTCTTTTAAGCGATTAATAAACTTCCGAAGAATAGCCACGAAAGTAATCTTAACATCCCGCTGGCGAAATACAACCACAAAAGGTAACATGGTTAGCGTCGTCCTTGGATTGTAGGATGAGTCTGTCGGAATCTGACAACGCTCAGGTGCTCGAAATGCTCGAATCATTCGAGTGCCCGAATCGCTCGATTTGCACAACCACAGATCGCTTGTTTGCCAATACTCTAGAGCTCTCGAGTGTCTAGAATGCTGTGCTCTGTTTCGTTCTTCTTGTCGCTGGGCGGAGCGTAGCCGCCGCCGGCACCGGTGCTTTCAACGCTATCGATTGGCACGCCAAAGACGGCCGTCCGCTTATTGCTACCAGCGAGACCAAGGATGGTCAGCGGGCCATCTGGCCGGATCACAGGCCCAACACGTTCCTTGGAGTGACGGTGCCCGCGTTGCCCAACACGTTCCTTGTTCTGGGCCCCCACCAGCCTTTCGGCAACGCCACGCGGAGCATAGAGCATGTTGTTGGCTTTGTCACAGACGCCTTGCAGTACTGCAAAGACAACGGCTACTCGTACGTCGAGGCCACAACGGAGGCCGCGGACGAGTGGACGGACCATGTTGTGGAGTGCAGCAAGGCGGGAATTCTCATCAACGAGGTGGACAGCTGGATGACTGGGGTGAACACGAATGTGAAGGGAAAGCAGGTCAGGAGCGTCGCAAGGTACTCGGGCAGCGTTATCGAGTACCGCAGGCGCACTGAGGCGTGTAAGAAGTCTGGCTACAAGGGTCTGATCTTTTCCCAGATTGGGGAGTCTTTCGATTTGGTCATGAAGCCTTGAACTTGTTCTCATGTTATCTAGTTGAGGTATGCGGACGTCACAAGATTGATGGCAAATGTAACGCTGGCTGTCATCTTACCGGGACAGAACGTACTGAATCACAAGAATTTTCCAACCTTCAACAACCCTCAGATACATACAGCTGGTTGAGATGCCGGGAGGCGCTGCTGTGTGACTTTCGGCACCTCAGGCTTGTCCTCGGCCAGCACCGCTACTCGGAACTGACTTGGGCATCAACGAACAAGCTGGTTGCATCCTAGTACGTCATTGTGCGGATAGACATGTCTGCGCCGAGATAGGCAAACGGGCAAGCCATGTGAAGAGCTCACGTGTATCCTCGTGAACAATCCGGCGTTTTAGGAAGGTCTCCCCCCTGGTACCACGGGAGCGGGCCCGATATCCGGCAGCACCTTTGCACTAGGTACACCTGACGCGGCAAGCAATTGTTTCCGGGTGAAGGAAGACAACGATTCAGCAGTATACAATAGTAGGGATGCAATACATATGTGTGACAATGGGATATTACTCCTTGAGAGGTCCTGGGTATTATTCTGTATCACTTAACCAGCATTGCCACCTTCAAGATCTGCCCAGCACCTTCTAAATATTAGTGAATCATCAAATATCACCAAAAGCTCAACAACATGGAGGTCCCTGGCTTCGCATTGATAACTGGCGCGGCATCAGGCATCGGAAGAGCATGCGCGTTGGGGTTCGCCAAAGAGGGTTCAGCTGGAGTGGCGCTACTCGACCTCAACGCAGATGCCCTGGCCGCCGTGGAGGGTGAAGCCCGAGAGAAAAGCCAGAACAAGTCATTCCGGATCGAGACATACGCCCTCGACGTCTCGAAGGAGGACCAAGTCAACCACGCCGTCAAAGACGCGGCCCAGAAGTTCGGCAGGCTCGACTATGTCGTCAACGCAGCGGGCATCGCGCTCAAGCACGAGGGCGGGGCTGCTTTTTGCAAGACGGAGGACTGGCAGCGCGTCCTGGACATCAACATCAACGGCACCTTCTTCGTGCTCCGAGCAGCCGCGGAGATCATGTTGAAGCAGGAACCCATTATCTCAACTGTCGACGGCAGGCCCCTCCAGCGAGGATCTATCGTCAACTTCAGTTCGATCCAGGGCGTGGTCGGCATAACTCTGTCTACGGCTTACACGACGTCCAAGCATGCTATCATCGGTCTTACGCGGACGGCATCGGAGGACTACGCCAACAAGGGTCTTCGGGTGAATGCAATTTGTCCTGGGTACACTGAGACTCCGATGACTACCAAATCACCGGCTGTGCTCAAGGCAATGAAGGAGCGCATCGAGACTGCTGTTCCAATGCAGCGTATGGGAAACCCTTCTGAAATCGCGGATGGCGTTCTGTACTTGGCCGGCGGGAGAAGCTCATTTGTTACTGGCTCTGCTCTTGCGGTTGATGGTGGCTATACTTCGCGATAGATTGCCGGGTTATCAAATATAAAGGTCATTAGATATTGAACAATGTTCTTGCCCTGCCATGTATGGTGCTATCAAGTCTCTTTCTCATTTTCATAGTAAGCACAGAAAATGACTGTAGATTCTAGAGCTATCTAGCGCTTCCATTGTAAGTTTTGTAAGACGCTTCGGCAAATTAGCAGACCCAACCGCCGTCCACATTATAGACAGCCCCAGTCACGAACGAAGCCTCATCACTCAGCAAGAACGCAACGACGTTTGCAATCTCAATCGGCTCCGCTCTCCGTTTCTGTGCAGTGACCTGCAGGCCACGCTTGACATCTTCCGGGTTTTCACCCTGTGACATCGGCGTGTTGACAGAACCTGTGGGAAACCGTGTCAGCCGGCCGGGTACGCTCCAAGTGAAAAGTGAGACGGGCTCATTTACCTGGTGATACGCAATTGACTCTGATCTTCTGATTCTCTTTGGCCGCTGTCCTAGTGAGGCCGATGACGGCTGCTTTGCTGGCACAGTATGCTACATTTCCTACGGCACCGAATTGGCCAAATGTGCTCGCGGCGGAGACCTTCAAGTCATTGTCAGCTTACATCATGAGTTTCATAATTTCAGAACCGATTCGCCAACATCCGAGAGTCTCAGAGGGTCTGATAGTAAAGAAGGACAGATTGGCTCTGGGGCCAACCTACAATGCTTGCTCCATCACCCATCGCTCTCAGCTGGGCCCTCACACAGAAGAAGACACCCCGAGCATTGACGTCGAATGAAAAGTTCCAATTGTCGTCCGTCACCTCGGTGATTGGAGTGGCAGGGGGAATTACACCTGCCATGTTGACGGCTCCATCCAGTCTTCCGAGTTTCTGCACCGTCGAAGTGACCCACGCGTCCACTGACTGGCTGCTGCGCACGTCGACAACAGTGAAAATGTGCTTCTCGCTACACTTCAAGGACTGGACCGCTGTCTTCAACCCATGTTCGTTGATGTCGGCGAGAGAGATGATGGCACCGCGTGACGAGAGAAGTTGCGCCGTGGCGAGCCCCATTCCGGATGCTGCTCCGGTGATAGCAATCTGGCGGAAACTTAGTTGTCATCAAGCGTGAAATGTATATGGATCCCCAGTTCTTACCACCTTGCCATCGAAAGACGATGCCATTGTGTATTTTAGAATGCTCTTCTGGATTTGGAGCAGTAAACAGTAAGGTAAAGCGGCTGCAAAGTGCATGGACATTAGTGACGGGAAATATTTGAAGATGTATCATGCTCAGGTGCTCATATCGACCTCATGTTGATATTGCCGAGCAGATCATGGAACAGAGTTGGAGGAAGTGGGCTTGATCCGAAAGTAGCAACTGTTCCCGGACCCGGCAGTCTCCGCGTCTGTCTGCCAACTAATGCAACCACATATCTTGCCTGGGAAACTCGAATCCGGACTGGACTAGTAGAACTCACTATCATGGAATGAGGACTCGTGGTCAATGGACTCGGAGTCGAAGCAAACTTGGCATCTGAGGGGCAGACCCGGTGGGCAACTGCTTTCACAATTATCAGCCAGCACGAGCATTTGATTCATTGTGCGGCACCATTGGAGAATTTGCATAGCATGTAGTCAAACTCAAGCTCAATCGTACAAGTACTTCTTACACAGGATGATTCGTGTGCGACGAGCCGTCCAGGCTTGTCCTGTCCTGCCAAGATCTTTCTATAGCGCGCAGAGTATCCTCAAAGACCTGGAGCCCGCTTTCTCGCGACGAGGACCTGAGCCAGTCGGCGAACGACTGCTGTAGCTCGAACCCCTCGGCTTCACAAGCTGCGATAAATGCGGGCCACATGAGCCTCGCAGAAGCGCAGACCTGCCTCAGGTCCATCGGTTCGTAACACATTATATAGTCTCGCGCCTTGACCACCTTTTGCTGCAAAAGAGACGCATCGACATCGTAAATCCTCCTATAAAAATAGATCGCTAGGGATTGCTGCCATGCGCCGAGGAGACTGTCCAGCCCGTCTTCGACCTGTTCTGGCCAGGGAAGGTGGTTGATAACCTCCTCCAGGCCTTTTGCCATGCTCAAAAATTCGCCCAACCTAGGAGAACTTTCTGTCCGGTCAATCTGGGCTGCATCCTTCTCCTTTCCCAGTCGTATTACGAGCGAAAGGATTGAGATCCACTGCTCCGGGATCCCGAATATCTCGGGGTACAGAGTGGCAGACCAGACGCCAGGACGCTCGAGATGAAGATCATTTTCCCCGTCATATTGGCCCTTGACCTTTGCCATCTCCTTTTGAATGTCTTTCCAGGATGAGAGCCTGAAGTGCATGCTGTCTTGGCCGACAACGACCAGCCCACTTGACTCGACAGCCTCGCGGACATGAAGACGGTGGCGGGAATTGACCTCGGACGTGATCGTGCTCTCATACAAAATCCGCTCAAAAGCGTAGCAGTGATGAAGCAGTCGGACCTTCCGGGACTTGTTGCGGCTCAGTCCCCTAAGACGGATGAACTTTTCTGCTTCTAGGAAATAGCACTCCGTCCGGTCCCGATTTCCTGAGAACATGGACACCTGCACCATCGTGATGAGCGCCATGAGAATGGATTTATACTTGGCACTTTTGGGGGGCTGGTATGCCATCTTCAGCATTTCCCGAGTGTGCTCACGGGCCAGCTGCTGGAATGCCCTGCCTTGCTGAAGCCACATTTGGCTCTCGGAAACACCGCCGATGCTCAATGCGCTGATGGCTAGGGTACCATAGAAGGCGCTGAGGCTGGCGTGATCAAGCTGCTCTCCAAGAGTCAGACCAGCGAGGCAGTTTTTGACGTGGGGTATGAACAGTACGTGCCATGGTGTCTTAGTTTGTCGAAAGGGGGGTGAGCAAGTTCAGAACTGTCGTCGAATAGTGTTTGAGGAGGAATACGGCATGTTCAGGGATGTTGTTATTGATACCTTGGGGCGCTGGAGATGATGGAGGCGGAAGGAGATCGGCTGTGGGTTGCTCGAGGGCCGTCATCTCGAAGATATCACCTGGTGCGACTGGCATGAATGTTGTCATTTGAAGTGCCGGCATGACGGCATCGTCCAGGGCCTCATGAGCGCCTCCTAGATCTCCGGACGAGTCCCAGAGATCATCAGCAAAAGCAAGTGAGGCCGGCCCCCATTCACACTGTACATGCTCCAACATCAACTCGAGTGACTGTTGCGCTGATGGCGACATCGGCATGTCCAGACTAGAGGTGTCTAAACTTTGAGTCGTGTTCGTGTCGGCCATGAGAACATGCTGAGCCACGATACGGTCACCGTCGTCGCCTTCGGTCCAGTCTATTGCAGCCGGGCTCGGTTTAGCCTTGGTGGATCCACCATGGCCTTTGCCCAAACTGAAGACACTAAAAGGCCTGCGGTAAATGTAAAGGTCGTCATCAGGAGACGCCTCCTCGCACTCATCGTCGATCTGCATGATATACCTAAAGGCTGACTTTGGCAGGACGCTAACAGTCAACTACTCGCTCATTGCCTGGCGCTCTCGCTCGCTGAGCATGAACTGCCGGAAGCGGAGGCGGCCGCCTGCAGAGGCGCCATTGCGGTCGTCGGAGCTGAAGAAGATGCTCTTCTCATAACCACCACAAGCCAGACCGGAATCTCGGCAAGCAGAACATGACGGCCGGCCTTCGTCGCATTTCATATGGCGCTTTCGGCACTGAGGAACGCCGGCATCAACAAATGTGGCACTTGGGGGCCGGCGGGGGCACCGGGGGCACCGGGGGCACCGGGGTTCGGAGCATCATACCGCGGAGCATCCGCCAAAAGAGCGAGCCGGGACCGTGACGTCGTCGGGCTGCGGCGCGTGGCTCGCAGTCAACATCTTGGAGGTGGACCCGTCTGCATTCCCAAAAATTGCATCATCTCTCACTGCAGGGGCTGGAAACAACTTCTCGTCGGACGGAGAGGAAACTTAACCCATGGGAAGGTCACGGCGCATGACTTGGGACGAGAACAACCCTGGAGTTTGGGCCCAACGCCGGCCCCGCCAAGGCTGCACTTCACTGAGAGGGAACGAAAGAGGAAAGTTATCGCGGCCCAGTGATCCCCAAGTGCAGCCTAGATAAGATTGGCCGGCAACACCGTGCAATGCATCTCTTCCACAATGGCAAGATCCAGCAATTCTTTGATAGAGGACGATCAAGTCTGGTTATAACAAATCAATCAATTTAGTTCAACGGAGATATAAAAACCTCACAGCAGTCAAGAATTTCGACCGCTGCTAGTAAGGCTCGATGCAGACAGATGGCCGTGCTTGTCAAGCCACTGCTGATTGCATTTCAAGCCACAGGTTTCTCTACATGAAAAAACTTACCAAATACCAGCGACCAACGGAGAAGCAGGTGTAGGCCTTGATTCCAACGAGGAAGACAACTGCCCTCCGACACAAAACGTTGCGGCACTGGCAACCATCACCGTGCAACAAATCCAGCGGGTCTGACCGTCGACGGAACAGGGACCCAAAAATGATGGCCTGCCTAGTGTCACAAGCCCATGACCGAAAAGTGCGCTATGTGTAACCACATGGGATTGGCCGTGCCGAAAGCAATCCAAAACTGATGGGAGGATCGCCGAGGAAAATTGTGGTTAATTGGCGAATTCGTTGATTCGAATCCATATACAGTAGATCCAGGGTCCCTGAATAGGTCTCTGTTCATGGTGGAACATCTACCCGACCTATTAGCAGGCTCGCCATTAATCAGCCGCCTCACCTCGCCTTCTGACCCGGCTTATCGGGCCTGTATCTGGCCTATCGATAAGAATAGACCGCAATTTTTCAGCTGCCCAAGAGCCGAACCCAAGTCTGACCGACGAATGCAGATTTCGCTTTACCCCCCGTGGGATTTCTGCAGCCGACCCTTTCGATTTTCCTTCTCTCGTTCAACCACGGTCGCCAACTCACGCTCCATCCCCCTTTTCCCGGCTGCTTCTTGCACGCCAACCTCTCCACTCCTTCTTTTTTTCTTCTTTCTCTGCGGCAAAGCAAGATCACCTTGCTGCAGATTTTCCGACATTCTGTAATCTGGGAATGCCGCATTCGGTTTCACCTGAAATGAACCCGCCGACCGTCGTCGCAAATGGCGACGCCCCGCCACCATCGCAAGCCGATGTGTCGGCTTTCATGGAGGCTATCTTCAACGCAAAGACCTCCAACGCCTCGGTCGATGCCGCCTACGGTCTCTGCGAACTCCTTCTGAACTCGCCCAGCGTCGGGTGCCGCGGTTTGGAATCTTACGGCATCCTCGCCGAGATCAAGAAGGCTGCGTCTGACAAGAAGTCCGGTCTCCGGAGAGAGAGCGCGCAGAACCTTCTTGGTGCACTCCTCGAGCGCTTCCCCCCACGACAGCCCGTTTCCGAAGTCATCTTCCTCGTCAAGGATGGCGGCGTCATCGCTTGCGCCCTCGACGCCCTTGCCGACAAGGGCTCCGTTGTCCGCGACGCAGCACAGTACGGCATCGATGCCCTCTTCAACCACCTGAGCCCCGAGGCTCTCGTCGTCGGCCTCCTCCCTGCCCTCCAAAGATACCTGTCCAAGACAACTGGCAAGTGGCAAGGCACTGTCGGCGCTTTAAAACTCATGCAGAAGATGGCCGACAAGGCTAAGCTCGAGTTCGGTGGCACAAAGGAGGAAGCCCACGAAAAGGACGTTTTGCGCGAAATAATGGGTGCCAAGCTGGCCGGCCTGATCCCACTCGTCGAGAATGGCATGCACGACTTGAAGCCCGAGGTCGAGAAGCAAGCAGTCAAGACAATGGACTCGCTCACCGCCCTCCTGCAAAACGACGACGTGGCCCCCAAGTTGCCTCTGTTGCTCGAGGCTATGCGCAAGCCTTCTCCGGACGCAGTATACAAGGCCATCCATGCTCTTTCGCAGACAACTTTCGTTGCGATTGTCACATCCCCAGTTCTCGCCCTCCTGACGCCCTTCCTCGAGCGGTCTCTCCACAACCCGTCCACACCCCAAGAAACCCTGCGAAGGACGGTCGTCATCACCGAAAACCTCACCAAGCTAGTGCACGACCCGATCGAGGCACGTACCTTCTTGCCAAAGCTGAAGCCCGGTGTCAAGGGCGTCTTCGACCGTGCATCCCTTCCCGAGGTCCGTGAGCTCGCCCAGAGAGCGTTGGATGTCATGGACAAGGCTATGGCCACCGACAAGGATGTGGTTGAGCGCATCAACGCCGACGATGTTGCCAAGATTGTTGATGCCGAGATCAAGAACAACGGCGGCGTCACCGGCGACGTGGAGCTGTTCAAGGTCGCAAAGCCGTACGTCTGTGAACTCATCGCCGAAGACGTCAACCACCGCTACGTCAGCCGCATCGCCGGAAAGCTTGCGCCCTATCTCCAGGGTTTCGTGAAGGGCTCTGATGCCCACCAGGCTGTCGCGGACGCTGTGCAAAAGTACTACGTTGACGAGGATCATCGCAAGTTCGGCGAGCCTGAGAAGGAGGATGACGGAGAGGTCGAGATTGTTAACGCCGATTTCTCCCTGGCCTACGGCGGTATGCTCCTGCTCTCGCACACTAACTTGCGCCTGTTGAAGGGTCATCGCTACGGACTGTGCGGTCGCAATGGTGCCGGAAAGTCGACCTTGATGAAGGCTATTGCTGGCGGCAAGCTGGAAGGGTTTCCCCCTCAGGATGTCCTCCGAACCTGCTATGTCGAACACAACCAGGGCGAGGATGCCGATCTCAGCATCCTCGACTTTGTTGCCAAGGACCCTGAGATTACAAAGCTCGGCACAGGCATTGAACGTATTTCGGAAGTGCTCGCAGAGTTCGGTTTCACCTCTGGCCCCGATGGCCGACAAGCTCAAAGGGTCGGCTCCCTGTCGGGAGGTTGGAAGATGAAGCTCGCACTGGCCAGGGCCATGCTGCAGAAGGCCGACGTCCTGCTGCTGGACGAACCTACCAACCACTTGGATGTCGAGAACATTGCATGGTTGGAAGAGTACCTCAAATCGCACACAGAGATTACTAGTCTGATTGTCTCTCACGACTCCGGCTTCCTGGATAACGTCACAACGGACATCTACCACTACGAACCGGGCAAGAAGCTTGGTCACTTCAAGGGTAACCTCAACGCTTTTGTCAAGGTTCGCCCCGAAGCGAAGAGCTACTACACCCTGTCCGCCAGCCTGGTACAATTCAGATTCCCGCCACCTGGTATCTTATCTGGCATCAAGTCACAGACCCGTGCCATCGTTCGTATGACGAATGTCAGCTACCAGTATCCCAAGGCTCCAAAGCCATCCTTGGCCGACGTTACCTGCCAGCTTTCTTTGTCGTCTCGCATTGCTGTCATCGGGCCCAACGGTGCTGGAAAGTCGACACTTATTAAGCTGTTGACAGGCGAAGTCATCCCAACAGCTGGAAAGGTGGAGAAGCACCCAAATCTGCGTATCGGTTACATCAAACAACACGCTCTTGAGCACGTGGAGATGCATCTTGAGAAGACGCCCAACCAGTATCTCCAGTGGCGTTACCAAAACGGCGATGACCGAGAGGTTCACTTCAAGGAGACAAGAGCTCTGTCTGACGCAGACCGTGCTCAAATGGAGAAGCCAATCGACATGGGAGATGGAAAGGGTCTCCGACAGATCGAGACCCTCGTTGGTCGACAGAAGTACAAGAAGTCCTTCCAATACGAGATGTAAGTTGACCGCAACTCCCCATTCTCTAACTTAATGAGTAAGCAGGTGACTAACATGATTGCAGTCAATGGAAGGGATGGTTGCCCAAGCATAACTCCCAAATCAGCCGCGAGACCCTCATTGAGCTCGGTTTCGACAAGTTGGTGCAGGAGTTTGATGATCACGAGGCCTCACGGGAGGGTCTCGGTTACCGTGTCCTTGAGCCCAAGGTCATCTCTCAGCACTTTGAGGATCTTGGACTTGACCCGGAGATTGCCAACCACAATGAGATTGGATCGCTGTCCGGCGGTCAAAAGGTCAAGGTTGTCATCGCTGGCGCCATGTGGAACAACCCTCACTTGCTGGTGTTGGATGAGCCGACCAACTTCTTGGACCGTGACTCGCTAGGTGGCCTGGCTGTTGCTATTCGCGACTTCAAGGGCGGTGTGGTGATGATCAGTCACAACGAGGAGTTTGTAGGTGCGCTGGCCTCGGAACAGTGGCACGTGCGGGACGGACGCATGACACACAAGGGCAGCAACGCAATCTCCCTGGATCGCTTTGAAGACTCTCGCCCTGGCTCTACCGCCCCGTCGTCTGGTGTCAGCACTCCCGTCAACGGAGCGAGCACGGCGGTCAGCAGCCATGAACAGCGCTGTCAACAGCGGAGTGGAGGACAACATCGACACGCCGCTCAACTTCAAGGCCAAGAAGAAGAGGAAGATGACCAAGAAGGACCTGAAGGAGCAGCAGGCCAGGCGTCGGTTGAGGCACATCGAATGGCTGAACAGCCCCAAGGGCACACCGCACCCTCCTGACACGGACGACGAGGACGCGTAAATAGTAGGCTATGGAGCCTTTCTGCTTGACGATTGGACATGAAGTTTCGTGCTTTTTTCAGTTCTGCGAGAACATGGCAGCGAACGCCACGCTTGGCATTTAGGGGAACCTTAAAAAGAAAGAGGTGGATAGAGCTGATGCTTATAGACGGTCGGCGTTTCGATATAGATGGGTTGGGGCATCATGATTTCGGATAGAGTAGACTCGACCATGGTCCACTTCATACTTTTTCTAATGGTTTATCAAGTTATGTGCATCGATTTTTCGAGCCTCTAAGCCTCGTTCTCGTGACATGTCTTTTTGATCAGTGTTGTCTATGAATTCCACGATGTCTTCAAAATTCCCCATTAACCCCCCGATTATGGCCGTCGAGACTTTCGGTGAGGGTTAAGGTCGGTAGATCCACCAAACCCCTGACCCGCCGCGGGTAAATTGGGCTCTTCCCAATCGAGCCGCCGGAGGGCCCGCGCCGGAAATACGGCTTGTATCAAGACTCACCGTCTCCTGAACATGATCTCTCACCTGAATATCATGCTGCTGTTCTTTTTCACAGCATCCCATGGTGCTCTACAGTATTCACCCTCACGACGCCGGCCGGTGAAGAGCTCGACCTGAACCATGGGGAACGACACGTACACGTCGGTGCCGCTGGACGACGACGGCCCCTATGCGCTGGGCGCGGCTGAGAAGCGGCAGAGGTCGCCGCGGCTCGAGAAGGCTGTGAAATGGGCGTGCCTGTCCCTCCTGACGATTGTGGTGTTTCTGCTTGGGTTTACGGCTGGAGACAGTTATGGCAAGACGGTCAAGGCGGCGGTGTCGATGGGTGGACATGAGGAGGCTGTGGCGGGTGGCGACAGGGGCAAGAACGGGACATTATTACCACCACAGGCATTCGTCCCGGACTGTGAGTTGAGCCTCGGATACTTGAGCTTTTGAGGAAGAGTGGCTGGCTGGCTTGGTGGAACCTTGAGGGCTGACGAGGTCGATGGCAGTCCCCATGAAGGAGGTCAAGTTTGACTTTCCCACCGACTACGAGGACACGAGTGTCGAGGGGGATAAGCTGTGGGATAAGCTGATGCCCAGTAAGTGACGTCTGCCTCTCTCCAGGCGGTGTCATTCGTACGGCCGCTAACAATGGCCCGAGTCGGATCTGGCTTTGTGCGCGTCCCACATCCAAGACGGTTCGACATGCCGGCCAGCAAGACCATTGAGGACGACCCTGAGGAGGCAGAGATCTACTCCCTCTCAGCGCTGCATCAACTGCACTGCTTGGTATGATGCAACCCACCACCTTGACACTTAACTCTTGTTTTTTTAGAGTCAGACATTTGCTCATCACCCTACCCAAAAACAGGGCGTCATCAGGGACGTGGTGAAGAAGTACGAGAAGCACGACAAGTCGCGCTTCGCCGGGGCCGGCCACGAGTATCACTGCATCGACTACATCCGGCAGAGCATAATGTGCTCGGCGGACACGACGCTCGATTTCGCAGAGCTGCAGCCGGACGGGAGGAGGAAGGGCTTCTCCGGGGCCAACTCGACGCACCAGTGCGTGGACTGGGACGCTCTGACCGCGTGGGCGGTCGAGAACCGTGCTGGAGACAAGGCGGGGATCGCGTGAGGATAATGTGTAGTGTGTCTTAGCGAGAATTACTTATCCATCCATTGCCTTGTGTTGTGAACGGCCTGAATGTGACAGAAGGGGTGTCCATGATTGTCGCATACGTGTCGTAGTAGGTGCAGTCATGGTAGCGAGTCCACTGGGCTAGCCACATATCTACGGTATGCCAACACGACTCTGCAGCACCCGAGTAGTCTTGGACATAAGCGCGCACATTTGAATTGCATGCTGGTTGTCAAATGTTGTTTCCAAAAGACAACACATCTCCGTCCTCAGAGGACAAGCGGACCTGCGAGAAACTTCCTGGTGAACTGTAGAAGAAGGCGGACAGTATCAAAAAACCACAAGAGAAATTCAAAATTCTACTGAGTAGCCACTACCTTGAATCAACCGAAATATTCTTACTCTGCCCTCTTTGTACGCCTGTGCAATGCCGGCAATTTTGACCACTATTCATAAACCCACTTGATCTCTCGACTGCACTTTATAACTCAGGCCCTCATGGTCCCTGTCGGAACCGTTCCACTTCCCTCTGGCTTGATTGTCCCGCCTGAATCCAGCACCCTGGAGCCCTGCTTACCTCTGATTTCAAGCAACTTTCAGGTGTAAATCTTACCAAGAGAATTTCATCAGGGCGGGGTTCAGGGCAATAGGCAACAGCATGTGCGAGACAGCGACCGTCGCCATGGGCAGGATAGCCACGAAGTCGGTGATGCGCCAGCCGTAAGGTATGAAAGGTGCGACGCCCAAGATAATCATGACGACGATCGTAGTAACAGAGAATATCATCGAGTAGCGGAACTGTGAGTAGGAACATGTCAGCGTTATCACTTTATGCCGGCGAGACTTGACTTGAGTGAATCGGATGGGGGTGGGGTGCCTTAGTGGGCGTGGGGGGGGGGGGGATGCGTTGATCCATGATAGAGCTACGTACCCTCTTGATGACCCTGGGAACCTCGATCCAGAAGTTGGAGAACTCGGCCTCCTTGCTGGTGGCGCCCCAGGTCATGTCGATCTCGAACATGTGCGACAGGATGGCCTGTGAGACGTGCAGGCTGAGGCCGCCGAGGAAGATGGCCAGGAGGACCATCCACTTGAGGTTCTCGAGCAGGCAGCCGAAGAAGCTCATCTGGTGGCCGCGGTAGCGCATGGCGGCGAGGCCGATGTTGCCGAGGCCGTTGAAGACGATGATGATGGAGAACCAGACCTGCCACGAGTCGACGTAGTAGCGGTCGAGGTAGTCGCTGAACCAGCCGTAGAGGAAGTAGTTTGTGCTCGTCATGATCCAGGCCGCGGCGATGGCGTAGTAGGTGCCGATGTACGACACCACGGTGATCTTGGACGTGGTCGGGATGCCCGAGCACAGGAACTTGCGGAACAGCGGCGTGAAGGGCCCCATTACGGGCCACTTGCGGATCGGGTGGAACAGCAGCTCGTTGCAGCCGTACGCGTACTTCTCCCAGCGCGCCAGCTCGTCGTAGACCGTCAGGGACACACCCTCCTTGAAGTCCTCGCCGGCCCAGGTGGCGAGGCGGATGATGTAGCTCGAGCACTGGAGGCGGAGGGACATGTCGAAGTCCTCGGACACGTGGGACTCGGACCAGAACTTCTCGTAGCCGTCCTCGTCCTCGTAGCTGACAGTCTGGAGGGCGGACCAGCGGAGCACGGCGTTGTGCCCGACGAAGGGGGCGACATCGCCGTTGGCGACGGTGTAGCGAATGGCAGAGTAGATCAGGTTGGTGAAGAACGTGATGCCGTTCTCGAAGTACGTGTGGACGACCTGCATGACGCCGGATGAGAACTGCAGGATCCCGACCTCGGGAGACTGCTCCATCTCTGACACGGAGTCAAGCAGACAGTCCTCGGGGACACGAGTGTCAGAGTCGATAAGCAAGATGTAGTCGCCAATGCGGATGTTGCCGTCCATCCACGCACGACCTTCCATCTCCTTGTTCACCTCGGCCAGAGCGTCGCAGTAGGCCTGCGCCTCGTCTTTCTGGGTCCACCTGGCGTGGCGCTGGACGCGAACCAGCTTGTCCTCGAGCCTGCACGAGATCATGAGGGCGTAGTTCATGTTGGAGGCCTTCTTGAACTTGCCGCGGCGCTGGAAGCCCTTGTCTCCATGACGGGGCCGAGCCGTCCAGCCGATGCCGTTCTCGGAGTAGAACTGGATGCGGGCCTGGCGCTCCTCCTCGTCCAGCAGCTGCAGCCCGTCGTCGTTGATGAACAAGTTCGCCGAGCCGCCTTGGAGCTCGTAAGTCGTCATGGCGGCCTTGACGGACTTGACGGTGGGCATGATGACACCGGCAAGGCCTTCCTTGTAGACGGGGCACTGGATGGTGACGTGGGGAAGGATGGAGTTCTGCAGGCGAGTGGACGTTTCTGCTGAGAAGAACTTGGAGTTGGTCTTCATCTGGCGGACGGGGCCGACCATCTGGGCACCGGACCCCCAGATGACCTGACAGAAGAAGAGGGTGAAGAAGATGGAAATCGGAAACAGGCTGATCAGTGCTATGCGAAGCCATGCCAGGTCCAAAGCCGACTCGATGACGAGTTGCCGCAGGGCAGCTCCAATAGAGGCAGTGATAAGACAGAGGGTCAGGCTGACCAGCACGGCGTTCTGCTTGTGCCTCTGTCTCTTCTGGGGGTTGATCTCGCCAGTCTCTGCATCGACCATCTGCTCTTTCTTTTCCGTCCCGAAGACATTGTCAGCCGTGGCCCCATCCGCGGGCGCCTCAGTCCTCCAGACGAGGCGCATGAGCTCGTCCTGGATGCTTGTCGCTCGTTCGATGAGGTGCATTGCGTCGTCATCCCACACGACGAGGAGACCCTCAGCCGCGAGGAAGGCCGCGCATTGCTGCTTCCTTGCCCTGGCCAGGTCCCGTACGCCGGGCAAAATCTGGATGCGGAGGCCATTCTTCAACGGCACGTCAATAGCGCCCGGGTTCCACGCCAGAAATGACTTGATGATGCGGGAATTTACCGTCATGGCGCACTGCTTGTGTTAGCTGTGGTCCCTTTCCACCTTCTACAGGGAAGATGACGAGCTCACCTGAACGCCCAGGGCGGCCATGGACTGTGCGAACGCCGAGGCAGCAAGCTCTGGGGGACAGCTCATGTACTTGTCAGCGGTCTTGCGCACAACGACGCCCTCGAGGACGCCGTTGCCGTCCGAGACCCAGAGGCGAGAGCACTGTTGCTGGTACAGGTGGTTCACCATGACCTCATGCCTGATGTCGTCGAGGAATGTCGCCCTGGCCTTGATACGCCCCGCGCGCCCCGGGAGGCTCTTGGCCCGCGACTTTTGCTGGCTCGGGGCGGCATGGCGGTCGGTGTCCCGGCCACTGGAATTCCTTGCCGACAGCGAGCCCTGCCTCGAGAGCCTACTGCGGCGCCCGCCGCGGCTTGGCGTTTGACTCCGGGTGTTGCTTTTGGGTCGCCGTGTCTGGTGGTGCGTCGACTGAGATGGCGGTCTGCTGCTTTCCGGCTCGGTGGATGGGAGCCGGGACACTGGTGAATAGCTGCGCTCCATACTCGCTTGCATGTTGTTGGTTTGGATTGTGTTGAGGGATTCAAAAACAGGGAGGATGGCGTCGTCCATTGAGGAGTAAGCCTCACAGACGGGAAGAGACCTCGAGATAATCAATGGTATTGAGCCCTGTCATGGATCGCGGAAACCGAGAATACAGTTGTGCAGGCGGCTAGGTTTGACAGTACCAGGAGGGCACAAAACGCAAGAGACCCAACAAGATGCAAGGTGAAAAATCCTTTGATAGAGGCAGAACAAGATGTCTTGCAACTCTGTGATATTCTTTTTGCATGTTGCAGAAGCTAATTTTGTGAAAGCGCGGAGGGAACTGAGAACCACGAACAAGTGCCGACTGGATCAGCTAAAGGTCCTAGGGAGCTGGCTAAGTCGAAACGATCAAGGATTGGGCCTTGGCTAGTAAGTTTGGTGGTCCATAAAGCAATCATGAGATGCGAGGCTGAGTTTCCAGAACGTATCGAGGTGATATGTCCATGTTAAAGATTTACTTGTGTTCCTCGCGTATGCGCCAGACCTCTCGGGCAGACGCTTAGTGCTACTAGTGCATGCAACGGAGCACGGTAATGGGTTGCATGATCACCTCATCACCTTTAGGTGCCTTAGGGTGCCTTGACAAGTTTCTGCTCTATCTGTGTTATCTAAGAAACTTGGAACTGGTGCACAAATCATAATAATAATAATGATAATAAAAAAGATGCGGCGAAGATTTGGATGAATGTGAGAATAAACGGCAACGATCTCTGATCAACTTGGAGAGGTGCAGACTCTCATGTCAGTCTACCAAATGGCAGCATCCCATGCTTTGGAGTGCTACCAGAAGCAATGACTCTCTTACTCATTTCCCATCGCACTCTTGCAGCATAGTGACCTTCTTGACCTCCATATACGGCTGAGTCCACGTGGGCATCCACTTGTCCCGAGCCTCCCAAAACTCCTTTGGCGCGTTCTTGGATGTGTCCAGCCAGGGCTTCCCGTCCTTTCCGTCCTTGAACCAGCCGTTGGTGCCACCAACCGCCAGGTTGAGGATCAGATAGAATTCCTGGTCGAAGGGGGTGTTGTCCCGGTGAGTCTGCGACCAGGGATCGATGAGGGCCGTCCCGTTGGAGTTTGCCGGAGGGAACTTGCCACGCTTCCACATCGGCTTTGCGAAGGGGGTGTACATGACCATCATCAGCCGGTTGTTGATATATGTGAAGACGTACTTCTCTGACCACTCGAGGCCGAAGGTGTTGAAGCCCTCCGAGTAGACGCTGTGCCTGGCGGTTCGCCTCTTGGATGTCTGCCACCACCTGTCGGTGGCGTGCTCAGGACCCCAGTGGAGCGTAGATGATATGACGTTGTCGCCTCCCTGGGAGTAGGTGTGGTTGTTGCCACGGGACTCGGCGATGTCGATTTCGCCCGAGGCGGGCCAGGGCCCGTAAGTGTCGTTGACCGGCATCATCCAGATAGCGGGCCAGAGCCAGTCACCCTTGGGCATCTTGGCAACAACTTCGACTCGGCCATATTTGATCTTCTTGCTGTGCTTTGTGTTGATGCGTGCAGAAATGACTGGGGGCACGATAGATGAATTCCCCGGTTTTGTACTCGTGGCTCTCACGCACTTGTAACGCTCGTTGCTTGTGCACCTGCCGCGCAAGTCCCTGGTGTATTCCTTGTTGATCTTGTCTTCATCTTGCAGCGTAGCCTTGAGGAACAGACTGCCGTCGTTGACATAGAGATTCGTATCCTCGTCCGTGGTCTCCTCAAACTCGCCGTTGCTGTCGAAGAGGAAATACGTCAGTTTCGTTGATGTAGCCACTGACAGACAGGAAATGGTACTCACCCGTATTCGCCAAGCTGTATCTCAGGTTGCCAAATGTTACGATCGATTATTCCATGGGAGAAGTCATCGATCAAGACTGGGCAGTACTTGTGGTCAATGACATTGCGAAGGCCATCCCAGATCAGGACTCCCGCAATTCCAATGCCGACCAGCAACCCGATAAGAGGGATGATTTCGATCCACTTCTCGGCGGGATCCCTGGGCTCCTTGACCCACGGCTTGATTACTTCATCTTTGCGGACGCGACGGCTGTGGAAGTATCTTGCGCGGCCGGGCCTGTAATCATTGCCACTAGGTGCAGTCGAGTCACTGAGGGCTGAGGCTGATTTTGGGAGGTGCTGCGAGCTCGCGAAGGGGTCTGTGGCTGGCTGGGAGGATTTCACGGAGTGGTCGGTGAAAGGATCTTCGGCGGAGGCGCTGGCCGAGGCGTTGGCTGGGGCGTTGGCCTTGGAGGAGGAAGCCCTGGTCGGGCGAGGCCGTCTCCGCTGAGTGGCGTAGCTGTGCGAGAATGGGTTGTCCATTACGTGTGTTATTTTCAGTTCTCGTGTTGCGACCACAGTTGGGCTGGGTTGAAGGTTGACTGAAGTATGGGTGAAGCCGAACCAGGAAGAGAACACGGGGAATTTAAACGCGATAGATGTGGGTAACTGGGTGCCGCCGCTACAGGAAACTAACACGGCTCGACTTGATTTTCTTGGTCTAGTGATAATATCGGGGCGTTCCCATCTGTACTTAAGTATGCCGAAGTGCATAGTTGGTGGCATGACCAGCACTGGCTTCTGGTGGGATGGATTGCCTGCTCGAGCTGTGTCTGTCTAGGATTCCAACTCGGACCCATCTGCATGACATGGGGATTTATGGCAGAGTGCAGAATCAGCCGACAAAGCAGCCACGCGGAAATCATGGTGCGTATCCATACATGCACCTACTACCTACCTAGGTGGGTATATAGGTACGTCGGTGCATGTTCGGACTGGCCAAACTCGATCAGTCCAGCCTTGGGGCCGGTCCGGGGCCGCATTGGAGGCAGGGTGGGGCCCCGGGCAGGTGGGTCCATCCCTGCAGCACCGCTCGACCACTCCGCTTTCACGGTTGCAGCTGCCGATTTCCTCTTCGGGCAGTCGCGAGGCTGGGCATCAAGAAACGTCGTTGCTGCCAACACAGACAGGCATGTACAGTGAACATGGCACCATTTGGCATTCTACAGTAAACCTGGGTATTGTGCATACATCCGACTGTCCACCTGTGGAAGTCTAGAAGAATTGTGAAGTCTTCAAAGTGCCCGAAAGCATGGAAGGTCCACAAGCACGAAATCCAGAAGCATCATTTAGTATGGGATGATGCTGCACAAATTAGCAACCCAAGACGTCTGTCTGCTCACAGTACAGTAACTCTGCGTAGTACCTGGCCCACAACCGGCCCGACCTCGATGGTCTCCACGGCAGACTCGACTGAGTCGTTGGACGCTGGGCCGTGAGATTCTACCGTGAGCCTCCACGGCCCCAGCTCGCCGACAGTTGGCAGGGGTCCGGACGCCTCTGGTATCAATACTGTCTCGTTACGGTCGCTGAGAACCACCTCCGCCGCGTCGGCATCTGCGACATACGCTTCGAGACCTCCTGACGGCGTGACACGGACCTCGGCGATGTTCTCCGAGTGTGACAGTATGTTGCGACCCCTGGCAACATCGCTCTGCACGAAAGCGACGAATCGGGACTGGAACTGTTCCAACGTGACAGGAATCTGGAATCCGTCATCGTTCGTTTCATAAACCGCGATTGGTTCTTGTGAGCCTGTCCGGGCGTCAAAGAGATATGGCACAACGTCCGTGGTTGGGATGTTGAACTGGAGGGTGAATGTTGCCTTTGTGCCATTGTTGAGGATAAAAACGAAGTCTTCGGACGACTGGTTGGTGCTGCACGACCTCCACAGGGTGTAGAGTCCAGTCGCATCCGAGCCCGGAGATGAAACTACTCACAAGCGTGGCTGGATTCCCTGGTCGACGAGGTCGTCGACGATGGAGTCGACCGGTTTTGATGGGTATTGATACACGTTTGTCCGGGAGAAAAGTACCTCAATGTTGTCAGTCAGCTCTTTCTGGCCAGTAGAGCCCATGGATGTTGTCGGGGCAGAGCCAGTGATAAAGATGGGCAGACCGGCTTCAGAGAAGGTCAGTAGCGCTGCGGATTCCTCTGCCAGTGGAGTGAGGTACTGTTGCTCAAAGAGGACCAGCGCTTTGTAAGAGGGGCCGTCTTTGGCAAGAACTCCATCTTCAACAACGGCTGCTGGTGATAGCAGGTCAGAGGGGCTGATGTATTCGTAAGTGTAACCTATGCACACGATACTGTATCAGCTGGTGACCACCCAGCACATGCTGGGCAAAGTTCACATACCTTTTGCATCGAAGCCCTCCGTCGGGTAGAGCACTTTGCTGACATCGAAGGACGACGTGTAATTCACAAAGGCGAAATCGAGCTTCGCTACGCCCTTCCGTAGCAGTTGTTGGTTGCGTCCGGCCCAAAGGATGGTGTCGTTGAGGCGAGTCCACGCTGGCTGTGAAGGATTCCACATCTCAGTCCAACTAGCAGGCAAAAATACGTCAGCTCCATATATCCGCCATACTGGTGTAACTTGCGCAGCATCTCGACCTACAGATACCAGAGCACCGTGTATCCCGGCCACGAGGTGTGGAGACATTCCCCGCTATACGCACAGCCGTGGAGTGTGATGCCGTTGACGCCACCGGCGAATGCCCCAGTCGCCAGGTTGACGATGTCTGTGACCCTGGCTCGGAATGCGCCCAACGCCGTCTGCCCGAACTCCTCGGTGATGACATTGCGGCCAGCCAGGTGGGCTGCCCCAACAAATCTGCGGCATGGGGCGATGGATCCGGGGTTCGCCTCAAGCTCGGGGATACTGGTCACCGCCACGGCCTTGGACTGGTCATTGGGTTGGTTGAATGCTGGCTGGTGTTGAAACGCGAAGCCTCTTGTTGCCGCCCAATCCCCCATGTCCTTGATAAATCCGCCATACCCAATATCAAGGGCTGCACGGTAATCCTGAGAGTACTTGCCGCTCTCTCCGAGGCTTTCACGGGGCTCATCACCTGTAAAGTAGGAGTGATTATATGGGGCGGCGAATTGAAAGAACATGTTGCTCTTTTGGAAAAGCAAGGGCAAGTATTTGTTCACCGAGTACCCTGTATATGGATAATATTCGAGTTGACTGGGTCCTGGAATTAGAAGCTGTCAATTTTTACATACCGTGGAGCTCCTCAAAGATTCTCGGCAGATCAGGCGTCCACCATAGCGCCGCCTGCAACTCGGGTCCATCCTCGTATGCTGCAAGATGATGAGCAGGGGACTTAACTAAAAGTCGAGGCGTATGGAATGAGAACAAACCATGGTGAAAGGATTGATTTAGTGCAGAAGCAATCCTCTCTTCTGACAAGAGCTCCCTGTCCCAAAATTCCGTGGTTTTCTTCGCCCCTTGGGCGCTGTAATGGTCGACAACCCAAGAGCCGTTCTGTGGGTAGTCGGTGGCTTTGCTGGAACCGATGCAGTTTCGCTGATTTGTGTAGCCCTCCCAGACTCCGAAGATAACCCAGCTGCCAGGAGAAGGTGCTGTCCAGCTCAAGGCGCCGTCGACTGTGAGGTTGATTATGTCAGTCAGACTGGCCTCGTCGAGCACAATCACCCCACCGTCTTCCTTCACGACTCTGCCAACAACGGCTGCCAGTATTGAATTCTTGCCCCATACCTCTGGTAGATTCATGGCGTCTCCAATATCGGGAGACATCGCATATTCGAACTTCGGAGGTGGTACAGTGAGGTTGAAGGCAGCCTGGGCAGAGATATCGTCCCCAATTGTCAGCCTTGTCTCTCCCAGGACGAGCTGTCGCGCCAGGCCCTCCGTCTGCGGTTCTGCCGGCAGCCCCGAGCCTTGTTGGGCCCCCAGCTGGATGTCGAGTTGAATTCCAAGTACTGCACTCGTATCAGCTGCGGCTGACAAGATATCTTTGTATGCTTGTTGGCCGAAGCCATAGATCGACCAGTCAGTAACCTCTGGCCCCAATCCGTAGCCGTAGAAGGGTACGAGCAATAGACCACCGACACCTGAGTCTGCTATGTTCTCAACATCCTGTACAACAGTCTCGACTGGAGCTGATGCATCTGGTAGCCTGTTACCTCCTTGTAAGTCGCTCAGCCGGCCCTTTCAGCCTCGTACAGCTTGGAGTGCGCTCACCAGTATGGGAACTTGGGCATGACCCATCATGGAGGCGTTTCGAAGTCTTGTAAAGGGTCTACATTCGCGTGAACGAGTCCTAGTATACTAAGTACCAGCAAGTTACTGCGCATCATGTTTGTGACGAACGGCCCCTGTATCCAAGCTTGAGTGACAGCGAACAATCGAGCGAGAAGTGATGATTGTAGTCTTCACTCTCTCCATGATGACCGCTGAGAATGCAGAGACTCTTTATATACATGGTGCAAAATCGTGTCGTATGGAGTATTCTGTATTGCATCACAGCGGATGTTCTATTGTCATCATACAAATCCCACATATAGATTTTGGTTACAATACCCACTAACAAAATACGCGTATCTTAAAAGTTTGCCAAGCAAACATCCCCGGTGTCCTCGGCGCCGGGTCGGTGCCAGTTCCAGCGCCGATGTGAAGAGCCTCCTTTAATTGCTGATTACTGGACCTGACTAACATGCCCCCTTCGAATCCTGTAATCAAGGGGCGTCCGGAACTCCGGAAGCTTGTGGCTTAGCAATGAGGAAAGCGGGCCGTCCACCAGGAGCATCCACACAAGCATCCTGACGCCTTACGATGACGATCAAAACTCATCGCAGAACGTAGATACTACTCTGACCGGGTGCCTTGTGGAATGGTGGTATTACAGTTACGACTGTGGTTGTTACCAAGGGGGGAAATTTCATCCGAACCTGGAGCCTCTCCCGTGTGAGCCAGAGGGGACATACAGTCACCATAATCTAATGGCTCCAGTCAGGGATGGAACTTACTCTCGGTCATATTCAACTTCCATGGCTACATCTATGGCGTAGAAGCTGATTGTATCATGATTCTCTTTAATGGCTAGCTATTCAGCTAGAGAACGCCGCACCGACCAGGATTTTCACGGATTTTGTGGTCTCTGACAATTGTAACACCTGGATAATACTGACACCGCGCCATCACATGCAAGCCAATGAAAGTTTTGGATGATTAAAACCACTGTGCAGCAACAGTTTTGGAATCTCAGATAAAGCGCAAGTATGGAAGTCGCAACACAGACATCGGCCTGGCTGGCACTTGCACCTTCACTATGTGAAATCGAATTGTGACTCCCGTCTCTGAGCTCAGCTCGTGCCTTCTCTAGACATTGTAGCCATCAGGGTTTGTTTGTTTTCCGGAACCTGTTCCCCTGATAGTTCGAACTACGTCTTGCTCTCACATCAGACTTCAGCATCTTCCAGAGAATAGCTGCACGCCTTTGAACTAATTCGCTCAAACCCATATTTCGGACACTCAAGCATTATCATAATGAACGAGTCACGCCCCTTTTACATCTTAGCCATGCTCTTGAGCCTCGGAGGTCTCGTCTTTGCCGAACTTGTTTCTCAAAATGACTTGTTCCGCGCTCTCGCTCGCTACGAGAGCGTATCGACGTATTACAATCTCCTCAAGGTAAGGGCTGATGGTCCCTACGAAGGTTAACTTCGAGATGTCTAACTTGTGGTATTGTTTAGTCTTACCCACACTCCCTGGATGGCTTCCCACCAGTCATTGGTGTGACCATGATTGTTCCCGACAACGAAGCCTTTGAGAAGATCGCAGACTGGGACTCCAACGATGATACCAAGGTGTTAAATATCCTTCGATATCATATCTTCCCAGGCACGGTCTCTGTGGGCACCGTTGAGGAAGGAACTCCAGTCTTCTCTCCGACACTCCTGGACGGCGCACGCGTCATCATCGACAGGCAGCACGGAGACGAGGTGGTGTTCACATCCGGAGCCGATAGACGCTCAATGCTACTCGAAGGCGACATCGATTTCAGCGACGGTGTGATTCACATTGTTGACACCATTATGGCCCCGCCTCCCAGCCTGGGACCGGCCTGCCGCGTCCACAAACCACTCAGCGCCTTTCTAGGTGCTCTGTACCAGACGAACCTGTCCGAGCAGGTCCCAGCTTCTAAGAACGTCACTATCTTCGCCCCCAACAACGCAGCCTTCCAGCGCACGTCCGGCGCCATGTCTACCCTGTCGCAGTCAGAGCTGCTGGAGGTCATGAAGTTCCACATCGTGCCCACCGTGCTCTACAGCAAAGACCTCGTCAACGGTGCCAGCTGGCCCACCCTCGGCGGAAAGAATATCACCGTCACCGTCGCGGGCAACAACCGGTACATCGACTCCAGCCAGATCCTCGACCCGGATATCCTCATCGAGTTTGGCGTGATCCACATGCTGGGTGACGTGCTGAACCCCGCCGAGCCGGACGCCCGCCCGATCCCAACCATGATAGCGCAGCTGCCTGCCTTTGAGCTCTCAGGCAGCACGTCGACGGGGAGCAAGGTCCCCGTGCCGTTCACGAGTGCCCTGCCGTGTACGGCTGACTGCCCAATGCCCACAGGTGAGGTCACAACACCGGAGAGCACGCCGACTGAAAATGGTGGTGCTGAAGCACTTGCTTCCAAGTGCACGGGTCTCGCGGGCGCGATGGGTGTTGGTATGCTCGGTGTTGGCATGCTAGAGGCGGCGGGTGTGCTGTAAATTTTGAGGATGCCGGATTGTTAGCGACCCTGTTGAGTAGCACTGTTCGTTCTTATTTTATTAGGCACTTGGGCACACATAGTAGCCCCTGAAAGTTGCAAGTGGGGTCTGCCAACACGGGATAGAAGCTAATTGAATCGCCTTCGCCGTGTCACCTTCGACGGCGCGAAATACCAATTGAAAATGTCACACTCAGTACGGCTGGACCAGTAATTTTTGCAAGAGCAATCAATGCTTGGTTCTAGAGTCTAATGCCTAGAATTGATGTTGTCGGGGTATGGAATGAGAGAAATGCAGTATGCCAGGCGTGAGCCAGAGTGTTCTTAAAAGCAAAACGACGGATGTGTGAAAGGAAAGGAAAAGTCAAAACCGCCCACCCCCGTTGCCTCCAAAATTCGCCATGTCCATGCCAGCTCTCCTTGCCATGCCCGTCCTTGTTGGGAGTCAAGCAACTCCTCGGGTCTTCCCAAAACTCCTCAAGAATGTGACATAGGAAATAAGGAAAAGAATGCAGGAAACGAGTCAAAGACCACCAGTGGAAACAATGCATGATGTGAAGCCTGGACCGCCGAAAAAGAAAGAAAGAGAAAGGAAATATGCAGGGATGGTGATGCAGTCGCGAGACCAAGTGACGCGTCTGTCGTGCACGGGTCCTGAACAGAAAACATTTGCCGACATAGTCCGCGTAGTCGTCGATGCCCAGGAGATTTCTGTACCGTTGGGACGACGAGACCACTCTTCACATGGTCAAATCAGCGCCGAGGCGTCGGGGGTGGAGTGGGATTTCCAGGAGGCGGTCCAGGGTTGACGGGCCCGGGACGCGGACGGGGACGCGGGCTGGGCGGCGGCTGGGGCCGTGGAAACGTGACGAACCCAGGCTCCCCGCCGAGCTTGCTCCCCCCAGCCGTCACCGAGGGCCCACTCGCCGGCCTGCGAGGCGTGGGCGGCGGGGTGGGATTTCCCGGGGGCGGGCCCGGGTTGACGGGGCCGGGGCGAGGGCGCGGGCGGGGACTGGGAGGCGGCTGGGGCCGGGGAAACGTGATGAAGGCCGGCACGCCGCCAATGAGCACGCGGATCCCGACTGCTGCGGATTTGGTTGGGTTTCCCGTAGAATGTTTCTGCGCGGCCCGGATGGCGTTCTTGGCTTTGAGGCTTCCGGTAGCTTGGAAAGTTTGGGTGCTCGGCGCACCCAAGACGTCGGTGTTCATCCCCATCGTGACCCGTGTCGCTCTTCGAGGTCAGAAACAAGTGCGAGATTGTTTTGGTTGGTGTGATTCGATCTTGTCTATACTGTGAACTGGTGATTTGGCTGATTTCAGTTGCTCCCAGGTGAGGTGGCTGGGCTCTTATATCTCAACGATTAACAGATATGAGACTGGTGAACTGCTCGATGATGATCTGACCCATCTGCAGCTCACCGTGAACAGATTCCAAGCGCATCTTATATCCCGAGTCAACCCAGTGAAGAGAGCCCCTAAACTGCTACCTAGCAATGCCATCTTGGTGTCTCCGAAATCTCGAACATTGTCAACTCCTGAAGGGGACCTGTTCATGGTGACACTCTGGTCGCTGACTCCGCCATCCTGGACGTTGTACCTCGACTCCTCAAGGCACCGACATAGCAGCCGTTTCCCAAGTTCAGATACTCAATCAGCCAAGTTACGAGCATCAACAATCCGCGTCGACGGGGTGGCCATCCTGAAGGAACGCGCACGGATGACGAAGGGGACAATGGAAGACATCGACGAGTCTCACACACTTCCCCGCCACTGTCAGAGAAAACCTTCTTTTCAGAGCCGCCTAGCAGGATCTGGCCGTTGCTAGGAGCCATCATTGGGGGCTGGATATAGGGCAGTGGATTCGGTGTTGAATTCGATGCCTGCTATACCGGCTTGACGATTCCCTCGATGGGTGTCCAGAATGGGGCCCGGGGGTGGGGTTCCAATTTCCAGAATTGGTAGTGTGAGCCTGCGGCCAAGAGAGCTCAGGTCTGAGGTGGTCCAAATACGGCGGCGCCTGCTCCTGGAGGGTGGCCTGCATCTGCCGTGGGACTCTCGGCTCTGTGTTACCCAGGGGGTCGTCTCGGTGGGAGGACGGTGAGGTGCCATTTCAGGATGCAGCACTAACGTCGGTGAGGCTTAGAGGGGCTCAACCCAGAATTCGCTGTTCTGTTTATTCTGTTGCCTAAGGTCAGACCCTCGCCCACCCAGCATTCCGGATGGCACGTGCCACGAACAGGGGTTTCCAACTGCCGTCTGCTGTGCAGCGTGCTGTGCAGAGTGCTGTGCAGAGTGCAGAGTGCACGATCTGCATTGCTGTGCGGGCCATGAGTCTGCCGCGGAGTGGAGAGTTGTGCCAGGGGGCATAGGCGCGTATCACGTCATGCTGGGGCCGCTGGTGTGAAGCATCTTGTGCCTGCAAATCTGACAAAGAACACTGCCGGACCCCCACGAGGAAATCAGAGGTTGAAGCTGGAATCAAGCTGGACGAGAGACGCAGAGGTCACCGTACGCTCATTGGTGGCACTGGCACTTCTCCCGCTGCGGATGCCGGTCGGGATGTGGTAGCGCTGGGACTAAGCCGCGACAGAGGAGTCTACCAAACCAGCAAGGCATATCTTGACCGAGAGATGAGCGATCACGAGATCGATGATTGTTAATCGCTGTGCTGCCATGAAGCTTGAAGCAAGGTAAGTGTGCCTCGTCGTAGAACGTGAGTCTGTGGCCACGGTGGCTGTTGACATTGGATTACCTTAACCCTCCCTGCGAGGGACGGCGTGCCGGCATGTAGGCCTGCAGGCCGGTAGGCTCTTGGTAGGGCTCAGGTAGCGCAATAGGGCTGAAAAGGGTGGGCCGGGCCTCTAATCGGGAGGCCAGCCGAGAGGAGGAAAACCAATCCTTCGGGAACGGGGTGGGGGCCATCGACCCAGGCGTAGTACAGCAGGAAGGCTGTTGGGTGGCGTTTAGCAGGAGGAACTTACCCCTTGTCTAAAAAGAGCTGGTTTTGTATTCTGACAGGTTGCACAGTAAGCGCGGGCGGCAATCGACTGAACTCTGCTCGTTCTGTGTGACCGCAGTGCCGGTGTTGCTCGCCGCTTGACCAGGACAGGAACAGGGGCCGGGGATGAGAGATGACATCTGATAGTGGCAGTAGGACTAGAAGGATTCGAAAATGGCAAGATGCGTAGCATATGATATCAAGAGCTGAAGGTTGCAAGGCAGAACATCCTCATGATCCGATTTTGCAAGGCTCAACTGCTGAAGCACCAGGTGGGACCGGTCGACCCACCTAGGATCCCCGGACAACGTCCAAGTCAAGGGGACAACACCCAAAAGTCCGGAAATATTTGTCTTCGCAGCAACGATTTCGCTGGTCACAGTGACATCATTTCTGTTACCCATGTTAGGTCAAGAGGTGGAAAGGCAGTGAGTGCAAATTCCTAGGGGTCTCTCGTCTTGCCAAGTCCTCTGAAGATGCCATACTATTTCAGATCTGCCTCGATGGCGAAGCAGGCTCTGCTGCCTAGATGTCCCTTCGGAATGGCTCAGAAAGAAAGTCCATAGGGACTCATGGGCCACAATGGGACTGTAACCCAAGGACGATAGCATGGCTCACTAGCGACAAGAAGGACAACATCATGCTCTGCCTTAGTTGCACGATCGCCCTTCGCCTCATCCGGAGCAGCATAGCCAGAAAACAGTTACGAGGCAGATTGATGGTCCACCTGGCTTGCCAATTCAAAGGCATCGATAGAAATGGCGAAGCTCTTGACCATTGGTCGAGGCCCGGTGTCGTGGACGGGGCCGAGCAATCCGTTGACCCTGGGTACACTCAGCTTCGTCGAAATACTGTGCCCTTGAATGACCCTTTACTGTTCAGGCTGATAAAGCAGACAGAATCCGAGACTGGACAAATGATCAACGGGCTGGGCTTATGGGTATTCGCCAGTCTTTGTCGAGCTTTCGTAAATACGGCGGAGCCGGGTAGCACACGGCAAGCTGGTTCGGCCCAAGCCTCAGGTCCAAGGCAGGTGGCCGTTGAAAAGCAGGCCATGGAGGCCAGAGGACTGCGCATCTCGAATGAGCATGTTGATGCCTAGTAGAGAGTCCTTTCCATCAGACACACGAAGGCAAAACCAGCAGATCTGCAGAATATGGCTGAGCCTTGGCTAGGCACTGAGAATATCTCTGTTGTGATTGGAAATGGAGGTCGGCATGCTGCGCAAAAAAACCCCGGCCCTCATCCTTTGATTATCTTTCTATCTGGGGGTATCGATGGACCTGTTGACTCGTGCTGTTGCAATCGATCCGGCGCTACAGTCTCCCACGTCGACCACCGCAACCCTAGGGCTATCAGCAGGAGGGCTAATGTCTCTGGGACGGCAGAGCAACCTCGGGTGGTCAGCAGGGCTGACGCACCTTACCTAAAAGCAGTCCCACCCAAACCCGTCACCATATTTACCTTTCTTGCCTGAAAATTCAGCTTGTCGATGAGCCACCCCTTTTCATTCCAAAAGTCAGTCTCGAAACTGTCATCGATACCTGAGTAAGTCAATGCCCCAGTCTCCGCTACCCGCCACATAGGCCTCAGCACGTCGCCTGTAAGAAGCGACGGTGCGCTGACTCATCAGGGAGCCTTGAATCTGCCCCAACCTCAAACGAGGCTGACATGTCCCGGCAACTCGGCCCATTAAAGGCTGTTCAGCGGTAACTCCTGCGATCTCTCGAGCGACTTCTGCCGCCGCGATAGCCACCGCCATAACTGTCGCGACTTGGGCTGCGACGACGGTCATAATCCTCCTCGTATCGTCCTCGGCCCCTTCGACCCTTGGGTGGTTGGGGTGTCCTGGACCTACTCCGCGAATATGAAGGTGACCTCGCACGGTATTTTCCTCCCCTGCCAGACGCGGCAGGTGACCTAGATCTCGAGGCCGATCGTGGCCGGTATGTATCGGATGGAGGAGGTGGGCCTCCCCTTCCAAAGCGGCCTCCACCTCCACCTCGAGGACCACGCCCACGCATGCCACCCATTCCTGGAGGACCTCGGGGGCCCCTACCACCGCGTCCGGGAGGCGGGAGTCGAGGGTCGTAGTTTGCGCCATGAGTTGCAGTGGGAGGCGGGGGCGAAAACTTGCGACGCGGTAGGACTATCGACACGCTGATGGTGGCGCCATCGAGCTGGGCCTCATGCATGTGAGCGATGGCCGCCTCAGCATCGACTTCGTTGACGTAGAGGATATATGCAGCTCCGCGATTTGTACCAACTGTGTGGGAGAGGTGAACGTCAGTATGCGTATGGGATCAATAGCTGCCAAGTCTGGGGAAGGAAGCCTACACTGCCGGCTCAGGGGCACGTCCATATCGTCGATTGGGCCGTACTGCCCAAAGATCTCGCGTAGATGCTCTTCAGTGACATTCTTTGTCAAGCGCTCGACGACGATCTGCCCCCATGTTTAGCGAAACGAGCGCACGCCGGGCAAGCAATACCACCAACCTTGGTGCTCTTCAGAGGACTCTCGCTGCGGGTGCGGCTGCGAGAGCGGCTGCGGCCGCGGCTGAGGCTACGCGCCCTATCATCTCTGCTCCGACTCCGAGTGAAGCTGCGACTCCGGCTGTCTCTGGTTCGGCCGTTACGACGAGGTGGGGGAGATCGAGAGTCTCGGGACGGGGAGCGACGTCGCGAGGGGGAGTGGGATCTGGATCTGGATCGTGAGTTGTAGGACCGACCGCGACTGGGCGACCGATCGTAGTCGGGCGACCTTGATCGCGAAGGCATGCTGAGCTACGATGAGTCGAGCGGTGATGTGGCAGGGCCAAGAAGATGCAGACAGAGATGCAGGCGTGGAATGCCAGAAAGACGGCGGAGGAAAGGCAAATGCTGGAAACGACGTGCGCGAAGAGCGCATCCGCCATCGCGGTTCGAAGCAGCCGTTTTTGGCGAATTGAGTGGTCCGAGCTTCCTGAACCGGTCTTGGCAGGGCGAGATCCACTAGAAACGTCACTTCCTACATGGGCCGTGTCCTGAGCTCCGAAACGGGCTCCTCTGCATGCCCAGGTGCCTAGAGCTAGGTAACTAATTTGTAATTACAGAGATGAACTATCCAAAGTACTTGCTTCTGATAAATGGCTGCGTTTTCTACATTGGAAGCACAATTTTGTGCCATGCCATGAGCACCACAGCCATCAATGTTACTCTTGCCTATCTGAGCAAGCCACAGCTGAGAAACTCTTGCTTGCTGCTTTCGGCTGCGTGCGGCCTGCCAGGCTGCCCGGGGTACGAGGGGAAGGCCTGCTTTCTGATTCTCGCAAATACCTGTGCTTGCAGACATGGCCTCTCCCAGCCAACAGCAGGGGAAGACGTGCAGGCCTTTTGGAAATGACATCTCAGGTCTTTCTACTGCCGACTATCAGGCCCGAAGTGATGGGTGCGACGCCGAGGTTCTGGTGAGATGATAACTTACCCAAGTACTACGCATTTCTCACACCAGCCACTGTATCCGTGAAAGAACAAAGGCTCTGCCCCGTTCCAATCCCGACAAGCCCGACGTCGTCAACCCGCCAGTGCTTAGCTAGAGGGTCGTCAAAGAATATTGACTAGAAGATTGAAAGCAGATCCTGATGAACCCCAGACCAGGGACAACACATCGACAGCCTCGCCGCGGCCTACCCCCCTCCAAGCCGAGGCTCAGGCCCGGATATCCTGTCCACAAGAACCCGGACGGTGATTCTGCAAATGAGTTGGGACGGGGCCACCGCCGCCCTCTTGCACTTGGTGCTGCCGTTGCACGATGTCATGAGGTGTTCGTCCCACGGTATGTCATGCCACCACCAGCACCCAGATGTATCGGCCGAAAATGGCTTGAACGGTCCTAGTCCTGCTTGCTTGTTTGTGTATGCCAGTACCAGCCCAAGGGGTCCAGCCTATGGGAGGGTATGAATGCCTGCTCCATTACCCAGTCTCCGGGTCTAATCTTGGTGGTACTCCCGTCCTTTTTATCTTCGGACGAACACCTGCCACTTGATACTCCGTCACACAAGACTTCTCGAGTCCAATATCCAACCTCGCTTCGTCATGTCGGACAGCATGCTGCAATTTGCTAATGAGCTGTGGCCTGTACCCGTGACACAAGTGTCTTCCAGCCTGGCTGGGCCCAAACTGCTTGGAGGGGAAAGGATGGGCTTCTTCCTCTACATCACACCACGCGGTCTGCACATCACTGTCGGCTCGCATCCACTGACGCACTCCGCCGTCAAGACTGAGTTTTTTATTTGACATTAACCAGGCGTGCTTTGCGGCATCTCTGCCCTAGCTACTTACTGCTTTTGTGTCCACTTTCTGTTACTCAATGTGTCGTCCAATATCACGCGCTCCTGATATCATCGGCCCTCTGGCAGCTCACAAGCTTTCCAACATGAATCATGGTGACCTCACTTTCAATTCTTGCGGTGGTCCAAGATGACTGGAAATTTTTGTGACGCATATACAAGGCAGCTCCGCCCTACCTTGATTTCTGAGCGGCTTTACCAGTGACGCGCAGGCCAAGGTGTGGACACGTTGACCTGGGCGCCGGTATCAGCATTGACATGGAGGGTGTGACGATACCGTAGGGACATCAATCATCAAATGACCGATTCGAGGGCTCAACGAGTTGGCATAGATGTCGCGCGACACGTTGTCAAGAAGGAAGCTCCCCAGCTTGTTTTCCTGCCTCGGGCCCTGAGCCTTCATTGTAGACTTGTTCGATTTTGTTGGCTACCAGCAACAGGGCGACACCCATTTCTGCGACGGGTACATAATCATCTGTTTTCTGCACTATCTCGCGTTTGCTCTCGTCCATTTCCTGCCACATCTTCATACTCGGTTTAATTGCGCATGACAGATACGCCCTACCGAGGTACCTGGGTATTCAAGTGTGGCCATTTCTCGGTGCCTCTCTCGTTCTTTCCCTGCCTTTGTGGTTCTTACCCACTGTTATCCCTCATCTCAGCCAGTCGTGCCTCCTTCAGGAAGAAGCTGCCTGGGTACCTAGGTATTGTTCACAAGAGAAAACATCTACCTGCAAGGCGACTGCTTTTCTCAGAGCTTCGCTCTCCCAACCTCCATTTCATTTGCATTTGCATTTCAATCTTCTCCGTTTGCTCGCTCGCTCGCTCAAGATCTCGAATTTCGTTTCGCACTCCACTGTGGTTTTGTTTCCTTCATCCTTACCTTGGTACTTGTGAGCAGCAACGATGCGACCCTGGGCGCGTGTGCTTCTTGGAGCCTCCCTCCTGCAGGCTGTCGCAGCATACTGGATGGAGGACATTGCACACTATGGCCTGGCTCCCTTCAACCCAAATCCGAAGTACCAGGTTTTTCGAAACGTGAAGACCTATGGAGCAAAAGGAGATGGCGTGACAGACGACACTGCGGCCATCAACGCCGCCATCAGCGACGGAAATCGCTGCGGATTCGGCCGTGTCTGTGACGGCGCGACAACCACTCCCGCCACTGTTTACTTCCCTGCTGGGTGCGCACTGTCTCGTCGCAATGTCTGCTGCTGTGGACCTGATTGCTGACTGATGTCTCAGAACCTACAAGGTCTCGTCTTCTATTCTGCAAACCTACTATACTCAACTGGTCGGCGATCCCACCTCCATGCCCACCATCAAGGCATCTGCCGAAATGGCTGGTCATGGGCTCGCCGTAGTCATCGAGTCAGACCCATGGACTTCCGATGGTCCTTCCTACACGCCAACCAACGTCTTCTTTCGCCAGATTCGCAACCTGATCATTGACACCACCTCTGTTCCGGGAACAACCTGGGCTATTCATTGGCCATCGGCTCAGGCGACCTCCATACAGAACGTTATCTTCCATCTTCCACAGACACCCGACAGCGACCACACCGGTATCTACATGGAGGAAGGCAGTGGAGGCTTTCTGGGCGACCTTGTCTTTTACGGAGGTCAATGGGGTGCTCGATTCGGTAACCAACAATACACGACACGCAACCTGACCTTTGTCAATTGCCAAACAGCCATCCAGCACATATGGGACTGGTTCTGGGTGTACAAAGATATCACCGTCGTGGACTGTGGCGTCGGCATTAATGTGACCGGCCCCGCAGTTGGCTCAGCTGTCATCATGGACAGCATTTTCTACAATGTCTCCATTGGCATCCTGAGTTCCAGAAGCGTCGATAGCGCAGGCGAAATCCCCGGTCGGGGGACGTTGGTCATGGAGAATGTCATTTTCCAGAATGTTGAGTCAATCTTTCAAGGGAGTAATGGCAGATTGCTGGAAGCTCAGGGCAGCACCGGAGCTTTGATCAGCGGCATGATCCTTGTGCGTATCCTGTTCAATGTTTGCGAGTTTCTTGCTGACGGAGGGCGCATTAGGGAAATGTGTACACACCCGGCGGCCCTGCTTTTGTGTTCTCGGGGCCAAACGACTGGTTCTCTGCTCCTGCTACACTCAAGGAAGGCAACAGGTACTACACGCGGTCCAAGCCGCAGTACGAAGACAAGCCTGCCAGCATGTTTGTCTCCGCCCGTGCGTTTGGTGCCAAAGGAGATGGAAACACAGATGATACGGTCGCCCTCACGAACTTCTTCAGTTACCTCTCCCAACATTTCAGTCAGGGCATTGTCGGTTTCGTCGATGCAGGATACTACAAAGTCACCGACACAGTTTACATCCCTCCAAACACTCGATTCGTGGGCGAGACTCTAGCATCTATCATCATGGGATCTGGGCCTAAATTCTCGAGCACAGATGGCCCACGCCCTGTCGTACAAGTCGGAAGGCCGGGGGAATTCGGCTACATCGAATGGAGTGACATGATCGTCTCGACACAGGGCTCAACTTCTGGCGCCATACTCATCGAGTACAATCTGTCAGGTTGCTCGGGGTGCCCAGAGCCATCCGGGATGTGGGACGTCCACGTCCGCGTGGGCGGCTTTGCTGGCTCGCAGCTTCAGGTCACAGATTGCCCTACGACACCGACCCAGACAAACTTCATCAACCCGAATTGCATTGCTGCATACTTGGGCATGCACATAACAACCCAAGCCAACGATTTATACATGGAGAACAATTGGATCTGGGTCGCTGAGTAAGTATCCTTTTGTGCCCCTTTTGAGAGATATACGTGATATGGAGTGTGCTCACTGCTGACAGCTTGCAGCCATGATATCGAAGATTCTAACAGCACTCAGATCTCGGTCTATGGTGGTCGTGGCCTCCTCATCGAGTCCGAGGCTGGTCGCATCTGGGCGGTTGCTTCAGGCGTTGAGCACTGGACTCTGTACCAGTACCAGCTCATCAACACTCAGAACATCTGGATGGGCCAGATTCAGACAGAGACACCCTATTATCAACCCAATCCGCCCGCTCCATCACCCTTTAATGATATCGACAGGGCGCTGAGCGACCCAGACTTCCCGTCTGACTGTGCCATCTTGCACGAGAGCTACATTCCCGGTTCTAACATCACTGCTCCTTGCGAGATGGCCTGGGCTCTGCGCATCATCGATAGCAAGGATGTCCTCGTCTATGGCGCTGGGCTCTACAGCTTCTTCAACAACTACAGCACCCTGTGCAGCGCTGGACCGAAAAACACGCACACAAAATGCCAGTCCAGAATTGCGTGGGTCGAGGACCATACCGGCGCCTCGGAGAACGTCGTCATCTATGACCTCTACACAATTGGCGCCATCAGCATGGTAACAAACAATGGCACTGATGCTGTGCTGTGGTCTGATAATTGGAGCGTCTATGGGGAGTCGATCGCCCTGTTCAAGCCATAACTACAACTGTTTCGCAAGCATCTCGAGATCAACGACAATTTGGTATGATTTCGGGCCATCTCGAAGCCGCGTGGCCTTGGGCCAAAAGCTTCTTAGCCGATGTTTTCATGCCTTCTTCGCAGTTGGCGTGCCTTCGAGGAATTTGCCAGAAGTTTACCGATTTTGGTACGAGTTGGCGAGTTTACCTAGACAAAGCTTTCTTTCTATAGACGTGGAGCAAGATTCAAAATGAGATTCCTACCTGGTAATTTCGGCGGCTGTTATTGAGAGATTTGAGGTTCTGTCAAATGTTGTCGTCTTGAGAGCAGGGTGGTATGTGATATTTGAAGTATTGAGCAAGAAATGAAATTCCGGGCTTGCTCATTAGGGATCTTAGTTTATAGCCCACAATTCGTGTGACTGATCCCTTGCTACACTCGGCCGGTGACAATATTGTAAGACAACAAGGATACGGCACCCATGAGGTTTGACCCATGTCACCTTCAATAACATTGCTTGGGGACATCCTGTGCTTATCGCCGAGGCACGCGGTTGACCCCGATCAGCTGGCAGTATATTACCGTTGATGTTTCCGTAAGGACCAGGCTTTCACCACCGAGTTCAGGCACAGGCACATCGTAGAGCTCCAGTGTAGTTGGGCAGTCACAATTAGTCTGACTACTGATGAGTGCCATGAACAGGCTTGACTGCGCCTTCTCTTGGGCTCCGTCCGCAAGTTCAGGGAGAAAAAAAGGTAGATCATGAAGAACTAAATAGAGGGTATTCCTCTCAGCCCAAAGCACTTTATACAAACACGGAGAAAGTGGACATCCAGCCTCAGTGGTATTCGCGCCCCACTATCCAATGCCTTTTCTCATCCCCAATTAACTTTTCCCGCTGCAAAGCATCATCAAAAACTTCAGAATTGAGACTTGCACCTGCATCGAAGGCTTTCCCAGTTTCTTTTAGCAAGTCTCGTCATCAATCGACAGAAACAATATCAATCATGCCTCGACCGGATCACTCTGGATCATGCAGCAGGAAGGTACGTCATAAATTCCACCAGGCCCATGGGTATTGGTAGCTACTGGTTTCCATGGTTACCAACGCAACCAAATAGTCTGCTCACGCTTGCTATCATAAGACCCACAAAAACGGCAAGTGGTGCTGGCTCCCTGGTGAGATTGAGGAGCTCAAACGACAGAAAGCCAGCGGTTCGATCACGTTCAACGAGATATCCAAGGTTAGCTACATCTTCCCATACTCCGAGGTACCAGGGTTGAAATGAGGCCTGATGATGTCTGACAAGAGCCTCCGTGCCGCGCCTAGTCCTTCGTCACCAATGGGATCAACCGGCACGGCACTCATCAGTGCCACAAGAAGTACTTCCAGCTGTCTTATGCGGAGCCCAAGCAGCTGTAGTGCGAGAACCTTTGGAGAGAGTTTCATGGTGATGATTGGGATGGTCAGCAATGAGTGGTAACTCAACGGAAGCAGACAACAACAGAGAAGCCAAAGCAAAAGAGAACAACCGAGTGGCAAAAGGTCATGGAGTTTCATAAATTGGCAAACTCTTACAAGAAAGGTTGATTCGTCACCAATCGTTCCTAACTTCATTGCGGCAGGGTCTCACCATTTCAGCATGTGCCCCGAAATGTGGAGTCTGGCCACATAGCACACCTGAAAGTGAATCTTGACAAGGATCACAATACTTTTGGCTTTCCATAGAGAAAAAACAACTGAATCTTTGTGCATCTTACGTTTCTGGTGGTTACTCCGAGGTTTGAATGTGATGGAAAGAGGCATGTTGATACTTATGTACCACATTCGCCTTGCTCTTTGGTAAGTCCATGGAACACTCTGAAGTTTCCAAGATGAAACATGCAGGAACATCCACCATACCTGAATAAAGTGGTCCCATTTGAGTCGGGAAGTCATTACCATGACCTCAAAGGCATAAGTCGTGTCTGTGCCGTCTCATTCACAAGTGCGAGCCAGGGGGCGTTCACGGGCTGGAAAGCATCTCAGCCTCTGCTGCTCACCATGACGCGGATGGTTGTAACTAGCATATCTTGATATAGCACCTTCATACCTTATGCCATCCATCACTATGGCAACGTCGAACATAGGCACCATCTTGGCGCGGATCACCTGCGCCCCCTCCATGTCTTTCTTTAGCATCCAGACCTCCTTCAAAGATGTCAAAGCTCTGTTTAGCACTTAGATCTCAAGAAATCCGGCTTCGCTTGTTTCATGTGATACCGCAGATGATCTGGCAAGAAGAAATTGGCCGCGATGAGTGGGCTGATGAGAGATGTGGAAGCTGTACGTCCTTAGTTTGACTGAATTGGACAATGGAGCTGAGAAGTGTTTCCGCCAGCTTCCACGTAGATGGTGAAGAACTTGAAAATGGTTCACTACCACGGTGGTATTTTATGATAACTCTAGTCTCAGAGAGGATGCAGATAAAGTCTTGTTCGCCCGCATGCCGCGGTCAGTCTCTTCCTCTGCGCCCATCTCTTCAAGAGCTTATTCTGCTGAGGAAAGTGCTAGACCGGCGGTGGTACGGAAGAACAAGCTTACACTCTATTTCAAAAGGTGCTCCAAAGCTGCCTCATTGTTGAAAGCGTTGCAAGTATCCCAGCTCCCCAGGTCCGTGAGACAACTATGCGCTCTGCACTTTTTCCTGTCGTTCCTTCGCTCTTCGCATTTTCTTCCAAATTCTATGGACCTTGTGCTCCGTACGGATCTGCTGCAACGAGATAGGCCGGACCACTGGATTTAAAAGCTTTAAATAGTGGATTGCATCACCGTGGGATTTAATATTAGCACGGAGATTTAGCAATTCCTACCTGACGACGAGCTCTCTGGCGCCATATTTGTGTGCGATGCTTTTTTTGGCTGGGATGATGAGAGGTAGCACGGCAAAATCCCATGTGCTTCTTTAGGTTATGGCAGCGTGCTTTAACTGATATCTGAAGAGAGTTGCCAATCCTGGTTGTCCGTTCCATATCTCTATAATCTCCAGCTGTAGCATTTTTAAAGCTTTTACTGCTGCTGATTTAAGCATGTTGGTGATGTTAGCTTGGTTTTCTTTCGGAGCTAATATTCGTGAAGTGGGCGTGAGTGACGTGAGGTTGGCCCACTTCCAGAAGGGTTTGCAAGAAGAAAAAAAAGAGTTAGCATTGATTAGAAATGAGGCTAAGAAGTGCTTAAGCTTATAGCTAAGTTGAGCAGCTGTTTGACTTAGAAAAGTAGTTGGAATTTGAGCACGTTTGTATTTAGGGATAACGCTTAAGTAGTATGGATTTGAATTCTTGAAAAATGTAAGCTTCCGTATGCCTTGATGGGCAAGCGACTTAATGAGGTATTCTTAATTTAAATCGAAAAAATTATTAGTATTGTGGCTAGTTTATTTAATAATCTGGAGAATAGTTAAAGGAAAGTGGTAAAAGGTTACTTACCTTTGTTTGTAGCCACTTGAGAACTATGATTTGGTAACCTTTATGGCTTATAAAAGACCTCTTATAGCCTAGGAAAGAGGGAAAATATTTCTTTAAGCGTCTTGGGAAGCCATTGTTGGCGAGTTTGTTGGCGAAGCAGCACAGCTGTTATTGCTGGGACCTTGGGCAATCGGTCCTACCATTTGAACTCCCGTTTTAAGACGTCGTCTTTGGGTGACTCTTCGTTGAATGTTGAATCGTTGAGGTAGATTGAGCTTAAGGTCTTGTGAATAGGTTTATCGGCTTTGCCAACAGCACTTTAGTGGTTCTAATTGTGGCCTGCTTCGTCCGCCTGGTCCAGGTTGCCTAGACCTAAGCACTCGTTTGAAGGAACGTTGGGCCCGAAGGTTAGATATTTGAGTAAATACTTTGAATCGCTGGGCTAGTGGATACTGATATTAAGCAGTAATTCACCGTTAGGCTCCTATCTATTGAGTGTTGAGAATAAAGTCCGAATTGATGTGACAATACGGCTGAGATCACTCTTAGATATAAACCGGCTGTCACCCGTGAAGGCTTTGAGGGAAGAATAATGCTCAAGCTTCACACAAAGCCATATGTAGTTCACAAGAGACCTATTGCGGTGAATTATTGACTTAAAACCAGCAAGGCGTGATGGTATCAATTTGATTCTGGCGAAGTTATGCTTCTCGTTGACCCTTTGCCACTCTCGCGATACTGTAGCGAATTCAGCGAGACTGCAGCCGTCCTCGAGTAAGGCCTGTAGTATCAGGAGCCCGACCTGTTGAGGCAAGCGACTCCAGGACATCGTTGGGGTTGTTGACTCCATTTGGAAAAGTAAAGACAGGAGAATGGATGATTCACCCAGGTAGCCGGAAAGTGTTTGCGAGAAGAATGATAGCTAGGCAGAGGATTTTAGAAACGAGTGAGCGTAACGTATATTTTTTGTGACTGCGATGGCACAGAACTACGAACACGCTAGGCACGTCGAACTCGGGTTAACTGCGCCTAAGAACACACTGATTAGGTAGCTTCTGTCACCAAGTGCGTTAGGATGCTGTCTATTCATGGAGTTTAGCATTAATTTCACCCTTGTTTGGCAACAAGAATATTAGTTTTTCCGATGAACTTGCTGTGAACGCCTGGGCACAGGTACCCAACGGCTCCCAGCACGGCTAGTCAATACATGGAGATTGAATGGGAGCTTGGTGAGGAAGGGGTGCAGATGTAGTTTGGCATTGAGGCCACATCGACCGTGTTAAGTCTAATATATGCGCTTGTGACTCCGCCAGGCGTGCTCATTTTACTATGAGAACGGATATTTGCACCCGCAAAAAAAGAGGGTACACCCATGCTACATCGCCAGCACTAAATCAACACCCACGCCCAATTCCCACGCTTAATTCATACACCTAACACCTATACACCTAGTTTATATAAGCATAAGGTTTTAGGTGTGTAGGTGTTAGGTGTATAGGTCTTATGTATATAGGTGTTGGGTAAGTCTAGCGGCCCACATCTGGTCCACCCCCTCATATGGGCCACCCCTGCACACAAAATTCACCAAACAAAACCACTATTTATTCAATGAATAAAATATTTAAATTTATATAGATTTAAACATATATATTATTTTCACTTCTCTATGTAGAAATAATATTTAAAGAATTCTATATATATTATATATACTAAGATATATATAATTATTTATCTATTACTCTTTTTATATAAATAAAGATTTCTTTATTGTTTCTTAATATATAAACGTGATATTTTTAATACAGCTTTATGATAAATATATAAAGCTAAAATTTAAATTTTACTCATTTAAAAAATCTATTAAAATACTTATAAACTTTTAAATATTAGAATTAAGATTTTAAAAATACTGTTAAGGAATATATATATATAATATTAGTGTTTCTTAACAGATTTTATTTTATAAAAAGTAGAAATATCTTTATAAATATAATTATTATAAATATAATATATTTATTTTTATATATAATTTCCTTTATAATATATAAAAGATTTAAGTTTTTTTTTAAGAAGAAATTCTCCACTTTTACTCTACTTCTTTAAATATTAAAATATAAACCTTATTTAATTATATATAATTAAAATACATTTATTTTTATATTAATTAAAATATTTAAAAATTAAATTAATTTATATAATATTAATAATAAAAGAATTAAAAGAATTATATATATAAATATAAATGTTATAAAATGTTAAAGAATTCCTTATAAATCTTAACATTTTAAAATTTTAAAGTTTAAATATTAATAATTCTTTAAGTAATCCCTTTATAATTTTTTAAATATTATTATATTTAAATATTATATATTATAAATCTATATTTAAATCTATATTAATTCTAAAAGCTTATATATTAAATAAATATATAAAATAATAAAAATATATTTATTTAATTATATATAAAAGTATTATATATATAATTTTTAAAATATTATTTATATATTACCATTGTTAGTTTCTATGTATATTCAAATCTGTCTAAAATTAGCTATTTAACCCGTTGAGTTAGAAGGGGATATATAGTGTGCAGGGGTGGCCCATATGAGGGGGTGGACCAGATGTGGGCCGCTTGACTTATATGGGTGTTGGGTGTGTAAATTGACCTGGTGATTTGCTCTAATTGGCTGCAGCTGTAGCGTGAGTGATGTACAGGTGTACCCTCCGTTTTCACGGGTGCGAAAGTCCGTTCTCTTTACTGTAGGCGATGCACGTGCATCTAGGGAAGGAGTTACAATGGCGCCAGCTGGGCGCCGTCGACCGCCCGCGGGAGAGAGAGAGGAGAGAGTCGGCTTATATAGACTGCAGAAGCGTTTAGCGGTGGTCTATGCCGATCAGTGGACTTGCAAGACCTTGGAGGTCAAATTAGGCTCGTGATATAAGCTCGTTGCTCCATGCCCATCAATGTTGATCATTTTATGGGTACATGGTGGGTCAGAAAGGTGCTACTCAGTTGGGGCTGTGTGAATTGTTCAACCTGAATATAATGAGAAAGAAATACTGCAGGCAATGAGTTAAATTCGACCGAAGTTTGTTTGGTCGGTTGGGGTGTCCCGAGAAGTAATCGAGATGTAATCTCGGCGCTCGAAAAGACATTCGTGTGCTGACGGGGCTGAGCTCTCGTGCCAGCCTCTGAGGATAGTACCTTAATACACATCACTGAGCTTTCTCTCCCATGAATCACATTCTTCTAGGTAGGGCAGCCATGTCATTGGAAACGTTTGATGAATGGTGCAAATGGTATATTCAAGTCATCAAAATAATAACATGATGTTTCAGTGAAGTCATTAAATGTCCCTCAAACCAGGTCTCAGTCGGCGGCCCGCGGTGAGACCCCCTGATAGGGGTCTCAGCCCCTGCCGTCCGCCCTGTCCTCCAGACCATTTCCCACGGGTGAAACAGAAGAGTGGGTGGGTATCAACAATCAAGTCCGCCTCAAGCCCTGTAGTAAGGACGCGGATTCTTTAGTATGTAAATCTCAAGGTGATTTTGGTATAAGAAAGGTAAAGGTAAAACATGAAAGGTTCAAGGTCGTTCCCGCCGTCTTGTAAGGACAGCGAGGTAAAAATCAAAGACATCATGGCTCGTCCGTAAAATCAAAAACAGCAAGTCCGCCAAGCTAGGGTGTGGTAGAGGTGAAGAAGTTGTGAGGCCGCCATGGACCTGTTAGATGTCCGGCCAGCGAGCAGCGAGATGTCTTCATCGTGGAGGTCATCCCGTGAGGTTTGATGTCCCCGAAAGTACTGCGGGAGAATAATGTAGCCCCATCTGTTGAAGGCGCAATCGATGCGCTCTAGGTACAGGTCAACTGAGTAGTCGGGGAGCGGGTACATTTCGGTGTGTCGCTGGGAGGCTGAAGAGAAGTAGTTGAGTCCGTGAGAAGCTTTTGGTGAAGATGCCACCGCCAAATCGCCAAGCCACCAAACTCTCTCAACTCCGATTATGCAAAATGCTTTTTCGTAGTGTCGGTCATGCCATTGGGTGTAGTGGTCTCGAATGTCGGGTCCGATGCAGCCAGGCGCTCAGCGTCTTCGTGATGTCGTGGTCGTTTCCTTCCAGTCCTTCATTTGATTCGCTCAGTAAGCACTTGTGTGAACTGCTGCTTCGTACCGACAGAGAAAATGGCCCGGGGTGATGCTCGCATCGAAGAGTCCGGTTCGAAAGTAGTGATAGAAATGTGAAGGTTGAATATGGTCTCGCGTAGCCTGCTCCAAAGGAAGCAAGGAAGCGACTCGACTTAGTCGAGTGCTGACTTCCTCACTTTCTTACATCAACGCGACGACAAGCATGCCTGCCACCCCAGCAATAGCGACATGGGAGGAGCCGAGTGACGCGGCGCCGTTGCCAAGGCCGTTGACGCCGGGAGTCTCTGAAGACGCCTTCGTGGAGGACGTCGCCGTCGCCCGGCTGGATGATGAACGAGTGACGCTGGTAGGCTCGTTGGTCGAGTTGTTCGTAGCGGTCATTGTCACAGTGTTGCTGGCCAAAGTGACGGTCTTAGTCATGGTCGAGGTCTGCGTGAGGGTTGTAGTTCCCGAGGTGGTGTCCTGCGCATAGGCGAGGAGGGGCAGAATAGCCACCGACAAAATGCTGGTCAACTGCATGGCGACGAATTCAAGATATGATATGTCTCGAATGAATCCACGGTGAAAAGATGTAGCGATATCGCGCGCGCTGGCGGCTGTCGTGTTGTAAGCCTGTCAAGTGGATGGCGCCAAGTGACCGCCTTCAGCCTTCCTCCTGCGCTCCTGAGCGGTGGGTCCAGATAACGAGAGTGTTGTTGTATTCGCGCGGAAGTAGAACACTGCTGTGCTCTGTCGAACGTATGCCTCTTTGTCTTGGGCCTGAAGTTGTAGGGTTTCGGCTGGCGATGAACGATTCGATTTTCCAGAAAACGAATGAGTCGAGATCTGGCTTGGAGGGGCGCAACAAGGTTTGCGAAGTGGTTTTATGCAGGCGAGTGTGCAAGTGAGCGTGATATCGAATGCCGAGCTGGCTGGTGTGAGTGTGCGCAGAACCTGGTTCTATCTCAAACACTGGTATCCCAATACGGGGTAAGCAGACTTTGCCAACGAAGTCCGTGGGTGAGGGAATATAGCAGCGGTGGAGCGGAGGTGAGGTGCGAGGGTTTTCTGGAGAGAGTCAAGAGAGGAGGGAAAATGCATGCCAGGGGAGTTTGGGTGACACACAGACGAAATTAAAAAGAGTGAAGCAAGCCAGGACGTTGGGACGAAAACAAGGTACCGCGGTACATTGTACCCGTGCCCGTTGTCTGGGAGGAAACCTCTAGCGCCGGACACACCAATTGGCAGGAGGAGAGGCACAACCGGCACCCGCCAAGACCGTGGGCCTTTGGATCAACGGCCTGGTGATGGCCGGGGTGGCAGAGGAGACAGAAAGAAAGTGAGAAAGGGCCCAGGGAACCCTGTCCTTGGCCTCTGTTACAAAGAGAGCGGGCAGCTGGGAGGGCAGGCGGCACAAAGTCCTAGGTACCGGGCGAATCCTCTTGGACACGCCAAGAGCGAAGGTATTTTGGACGTGCATGATCCCATCCGCGCCAGCACAGCGGGAAATTACAGGTACAATTTCCCAGGTTCAATGGTCAAGGTGCCGCGCAGACAGTTTCGCCCTCCGGTGCTGGCCAGACCCCAGCTCGTCGGCCCTGGGGGCCAGCAGACAGAGGTGTCGCGTGATATGTGTGGCCTGTATCTCTGATCTATGACCTGTAGAGTGTCTATGCAGCGGATAGCAGACGGCAGACGGTCGACGGCCGTCGTTGATGTTGATGTCCTGCTGGCCAGTCGGCTGGTCGTTGGGAGCGACTAAGCACTGCGGGTACTCAGGTGGTCTGGATGCACGGTGGAGGCCAACCGACCATTGTCCTCTGCCCTCTGCTCGAGTGTCATTCTCATTTGGCCGTGCCTAATTTTGATCATCGTCAGCCGTTTCCACTTTTGCTTCTTTGTGGTCGCAGCTGGCCCAACAATGGTCGGCGAGCGTGGCAGCCTGGCTGGGAGGGCTGAACCGGATGGGGGCGTTGGTGCTGCGCGGGAGTGGAAAATAGGATTGCACTTCTGCACGAGATCCGCCGAACTGCATCTCTGTTCCTGCATCTGTAATTTCCTGTTCCTGGCTAGGCCCAAAGGGGGACAGCCCTGTCCCGGTTGGGCCTAGCCGGCACTCCTTTGCACGGACTGTGGAGGTGCGCAGTGACGCGATGGCAGGCTGTCAGCCGAAACGGGAGAAGGAGAAGAGGGAAGAAAGGGAAGGAGAAAGGGCGGATGGCAGGATGGGGAGTCAGTGGGGGCATTTGCGATTTCTCTTTCCCTGCCCAAAGTCGCACCCAAACCACGAGGGCTGGAGGGGTGGCGCAACTAATGTCCTGCTCCTGCCCTCTCAGCCCTGGCCTGTGGAGAGACACGGCAGACCGCAAGATGCATCTCGGAAGAAGACCGTGGCCACACGTGCTGACCGCCAGGGGGTTCCTGTCGTCAGGGGGATCAATCGTCCCAGGTGCCAACAACCTTCAGGCTGTCGGTTGAGCAAGGTGCCGACACTGGCATTGATGATGGGTGGTGGTGAATGGCAGTTGGGGCTGAGCAATCAATGAAAAGCGCCACGAACAACAATCGTCCATCACACGCATGGCAACCTGAGACTCGCCTCGTCGGCTCAGCCCGATCGCTCGATCAATCATGTCCTCATCTGGGGGAGCCCCAGCATCTCCCAGGTCATGGTTTGCATGTCAACTTCGACCATCGCTGTCAAGTGCTGATCACCCCCGCAGGCCACGTCCCTTGCAACGAGTCAAGCCTTCTTCCCATCCACCTCTGCGCTTTGCTCTACCCGGCTGTGTTCAAACTCAGTTGACCACTCACACAGAAGCAATATGGCCGCAAGGACCCCGTGCTGACCGCGTGGGATTCAGCTAATGTATGCTTTCGGCATTTGCATGGGCTGCAGACCGCCTCGCGCAGCGCCCTGTTGAAGCCCGTAACCTGCAGAAACCCGCACACATCGTGCGATGCCGTGCAACTACTGCACACGGTTGCTTTTTTCGATTTTGAGGCGCGATTGTTGTGTTCGACTGACTGCTGTTTCAGGGTTGGCCCGAAGTGAGCCGTGAGGAGGAGGAGCGCGATGTGCGTGGCCAGCGCCTTGGGGGGTCAGATGCCGCAAGCCCACCCGCCATTCAGGGGCTGGCCATGGAAGGACAGTTTCACGACACCGTACACAGACACCATCGCCGGCCAGAAATTTATTAGGGGTCCCTTTCTTTCTCTGCACCCCGCAAGATGATGATGCGTCAATCAATTGTCGACTGATCATTGTCCGGCCGCAGTATCTAGCTATCACTTCCGACTGATCCTCCCGAGTTCAGCCTGGAGTGCGAAATATCCCGACCTCAATTCCCAAACATCAAATAAATCAATTCGATGCCAATTAATCTGCCGCCACTCCAAACCTCTCCTCCCATGTTCAGGGCCTGGTAGCATGTAGGCATGCCGAGCGAATCTCCACGTTGCGCTTCGCACTGACTGTTTCTCCTTGCCGTCTTGCTTTTTTTCCTTCTCCCCCCCTAGTGGGACGAACGCCAAGCTTGTGAAACGAAAGTCTTGTTTCTCATCATCAGACGGACCTTACATGATCAGACGCTTTTCAACGGGTGATTCTTGCAGGACCCATTTGTCTGCGACGCTGGCTTGCTTGTTTGCCAACGGCTGCGGCTCAATTTCCGTTTCTGCCTTCTTCAGTAGCAGCACAACCGTTGCCTACCACATTTGGTCGAAATGCCCGAGCCATCGCACCTGTACATATGATTTGGCCGCGCTGACTACATTAGCCCCTCATGCCGCATGCTTTTGGCGGCGAGGACGCATCCAGAGGAACTCACCGCCCCGATGGGCGCAGAGATTAAGACGGTGATGGCCGGACCCCGCTCGTCATGCAGCCTCTGTGTGCAAACACGACTTCCCGGAGGTTGTGATTTCGTTCAAGACATCTCATACTAATTCTGCAAGCCTCTGGGTGCCGCGCTCGTGATGACTTGTGATTCTTGGGGCCTTGGCAGCGTGGATCTCGATCGCTAGGACAGTGTAGTCACGCAGTGTTCTGACCGACAGGCAGCTCACGGAACCAAACGTACGGTTCGGTTAAACCTGCATTTGGCGAGGGCGGCATCCGGATGCTATACTTCCACCTTCAGATGTAGATGAAATTCATGTGCTCGGATTCAAGCGACCAGGAAGACGAGCAGAGAACAGCACAGTTATCGCCTGGAGATCTGCCATTCATTCCGGAATTGCTCGTGTAGCAAAGCCTAAGAATGAGGCATTCAAATTTGAACTAGGAAGCCAATATCCGGATAGTACTAGAGGCAAGGTTCCAGGCGTAAAGTGACATGATTCACTGGATAAAATCGATATTAACTCTATCGGTATTGACTCTAGAAGGGGGGGGGGGGGTTCAGTGCTTTTTATGTAGTACCTTTCGACCTCCACAAAGCCGGGACTGGCAGTCACCCAAGGTGTCACGAAGGACGAAGTGGCACTTGTCAGTTTGAATTCATCGTTGGACTCGTTGATCTTACCGGCTATGATACGAAAAGCTGGTACGACACCGCTGGGAGCACATGATTTGGAAACACTTGACGTGGCATATCAGTCCTCGGGTAATTGGAGGACCCCGGCGAACCCACAGGACGACTTGTCTCAAACAGACTGGAAAGGGTATATCGTGGCTCGAGTATTGGGCCTAGCAGCATCAGCTTCTTCATCTCTACTTCTAAGAGCCAGTGAGACTCTTACGTGTCGTTCTCAATTAAGGGAACAGTCCGAGAGGGAAAAAAGAGGTTTAGTGTTGGAGTGGCCCAGCTCGCAAATCTGACTGAAAGAGCACAGGTAGGAATACGCAGAGGGAAATATGCTAATGAGCCAAGGACAACCGTCGTGTAGTTTCAAGGAGAGATCTTCACGTAGCAAGCACAGCATCTCGGTAGCCGTCAAGATACTTCGAAGCGTTGATATTACTATCTAGATGTGGATGTGCGTCTTCGTAACAGACTTTCCATCCCGATAAGCGTCCAACACCGCGTTCACGTTCTCCGCCGTCAGGCCCTGCTTGGCGACATAGGCAGTCGGCTTGATCTTGCCCGCCTCAAGGAATCCGGGGAGGCGCTCCCAGAACCCCACGGCCAGCTCCGGGTGCGCCTGCGAGCTGCCGTACGTGTCCCGCACCTCGAAGCCGGCCTTCTTGCCCACGACCTTGCTCTCGTCCACGGGGCCGAGGGGCAGGAGCCTGGCGAGCGCGCCCTTCTTGGTGCTGGAGAGGGCGTTGAGGGCCACCACCTGGTCCTCCACGGGGCTGACGGCGTCGTAGGCGTAGACGAGGTCGTCCCCTACCACGCCGCGGATGCGCGCCAGCACCGCGTCGTGCCCGCCGTGGCGGTCGAGGACGTGCGTCGCCCCGAGGCCCTTGAGCTCGGCCTCGCTGCCGCCCACGACCACGATCCTGCCGATCCCCGCGAGCTTCGCGAGCTGGACGCCGAACCGCCCGCAGTTGGAGCCGCCGCCGACCACCAGGAGCGTGGTGCCCGCGTCGAACCCCTTGGCCTCGGCTGTCCACGGCGCCGGGATCTGGAGCACCTTGAAGAGGGCGACCAGGGGCGCGATGATGTTCGTGGGCAGTGTGGCGGCCTCGTCGTCAGATGTCCCCGCGGGGATCTTGGTGAAGGCACCGACGTCCGCGACGGCGTATTCCTGCAGCCCGTTCTGCGTGGAGCTTGGCGCGAAGCCCGGCTGGCTAACGATCCTGTCGCCGACTGCGACGCCGCTCACGCCGTCGCCGATCTTCGTCACCGTGCCAACGACGTCTAGTATGTATGTGTCAATCACCTGCTATGAAGTCTACAGTGATGTATACTGGAACATTCCAAAACACATCCGACGGAGAACCGTAAAAGGAGAAGACTTGTGCTTACCATTGGTGAGGATTGCGGGGAGGTTTTCGGCGATGAAGAGACCGTAGTCCCGGGCTTTGTAGTCGTGTGGGTTGATGCCCGCGATCTTGACCTTGACCTGGATCTGCTTGGGGCCAGGTTCTGGGACGGCCTGATCGTGGATGAGCTTGACTGGCTTTCCGATCTCAGTCACGACAAGGGCTTTCTGTGTAGTAGGAGACATGCTGTTTGTCTATATCTGCGTGTAATTGTTTGGTTTGGTGTGTGTTTAGGCGTTTTTCTTGAGTTGGTGATGAGATGTGTTGATGGAAGAAGTCATGGTGTTACCTGGGTGTAATTGAGCAGCTTTATACATTTCGTACTGCCTAATGATGTGATCGATGGCGTACACACACCTTGGCTGCATCGTGTACCACTCGACAGCCTCTTGTGCACATTAATAATTGCCAACTGTGTCCATTAGGCGCGAGTAAGCGCGAGGCGGGCTGACTGCTGACAGCTGAATAATAATCGCATCTCTTCAGTATTGCCCCGAATGAAAGACATGTGTTGAAGTGGCATGTCCAAATTCTACTCCATTCTTCGACGACAGATGTGAAACGATCACAAGTCACTTCCCCATTGATCCTTCATTCTTGAGAGCAGGAGGGTTTTGCGGGATGATGATCAATCTACAGTCCTCATTTGTATTGGGCCAGAACAGTCCATGTCTGGGTATACTTTGCCAATACTTGACTTCCACGAGGAGTCGTAAGCGGAGGTTGGATCTTGCGGAGTACTAGACATCAGTTGAAAAAGTCCGTCATGTCCGGGGCGCTGACAAAGCGGAGCGGTATTCGGGCAGTAACCAAGTCCGCTTACACTCGCGCGGGAAGTCTTGGAGGAGCGGCCTTGCAAGAACATCTGTTGATAATGGCGACGGACGACGGCGGAGAAAGCGACTCACGCTTGATAGAGACCCGCACACTACCGGTTGTCCTTGACATATGCTGCCTGAGGAAGGTTCAACCTTGAAATTGAGGATGAAAGCATATCTTGTATTTACTTTCACCTAAGAATTTAGACCGAGTGATACCATCAATGCCCTACCCGGACCCCATGCAGTTTCTATTAAGCTTGGCAATAAACATATGGAAATCAAGGTCTCTCATTTCACTCATTGCATGCCCCATTTGTCCCTTTTTCGTAGCCTTCCAGGCAATACCCGACCCTGCCTTGAGAGCCAAAACTTGTACATCAAGAGAATCTGCTGGAGTCGCTTCGCCGCGGGGAATGAAAGACGGTAGAAAAGTAATGGCCGAACACACTCGTCAACCTCGAGGAATTGACCACAATGCACCACAAAAAGGTCTAGCTCAATCATTGCCGCTGCTGAGCCGCTCAAGGGACCACATGTAATGATCCCAATGCCATGCTGTTACTCAATAATACAGGCTGAACGATAGGTGGAATGTCCTAGTCCGCAAGCAGCAGTTCAAGTGTTGATTATCTGCAGCGGCGAGGAAGCTCGTAAGCCAAGTGGTGAACAAAGAAAAGGTTTGATGGTCGTTGTGCGTCGTGAATGGTATGAAGGGTATAAGAAACGGAGAACTTGTTCGATGTGCCAACACCAAGTCCAGAAGTAAGGTAGGCCACGCACGCCGGCCTCACCGATCAATGCGAGGTTGTGGCTGCCACCCGTTGATGTAGGCCATGAGACCCATGCCCAGCAACACAACACCCATCATTGAGGCGTACGGGATGGTTTCCAAGATGGCCTGGTCCGAAACGGTGCGTTTCGACGGCGACCTCGGCGTCGGCGTGATGGTGTTTGCTCTGGACAGCGTCGGCTTGTCGTCCAATGCGTCTTCGTCAATGCTAGCGAGAGACGCCAATTCCCCATCGGCGCGGTTGGCAACGGATCGACCTCTGCTCGGTTCTCTGGCCGTGACAGTCGCGCTACGTTCCCTTCCGTTGGATTTCGACCGCGTCCGGGCTCGAGCTGCAGCCTTCAGAGCTGCAGCCTCCTCGTCCCGCTGACGGATCTGCTGAACCATTTCAGCCAATGTCTTGCGGTCCGCGTCCCGTTCCGATGTAGCCTGTTCTGCCTGCTTCTTGTAGTTGTCGACCTGGTCTCGCAACCCTTTCATCTCTGACAACATGTTGTCGATCTGTGACTGCAGTGAAGTCGTCTTGTCTTCACTGGCCTCATCTTGTGTTGTTGTCCGAGTTTCCTCGAATTGTGTATTGTCGTCACCCGTGTGCTCTGTAGGGGGCTCAAACGCTTCCGCCAATGTAGAGTCCTCGATCTGTGGTTTCGCAGATCCGTTCATACGCGAGTGGGCATCGTCTTCTAGTCGCTTGGCAAGTTCTTCTGCTGCTTCGCGCGCTTGCCTCTCTCTCTGCAACATGTCCTCGAGGTCTCTCATTTTTGAGGTCTGTGTGTCGATTTCTCGTTTGGCACTGTTCAGTGCCTCTGTCAACTGTATTATCTGGCTTAGGTTATCTTGGCGGATCGGTGATGCATTCGATGGCCCTGATTTTGGTCGCTCGGTTGTCGCGCGCTTCAAGGAAGGCACATCACCTTGGGATCTTGCCACGTCGGGTTTCTCGGGGAGAGGCTGTTGTGGCGGGGGCGCCGGAGGGTCAGAAAACCGTGTCTTCCCATCAGAGCGGAACGAGTGCGCGTTTCCATTAACCACTGGCGGCTTTGGAGGTTCTGGCAATTCGGGTTTCTCCTGATTTTTGACGTCCTCGTTGGATAATAGCGCGTCCAGAAACTTGCTGGTACGAGAGAGGTCTTGGGCCTGCTGTCGTGCATTTCGCATCTCGTTCTATAGAACGTTAGTCATTACAGCGACGGGAAATATGCCATGCCGAAAGTGACTCACCCTCAACTTCTTTACAATAAGCTCTGTTGAAAAGCTGTTGTTCATAAATGTGCGATTGTTGAATGCCACTCCAGCCGACTGGGCGTTCATCATATGTGCACCTCCAACCATCCGTCCGTTTGTCCCTGCTGAAGCTTGACTGGCAGTCCTGTTCCGGAATGGCAGGCCAGGTTGGGGCATCATCATCCCCCCATTTGCCGGGTCAAGATCCCCGAAGTTCATGTCCAGGAGGTTGTTGGACGGATTGAGGAACCCGGCATGTTCCACCTTGGCCGCGACTTTATGATGCACGACGGATTTCTGGTCTTCGCTCACGATATCGATTCCGAGCTCCAGATGGTCAGAGGACTGGAGCTCATGGGGCTCTGATTCGCGATTTTCGGGAGACAGCCGTGTTCCGTTCACAAAGGTACCATTTGACGACTTGACGTCGCGAATCCAGATCTTCCCCTGCCTGTCCGCCCATATCTCAGCATGTTGTCTCGAGAGCACCTTACTGTCGAAAAACCCATTCAGAGGGGTTGGAACCGTTTTGTTATTTGTTTGCCGACCGACGCGCAAGGTTTCGGGGTAGAAAGGGACCTGGATCGTCTTTCGCTCGAATGTTCCGTTGAGCGACAGTAGGTAGAGCACGGGCTGCCCGCCCGGTATCGTGTCTGTGAGCGGTCTCTGAGGAGCCAGCTGTCCAGGAGACTGTAATAAGGGGGACGGAGACATTGGTGCGGCTCCGTTCAGGCCATTGACCATCTGTGGGCGGGCCTGTGGCATCCTGCCGAGTTCTGTCCCTTCTAGCCTGGGACCGTTCCACTGCCCTTTCCCTTGAGGTCTCTTGCGTGGTGCCGTGTTGGGCCAGCCACCTAGATCGCCGGCTGGCGAGTGCGCGACGCCGTTGGGCTGACCATTTGTGCTGACGGCTGTTGATGTGGAAGAGCTGGATGCGCTGGACGATACGGACGAGGATGAGTTGTTGCGAGGGATTGACTTCCGAGGCATCAAGACGCCTCTAACGTCTTCAGAATTCATCGAGTTCAGGGACTGGCCACCGCCACCATTAATTCCCCATGCCGGCCGGTTGATGTTTGAGAAACTGGGAGGGCTAGCAACGGCAGTCATGAGGAAGGACTGGTCTGGGTGCTCGGTGGGGAGATGGGAATAGACGGATGCAGGCGTCGCAATATGCGTGTTCCCTGGCGCGGCGGGTGTGTGGACTGGCCCCAATCTGACACCACCATGTATGGGTCGCGGCCGCTGACGTATGGGGCAAGAAGCTCAGCGAGATGCTGGTCGGGGCCTGCTGGTGTCAGGCTTGGATGGCATTCGCGTGGTGCAGATCGCTGGTGGTGATGGGCAGGAGCGTCGAGGGGATGAAATGGCTCGGTAGATTGCTAATGTCGTCAAAGTGGAGATGTTAGCCCCGAGGTCATCGGCACGAGTTGGTGCAGGCGCAAGGCCAGCCGGGCCTGAGGCGGATGGGAATGGCTTGCAGACACGTCGACGGCGACGACGACAGGGCCAGACAAGTCAGGAGAGGAGAGCCAGACGTACTCGGCGATTGGGAGGGGGCGCAGGTGGCCGGCGTTGATGGAGACAAGTCGATGATTTCCAAAGGTCAGGATCAGGATTCAGCCTCTACGCAGTGGACTAGAGCGAACAAAGTCCAGAGCCTCTGGGCCAGTCTCCTGTTTGGTAGACTTGCTTGGCGCTTAGCGCCGCCCTGCTGTACCTAGACTCCTTTATATTAGGTACGGGAGTGTGCTGTCTTCACGGGCAGTGAGCGGACAGGGGTGTCCCACTACCCGAGTACGCCCAGAACAGCTTTTCGCACTCAACGACCAATGCAACAATCAGGATCCCATCTTTCTGAGTTTTGACCCGCTGAAGAGGTAGGAAGGGCGTTCATGCCATGTCTCCACTGAGCTACAGCAGCGAGGGTATGGCTCCATACTGCCAGGCTCACTGGATAGGAATAGCAACACGAGCAGAGATAAATGTACCAGGTCCGCTCGGCACGTGACCCTTGCAGCCCGCCTGGTCCAGTCAAGGACTACGGATACAGGCCACAGGGGGCAGTTCAGTGGAGGAGCTGGCCCGCGCTCCGAGGCTTGGAGCTGCGCTAACCACTAACGGTGGGCGGTCGGAGGAGGAGCTCTTCCAGGTGGGGAAACCGTACGGCAGACGGTAGCTGGGCGCCAAAGAGGTGGAGTGTTTTTCGTCACCCGACTGCCGTGCGACGGCGGGAGCTTTTGTTTGGACCACGAAGTTCTGATTTGACTACCTCTCCCCTCCAGACGATCCGGCAACGCCATTCGACTTGGACATTCGGCTCCATCACCCATCGCAACATGCCTGTACCGGTCAACACGGCCCACGCCGGCCCGTCCAACGTGGACAAGAGTATGCGCTTCCCGAATCATTCGCATTGCCTGTGCTAACCAGCCCTGGCGCAACAGTGAAGATGGGTGCCATGATGGGCGGCAGTAGGTTCATGCCCCAGGAGGCCATAGGGCCTTCAAGTCGTTGAAGCATGGGATCTGACGAAGCTCAACAGCCGTCGGCGTCATCATCGGCTTCATCTATGGTACGGCGACAACTCTCCTCCCCTCCACTCTTCGGACCAGCATCCTGACTGCGCCGCAGGAACTGTTAGCATCTTTCGATATGGTGCAGGACCCAATGGCATTATGAGGACCTTGGGTCAGTACATGGGAGCATCAGGAGCTACCTTCGGGTGAGTTATGCATATGCCTACCGTTGCAGAGGCGAGGAACACAGGCTCATCGCACGACTTCTCGCAGCTTCTTCATGTCCATTGGCAGTGTCATCCGCTCCGACGCCTCTCCTATCGTCCAGCAAGCCTACTGGAACTCGCGACGGAGTCCCATCATCATGGCCGCAGCCCACCGAGCCCCTTTCCCAGCGCGAAAACAATAAGACTGAAAAGAGAAGCAATACCGACCTCGACGGGCGGGCCCTACACTGGGACGTGCCTTCCGGGCATTGTACGAAGAAAATCGTGTTTTCAATGAAACTAAAGTGGCGTTTGGACATGGAGGTATCCACAGACTTCTCTGGACGACAATGACAACTCAATTCCGTCAGGCTGCCCGCCTTGAATGTGATGCCTACAGCTACCTGGTGATGAATCGCAACAGCAGCAGGATAGAAAGACAGGAGTGAGCCTTCAAAGCCCCTGGTCGGAAAGGTCGCCACACTGATCGAATCGATGATGCGTGTTGAAAGCCACCAAGTCCCATGCTCTGCCAGAGCTTTCTTAGGACAGGATGGCCTTGACATACCGCGGAATATCTGCAGCTAAGTCCAGGAATGCCCACAGCACAGCAGGTGGGCTTGAAGGGTACTCGCCGGCCCCTGCCCCTGCAGTAGCTGTTGCGGCACTGGACCCATCCCCCGTCTTTTCGCACACATCGTGGACCGGGCGACCACGCTGCTTTGACGTCAGCTGCAGGCAGGATGTAGGAGCTAGCAACGGCATATGCTGCGGCCGATGAGCAGGCGTGGAAGTACGGCGCTTGCCAGGCCACCCCGAGGCCGACTGGTCATAACGGGACGCGTGCCTGGATGTCCTCGAAAGCACGGACTATCTCGCAGTTAGTCTCGGTGTTTGGCCACGCCTGTTAATCGCAAATAGTCTCGCGCTATCTGGCACACATGGATCCTTCATTCTGAAAGAGGCGCCATCTTCTTGCTTTGCAGCTAGGTCCCCGTCTGGACCGGGTGAGCCGCTCTCAGGTGCCGGATACCAGGTCCTAATCGCTCTCAGACCTCGTGGCCCAAGCTCACGCAACGCTGCACCGACATGAAAATTGTCTTGTCCCTTAAGCACGCTTGAGTCTCTAGCGCTTGCCGCCTTACTAGACGATGGTTGATCCCATCTCATCCGTCTTACGGGTGCCCCGACTCCACTAAGACTGAGCAGGTCGTCCCGAACGTTTGGGTTTGGTCTTACTGATGGCAATAACAATTACGATAATAGAAACATCTCGTATGACCGTACAGGGGGTTGCTGCCTGCAGGGACGCTCCTAGCCAATATGAGCTATCTTCTCACGGTGGCCTCAGCCGGCCGCCACTCTGGAAGCTAAACTTCATATACAAGCGGCTCAGCTTTGCGCCTTACACAACCACCTGACGGATTCCTTCATCTCACTATTGACACTCATCCCAATGTGACCGCAGCCGATGAAGGATGCCATCGGTTTTCGTCTCTACGCAGTCATTGTCAATATGGCGCATCACATATCTTTCCAGGCTGTCGATGGGTGGGCTGTGGAACCCAGATCGGCTGCCTGCACCTGAATAAAGTTTACGAGGTCTTGATGCACCATGATCCGAACTTTGGGACGAGCTGGCCCACATCCCGTCCAGGATCCGAACCCTCGGACGAACTTTGGCCTGGTGGTCTTGGTCGGCCTCGTGGCGGTAGGCCATCCTGGGAGCTAGTTCAGTGTTGTTTCCTTGACAGTGTGTTTCAAGCGGCTGAAAAGAGCCCATGCTTTTCAACCACGCTTCGGCTCCGCTGGCGCCAAAATCCACGGGCCTCGCAACCTAGATCTCGGGGGAGATCCCCTGACTAGTTCCGATCAGCCGGTGCAATGACAGTACTAACGATGACCGCCTGCGTATCCCCAAGGGACTGGTCCGGGCTGCTTGCTTAACTCTGAGCCGTCGTACCTCGAGGAGCCTCCGAATTCTCGGCTCGCGACATACCGTGGACCTTGTACAACGCCATCATACAGCCTTGGGTTTGCTTTCCGCACATTGCTTGTCCCGAGTGACAGTTCTTGTCCCGGTGCCACATTGAAAGATTGAGATCACCAACGGGGCGTTCAAAGCGCAGCCGACTTGACTTCGCCCCAAGTGCTGACCCTCACGTATTCTGCTTCCCTCCTATACCACTCACTAGACTCTTCTGCCTCTAGCTAGCTTCCATACGATCGGGTCCTGCAGTAGCTCTACAGCACCGGCCGAAAAGGAAACAGCTTAGCCGCAAGCCACGGCACTGGCCAGGTGGGACTACACTCCGTCGTATGAGCGTTGTCGATGTTGGACACGAGTAGGATGGATGTGATGGACCAGCAGCCGCATGGCCGCGATGTATGCCAATGCGTATATAAGACCCTCTGCCTTCCATGTCCTCAGCATCATGGAAGAATGGACATCAGGTTTCATTCTTTCTTTCTCTCGCTCATTCGTTTCGTCTCTCATTCGTCCTCTAAATTTCACTATAATCCCAGAGATACACCCGCTTCGTAACTCAATATGGGTTTGTTCGATAACATCTTCGGCACCATCAATGGGGTCATCAACGGGGCCCTCGGCTGGCTCTTTGGCGTGACAGCAGCCCTGGCCCAGTCTGCTACCAACGGAAAATCACTCTTTGGTACTTTGCAGGCGGTTTTGTTTCCGCTTTTCTTGACGAACAATCCTCTACCTAATGGGTTTCCGTGGGGAACCAGAACACCAACCAACACTAGCCCGTACACTCAGTCTCCCAACACCGGTATCATTCGCTCATACGACTTCACTATCAGTCGAGGAATGCTTGCTCCTGACGGGTATCAGAAAGCTGTTCTGCTTGTCAATGGTGCCTTCCCGGGGCCTACCATTGAGGCCAACTGGGGAGATATCATTCAAGTCACCGTCCACAACAACATCACCAAGGACTCCACAGGCGATGCCGAAGGAACAGCTCTGCACTGGCATGGCTTCCTGCAAACCGCAACTCCATGGGAGGACGGTGTGCCCGGAGTTGACCAATGCCCTATTCCACCTGGAAAGAGCTATACCTACCAGTTCAAGGCTGAACTCTACGGAACTACTTGGTACCATTCCCACTACAGGTGAGTCTGGGCTCTGAAACAAGAACATCTCTTTATCTTTCTCAAGCTAGACAACACATGGACGGGCGAGCAATCACTAATCTCAACTTACAGTGCTCAATACTCTGGCGGTGTCACCGGTCCGATGATTATTTACGGCCCCAACCAGAAGAACTATGACATTGACATCGGCCCGGTAATGCTGTCTGACTGGTACCACCCGTCTTATCTGCAGTTGGTACAGCAGACGATGACGCCAAATCAACCGCCGGTTTTCTCTGACAATAACTTGATTAACGGAAAGATGAACTTCGACTGCACCAAGGTTGCTCAGGGAGACAAGTCCAAGTGCACCAACAACGCCGGAGTCAGCAAGTTCAAGTTCACTACCGGCAAGACTCATCGTCTTCGTCTCATCAACAGCGGCTCCGAAGGTGTGCAGCGCTTCTCTATCGATGGCCACAACATGACAGTCATTGCCAACGACTTCGTTGAGGTTAACCCGTATACCACCAAGGTTGTCACGCTTGGAATCGGCCAGCGTGCCGACGTCCTGGTCACCGCGAACGCAGGCAACTCCAAGTCGGCGTTCTGGATCCGTTCCAACATTACCTCGTGCTCTCTGACGAACCAGCCCAACGCCGTCGCTGCGCTCTACTATGACCAAGCAGACACGACCAAGCAGCCAGCATCGCAGGCCTGGAACATTCCTGACCCAGGAAACTGTGCCAACGACGACCTGGCCATCACGACGCCGATGTACAAGATGAAGCCCCCCACGCCTTCCACCACGAACACCTTTGGTGTGAAGCTGTTCCAGAACGCATCCGGTAACACTCTTTGGAGCTTTGACGGCGTCAGCAGCCGCGTTGACTACAACGCCCCGCCCTTGCTGATGGCCAACGCCGGCAACCTGACGTTCCCCACCGAGGCGAACATCCGGAACATCGGCACCAACTCGAGCGTGAGGATCATTGTTCAAAATGACACTCCTGCCGCGTAAGTTCTCCCTGGTCTCCTCCCCACGGCCCCTGCTCCATCTAGTTCCCTGTCCTGAACAATGCTAACTTGACTCCGCAGCCACCCCATCCATCTCCACGGCTACAACATGTACGTCCTCTCCGAGGGCGCAGGGACCTGGAATGGAGTCGTCGTGAACCCCGACAACCCGCAGCGCCGTGACGTCCAGCAGGTGCGGGCCAACGGGTACATTGTGGTGCAGTTCGACCCGGATCACGCGGGAGTCTGGCCATTCCAGTGAGTATCCACCCCTATCTTGAGAGATCACTCGCCTTGTTATGACCTAAGTGGGCCCCTGCTGACATGACAACAGCTGCCACATCGCATGGCACGCGTCCGCCGGCTTCTTCCTGCAGTTCCTCGTGCAGCCGGACCAGGTCAAGAAGCTGCCCATCCCGCAGAAGGTCGCCCAGACCTGTAGGGACTGGAGCGCCTTCACGGCTACGGACATCCCTGAGCAGATTGACAGTGGTGTATAAAACCCTGGAGCCTCTTTACCGCTAGCTATGACCAAGCCGAAAGATCTCAAGCACACACAGTGCACTTCTGCTTCTGTTCTATTGAAATTTTGTTTTCTCCCGTTCTATTAAAATGATGTTAGAGCTTTTCTTGTACCACTTACTCACAGATAGGGAGGCGTTGGGAAGCACGCTAAGTGTTGTATTATATGGACTTGTTGGGATTAATTGCATAATAAATAACTGTATTTACAACTACACAAAAACAGGCCATAAGGTAGCTAGACCTTTGAAGCTATGAACTGCGCCCCTGCCTTCGCGTCGATCTGGTAGTTCGTGTGCGGCGGGAGAACGAGAATCCCACCCTCGCAGATGTTGTCGCCCTCGTGGCAGATAATCTTGACCTTGGAGCTGGGAATGGATCCTACTGGGTCGCCGTCGTTCGGGTCGCCGTAGATCAGGACTACGCGCAGACACCGTGCGGTTAGCGGCTGGGGAACAGAAGGTGGGGAAAAGACATAAAGACTCACCGGCTGCAACCTTGTTGACAACAGCCTGGTTGGACGTCAGGAGGTTCGCGGCGTTGTGGACGAGCTGGCCGCCCTGGCTGTAGCCCGACAGCACGATCTTGGTGTTGGGGCACTGCGTGCTTGCCTGTCCGGACGGGTTAGCAGTCACGTTTTCTCCCCGGTGGTGAGGCTCACAGGTGGGGCTTGCCCTGGTGGTCAGGTTCGCCATGAGCTGGCTTCCCGCTGCGTCACCGCCCGCGAGGAACCCGAAGATGTCGGCGGGGTAGGTCACGCCCTGGACGGCCAGGTTGCTCGCGCCGATGATGGACGACAGGTTGTTCATCATGAGGGGCCCGACGTCGCCGGCCGCGCCGATGTTGCCGCTCTGTGTTGTTCCTCGAGCATCTGTAGTGTGTTAGACACTTGTTCCAACTGCCGGAGTACTGGCCTCCTGTTGACCGTTTTTAAGGAAGAAATGAGACCCCGTGAAAGGGCCAGGCTTGTACATACAAATGAGGGTGACGGCACGGCAGGGCGTGCCGTCAGTGAGCTCGTTGGCTGTGCCCGCATAGGCAGTTGCGGCGAGGCTTATGTCGGAGGGGGCCTCGGTTGAGGTGAGCAGGCCCGGGTAGGAGTCTAGCTCAGTGATGGGCACGCCCTCGGCTGGGATGTCTGTGGCGGGGATGGCAGCCGAGACTGCCAGTCTGGCCGAGGCGACGGCGGCGAGGACGGCTGAGACCCTCATGTTGACTTTGGTTCTGGGGGATGGGGCGGACAAGAGAGTGTAGTCCAACTGCCAGCAGGAGTCCTCGCGATAGGTACTCAGGCGCCCGGGGAGTCAGCGACTTGCTGAGATTGCTGAGCTTGACGGTGATGAGCACCCAGAGGCCCTGAGCTGCTGAAGTCTCCGGAGGAAGTGGAGCCCTTTATGTGTGTCTGGGCTCTCTGACATCCTTCGCAGGCTGCCCCACCGACAGTGAGATTTCTGAATATTCTCGAGATGCTAAGTGCAATCCCATGAACCTCCCCACAGCGGTAAATCCCATCTTCCCGGGTCTCGGGCGGAGCTAGGCAGGCCGGTAGGGGTCCCCAAGGTGTGTGAGGGCAGCTCGCCTGCCCCTTTTGGCAATGTGCCCAGGACATCCCAGGTTGCCATTGGGTGAGGCTTAAAATTGCCAAGGGGAAGTGCCAGAGAAGATGTAACGGCCACGTTGGGGTTTTGTGGCGGCGGGCCGGCTCCACTTGGATCTGGTGATCTGGTTTTGTCAATAGTCGCCGTGCCATGGCCGGGCGACGTTGCGGAGTTGGTCACATTGGATCCTGTTCCTGGCTCCGATTACATGACCGATCTTCCTGCCGAGGCCCAGTCGACGCCGAGACCAACGGCGGAGTCGAACCTGATTAGGCACAGGCGCTGTCCATATCTGGGCATCACAGTCGTCAAAGCTGCAACTTGGTTTGGCCTTGGGTCCAGGCTGTGCCACGAATGGACTGACGCCTGTGGTGGTTTCAGGCAGCCCGACTGGCTCGGTCTGAACAGGGTTGGCGCTGTCACAGATCTAGTGGATCTGCGCTGTCTCTGGTTCGCGTGCAGTTCGTCCCTAGTTGCGGTACCACAGCACCTGCAAGTGCCGATTCCTTCCGTGCTGCACGGTAGCATTCTTCTGGAAGGTCGTTCGTGCGTCCCCCTCGGCACGGTGAGCTCTCCCCCCTCACTCCTCCCGGCCGTCACACCCATATCCGGACACACGAGACGCTCTGCACAGCAGTACACAGCAGCACACAGCAGTACAGTATCACGGGTGGACGAGTGAGGTCGGATTTGAGTTGGCGGGTCCGTGGGTTCCACAATACGAGAGACCCCACGTTCCCGATCACAGTGGTAGCGAGCCGGTGGGTGCCCACCAGCGAGCGTTGCTGTGGGTCTGGGGTGATGCCCGGCCTCCACGTCTGCACCTGCAGTCACCCCCGATGACTGCGAGACCTTGGGGGGGCCCCGACAGAGCCTTGGAAGCCATCAGACGCACACGTGTGCGCACACTGACCCCGTCGACAGCTCGATCTTTTTGCCCACGGCAGCGGCATCCGCGCAGACCCGGTACCGAGGCACCCGCCTCGAGGTTGCTGCAGTAGCGCCGGCGCCTGAAGACGAGATGAGAAGTCACGGGATGACAGGTCCGTCCTGTTGCTCGCCCGCATGCACGAGGGCAGGGAACAGCGAGGGGAAGACGTCGACGTTACCAGTCTCGAGTCTCAAGCCCTGGCTTCCATGCCACGAACACGACTCTTGCGCCGAGTTAGTGCCGTGCTGAAAACCCATCCAATTCCGAGGTTCAACTGGCAACCTCCCTTGGACACGAAGGTGGAGCGAGGATACCAGCCGGTGTGCCGAAGCGCGGGACGTCTCCTCGCCTTGTGGGGCCAACTCGCTGTCTGCGAGGTTCAACAAGACTCTGGCCTGCGACGCGTTCGAATACATCGCCGGCTAGTGCTTCCCCTTGTCCAGCACAACAGCATCTGGTCCATTGGAGGCAGTTCCCACTCTCTTGCTGCAGGTCTCCAAAGGTCCTGGTCACAGACCCAGAGTGCTGGCAGGGGTCCGAAGCCATGGACGTCGACAGCCTTGAAGCACTTGGGTACGGACGTGTTGGTCCTGGGATCCGAGGTACGCTTGAGGTATATGATATATCACTGGAAGATTCGCGTTAGCCGTGGGTACTGTCTCATTTGTTATACTCTGGTTCATCACTACAACAGAAGCTTCCATCCCGACCAGTTTACCATCTAGCCACATCGGTATCATTCTAGCCCCGTGTTTTGACCCTGAGCACCCGCTATCGGACGAGCTAAGACATATGTTGCGCCTGGCTCAGCAATGCCGAATTGCTCTGTAAACAATGTCTTCCATCGCTAACTGTCTCGACGCATTCCTTTATCAATACTTGTCGCATATGGGATTCAAGGACCAGCCAAACCCGTCGTCGTTATATCGGTGTCTTCGGATAGACTTGGTGGATATGGGCTACAGTTCAGAGCAGTAATGCTCTCGTCCATGCCGGGCCCTCCGTGCGCCGATAAAGTCAATAACGAGGTCGGCACGTGGTCGTGAAAGTCATCCACAGCGTTGTTGGAGCTGCCTGCGACGTCGTAGTATCTGTCCGGGACATCGTTGGATTCCTTCGCAGCGACGCTGGATCCGTCGTTGGATCCGTCTGCGGCATTGTTTAGCCCGTCGGGGGCAACGCCGAACTTGTCCAGAGCGTCTTCAACCCGATTCGGGGCGTCGTCCGGGGCGCCGTCGTGAACGAGATTACTTTCAGACTTCGTTCTGAACAGAGAAGCTCCCGAGTCAGCAGGTACGAACTGGAGGAATTCTTCTCTCGGACTGCAGTGGAGGGACAACAATACTTGGAAGATCCAACCTGGGCATCGACCGAAGACCCAGTCCCGACTCCATCCTCGGATGGAGAAAGCATTTCGTCCCGCTTCCCGGCCATGTGCTTCCAGGCCATGTATTGTTCTGCCTCCACCACTCCGCGGTCTCTCAACTCGGCCCCAGTGACACCTGCGCGCGTCCTTCGGGTGTTTTCCCCTACAATATCGGGGTCGGGAACCGAAGTGTCAAAGGCTGATTCAGGCTGTACGCGTGTTCTATGAGGGATCAGTCAGCCACGGCCTGGGATGGCTTCCCAGGGGCGACGCGGAGGGGTGGCATAAAACACCTGTGTGAGAACGTTGTGCGACCAAGCGCTTGGGGGCCAGACGCCCCAGAACCTTCTTCACGCGACATTTTGGTATGACGAAGATCAGTGTACAGCTCGTACTAGAGATCCCTGATATGGCTGCTGGTTTTGGCTCGTGCTTGCTGTCGCTCGGGAATCACTGACCATAGCAGTCAGAGTTTTGGAGGGAGTAGTTGAGGAGGAAGCAACCGCGGCAGAGTTTTCCAGCTCCCTTTATGTCCCTCATGCAGCATCCATCTATTTCGAAACAGCCTGCCACAAGATTGACTGACCACAATGATAGGGAGCTCCAATGCAGAGCCGGGCGGCTCGAGTACGTTCAGATCTCTGACGGCTGCGCTTGACAGCGCGCCAAGCGGGCGGACACTACCCCTGGAAGAAGCACCAAACAAGGCAACCAAAATATGCCTTTTTTGGGTAGGCCCGGGGATCACAGAATTGTGAGCCCTTGACGCGGATAACTCCCCATGGGTCACATATTTGGTCGACGTGGCAGCCGCTGGGGGCTCCGCTCCACCTTACGGTCTGAAGATCTTCGAGGCGGATTCGCAACCGCAGACCGCTCCCGAGGAGCTACATGGTGAGCGTGAAGCCTCGAGAACAAGGGGATATGACGAACTTCACGCGCCGGCTGTTGTGTGGACGGTTCCGACACCGAGGTTTCCATGCATACCTGGGCCCAGAGGGGCGTGGAGTTGGCTGCATCCTGCCCCTGCACCTGATTGGGACCATGAAAACGTGGTCCCAAGCACACACAGCATGGTAGCACACACACCATCGACTTGCTGGTTGGGACCATAAAGAATGGTCCCAGTCACTCACATCATGTTCGTATACATGCGCTTCTGTGGTGCCGCGAACTGGGTTTCATGTTCCCAAGCACACATTGCATGGTCACATGCAAGGGCTTCCGCAGTGCTTAGGACAGCATTTCATGTTCCCAAGCACACCCATCATGGCCATATGCAGGCGTATTCTTGGTGCTTGGGACAGCATTCTGTTTCCCCAGGTGCTTGCATATGGTCGGTCTATGGCGTCTCAGAGCAGATCCGGGATGCATTACCGTCTCGCCCCGGCTGCTGGAGACATGCACGTAATGGACCTCTGCAACGGCTGGCCCCGTGCTCCAATCACATCCATATTCACCGTAGAAAACCACGTGTGGAAAAACGGCATGGCCCTTTGTTTCCGACCGGGCTCAGGGGAGCTGATCCTGCCGACGATTCCTGGTCAAAACGAGAGGAAGATTTTTTCAAGGCAGGTTCAGTCGATCTCCCTGCCCAGGGCGAGGAAGACCCTGGTCACCCACAGCCTGATTGTGAAGCATTTGTCGTGGACGGCTTTACGTCTTTTGTTGAAAGGCCTGTTCAACGCGAGGGCGTATTGTTGACGCCATTGTCGCAAATGTGACGGATCTCATCCCGAGGAGACCAGGAGTCTGTGACCGCTTCGAGTTTCTGTGGGCGGTTTGATCATCCGCAAGACAATTTCTACGGGGCTGCTGAGCACGCTCACATACGCCTGCTCATTCACTGAACGACGACAGTCCGGCTGGCAATCACTGCAGCTGCTGGGCTGCATTTTGGCCCCCAGCTGAGGCAGATCCCAGCAGCACCTGTTGGGATGTCAAGGCACGCCACGGCAAGAGCCCACTGTTGGGTCCCCCCCGAACAAAACAGGGAAATCAGTTCCAACAGCTTGCGGCTCACCGCCGTTTAGACGCCTATTTCTGTAATGTTCTTGCCCATTTCTTGGATTGCCAGTAGCTTTCAATAGTCCGATCAACCTTGTCCCTGACCGACTACCACGTGGCTGCCGACCACCCTGGACCAAGATCCCCTTCCTTTCGCTCGTGATCTACGCCATGGTTGCCGCATTTATCCACCTCAACCAAGCTCCAGCCAAGGTGTGGCCTGGTTCCTAATACCAGCGATCAATGTGGCCGGAGCCTTGTCATTGAACGGATCCCCGTACGGGTCCCCGGAAGGATTGCCGGGCGAGTCGGTCACTACCAGCCGCACTGACAAGCAGGCGCGGAATGACTCTTGACACAATAAGAAAGTGCTCGAATAAAGTTCTCTCCTTGACATGCAGTACTTTTCTGTATTGCATATGAGGGAACAGAAGCCTACTGAGCATCTGTATCACTGCAATGCCCCAAGGCACCACGCGGCGTAAAAGGGGCGCCTTCAGTGTTCGCGTCCCCGCCGGTTCTACGGCGGAGCTTGAAGTAAACACAGCAATTCCTTCCACGCCATTCAGCCCATGGAACCCATGCCTGACGACCAATTTATATGCGTCCAGTTCTCGTAAACAACAGGATGTAATCTGCCACAGACTAGCGGGGTGGTGGACCAATTTGCGGCCGATCCCGTATACAAATTGAGCCAGATCGGGTATTGACATGTCGGATTCGACCCTCAACTGCTGCTGAGACCAATTGAAGATCATGCCTCGATCATAATGGTCCCATTTTCTTGGGTGAGACGAGGTGCCTCTTCGCTCACCTCACAGGGCCCACGACAGCGTGCACTCTCTCAACTAAAAGCCATAGAAGCGTGAGTCCTTGTCCGTGTCTGTGCCATAGACGATAGAGAAGCAGGGAAGATTCTGGTTCGCAGCCACTGTGATCCGAGGTACTGCATTGTGTACGCCAAATGTCTCGAAAGCGCGACGTCGATGAAGCGCGCGTGTGTGGGGTCAGTCCAGCTCATATCTCTACAATAACGCGGCCTTTAAGGGTCGCATAGGATCTCGAAGCACGAAAGAAAAAGAGGTTGGGGGGGGGGGACAAAAAAGTGACGAAGGGCACGTCTGAATCACGACACATACTCAGTAAGACTTCGGCAGGTTGTGACTGCGGAATAGATGGCAAGCTGGCCGAACTGCCGGCTATTTGCCGTCTGACAGCGGGATCTCGAACCAGGACAGACCTCACACTAGGACTGGCCCGTCAAAATACCTAAGAGGTGCCAGGAATGGTATCAGTCGCTGTATACAAACAGTCCGGCCTAGCAGCTTCTCAGACTGGTGGGTAGCTGCAGCTCGGAGTTGTCGCTTAGGATGGGAGAGCTGCCGTCCATATCCCAGCGACGCGTGGTGCTGGCGGGCTTACCGCTTGGCCGTAGGATTTTCGCTCTAACCGGAGCTGGCGTCAGCTGGAGTCCCCCCGGCAGACATGATACGTTGCGGCTGAGCAAGAACTTCACCGGATCACCATTTCTCCCCATATTCATGACGAATTCCCGCAACCCGGCCGGCCTCACTGGGCTGCTGTTGAGAACGGCGCGATGCGGCTGCTCAATACCAGAACACTGGAGTTCAGGGAATCCCATGGACCCAAGACCGTCAAGTACGCCGTGTTAAGCCACACTTGGACCGACGGCGAGGAGATCGGCTACCGGGATTTCCTTGACCTGAACCCGGCATGGACCACCAAATCCGGCTTCCAAAAGGTGCAAGGGGCATGCAGGACAGCACTCGCAGACGGGGTGGAGTGGATATGGATTGATACGATCTGCATCGACAAGTCCAGCTCGGCAGAGCTATCCGAAGCCATCAACTCGATGTACGCATGGTATCAAGAGGCAAGCGTCTGCTATGCCTACCTGTCAGACGTGCCAGACATTGAGCCCTCAGAGCGCGATTCACTTCGGCACTTTCGCGAGAGCCGGTGGTTCACCAGAGGGTGGACGCTCCAAGAGCTAATTGCACCACGGGGGGTTATATTCTTCTCCCATTCCTGGAAGAAGATCGGCTATAGGTCTGACAAGTTTCTACTCGGCACGGTGTCCGGGATAACTGGGGTACCTACATCAATCCTGACGGGAAGGGAGACCCTGCACCAGATCAGCCTTGCTAAGAAAATGTCATGGGCTGCAAGACGGGTGACTACACGCGTCGAAGACATGGCCTATTGTCTTCTGGGCATCTTCGATGTCAACATGCCTCTTCTCTATGGAGAAGGTACCAAGGCTTTTACCAGGTTGCAGGAAGAGATCATCAAAACGTCCAACGACCACACCATATTCTGCTGGACTCGCGACAAGAAGGCAAATGTACCAGCAGACTGGACGAGCATGCTGGCCCCTTCACCACTGGCTTTCGCCGACTCGGGAGACTTCATCCCTGTCGACGCCTGGGAGAACCCCGTGCCATATCCCATGACGAACCTTGGACTTTCGATTCACCTGCCACTTATCTATACCTTGACGCAGATGTTTGTCGTCCTTGATGCGGGGCTGTCAAGCGGAAGCCGCGGTGCAAGGGCTTGCATTGCTATGCAGCGCGCCACACAGAGAAGGACCGCGACAAACATACTGTACCGGTCCAGGTTCTTCGAGTCGGTCATGATGCTGTCCGCCGAAGCGACGGATAGGAGGGAGGGCCATGACCTAGTCATCCGGTCCCGGCACATCCTTCACACAGATTTCGATGGGCCATATCTAGCTCTTCCCGAACGCCGGTTCAAGCATGGTGTTATGCTCTTTGTCCACCCCACCGCACGACAGCTGCTCTACCCTGGAAGACACGGCATGCCCTTGGGGTCGATGGGTTACGATATAGAAAGTCACCCCTCGGGGGTGTTTGACGCCAACACGGCCATCCTGAGACTACCGGCCTTCGACGGTGGAAGCGCCCTTCTGACGTCCGGGCTATTGCGTATATGCTTCAAGTCGCCTCAGGACCATGACTTGTATCTATTCTTCGGTGTTGTTTCCACCCTGGGCGGGAAAGAAGTCTGGCGCTGCAATGTCCACTTCGTGGACGAAATGCACGACTTCCTCACGCACGCGATGGAACACACCGAGCGGCAAAGACGCGGGGACCGAGGAGTCAGCGCTGAAGAAGTCCATCAGTATCTGCGGCTGGAGGCATGGATGGACGAGTGCGAGGAACTACGGGCCCATACCTCGGACGAATCGCTCTATGTCTCGATAGGCGGACAGCTGCCCGGCGAGGTGGGGACGGACCTCAGGGCTGCTTTGCTCTCCGGGTCTGAGGCCTCGCCACATCCGAGACCGCTCTTCGACGACAGAAGCGTTGATGACGAGCACGAAGATGAGGATTTTGTCGAGGTCGAAGAAGACGACAGCCAGGATGCCACGTGCGATGATGACGATGCAAATGAGAGCCCAATAAGCTCATACTATATATCATCTGGCATATCGAGGGCGGAGACACTAAATCATTCCCAATGAAAGTGCTCTCTCTCTCTCATTGTCGTTTTCGCCATATCGGCTTTCTTCCCAAGTCTCTGTGCACAACAGAAATAGCTTGTCCTTCGATCGGTTATAGTGAGCACAAGACAGGAAACCAAACCAGCAGCGCTTAGCAGGTTTGGTACCAAGTCAAACCCGGTCTAAGTTTATGAACCACTCGATGATACCCTGGAGAGCTGCTACAGGATTCTGATGTGTCTGCTGAGCCGAGCTATTCGTAGCAACCCTATACTCCTTGGCTCGAATACTGAGGGCGCGATGTCTTCTACCAATCAATCTTAGATGAGCCACTCCAGTTCGTTTTCCACTTCTTCGCAGTCACAACGCGTTTGGAACACGACTTTGCACAAGAGCGGTGCCGCCACGACACGTGAAGGAGCTAGTGTTGCATGCTGGCCGGATTTGTACTGGATTGAGACGATCATTGTGGAATTTGCTTTTGCAAAGAGCGATAAAGAGTGGTGGAAGGGACGGAGAAGCATTCTGGCCAATGATGTATTCAAGCCCCGACATGTTTCCTGAAACCCAGTGTCTGAGGCCGGCTGCCGCCTTCAGAAGATGCATGTAGCCGATGTGCCATCTTGTGCAGCTGCTCCACGCACGACGCTATTGGCTTTCGAGCCACTGTAGAGACGAGAGATTCGACCGTTTGACTCTATGCATTCAAAAGTACGATGCCTTCGTTTGTCTTCGTTTGATTACAATCTGCCTGCAAATCCCTGTGTGCATACTATCAGTTGGAATGGCGATAGTTCCATATTTTCAAGGCATTTCTTAACTCTCTGTCTTCATATGCAACCATTTGGTTTTTGTTTTGGCTGCGTTTGCAACCAAGGGACGGGCACGAGCAGCTGCAGGAGGCCTACCACGGAACGGCAAGCCAATAGCATTGCATGATACCCCTGTGTGAGGCCCACCGAATTCACAACCAACAACACCTCAGCCATCGGTGCAAGCACCGCCATCCTGCAAGGCGCTTTAGACAAAGAGGATTAAATGATTGAGAATCAACCTCATGCAATACGAACCGATGTCAAGGGCCTGGCGCATTCTTTGGGCAGAAATATTGTTGCACATGTATAAAACTCGGAAGACAACCCACCTTGCTACTCCTGAAGTTCTCGAGTGCTTCCTGTCTCTCCTCAAACACCCCTTCTTCACGTTTGTACCGCTTTCTTTCACACACTAGCACATCCTCGGTTCCTCATCCGGCCCAAAGACTGCTTCAAAATGGGCAGTACAACCCAAACGGACAACCCAATGGAGGGCCTCGGAAACCAGGCGCTCTTGGACAAGATCGACAGACTCAGAGAGCTCAATGTCGGTTCCATCGTCTCCCTGCCTCAGCTCATTGTCGTGGGGGACCAGTCTTCTGGCAAGAGCTCGGTTCTTGAGAGCCTCACTGGTTTCTCATTTCCCCGGGCTGCTGGTCTATGTACAAGATATGCCACGCAGATCACCTGTCGGCGAGAGCCAAAGTGTAGTGTCTCGATCACTATCATCCCTCGCCCGAACGCCAATGACATTGTCAAGCAAAGACTGCGACAGTTCCATCGCTGTCTCGACGAGATGGACGCACAGGATCTTGCGGACATCTTCGAGGATGCAAACCGTGCGATGGGCATACGGTCCAGTGCTGAACCTATCGATGGTTCAAACGATGGCTCAATCACGTTCAGTGAGGACATCTTGAAAATCGAGATCAACGGTCCGGATCAACCGGGTCTGACAGTCATCGACGTGCCGGGTATCTTTCGCACACCAACCCCCGGCCTGACCACTGACAGTGACATCACATTGGTCACATCCATGGTCAAACGCTACATGAATGATTCCAGGACGATCATTCTGGCAGTGATACCGTGCAATGTTGATATCGCCACCCAGGGGATTCTCAGGCTTGCTAAAGACGCGGACCCCAACGGCTCCAGGACCATGGGAGTTCTGACCAAGCCAGATCTCGCGCCAGAGCGAGCGATGCAGCAGAACATTTTGGACCTTATTCAAGGAAGGCGTCAGGATCTGAAGCTGGGTTATTGTGTGGTGAAGAACCGTGGGGGTGACGACGAGAGTTCCTCCCTACAGAAGAGAGACGAAGAGGAGAGGGCTTTCTTCCGACAGGAGCCTTGGGCGTCGGTTGCGTCGACAAGGCGACTGGGGAGCGGTGACCTCAAGACGATCCTACGGAATCTCCTCATGGATATCTCGAAGAAAGAATTTCCCATTGTCAAGAAAGGTGTGTTAACTCTGTCTCAATTCCTATGTTCCAGCCACTCATTCTCATCTCAATAGAAATCGCCAAGAAGCTTTCCGAGTGCGGCAAGAGAATGGAGGCCATGGGCCCTTCAAGGGGCGATGAGAAATCCCAAAGAGCCTACCTGGGAAAGCTCGCAGCCAGCTTCGAGAGGATAGTGGGCTACTCGCTCAACGCCTACTACACCGAGGACCAGATATTCGACGACAGGCTAGAAATGAGACTTATCACGAGGATCATCAGTCTGAACGAGGTCTTCTCTGAGATATTCTCTCAGAGAGGCCACACCCGACACTTTGAGCAATCCCACGAGAAAGACAATCATAGCAATCAGTCACAAAGCCAACTGCCGGAGATTGACTTCGAAATACCGAATGCTGTCCTTGATCTCGAGGACATAATCCGTCCAGAGCGTTTCCAGTGCCCGGAGCCGTCGGATGACTCCCTCATCGAGCACATCGAGGACATCTTCCGGAAGAGCCGCGGACCTGAATTGGGCACAGTGAGTATGACAGAAATTCTTGATAATGATCACATACTAATGGTCTGTAGTTTGGCGGCGCTGTGCTGGCCACTACTTTCAAGGAGCAGTCCAGGCGCTGGGAGGATCTTGTCATGTCCCACGTCAGTGATGCCATCGCGCTGGTGCACCATTTCATTGCCGAGTTGCTCATCCATACATGTGCCGACAACAAGCAAGTGATGGAACAGCTATGGGACAATGTCCTCCTCGAAAAGCTGCAACAGTCATATAAACGCAGCATGCATCATGCGAAATTCCTCTTGGACGTCGAGCGCGAGGGAAAGCCCACCACCTACAACCACTACTTCAACGCCGAGCTCCAGAAGGGCCAAGGGAAGCGACTCCAGAAATCCCTCGACAGCCTGGCCATAGATGGAGGGGACTTGCAGGGACCAGTGATTAGGCTGGCATCACTCGGTAGCATAAACATCACCAGGTCGAACCCGGAACAAGTGCGCGAACACCTCCATGACATACTGGAGAGCTACTACAAGGTCTCTGTCAAGCGTTTTGTGGATGTCATCTGCCAGCAGGTAATCGACCACTTCCTCCTCAACGGCAAAGACAGCCCACTTCATGTCTTCAGCACAGATCTGGTCTTCGACCTCAGCGCCGACGCGCTAGAGATGGTTGCAGGCGAGGACCAGGTTACAAAGCAGGAGAGAGAGCGACTAAGGAGGGAAATGGAAAGTCTGGAGGCAGCAATGCAGGTCCTGCGTGGATGAGTACACATTTTTCTTGGTACAGATGCATACATGAGAACAGAACATTTCAATTTCCTTTGGTACAAGGTCTGGTAGTCTGCGCAGTCTTTCTGGGAACGTTCAAGAAGGACATTCGCCCATGTTTCGTGCTTCAATAGCGGCCCACAAATTTATGATCCTTATCAAATCCTGATGCTTATATGATTGCCACTGGCTGAATAGAAATTGAGTTGGATGGACTTTTGAAACAGATAGATTTCCTTGGTCTTTAATTGACTTTGGTAGGCACCAAAGGCCTCCCGCCACTTTCTAACACACCCGGAAACTCACGCCTATACGGCCATAGAAGTCAGACCAAAGCGCTTCAATCTAGCAGATTTCCTTCCACTAGTCTGAGAGAGCTCAGCAGGACGGGTGTCGACTCTTGAGAACACCAAGGAAGGGTTGAGATCTCTGATGCATTTCGAAGTCAAACTGGCCCCAGTATCGATAGCCAACACCAACAGATCTGTATGCTTGTCCGCAACGCATTTTTGGTTCGATTGCAGCGCCAAATCAAGCTTCCACAGCAGTACCTGTAGCAGAGGAACAGAACATGAAAAGGGTCTGGGTCAGGTCCTGGATCGCGGGCCATCTGTTGCAGCACGCCTCGCACCCCGGTCACCAACTGGTCAACAAACCCATAGCGCTCCCTTCTAGACCCTTGAGGTCGTCAGCAGTAGAGGCAAGTTCGTAAAATACGGTATACTCGCCAAATCTCCCTCGCTCCTCTGCTGAGCATGCATTGAGAGGGCGCCAGGGACCTAGGCTGGTTATGCAGGCTATCATCGGGAAAATTATCCTACGTAGATTATCCTAGTCGGAGACATCTCATTAGAGGTTATTTGAGATTATTCTGGAGCTGGATATCCAGACGCAGATTATCCCAAGGCAGGAGCATGTCTCGAAAGCTTTACCGGCCCTCCAGTCTCAGGTTGGCGATGCGTCTTCGGCACCGGGGGTACGGCTAGGCAAGCCCGCAGGATTGACGGGTAAGGCTTGGCCCTTCTGTACTTCCGTTCAGGAAATCGGTCTTTTGCCGGTTCTGGAGAAAGTCCTTCTTTCGTACGGTGCATGAGTTCCACCCCTGGCTTGAGACATTCTTCTCCATACGGAGGATCTTCAAGCGCGAGAGCTTCCCATAGTTAGTCCTTGGTACCGCGCTTCCAGCCGTCTCGGTGTGTGATCCAGATATCCATTGGTATTCCGCGTTCGCTGACTTGGATTGATATGTGGACGACTACGAGGGCCTGGACACTTCCGTCAGGCACGTGTATACCTAACTGAGTACTCAGCCAAGTCATTGTTATCTACACCTGGCCCTGCCTCGAGTCGTCTAAATTGCAAGACTATGGGGCCGTGGCCCTTGGGCTTTGACTGCCCAGGTGCTGTAAAGCTGGCCTCCTCCGCACTTTGCGACGGAATAGACACCCAAGTACGTGCGCATGATCTTCGCTAAGCTCCAGGTCTTGTCTCCCGGACCAGCCGTTGGGGGCCCATTCCTCCAACGCACAGGAGAAATCGCAACGTCTTCACTTGGCATTGGAAGGGTCTAGACAACCGTGCGGCGCGACCGCGAATCAATTGGCTGCTTGAAGCCGTCTTGGTGTGAATCCTGAACCTTATTGTGACCTCTGCCTCCTCATCGGCCTATATGCCGATTTGATGAAGCTCCGTGATTTAGCCTTCCGCAAACCAAATCACTGGAAGATGCGAACTCAAGGTCCGGAAATTCTAATTCAAAATATTGACACCCTCCTACGGCTGGCATCTCAAAGACCTGGAAAAATAATGAACCAAGATGTTACTTGCACCCCACGGAACCGTGTAGATACTAGGCACGCCGCGAGACTGCATTCTGGATCGTTCCGGGTCGAGAGCCGCCGGCAGATCGCGAATTCAGACCTCGGAGGCCCGTGAACCAAGGGACCTTATGCGCCTGAACCCTCACCTTATTTGCTATTGTCTTCTTTTCTATTGGAAGCGCAGACTTGGCGCCACGTCTGCAGAGTTCTCAGCCCGGGCGTATATCTTATTGAACACTGATGCTATGGCTTTGTTCATTGCGCAAGCACCGCAGATTGAAGCCTGGAGCTGATTAATTGCTTCGTAGCTTTCGGGTGCTCTGCTCGGGTACTCTCATGTTAGCCATGCTTCCTAGGCTGTGTCGACAGCTTTGGAGCCGCAGCTTGAGCTTGGTTTCGCACGCTAACTCGGTACGTCACACAATCGCGCTGCCCGAGTGCACGTAGAATGGCGAGCGTCTCCGGTGGGTCCGCCGAGCCATCATCGAGATTCGTGAGGATGAGCCCTATATCACAGGCAAAGCTCCCTGCAAGTGGACTTCACCGCGTGTCTCGTTCATCGCCCAGGAAACATCAAATTGTTCCATGCCGCCCACGCGGTTTTTCCCGGTGACTCGTGTTAAGACTTCAGAAAAGGAGCTGAAATGGAAGCCCAGGGTGCGAATACTGGGGCTCAGGGGAGCACAACTCAGCTCAAGAACAGTGAAGTGGAGATCCCAGCGCAGGGAGAGCAGTGTGTTCGTATTGGCACAATCTAGAGACGCATGCCCATGGGCATCGCCGTATGTACAGCGCAGCTCAGGGCCATATGCGTTAGCACGCCGAACCATACTCAGTCCTCGTCCTCTTCCGAATCCTTCACAATGTTCCTAGGCCTAGGCGGTTTCCTCCCGCTCTTCGTCCTCCTCTCGGGCCTCTGCCCAACAAGACCCCTAGGCCGGCCCGACAAGACGCCCTTGCCATCATAGTCCAGCTCCACGACCTTGGGGCGGCCCTTCTTCCCGCTCGCGACAGCCCTGGTGGCCCGGACGCCGCCGTCCTGAGGTATGACCTCGCCTTCCGCGATGCCCCTGCCGAGTCGTACGGTACGCCGCACGCGAGTCTTCGCGCCCAGAGCCCACAGATCGCCCCACCTTGCCTTGCGTGCATCGTGGTACGCCTGTTTGCTGAAGCTCCGCGGCACGGTCCACCGCTCGATGGTGCCAGCCGGCGTGCAGAGGTCGAGCGTGACATGGCCCTTGCGTTTGAGCGGTGGAAGGATGTTGCGTGGGAGAGAGAGGGGCTGAGGACGGTCTGAGCTGTCTGAGGCCACATCCTCGTAGCCTGCAAAGGCCTTTGTTGTGGCCTCCACGCCCTGGCGGACGGGCTTCACGCCGACAGGCTCAGCACTGCCCTCAGCTACTGCTGGGGACGCCTCGGCTGGTGCCGGGTTTGAAGCCGGCATACCGCGGCGTACCGCAATGTAGCTGAAGTTGATGTCCTCGTGATTGCGATGCTTCGCCTCCAAGATCCTTTGCAGAAAGGGAGGACGAATAAATCGCTGGCTAAAGTGGCAGAAGTCCTTGCGACCAGGGCTCATGCCTGGGTTCAAGTACATGGGGCATTTGGAGTGGTTCGTACACGGCGCGACGATCATGCCAGGCTCACGGGTCCGCTCCACATCCTGCTCGATGGCTTCCGGTGCGCCACCAGGTGTGGGCGGGACGATGAAATCCTCTAGAAGCCTTTCGCGCACATCAGCGATGGCCTCGAAGCCTCTTGGGTGCCCCTTCTCCAGCATAATTAGGACACCGCCCTCGGGTGACAACAACGACCACAGGTTGTCAAGGATGTCCTTTCTCCTCCAGTCCTTCTCGAGGGGCATCAAAAGGTGCGTGGCAATGATGACATCGTACACCTTTCGTTTCTGTGGGACCTCTGGAGCATCAAGTTGCTTCTCCATGTTCTCTACTGAGTGTGTGTAGTGTGGCAGTCGGGGCAGGAACTGTGTGTTTTCGAGAAATCGTGATATGCGATGTCGCAGTTGATTTGACCCAACAATGACTGTCCTCTTCCCTGATGGTGCCGGGTCCGGCTCCGCGGTCTCCGCATTGTTGCTGCGCAGGACATCCCACTCTGCCTGCAGCACGTTCTGCCAGGCTGCCAGCCCAGCACCGCCAGCACCAGCGTCAAGCACGCGAGGCCCTTGGCCGTCGGCGTCTTTGCGGTTCAGAAGGCCGCGCAGCCATTCAGGGCCAAGCCTCTTGCGCACTTCTACCAAAGTGCTCGTGACTGAGGCATAGATGCCAGGCAATGCTGTGGCGATGAAAGCATCAGCATCGATTTCCGACATCCTGTAGTACCCTGCTTCTAGGCCCAGACCCTTCTGCGGCAAATTTCTGCCGGACCGAGGTGTAGCTGGCGACTGTGGGAGGCCGGGGCCACCGAAGTGTTTCTCAGCCGTGGTCCGATGTGTTTTGTGTCCGTTCGCCTTAGCAGTTCCGTGATTGGTTCAACGAAATCGACGTTCGGCAGCTGTAGCGTGCTTGGTGATGTTCTGAACTGGCCTTCCATCGTGTACTGGTGTTGCCGCGGGCCCTCCTGGCCTGGGTACCAATCCAGGAGTTGAGCATCTGGTTCTGTGTCGTCGAGATCTTCTTCCTCGCCCTCCTCGTCCTCGAATTCCTCATCGAATTCCTCCTCGACTTCTTCTTCCGGCTGTGCCTCCTTTGCCGCGTCTTGCGCCGCCGCAACTACCGCATCTTGCACTGCAACGATTCTGGCCGCTTCGAAATCCTTTTGCAGTTGCAAGAGGGCATCGTACTCGCGCTGATTGCTGGCATTGGCCTCAATGTACTCAAGTTGCGCATCACTCGGTGGTCGCGCTGTCAGCAGCTCCTCCGCCATGGCTTCTTCTTCCCCAGCGTCAAGTCTGGGGACAGACTGCGATGTGTATTCCACCTCTTCCAGCCCGCCAAGCCGAGTCTCTCGAAGTAGTGCGTTCTTTGCCACGTCTTCCTCAGATTCGCCAAAGGATCCAAACCCAACATCTTCTGGTCTTGTGCGGCGCATTGGAGCCCCATACAGCCTTTCGTAGACTATGTATTCTTCATCGGACAAGTAGCCGCTCGGGAGGGTGTCGCCAAACATGCGCTTCGCTTGCCGGACTACCGTTTCGGGGTCTTGGTCTGGTGGCAACCGTGCTTTGTTCGGTCGTGCTGCGAGTTCTTCTGGGGACTGATGTGGCATCTGAGCCCCGGATGTATCTTCAGTGCGTCCATCCTGCAGTCTATTCGATGTTGTCGACAAGAATCGTGCATTTTGCCTTCGGCCGCGGAACCTGCTTCTCGAGATGGTCTGCCGTGGATTTGAAGCTATGGCAGGACTAATCTCTGCAATTGAGTGCACATAAAGCTTGAGGATCTGAGCCGTGCATGACGGGCAGGCGTTTTGCAGCCTCCTAGCAGTAAGCATCGCGGCGAATGTGTGGTGTTGAGAAAGTTGTAGAGAGAAAAGTTCCGGCAGGGTTGGTGGTCCAACCGGAAGCCCCAAATTTCAAATCTGCGGTGCTCGAAGGAGCCTTTGCCGCCGCAGCGCGGGAGACGTGACATGACGCGGGTGGGAGCTCCCCCACCATGTGGCAATTAATCATGCATCTGGCCCACTGTCTATTGTTGGGGTTCACGGATATCCATTCCACGCTACTTTCAATATCTGCAAAGACAAATATGGCCTGAACAAATTGCAATGCCTGTCGGCATGTGGCCCTCCCAAAACGCCGTGCCCTCAGAACCCAAGAACGTGCTCCGCTCATATTACCCACGCCGCCAAGTGCTACTGTAGAGACCAGTGATTTAATCGTTACCCAGGTCGGCCAGAGTCCGGAATGTAGCCTTAGGAGCTGGTTTCTTGACGGCCCCACCGGGCGCAGAACTGCTGGAGGTAGTTGCAGGCGCGACAGGATTGTGTACGTTGTATCTGGAGGTCTCGGCGGCTTTGTAAGGGTCAAACTGTGGTCGCGACTGTCAGTATGAAGCTGCAACACGGGCAGCCGTGCAGGACCGGGAAGTACTCACCGAGAACAACGAGACCAGGTACAGTCCGAAGAAATTGATGATCGCGTTCAGGAAGTTGTTCAGGTCCCATTTGATCGGCCTTCGAAGCGACTCCCGAGACTGTGCAGGGCCACTGCCCCCCAGAGTGCGCCCTGGCACGTTGAAACCTCCCCCAGTCGTGGGGCCCGCCAACTTGACGGCCTTCTCTACCGCGGCGGTCAGAGCAGGCGGATTGGCTCCCTGAATGGTATCTATTGCGGAGCCGTTCTTGAAGATCATGAAGGTAGGCATGGCGCGCACGCCATATTGCGATGCGATGTCCTTCTGGTTGTCAACGTTGATCTTGGCGAATGTAATGCGCTTCGGCTTGGAGAATTTGGTTGCAAGGGACTCGAATGTCGGTGCGATCATTTTGCAGGGACCACACCAGTCGGCGTAGACTGGACGGAGGCGATTGTCAGTTTGAGCGCCGATGAGCCGGCTGGGGCACGGCAGCACACTCACAGTCAGCCACCACGATGGTGGACTGGAGGATTTGTCGCCATTCAGACGATGATCCGACGTGGACAGCCATGTTTGCTTGTAGGTTTTGTCTGTCGTAGGTCCAACGCAGAAGATCAATCTTGGAAGGGAGAGCTGGCAGCGTGCACACTGTTGACCGAAGGGTGTAATCTGTCCGGATGCCCGGTGTCGCTGGGCAGGCAGGGGAGGTAGCTGTACTGGTGCACCCAGGCAGCCTCGGTCAGACTAGGTCCGCAGGGGTGATAGAAAGGGAAGGCGGACAGCGATAAGCAGGCAGAATTTCTTATCGGGAATTGTTGCAGGTTTTCATGGGAGACCATTCAAACCAGTCCTGCCATCACTCATCAATCGTGCAGATGCCGACAGATTTATTACATTTCGTTCCATCACTTGATCATGTCTTATTCGGCAGATCACAGAGCTAAGGTAAGTCTTGCTTTTGCTTTGACAGTATTGCAACCCAGCAGTACAGAATTGCGCTAGCGACCCCGGCCTCATGTGAAAGCCAGTATCGCGGTCTCACTGGATCTGTCCGAACCAATTCCAATCTTGACATAGGTCGTCCGGTGTAGTGAAATCTCGTACTGACTGGCAGCTCGCAGAGGAGGAGAACTGACGACGATGGCGAAGATGCCAACACCAGCACCTTCAAGCCATCGGCTAGGTTTCAGCCAACAGGCGGCCGTGACTTCACCGTGTCAATCGCCGTGCCTGGCAGCATCATTACAGAGTAATTGTGCATCTGTGCCATGCCGACCAGGCGTGTCGAATACATATTAACTTGATGCAGTTTGAAAACCGCAGACCAAAGGATAACAACCACCGGCCGCATTGCCAGGGCCTTGGCTGTCTTCTGTGTGGACGAAGTCGTTGTCTACGATGACAGCCCAAGCGACTCACGGCCTCGGGCTGTCGACAAGGACAGGTACACCGGCGATACTGATCCGTGTCATTTCATCGCACATGTCCTTGGTTACTTGGAGACACCGCCTTTCATGCGCAAAGCATTGTTCCCACTGCACGATAACTTGGCCAGGGCCGGTCTGTTGCCCAGTCTTGACATGCCGCATCATCCTCACAAGGATGAGTGGTTGCCATTCCGGGAAGGATTTACGGTCAGGGGACGTCCGGAGGGCGGGAAAGGGTGAGCAAGCATCTCAGCCTTCAGGTACATCTCATCTAACCAGGACACAGAACATCCGTGGACATTGGAATGCAGAGACCTGTGACCATCTCCGAAGAGATCCCTCCGAACACACGGGTGACTTTGCAGTTCCCGGACCAATCACTGAAAAACCCAGAGCCAGTGCACCCACAAACTCCACGCACGGAGGCGGGCTACTACTGGGGATACTCTGTCCGTAATGCAAGCTCGCTTTCAGCAGTCTTTACCGAGAGCCAGTTCGAGGGCGGGTACGACATGAGTATCGGAACATCTGAGCGAGGCACGCCCGCGAACAAGGCGTTTCCTCCGTTCAAGAGGCAGACATTCAATCACCTTCTGATCGTGTTTGGCGGCCCGCGAGGTCTAGAGTACGCCTCTATGAACGATCCGGAGCTGGGTGGAATGGGTATTAGTGGAGGTCGCACGAAGGAGTTGTTCGATCACTGGGTCAACGTCTTGCCAAATCAAGGCAGCAGGACCATTCGGACGGACGAGGCGGTCCTCATCTCGATGGCAGCGCTGAGAAGACTTTGGGACGATAGTTGAAGACATGCGATAGCGGCACGACTGGACTGGGGGCGGATTAATCGGGCATGTGAGACACCGACAACACCCACAAACCTCAGACACGCTGCCACATCCAACACTCACTGCAGTCACGCTCATCGGAGAAAATGATGAGGCTTGAAGGAGAGGAGGATTGCCGCAGCGATATTGGCTGTCAGCAGTCAGCTATGTCGCAAACCCACGAGAAATAGCAAACAATATCGGCCGCTATTCCGAGTGACGCCTATATGGATCCTAGCTCGGCTTGATCAATAAGATTAATCTGGATCTCTCGAATCAAGCTTTCGGTATGGCCTGTCACCGCGCTGGTCGGGAAGCCTTCCGGGTCAGCCCCTGAAGAATTGTGGGGAAGTCAGGACATGCCTGGCCACTTCGGATGATGAGGCTCCTGAATTCCCATATTGAGGGCGACTGCGTAAGCGGAATCCCACAAGTGTCAATACAATCGAAACAACTATGATGAGTCTTTTTGGCTCAGCCTGTTTGTGAGGGCTTGAAATATGGCTTGGATAATTCCCGAGCCACCCCTCGTACCTTGCCACTGAAAGCGCTCGCTAATGATGCGCTCATGTATTTCCATTACTTCCACCGCCGGCTGCGCTTATAAGCCAGCGATGGGCGGACGTTCTTTGTGATCCACAAGCGGTTCAGTCCTCCGACAAACTTTCACAGCTGCTACTATGAAGTTCTTGGGCGCTCTTTTACTGGCGGCCACGTCTGTCACGGCGCTCAGCGGCAAGGCGACGACTACAGTCAGTGTCGTCGGAACACTTTACTACATACTGCCTTTTCACTGACAGGTTTGCAGCGCTATTACGATGGTCTGAAGGGAGCTTGTGGTTGTGGTACCGGTAATACGGCCTTTGGGTGGCAGGTAAGTCTGTCCAGCTTGGGTGACCGCTGGCGCCGCCCTCCATAATGTCTCTGGAATTGTCATTTATCGTGCGAGTGTCCTGAAATGTTTCTGGCTGGCCAAAGTGTACGAATCGCTGTGGAAACGGCCTTTACACCGCTGCTGCCTCCACTTCTTTGTTTGGCAGCGCGACGTGGTGTGGCTCCGGCTGTGGGACGTGCTTCAAGCTCACGTCCACCGGCTCAGCGCCCTCGGGCCAGGGCACGGGAGGGGCAGCGGGCAGCAGCATCACGGTGATGGTCACGAACCTCTGTCCATACAATGGCAATGAGAAGTGGTGCCCTCAGAGGTAGGTGAAGTGTCCATGCGGCTGCTGATTCAGTGTATGCTGACTGTCTGCCAGCGGTAACAATGACTACGGGTACGCTTATCATTTCGACATCATGGCACAGAGTCAGGTGCTGGGCGACAATCCGATCGTGGACTTTGAACAGGTGTCCTGTCCCAGTACCCTGTCATCCGACTACCAACAGTGCCAGTGTGCCACAGGCGGTTAAGGGATGCGTACCCAGGCACACGTGTACAATCATAACTACAGAAAGAGTCTATACTCATGAAAATATAAAATACGGGAGAAATCGTGGGAAATGACAGTACATAATATTATCAGAGTACCACGCAAAAGCTCAGGTATCTTTGTGTGCATTTCTCCTCATTCAGCATTGAAACCAAAAGTACGTGACGAGTCTGCGTTCTTCGAACAACTCGACATCGAAACTAGCACATGTGATGACTACGTTCGTACCAAGACGCAGGCTATAGCCCATGAATTAACATACCGGGAAAAACGAGCTCAATAGATCTGCTGGGCCCCACGATAACTCTCATCTGCCATCAACGGGTGGCTCTCCAAAAAGAATATAATTCCTTTTATTCATAGATAGCTTAAATTGAGCCTTGCAGACTAGAACTTACGTATTATGAAGGAGATTTTAACAACAGCCAAAATCAATAATCTTTTTCCAATTGGTTATCGAAAGTTCCTTTTCCTTTTTCTCAATTTTTATTTTTTTTTTTTTCCTTTTTTTTTTTCGGCAACATTCTGCTCCAAACAACCAGTCAAAATGGCCCTCGGGCGGCCTTCAAATGTTGAACCAGCCCTCATCCTCTGTTGAAGGCGGAAATGTTTTGTCCAGGCTGTTCTGCTGCATGATTGGCACATGCTGAGGACACAATTTCCTGGAGTCTGACGCCACAGCCAAAGGGCAGTGTTTCTGGTATCATTGAAGCCTATGTGAGCTACCGCAACGCAGGCTTTGCGGATGAATGTTCGAAAGACGGATCCTTGGGTCTCGGTATACCGGTAATGCCATTTCACAAAGGAAATACATGGGGGGTTTAAAACACAAAGGAGCGTCGAAAACAATCAGATTAAAGGAGTTTGACCATCGAATACGAGTGTTTACATTTCTCATTGTGTGCAACTTGTGGCTGACCTTCAAGCAAGCATGTCAAGTCAGACATATACAATGAAGACTTATAAGCACATAGATAGGAAGTTGTCACAGGCTGCCTAACTCCAGGCGACATGGTTTCTTTCTTCAAGTAGGCCTGCACAGTGAAAGTGTCACAGCATGCTGAAATCTTTGCAAGGATTTCAGCATATTCGTCTTTGGAGCCTCCCTGTCGGAATGGATGTGATATATGTTTTGGTACATATATGACAGCCTCGCACACCGTCAAGCATGTGTCGTAGAGCTTTGTGACATACCACAACATGACCGATCAGTCGATTTATTCTACTCCAGAAAGACAAGCAAACGCGTATGTGAAGGACTGGCCAGGCAATGGCACCCAACCCCAAAAGCCAGACTCAAAAGACTGGGATCGACGTTCATCCAAGTAAGTCTCACTCATTTGAACCACAAAGACCTAGGTGCCTAGGTAACATATCAAATGGGAATGAAGTCATGATGCGGTTGGGTAAAATACAAAATATGACTATACAGCGCCATGCTAAGAGACACTTCAAACAGAATGGAACGAAATGATCCCGAGATTCCTGTTCCGGGGTTGGAATACCGCAAGCGGTGGCAATCATAGATTGAATACGACAAGCGCTGTCACTCCCCATGCATTCTACGGCTCGGACAAGGAACCACACGACAAGTCTATATTCCAAATGCCCACAGCACAGATCAAGTCCGAGGTTCAGATGCATCTAGAGGGGCGACGTGGAAAAAGCCATTTCAGTTCCTGGGCAGCAAATTTGCAAACAGCGTTGAACTTTGCAGGCCCCGGAAACGATGCGTACGTGGCCGTGTTCGATACCTCACTTCGTGGGAAGCACAACGAAATCTACCACGTTCACGCCCTTAGAGAAATGGGCCTCACTGCATACGTAATCCCCGAAGAGTACCTTGTGTATGGCCCCGTCACGGGTGAAGCGTACACATGCGTGTCGGTAAAGCAGCTTCGCAATCAGGGCATGCACATCACCGATGGGGCTCGTAGCGGCAGACCAGAAGTGTTACGAGCCCCACCAGAAGTCACAAAGAACGACTTGGCACACGCCAGCAAGATTGCCAACATGTTTCGACCGATCAGCCATGCCATGGGCCCTGACCTATTCTTGACAGTGTTTGCGGCTGAGCTGAGCCGGCTTTTTCGTACAGATCGAGGATACAACCCCGGCTCAGGATGGTCGCAGAAGGACAACAAAGCAATTTTGGTGCACCTGTCAGATGCTGTAGATCTTGCCTCCAAGCTATCTCCCAAGCAGTCACTGGTGAATCCAAAGACCTACGTCCATGGCTTTTCCCAGCTGAAAGCCATGGTCGATATCCTCATGACGGTTGGACTTGGAATTGACAGGAAGAGATCCGAGATGTCCAAAAAGTCGTCATCTACATCACGCGTATCACCGGCATCAGGGCAGAAGAGGAAGGCTGACGACAGTCAAGTGTCAACTGATTCCAAAGTGGTTGAATTCGCGCTGCAGAAAGCGCTCCCTCGCGATCTACTTGAGGATCTGGCTCGACATGGGAGCACGTTCCAAGGAAGGCTACAAGCCACACGGAAGCAGCTTGATTCCAACACCGACGGTTTGGGCGCAAAAGCTCAGGCGCTGAAGGACAAGCTAGTTCACACGGAGAGAAGGCTGAAGGCCTTGAGCATCGACCCGAAAAGAAATGCACTGAGTACCTCAATACTCTTTGATCTGGACGAACTGACCAAACAGGCTCAAACCTTCACTACCAGATTACAACATGCAGAAGCGTCACTTGCTGTACTTCAAAAGTCCTGCAATGAAAACATCGAATCGATTGGAAAGGAAGGGGACCCCTCTGTTCTCCGGGGTCCTCAGAAACCTCGCCATGAATCGCCTCCACCTCGACCAAGTGTACCATTGCAACCAAAGGCGGTGGCAGAACAGAGTGAGGGTTTCCAAGGCCGGGAGAAACGTGTGAAGAAGAAAATTCCAAGTACGTGATCAGGTGCAGTTTACCAGATGTAACCCGTCGTGAACACCTCTCTTGGGGTAGTATTTCATGGAAACATTGGTCGGGAAACAATGCACTGACTATGAAGGACATAAGTGTGGCACCGGGAAACACCTCGCTATAAGCCGGTGGCTCGAGAGGCCGCAGAGATTCAGCGTTGACCCCACGGCCTCTACCAAGCTATCAGCCCATAAGCTGGGCAGCTCTCTCGGGCGGAGAATCTAGGTGAAATGCAATTACCTAATCAAACGGTCGCCAGACAGCAGCGGCACTCCTACAGGATACGATAACTAGGACATTACCTAGGTAGGCACTGGAGGGCCCAGTACCCCGGGGCCAGATACTGGAATATCATCGAATGGAAGGCCTTTGACTGGAGAGCAAGACACTGAAGGGTCTTCCATTGGAGTGCCCTGCAGTCGAGGGACCATCTAATCGACCCGCTCCATCTTCTCGTGAGGGAGAAGCTCAAGCTGCCCGCGGGAGTACTGAGAGCATCAAATGCCTCTTCACTGATACAAGGGAAGCATTTGAAGGCCCTGTCAGTTTCTGGCTCAGTCGTCAACATAGATGAGCCAACAACCTCGGTGCAAGGGTGATACTGAACATTTGGTCATCTGCATCACTCGCGTGCCGCTGTAATACACATGCTCTATGTTCTTTTGGTCCACGTCAGATCTACAATGCATTCTAAATGTAAGATTATTGTTTGGCATTCAGCACAGCACACTGACCCCATTGAACAAGAGGTAGCTGTTTGTGTAGCTCCAAGGCGGCGACCTGTGCAGTGCAAGCCGTGTCCTACCTGCCTGGCCGGTTCCTTCCTTTGACACTGCCACCGCAGTCCATACCCAAGAACTGCAGACTTGCTCTGCTGGTTTTCACAGCTTTGTGGTTCCCCTTATCAAGTCTTGCAAGACTTTTGTCTCGTTCACAGCTGAATTGCCCCGCCAATTCCCAGTTTTGGCTGGTGCCTGTTTATTTCCCCTTTTCTTTCAAGCGCAACGTGTTGGTGTCGAGCTCCTTCCATCCCTTCGATCGAACCCAAACCAACCCCCTCTCTCACAGCCACTACGCGTCACTGCCCCTTCAAAAACCTTTTCGTTAAGTTGCATGGCCTAATTTTGTTGTTAGGAGATTTTGAAATCAGCAACTGCCTCTCCCAACGCATACTGGAATCCCAGGTAGGGTTGACACCTGCCGAAATGTCCAGGCGAATCACACCGCTGTATGTGTTCGACGACCCAGCCGAGTACCACCGTCGCCACAGCCAGGGAACAGTCGTCGAATTCCAGAACGAGGCCAAAGACATCAATGCATTCAACGAGAAGCAGACCGCCTTCAAGACCTGGGTGGTCGCGAATGTGTGGCAAGGAAAGGACAAGTCGGGTTGGTTGCTCCTGATCCGCCCTGGCGACCAGTCCCAGTTCTGCTTCCCGAAGGAGGGGGAGAATTGCGAGATAATGCTGCTGAGCAAGTCTGGCAAAGAGAAGAGATCGAAATGGCTCGACGCAGAACGCGTCGACAACCCCGCCGCCTCCATGGGCCTTCCTGAAGACGCTTATCGCCTTGCCGCCTTTGAAGTCAAGGTCCCGAAAGATGTCCCTCCAGGCACCTTGCGGCCCATTCAGGGCGATCCTGACGACTTGGAGCACGGCGGCGCACCACAGAAGAGCAACAAGTACCTTCTGGGCGACAAGAAGGCAATCATGGTCAACATAAAGTTGAGGATCTCCTCCGCTACCAAAGACGCCGAGCTTGGAGCCGTCACCAAACTGGCACTGAACCCGAAGAATGACCGTACCCAGAAGCAACACGATGCTTTCATGTACCTGATGGATTTCAAAAACCCGCGCTTCACAGTCAGCCTCTTCAACCATTTCCCTCATCTAGCGGACCCAATGAACAGGGGAGTACTCCCAGCCAAGGTGATCACGATGCTCAAGGGTTTTAATGAGCACCAGATCGCGGCATACAGAACTGTTATTGGCAATCTGCCCTGTGGCATTTGCATCCTCCCGGGTGGTCCAGGTGCTGGAAAGACACATTGGAATCTGGTGCTGACCACGGCCATACAATCCAAGAACGAGATTTGGCTTGCCCCGGACAAATTTGAACCGCGTTCTGCCAAAGTCCTTTACCTTCTCGACATCAACAAGCCACTTGACGATACTTCGAACAAAATGGTGAAGCTGTACAAGAGTCTGGGCTTGAAAAAACCACGCTGTGCGGCTCTATGGATGGCACTATAGGGGTGCTGGGACGGGGAAAGTGGACTTCTCTGAGAAGTTCATGTTCATGGCTAGATTGAATCGCTACCGCAAGCAATCTTTCAATCCCGACTGCTTGGCTCCTACCCTCGACGAGCTTGCGTGGGACGTCTATGATGCACAGAAGACGAAGAGGTACAGCAAACTGTACGACTTGATGGGCAAGGCAACCAAGAATGGCAGCGTTGCGAAGTCAGACGAGTTCAAGAACAGCGTGAATCAGCTGTACCGCGATGTACTCAGTCATGTCGACTTCATAGCCACCACTCCTGTCCCTGCCGCTACCGCGTTCGATGGATACTTCAAACCCGATATTGTGATCTTCGACGAGTCTCCTCACGCCCGCGAGGCTTCGACTTTAGTCGCGATAGCCAAATTTGAGCCCGTTGCATGGATATTCAGCGGTGTAAGTTTACTGGAAGCCATTAGAAACAAGGCACTTTTTGTTTGAAAGCCTCTGACGTTGTGCGTTAGGATCATCGTCAAACTCGGCCCTTTGTTGCCTCAGACGATGTTCGGGATAACCCTTGGGTTCCGCAGATGCTGGTGAGCATGATGGAGCGTGCGGATCGTGCAGGGGCAGTACCGCATTCTCTCCTCATCAACACCGCGCCTATGGGGGACTCCAGCGGCTCGCTTCGGGAATGTTCTACAAGATGAAGATGATTAGCGGCCACGCGGACGACAAACTCTTTCCGCCATCGGTCCAGCACCTACAGCGATACCTAGAGCGCTTCTTAGATCCTAGTCAGACATGCCGTGAGCCTCGCTTGATTGTCTTCAGTCCCAGGCGCAGCGAAGTCAAAGTCGGCACCAGCTGGTACAATGAGGATCATGGAGTTTTTGTAATGGATCGCGTCATGGAGCTGCTCCAAGATCCAAGCTTCCGTCAGGTCGGGCGGACTGATCGTGGAACCATCCTCATCATTGCCCCATACAAAGAAGCGTACATGAAGTACAGAAAGTCCATAAAGAACCTTCCGCAGACGTTCCAGGCACGCCTGGGTGTCGAGGCTCGACTCGAGGCTCGGACCATCGACATCGCTCAAGGAACTGAGTCTGATTTCGTGTTCGTGGACCTCGTTCGTTCCAGCGCTACGGACTTTATTGACGATCCCCATCGACTCTGTGTTGCCCTCACGAGAGCTCGCCAGGCTGAGGTTATCCTGATGCACCCTGGAAGTAAGTGACTGGTCCTTAGCAAGTTCCAAAATCCCCATTTGAATCGAGATAACCGAAAGCTGACTCTCCATTCTTCAGTGCGCAGAGGCACCCAGTTCCTTTCTCAGGTATTTGCTCATTGTGACCAATTGGGACAGGTCGTTACCACTGAGACGTCTCCCAGACAGATAGCTGCGGCTCCGGACGAGGCCAAAGCACTGGAGCAGGACGCGGCTCGTCGGCCTGCGATCGAACGCGAGCGTGCGATGCTGGGATTGGAGCCCCGTATCGAGACTGTCAGCCCAGGCAACTCCATGGGTGACACCTCCTTGACCGACCAACCTGAGCCCGAGTCTATTTATGCATCTGAATTTGCCAGCATGGCCAAAATCATGGAGGATATCTTGGAAGGAAACAAGAGGAACCATGTTCCTCAGGAGCAGTTTCCGAGCCATGGTGATCGGGTCGAAACTGAGAGCGCACAGCCCTGTGCAGCTTCAACTGTCAATGAAGCACTTCCTGGTCGACCTCCTGGTGGCGGCTTTTCGATAGGAGGCGGATCTGATTTCAATCAACCGGGTCTCGCGAATTCTCGCTGGATCTTGCCCGAGAAACGAGGTACAAACCAGCTCCCGTCGGCCCCGGCTGTCCAGCGGGGTCATGACACGACTTCTGGTCTCAATGGAATTCGCCCACCTCGAGCCACTGCCCAAGGCCCACTTGTGGGTCAGCCTGGAGACGCTCGTCCTTCTCGACCAACCCCTTCTGTTGAGACATCTGGACGGACTGCGGCCAGGCCCGTCGCGGCGGCAAATGGAGGAGCACGCAATCATGAGGAGACCAGCTCGCTCCCTGCGGGCCAGTCATGGTGGTGATGGCAGATGGCCTTGACTGACAGCTCAACGGAAAGACTGCGCGCGGATTTATTTCCCCCTTGTCCAAACGACAATTTCTTGAAATCACCCGGTTCAATCACGACGACTTGACGGCGATTTAAGGTGCATGACATGGAGATCATGATGCGACATTCTCGGAAGCCGCTGACCAGTGCTTTAGCTTGCCTGAGCCGTGGACCCCCGGGATCGTTGATGATACGAGTATGGCAGCTTTCATGTGTCGATAGTAGAATGCCTGGTTAGGTATTCAATAGTAATGTTCCGGGAGAAACGAATACGCTGCCTGATGAAAGAAGAATAAAAAGCTTAAATTGACCAATGGAGTTTGATCCTTTACTCCCACCTAGGATTCCGGTGTACTGCTGTGATCACTGACACTCGGATGCTGTCCACAGGTTGTTTGTGCCCAAATGTTGTTGTGGACCCGGAGATGCTCCCCATCATACCCGGCCACTCGGCCGAGTGATCCTTGTACTGCCAAGTGTGTGTCTCGGGGGGCCACCTTTTCAGGCCTGATTGCTTCTACTGATCACTGCTGCCTCGGACGAAAAGCATGATGAGAGAAAGAGGACCCCGTGCGTCGGACCTTGATGATTGAGCGTGGATAGCCGGGCGGAAAGACCCGACACACCGTCCTCTGGAAGACGGTGCGCGTTGGCATCGTCAGCCAGAGTGGTCGTGGCTGGTCGGCAAGCCGATCGAGGCCCGCAGGATTGGGGGCCCGACGAGGGGGTTCATCCACGTTTGATGGTTGTGTGCCGAGACGACGGGCCATCTTTTCTCGCCTCTTGATGTACTCACTCGGCACATGTTGCACCGGCGAGAAGCCTCGACAGTGCCGGGGCTTCTGGAAGGTTTTGCTTAGCACGTGCCGTTCATGGCGCATCGGGGATTGCTGCCGCTGAATGACGAGAGGGGACAGTGTGTGTTCAGCACATTGAGTTTATCAACAGTGGCCACGTTTTACAGATCTGCTGTCCGCGGTTGTGCCAAGGCGAAGCCAGTGTAGCGTGAGATGCACGGTATCTCCTTCGCACCAGATCTTGCCTGGGATGGTTGGCTGGATGACAGGGTACGAAGCTCGATGCGTGTGGCGTCTGATGCTCCTACTGATCAGGCTTTGGGCGGGGGGGAACAGACGCGTGAAGGAAGATACCGTGTTGTGGGCCGTGCACAGTGGGGCGTCCGTCTTGGGGAACACTACGTAGGCACTTGTAGCTGACACAGACGCAGATCCAAGGGCCAGGGATCAGGGGCGCAGGAATCAGATGGGTATTGAGAACTTCACGATGAACATTCCGATGAAATCGAGCAGGCTGGCAGGGTGCTGTCATGTGGCTCAGATGCGAAAGTGAGAAGATGGGAAAGCAGGTCTTCGACGTGCAGTTACGGTGCTACATGCGCATGTACGGGGCCGATGTCTAGGTGTGGCAGAAACAATGCCACGATCGTCCCTGAGTCTGTGACGTCTTCGACCCTGGACGGCTCGGAGTTCGGCAGTGCACAGCTGCCATTGCTTTTCCGGGGTCCTTCGTCTCATCCTGTGCCGTGTCTTGTTTTTGATCACAGCACTCTTGCAGTCTGCAATCCTGCCCAAGGTGGGCGTCAACACATCATATAACACGAGTGTGAAAATTCAACGCAATCCCAACTGTGTACTCGACGGCAGCGCAAGATTTATGTGCCATAACATACTGGTCCAACAGTCAGTTCCACAGGAAAACTCTCCAAAGCTGGGTAGTTCCGCCCCGCCGTCCGCCCAGGTGCCGAGGAAGGAATACGGAGAGCCCGGGAGGCTCCTTGTTATCCCAATTGACCAATGAAACCTGAAGCCTCACTCCCACACAGCCGTCCAGCTTCCCCCACATACTCGCACCTGAGATGATGATCGTGGTAGAACCCGGTGAATGCCTGTGGCGACACAGGTACTCCGTATATGTAGCACAGAGGCCCAGGCGATGCAGGTGCAGGCGCATCTCGCAGACATCAAACAGCTGGCAAACCTGCATATGTCTATCTGTGAGGGCGGTACGTACCGTCATCCGGCAGGGGTCTGCCAGGGACCAGAATCAAAAAGTGGGGACGCCCAGGGAGCGAGCGGACGTCTGGGCTTGGGCTGGGTGTTGACGTCTCTCTGTGCCTCGATCTCCAGGTCCGCCTCCGCGTTTGGATATCGCCAGGCCTGCTGTGGAAACACTCATTTTCCCCATCCGCCTCCCTGTGCCCCATCAATGCCCATGAACTTCAAAATGGCCCTCTCACGTTCAGCAAGGGCATCCGTCCCGATTCCAGTCCTCTGGAGCAAAGCGTTCCCACCGGCCATCACACCTACCCCTGGGCCCTCGGGAGCCTTTTCGGGATCCAAGCTCAAGAGCATCACTGTCGCCGCCCTCGTTCTCGCCTTCATCGAGGCGGACCGGTTGCCACCCTAGGAATTAGACCTCCTGACAATGCTGTCCATGTCAAAAATTGTCTCGTCCGTCAGCCTAAATAGCGTCGATCGCTGCTAGACCACATACCACTCCATCGACAGTGTTGCTAAGGCATCGGGCGACGCCCCTTTCCGCGCCCATCGCAGGAGGCGCCGCATCCAGCACAGTGTGTTGCATCTGCCGGCACGATCTCCGTCCCTAAAATTTTCAGACTGCCCCTCCAATTGGGCCCAAAGTCCTGCCAGCAATTCAGGGTCCCCTCATCGCGAGGACCCCAGACAATATTCATCAACAGCCCGCCGCTAAGCTGGGCGGCCGAGCGAGCGAGCGAACTATACCCTAGCTCTGCTCTTCCTCAACTCAACTTCCAGCCCTTTCCTTCTCCGGCTTGGCATCCATCGTCATATGCCGAGCAGTTGGCCTCCTCGAGCCACATGTGCTGAGCCTCACCAGCCCGCCCTCACTTTTTTGTCCTCCTGTTCGGGTTAACAAGTCGTGGCAGGGACGATTCGACACTCCTTTTTCACGCTCCTTCCCGCACAAGGTCGTCCCTGAAGAAACAACATTGCTCCCACGTCCCTTTTGTCGGGAGCAACTTGACACCTGGAGTTGCTCTGTTTGGCTGCTACATCCTAGCTGGCGCACCGATTTTGGAGTCTATGACACAACCATTCCAAATACAACTCCCAACCCAGGCTGTTGTTGTCTGAACTTCTTCTACCCAGGAAACTTGCTGAATGTTTCAGTGTACCGAAGCATTGGCTTGCTTTCTCGTTGCCTAGACTGTGGTCTTGAACTTTCCACTATTTTGTCTCAAGGGGGAAGCCGAAACTTTTCGGAATTTCTGTATCCTCGACTGGCGCTAAAAGAGCAGAGAAGGTGCTCTCTCCCACCAGCGACTCCAAATTCAGAACCGGAGTCACAACTGTAACGGCATCATGGCTAAATCCAACATTTTGATCTACATTCTCCGCCATGACCTACGCCTGTCAGACAATCCAATCTTCCATCGGCTTGCGACCCAGGGTGATCATGGCTTCACGCATCTCCTACCGGTCTACGTCTTTCCGGCACAGCAAATCGAGGTCTCCGGATTCCTGAAAGCCGGCAGTACTTCCCCTTACCCCGAGGCGAGAAGCGCAGTGAGCAAAGTCTGGAGGACAGGCCCGCACCGAGCAAAGTTCATCACCCAGTCCGTGTGGGACCTGAAGCAATCTCTCGAGTCTGTCGGTAGCGGGCTGGTAATTCGGGTGGGCCTGGTCGCCGACGTCGTCAAGGGCTTGTTGGACGGCTTTAGAGATCGGGAGGACAGTGTTGGTGCTGTGTGGATGACTGGCGAGGAAGGAGTCGAAGAGCGCAGAGACCAGAGGGCTGTTTCTGCAGTCTGCAAGGAGCTTGGCACCGATTTCAAGCTCTGGTCAGATGAGAAATACTATGTTGACGAGTCAGTAATTGTGTCTCCCCGGCGCCCTCCCCCTTCCAAACCAAACTTTCCCTTCTCGTACCTGTGGCGATACTGACCAGCGTGCTTCAGTCGAGACGTTGCGACGCCTATCAGCGAAATTGCCGATGTGTTTACCACCTATAGGAAGTCTATAGAACCCCTGAGGTCTCGACCGAGGGCCACACTTCCGAAACCAGAAAGTGGAAAGCTTCCTCCTGTGGTCGAGATATCGCACATACCTGACCAACATGGTCCTTTCGTTATACCGACAAGCTATGGCGACTTGGAAGAGGCCGTTCTATCCCCGGTCAGGAATTTCCTGTCTGGTGTACCTACATACCCTGACGGCGCCGAGTCTGCACATCCGTTCGAGGGTGGAGAAACCGCTGGGACCGAACGGTTACGCCACTTGATTAAAGCCGGCCTCATGCACAGTTACAAGGAAACTCGCAATGGCATGCTCGGGTCCGCATTCAGTACGAAATTGTCTGCGTTTTTGGCTCAGGGGTGCGTGACAGCTCGACAAGTACACCATGAGCTGTTGAAGTACGAGGATGGGACAGACCCTGATTACAAAGACGCGAATGGATTTGGGAACGGCGAAAATGATGGGACGAGTGCTGTACGCTTCGAGTTGCTATGGAGAGACTACATGCGGCTCTGCACAATGAAGTTCGGAGCCCGACTGTTCCGTATCGAAGGCTTTCGAGACCACGACTACGATGGAGAGGGCGAAGCCAGTGCGAAGAGGCCAAAGTGGAAGTCCTCTGTCAAGGAGGACGCCCTGCCAGACCAGGAGCCGAGTCCAGACGAGGTTGCGGAGATCATTCAGAGGTTCAACACGGGCACAACTGGCATGGGCCTGATCGATGCATCGCAGCGTGAATTGCTGCACACGGGCTACACATCCAACAGAGCAAGGCAGAATGTCGCATCGTTTCTCACAAAACACCTGGGAATTGACTGGAGATTTGGCGCGGAATGGTACGAGATGATGCTGGTGGACTACGACGTGTCGTCCAACTGGGCAAATTGGCAGTACGTTGCGGGTGTTGGGAACGACCCCAGGGGTGAGGCTCGCATCTTCAACCCGGTTAAGCAGGCCTTCGACTACGACAAGGAGGGAGCTTATGTGAAGACATGGGTTCAGGAGGTTAAGGCCCTCGAGAAGCTCGAAAATGTCTTCCAGGTTTCCACCACATCCGCCGAGGAGCTTGAGAAAGCAGGTCTGACGGGCAACATCATGGTCACGGACCCGGTAAAGCGGATCGAGTTCCTTGTCGACGGCAAACCGAAGAACAATAAGCGACCGTTCCACCGAGCACGTGGCTCGCGCCGACCGCCCAGCGCCGGCGGCTTCGACAGCAACGGGCGACCACTCAATCAGTCCAACGGCGCGACCGGCCCAGGAAGTTCAGATGGGAGTACCGGCCTCAGGGGCTCTCCGCACCGCGGCCCTCGTGGCGGGGGCTACAACAACGGCGGACCGCGCCGCGGCTTCTACGGCGGACGCGGCAGGGGCCAATACGCCGGCCCGAACTACGCCGCTGGCTATTTCGGCGGGCCTCCCGTCAACGGGCAGATGGGCAACTTCGGCCGCGGCGCTTACCACAACATGGCCGCCAGGGGTGGCTTCCAAGGCGGATACCCAGCGCCTTACCCTACTGGCCCTCCGTCGTAAATGAGTTGGGGGGGGGGGGATTCAATTGTAGGATAGGATTGTCATGCGCGCGTTGTAAATGTCTACGGAAAAAAACATCTGGCACATCGGGGCGGAGCAATTGATATTACCGTAATTGTACTGCATGAGTTGGAGCATATAATATCTGCACAACTACAAGACGCTTCTCTCACTTGCCCCCTTCCTTTCCATGTAAGCCAATGACCAAGACCTTCTGAGGATTCGGAGTCGTGGGTGCCAACCGAATCCAGGAACGGGGAAGGGTGTATGGGCTGGAGGCGGGCAGAGCGATAAAGAATGAACCAGCGTCCCACATTACACCTGTCTTGAACAAGTTTTGATTCTAACGGGCTCTCAGTCAGGTCTGCAGAGGACAGCGAGACGCAAAGGCACACAAGAGCGATGATGTAGTGTGAGTCTCAGAAAGCCGTCAGTACAGGACTAGATGGCGACCTTGTCATTAAAGGCATTGTCATAGCTCGACAACAACGAGAATTCCCCTGCATTTCTCTAAATGTTTCACGGATACGTTCTTGTTTCCCTCCGCTCTGTCATTTGTCTACGCCGGCTTCTATGCTTCTAACACCGCACCTTGCGAGCGCCAGACTACTCCGGCGCATGGTGCCATTCTATACATCTTGTGAAGGCCCAGGGCTCTCTTAGGCTGTAAACCCCATGCTGAGATCCTCCGTGGGGCAGAAGCCCCTCTGTATACACCAACCTCTTTCAAGTCAAAGAACCGCGAGGATCCCAAAACCCCGCAATGGGCATGATCTAGAAATTCTCCGGCACCCTCCTTAGGTTCACCGACTTGGGCGACACAAACAGCGAGCGGCACTCGACGCACGTCCTGCCGTCAACCGTCTCGACAGTGGCATCTACCCAGACCTTCCTGCCCCTCTTGCCCCTCTCCTCGGGCGCCAGCCCCTCCTCGGGCACCGCGCGGGCGCGCAGCACGTAGAAGTCGGACGACAGCGTCGGCCTCTTGTAGGCGATGTCGAGGTTGGCGGTGAGCAGCCCCCCGCCCCCGCCGGCCGCGAGGTCCTTGAGCGCGGCGCGCGCCGAGTGCTCGTCCAGCAGGGTGGCGACGGCGCCGCCGTGGACGACGCCCGGCCAGCCGATCGTGCCGGTGCCCAGGTACACGACCGCGGCGACCTCGCCCGTCGCGTTGTTGTGGAAGACGTGCTGGTACGCCCCGACGCCGCGGGATCCCGCGAGGGGCCCCGTGGTTATGCGCTGGGGGCGCGCCTCGCGCGGGACACCCTCGTAGGCCTCGTGGTGGAACGAGGACCACTCCGGGTCCGAGAGGAGGCGCTTCACGACCGGCAGCTGGGCGGCGGCGGCGCGGATGTCGCGGGTGAGGGACTCGTCTACGTCGGTGCCTGGGAGGAGGGGCGGCGGCGGCGAGAGGACGGCGCGGACGGCTGTGCCTGTCGCGAGGCCGAGGAGGAGGAATATCGCGGCGGAGACCCAGCGGGGTCGTCGTCGGCGTGGTGGAGGGTCGGGCTGGGAGGACTGTGGTTGTGATTGTGGGGCGTTTGGAGCGGTGCTTGGAGCGGTGCTTGGAGCGGTGCTTGGAGGGGACTGTTGCTCAAGGAGCAGCCGCGACGAGGTCGAGAAGCTGTGGGAGTAGAGAGGCGTTCGGATCGGAGCTGGTGTTCGTCGCGATACTGCTCGGTGTTGGCATGTTGCCCGCGCTGCTGACAGGCTTTGAGGCTGGCTGGCGGCGATGCGCCATTGGGCTTGCTGAGCCAGCCTTGCGGCAAGTCGGCCCTGCGTTGAGAACGAAGACATGGCGCTATCGTCACCGACCGTGTTATGGTGGCATTGAGGGGTGGGAGATGTCGCTCTTGCTGTGGCAGCGCGAGCCTGAGTCGCTCGTCGTGGTCTCGACGTCAACTCCAATCTGGAGTTTGGGCTTGTCCTGGGGCCCACTACAGAACCTCGGCACGTCACCGCAGCACCGCCTGCGGCAGGCACGGCTCTAGGCCGATCAGGGCCCAAACCAGCTGGAGTAGCTATCTGCTGAGTTCAAACTTTACACCTGGACTCTTAACTATGGCGAACATCTATCTCTGTGATCATCAACTCTTTTCTCCAACCGGCACCCCTTGTCGAACCAGGCGTTGAGGCTCCATGTGCACTATCTAGACTCGTGGAATTGAAGAGCAAGACCTACTTCAATCTCTTGTGTTGCACAACCAGAAGCCGGACGATTGTTTCTCCTCAATGAGGACTCAACATCTCGCCCTCCTGCCGTGCTACTCTTGAATCGCGATATCCTTCCAACATCGCGCTGCGGCACGGGCCGGCTCGGTATTCAGCAGACAAGGCATGTGAGTAATCGTATGCCTAGCTGATCGATGTCTAAGATTGCATCCGCGTCGGTCAGGAGAGGTGGTGCCTCGGCGTACGATGGCCTGCCGCCTCTTTTACTCGGTCAACTGATCGGGAGCCCTTTGTACAACTTGTTCCGTTATTGAACATTTCTCGGGACTGGTTAACGCAATACCACCTCGGTCAGATCAGGACCACAGGGCTTCGGTCACGGGTGTAATAATCGCGAGACGCAAGTCAGAAAGATGCGTTGCAATCCTCTCACCGAGACGCCACAGGCTCCGAATATGCAGTTCGTACCCCGCTGCTGGCATTTAAAGACTCTACGGCGCCCGTGATCCCCTATGTTTACACGACCGAGGCCCCGGATTACATTGCATAATGTGTGCAACGCACACCACCCAGCTAGACAATAGTCTCCCAGCTGATGTCCGGATCGAAAAAGAGGCAATCGTTCTTAGACGATCAAGTTCCCTTCTGCTGGCAGGCAGACATGATATTGTGTGCTATTTACGAACGCCTTTTTCTGTGGATGGCTACGCAGGCCATGTTCCTCCAAATCGGGTACAGCACCCGAACCGGGTTACAGGTTCACAAACCTGCGCAGGCTAATTAATCGGGTAGCCGCCTCTCGGTGCAAGACAGGTCTATATCCAACAAATGAACCATCGATTTCATTCTCTTCGTTGAAATTGAGGTTTCAGTTGCAAAGCCACGGGCGCTCAACATCTCGCGAAGGCAACACCCGTCGTCACCGGTTCGGGAGTTCCTGCCTGTCGTCTCGGCCGGTCATGGACGCATGTGACGGCTAATTATGGACTTCACCAAGCATTCAAATGCAACACAACTGTTGAGTTCAGAAACTCATCTCAAGCTCACGCAACTGAGCGTTGAGAGATGGGCCTTGAGGAAGCCAGCCAGCAAGGCGGAATTGGGTCTCCCCTAATCGTGGGGGAACAACCACAATGTACGCCTTGAAACGGGCCAAGACGGGAAGTGGCAGGCAAGAAGATGCGATCAAGGCTGTCCCCTCCCCAGCCCTACGCCCACAATCTCTCGGGGTGCGCTTCTTTGACAGTTTCACGACTACCCCATGGACGAACTGGATGGTTGGTGGGATCCTGTTGGAGCCGTGTCACTGTTCCACGTCAACGGGTGGGAATGAAGGGGGTGGTCGGTCTGCCTGCCCCCGAGGTTGGCAATAGTTGCCTCACTTGCTTGGTTGAGTTCTCGTTCCATGGGACGTGAGTTTTCGTCCGTGAAGCCACCTTGTCAAGGGTCTTGCTGACTTGTTCACCAGGCTGTGGGTGGGGGAGGCCGTTGGGTGCAAGCGCGACGGAGAGGTGCCTCTGGGCTGAATGCTTGTACATGTACCTGCATGAGTATGTAGCCAGGCGTTTAAATCACGAAGTATCTCTTGGCGGACAGAAGGCCACCGCATAGTAGACACGCCCAAGGGTGGATGTTGGGATGTTGGTGGCTGCAACGGCCTGGCATTGCTGTGGTCAGTGGCTGTTTCGGGCATCAAACGGATCCCTCCCTTGAATCTATTGGTAACGACTGGTTGTTTGTTGTTTGGGTTCAGTCCGGTGCCTCGTTGCCTCGGGCTCAGAAGTGATCAGCTGGTTCTGAAAAGCGAGTGTTTGATAGGTGATGAGTTCTCCCGTGATGAGCTGAACCCAGCAGTTGGGCCCGGCCCTCGAAGTTGAGAGGTTGTAAAACAGAGTGACTCATGTTTTCTTGAATATTGTGCTGGTCTCGGGTGTACATGAATTTAACACTACTGTATGAGATGTTTCTCAAAGACGTTGCGCGGAGTCACAAGCGTATTACGGCGTACTTTTGGTTACTAGCAAATATGATCATCAGCTGGAATTTGTGCACCAGATAGCCTCCAGATCTTCTGCCATGTTTGTGTCCAGGAAAGGCATTCAGTGACTTGCAAGGAGCCCATGCCTGTTGCCCATGGGCCCCAGGCGTTTTGGACTTCACGTAGAGTGTCACCTACATCGCAATCAATTTCTATTGATATGTCGGCGAGGCATCAGGTTGCCTGTGAGGCGATCAGGCAATATTCTAACACTACCGCCCAACTGTGCTCTGCTGGTTGCCTTGATAAACGACATTCCAGCCTCATCGTTTGACCGTGGGGCCATTCTACCGTAGATGTAGGACAAGCATGTACGCTGTTGAGCAGACCTGCCTGCTGCAGGGTCAGGATTGGGGGCGCCTTGATGGCTTAGACACTGGACAATATTGGAAAGCAGCCATATAGGATTACAAGGACAGATCCTCAATACCAGCCACTAGGCAGCAGCAATCCAGGGGCTCCCGGCCCGGGGGCGGTTCCCTGAGATATGTGGCCAGCCAATCAACTTACATGAATTCCCCCGGCCTCAGGGGGCTCACCAGCGATTCGCCGTGCGCGATTCGCCGTGCGCTCATTCATCTCCGACTGGCACTTCAGCCGCAATACTGTCGAAGGCGCTTCCTCGTTTACTTTTATTGATCACTCTATCGTTTCCGACGAGAATGCCCGATCAGTGGAACACTTGCCCGAGCGGTCGCACTCCTGTGACCGGAAATTGATCCGCCGGCGGCGTTGAAACCGGTACCAAAAGGTGGAGACAGTTGCCTCGCGAGGCAGACACAGAAGAACAAAGGGCGTGGGTTCAGGGCGAAAAGCTCTGCCAAAAGTTCCCGTCAAAATCACGCAGCACTGAAGACGAGCCCTTTGAAGAGTGCCGAGCGGACGTTTCAATGAGGGGTTTCTGCGCGTCGTGAGGCGAGGCTTTTTTTGCTTCCACTAAAAGCTGGTTGCCTTGTCTAGGTCTCCGCTTGGGCGCTGGAGGAGTGGAGAACAAGGTTTAGATCGTGGTCGAGCGAAAGAGCCAACAGCCGGAGGGCGTTCCTAGAGGTGCAGTGATGGTTTAGCAACATCGATTCGGTCGCAGTGAGAGACATCGTGGTTGAGCCTGTGTGGGAATCAACCGCGTTTTCGGGAGTTACAACATTGGAAACATTGAGAACCGTATTCGGAAAACATCACGAGGTTGGGGTCCTGAAAAACAAGGACGTTTTTGTAGAGGGTTGAACAAGCCGCTCGGGTGCCTTGAATGGGGGTATGAAGGCCTAATATGGTCCCATTGCAGTGGCTTCCCAACGTCAGGGGTCCACTGCTGCCACTAGAACGCGCCGTTTTCTGCACCAACCCCGTTTTTAATCCAATATCAACTCAGCAATTGAGTTTTTGCCAATGGTGCTGCATAACTGTCCAAATCTGGGCAGCTGAGTACGGTCAGATGCATCCGCCATAATTGGGCATGAAGCACGGTTCCACAACAGGAACCACTGGGCAGTCAGCTCTCCACATCGTCCCTCACGTTGCGAAGAGTCTGGGCCAGTCTACACAGATCCGCCTCACATCAGCTTGGATTGTTACGGAGAATTCCATGCCTGCCGTTGTAGAGAGCAGTCTACCGTCGCATAGATGACAGCTGTGCAAGCGTTTTGGCAGACTTATTAGTGGCGGGCCTCTAGCTGGGTCTACTGCACCGGGGAACAACCAGAGTGGTTAAGAGTTGATGCACTCAGGGGCGGCACGGCATGTCAGCCTCACTATTGGAAGACCAACTCTATATGAGAGGTTGAGAAATGGCCAAGTCTTGCATTTGAGTCCACTCAAGCGAGATACAGGGCTGTTAGGAGTTCTTCCCCTGGGGCTAGGACACAATACCCTGCACATGGAGGGTTTGACTGGATGGACACGAGATGCTGTGGCCTTCAACCTCAGGCCACACACATACCAACATATCGACTGAACCCTTGTAGGAGCTTTGGGATATTATGACGCCCATAATACCAGGCAGTAATTTTAGACAACCGCAGCTAAGATCCGGGTCCTGGCATAGCGGGCGGGCCGGAACATGCCGGGGAGGACTGCTCTGCAGATGAACGGAGGAAAGTACCAAACAATTTCGAGAGCCACAGAGCCATATATAGGGCGTCAGGGAGAGATGGACAAGGAGACCTTGCACCGACCTTACCTTTACATCTTTGTTGCATTGTTAGCGTGCCACGATCATGCGAGCAGCTCGAACTGGTCCCACAACGATGGCCCTATCAGTGCTGATCAACATCCGGTGTTGGCTACCGACTTGGTTCAACTCGCTTGCAACTGTGAGCCACCCATCACCCTCGTTCCTACGACATAATAAGCGCTTCCTTGGTCGAAATGGGGCTGCCGGATGCAGAAACCTCTCCTCGACTCACTCCGAGCAAGGCAAGACCTCAAGCGACGTTTTGACCAAAGACATTCCGAAGCCGTCGGGCAGCCAGCTTCATGTCTGCTCGAGTAAGCCTCGAGCAGAAGCTCTGGTCGTGGAGTACAGATCCGGCAACAGTCGATCACCAGCAAGGTTTCAACACAACCAGTCATCAATCGAAATCGCCTCGTCTCCCCCTCTGTTGGACGGCAAGTGACGCAAGGACAAGACACAGCGCCCATTCCCTTTGGGAGAAGCATCCATCCGAGCCTGATTCTGCGTTGAACCGCATGGAGAGCCTCAAAAGCCACGGCTGACACTCGAATGGAGCCCAATCTCATCAGTCTCGCCTCGTGGCCGTCCTCCAGCTGGTGTCTCGATGCCTGTCTCTGCGTCGGGGCAACGCCCTCGAGTCATGAGACGACCGCCTCTTGTAGGCAACCAAAACGTGGGCTCACAGAATTCGCTGACAGTGATCCAGGCGTTCTCTTTCCATCATTTGATTGAGCACAGAGATATGCAGGGCGATGGGACGTCTGCGTCCATGCCCGACGACAACGTCAGGCGACCAAGTTGACGAAGCCCAGGGCGAACAGAGCTCCTTTCTCTGCCGAACCACGGCACGATGGCCTCCATGGCGTATGGATCCCTCGACTTGTGTGAGAAGGAGGAGATCTTTGAGTGGAGCAAATTTCCCTAGGGGCAAAGTCTGCTCCGACGAGTCTCGGTCCGACTGAGCAAATTGTATTCTTCGGATGTACTCGCTGAGTACTGGGAACCAGCAAGGCATCCACAACACTGCCTTGTCGACCGCCATCCATCAGGATTCTGTTGTCGTACGAGCCCTGCTGGAGAGTGTGACGACTCTTGATTCGCGCAAGATCCATGGAGGAACGTTGCCAGTATCCCTGTGCCATCCAAGTGGAGGCTTGTCGATGCCTGGGCCGCTCGTGTATCTTGCCCCCATGTGGTGGTTGCTAGACGCTATTTTCATGCAAAGGACAACAAGTGGTACACGTGCCAGGACGGGCGGAGGATTTGGTCCCAACTGAGGCGACCAGGCGGAGCTGGTGGTGCGGTGCCTATCGTCGTCGATGATTTGCAGCCAGCCATCGTCAGTGAGCGTGGGAGGATGAGCTCCGCTCATGCATTTCCAATCAACACGCAAAAGTTCCTCGCGACCCCTGAAAAGTATTTTCTAAAGACCTCAAGACCCAGTGGTTGTGTCTTGCCGATTTTTCTTTCGCCCCTAGCGCATGGTGTTGCTTCCACTGGGGCGTCTTGCCACTGTGTGTGACCAGAACACTGGTCCAAATGTCACCGTCCTAGAGAACTTTTAGCGACAGCGGCGAAACTCCAGGTGTGGCAACCAAAAATTCGATTTCTTTCTAGAATTTTAGAAACTCTGCCTCGTCTTTGAATTGAAGGCATCGATTTCCATCTCAACGTACGATGCCGAGACAGGGAGCTGTGGTGGGACGTCGCCTACACTTGCCCGTTTTGACTGGACAAGCAGCAATATCGAGTTCCCCACCGGAGGTAGAGGTATGAGCATGAAGGCAATTGGCTTTCTGCGTTCCCGGCTGCTCATCATGCCGGGTCCTTAGAAATATCGGGGAGCTACGTGGATCCTTCGAGGTTGTTTTCTTCCTGGAACTGTCACCTCTTGAGATCGTACAAGAACACACTTTTTACTCGCCACGTGCGAGATTTTCTGTGTACCATCCGTTCTGAACCATTGCAATTCGTCTTCTTCTATCCGTGCCTGGCATTCATATGCCTCATGGGGCCTGTATGCTACTCACTCTTGCCACACCATGTCGCAGAATATGTGACTACTGCATAACTATACGCAGTCTGATGTCCAATCCATTAAATGCCAATTGAACTCCTTCCTCGTGGTCGGCAACTGTACGATACAGCCCAAGCCCCGCCCCTTCTGCTTTCATGCAATCAGTTGCGAGTATTGTCACAAAGAAGCAAATGGGTGTAATAATCTGCAATTGAAATTCTTTATTCTCGACGAGCATCCCGGGACTTCTGTTACTCAAGTTACTTCGTCAATGTACATATTGACAATGATATAACATTTCTCGCTTTCCGATTCCTGTCTCCAATAACATTGATGAGGCTTTCATTGCTACCTAGCTGCTGGGACCCTTGTTTTGCAAGGCACCATCACCGCCCGACCCACAGACGTTGATCATGGCCCATGCCCCCCGTGAGACAGCCCCAACGGGCGGATTGACCTCACTGGATCACTCGTCATGTGGACCAAATGATTGCCTCATATCATTTCTCTCATTTTGAGGCTAAAATTATGAATAGTCCGAGTGAACGGAGGTCTACATACTTGGCAAAGCTATTGGAGCCCAACCCTGGTTTAGGCGTGCGGCTTCAAGCAAGGATACCTCAATCCTGCAGGCATTGCCACGAGACTAAGCACTTACCAACCCTTACGGAACGCTTGCTTTGCCCTTCGGTATATTCTCGCTCGTCAAAACATTAATTCTGGACCAGTGGCTCCGTGTACTAGTGAAGGCAATTGTTGCTGGCGCGGGACTTTGGAGTGTGTCAATCGGACTCCCCGAAATGTCTCTCACCGCCGGGAATGCTGTGTTGTCAATGTACTCCAAAAAAATCCAGAGGCTGGTTGGTTGCACAAGATTTGTGTGTTCAGCCGATGTCGCTGAAATCCTATGGCTGGCTGACCGCCCCATGTTCTTTCGAAATGTTCACCGCTTGTGGATGTTGCGCAAGAACTCAGGTCTAGAATTGACCTATGTCCAACTGCGCAGGCATCATCAGTCTTGCCTAATTCGTCTCGGGCTATCGATCTTCACTCGCACAGACATCTTGGTGGCTGGAAGGGGACAGTCGCTGCCTTCATTTGAATGCACCAAACCCGACTAGACTGTTTCTGGAAAAAGTATTGGGCTGAAGCTTGCCTTCATGGACGCACTGACGGCGGGTATTGGTGAATGTGTGAGGCGACGAAGCTTCCAATTGTTTCCATGAAGTACGTTACGGTGTACAACGCATTATGCAGGAGCCCACTCCCAGCCGCCTGCTGTCCAGAGCAGTCCTCCCGTTGCGGATGGAGAGGGCGCTATGAGCAAGTCACCAAACACATCTGAATTCGATGTCGGGTACAACACCAATTTGATCTTGCTAGCGTTGGCGCCTGAGTTGAGGCAATTGGTTGGGCCTTGTTATTGACGCGATGAAAAGTATATCCACACTCCGTTGGGTTGGAATGTGCCTATGATGATAAAGTTGAAGATATGCAGTCACTTGAATGTTTCTTGTGCCACTGGCGATGTGATGTTATTCGAAGCCACTTCAATAACGGATCGGTTTGCAGTCCTTTCTTTGGCTCCAGAGGAAATATTTGAATGTGGCAATTGCTAGTATACTGGTCTTAATGATATGGAGTTCCTGTGTATGTAACATTTTAGGCATACTATTGCTTCCATAATGTTGGCCAGCAGTCTTCCCAATCAGAGCCAGACCACAAAAGCTGTACGTCATGAACTAGACGCTTAGCAGAAACGTATTGATATTCATGAAAGACAGCTAAGCATCACATGTAAGGCTTTGCAGCTGAAACACTTACGAGGCTCGCTTTGCAAAGGCTACCTATTTTGTACGCCCAGCCCTGGCGCTTATTCCAGGCAACATGGACTTTTTCAATCAAGAGGTTCGTCTCGTAGAAGGAAACTTAGCCTTCACGAATATCTAGTGCCTTGTGACCGTCACATTTTTAGGGTACACCGAGCATCAGAGCCCGGTACAGCACTGCCCCATCGTCACGATGACAAGGCAATGTCACCTACTCGCCTGACAACGGCTGTGAATTCTCGTAAGGCGACGAGCAGTTCTAGGCAGTTTTCTCACCTCATCATCGTAAATGCTCACGAGGCTCCGCTTTGCCCAGCTAATGACGAAAACTCGCTTTGCTGCTCACATCTCGATTCACGAGGGCTTAAGACCTTCAACGTAAGCCGAGACCGCATCCACCAATGATTTATGTTGCCTTTTCAGGAAAAGCAACACGGGAGGGTAGTCAGCGCGAGGGCAAAAGGGTGAGCGGCTGCCTTATAGGTGCTGAAGTAGCTGATCAGCCTTTCAGCAGGCACTAGATCACTCAGCAGGGGGAGGAGATTGCCCAATGAAGACCTGGAAAGGCCTTGAGAGAATATTAGCTGTGATACCGCTGCAAGCAATCATCGCGTTGCTCGCCCTTGTATACCGAGGGGCCCTGCTGGGCGACGAAGGGCCTTCAGAGGCGACCAGTGAGGTATACCGCAGTTGCCATGGATCCCATTTTCACACACAAGAACACCCCCTGCATCACGGCTGAACAGGCAGCAAACCTGCTTACCAGCTGACTGTGGTCCTTGACTCATCAAGTAGACTACCTGGTAGCAGAGGAGTGAGCTACCAACTAGTGACGAGAACGAAGTCCACGCGCACATCGGTCCGATTATCTGTGAACCGCCACAAAGAGTGGCGAGACGTGGCGAGACGTTGCGATGTGTGCATCGTTATCAGAGCTCAACTCCGGAAGAGAGTTGAAGGGAATGTGTCTTGGCCAGGCAGCTGCATCCAGGATTGTTGGACCTCATCGCGTGGGCCGCGAGCAGGACGCGTCTGTTACCCAACGAATCGAGTTCGTGATCCCACAGTATGCAGACTACAATCTCTTCAAGTGGGAAGGATTGTCGACTGATCTTTCCGTGTCCGTGTTGGTCCTGGTCGTATAACACGATGGGGGTGTCGTCGAAGCCTCCGAGGTGTGCGACGACGGCCAGGCCATGGTCTTGGTCTTGCCCGAGGTGCAGTGGCAATGGTCGTTACTGGTGTCTCTGGAGCACAAAGAGGGCTCCTGCTTCTAAAAAGGACGTTGGTGTAGGCGAGGGAGTCAGTTTTCACGATGTCTTTTGCGCCACCCGCCACCCCGATGTCGCGGTGATAGACGGCACAGCCACATCGCAAAGACGGCGAGCCCGATTGGCAGCAATACGACTGGGATCAATAGTTGTACTCAAGCTGTGACTTGAATTAGCGATTTGAACCATGCCTCGGGGCGAAACCAGACCGACAAAACCTGTAGGCATCATCTTCACCACCAGAGAGGAGAACGCTGGCAGCCACGAGGTTGGTGGGCGTGTTGGAGAGGAACCGGCGATGTGGGGCAAGAAGCGGAAATGGCAAATCACCGGCAGAAGTCAAGGGTCGGCGGCTCAGCCCGACCATGTGGTCGATCTCTACAGTAAGTGGGATGTGGCTGGTGGTTGTAACACCAGCCAGCCTATCAAATGTTGATATGCAAAGCACAGGAGTGCAACACAAAGAAGAGCAGCAGAGCAGATGCCGGCAGAGCTTGGAAGGGAGGACGAGGGGACCTGACAAGACGCCCGGCAGTGGCTGGGACGAGATAGATGTATGGCACGAGGTTGGGCTACGCTGGATGTAACATACCAAAATGGTGATTGCCACTTGTTGCAATCAGTACCACTCGTGCGGATTGGCTCTGGATACAATTACAGCAGCGGAAGGCAGAGAGAAGTGTCTCCCGGACCCGACACGGTGAACCGATGCCGACAACGCTCAAGGGGGTGCAAGAGCACGAGGTTGTCCTTGAAACAGAGCTACCGACGGGCTTCTACATGACTATCTGACGACGGTTTGGTTTCGTCGAAATCAACGTTGCGTGCGAGGCATTTGAAGATTCCATTTCAGCCGCATCTGTTTAGACCTATAAAACCCCCCCCCGGCTGTCATCATTTTGCCCCTCACGGATCCTGGCCTAGTCTCTCTTTTCTTTCTACCCTATCCGCCCCCATCTTACAATGAGTGCATGAGGGGGGCTGCAATGTATTGCAACAGATCATTGTGAGTCTGTCTGCTGCCCCTGGCTGGAGCTGTCCTTGGTGCAATGTCATTGCTCGCAACTGCTAAACTTGGTGGTGTTGGCGGACAACCTTCGAGAACGAACATTCAAGCATCAGGCTTGAGCGGGGCAGCCTGGTCATAAGGAGTGTCTGACAGAGCCTGGGCGACCAGAAGAGCTGGAAGAGCTGAACGAGGGGGTGACCTGGGACCCTGAACTCCGCAGAGCCGCAATGGCGACCCGCGGTTCGCAATCAGGCAACCAAAGTACGTATCTGCCGGGTTACTTACCTAGGTAGGCGCATGGAGCAGGTACTTAAGTACCTGGCAAGTCCCCAGCACTTCCCAATGCACTTTCGCTTGAGCATGGTTCGGATGGTTCGCGAACCGGACATCAATCCAGAATTTCCAGAATTTGTGTGGACATATAATATGATCTCGTCCAGAGATTATTTGAAATGACAGAGGTGTTCATGATCTGATTCGGATCCAAAGTGGTGCCGTGATTGACATAGCTTGTATTTTGCTGTCCTGCTCGTTGCACCACACAAACCACATGTACGGAGTACCTACCTAGACTAGGCCCGATGCCCCACCATTTGTCGTCGACCACATCAACGCACCTTCTCCCGTCCCGCCAAGGACTCTGCGCTTTTATCTTTTCTTCAAAATCGTCACTTGAAAATGGCAAATCTAGCACAAGGCTGGATAAATCATTTACGTCGACAAGCAAGAAAGTGCGTTGTGACATCGTCAAACTTTGCTGTGCCCAACTGACTTTGCACTTTTGCAGCGACCAAGCTGCCCCAACAGACACGAGGGAGCCGCCGCCTCCCTCGCCCTCCGCCAAAGATCCCTCACGGCAAGGTCCCAGCAACGACAAAGGTGACGATGTTGCCCTACGAGTTCCTTCTGAACCTGCTCCGAGTGGCGACCAAGGCGCCGAGGATTCCTCGCCAGCTAGAAAACGGCTGAAGAGTCCCACGACCTCGGTGAATGCGGACCGCACTCGCTCGCCCTCTCCCAATAGACGCTCCAAAACAAAACACAATACCCCAGCCGAAGGGTCTACAACCGACTTCCCTGCGCGGCCAACAGCTAGAACAAAGGGCCGTTTGTGGAATGAGGGTGATCCAATACCGACCCGCAACCAGGCGGCAGCCCAACCCGCTCCTCAACAACATCCTCGCCAATCCCGCCGCCGACAAGCCAGTAATCAGACGGTGGAGGAGGAAGATCCTTCCGTAAATAAAATGATTGGACAGCCTGAGACTCGCCCCATCAGTCAGGAGCAATTAGTTGCTGAAGTAAAGGGCATTTATGCGGGCTTGGTCATGTATGTTACCTCCTGTCTCGTGCTGCGACTGTCTCTTTCTTTGCGATGTCCTACTGACCGACTCTCAACCGCTTCAGGGTCGAGTCTAAGTGCATTGAGGTCGACAGTTCGCAAAGCGCGCAAAATGAATCAAGTCCGAAACTCAACAACGAACAATGGCAGGCGTTGATCGCGCTACACCGCACGCTTTTGCATGAACACCACGACTTCTTTTTAGCGTCACAGCACCCATCCGCAAGTCCAGCTTTGAGGAGACTTGCGTCAAAGTATGCCATGCCGGCGAGGATGTGGCGCCATGGTATACATTCGTTCCTCGAGTTGTTACGCCACAGGCTTCCTGCTTCTCTGGAACACATGCTGACGTTCATCTACCTCGCGTACTCGATGATGGCATTGCTGTACGAGACAGTCCCAAATTTTGAAGATACGTGGATCGAGTGTCTGGGCGACCTCGGCCGCTACCGGATGGCCATCGAGGATGAGGATATCCGCGACCGGGAGATTTGGACAGAGGTGTCAAGGTACTGGTATTCCAAGGCCAGCGACAAAGCGCCCACTACCGGGAGGCTTCACCATCACCTAGCAATTCTTGCAAGGCCCAATGCTGTCAAACAGCTTTTTTACTATACCAAGAGTCTCTGTGTTGCAATACCATTCAAGTCCGCGAGAGACAGCATCCTCACACTGTTCGATCCAATAATCAACGGAACCCAGACTCGGCTTCAAGCCATCGACCTGAATTTTGTCAAGGCACACGGTATTCTTTTTATCATAAGCAACACGGACGAGAAGGACAAGGCACACCCAAAGAATCGCGACGAACTCATGGTCGAATACGAAAAAGCCAAGAGCCAGTTTCTTTCACCTTTGGATAACCACATTGCGCGAACAACAAGGAGCTGGATGGAGCCCGGCGCTTTGATTGCGATCTCAAATTGCAATGCCCAGCTGGAGTACGGCAAAACCGAGGCAAATACACATGGCAACGCCAACGTTTTGATGACGGCCATTCTACCGGAGTCAGACAGAGACACTTTCATGGAAAATTCAGCAGAAGACAAGCCGACACCATCCAAGGTCTTCAACGAAGCCTCTGAGCTTGCCAGAGAGTGTGATGCGATCATCTCCCGCCGTTACGGAGACCCCAATGTTCTGCCTTATCTCAATGTCCGCCTGTCTTTCATGAAGTTCATCGCTGGCAATGAGGCTGCTATTGAGCACACTCAGGACTGGTTCCCTTGGGCGCTGGTGGCGTTGATGCTTAACTCCTTGTCGATTAACTTTCAGAACCATCAACGCATCGAGTCTGAAGAATTTCCCCGGCCAAGCGACAGACCCCTACCGGAGGACTGGTCACTTCGAGGCCTCCTCTGGACTGACAAGCTGTTCCCGTCTGACTGGTTCACCAGCGACAAGGTCGATGATGACGAGAAGACCTTTGAACTTGCTTCCATGACCGAGCAGAGGAAAGAGCGGGTCCTTTGGCTGGGCTACTGCCTTGCCGTCTCTGGCAAGTGGTTGACCTATGACAAGCAAAGCAAGCAATTCAGTGTAACCCCTGAGTTCCAGAAAGAGTACCCGGTGTATGATGGAAACGAGGGTGCTACCCTGAGTGGGAAGGAAGGCTCTGTGTCACACTCATCAACCACCGGCAGTACAACAACGTTTGACCAGGGAACCGAGAGCTCGATAACCGAGAAAGATGACGGTGACACACCAACTGTGGACGATGATGTCTCCATGATCACGGAGAAAGCAAGCTCTTGAGTTCATACGTTTGAAAATAGGCGTCACCGCCATCGTGACACAGTTGCGAGCCCAGAGATGAATTTGCTGGCTATTGCTGTCAGGGTTGGTAGGTTTCTTTGGCCCCAATATGGTTCTCTTTGTGTTACTGATGATATTTGCAGGTATTGGTTGGATTCATTGACCTGTTATGAAGGGCACTGATATTGATTTTGGGAGACCGAATACCGCAGCATAGCCTCTTTTGCCCCTTCCAAACGGACACATTCTCGGACCCAACTCTGGGCCGGACCCTCACCGGGTTTCGCACCTGGGGAGGTTTACCGTAAAGGTTACACCGTGTTCCCAGGGACTGGGATCTCAAGGACTTCTCTCCGGACCACATTGCTGGACCATGTTTGCTTACCTGGGGGAGGAGCAGCCCGTGCTCCAATTATCGGACCAATGGAAACCAATTCGGACCCTGAAGACTGCTCGCCATTCTGCGTTCTTCCACTTTGGAAATCTGCCATCGGCCTGGTTACTTGGTTGGCTACAATGCCGTGTGATCAGACACAAGTCTCGCCCGAGTCTTGGTTGTTGGTAATGCAGCTTCCTAAGAACTGTTTACCCCTTTCCTACTTTTACTTTCTGCCTGGGCTCCCCTCAACCCCCCCCCCCCCCCCCATCCTCCCACCACAGTCCAAGGGCAACCTAGGATCGTCAAACTCAACCGCTGTGGAATCCCACCAGGTTGCAGGATTGAGCGGATTGATTCCTTTCAAGCATTGGACGGACATCAACATCCCGTTGGCCAACTTCAACCGGGACTCAGACTGGTACCACAATATTTTTATACATACGTTGTTCGGCTTCATCTTGGTCCTCGAAATGGACTACCAGATACGCCATCCTGTCCTTCTGACAGGAACGAAGCGATTCAGCCGTTTACTGAACAAACCTTACGCTACAGGTCGTCGCGATCCTATCATTTACGGACGACATCGGAGGGTAACACATATAGACTACTGGTGAACATTACCCTCGTTTGTGTAATTTTAAAAATTAATTCCGTCATAGCTTTGTTGAGTTTCAAACAGGAGCTTGGAGTTTCTGCTCTTTTGCCTGACGTCAGCCCCTCACGATCCTGCTGAATTTTCAGCTCGTGGATTCGTCATTCACGACTGCACATGTTCGGTGATAGTAGAATACGGCACGACAATCATACGCCAAGAACCCAGGTCATGAGTACTTCCCCGTCTCTTCGCGGACATGTCCCCCCCGCCCCGCCGATGTACCCAAACTGAGGCTACATCAGGACAAATCAAGGCAGCCAGCCACAAAGGTGATTTTGCTGGCCGCGAGATATCACTGGTTTCCCCGAGGATAACATAAGACAATTAGACCACCTGCTTTCAATGGTTCCAGAAAAGTGCAAATAGGCGATTTTCACGCCAGCCCCCTCGGCACACCACGTTGCACAAAGTACGAGGGCGCGGGGACCCGTGTTCTTGTCGCGTTACCCACTTCTATCTGAATCGAACATTATCGAGAGGATCTCGGTAAACTGACACGGCGGCATCTCCAGACCCCCAAGACATGCCCTTGTATACATACCATCACCAATGGTGCCCTTGATTCTACACGCCGTCGACCATGATCGTTTCATCAAAACCCCCCACGAACCAGCAGTTTTCGCACCCCTGGGACCGGTCTCAAAACCTTGGAAGCAGCAGATTCGACAACGGAGATGGTTCGGGAACATATTCCCAGCCCTTCTTGCATCTTTGATGCACACGGCAGTCAGCTGATTCAAATTACAAAGGGTTGGCTTACTGCCTAGACGATGCCTTGCCTTGGAACATACTATCCTCAGGTGAGACAAGCACCACACCGAAGCCTAGTCACACGGTCATCTCCCCACCTGTTGATGAGATCAACGGAGAGTAGAGATCGTGGTCCGAAACAACCACGACGGGTGGCTTACAGGTTTCGCACGGGAACCGAAGCTATTGCCGGGAAGGGTCGAAGCTTTGCACAGCTGTGTTCAGCCTCGTGGCTGCACGGGCCGTGAGTCGGTCTAACCTGAAGCTATCCCTGCATCACGGGAGACTGCCACCGGTTCTCCAATGCATGGAATCAATATGCAGGCTGTAAGCTGCAGGCTTCGGTCTGTGTGGCACCGCATCCTGCATTTCTGCGGCACAGGGCCAATCATCTGAAAACAGGGCTGTCGATGGTGGGTAACCATGAAAATGGTGGGGGTGCAACTTGGACAGCAGACCTCGATAACGACACAATGACTACTGATGAAAGCTCAAATGAAGCTTCCATTTGAGGACGTAAATAGTAAAACACACACACTTTTTTCTTCACTATTGTTCTCAGCAACCTCGAATTGCACATTCAATGAGAAACTCTCTCCACCATCGTGAGGGGTGCAGGTGAGGCATATTTCGCCTGGCTGGCCTGGTGGTTGCGTACTATCATACCCTCGTGACAAAACCGGAAGGCAGGATGGAAAAATGGCAAAACTGATAAAAGCAAAATGCTGGAAAAAAGAATGAGAAATGATAGTATCACAGCGGGGCTAAAGTCTGGAGAAGGCAGATCGCAGCCTGGGGGGGGGCGGCCGATCAATGCTGCCTACGTCGTGGAATCCTCCCGTCGAAGAGAACTGCCCATTTGCCCTGACACAGGCAGACTTGCGGCGCAGAATCAGCTTCGAGAATGGTGTGGATGAATCTCTGGAGACGAAGGGGGAGAACTTGTGCAATAAGGACCAACAGGCGCAAGCATGAAGGCAGCGGTGGGAGTTGCAACCTGGGAACTGGCACAGATGAAGGAACGCGTCCGATGCCTTGCTGGCTAACACCCTTGCCAAAACCATCGTGATCCTGTAGACCGGTCAAGTCAGTGACGCATGAGCTCTGATATAAGAGCAGCATTTTGTACCGTCCGCAGTTGACTATTTGAAATGCATGGCGCCATTGGCGACAGGGCCTGCTTCCAACACGGGCATGGCAACGCCGTAGACGTCAAGATAAGGGGCCAGAAGCGGTGATCATTCCGAGTATGCACAACCACACTCCTGATTACCATGGCGATTTTGACCAAGCGCTCGGTCAACCAACCAGGATTTCCAACGGTCCTGGAAGATGTCTTGGAAGAGTGCGAAGATGGGGGTTGCATGTTCATGAACGGGTTTTCGGTGTGGACGCGGGGCTGCACGGGATGACCAAGCTGTAGGGCGGGGTGAGGTGAGTAAGACACCTACAGTAGGGCAGACTCGCGCCCTTCCGCGGGCGCTGCAGGTCCTGAACGGCAATTGGGCCCCTGACGGCTCACTCGGACGTTCGCACTTCGACGTTCGAATTCTGACATTCACCTACTGCAGTACACACTCACCTTGAGAATCCTTCTAGGTGATTCCCATTGGGTCTGTCGGTTGGAAATCGGCAACGTCGCATTCTTGACGGGTTTTTCAATGAAGGCCTCCAGTCATGCTCACCATGGAGGCTCACCGAGCATAAGGACACAGTAGCGGTGTGCAGAATAAATACAAGTCTCTTGAAATATGGCTGAGCAGGGCTTCAGTTTTTGTCTCAGCCATGTGTGATTCGGACTCCGATTTTTACAAGGGAGACGTCTTCCATTCTGTGGGAAAAGGAACAGGGAGATAGATCCTTTGGAAGGCAACCATGCCGCCCCTTTGCACAGCATCTGCTCATTTGCTGGTCTAAGATGCCAAACCAACTGCCTATTCGTTTCTTGATAGACCTTTTGACGTCTAGCTGAAGCTATGCCTTAGTGGCGGCCATATGTGCGGCTGAACTTTAGGAAGGCATCTAGGCAGGAGTGGCTAAGCACAAGTTGAAATCAGCACGAGTTTTGGGCAAAATAAGCATCCATGTATTATGCCTGAGATAGGATCCGAATCGATGTCTGTTTCGTGTTAGGTCAATGCAGGTTGAAGGGTGTAAGGCAACAGGCCCCAATGCAATGCTGAGGTGAAGGGAACGCCGACCATGGCTTAGGGGCACAGTAAATGACAAACTTGGGGGTTTCAATCGCCGACGGAGGTCCTGCAGGGGCACGCACTTTACGTTTTAAGTCACGATCACCGATTATTCGTGGTTGGTAACGAGATCCTCCTCAAGCGGCCGAGTCTATTATTAGGAGCATCTCAATGATCGTGAGCCTGCCTAGGCACAATGTAGTCTAGTACCTCATCCAGCCGAAATCCATCTCAGACGATAACGAGTGATCAAATTGACTTATTGTACAGCATGGCTAGTCACGTCACCAATAGAACTGTAGGTAGCCAAACGGACAAAATACAAGCATCGTGACCAGAAGTTGGTGCTGGTTATTGCCTGGGCCAGGATAATCGGCAAGGCGACCATTCGATGCCCGTCCGAGGGGCTGGGAAGGATGACGAGGCGGACACTCCGACAGCTTTTCGCAACATGGAGTGGTTGGGGGAACACCATGGTCCGGCCCCCATATTTTATGATTTCCTCTGAAGCCGGGCGGGAACCGTGTTGATTGAAGCACCCGACGATTTCTGCGTCTGAGCGCAAAGGCAGACGATATTTTCACTGTGCAGACAGGGCCCATTTCAACGAGCAGGTCGGGATTCACTGCGAAGAGACGCAGCAGGTTGATATATTCGAAAGCCCTGTTACAATGACGCCCCAAATAACTTGATCCACCGCGGGGGTGAACTATTGGGGGATCCTTGGGCCGAGGAAGTCGAAAAATGCGTCGAGGAGGTGGGATTATACTGTGCTTCAGTGGACGGAGAGGACTCGTAATGTTCGTGTTGAGGAAAAAAGCTCTCGGAGTAGAGATAATACTGGATGTGATTTTAAAGCACGCATGTAAGTTCTCTCTTGACTGTAAAAAACTGGGGATATTTGCAGACAGCAGATGCTCATTATACACCGATACCAACTTGATAATTATTAGAAACTTCTTAATCGAATGCCTAAAGACACAGCTAGTAACTATCTCTTTCAGCTCTCAAATGATGCCTTATTTTCAAGTCTGAATATAATGATCTGTAAACGTGATTGCTTGGCATCCAAATTCAGCCGGACCATCTCTGTCGAAATCCTGCTTCCAAGAAATGGTCCGTCACTCGGCCAAAAGAACTTTCGCCGTCAAGTACACATTCAACATTCTATTCTACTTGTAAAACGCCATTCAATACTGCCCAGGTCATTTCTAAATGTCAGTCACAGCAGATAATACCTCCATTGAGAGGGAAAGCCTTCGCTTCATTGCTAATATACCAACTACTCCATAAAGAAGATGGAAACTCAATCCTTAGTTGTGTAAAGGTGATGTTCAAGATATTTATCTAGTGCAGAATGTTCACAGCTCACGGATTGTATTTTCAGATAGCATGCTTTGCCGATATTGATAGCCTCTTGTGTATTCATGGAGACATGCTACAGACACGTGTTGACTAAATATGGAAGCAAACTTTCAGCTCGTGGGACCTTATATAACGATATACGTTCCAGTCCTTAAAGCCTGAGATATAAAGCCAATTTTAATCAAAAGTATACGTCTAAGTATCTGGACATGCCCACTATCTGGATATCTTATTGCCCGTATGTTCGAGCATATAAGTCTTTAATACTTAACGTTTTGGGTGCCAGTACATCCAGATGTCCAGGCTCAGGTCTTGTTGCGTTTTAATTCCACGACTCACCGTCCCAGACGATCTATCTTGGCTCCTAAGGATGCCTAATTGTTCGCGCTCCCGCGATGTATTTGGCCTTTTAATTGCTGAGTAGACATTTCGTTGAATAATTCCAATAGAACCATGGAAGGGTTGGACGTTTAAATGTTTCGACCTCCAGGTGGCCGAAGAAGGTTGCGAGCACTTAATGGTGATGCACTGTTCAGGCTTCGCCCGGCAAGGGTTGGTCATTTTCCCAGAGTCCGCAGAGAGCTGAGTAACAGTCTTCATTCCAGGGTACTCATGGTATGTGATTGGTTGCCGGAATGATCATATCACTTGGGTGGCTTCACTCGTGGCAGCTTTCGATGTGATAGTTGAGCGTGAAGTCGACCAGAGCTCGTGTGCTGTGTTGTCGATTCGATGCAGGGGTGTTGTTGCCAGCTGCAGGGCTCCCCAGGCCCACATGAATAGAATTCTCGGGCGCTAGACGCGGGAGGACGTGCGCTGAGTGACGCTCGTGCGGGGCTGTTGAGCCGCATCGACATCGACGGCAAACCCCGCCCGCTGCGTAGAGTGCCGCCGTTGATAACTTCACCTGGCTCTACTCGGTTATCTGTTGTCCTTGCAGGCATCTTGCATCTGCTTTGCATGAACCCCTCATCTGGGCCGTTCGATGCCGGGGCTTTGGCAAGCGTGGCGGAAAGTCTAGGCCATACCTGGGCCGGAATGTCGAGCGTAGATCGATCACGCGTGGCCCGTCCGGCTGTGAATCACCGCGGGGGTGACCCCGAGTGTGGTTCTTGCAATCTGAGCGATGGCGCCCGGCATATGCAAGCCGGACCGTTTTTGGAAGGCGTTTTCCTATCTCGGGTTGGAAATGGCGGAAAGGTGTAGCCCAACAGCCGAAGTTGCAGCGCTATTGACGCCATCTTGAGCTATTGGGCCGATCACGTTCACTGCACTCACATCTTCGGCGTTGCTTCACCAATCTCGACGTCCTATGTATGCCAGCATCGAGCCACTTTTGTCTCAGAAGAGGGGTGCAGGATGCAGTGTGCGAGACGGTTCCCAATGGCGCGTAGGTCGGATGAGATGTATCAACATGACGATGACGCGTGCTTCCCTGGTCTTGATGTGTCGAGTTCGGAGCTACCTGACCGGATGTTGTTGTGCCATCGATAGGCTGGTCTTCGGCACTGCCCTTTCGATGTCGCTCACATTACCGAGTCGGGAGTACAGTTTTGACTTCGAAGCTGGGCGTCAGAAGACGCAAGGAGCAAGGGGTTCGGCTGCCAGAGTCCACTTCTCTGCTGGCTCCACGGGGTCTCTTTTGGCGATTCTTTCTGTAAGATTAAGCGAACCCTCGTCCAGTAGATTCCAACAGATTATCCTGCTCCTCACTGTCCATGATAATGCCCGATTGTCTCAAGTCGGCAAGACAGCTGATGCTGGCTCCAAGCGAGTCGAGGGGCCCATAGACTGGAGATCAAAGCGTTCAATGATGGGATGGGAGTGTAGAAGTGATGTCAGCGCGAAGATCCTGGGTGGCGTCCTGTCGCAGCTGGCACTAGACTCTCGGTGGATGCGGATCGCTCGATATTGGTGGTGTTCGGCTGCTCGAGCAAGCTGAAGTTTCGGTGTTTTAGGTACGGCAAGCGCGTGAGTGACGGGCCCCTTCAGCCGAGACTTCTGATCTGATCCCCATGCCTGTGCCGTCTTTTCTTTAAAAGGAAGGGATTGTCTCGCTTTCTCGGATGTGTCTTCTCCCATTTCGTTCGTCTTTCCTCTTGATTTGCGTGCCCACTCCATGATCGTTTCTTGGGTCCACAATGAGAACAGTCAGAGTTGCGTTAGCAAAGCAATCTCTCTCGTTCCTCGGTACACTGCGACCATATCTCAACATCTCGATTTGAAAGCACCTCCCCCGGCCCTGCCCTAGGTTAGACAGCGTGCCCGAGGGTGCCGTGTTTGGTTGTGAATTCGGACTGTGAAAGACACGTCGATTGACTTCGAAAGTATGCGGATGGGTAGGTCTTGGTATCTGATCACTGTCATCATCTCTTCTCTTGAAAGGCAATGTTTGTAGCACGGAGTGAGGAACCTTCAGCACAAAAAGTTGTCTTCGCGCTCCACTCCTAACAGCTGGCTTAGGCCCGCAGTTTGACGGCCATCGGTATCTTCTGTCGTAGACCTTCACTTGGTGCAAGCCCGTGTTCAAATCAGGCATATAAAGTGCCTTCTGACTGTGGTAGCGCCTTAGTGGGTCAGACAGGCTTCGCTCGCACGATCAGGCTGGCAGTGACAAAAGATGCTCGACACTCGAAGAGTTTGAAAATCTGACAGACGTGCAGCTAATGAAACTCCTTGATCAGCCTCCGGAAGAAAGAAAGAAATCTGCTCAACTTTTCCACGGTTCTGGAAGTCCTGGTATGGCAATTTCTAGGGAGCTGACGGTGTGCTCGTGGAAGTGGCCGAGAGCAACAGGACGGTCGGACAGAGTGGATGGGACAGGTGACGAACGTAAAATTCAGGGAAAGCTGACGGGTTCTTGAGCAATTTGCGGCTCATAAAGCGGTGAGCAGGTCAATACCCCCTTGCACTCACTAGTGAGGCTCTGGGGGCAAAGGAGGAGAGACGGACGGTCTGTGACTGATAAGCAGGCTGCTGATGCCCAACGCCAGCTCCTTCCCACCCGAGTGAATGTGAGCGGGAAAGGGTGCCGGGCAGCAATGTTGGTTACTAATCCTTTGGTCTGCCTTGCCTTGGACATAATGATGCCCGGGGTGTTTGACTGGCGATTCTGCCAGTCGACCTCCCTCCATGAGCAGTGGCCAGCAAGGGTAAGGATGCTGGTATCGTGCTCGATCGTTCATCTTTTGCTCGTTTTCGCTTTCAGCGGTTGCTAATAATACTAATCATCCTCGACGCTCATCTGTGACAGCTGACATACTTGCTTTTTTAGTATTCCTGTGCCGCTTCAGGCGCGGAATACATATTTAGTTTAAGCGTCTCCTGTACACGGCCACGAATCTGTTCTCTGGCACCTGGGCGGACAGAGGAGTCTCAGGCGTGAATATTAGCTTCACAATGTGGTCATTTGATGCTCGTCATCTAGGCCCACAAACCTGGTCAAGAGAAAAGCAAGCATGTTACGACACCTCCGAGCCGCTCGGCATCTCACCCTCGTTGCTGCTCCTCCTCTTGCGCCTCGCATTCTCAAAGAACTACCAGGACTGACTGCAGATGCGTTATCACTGGTAGCGGACAGCTTCGGTGTACTACTCTGTGTCAAAGACTCGAGTCTCGCCACCCACATCTGCGCTGATGTTCCACTCAAATCTCAGTCTCCCATGACGGGCTTGTCCCAGGCCTTCGCCCGATTGCTTCCTTCAAAAAGCTTGTTTTATTGCACAGCCTGACTTGAAATGATCCACAGACTCTGGAAGTGGTTTAACTGTGTGGCGAAGTCAGCCCGCAATGACACTCTCAGCTTCGATAAAAAGAGGCAGGCGATTTCAAGCGCCATCTCTGCCTCACATATGCCTGCCATTTGTATAGACAGACTGGACCAAACTGGACTGAGTGGTGCACCTCCTTGGGTGCTCTTGCGACGAAAAAGGCGGCTGGCGCGGAACCTGAGTGCTATGGAACTTGACCACCTGGGTAACGGCGGTGAGCCGCGCTAATGGTGTCGGTCAAGATTCTCGACAGTCTGTCTCCCTTGGAAACTATGGCAGGCGCCGAAGTGTGCTGATCCCCCTGTGAAGATCAATCTCCCGCACCAAGCAAATGTGACAGAGCTTCTAAATGCTGCCACGTGCGTGGCCAGGTTGAGACATGGGAAACCGGTCGGTATATTTGTTTGAGTGGCCACATCCCCACGAAGAACATTTCCAGAAAGCAACACGAACACTTAGCCCCAGTTGCCTCATGAAGGAGCAAGGCGCACTATGGCACTAAGCCGAAATGCCGTTGTGACTGGCTGAGGAAGGCGAATTCGCCTGCAGAGGGCCCTCCCCACAGTCCACAGCCCAGGTCCAACAACCCCTGGGCTTGACCTTTGACTGAGAGCTCGGACGTTTTCTTCTGTTGTTAAAGGCCGCAGATGCCTCCTCCTAGCAACTCCCAACCGACCTCAATAAACCTCTGGTCTTCGCCGGGTATTGACAAGGTCAAGAGGGGACACGATCTGTTGGGTTTCTTCTGAAGACTTCCAGGCCTTTTGTCCGACAATAGAAAGATTCAAGATGCCGAACGACGTGAACACGGCACCTAGACTGCCGAATGGTAGCCACGAGCACGCCACAGACGCACCTGACAGGAGGGGGTAGGTCAGACCTGCAGCTCATTCCCGCCTCTAGAGACTCAGGTGCGCTCCTTCAAGTACGGCAGCAATCTCTGACTCTTCATAGGCCCCCATCATCTCCAATTTCTCCATTGCAACAACTGCCATCGTTGCTTGAAGTGGATCGACTCAAGCAAGAATGCCATTTCACTCGTACAGATGTGACCGAACACCAGCCCCTTTATATTGTTGCATGGAGGGTAGCGGAAGAAGCCGACTATCCCGCTGTCCCCAGCGGTTCCAGAACTAGCAGAATGTCAGCCACAGCTGATTCTGGGACGTCTAGGTACAAGCCTACTTCCCAGGCTGAGAACCGCTGACTGACAAAGTGAAGGGATTCCAATACTGTCTCAGTCCAATCCCAGCAGATCCAATCCACTCTAGGCGATAATCAGGTGCGTAGGCCGTAGACACATCAAGCTAGATGACCGCATACTGACCGGGGGTCTAGTCGTTCGCAGGGAAAAGTCGTGGTAATGATGGAATACCCATCGAAGACAGCCCGAGAGATCACCACGAATTCGTTGACGTGACGCCCGAAGTTGACGAAACCCTGAGTTCGCGAACACTTGTTGCTGTTGGTCCTCTCGACATCGCTCCCGACTCTTTCCACTTCTCGAATCCAAGCGAACTGGCACTGCGAATGCCCTATCCAACGACGATCATTGAGGACACACTAAGCTTGTGCTATCACCCCATACACTCCGATCATCGGCTCCGTACCTGCGTGGCAGAATAACAAGAAATAGGATGGGCCCATCGCTTGACATGCCAAGCATAAGACCGACTTCCTTTCGTGAAAGCATCACAACCTGAAAGAAAAGGGGAAAGTGGAAGAACGTGTTGTTTTAATGGAGTTCCAGGAAAATAGGAAAAGGATTAAGAGAGGGCATAGCAGAAGAGAGCTCGGCTTAAACCACCCCACCGCCCAGAACCTGATCCTCGACAATCCTATTCCCATGTACAAGTTCATACAATGTTGTCAGCCAAGAAAGGATGGGAGAGACACGGCACAGATGCGGCGACATTACTGCAGACTTCTGTGGCAGCTCATTCCGCGAACAAAATTCTGTGCCGTTGACAGAAAAAGCTGAGTTGGCCACAAGGACTCTGTCGTGTTCCTCACTCGAGGACGAGGTTTTCCCTCTGCCTTGCCGTCTTCACGCACAGTTACCCAGACTTTTGCATCCCGTCCTCTGAGTATTTCTTCACGCTCGGTAAGAACGCTTGCAGTCATACAGGCCTCATGCATGAATTGGAGTTGCAGGATTAGTTTCAGTGTCTCGTTAGTTTCATCTCAAAATTTCGAGGTATTACATTTCGTGGCGACGAGTTTGTGCTGAGTCACGCACACCTTGAAACTTCGAGGAGACTTTTGTTTGTACACCTTTGTTGCCACCCTGTAGAATCTTCCATGGTTTGGAATCATTGTTAAGACTACAGTGTAATACAGCATTTTCATGTCCAGCGTTTCGTTCTGTTCTATGCTAGATGCGAATATTACATGCGTCTTACACACAAGCACCACATGCAGCACAGGGCGTTGCTAGGATGAATCTCCGAAACGTGAGAACATAACATGTAATATAGATTAAGAATTATTTAAATTCATAATGTACAATTGAAGGGTATACTGTTCTTGTAACACCCAATACTCGCCCTTTGAATCGTAGATTTCCGTACGGTTCATCTCAACACCCAAGTCACATCTCATCCCCTTTAGACCTTCCTAGTGGATGTTCCACTAGTGTTTTCTCCTCCGATAATTTCTGCGGCCTGCTGGGCCATGGCATAGGTTACAGCCTGTAGATGACCAGTAATGGGCACAGGGTAAACAGAAGCGTCCACAACACGGAGCCCCTTCACACCTTTGACCCTGAAATCTGTATCAACTACCTTGCCCATGGCACATGTTCCATGGGGATGATATGTGGTCCTATTTACATTGAGTAGATCAGTTAGCTGTCCTGTATAACAAATTGCAATATAGGAGGGACGAGACTGGAATCGAATGTGGAAGCGGCTTTCCCACTGAGAGACCCACCCAATCGTAGCACGAATCCGCTCATCCAAATAATCATCACTAGATCCAACTTCCATCGGCTCCGTGAATCCATATGCGGTGGGATCCTCGCCGCTGAGGATGTTCCTGCCAAAGACAGTCGCATTTCCGCCGGCAAATTCAAGTTGCGTTCGCACCATGGAGCGGAAAACATATCGATCCACCTCAGTAGCGAGATAGTTCGGGTCCGCCAGCGGGTGATCGCTGATATTTGCGGAAGCAAGCCTGACCGTACCACGCGAGGTGGGCATCATGGCAAAGGCACCAAAAATCATCTTCGAGCCGTCGTCAGCCCCGCCCTGCTGGAGCGCAAATTCTGTGAATGTACGGTTGGCTCTCAAGAGCGGATGCGTCGCCGGGTCTGGGGCTACGCCGCCTTCGTCGGCCGTGATGGCCTCGATGAGCCCGGCTTGGGGCACGCCGCCCGAGACGGGCAGCTGGATGTCCATGCCCAGCTCGAACTGCGGTTCGTCGAGTACGGGGTTGTCCGAGCCGACGGCCCAGCCCGCGCTGGAGTTGCGGAAGTTGTAGTAAAAGTAGGTGGAAGGGTGGTCGATGTAGTTCTCGCCGACGTCGGGCGCGTCCACCAGTACCTCGATTCCGTGGGTACGAAGCTCCTCCGCCGGACCGATCCCTGAAACCTTCAGCAGCTGCGGTGAGTGGATGCCGCCGGCTGAGAGGATGATTTCCCGGGCGGACATGACAGTACCGTTGGTGAGCTCGATTCCGGTGGCGACGAGTTCGTCTGTCGCGTCGCCGTGTTGTTCAATCACCAGCCTGGCTACCATTGTCTCGAGCAACACCGTAATTCCATCCAGAGGGTAAACGGCTGCCGCAATCTGTCTTTTACCATCGTTGTGATTTTCCTGCTGCATGGAAATACCGTTGGGATCGCCCACGTTGCCGTCGAGCCCGGGCCGGTCGGTATAGCCTAGCTCTCTCCATGAGGCTAACTCGTATGGCTACGAGGGGCACGTTCGGTTCGTTGATTTAATGGACTGGATATACAAAGGGCCATCTTGACCGTGTTGATCCGGGTCAAGGGTGCTATTCCACATTTTCTCCGTAGCTCGAAGGTACGGCAGCAGGCCGTCGTAACTCCAGCGACTGTCATTGACTGCATCTCCCCAGAGATCGTAGTCGAGCCTACTACCTCTGATCCATATAGCTAGGTTCATCGTCAGCTCAAGTTTCTTTTCTACACGGGGAAATGCATACCCAAACAAGATACTCACCGGCGTTTATAACGGTCCCCCCACCAAGGGCTTTACCCTGCGGCAGACTAATGGTGCGGTTATCAGCATAGACCTGAGGAACAGATGTAATATTCCAGTCGTATATTCCTCCGATCCCACTCGTCGAATTTGTCGAGTTGGCATACATAACGCTGGGGTCACTGAGGGCACTTGAGCCCGCTTCAACAAGCAAGATCCTGCGGGTTGGATCCTGCTGAAGCAGTTGGTTGGACAAGACGGACCCTGACAGTCCGCCCCCAACGAGTATGAAGTCCCAAAGCATGTTTACCAGCAGGCGTTGAGAGGCTTTAGGCTCGAGGTGTCCAAGTTGGAGGAATATTCTGACGGCTGAAGACAGTGGTTTTAAGTTTCCTGGCAGGATTGGCAGAGGCCCTCAGTCACAAACAGGCGATTCTAAACTTCCTTGGATCCAGGTATCTCTTAAAATAGTCTCACATACCAGTGGGTCAGTAGTATGCGCTACGGCGGATATCCTCCACCTTAACTCCTGTTGGTACGGCCTGTAACAGGCGACTGATCTTCACACCGCCGTTCGCACGGTGGTATTCCGGACGGGGCGGGTAGAGATACCAGGCCAATCTACAATGCTCAGCAATCTCAAATTTTAGCGCCTCCACAAGGTGGATGCCAACGCGAAATGTATGAGTGGACATCTCAGATCTGGCCTTGTCTTCCTTGACTTGGAGGTTCACTTTCTCCCAGGCCGTAGCAGAAAGTCCAGTCCAAACTTTGTACCAGCAATAGCATCCATTCATTGCTATAAGTACGTGAGACCGATGTAATGTCCAAAGGGGTGAAAAAAAGACTGTTTGCAAGTATTAGCCCATTGCAGTCCTAGGAAAATTTGCTGCCACCCCCCTCTTGTATCACATACAATTCAAGTCTTTTGCATCGTTCTGATGAATTTTGTACCTAATTTTTCACAGAACTCAATTGAAAATTGCGTGCCGGAGCGCCTGTCCCTGGCCATTGTGATATAACTATCTCCTATAAGAGATCTTCGGGAAGGGGCGAGGGCTGATTAAGCAGATGCGTCTACTAGTATAGATGTGATACCTCGGTAAAGCCCTTCCTTGATAAGGATTCAGATTTCTGCTCTAGTGCACAATCTCCACAAATTAGTATGTCGAAGTCAATGATACCGTTTGACTAGACTTGAGGGCAATGCTACCAGTCAACTCTGCCTCAAACTCATTGTTGAGCCTCCAACCCAAGATTGTGCTTTCCGAGGATCCACCACTCATCATGAAAATAGCCAAGATGATTGCAACACAAGGGTAAATAATAGCCGTTTTCTAGATGAAAATCTAAGGGTAATATAACCGGTGGTGATCTAGACACAATAGCCACTGGCACTTCTGCGAATGGCAAATAGCATTGCGGAGCAAGCTGATCTAGGATCTCTTTCCAGTGGAGCAAACAGACGCATCCGTCGAGCGCCCAAAGAACATGTCACATCCGCTATGGGTGTGGGCAAGGTCACAACAGTGATCTACTTGCCAGGAGGTACATATATAATGCTTGAGAAAGGTTGATCTTGAAAAATTCAAGATGCCAGAAGCTTTCGTTAAGATTATAGCAATATCCTCAAATAAAAATGATCACCCCTGAGTTCCCATAATTCTAGTAGGGGAGAAAGGGGAACTCACAGGTTGACTCTAGCACCAGAGATTATGCTATCTACGAGGAGCTTAAATTCCGTCCCATAATAAACCGGCTCCCTAGTGCTCCAGCTTTAGTCTTTGCTGCAACATCTTTTTCAACTCAGCACAGCTAAATGAGGAGGAAATACATAATGAGAAGGAGTAATGCCACCCTCATTGTCTTTTTCCAATTAAAGTGTTCCTAAAATATATATGATGTGAGATATCTTTTTCTGCCTCGTTAATTGTAGAGCTTTAGGGAGGATTTCTCGTCCAAAGTCAAGAACTTTGATGTGTCCGCAGAGCCAAATTCGTACCTCACGACTCACCGTCGAGGCAAGATAATTTCCCAAGATTCGTCAGGGTCGGATGTCTGTTTCAACTATGGATTGAAGCATCAGTACGTTGACCACAGTGGAAGAGATTCTCCAGCGATTTCGTCGGGAATGCCCGTGCCTGAAGTCTGCAAAGAAGCTACCTCAACGCTCCTCAGACCTGCAAGGGCCAACCAAGAACAGGGATTTCTTGCCGAAAACAGAATGTCAAAGCTGAATAATTAGATGTGTGCCAAACTATTCAAGTCATCTAAGAAGTTGACGAAGCCCATGTAATTGAACCTCATATACCTATCCACTGGCGCTGCAGCTCTGACCTCAGAGCTCGGATTAAGCTTAAATCTAAGGTTCTCAATAGGGCAGAAGGGGTGATCGGCTCCAACTTTTGCCTTTCAACCCGCTCGGTCCAACAGCCTGCAAGGATCAGGTATACTTCTAAAAACAGATCTATCAGCAGGCGCCATTTTTGAGAATTGGTGAGCCGCATGAATTGTGTGTAATTTTTAGTATATATAGCCCATGGAATACAACCCAGGCCTATGCTCTTTCTTGTCCTGAGATGCTCCTGCACATTGCATTTCCTCGTGTTGCATACCCAACAGTTTGCCAAGGCTTTAAATACGAGAATGTCACCTCCACTTTGCCCACATAGGCTGGTCCTCGATCGGCAAAACCGCATGTTTTCTCTAATAATGCGAATTGTGGGTCACGGAGATCGGCATGAAAATGGGTCGTCAGTTCAGGAGATCATAAATAGACCTCGGAAGCAATCTTCCTTTATAAAGGCGCTCAGGTCGGCCGGCCGAAATGTAATTACACGCTCGCTTGCTTTCCTTCTCATCCCTATTGAGCCGCTCGTTCGTTCTGCAAGATGAGGGTGTCGCGCGCTATTTGGGCAGTGCTTCTCGGAAGCCGGACCGTCGTGTCGTCCACCTCGGCCGATCAGTCTCCGAAAAACATCGTCCGCGGAGCCTATATTGTGGAACTCGACAACGATGGTGATGGCCCCGACTCTCTGTACCAGACCCTAGCCAGCGACGACAGAATTGCTGTGGACCACCGCCGCGACCTTCGGTCCAGCATCTTCAACGCCGCGTCGTTCCAGGTTCGGGATGCTGCGACAGATGGCAGCCACGATGCAGAGGGTTTCATGGAGAAGGTCAGGGCTAAACGCAACGTGAAGAATGTCTGGCCAGTGCGGACCGTCTACATCAACCAGGAGGTTCCCAAGCCCTCCCGCATGCACAGCCCTGTTGGTCGGCGGCACGAGTCTCGAGATGTGGATGAGAGCAGCAACACAACCACGTTCGCTCCTCACATTCAGACACAGATCGACAAGCTACGCGCAGAGGGGTACACAGGCAATGGCGTTCGCGTTGCCATTGTCGACAGCGGTGTTGATTATACGCACCCAGCTCTGGGCGGGTGTTTCGGCCCCGGGTGTCTAGTCGAGGGTGGTTACGACTTCTCAGGAGATGAGCTTAACCCGGAGACTGGCATTCCCGCGACGCCTGATGAAGACCCGTACGATCCCTGTATGGGCCACGGGACCCACGTCGCTGGGATTGTCGCTGCGCAGGCCAAAGACAACGCGCTCGGTTTCTCTGGCGGCGCCCCTGGCGTCAAGCTCCTCGCGTACCGAGTCTGGGGCTGTGGCGGCGGCAGTACCAACGAGTTGATGATTGCGGGTTTCAACAGGGCATATGAGGATGGCGCTGATATCATCAGCTGCTCCAACGGCTAGTACGTTTTTGAGACATCCTTTCGACCATTCCCATGCCCGGAAGAAAGTTACTGACCATATGCACGTGATGCAGTCAGTCGGGTTGGGCACAGGAAGCGATCTCGGTTGCTGTCGCCCGTATCGTCGAGGCAGGCGTACCCGTCCTAATCTCTGAAGGAAATGATGGGAGTTCAGGCCTCTTCAATGCTCTCACCCCCGCCGTGGGTGCCGGCGTCGGCGGAACCGGTGCCGTCCAGAATCAGGTTCAGCCCATCTTCGAGACGGCCGCATCCTTCACCGTCGGCGACGCGTCGTCGAATGCGACTGAGTCTGAGGAATTCGGCTTCGTGGCTGGTGAACCGCTTTTCAGCGAAGACAACCTGATCCTCGATCTTCACAACCTCGGTTCCGACGCCTGCAGCCCTCTGCCTGACGACACGCCGGACCTGGCTGCGAAATTGGTCCTGCTTGAAGTTCCTGACTCTAGGGCGACTAGATGCTATCCGATCGACCAGGCCACTAACATTCAAGCCAAGGGTGGCCGCTATGTCTTGTACTATGCAAGGGACAATACGTAAGTCTCCTTCGTGCACCAGTCGCAGTGCTGAGCCGGAATGTCGGACAGTGAAGTTGACATCGCTTCGCAGCACTGTTGATGAACAGTTCCTCTATGTCGATGGAATACGAGGTGTTGGCACTGTCCCTCCCTACAGGGGCGCAGCTTGGAATGATCTGCTGGCTCAAGGAAGCAGAATCACAGTCTCGCTGCCAAGTCTCAAAAACACCAGCGCCGTTAACCAGACCACTTCACCGACCTTTTACTACGAAGAGGTGGAGAGTAACGTCCAAGGCGGTAGAATCAGCGAATTCACAACTTGGGGCCCATCTTGGGAGCTCAACCTGTCGCCTCAGTATCTCGCGCCAGGTGGGCAGATCCCAGGGCTGTACCCTGTGGTGATGGGCACATACAAGATCATGTCTGGTACTTCCATGGCCGCTCCACATGTGGCTTCTATTTATGCTCTGATCAAGGAGGCAAGGGGATCCAGTGACCCGAAGACGATTCGTAGCCTTCTCTCGTCCACAGCCAAGCCGCAAGCTCCGATCGGGAGCGCCAACAACACCACAGGACTCCTTGCCTCTGTTGCACAGCAGGGCGCAGGTCTGGTACAAGCTCATGATGCGGCACACTCGACTATAATCCTTGGCTCAGACGGCATCGCTCTCAACGACACCGACAACTTTGTGGGCACTCAATCGTTCAGCATTCAGAACACCGGCTCCAGCGACGTCACTTTCACTTTGGGACACGCCAAGGCAGTGACCATGAACACCTTCCGGGAGGGTTCCAACGGAGCGTTGCTGGCCTCAAATACAGCAGCTGAAGCATGGGCCGAGTTGTCCTTCAGCACTGACAAGGTCGTTGTCCCGGCCGGGGGCTCCGAAAACGTCACGGTGACGGTCACTCCACCCGAGGGCCTAAACGGCACGCTTCTGCCCGTTTACAGCGGCTACGTGACCCTCAAGTCAGACGAACAGTCACTCGTCCTGCCTTACCTTGGAGTCGTGGGCAGCCTGGTGTCAACACCGGTGCTTGAATCAAGGAACGTGTACCTTGCGAATTACAACACCCGCGCCGAGGCCAACAGGACGTACACGATTGCGAAGCCCGATCCCGAAGGCTTCATCAACACTGACCGCGGCGACCAGGCCACAGTGCCCAATGTCTCTATCCAGCCGACTGCGGGCACAGCACAGCTGCGGATCGACATTCTGGCTCTTTCTTCGGCGGTTAACAGCACCGGCCTCCCGACTACCCCCTTCTTTGACCGGTTTGAAAGCGTGGGAACCCTGCCAGGCTACCCCGTCCCATACGCACCAAACGAGAACCGTGCGGCGTTTTTCAAAGGTCGCACGGCAGACGGGAAGGTGCTGCCTGAAGGGGCATACCAGCTTGCCGTGTCTGGTTTGAGGGTGTTTGGCAACGCGAGCAGCGCGGAGGATTGGGATACCGTGAAGACGGTCCCATTCAACGTGAGATATGCTGCTGAGTAGGTAGCTCAAAGGACACAATTGAATTGACTGCAATTGGTCTCAATCACCCAAGTACAAGAGCAAGCTGGTATATCCTTTGTGCCTGATGTGAGCGACTACAAACTCGATAAAAGTATATTCGAAATAAGGCAGGCAACGTGGCGACGAAAATAGCGAGGCTATCCAGCAAGCAGAAGAGACATTTTCACTCATCATGCTATTTCTAGGTGCACATGAGATCGTCACAGTTCCACTACAGGTAATTACTCGACGTGTGATGAGCTTCAGCACGAAGTTAAATGGTCTGAATTGAACAAGATGCACGGTTGAGTGGCGCTGCTCGCTTTGCGGCAGACATCATTTCTTACTGTAGTTCTCATACTTACAGAACACCAAGTCGTGCCTACAATTCTAATTACATAGTTGCCTCATGATTTCGGGCCACTCCGGCCCCAATTCCATACCGACTGCTCGGGATGCAGGTGAAAGAGATAGACCGGTTTCCACCGGACTTTTGAAGGCCACCCGAGAAAGCCGCTTGAGGGAACACTCAACAGTGCAAACTTGCTGCTGTCCTACTGCCGGTCAGACTATACCGAGGTAGATACCAAGTCGGGTCAAAGAGATGACGCTCAGGTCAGAGGCTCAGCATGCATTGGTGCAATACGAAAAGAAGGCAACCAATTCCTAGCAGAAGTCTAGAAACCCCAGTTTTCGTGGACCCTTGTACCAAGGCAGAGGCAACGAGGCATCTGCAAAGCCTCCTTTGAAGACCTGACGATCCAAGTTGTTGAAAGTCCCGGCCGGTCAGGTGCGTCTCCTACTTTCGGACGCCCCCAGGACGATCAGTGTGGCCCAAAGCAATAGAAATTTAACGGATGAGACCTTGAATCGGACTCGGGGTTCTACTCGGACTCCGCTTGTGCATCTGACCTCTAAATTCGGGGATTTCAATTACGCGGTGCCGGGGCTGAGCCTCAGCTGCGGCTTGAGTCTAAAGCTCACCCCAGCTGGGGCAACTGGTGATAAGGCCAAAAGCTTACGAAAGCTAGCAAAGTAACAGTTTGTACTTACACAAGAAAACAGGGTAGCCAGCACTTTGTTTCAAATGGCTTGAATAATTGGGTCTGTATTAGAATTAGTTGTGGGAGCAAGAACATACGTACACTGTCAGCTGACGCTGGCTCCATTACCAGGCAAGCGAGAAACCCGAGACATTGCATACTCGGGCACGGAACGGTCTACTCCAGAACAACGCCAGAGAGCCAAGCTTTGGACATTTGGCCCTCGGTGTCCTCGGGAACGGAGTAAGGTACTATTGCTCAGGTGATTGGCGATATCAGTGAGACAGTTCTGCTAAAGATCAACTAGTGAAGGGGAGGGGGTCAAACCCTGGTTCCTCATTGGCATCTTGAGTCACCACTTCAGTACCACAACCTTTTCAACAGCCCCACCACATCTCCGAGAGTTTCCAGCCCGGGGTGTAGTTAACAGGGCAATTGTGTCGATTTGTGCTGATCACAAAGGGTTATATATGACCAAGCACTTTGTATCTAGGTACCCGGGCAATTAGTCATGGCTGATGATTCACACCACTTAATCGAGGATGATCACCACAAGGCAACAACAGCTTTGTGCCTGTTGTAGTATGAGGCCTCTCTTCTCTTATCCCCCTTCCCCCAAACCCAGTTTTTCGTTCCGCTTCTTTCCCAATGTGCAGGGGCGATGAAGCGGCCTCTCGTCTTTGAAGATTGTAATTAATTGACTAGGAAAATGGTTGAGCGAAATCAGACGCTAGGGGACATGATGCATCGCCCTTGGTCCTTTTTCTCTCAGCCTGTAAACATTAATGGGAAGGAACTACTTACTGAGGAAGGCCCGTGCACCCTCAAGCAAACAGCTCCGTTTGCAATCGCGTCCCATAGCCTGCAGAAATGAAAACACAATCCCACAACTGTCAACCAGATTTGTTTGCACTGGTGTAGGACTGCAAACAGTCCAGAGCAAGCGCCAAATGTGTGGCAGGGCCTAGAGCTTGTGAGAGGAGCGACAACTCAACATGTCTTGGTCTCCGTCAGAGGCGCGTTCCTTGCCCTCCTTGAGACCAGGTCAATTTCCACCTCCTGCAACCTCGCGAGGGAAGCCGACACCTTTGGGAGATTCGCGATTGCACCGGTCATCCACAAAAGCCCACATTTCACAACTCGAGAACACGGCCGAATCCCAAAAGTTGCCCAAGCCTACATCCACCGGTGCCCAGAGTTCAGACTACCTTCAGCTGACCACCTTCACCAAGCGCAAAGAAGCTCCCACGAGCGAGAAACTAGATTCAGCACGACCATCCAAGGCTCCCAGGCTCCCCGAAAGATCCTTGAAAGATGGATCCGGACCGCTTTCTTCATCTCTGGGTCCTAGCCATGCCCCTTTCGCGGCAGCTCCTTCCAACAGCCAGCCATTCTTCAGCCTAACGAATCAAGAGCTCAACACATTGAGGAGGAATATGGGCAAGGGAGCTAGCTACAAGCAATTCAGAGACATCACCGTGGCGCGAGAGCTGGACCGCCTTGGCCGTGGTTGGGATGGATACCTCCGAGCCAGGGACATGGCAGAGGAAGAAGGCAAAACCGACGAGTTTTGGCGCCACATCAGTCTTGAGCTCAACGCTGTTTTGTCAACCACGCAGTTTCGCCCCGGGGCGATATCGATAGAGACAGCTGCTCTGGTCGCGCAGAGCAACTACACCGCTTCTATTGGAAGGATGCGGCCTGAAATTGCGGCCGAGATTCGGCGGATGAGGGTGAGGTCACGGTCAAATCTCCCCGACTCGGGCCTGGCTGGTCCAGACTCCGATTCGTGCGACTCAACAATTGTAGGACTGCCTTCATGTTCACCACCCGTTCCCGAAGCCGACTCACAATTTTGCCAACGGGGAAGTCCTGACCCCGTTCCGGTTTCCCGACCAAGGAGAGTCTTGAAACGGCCAGACTATAGAATACCACCATTGTTCGAAAGCAGCCCGGAACCGCCGTCGAGCCCGGACCTGCCGCCTAGGACGCCCTCGCCTACGCCTCGAGAAATTTACAACAGGACGCGGCCGAAGTTCATCCAATACTCGTGTGAGTGGAACGGATGCAAGGCGAGCCTAAAGGACTTGAAGACCCTCAAGAAGCACATCCACATCGTGCACGCTAAAGAAGCCAGAGACACTTTGTGTTGCGGCTGGGGGTCCTGCGTCACCAATACTCCGAGAGCGTATGAGTCTCCTGAGGATCTCGAAAACCATTTCGAAATCTTCCACTTGGAACCACTCAAGTGGAGTCTTGGTGACTGAAACAAAAGTCGCGGGGCTGTGGCGAAGGCTCCTGGCGTACGACATCCCATGTAAGCCCTGGGATTGGAGCCCAGATGACGCCGTCTGTGCAGTCCCCTCAATCTAGAGTCTAAAAGAGTGGCGCTTTAGTAGGGAGTCTCCGGGATCCTCCGTCATGCAGCGCTGAAAGCGCCAACTGCATCCGACGATCGGGGGGAATTCGGAGACTGTGAGGTTTAGGGAGAAGAAACATCCGGAAGCCACTGGCTTCTGCATCACCAGCAGCGCGGCTTTTGTTGTCATTCATTTTTCTCTACGATAATTCGTGTATTTGATCCAGTCTGCCTATCACGAGGAGTTGTGGATTAATCATGTCCTGGTGGGACCGTCAACCCGAGAGGTGTCGGAGACAATAATCAAGGACACAATGAGTTATGTAGATAGTTGCATGGGCTGGCTGCGTCACAGGATCAAGTTACCTTGTCTCAATGCCAACCGCCGGAAACAAGTATCCAGATGCCCAGTCTCAGTTCATAGGTGAAACCCGGGTTGTTCATCAATGATGCTGCAGCCAAAGATGCTTACCTGGGGTAACAGTCCCCGCTTCATCGGACGGTCATCCGAACAACCGACGCAATCACCATCCTTGAGATTCCGATGCAATGTTTGGCGGTCTACAGGTGCTATTCGAACACACAAAGACAACGAATTGAATCCCCAAATCGTAACATGCAGGTCTGGGATCTCCTCTGTGGCTTGCCAAGGCATTCAAGGAAAGTCTTTCGCCCGAGATCGCAGCGAGACAGATCATGCGGTTTCGATCCTGAATGTGGAGGTCGCGCATGCCACTGCCTAATGCATATTGGAAATGCAAGACTTGCAGTTCCTGTGCAGACACGGGCTGCCATGCGCATCCGGGATCTCAGTATTGGACAAGCTTGAAGGCAAAGTTGCCGCATGTCGCCTCGCTAGTGTGTTCTGCTTTTGTCAGAGGTATTCAATGGTCCAAAAACAGGCAAAAAGGCGAGAATAAGGCAACAAGGCAAATGCCGAGTAGAAGCGTCTACACTAGCATGTACTGAACTTTTCTACTCCTGCAGGTCATTGCCACACACTTGCTTCTGCTCTTCCGCCCCACTGCTGTATGTTCAAAGTGTGAAATGTGGTTGGGGTGGGCGCATGTGGGCGCTTGCAGCCTGCAGGGAAGCGCGAAGTATCATATCAGGTAACCTGCATATTGTGATATGGCAGCCTGATACGTGTTGATAGCTATGGACTTCATTTTCAGTGAATATCAGAAGAGCGGTCAATGGCAAAGGTAACGGAGAACTGCATTGCAGTTTTGAAGTTGGAAATATGCCTCGAGCTAAAGCAACGTCCCTGATGCTTGGCTGGGGGCGAAGATACTGCAAGTCATCATTATCGGTATGAGATAGTTCATCTCACAGCATGTCATCACACAGAGGGCCATTCCCCAGGAAGTCTAGCCCAGGGGAGAGCGGGAAGTCCCAGAGGAGGCTATCCTAGAGCAGGCAGCAGGTTATCCCAGAGCCTGTCCATCCTCTTCGACATTCGGAGGTTAGAAGAGCATAACTACATATGCGCTGTGCTATATTTTACCGTCGTTTGCTGGTTTTGAATGTCCATAATCTGATTTAAATGTGAACTGAAATGAACAGGTAGCTTGAAGACCGCAAAATAAAAGCTGGCATCACGTAAACCGTTGTATTAACAAATGGCATCCTTAAAATTATGCTGCTATCAGGTTCTTCCTGTTTTTACGCCCTAATGTAAAGAAGCGGCTGGGCACATGCACTCAATTCCCATTGTTAAACAACCATCATAATGCTAAACAACAATGAAAAACGTGAGGAGAGCTCCCCAGCCTTTGTGCCTCACTCAACGGAGTTGTGACAAACAATACAAGCCAGTGCTTCTGAAAGAAATTTCAATTAGCACTTGAAAGTTTATTTTGAATACACCCTAGTCCCTTTTCAAGGCCTTTGTCTTATACTGTCATTAATTTGTAACTTTGAAAGGCTTACCGAGGTATACTATGACCATGTGTGTTTGGGAACAACAAATCAAGCGCATCCTTAATGCTGTTGTTTCTTTCAAGGCCTATAAGAACTCAGACCAACTTCCACAAGCCTAATGGGAGACAATTGAGAATATCCTCAACGAAGTGGTATACTCATGAGCACTTTCACATCAGCTGGCACTCAGCTCACTTAGCAAAAAAAGGACTACCGCACAACTCAACCAAACATGGCCAGGACGAGGACCCCCTCCACTTTGAAGCCATTTGTGCCTATTCAACCAAAGTCGATAAGCCCTGAAGACCCCGAACTTCTGGCAAAACTTCAGGAGGTTGACAAAACTATTGAAGACGCTAAAAAGAAGAAGGAGGTACTCAGTGCCATTGCTTCCGAGCTAAAGGATGCTAACCATCATGAAGCACAGCAAGCGGCGGAGGATGTTGAGCAGGCGGGCAAAATTTTAGCTGATCTCATTGCTTTACGTTACAATGTCCTTGGAGGTAAGTAAGTATGTTTCTATCCCCCCTTGGCATGATCTCTGCTAGAAAATATAATTGCGCATCTTTTGAGCCGAAAGAGTAAATACCCCGTTTTAATTTGAAAGTGTTGATCTATGAGAGACAATTGTATGTTGATTCTAAGTCTGGTACTATTATTCGGCTTGATATTACATGCTTTCCGAGGATTGGATGAAGCCAAAGGCAGTGCACATAAAGTAGGAGTTCAGACCAATCTAGAACATAGGTGGCAACAGGACCCAATGTCAACATAAAATCTAGAGCCCATTACGATACGAAAAATACGCAATACATGAGAGTGAACATCTGGAGTGCGATCAACAAAGACATCTAGTATCACAGCCGTTCTGACGGTTCCGCCCGCAAAATTGCGTTATGGCCTCTGATTCACTTCGAACCCTTGGGCCATCGAGATTGGAATCCCATGTACCAGCTTATGCCCTATCTTCGTGGTGAGTAAACAAATTCAGAGAACATGAATTGTAACAGATGTAGAAGTCTGGATCAAAATTTCGTTCTGATGGCCTGTGGCTTATTGAGTCATCCGGGCTTTGAGCTGTAGCTCAAGTTCTGCAGCAAGGATCCTCTTATTCGGGTCCTGCTCCAGCATATCAGCCAGCAGGCCATGGACCCCTTCAGTCAACACCTGCCTCCATCCTTCAACTTCACTGAGCCAGCTTCTCATCTCCTCTAGCACCAGTGCATTGTCAAACACGTGCGGCAGGATCCATCCTCCATCCGGCAGCTTGACGTACTTGAATGCAAATAGCATCGTCACACCCAAGGCCCAGACATCGGCGGCACTGCCCTTGGTTCGCTGGAGAAACTCAGGAGGTGCGTAGGGTGGCGTCCCTGATGGGTTGAACCAGTTTTCCGGTGGCAATTTATGGTTCAGCGCGGCGCCGAAGTCGATCAAGACGCTGTGCTGGGTCACCTGGTCCCACATAATGTTATCGGGCTTGACATCATCATGCGTGATGGAGTTTGCGTGTAAGTGAGCTACAGCACTGGATATTTGCTTCCATAGTGTGGTTGAGTCGCCTTGGGGGAGTGTCGATTTCCGGTGGCTATCCACGTACTTGTCCAGACTCCGGCCCGGCTCGGCGCGTAGTGTGAGAGTAAAGCGACTGAGATCTGCATCCCAAAGCTGCGTAATGTGCTCCTGTACCGAGGTGTTGAGCAAGTATCGAGCAAGGGATTTCTTTGCTGTGAAAGACGACTTACGTGGGAAGAAACGAGTTTCAGTGCATCGACTTCGTTGCGAAAACGTGGCTTTGTGCGTGGATCATTTTGGTTTCGGCATCTTTTGATGATTGCGACCCGCCCGTTGAACTGGCCAAGCTCTATGGTTGAGTGATATGTCTCCGTGATGAGTGTGGAAGAAGATGGGTTGTCTGGCTTGGGCTCAAGGTGGCCTGCCAATGATGTTGAGTTGTCTCCGTCCATGATAGAGGTATAATTGGGTCCCACGGATGAAGCGTGAATCACAATGCGGGAGTGAAGTTTCCATGAACAAATCATTCAAATTGGCGTTGGGACGAGGTCTTCTCGTGAATGAAGAATCGGACTTTTTTCCTGCTGCCGCTGGCCACAATCCTTCAATCCCCCTCACATTGCCCAATCCGGTTGGCGGATTGACTGGCACACTGGCTGACTACACGTCCTGACCAACCAGGCCTACTAGTACGGGGCAGATGACTCAGGCCGCAAAAAACTTTGTAGAATAGGCCATGGACACTCAATACGCTCTACAGCTGCGTACCACGGAGTTTTGACAACTCGTTTAACAAGATTTACAAAGAACTATTTAAGAACTGCCGGACAACGACAACAGAATAGCGATTTACTTGTTTTGTTTCCTTTCTAAGATAAATTGTGTATAATGCAGAATTGATGCGTGTATTTCTTGGCTGAGAGCTGTGTCGTTATAGTTGAGGTGCTCTAAGTTGATATATTGATGTATTGTTCACATATGCAACTTCGAATTCCCTTAAGCTCCTTTAAGTTCCATCAACTCACACGTCTGCTGCTTGCGAATGATGCTGCAGCCTGATGTCAATGGAAAAAGAAAACCAGGAAAAGTGTATATACCTAGGTACATTACTCCCGTCAAAACGGCTCCACTGGTATCAAGAAGCAAGCGTGTGTGCTGGCTGTGATATTAATGAGGCAGATCCACGGGCATGAGTCCCCGTCCTACTTCCTTCGATTTATTCTGTCTTTCTCTTCTGCAAGAAGCAGTCGATTACCTAAGACAAACCTCTTGTCGGAGGCGCTGCATTTGTCCCTTTTATGTGCTCGTGATGTTGGTGACCGCGGCTGATCAGAAGACGGCGCCGTCCCAAGGATGAGAAAAGCGATTGGGATCACAAAATCATCGGCTTTGGCATTTTCTCGGTCGAGTACCACGTTTGTCCAAGACACACGACCTCCGATCCAAGGAAAAACAGTTGATTAGCGATGAGGACAACAATCTTCTAGCTGCACGTACGACCGACCATGGGATGTGAACGTGACAACATTCAGAAGATTCTTAAGACTCAGATTGCAACATACAAACTCGTTCTCCACATTGATCTGCAGTATTTGCTATGGCCACTTCTTATTACAATGGGGGCCTAGTCTGACAGATGTTGAATGATTGTGCCTTCTGCATGTGTGGAAAAAGCGAACGCTTAATCCATCAGCCGGATTAAGCCTTATACCGTAGGTACTTCAACACACCCCCTAGTTCGCAAGGTGGTACCCACTAAGTAAAGTATATGCTATGATAGCCCCTGTATACATAAGACGCTTTGCCTGGATTATATACCTTAAATGCACTTATATAAGCAGTGCTATTTAAACGGCAAGTAGTTCTTAAACCTGCGAACTTTTTGGCCTTTAAACTCAGAACCTTTACGAAACCTAAATGTAAGGGGCTTAACCCAGGGCGCTTAATTTAGTATAGCTTAGGGGAATATAGCGGTTAATCGCGCTATATGAACGAACCAAGGGCTTATAACTGTGGAAAAAGCGAACGCTTAATCCGTTAGCCGGATCAAGCCTTATACCATAGGTACTTCAACAGCATGTGCATGTGGAATTTCATGACCATTGAGAGTCCTCCTAGCGCATGGAGCTTTTGAGAGAGCTACTGAGCGGAGCTGGAAGATGTGCTATGCTCTGAGTAGACTTCCCCTGAAGTATTTAAACTACATGAAGGCATGCTGTCAAATCAGTTATCCACAACGACGAGCACGGACGTTGATGCCGATGGGACCCGGTGGAGAAGATGGAGACTCGGCAGTTACCCGCCGGGGAAAGCTCCACATCGCCGGCAGGATCGGGAATGCCAGGACGCCGAACGGGAAGCTGCAGGGCCAGGGACAAGAGCGACGTCGTGCAACGCATTGCTGTGTTTCAGCGCACTAGGGATTGTGCATGCAGATGGACGGGCAGCTGAAGGGTGTGTTGAGCTGGCATACATTCGTGACGAGCCAATGTGCTTGTGTCGTCAGGATTTCCGTCTCATGATGTTGCAGAGCGCAGATACCTCCGGCGTCACCGAGTTCGGCCTGCGAATTTCGATGGGCCTGGTATGTCCTGTACGCGTAGCCCCAGACATGCGGTCGGCTGGCATTCGCTCGCACGCACGCAAGTGACTGACTTGAGCCCACAGCACATTCCTGACCATTGGTCCTCAGGTGACGTCAAGGCCCAAGAGCGGTCGCAGGCCCAGGGTCGTCCCTGTGATCCGTGCAGCAGCTAGGCAAGCGCGCTAGCTTCAAAAAGCTTAGCCGGCTGGGACAGGGCTGTCTTAAGGCCCCACGGTTGGACGGCAACCCAGTTTTCATGGGCCCTGTCGTCATCCACCTGGGCAGAGCAGCTGCTTGTGGGACGACCGCGACAGCGACAGCGACGGCGTCCAGCTTGTGTGCTCCCTCCCGTGCGATGCGATGGCGGGGACCCAGGCGCATGTTTAACTGCCGTGTGACCCTCGCACCGCCGCTCCCTGGCCGACCTCTGCTTGTCCCGTCATCCTGGGACGCGCAACCAACCCATCCAAGCATTTTCCAATCCGCTCTTCCGTTCGGACGGAACCTGCGACTCGCCCATAAGTTTCAAGGGCCCATCTTCGTCCGGAGTTACTAGCCCTTGCAAGGTTCTGCATTGACCCTCGGCGAGCTTTCAACTTTGACTCCAACTGTCTTGCGATTCGTGCACAATCCTGCCAACCTCTTCTTCACCTCAACAGTGAATAATATAAAGACGTCGCCTGGCCCAAGCGGTGGAACACCAGCGCGAACCTTGTCTCAGCGCCAGAAACAATTCATCTCGCGGTCCACTTCCAAGGTATGCAAAGACCTGCCCCCCGCTCGCTCTCCCGGAATTCTGCAACCCCATCCTCCCACGGTAGACTGGTGCTGCATTCCATCGCGCTGACAAGATCTACTCCCTCAGGACGCCGAGGCCACAGCAGCCTTTCTTCTGCGCTCCTCGCGATTCCTGTGCCCGACACAACCATGGCCGGCCGTAGGTGCTCTCGCAGTCTGTCAATGATGCCAGTGACATGCTGACCTGTCGAGCAGATCCATCCCTGGGCGGCGTCGCCCTAATCTTCCTCGCCGGTTCTATAGTAATGATCTTCTTCGTCATCCTCTCCGGCGTGACAACGACTTCACCTCTCCAAGACACCTACTTCCTGCGAGCAGACACAGCTGGCATCACCGGTGCGCGCGACACCTCGCAATGGACCTACTTCCATATCTGCAGCCCCGGGAACGTCGACTGCACACGAGCGAGCCCTGCTATGCCATTTGGCCACGCTTGGGCGGACGATGCCGATAATATTCCAGACGGACTGGGCGGGTGAGTGCTATTCCCGTCCCACGAAGTACACCGCCGGGCAGTAGCTAACATGGACCGCAGGAGCTTCGCGGGCAACACGACCTCCAAGTATTACTTCTACATGTGGCGCTTTGGCTGGGTCCTTTACCTGATCGGGCTGTTCTTCGACGTGCTCGCCTTCTTCTCGGGCTTCCTCGCATGTTGTGGCCGCCTGGGTGCCGCGATCTCGGGACTGGTGTCATTGGTTGCCCTCTTCTTCTACACCATCGCCGTCTCGCTCATGACAGCCACCTTTGTCAAGGCTCGAGACGCCTTCCTGGCTGACGGCCGCACCGCCACCATCGGTCGCTACGCGTTCGGGTTTAGCTGGGGTGCGTGGGCTGCCTTGTTCATCGGGACCGTCTTGTTCTTCCTGGGCACGCGTCACCGCGATGGCGTCTCTTCCCGCCGCTTCGGAAGGAGCCGGAGCACTAGAAGCCATCGCTCCCATGACCTCGGCGGCAGGCGAGTCAAGGACGATTACTCCTAAAGTTTGACCGACCGCCCATTGGCGTCCAAAAAGGGTCCTCATCGAATAGGGACTTAATCGTGATGGGACCAGGATAGCCTGGAAGGAGACCTCGTGGACTAGCGGAAACTCATCAGAAGAATGGCATAGAGACAAGTTCTCTTTTTGCGCTTCAAGACTCGACAGCGCTTTGCATATAGTTAATCCTTTCAATTCCACGCTAATGATTGCCAAACCTCTGGTCTTGCGTATTGCGTCGCATGTTAACGCGACACAGATATCGTCTCCTCACACTGGTTCGGAACGGATTTCGGCGCAACACTTCGTCCGTCACATGCGATCTCCAACATCTTCGATGCCTCCTGCACTCAAGAAATAATATGGCCAGTCCTTTGACATCTAAAAGTTTTGGCTCCACCAGAATCCGACTCGCACTTAGTTTTCTGAAAGATCATGACACCAATGTCTGTACTTCGCTTCAATCACGCTTCAACCTCTGCACATTGGGCCATGTGCTTATTGTTTGGGTGGAAAGTGCTTGTCCTACCGTAGTTTGACATGCAAATATAAGCAGCAGACGAACAACTTCTGTCACATACGACCATACCCAGCGGAAAATACGGGATCCCGTCCGCTCTCCCATAGTCAAGCCGCTGAGGTCTGGATTAGTAGTTGGGCCGGTGACGACCAGCGAATACCTGGTGCTGTATGTTTTTTGCCTTTTGAGGTGACACAATCTCTTTTTGGCTCATCGGGCCCACTGCTTGACTCGACGGCTTGCCATTTTTCCATTAACAAAGAGCAAGCTCTGGTGCGACGCGAATGAGCGTCAAGCCTTCCGTGTCAATCTCGACGGGCTCCCTGACTTTCGACCTTAAAATTGAGGAAAATGGTCTTCCGAAAGTTCCATCATCACTGGCACTGGTTTCTCGGCTGTATCTTTAACACTCGTGCTGCGATTCCTACTTTTGTCTGGGCGGAACTGGCCAATGAGGTGTAATACATGGTTGCCCAATGTTCACAGCCCCTCTGGTGGGTACCCTCAAGGTAGTCTTCTTGTAGACTGATCTGGCATGCGTGAATTATGTCTTACTTGAGCGGGAGGTGATATATCGTGGATATTTCTGTGCTAACTCCTTCTCTTGACGCCGGGCTCGTCGCTTCCACCGAGCTTCACTTTTACCCACAGCGGGACGTGGTCGCTCGTCCCCCGCTCTTGCGGTGAGTCGAGGATGCCCGTGTCGTCAATTCCCCCATTTTCATAGACACTCTTTGATGCGATGATCAGATCGACACGGTCACAACTTGACCCCCATTCGTCGTCTCCCCTCGGGTGGTACGTATACTTCCGCTCCTTGCCACGGAGAGCTCGGAAGACATCGACCCCTTGGAAGCTGATCTCCCCACTTTTCACGTCATCGCCGCCCACGTACGCATCGGCGCGTCTGTTATCGTCTTTGCCGAAGAGTTTCGTGTTGAAATCTGCCCTGTTTACGCAATGCTGCTTCGGCCAGGTCCGTAGGTTTGGATGGCCGTCCAGTTGGCCCCGAGCGACGTTCAGGTCTCCCGCGACCACAACATCAAAGCCGCGCTTCTCGAGCTGCAGGCACTCATCTCGAAGCTTGGAGTGAAATGATATCTTGAGTTCGTGACGTGTGCCCACAGTCTGGCCATTCTCCGACGAGCGGTAGGGTGCAGATGTTCCGTTTACGGCATACACGTTGATGAGTGCCAATGTGCGTAATTGATCCCTCTCTCTGTGCTCATCAGACTCAGTGTCCCTTTCGAGGCAGCCATCCGACGGACGCTGAAGTTCGACGATGCTAACTCGCCCTTCCAGGTCCCACTCTGCGTGACGGACAGTGGCAACATGCTGGCTGGCAAAGTCCTCGCGCAAAATGGTCCCCACGCCGTAGAGCTTCCCACCAAAACCCCGGGCGTTGAACTTGTCTCTAGGGAGGTTGACGTCGAGTGTGTACCTCGAGCCTGCCGTGCCTTGGTCATTTGAGCCGAGAGGTGTGTTGAGGGCCGACAGCAGAGCTGTTGGTGTCTTCTGGTCCTGCCGATTGATCTTGAGTTCTTGGAGGAACAGCACCTCCGGCCAGTCGTGCCTGGACAGAAACGCGCGGAGGGGGCTTCCAACTAAAGGGGCTTTGCGGGGCCCCGAGGTTTTGTCGGGTGGTTCCCCATCAGTAGCCCGCTTCAGCTGCCTCGGAACTGGCTTGAAGAATGATGTGATCGGAGTTGTCGACGAGGGGAGAAATGAATGGACTCCGTTGACGTTCCATGTGAAAATGCGGATGTAACGCATGCCTGACGGGGAAGTGACTTCTAACTGGCTGAAGCCCTCGCCCTTGTCTCGTTCATCCTGTCTTCGTCGCTTGGTGGGCGGCGGACTGATTTCCCTCTCCATCACACCAAGGCGCCTTCTGTTTGCATAAAATTCAACGCTGCGGCGCAAGTGACACCTGGGCTATGACTTTTGCAAACGATCAACAATGGTGCTTACGCTCGGTCATGGCCGTGCATGATCATGATATGGTTGTGGCCTCTGCAATAGTTGTACGTGTATCGTAGCGTTCAATGTAAGTTGACTTTCTAGGATTCATTTGCAGGTACGGATTGCATGGTTGAGTCTGAGAAAGGCGACGAGCATGTGTAGTAGAAGTGACGTCATGATCTAGACGGCACGAGGAGCTGGACGCCTAGTTACCTAGGAATGATTGTCTCGAAGAGCCCTGGACCTCGAGACGAAGTGGCACAATTGTATTGTGCAGTAAACTATGACCGGAGACGTGATTTCTGCCAGCAAAGGTGATTTGTGGAAATTATCAAATGAAGGCAAGGGATCTCCACCTCGAGTAATTCTGCCAACGCTTGAGAATGGATGACCCTTTGACTTCCATTTTACCACCACCTAGATCGCGGTGGTTCAATGCATTGTTTCGCTAACACTGACACAGTGTCGGCGGGGCTGAAGAGATTGCAGTCGTACGTACAGTGACTTCATTATCTGGCTCGCAGACCGCAGCGACCTCAAGCTCGACATCCACATCTGTAGCAGCAAACGGCGGGGTGAGTTTGGGTGGCGGAGATGTTGCCGGAATCGTGATCGGCTGTATTGCAGGCACATCTACCATACTATCTGGGATATGGTTCTTGCTGCGAAGTGATCCGGGTCTCTCTCCTCAGCTGGCTGAGAAAGCAGTGGCCACATTTGTCTTTCTAAGGGACAGAACGTCCCGTAGCACTGCCTCACCCGGCGGCTGAGCCAGAAGTAACATGAGAGTTGAGTACCGAGTGCTGTCAATGTATGCCCTCGAATTTGACACTACTAATGGACTTGGCCACATGTGAATTCCTCAAAGACCTGCGTGGGTAGTGTGGTGCAGTGGTATGTTTCTGGGACCGCGTACGGAAACGACCGTTGACGTCCTGGATATACTACCGCGCATACTGTATCGTACGTAGGTAACATCATGGGAAAGGATCATCCAGCGCTTGATTCCTGCAGCTACAAAAATTCATCAAGAACACAATCAGAAGAAGCTGACAACCCCGAAATGTGTGAATCGGCTTGTGGTTAAACTCGTTCCAGCGAAGAATGTAAATTACGAGGCTTGGTGCTATTCTAAGTTTCTAATGCTCTATTCTATTCTGCTCTAAGCAATGACCCTGTTTTCACGGGCGTAATCTTCACAAATTCCATGGGCTCCGGCAACTCATCCTGAGACCAACGCAGCATTCCATGCCTTAGCCAGTGGGCGTAAGTACCGGCGATATCATCGGAGCCCTGATGCGCCCTCCACAACGAACCCAGCGTGTCACCAAGCACTCGGATGATCATCCCGTGAGCCAGCTTGAAGCTGAAACTCCTCGAGAGGCACGCCTCGACAATCTCCCTGGCCAGCTTCTGGTCGTCGGTCTCGGGCTCGCCTGGCTCGGGCAGCTTCAGAGACATCAGTTCGAAAGCCCTGGGGCCGTCCCACGCGGTCATCTCGTTGATCAGCTGCGAGCCGACCATGTACTCCAACGCATAGATGTGCCGCGTCACATACTCCGGCCCATCCCAATTATCCTCCTCATCGACAGAGCTCAAGACCATGCGCATTACCTGGCCCTGAATGATGTAGTCCGTCAGATCCCTACTGTCCTGATCCGACAAACTTCGGCCTAGCAAGGGGAGGCCCCGCAGCAAGGGGCTCTCCCACATCCCCTCCGTGCTCGTCTTGCCGCCGTCCTCTGCCCAGAGTGCCAGGAGAAGCTTGTGGCAGCGCCGGAAGACGGGGCTGTCCCTTCGCGCGCACAGCAGGTAGTTTGTCAGGTCGTATTCATCGGGACCGCCCGCGTTGTTGCTGAGGATCTCCCAACGTGAGCCCGGGTCGCCCACCGTCACGTTCCAGAGCCGGTCCAGGTCGCCGATGGGCATCAGGCCTACATCCACATAGACTCCGCCGTACTTGAGGAGCAGAGGCCATCGCACGAGATCTGATGTGTGTTGCAGGGCGTATGTCCCTGTGATGGTCCCCTCACGGAATGCCTTGGGGAAGGTATCTGGGTCTTGCATGTCGAGGAAGTTGGCCACGTTACATGGTGAACCTTCTGCTCGGTCGACCACGCGTATTGTCCAGCCTTTTGGGGAGAAGCGGCGGTGGTAGGTGCGGACGGTGCGCTGTGTGTACGGGTGCATTGTGCTGTATCCCGAGTGCCAGAACAGCCAGATGTTCTTCTCTGAGGACGATGAGGGTGGTGGGGGGTTCAGCAGGGCGGCGTCAACTTCAGGGTCGGGCCTGAGATCCAACTCATGCTCCGGAATGGCGTGCACCCCTTTGGGCATCGAGTAGAGGTGGGACCCCATGTTCGTGGTGGTGGTTTCTGAGTGTTGGTTGAGATGAGTGATGACGTTTGTCATTGATGGGAACTGCCGTTAGGATCCAGGACCTTTGGAGGCTTGTTGAGGTCGGAGTCTGATGGTGGACATGAAAGGAAGCCTTTCGCAGTGGGAAGCACTCCCATTTTATTTTCATGGTGTCCCTCGACCCTGGGGATCGTGGCCGTGAGCTACATTGTTGTCAACTCGGCGCGTTCAGCTTCGATTGCCCGTTTGGGGCGGTGGATACGACGCTACAAGCCCCCGTTACTTTGGATGGATATGCCCCAGGCTTGCGCAGCGTCCTTAACCGCCGCTAGTAAGGGCTGTGCCCAAGGTCATTTCGACTCATAGCGGGTCCACCCTACTTTGTAGTCATCGAAGGTCATCAGGATTCATCCAGAGCATGCTAGCAGCTCGCACCCTTGCAACTTAAAAAAAAAAAAAAAAAAAAAAAGCACCATCCTCGCCTCTATATTGCCGGGCTTGTTGGAATACTCTTAATTTGCGTGTTTGTGTGCGAATAGTCATTGGACTAGGATCATCCAGGCACAGCATAAGCGCGGTGCTCACTGGCCGCAACACTTATATTGTCATTGTCTTGAGTAAGCAGTGCGGCTTATATCAGCTGCAAAGGATGACTGAAGTGATATCATTGATGATGGTCCGACAACATTCGTGTTAATTGCCCACCTAGTGACCGTTTGCTTGCATGAGGTCATCTCATTGTTCTCTTTTACTTGGGTTTGGTGAGGAAGTGCAGAAACTGTGTCCTAGCAGAGCAATTTTCTCTTTCCTATTTTCGTTAGATTACCATCGGCGTTTCCCGCCAAGACAAAGCTGGAATTATGATTGTGTGGCATGCTCCGGGAAGATTGGCTACTGTGTAAGTGAAGTTCAGCTGCACAACTGGAGTGAATCTACGCGCTTGGCTGGAGCTCCGACACGAGCCAGAAAGAAATACTCAAAACTAAGGTTTAAGTATTGAGACTTATTAAAGGGACTAAGTATGTTTTGGACGTGGCCGTCAGCGCCTCTACTTAGAAATGACACGGGAATAAAGCAATGGAATTATAGCATTAAGAGTAAGTGTATTATTAATTTCATAAAACGTAGTGCCTTGCATTCTTATATATGCTATCTAGTATACTTATTGCTAAATTTTTATAAAATAAGCCACACCCTTAATTCTTTATTATTAACATATCTTATGCTTTATAATAATTAAAGAAGAAATAAATGCAATAATGGCTTTTTAAGTATCTTATTGCTCTTTATAATAAATGCTTATTAAATACTTATAAGGTATTACTTAATTAATTAATATAGCATATTATATTTCACTTATATTTATTACTACTTATATTTAAGCTTTCTTAATGCAATCTTATAAGGGCTAAAGCTTTTTATTTAAGCATTTATATATATAAATATATAAATAATATAGCTAATAACTTATTATGTTGGTTGGGTTAACGTATGTTGGTTGATAGCAGACTGGTTGTATTTGAATCGGCTATATAGAAGGAAGGAGGGTTGCGGCCGTAGGCTGCAGAACCTCCCTCTGGCTATAAACTATCTGGGGTGGTCACGTGCTGCCGCACGTGACCCTTGCCTGCCGGTGCTCTAGTGCCAATTGCCCATAGTGCCTATTGCCCATAGTGCTGCTGTCCCCTTATGGCACGTCCATAACCACATATTATATAATAAACTTTTATATAATAACTTATTATAAGATAACCTTTTATAAAATACTCTTTTCTTAAATAACTACTTATAAGATTATCTTTACCTTAATATAAAATAACCTCTTATAAATAAATATATATACTATATAAATTAAAAATTACCATAAGGCTTTCAATAAATTAGCAATATACCACTAATTGCTTCCAAAGGGTTTCATTATATTCCATCCTTCCCATGTAATCCAAAGCCACCTATGTAGAACTAGTCTTATTTCACGCCAAGCTTGTGGAGCAGATCCACGAATGTGCTCGCCATCATGTTCGCTTAAGCACGGGCCGAAATGACACCTAGTCGAGCCACACTCGAAGAGACATGATGTGCAAAGGATCGTCGGTGTGAGGAGGAGGATCTATTCCGTGCGGGGTATTTACGGCAAATGTAACGCTAATGGAAGCTATGAATGGATGGTGAATTCACCGTGAATACGCTACGGTGCGGCTGTGAGTGGATATCCTTTTACCTGCTGGGCATGCGACCTCCGTATGCTAGTACCAATGTAGATCGGCGCCCTCGTCCTGCACTGCTTCCTTTTCTGGGGTGGAGATATCCTTGGAGCATATAAGAGTGCAAAAGCGAGCCGTTATGATGATTGCCATTATGCTTATATGGCTAAGAATTATAAGGAAATATTATAGTGGTGGTATATTCTTGTCCTTGTGATTAGCTTTATTATTAGCCTTATTGTTATTATTAAGGAGAATATTACCCTCCTTGCATGGGCATATATTATTTTGCTATTACTTAAAATATTTATTGCACTTTTAATAAGCTGTTATTACTTAATGGTCCTTATATTATATTCTTATAAAGTTACTTTTTAACTCTAGTTTTATAGAGCACTCTTTTTTACTCTTGGTATAGCAACGGTATTACTATAAAAAACTTGTTAAAAATGTTGGCGGGCCTGATGCTACCCGGCTGTCCGGTTGGTAACATGTATTTTGCCACCTGTAAGTTTATTCCTTTTACAGTTCCTCGTTTAGGCTTTATAGCAAGCTATTAACATGCATAAGGATTACATAACGTTATTTCCAACGTAGTTACACTTTGCAATAACTTAAAGATAGGTAAATACCATATATATTTATGCCGTTCATTCATGTCTTTCGCAGCGCTGATAAATCTAATAGTTAAAATTCTGCTTCAGGTCATGTTCCTTACTTATATTTACGGCACTATCATGAGTAGTTTCATTAATTACGCAGTGATGATCAGCATCGTGAATGGAAACCGCGATCTGCTCGTCAACAGCAACCGTAATTCTTCTTGGAGTGATGCTATCATGCAATCATACAATACCAACGCCACGTCGTAGGCGCTGGCCAACTACCTCTACGGATCTGGTGGCTTGTACTATATGGTGCCTGTCGGCCTGGCGGTTGGCGGTGGTCTTGTTATCGTCCATCGCATCTTTATGTTTGTAAGTCTGCCTTGGAACTCCCTCCATCACACAATATTGTAATCCACCAACTAATTCTATACAACCTCCAGTTCGTCCCCGAGATCAAGGGCTTCTCAACCTCGGAGCTCAACCTGCCACAGTTTATCCAGTACGCCGGCTACATCCCCTATAACGCCAGCCAGACCTGCGTCATCTTCAGCCAGGTCATCGCCGGCTTCTTCACCCAGTTCTACCTGCGCAACTACCGCCCGCGCATCTTCAGGGACTACTCGTACCTGGTCACCGGCGCCTTCGACGGCGCCAGTCTCGCCGTGCTCTTCATCCTGTCGTTTGCCGTCTTCGGCGCCGGCGGGCCGTCCAAGCCGTTCCCTACGTGGTGGGGCAACAACGCTGATGGCTACTATGATCTTTGCCCATCTTCTGAGTAGACTCTGAGAATTATGGGCTGGGATGCTTCGGAATGGTACATAGACTTGTGAGATGCGGACTTAGACTGGCGGGCTGTGGCAGAGCTCCCGAGCGTGAGAAATGCGGGTTGGGGATAGATTCTCCGGGCAGAGCATTGCAGCATCAAATGCAGTTTCTTTTGGCTCTCAAGGCCAACACAAGTTAGCGCAGCTGTGCCTTCTCTGGGTTGCCCGCAAGTAGGGCTGGTGTGTATGACGGCTCTTTCTCAGGCCTCTTGCCATACCCCAGGTTTTACTTGGCATGCCGGTGCTTTGGAATGCTTCGCGGTCATGCATATCCAATTAAGCCACGGCTTGGCGCACATGCGGAATTTGTTTTGATAGGTATACGTCCTCGCGTGCTGTTCACTTTCGCCCCCCTTTAGTTGATAGAGTTTCATCACAGCATTACTCATCTGTGTGACAGACGGTGCGACAGAAGTAAAGTCAGGAGGAAAACAAAGCTTTCATTTATATGCCGCGATGGTTAAGTCAGCCTTGTGCAAGCTGGCGGCTTGGCAAGCACTAAATTCCTCATTCTAGGCACCAGCTTCTCTCGGGTCGAATTGCAGGCAGGAGACCTCGAGTAGCGTCGGTGCTTGCTTGATCCTTCGCTGAACAGGCCTCCTTGCAGCCCTACTCCACCACGGATGTGGATGCCAAAGAGCACGACGTTGTCGTCGGTCGGGAGTCATTTCATCATTGCAGAGGACGGTGTGTCGGGACCTACAGAAAACCCCTGTTTAGCGTCAAAAGGATAAAATATCATTGGCTAGAATGATCAACGTCTTCTCGAACTATTGCTTGTTTTCTGGGCTCTGTGCCGCAGCCATGCGTCGAAATCATTTAAGCCTAGGCAGAAGTTCTCGAAGTGGTGCAGATGGTAACCGCATGGGGATGACGTGCTGCTAGCGCCTCCTGCAGGACCCTCCACACGAGAAACTACCCTTCCTGATTCGCCTCCCTTTGATGGGATAACGTGGAAATTGGTACTACTAGGTCGTTGAGGAATTTGGGCGGCAACATGGCAAGACGCGAAGGAATGAAATGAAATGGAAATATTTCCTCGTGCCCTTGCGAAATGGAGCCTTTCCACCACTCTCTTCTCCTCTTTTTCTTGTTTTTTACATTGTGAATCATTACAACCTTGGACGGCATCGAAATTTGCTCAACCACAAACACAAGTAAAATTGAAAATGAAGTCCTTTATCCCCGCCATTTTCCTAGGCCTGGCCAGCCTCGTCGCAGCCGACGCGACGCCAACAGACACCTCCATCCCAGCATCAACAGACGCGTCGTCCTTCCTCTCGGAGGTGTACGAGGGCGAGGCGACACCGACGTGGGCCACGGGCAAGTACGCAACAACACTAGCCTCGGCCCTCTACAGCGCGCAGACCTCGTTCGCCATGCGCTCAGACTACCGCGACATCGTCGAGGCCATCTGGTCGGCGGCCGAGCAGGACGGCGGCTCCAGCGTCGTCGAGTCGCTCAGCGCCTCCTACTGGAACTGGGGCGCCGTCACCACAAACGGCTGGTTCCGCGACAACGTGCCCGGGGCCCTGCAGACCGCCGTCGCCCAGTACGACGACACGTGGGAGAGCGTCTTCACCAGCGTCGAGGCCAAGGCCACCGGCACCAAGAACGCCGCCGCCCCGCGCTGCACCGGCATGGCCGTGGCCGGTGTCGCGGCGCTGGGTGTTGCTGCTGTTGCTGGGGCTATGTGAGAAGGGATCAGGGCAAATTCGAGGCGGATCATGCCCCCCTGTGCGGGTCTAATCTGCCTGTCATGTGTGGAAATGGGTACCTGGCCGTTGGAGTTTGATGGACACTTTGAGCTTTTACGACATGGATGAGATGCGAGCACGTCCGCAGATGAATGGCCCTTGTGTTTCTGGCCGTTGACTGGTTCTTATACCTACGCCAGCACGTTCAGTCACTACAGGTGTGAAGATTGGAAGCTGGTGTTATCACCCTGCACATAATTATGGATAGTGACGAAAGCCGAAAGGTCTATCCCTAATCAATACTACCCAATACATTCTACACATCACTTCAAGCATCACACACTATGGATTTCGAGCTAATGTGGATTCGAATGAGATATCAGGAACCTTGAATCGTAACCTGCCCACCTTGTTCTACTGTCGCTCGCACATGCGGTCGTCCTTGGATGACTCTCTATATAGCGGCCAGGTCTGCACTGTATGCACACCCGCACATATTGTTTGCACAATATTGAAGACGTGCATTCATAATGTGCTTAGAATCAATCAAGCAGCCATGTATATATGTCTGTTTTCTGTGGATATGTCCTCAGCTGTAAAACGGATTTATATACTGTCCCGTGGGCTGCTATTTCGTGATTCCGCAATTATGAGCCGACTCTGCTATGTGTTCAAATGAAAAAGCTCAAGTTTCATGTTCCTGCAGTTGTAACTTTCTGGAATCCCAACTCATCTGACAATTGTGTTTTACGGCTTTTCTGGCACGGCAAATTGGCCGAATGATAGTTCGATGCCTGCAACTCCGGACTAAGAGGGGGTTGATGCTTTTTCTCAAATCCTTCGCCATGCACAGATTTGCACTAAGACACGTAAGTGGCGGAATGTAGGGTTCTTGAGCTGAGTCCCACCAAGTGCTGATGCATCTCAGCTTGTCGCTCCCCGCATCACCCTCAAAAACATCCACTCGTGTATGTATTGAACAGGGTGACCGGCAACAGCCTGACTGCACATATCGACTCTCTTCAGCAACATGCGTGCCATCTTGTTCTTGCTGGCGTGCTCCCTGAGCAAAGTCGTTTCTCGGAAACCAAGCTCGGGTGGCACAAACGCCCCAACCAACTCTCCCGTTTCCTCCTGCAGATGTGTGAGTTTCCAATGCCACGCCTATCACCACGATTCTCCTACAGCTGACACAATAATTTGAATGGAAGGGACCTCGTGATGATTGTTGGCCGTCTTCTCAGTCTTGGGATCTTCTCAATGTGACAGTCGAGGGAGCCCTGGTCAAATCCGCCCCGATTGCTCAATCATGTTATCCTGGGGCCCTGTTCGATCCGGTGCAGTGCGGATATGTCACAGAAATGTGGCCAGATCAGGATTTCATGACCACAAAGCCCATCGGAAGGCCATATCCTTACAACATCACATGTGCGCCGGTCAATTATGCCAAAAATGATGTGCCAACAACGTGCACGCTTGGCATAAGTCCTCAGTACGCTGTCAACGCAACCAGTCTTGAGCAGATCAATTCGACCATGTTTTTCGCTCAGCAAAAGAACCTCCGATTGGTCGTAACAAGCACAGGGCACGACATGCTTGGTCGCTCGGACGGCTTTGGGAGTCTCGAAGTCTGGCTCCGGTACTTCAGGAACAAGCTAGAATTCCAGGACGTCTACTCCCCTGTCAACGGCTGCCAGAGGTCCAACTGGACTGGAAGTGCTATAGTCATAGACGGCGCGTACCAGTGGAAGAACGTATACGCATTTGCGAAGACCAAAAATGTCATTGTCGTCGGCGGAGGCGCGATCTCACCAGGGGCTATCGGTGGTTGGCCATCCGGCGGCGGCCACGGTCCAGCAACGCGGAATTACGGCATGGGAGCAGACCAGATCCTCGAGGCCCGAGTTCTGCTTGCCAATGGGAAGGTAGTAACTGCCAATCACTGTGAGCACAGAGAACTATTCACCGCGATCAGGGGTGGCGGGCCCGGGTATGGTATTGTTCTAGGTACCACCGTCAAAGCGCACCGGAATGTCGATGTTGTGACTGCTCACCATCTATACTTGGCGCCGATACTGAACACCTCCAACAGCTCCGACCTTCTCGACGCTGTGACCATTCTACTAGAGTCACTGCCTGACCTCAACGATGCGGGTTTCGCAGGTTATGGATTTTGGTCCAGCAGTTACCCTGGGCCGTTCATCGGCAACGCGACCTCTGGGTATTCGCATGGTTTTTGGACTATCGGTTTGAATCAGTCTGAAGCAGATGCTGCCTTCGCGCCCGTCAGAGGCAGGCTCCAAGCCTTCAACAAGACACTCTCTATCAGCGACGATTTCGCTTCCTATTCTGACTACTGGTCATTCTACGAGGCCGAGTCAGGACTGTACGACGCTGCAGGATCCTCTGCCATCTTGACTTCGAGGCTTATTAACCGCCGTGCCCTCGCAAATCACACCGCTGTTCGCGAGGTCGTTGAAGTTATCGCCGGCAAGCCAGAAGATTTCACCGTCAACGTGATCAATCTTGTCTCGGGCGGCCAGGTATTCGCGGATGCCGCCGACGAAACTTCTGGACTACATTCCGCGTGGCGCACCTCCAACTATTTTGTTACTGTCGGTCGGGGCGTTGCCTTAAATGCTTCTCATGCTGAACGCTACTCTGCCATGGACGACGTGACCTTTGTCAAAGGCGCTGCTTTGAAGAGGTTAGCACCGGACACAGGCGGGTATATGAACGAGGGAGACAGGAATGATCCAGACTGGAAGACAACGTTTTACGGGAATAAGTACGGGGAACACCTGGCTACCAAGAAAAAGTATGATCCATACAACACTTTCTACTGCGCTACTTGTGTAGGCAGTGAAGTGTTCATAGAGAGGCCAGACTCGCCTCTATGTCCTGCATGAACGGATATTGTTCTAGTTGTTTGACATCTGGAATCCCAATGAGATACTCGTGTGCTGTGATGATACATATGAAATACACAATACTTGTCTTACCTTAGTAGGGTTAACATTCCAAGCAAATTACACCGAGGACCACCTAGATATTGCTTGTTTGGTTACCCATTTATTTACTGTATCCCACTACTTATTATTTTCCTAATGCTTAGGTTCATTTCTCCTAGTTATGGTCACCTAACATCACTGCTTCCGATCTAAAACAATATGCTACTACCTGAGGGTCTACCGGTCTTGAAAATGAGAGCTCCGGCCGTCAGACATCTCATCCACACTCTTGTATGCTGTTTGGACTATGGCGCTGGTTGAGAAGGCCAAATAATGCCGCCCCAAAATAAGTACCTTGATTTAGGAAGGAGGCAAAGGCAAAGGCAAGAAAAATAAATAAAAGTCTTAGGCCCGTGTTAAATACGCTAGTAACCAGCCATCTTCCCGCATTGGAACAGGCTACGTACGACTCGTAAGACCAGAGCTCATGAACACGATCGTCCCCGGAGTTCTAAGATAACAGCTGACTCGTGCAGGATGAACATGTTCGAGGACAAGGTCGACACGTGGGGACCTTGCCTATCCTGCACCTGGGTAGCATTCGTCTGAAACCAGCCACTTTCTGCCTTGGTCTCCATGCACGCGGCCTATCAGACACTCCCAATGCTGTCGGCGAGCACCACAGTCCTTGACTATGGGTAGGCTACCCGACTGTTTTTTGGCGTCTCATGTACTCGGCCCGAAACTTATTGCTTTGGGCCCACAGCTTCTTTAAATGAGTCCCTCCTTCAGCTGTTGTGGTGGCTCATTATCATGCTCCGCACATGGTTGCCCAGGTAGAGAGTCGTCTATTCCCTCGGGACCTCCACACCCCTCCCCATGTCGGAAATCTAACACCGGCCGTGTTATATAAGTGTCGAAATTCTGTAAGACTGCTCACCTTCCAAGGCGATGTGCTGGCAGATTGCCGGCAGAATCTAGCTGTCATCAGAGGCGTCACTACATCATGACAGCAGCAATGATCAAACACATTCATGGTACTGTCCTTTCATCCGTTATCAGGGGCATAATTTTGTACCGCCTACGAAAAATTCATACCGACGCCAAGTACCAATACCGGTCAAACACTCCGAGATGGCAACACCGATAGGACAGGATCTAAGTGATAACCTTGTCTTGGCGCGATGATGCAAGGCTTGGTACTCTTTGCAACACCACACCATGATCTAAGCATGCATCTCATAGAACTATAAATCCTGCAGAGCTTAGTTTTTTCTGTCGAATGGTAGCATTCATCTAGGCCGCCGGTGCGACGTTCTTTTTATTGGAGTCAACCCGTCGTACCATTCATTCTTCCGAACCCAAATCTCGGCAGTACACCAGCACCGCCGCCACGATGAAGGACCGCGGAGATGCAGCAGAGCGGTCTGTCACATTGGACCCTGAAAAGATCAATGCGACGGCTGATCCCGCCGCCGAAACTGATGCTCAGAGTGCTGACGACCTCGACGGGCCCAACTCGCGACACCATGTTTTCTCCGATCCGCTCGCTGCGGAGCACTGGCGCAACATCTATGAGAAAGCCGGGTATGAAAACAGACACCGCTTTGACCCGGAGTTCACGTGGACTGCCGAAGATGAGCGGAAACTCGTCAGGAAGGTTGATCTGAGGATTATGACATGGGCTGTAAGTGGCATTCAGTCAACCACCTGGGTACCATACAGTGCCTTTTTTGGTGTTTGAGACAACGGATGAACAGTCCAAGGTAAACTTTTGGCATGTGTACTGACTTGCAAGATTGAAGTGGATCATGTTTTGTGCTCTCGATATGCATCGGAGAAACATTAACAGGGCCATTTCAGACAACATGTTAGAGGAGCTGGGTAAGTTGCTCTCGCGCAACTCAGGTTGCATTCTTGCCTCACTTGGCTAACATAGTCTGCGCACAGGCATGGACACAAATGATTTCAACTATGGACAGACTATCTTCCTCGCGTCTTTCCTCTCGGCGGAGCTGCCGAGCGGCCTTATAAGCAAAAAACTCGGTGCTGACCGATGGATACCTTCTATCATTATTGGCTGGTCTATTGTCGCGGGCTCACAAGCGTTCCTCACAAATCGCGCCGGGTTCTATGCCATCAAAGCTCTTCTTGGCTTGCTTATGGGAGGGTTTATTCCAGGTTAGTTGGCAAATTTTCCCTGGCATCTCCTAAAAATGTCCCTTTACCATGTCTCTCGTTTTCGAGACAGACCTGCTTCGGCTGGCATAGATTTGAAGTCAACATGTGTTCCATGTGCGCCTCCTTCAATGCCGGCAAATGCTAACCGAAGCCCACTGAACAGACATTGTGTTGTACCTCACTTATTTCTACAAATCTAATGAGCTGCCCACCCGTCTGGCTTGGTTTGTAAGTACTCCGATTTTGCCTTGCTCTTAATAACCTCAGGCTGACACCAATGATCCAAAGTGGACTGCCCTCAGTACTGTGAACGTTGTGGGCTCTTTGCTTGCAGCAGGCGTTCTTCAGATGAGAGGCATCAACGGCTGGTCGGGCTGGCAATGGCTCTTCCTCCTCGAAGGTATTCTCACGCTCATCGTGGGCCTCTTCTCTTTCGGTCTCATGCCCCCGGGCCCTTGTCAAACTCGCAACTGGTTCCGCGGCTCCAAGGGATGGTTCGACGAGCGAGAAGAGAAGATCATGGTCAACCGCTTGCTCCGGGACGACCCGAGCAAAGGTGATATGAACAACCGTCAAGCTGTTGGGCCCAAGCTACTGTGGAAGGCTATCCAAGACTGGGAGCAGTGGCCGCTCTACCTTGTAGGCCTCACGACCTACATCCCGCCGAGTCCTCCACAGAACTACCTGTCTCTTATCCTGCGGCAACTCGGCTTCTCTGTATTCCAGGCCAACCTGCTTGTCATTCCGTCGCAGGTTGTCTTCGCACTGAACCTCTTGTTCGTCACTTGGGTCTCGAAAAGGCTCAAAGAACGGGCGATCGTATCCTCCTTCGCCAACATCTGGATCTTTCCCTGGATTCTGGCTTTGGTGGTCCTCCCTGCGTCTGCATCGCCATGGGTTCGCTACGGTATACTCACCGCTCTGCTCTCATATCCTTACTGCCACGCCATCTTGGTGGGTTGGAACGCGAAGAACAGCAACGCTGTGCGTACCCGAGCTGTTTCTGCAGCTTTGTACAACATGTTCGTTCAGTCTGGAAACATCATCGCATCCAACATCTATAGAGATGACGACAAGCCACTCTACAAGCGAGGCAACAGCATTCTTCTGGGCATAACATGTTTCAACATTGTCTTGATGTACCTCGTCAAGGCGTTTTACATCTGGCGGAACCGTGTCCGCGATCGAAAGTGGAACGCCATGTCGACTGAGGAGCAGGAACAGTATCTCATCAACACCAAGGATGAGGGGCAGCAGAGGCTTGATTTCCGTTTTGCGCATTAGACGGCAAACTGGTGATGCCGGGCCAGAAGCGATTTTGAAGCTTCAAAATATGACCTCAGCCTCCATGTACATCAGATAGATTGAACCAACATATTCGTACTTAGCTTTCATCAGCAACAGAGATCTTGCAATAAATCCTGATTCGCGTAACCTTGTGTTGCAACACTGAACGTGCCAGATTCGCGAAGTGATCGATATGCTCCGATGAATAATTATGGTCAGCTTTCTTGTTGCAGACTATCAGACACAACGAAGACTCGTTCACGTAGGTGGCGAAGTCTGAGTCTGTCGTTCTTGTACAGCAGACATTGAGAGCGAGCGTATTGACTTGTAGGTACGATGTTCACCTTCGCTAGCAACCTCGTCGTCTAGTCAGTGACGAGGCAGACTTTTACCAACGGGATGACCAACGGGATGAAGCACAAGCGGTGAGTAAACCTGGATTGTGACTGTCCAACACAATGGTCAGTCACCCATTTCAGATCTGTTTTCTTTTTTCTATTCATCTCATGCCAATTTCACCCTGCGGATAGTGCAGACGCCGAAGTATAAATCAGCTTTTGTAATCAACGAGCTCCGAGAGACATGATATCAGACACGGCAAAATTACAGCCAAGCATTCAACACTCCAGATACTCACTTACTCAAATACTCGAAGTCCATCCAGACTGTCTCTCCCCGGACGCTCGCATTATTCAAACTCAGGCATGGACTGGGATTTTGCAGCTGCAACGATGCTCGTTATCGACGTTATACTCGTTGCATCGTACGTGTTATGGCTCTATATGATGAAACGCCTTTTCCGTGGACAATTTGACACGAGCACACGCGGATAAGGGCCACCACGTCAGTCTGTTGTTTTCCTTTGCTACGAAAGATCGTCGTCGCTCTCTGAGACTGCGGGTAGCATCGACCCGAGAAGGAGGCGCAATCTTCCCCGCAGCCGAAATCCGGATCTTCGATATCTCCGACATTCGTTTTCAGGAAAGCTGGTTTGAGTTCCGATTCTGCCAAAATTTTGATCTCATAACCTATTCAATTCAACATCATCTTGTACTCAACGGATCAGGATGCCTTGTACGATCGTCCGTAACTCGACCGGTGGGGGGAATGATGGGGCTCAGAGCACAGTCAAGGCTGCCAACACCTTCACTGGCGATGTCTGGTGAGTCCAATCAACGCGGTTGCATGATGATGTCAAGGCCCCTCAACAAACAAATCTGGCTATCCGCCCCCGAACAATCATTCTTGGGCCACATGCAAAACAAGTACTGACCAGCGTCTTTCAGGATGGACAAGCTCGCGGGCCCCGTGGACGGCATAATGTGCAATCATGTCACCTTCCTTCCCGGTGCTAGGACTTACTGGCACCACCACGAAAACGGGCAGATACTCGAGGTCAAAGCTGGAAGTGGGTGGGTGTGCGATAAAGGCGGGAAGCCTCAGCGCATCAGCGCGGGCGATATCGTTCAGTGCCCGGCTAAGACAGTTCATTGGCATGGCGCCGACGACGGCAGTATGATGATGCATCTCGCAATTAGTCTTGGAAAGACCACTTGGATGGAGGAGGTCAGTCAGGAGGAATATGGAGCGAAGAGTGGTTAGCGGCACGGAATGTCAGCAATTTCAAAGCCCCTTTCTTTCGAGTAATATCTCGACACGGAGGTTGAAGCTGGAAGACCAAAGACCTCTCTTTCCGTTTGTTTCCCCTTCTCCTGACATGACCACGACAAGTATGAGGCGACATCGCCGTATTTTGAGAGCAACCCCTCACGGTAGCGCATTTCAGTGCAGCAAGTATACGAGTGAAGCTTGCTGCCCGGTCAGGCATTGCGTATCAGAAAGAGCGGACAGAGAGAGAACGAGGGCAAGATGTCCGCGGACGCAGATCTGAAGCTGAGCATTCTTCCCAAAGTGATTTCATCATGAGCTTAGCAAACTGTTGTGCCATCCTCCGGCAAAGACATATCCTGTGATTGCAATCTGAAAGCTGCTTGTAATTACATCGCTTGTGGACACCAATTCGAGCCAAACAAACCAGGTCCTAGCCACTAAATCGCGGCCTCCTTTTGACAAAATAGACGACGTCGACCTGTAGCTAATAAGTTGCTCCCTTACTGGGAGATAAAAAGCGCTGGACTCAGTCCTTCCACCGTCTTCTCATGTTTATCAACTTCAACTTTGTCCGTATCATTTCTGATCCAGCAATTGGTTCATCGCGGCGAGGTTCCTCCTCGGTCATGGCGCTGGCGTCGTCTACGAGAATCAAAGGCGACCTCCACCCACGGTCCGCCTCAGGGATGTCCTCGTCCATCCTGTCCTTCAGGGGGTTCTGTTCTCGCCATTCTTCCTCTTTTTTGGCCCATCTCTCAACCTTATTCCTTGACACCTCGCGCTCACGCCTGCAAAGCCGGCACGGCACGGCTTTCACTGCCCATGTGCCAGACCACTCCTCACGACGATACCGGCAATTACTTGGTCGTGCCCGATGACGTTTTGCCCACCCGCAGACGGAACCTTCTGGTGCGGATGGTATAGAGATCATGTGCTCATTATCAAAGTGGCAATCGGGGCAAAATAACTTGTCGAATTTGAAAGTGCACATTGTGGCTGGCGAGCTGCGAGGTTCTTATTGAGTTTGAGGTACCCAGTGCCGTGGTTCTGGAATTTCTAGTCAATGCTGAATGATAATGATCTATGGTGAATTGAAGCTCCAAGGAGTGATGACCTGTTTGTCCGAGACTGTGGTTTGTTGCCTCAGGGGGTGTGTCAACTTCCAATCGTCAGGGCACACAGTGTTTTCCTTGTACCTTCCCACTGGCGTTGTTGGCAGCTACTCACTCAGACCCTACTGGCTCGGTTTGTTTCCTTCACTATTGTGCGTCGCTACTGCTCGCCGCCAATGGCCTGCCTCTTTGCAGAACGATGAGACGCACTTGCCCTCGCCGGAAAGACAACGACAGGTGCATGCTCACTGGCAAGCAAAGCAATATCCGTGGAAAAGAATACCATGTTGACGTTGGAGTCTGCAGCGCTGCTTCTGTGGCCTGATGCTGACATCATTGAAGTGCTTCCACGCTGCCCATGCCGTTATTCCCTATTTTTCGCAAAAGAGTAGATTGGTGGCTGATGAGGAAAAATGCATATTGAAGTTGTTCTTGACAGGCGCGAGGCGAAGTCATGGAATTGGCTTAATTAGGATTTTGATTTTCCACTACATTCGGAAGACGCCAAACTTCGTGTCGCCAGCTCTAACTTCGTTTCGGCCGGACATGGCAGCCCGCAAGCCCAGTCCTAGATATGGCCTCGTCTGTTGTGGAGGAATGACACCATCGTCCTGTTTATAGAAGTTCAGGTCAGCGTCAGAATATTTGCAATATGGGACAGCAATTGGTAGCTGGGAGGTGACTCACCCATAACCTCGCGCTCGAGTAGACAGCGTCACTCTCCTTCTCGATCCTCTCCTTCAGGCCCGTATCCACGGTCTTCCCCACTGTCTCCATCACTGCTGCCAGCTGTTCACCGCCCATGACACCAATCCTGGCATTGGGCCACATCCACAGGAACCTCGGTGAATATGCCCTCCCACACATGCCGTAGTTGCCAGCACCATAGCTGCCGCCAACCACGACTGTAAACTTGGGTACGTCGGCGCAAGCCACTGCGGTAACAAGCTTTGCGCCATTCTTCGCGATGCCTTCCCTCTCCGCGTCGGTGCCGACCATGAATCCGCTGATGTTCTGAAGGAAGACGAGCGGGATGCCCCGCTGACTACACAGCTCGATAAAGTGAGCCCCTTTCAGGGCAGAAGAGGAAAACAGAATACCGTTGTTGGCAACGATGCCAACCTGTTGACCGTAGATGTGCGCGAACCCTGTCACCAGCGTGGTCCCGTAGTCGCGCTTGAACTCTGCAAAGGCGGAGCCGTCGACAACCCTGGCTATCACCTCGTGAATTGGCAGGGGCTTCCGGAGATTGGTGGATGCTATGCCCAAAAGCTCTGTCGGGGAGTAGAGAGGCTCGAGAAATGATTCCCTTTGTCGTGGCAGGTCTGTCTTATGAGGCCAGTTCAGATTCCTTATGCACCGCCTCGCCAGCACGATGGCATGTGCATCGTCCACTGCCAGGTAGTCGGTCACACCCGAGACGCTCGAGTGCATCTTGCCTCCGCCCAACTCTTCTGCGCTGACCGACTCTCCCGTGGCGGCTTTGACCAAGGGCGGGCCTGCGAGGAAGATGTGTCCCTGCTCCTGTACAATGATGCTCTCGTCGGACATGGCCGGGACGTAGGCGCCTCCTGCTGTACATGGTCCCATGACGACGGATATTTGCGGGATCCCGGCCGCAGACATGCGTGCCTGGTTGTAGAAGATGCGGCCGAAATGATCGCGGTCTGGGAAGACATCGGACTGGTGAGGCAGGTTTGCACCACCGGAGTCCACGAGGTAAATACATCTGTGTGACGCCACAAAGTCAGAATGAGCTCGAGATCAAATCGCATGAATTTCCTGCACCGGAAGGAACAGATGGGAAGAGAGGGCCAGGCTCTTACGGTAACTTGTTTTCCTGGGCAACAGCCTGCGCCCTCAGATGCTTTTTCACGGTGATAGGATAGTATGTACCACCCTTCACAGTGCTGTCATTGGCAACAATAACGCATGTGACACCCTCCACGGCACCCACGCATGTGATGATGCCTGCGGCGGGTACCTCGGCCTCCGGGTACAGCTCATGGCCAGCCAGTCCGCCCAGCTCCATGAACGTGGTGCCCGGGTCCACCAGCGCCGTGACCCTGTCTCGGGGCAGCATCTTCTTCCTCGCCAGATGCTTCTCCCTTGCCTTTTCCGGCCCGCCCTGCTGGACCTTGCGCGTGAGCTCGGTCAGGCGCGCCATGGCCTCGTCCATGGCCAGCTTGTTCTCCTTGAACTCATCGCTGCTCGTGTCTATTGCGGACTGGATCGTGGAGATCGCCTGTGCCTGATACGGAGGCGTGAAGGTGGCGATGCCTCGCTTGCTCCCGTTCCCCGTGGGGAGTATGGGGACGGCGGGTCGGCGCTGGCATGGGAGTCCCGGGCGAGGACGAGGGTGGATCTGGATCTGAATCCGGGGTGATGGGCGGGCCAATCGAGGGATCAGGCCTGGTCCTGAGCTCCGAATTGACGACATCGTGCTCGAGAGGTGCTGCAGGCTGGTGATCTCTCTGCAAAGAAGGCGGGATCACGTTCGCTACAACAGCATCGAGGACGGGGATGGGCAAGGGAGAAGCGAGGGACAATTCCTAGATACTTTGCAGTGTGACGTTGAGGTCGACCTTCCCTGGACCTTGGTGCCTCGGCCCGCGTTTAAGCGATCTCAACCGCAATTGGAATCCGGGGACTACCTGCGATCTTGGGCCGAAGCAATGCGATGGCCAACAACAATAACCGCCTGTGAGCTCTTGGAACACGCAACACTTTCCTTGTCATGGAGCGTAACACAGCTTGATTTTCTCATTCTTCCGTCGACCTGCCATTCCTAAGCAACCATGTCGAGCACGAGAGTACTTGGCCGCCTGGCCCGATCAGCGCGAACCCTTCCCAAGGCTTCCTCGCCAGCAACCCTAGCTATCCGCAACAGAGCAGCAGCAGTACCCGAATACCGACGATGGGCATCGACCTCCAAGCACCCGCAGGGCTTCGTCGCCCCCACGCAAGCCGACCTCGAGGAGCTGCGCGAGCGCGTCCAGGAGTTCACCAGGCGCGAGATCAGCCCCGAGGTGGCGGCCGCAACTGACCAGAGCAACGCCTTCCCTCCCGAGATGTGGGGGAAGCTGGGCGAGGCAGGGTTCCTGGGGATCACGGCAGACGAGGACGTCGGCGGGCTGGCACTGGGATACCAGGCACACTGCATCGTCATGGAGGAGCTGAGCCGCGCCTCCGGGTCCATCGCGCTGTCCTACGCGGCGCACAGCCAGCTGTGCGTCAACCAGCTGCAGCTGAACGGCTCGCCGGACCAGAAGGCCAGGTACCTCCCGGGCCTGATAGCCGGCGAGAAGGTCGGCGCGCTGGCCATGAGCGAGAGCAGCGCCGGCTCGGACGTGGTCTCCATGCGGACCACGGCCAAGAAGGTGGACGGGGGCTATGTCCTCAACGGCTCCAAGATGTGGATCACGAACGGGCCTGACGCGGACTACATCGTCGTGTACGCCAAGACGGAGCCTGATGCGGGGAGCAAGGGCATCACGGCCTTCATCGTCGAGACGAGTGGGGCAGAGGGCTTTGCGTGCGCGCGCAAGCTCGACAAGATGGGCATGAGGGGCAGCAACACGGGCGAGCTGGTCTTCGACAACGTCTTTGTGCCCGAGGCCAACGTCCTCGGCAAGATCAACGGCGGCGTGCGCGTGTTGATGGAGGGCCTCGACCTGGAAAGACTCGTGCTCAGCGCGGGGCCCTTGGGCCTGATGCAAGCGGCGCTCGACGTGGCACTGCCGTTTGCGCACGCGCGGAAGCAGTTCGGCCAGCCCATTGGCACGTTCCAAGCGATCCACGGCAAGCTGGCCGACATGTACACCAAGCTACAGGTCAGCAAGGCTTACACGTACGCCACTGCGAGGGCTGTCGACGAGGAAGGCATTATCAAGACGCAGGACTGTGCCGGTGCGATACTGTACGCTGCTGAAAGGGCTACGGAATGTGGTCTGGATTGCATACAGGTGCTTGGCGGTATGGGCTACGTGGAAGAGATGCCGGCCTCCAGGATACTGAGAGAGTAAGTGTTGCCCACCGCTCGCTTCCTGACGCCCCCCCCCCCTTCCCAGCCATTGTGAGCGCTCGTGCTGACCTGCATGCCGCAGTGCAAAACTATACGAGATTGGCGCTGGTACATCTGAGGTGAGGCGCATGGTCATCGGCCGTGTTTTCAACAAGGAGTACGCAAGTTACTCGGTGTGAGTGACGTGGTATTGGTTGCGGTAAAAGTAAGAATTGATTCATGTATCAGCATGCACGGCGTTTAGGCGGGTTTGCGTTTCCTTCGGGCTATTGTGTAGTGACGGCCAGAAATCAAAACCCAGGCAGTCATTCAATTTTCTGAATATGGCTTCACGTGATATTGCCCGAGCAGGTGGTCACCCTCGACATACATGACCCCTCAGCATCGTCAGTGGTGTTTTACATTCCCCCAATCCAGCTCTATGTCGGCAGATCCATACTGTCATAATTATTGCGATTGTTGACTTCTGCAGCATGAACATATTTCTGCCGGCCAAGGTGGACTGATGCCAAGGTAAATGCGGGAGGGTTGCATGAAGCCACAAGAGGGACTGCCCATTCAGACGGAAGAGTGCATCTAGTGCGCATCTGATTATGAGCTCAGTGACGGTCAACGTGGATTTCGTGGCGAGGTCAAAGGTCGAATGAATCCCTAATGTCACTTGAGAGGTTCGAGTTCGTGCCCGCTTCCAGCATGGTTGCTTGGCGCCGACATATTTTCCATATCACCCAGGCTCTGCTGTGCGTAAAAGATACTCGTTTTTGTGGATCGTCTCTGAACTAGAGACTGGCTGTTGCATGATGCAGGAGTATGGGCCCTGACCGTGGTGCTCTGCACCCGTTATTGCTCGGTAATCCCCCCGGTCAAACCTCGCCTCCAGTACTAAATAACCTCTTTACTTTTGGTTCATGATTTGGACAAACTCGTTGACTATATCCAGGTTAGTCCCAAGCCTGCACAAGCATTCTTCTGCACTTACAATCTATGGTACCGCTCCCATCCGAGTCAGCAAAGTGAAGCATCTCGTCGATCTCAGCCTCAGTAAGGCTCTCGCCGATCGACTTCATGACCTGTCTGAGCTCATCCTTGGAAATGGTGCCGGTGTTATCGCGATCGAAGACCTGGAGCTCGTGGTCAGCCATGTTGCCCGTCAGGGCTTGCAGCCATGCCATGAAAAGCCCACCTTGAACGCCTCTCGGAGCTCCTGCTCTGGGTCCACATCCTGGACTTTGTGTGACATCAGGGCCAAGAACTCTGCACACCATCTGTTAGTAAATAGCCGGAGTGTATTTCACATTGGAATGGGGCTACATACCCTTGAAGTCAATAGTGCCGTTCTTGTCGACATCGACCTCGTCGACCATATCTTGGAGCTCGCCATCGGTGGGGTTCAGACCGAGGGAGCGCATGATTGTCCCGAGCTCATCCTTGGTGATCTCGCCTGTGAAACACGCCTGGTCAGCTCACGTACAATACGTTCGTTGCATGCATACACGGAGAATATGTTGGTGTTGTCCACCAGGTCTGAGATAGCCGCCAGAGACTGACCATTGCCATCCTTGTCCTAGAGTAAGGACAGATAAACCAAACCGTCAGTAAAAAAGCACACCTTGGCAGTAAGTGCGAGAGGGGTTGACTTGGGCGTGGTACTAACAAAAACCAAGAAAGCTTCCTTGAAGCTTTCGATCTGCTCCTCAGAGAGCTGCCCCTGGTCGGCCTGTGATCGGACGATGTGGTCAGTCAAGCAGCTGGGCCAGCGCAGAGCCTCAGGCGGGGTAAGAGGCAGGGCGTGCCGAGGCCTATGCTGGGGGGGTCACCACCAACCATGGTCAGTCTAGTTAATGTGTGTTGCCGGAAGTGGAAGAAGGAGGCTGTGCTGGAGCTTCAGGGAGGTATGCAGGAGACGGAGGCTGCTTGTATGTAAGGGAGGTATCTGGCCGTTGAGTCCGTCGAAAGAAGCTTGTCAACTATGCTGGCAGGCTGAGTGGGGTTTCCCTCACCCCACCCCATAAATAGTACGTCAAAAGTGGGCATCCCTGTTTCAGGGTGCTCCCGCTCATTCGTTCTCGCTTGGTCCTGGCCAGCCCACCGAAGCGGTCTCGGGATGTTGTCCGTTAGTGCTGTGCGCGCGACTGTGTGCACTCACAAACTCACTTTAACCCGTGTACAACCCGGCCAGAACACAAATACTCCCCAGATCTCAGGAATTCGTCATCTGAGCCGCACCGTCGACAGCATCGCATCACCAACATGTCTCGCCTTTGTGCGTGCAATACGCACAAGGAGAGATGTTCCACCTTGTAATTTATTTCCGAGTCCCAACCAACTCGTGCATCCTCCCAAAACGTCGTCAATGTGTTACAGCGAAAGACCCAGACGGGCTCCAATCAGGGGACTCTTGACGCGCCACCACTTGAAGGTGTCCGTTGAGCCATTCACATGTAGTTGTGCATGAGGATGTGATGAAGTCCATCCCTTGCACTACGTACGAATCTCAGCAATTCCACTCGCTTCGCGGTCAGGACTCGCAAGGCAGGTTTCTGGTCACGGTTCACGGCCCCTTCATCTTCATGGGTGAAATGAGTCGGTCGCACTGCTTTCAAGTGAAGACAGAGAGTTACCGAGGACCTCTTTTGCTCTTCTAAACTACTTCTACCGTATCTCCTTTTTGTACAGTGTTTCCACTACTCTTGTATGGCGGAACACCTGATTGAGCGTGCCCACATTGCAACTCTGCTACCTACCTAAGTACAGCCTGCCAACAGAGAAAGCTGAGATGCGTCCCATGACACAGTATACCCGCTTCCAAAGGTTCATTACGCACTCCGGATGAGGTATCTTCTTCAGTCTTGCGCAATGATGTTGTCAAATGTGCGGTTTCCGCAGTTGGGATGGCGGCATCTGAACGAGGTTGCATGCGTGCCCGGGTGTACCACTGGTGGTTGACCAGCATCTACTGGCTCTTACTGCAGAAAGTTTCATATAGTTTGAGATGAGATGCGCGTGGATGACCATATAGCATTTCTTTATCCGATTCTGACATGTTTCTTTCTGCCTGTTTCCTGATACCAACCACAAATTATCTTACAGTATTTCTCGCCCATTACATGTTCCCCTGCATAAAATGAAGGATATCTCTCAGCCTAAACATTACCTCATACCTCCTCCTGTGCTGGAAAACCTTCATGATATCTGTCACCCACTTCTTGCCGTCCTCCTGGGCGAGCCGTTTGTGGTCACCAGACCCCAGACAACCCCAGAAGCATTTGCAGAACGCGTCATCCAGCTTCTCCAGTTTGCTCAAGCTGTCTGCGCTGCCGTCAACATCGTATAGCTCAGCCTTGGTCATCATGAAGCCCTTCATCGCCGACATGGCCCACTTAGTGTCCAACCAGCGCTCCAGGTCATCGTCCTGCTTCTCGGCAAAAGCCTTCCTCGCCTTCGATTTTAGGTTGGCCATGCGGTCGGTTGGTGCCTGGTTAGCAGCATTGAAGAGCTGGCGCAGGAGCCTCAGCTCGCGGAAGCACCGCCTGGCGGCCTCCTCGTCGAGGAGGTCGAAGAAAAAGCACCACCGGTCCGTGATCTCCTCCGGGGAGCGCGCCGTCATGGCCGGCCGCTTGATCACCTTGTTCTCTGTCGATGCTTTCGGGGCTTCGGGTGGCTCGAAGCTCTCCTCCAGGCGGGCCGCGATGCTGTCGTACCCCGGCCTTCTCCTCTGAGGACCGCGGTGGCGCGACAGTCTCCTGGATCTTGTCGCACATATCCAAAATCTCCCAGACCATGGCCGCGTGCCGGGGTGCAACCTGTGCTGCCTCCCTGAGCTGCTTCACCCACTGCTTGTCGAAGGCCAGCCTCTCCTGTTCGGCCTCGGAGAGCACGACCCAGCAGTCACGGATGCCGAACCCGTCCTGGCCAGGAAGTCCAACGTCTCCTGATGGGCTGAATCGCCCCTTTGTGGAGAGAAGAATCTTGAGCTTTTCGGCCATGGTGCCCATGAGGTGAGTGACACTCTCCCATCGCTGCTCTTCGTTGCGCAGAGTGAGTGCGAGGCACAGCGCGAATTTCCCAGTCTCGTGGCCTAGATACTCCTCTGCCTGCCTCTTCAGCTCATCCGCGCTGAGGAACTCGTCCGCGTAATCAGCTTGCTCAAGCTTGTCAATGCTCTCCTTGGTGTCTTTGAGGTTCGCCTTGCAAATCTTCCTGATGGTGTCTACTGAGATCTTCTCCTTTCTCTTCGGTGGGCCCTGTTGTGTGTCGTGTGCCTTCTTGGTGGATAAGACACTCAGGCGGCGCTTCAAAGATGGAGCAGAAGCGGTGTCCCTGTTGGGAGACGGTGCTCTCCTGGCTGAAGATTCGTTGATACTCGAAAGTAGCGAAGAGATGCTAATCTGGTCCAATACTCCGGTTGGTTGCTGGTAGAGAACATCACCATGCTGCTGCAGAGCCCCTGAGCGACCGAGCTGGCCGCCGTGAATATTTTGACCTAGCTCAATCAGTCCCTGAGCAACATCCGGGTGCTTCATAGCCGCTGCAACCAAGAGCCGAACAAGATCGGGGTGCAGGTTGGCTTTGGGGTCGAAAGCCTGGATTGCTTCCGTGGCGGCAGACTGCGGGTTGTCGAGCAGGCGTAATGCCCTAATGGCAAAAACGAGCGAATCATCGCCCTCGTCTGCCTCATCGTGACACTCTTCGGAAGAGGGTTTTCGAGGCAGAGTCTCTGTAGCGTCTGTGGCGACGGAGTCGTTGGTGAGAATTGAAGCAACAGTTGCCATCGAGTCAGGCCGGTCTGCCGTCGGCAGCGACGTTGGCAGCTTCTCAAAGATTGCTGCCATGGTGCTTGTCATAAATATGGTCAAGCAAGTTGTGTCTTGGAGTTGGGGTATGGGAGCACAGCTCTGTCAAGACTATGCAGCAGATTGGGACGAAAGCAGGTGTTTCTAAGGAAAGAGACGACAAGATGGCCTTTTGAGCCGGTGCAGCAGGTCAGTCGACATGGTCGGCAATGAATAATGCCATTCCACGCAAGTCCATCATAGTGAAACGCCTCTGTGGGCGTCTCTTGTCTTGGGCCGCGCTCGACGTTGCTTGATTCGAGGGAAGGGTGTGTGAGGGTTCACTTGGCACAGGTGGTATGTGGAAGCGATCAACGTCTAAAATTAGGGTTAGGACGCTTTTCTCCTGGATTGAACAGTATCAGAACCAGGTCACTAGGAAACAGCCGACTGTTGCAAGATGCAGACCACGCCAGCACGGACAGCTTCTGGAACTGTTGTTCGCTGGTCCCCCAGTGCCAGCCATCGGAGTGTTGCATCGCCAAGAAATGCCAAATGTTTCGAATGCTAAGCAGAAACACTTTGGGCGAGGACCCCTGATGCAGCCAACGACAGTAAACCATCTCTACAACAACATCAGATGGTGGCAACCAGTTGTGAGAAATCACCGTAGAGCTGGGACAGCAGCCAAAAACAAATGTCGCGTACCTAGTCAATACGCGCTTGTCCCGAGGCGTGTTTTTCCTTCTCCCTTGGGGGGGGTTTTGAGGGGTTGTCAGCTGAGAATCGATCGATCACACGGCGATCAATTAATTCCGATACTATAGTCTTCAGCATAGTCGTCGTCTTCATAACCCTGGGCTCGCGTAGGTCGATTTCCTTGGGCTTGCTATCGTTACTCCAGAATGCCGAACATACACAGACATGTACAGGGAACCAAATGCCCCGGTATGCCGTACTTTCGGGAATGATATTGTCCAAAGCGCTGGACCTGCGATGCACTCTCCTGCAACAGGCAACCAGTGGGGCGAACATGTAACGCCGAGATTCGATTTTTCGAGTTTACATACCTTCATCACAAGCCCGGCTCGGACATTGTTCCACTTGTAGGCGTCACGTCGCCTTCTTTAGATTCGGACCTTCCTCCGTGGACTCTATGCTGGCTACGGTAATTCCAAATTTACCCTGCAATCGTTCACCTCAACCATTGCACTCACTGGATGTTTCCTTGTCGAGGTGATGTCGTCTAGGGGTAAGCGTACAAAGGCAGAGTGTCGGAGAGCGCCATTTTCTGCCTATGCATCCACGGCATGCCTATATGTAGTGCCTCTTCAATCAAATCAGCTTGGACCCTAATGCGGAAAGCAAAAATACTCGTGCCTCCCTCCTGGGGGTGTGTCCTGTATATGATGAATTCTGGGATTATATGATAAACCCAAAGTAGATTACAAGCCAGTAGTGAAGGAAGGCTTCTTGAATTGCTTCACGTGACCAATAAGCACTGGATCCATTGCTACCTCGCTCTTTTTAATGCGACATCGCTATGATAATGCGGGGAGAAGGTCTGAATGGCTCACGAAATGTGAGTTGCTACCTGATGTCGCCTGTAGAGCCTTGTAGGCATGCCATGGAAGAAAGAAGGAGCTGGAGTGGATATCAGATGAGAGTATAGTGAGATCAGGAAAGGACTTCCATGTGCTGACCATATTTTACTGAATTCGAGTCTTGTTCTCAAGGTTACCAGCAGTTGAAGAATGTACCTAAGTAAGGAAAAATAATACCCAATACTGCCACAGCCAGTAATTTCGTCTCGTCAATGTCATCCATGGATGCAACCGCCACATTAGGCATGAAATTCAACCTTGGCACAAGAATCCCGCCCTTGCTGTTCTTGAAGACCAAAAATAATATTCCTCTCCTGGTGAACTCAACTTGTTGTTGGGGCTATTCCGCCTTGCGCTCCCCAACCTCAGACTTTGTCTTCTGCTGAGATTCGCCTACAACACTGTGCTGGGAATACAACGGAACACCCCAGGCCTTACCAACGACAGCTGTGCCAAAATGCAATAAAACCTGAAAAAGAAAATGTGACCTAGCAAAATTTATTCCAAGCGAATTGTCCGACGACACAACGGCGCGGCTGCTGTGCTTTAGAAGCCAGCTTCATGCATGAGCTTGAAAACAATTATGTCGCCACTAGAATTTTTCACGGGATCTTCCTGAGGAGTTGCGTGTCAGAGGCAGGTTCCGAGGCTTGAGAACCAATCCACATCTGCGTTCACACCACTTGCCTCTAGAGCTCTTTGCCGTCTACAAAGCCACTAACCCAAAGACCTGAGCATGTGTACTCAACAACACGGTCTACTCTAAATTCTCTATCTATTCACAGCGGCTCTGCGGGACTTTTTACGAAACACTGAAACATCTTCTCGTGTCTCGAGTGCATCCCGTCTCGGCGACGCGGGAGCGGGCTGGGCTTGTGCTTGGCCACGTACAATACGGACATCAATAGATCCTTCACTCAAGCCATATGTGCGGCGATGGTCACAGAGGAGATAACAAATGCTGCATAATGGGGTTGATCGGATGAGTAGAAAGGCAGAGTGCGGGAGTCGCACAGCCCAAGACCGTGAGAATCTGATACTTTCTGCTGCCATAGACTATTCCCGTGAGTGCTTCGGCCGTAGCTTATCTAGTTCTTTAAACTCTTCGGAAGCGTTTAGGAAACAGAGGCTCTAGACACTGTTCTGAGAGATATGTACTAATTTAGAGTATTGTGTCACGATACCCACTACAGTGGCCGCTATATAAACGCCGCAGCTTCGCCTGCGGCTCGTAGACTTCTAGCTTTCCTTCTTTGCGCAACAACAAGTTATCATTATGGCTCTCTAGCAGCACCGTAGCATATTGCATCTTAACAGAAACGTAATTGGATGATGTCCTCCTCAAGGCTAAAATCTAAGTGAGAACGTCGAATCACCGCTACATAATTGGTTTGCCTTTCCTTGTTGTTCTCACACCTCTGTCCCCGTTTCTTGCTATCATACACGGATGTAAATGACGAGATCATTCAATGGGTTCGTGCTTTTAGTGTGCTAGTTAAAATGAATACTTATTGCTGTCTGTCATGGAGACAGATTGACACGATCAGCCTCGGCCGTGAAACTGTGACTCAAGTTGATAAGTCTGATTGGTTGCGAGATTGATTTGAGTAATGGTATTAATATTCTCTCAGGTATGTTGTTTGGAAATCTTACACTCGCGCTTTTTGCACCACCCCGTAACCCCGACCGAAGACAGTAAAGCATGACAAATATTTGTAATCAGGTGGGGCCGTACCTTAAGACGTCACGGCAGCAAAGGGGTAGAATTCAGTATAATCTCGACATAGCTCGCCGGCTCATGAGGTTCAGGAAAGCACAGCAGGGAACACCACGCGCGAGATGACTACAGCAAGGCTGGCCACTGCCTTACTCGCAAGCATGCCGAAGCCCTTGATTTTCCCAGCCATTACCCAGCACAGATCCACGGTGATCATTGCTCATGGATTTGGTGACAGTGGAAATGGATAGTAAGTGAGGGCGCAAGGGTCCTACCCACCCCAGGTTTCTCTCACGTGCACAGTACTCACACGTACCGCAGCGTCCCCATCGTACGGAACTGGCAGGAGAGCGGCCTCTTCCAGGACACAAAGTTCATCCTTCCAAGCGCCCCAGCAATCAACGTGACATCGGTGAGCGCCCCCCCCCCAACCAAGCCTCGTCAGAATCAACACAGCCAGTGCCGCTGACAAAGGAGACCCCAACAAGGCCGGCGGGCGCTCCATCCCAGCGTGGTTCGACATCCGCGGCGAGCGCGGCCCACAGGTCACCTTCGAGACCCTGACGCAGTAGAACAACGACGAGGAGGGCATGCTGCGCAGCCGGGACTTCTTCCTCTCGCTCGTGCGCGACGAGGTCGAGAGCCACGCCGTCCCCGCGTCGCAGGTCATCATGGGCGGGTTCTCGCAGGGCTCCGTGATGGCGCTGCTGACGGGGATCACGGCGGACGTGCAGCTGGGGGGCGTCTTCTGCCTCTGCGGGTACCTGCCGCTGGCGGATGCCGTGCGGGAGAGCGGCCGGGGAGGAGGGGCCGGCAAGTTCCCCCACGCGAGGGAGGGGACGGGCATGGAGGTCTTGATGCTCAACGGGGAGAAGGACCCGATCATGAACCTTGATTGGGTGGGGAAGTCGAGGGATATCGTCAAGGAGCTTGGTTATCACGTCGACTCCAGTATTGTTCCGTACGTTGTGATCCATACCCTCTGCTCGGACATCATGCCTCGCGCGCAGCTTGCTGACTTGTTTCACCATCCGATGAAGTGGCCTCGGTCATAGCATCAACCAAGAGGTACTCGAAAAGGTGGCGGCGTTTATCAAGAGGGTTCAGGAGAAGGGCAGAGGTAAGCACGACGAGCTGTGAACGCTCTGACGCTCGGGGAAAAGCGTACAATTGGGGCAACCTGTTTGAAATACCCCCAAGCGCAGTTGAATCCAAAAGTATCGGTCGCAGGGCGTTGAAATGTCACTTTAATTTCATGCTAGAGCCGAACCTCATCAAGATGTAACTCTTTAAAACCCTCTTCGACGATCCACGACCTCCCCTTCTCAGGCGTGTACAACGCCTCACACGCCCTCCCCACAACAAGTAGTCCCGGCGGCCTGCTCCCCTCTGCCTCAATGGCTTCAGCAACGAATTCAAGTGTTGTGCGGATGACTCTCTGATCAGGACAAGAAGCCCGCTCGATGACAGCACAGGGCGTCGATCTCGGCCACAGAACTCTCGTGGCTTTCACAGGCTGTGCAACATCGTTTGTCTCTATCATTTGGTGAACCACGTCCTCTGCTGGCCCAGCCCCATCTGGTATCGTCTCAGTTGTTGTGGTGGGTGCTTGTCCTCTCCATCGGAAGGCAGATGCTGCGTGAGCTCGGCCACAAGACCAGTAATACGGTGTAAAGCCATGAGGAATACGACCGTTCTGCTTCCAATGAACTCTGGTGGCGTCGGTGGCTTGCCCTTTTTGCCCGTCCCAGTACAAACTAATACTTGGTCTGCAACATCTCGCTGCGTGGGCGGTATGCCCGCGAACAGCGGCGCACTTAATGAGCTTGTGATTCCAGGCAGGACCAGGACCCTACCACCTAGACCGTTTTGGCGGAAGTATTCGACCTCCTCGCCTCCGCGGCCGTAGATGAAGGGGTCGCCTTGTTTGAGTCGTAACACCACCTTGCCCTGTCTGACGCCCGCAATAGCCTGTTCCAACAGTTCCTCCTGAGCCTTGTCGGCGTTGCCAGGGAACTTGCGCGCGATAGAGACAGGCGTGCGCCGGGGAATGAGATCCAGCACGCCCTCGGGTACAAGCTTGTCGGCCAGGATTAGGTCGGCAGACTGGATTGCCTTGTAGGTTGCGCGGGTAAGCAGGTCGGGGTGTCCGGGACCGGAGCCAGCGAGGATGATCCTGCCGCGTGCGCTAGCAGAAGAGCCGTTGTTCTTGCCATCGTCTGATCCTCCAATGGCAGTTGCGCCGCTGCAGGTGCTGCTGCTGCCAGAGTATGATCTCAGAACTGCCTCGACGTCGTCGTCGCTGATGGCTGCCAAGCGCTTCAGCGGCCAGTACTCGCAGACCTGCGCGAGCCAGCGCATGCGCCTGTGCTTCACGGCGTCCAGGTCTTCCTCGGTGACGAGTTTGTTGAAATTGGCCGTCTGCTCCAGCCCTTCCTCTTCTTCTCCAGCAGTAAGGGAACCGCCGTTGAGAGCCTCGTGAAGCAGGTGGTCCTCTTCTTGAATCCTCCGTCTCACTTCCCCCAATTTCGCACAAGCGGTCCCCAGGGTAGGCGGGAGCGATGCCGCGACCTCGCGACGTATGCGGCTGGCGAGGCGGCATCCCCTCCCATTGGTGGTAACGCCGATCTGCAGCGGCCCGTCGCTGTGCGTCGACAGGATGGAGAAGCTGCAGAGGCTGGGATTGTCGACCACATTCACAGGGATGCGGTTGCGTTTGCAAACGGCTGAGATGAGTTGCGCCGATAAGCCTTCGCCCACGGAAACGGCGTTTGTGGTCGTGACGAAGACGGCGTCGACCACGTTGCCTATCTCGTCCCGCCCGCGAGTGAGGGCAAGATTTTCCGTGAAAGGCCTGCGTTCCCACTCGACGTGGCCTGACTCAATGAGATTGGTGAGGCCGTAGTGTAGAGGCTGAGTTGGTGGGGGCTCGGGCGCGATAAGAATAGGTTTTGCGCCGGTGGCGATGGACTGCTCGCACCGCTTGCCGGCGAGTGAATTGCTGCCGATGATGAGGTGGACGTGAGAGCGACAGTCTGTAGCAGTGAGGAGCGAGGTGTGGTATGAGGCTGCCATTTTGTGCACAGCTAGTGTTCTAGAGGTATCGTTGCCGCGTCTGTTCTGTTCTGTAGCCATTTATTAGGAATTAGAGATACATTGGATGCCGTTATCAGTCCGTCCTGAGCCGCATGACGCCATCCCGATAGCCGGCCGCCGGACCGACGAGCCCATTGATCGCTTCACATAACGATGCACTTCTTGTCCTCCTTATCCTTTTTGACGCTCATCGCCACCCGGGCGGCCTCCGTGAAGGCCTCGTTGACGCCGCGGTTGCGCATCGCCGAGCACTCGAGGTATCGCATCGCATTTATCCTCCTGGCGACCTCCAGGCCCTGCTCGTACCCGATCGTGGGCTTTGTGCTCGCTGGTGGGTTGTCGCCGCCCGCCGCGTCCTCGTCCTGAGCCTCTCGCAGGTCGCATTTCAGAGCGATCAGCACGACCTTGACGCTAGGGCAGTGTTCTGTTATCTCGCCGACCCATTTGCTCTCGACGTTCTCTAAGCTCTCGGGGCTGTCGACGCTGTAGCACAGCATGATCAGGTCGCTGTCGTCATATGAAAGGCTTCGTAACCTGTCGAACTCCTCCTGGCCTGCAGTGTCCCAGAGCGACAGCTCGATGTGGATGTTGTCGACGAAGATGTCGTGGACGTAGTTCTCGAAGACGGTGGGCTCGTAGACGGTAGGGAAGTACCCTCTCGTGAAGACGTTAAGCAGTGATGTTTTGCCACACGCGCCGTCGCCCAGGAGGACGAGTTTGCGCTGGACGGTCTTGTTGGTCGCCAGGCAGGACATTGTGATGGTGGTGATGGAGGAGAAGATGGTGTTGTTGTTGCTGGAAGGGTCGCTGGAAGACGCCCGTCGGGATTCGAGTTCGGGGCTAATTGGGGTTGGGGTTGGAAGCTCGGGCCCACAGCCACCCTCCCATCCCTTCCCTCCCGCTGGGTGGCATCCCCGTGCAGGTTCCCGCCTCAGGGGAGATTATCCAAAATGAGATTATACATCACTTGTTGTGCGAGATTAGCTGGCTGTCCTACTTGAAGCTGTTTGAATATTCAGAGTTTGGTCATCTACATAAGGATGTTCTTAGGGGGTTTATGAGGTTGGCCTGGGTGAGGTGATTCTGGAGGCTATTGAATGAGGTTATCCCAAGGAGCACGCGCAAAGGCATCCCTCAAAAATGGCCTGTCTGGACACATGGCCGTATAATCAAATATTGAATTCCTGAGACGACGGTTCAATTAGGGTAGCACATCTTCTATGTCATGGACAATTCGAAAGTGGCTGGTAGCCCCGTAATCTCGTACGTGGTGATGTTTATCAGGTATGTAAGTCGCTTGCATGCCATTTGAGTGCCACCAACAGGACCTGTCTGGCGATGGGAGGCCAAGATTGCAGCAACATTTTTAGCCGTATAGCATCCTGCAATATAGAGCAAGGGGGTCTGATCATCTCTTTTTGGTTACATGCCGTTTGAAATCCACTCTTATTATCGGTAGATGATGCCCCTATATTTGGCTCCGCTGCCGCTCCAGATATCATTCCCCTGAAATGCAGGTCGCGCCCGCGCCCTGGTAATGAGACCGAACGCCCCATCCTCACAGAACATAAATTTATAATAACACAATGGGATGTAGCCCAATGTGAGCACACGTGCTCTGAGATGATTTTGTGGCCGCATGCCTTCAAATCGCCAGATTCCGCAACGTGTGCACAGGTAAAGCAGGCAGGAATTGTGCCAAAAGACAAACCCCCCGGCAAGCTCATCCTTCCCGGCTTCTCAGTCGACGAGAAGACGGCTGGGCTGCGTCTCTTTTAAGATGAGTAAATTTGCTTCGATTCCTCTCGGGGCGACGGCGGCTGTTCTCGGCCGTCAATGACGCCCGGTGCCGATGAGGCCAGGCACATGACAGCCAGCATTGTCGACAAGCTCACCGGAGAAAAAGGTTCCTGTTTCATGCAGCACAAGTCACTACCTCCCGCACACATTTCATGAGGCCAAGTTCTACGCCTGCCAATGGGGCACCGGCTGTCTAAGTGGCTGGGGCAGGACGGCCAGCTGCTGGCAGATATGAAACGGTGTGCCCGAGGCGCGTCGATCTCGCCCGCGTACCAGCATGCTGGTAGGCTTCCGGGCCAGAAACTATCGTGGTCGCCGTCGGCACTTGCGGCTCACGTGGCACAAATGACCAGCCGGCGGGGGTTTGCTCGTCGCAGCATTTGACGCCCGGACCGCGGGGAAGGCAGAGGAGGTGCTCCATTGGCGATGTTGTAGTTTGGCACAACCACATCGCGTGTTAGGTGCGTGTGATCGGGACGGTATTTCTCGACACCACTCTGGGAACCGACCTCGTCATCCTCACATTTGTGAAACTCATCCAGGTTTAGAGCACTCTGTGCAAGTAATATTCTTTATTTCCAGAAAGTGTTTCCCCTACTCTGCTTTGCTTTGCTTCGCTTTCAAAACGGGATGATGTGAAAATATGAGAAAGGGAAAATGCTCCGCTCCCGTGCTTGTTTCCTTGCCAACAGGGCTCCACGGTCATCAGAAGAAGGCTGGGCAGAGCAAGAGGATGGCAGGGTGAAACCCAACTGGTGGAAGGACGAACGCCCAGAACCAGCCTGTGCATTAGCAATCCGAACCAGCTCGTCCGAGATGGGACGGGGACGGGAACGGAGGATATCTGCGGTGGACGGGCTACAATGCACCGTTTTCTTCATGTAAGGCCGAGACAGTCGTACCCCCGGATTCGCACGAACATCTTCGGCTATGATTCAAGACTAGCAGCTGGGCTCACGCTGTCAAATGGTGCAGCGTGCAATGCCGGCTTCTCTGCACTCGCCGGTTGCAGCCCCTGCTTCTTGCGCTCCATGACCTCCTGCACCCATTCCGCGACCTCGGCATCGCCTGAGCCCTCGTTGATGGAGAGCTGCTTCGCCGCCGCGTCGGCGAGGTCGTTATCCATGGCTTCCGACTCGGCCTCTGCTTCTTCGGTAATAGTCTCGGGCTTGCTAAGAGACTTGATCCAAGGGTGTAGCAAAAGCATGGGATACGTATGCCTCTTCTTTGGGTTCTTGTTGAGACACGACTTGACAAAGTCGCGGGCTTGTGCGGAGTAGCCTTCCGCGGGGAGATCTGGCGGATCACCTTCAACGATCGCCTGTGATCGAGTGCCTGGTTAGCCGAGACTCTCTTGAATTGTGGAGAAGGTGCGTCACTCACGTTCAGCTGGCCGAAGATTGTAGCAGAAATCTCCGGTGGGTAAGGGTATTTGCCCATTGCACACTCGATGATGGTCAATCCCAAACTCCAGATGTCGCTTTGGACGCTGTAGGTTCCGTCCGCGCCCGTAGCCATTGCACCACCAGATATCCGCTCAGGAGCCATGTAGCTCTGGCAGCCGATGTTCGTCTTCGCAATGCTGGCCACGAGATTTCCGCTGACTCCGAAATCGCAAATCTTGACCTGGCCCCGAGAGTTGACAAGAATGTTCGTCGGTTTTACGTCTCGGTGAATGATGTTGTGCTCGTCTTTCAATGATTTCAGACCCATTATGGTGCTGTACGTGATTTTCTTGAGCACGTTCTCGGGTATCCCGCCATCATACAGTTTATCAATAGAGCCTCCATCCATGTACTCGATGCACATATACACCGCGCCTTCCTGGAAGAAGGCTCCATAAAAGTCGATGATGTACGGTGACGAGCACTCGTGGAGGATGACCAGTTCCTTTAGGATAGTGGTGAACTTCGCCTCGTCGAGTTCTAGCCTGATCTCTTTCATTGCCATCACACGCCCCGTTGTGCCGTCTGCCCTGCCAGGGCGCAGTGTCATGGGTGAGCCCTCGCTGCCTGAGGATTCATCTTTCTCCGACAGGCTTGAATTTTGCCTAGAGGCAGACTTGAAGCCGCTTAGCCCCTGACCAAACCTCGGTACCTTTGGCCTTGCATGTCGGACCCTGTACACTGTGCCGTAGTTTCCCTTTCCCAGCTCGTCGAGGATATCGACTTCTTCTAATGAGATCGAAAACGCAGCGCCACTGGCGAAGTTCACACCAGTCCTTGTGATGGTTGCTGCGCCGTCAAAAGTGATCCATCCCTTTTGCGTGTCGAGATAGTTCTTGAACTCGTTCATTTTAGAATCTCCCCGTCCTCCATCCTCCGTCGAGGACGCGTCAGAGCCTCCGTTCATATCGGACAACTTTGGTGTTGGGGCCGGCGAGGGCCCACCCGGGAGTCCGCCGAGCTTCATCGCCCCTCTTCGGTCCGCCAGGCTAGGCTTCTTCGCACCAGGCACGACCGGAGCGGACCTCGGAAAACCCTGGGCCGGTGGTCTAGACGGGCCGCCCATGCCGCCTGGTAGTTTTAAGTTGCCCGGTGCACCTCCGGGAAACCCTCTGGGGGAGGCTGACCCAGATCCTGGTGCGGGAGAGCCCATTGGATTCATGCCAGGCCGTGGCAGACCCGCGCGCTCCGCCTGTAAGGCACGCGCCTTGGCCATGAGATCCATGGGCAAGCTGCTGGCCGCCGGTGGAGGCCTGCGAGCGTTGTTCAGGGTGCCGGTTACGCTGGAATTGGGGTGGATGCCGAGGCCAGGGCTATGGCCCTGCGGGTCCGAGACGGTTCGAAGAGATGGGACGCGGCGAGGTGGTTCTTTGGCGGAGAACTGAGGTACGGCATCGGAAGACGCACTAGGGGGATCCAGCGGCGTGCTGGCTTCGGAGGACTCATCGGCGTCGGAACCAGGGGAGGCGGGGTTGCTTTCGACCTGCTCGTCCGGAGTGGCCGGTACAGACGAATCTGGAGAGTCTGACATTGTGGGCGAAGTGGAGGGCAACAACACACAGGTGCGTCTGCAACAATTTTTTTTTTTTTTTTTAGAGACGGGCTACCTCGTGGTCTGCGGCATGCGGCTGCTGTGGAGGGTCGAGATAGATCTACAGGTTGCGGATATGTGTTTGTCCCTCAGCCCTTTGGACTTAGGACAGGCTTCCGGAAGGGGTGCCGAGCGATTTAAGATAGGAAACGCTAGGGTAAACTTTGGCTCGCTGGATCGTATGAGTCGACAATGGCGGCGGAGAGGGAGCCCAGGGCGCGGTGAGGCCGAAATCTTGGGTCCGGCAGCTTCGAGGCAAGCGCGAACCTTAAAGACGACGACGGAGGTCAAAGGAGCGTTGAATGAGGTTGAGTAGAGTTGCGTCGGGTCTGGCTGGCAAACAGGCAAACTAGCAGATTTGAGCCTGACAAAAGTGCCCATGGGACGAGTGAAGTCAAAAGTAGGTAAAGGGACGTCTAGTCGGGACCAAGACAAGACGAGATGAGATAAAAAAGAAATCGAGGCCAGATCCAAGCCAGATATTCGACGAGGTGGCAGCAGCACAGGTCGAGGTCCAAGTCCCAGGTCCAAGTCCCAGGTCCAAGTCCAGGTTGAGGTCAAGGTCGTACGCCAACCAGGTAGGTGCTGCGAGAGCTTCTGATCTCTTGCGTCAGACGGTCTGGAAGATATGGGTCTTGATTGGATTGGCAAGTGGCGGGACATGGAGGAGACGGTACATGGCAGCGATTTTGTACCCGCTGGCCTGCACAAATGTACCGCACACTACAGGCAATGGCGGGAGACTGGCCAAAGGTTGGGCGACGAGGTACCTGTCTGGCCTGTGGCTCGAGACGTGCTGCGCTGAGTCCCTCCCTGTCGCCCGGCCCCTCAAAGCGACCTTGATACCTTGGTACCTGCGACTGGGCGTACTCCGCACCGCCTGAGCAGGTACCTCAAGATGTGCACGCAGTAAGTACACTTCATTACAGCACACAGCGCGAGAGCAGGCGCAACCTAGGGAACGTATGCCCCGCAGTCTCCAAAGCAGCCTAGCTTTATCTGACAGAACTCGAAGTGTCAGACTCGCTGACTTTGACTGCTCAGACTGTCCGCTCCCCTCTCCACACTTGCACGCTTCCTCCGGGCCAGCATCCAATTGGGTTCCACCCTCCGGACCCCTCCACTTACCTCTGCAGTACCTGATTACGTCGATCTGACTCTGGCGGACAGATGGTAGCTGGCTGCATATCCCATTCCAATGAGCAGCAGCAGCTCAGCAATCGCAATCGCAGAGTCAATAAATCGTCATTGTGGAAGGGCGAGGCGCTCCTCCAAAACGGCAGCTGCTTCACTCGAGCCGTGAATGTCGGGCATAACGTCAGGGGTCCTCTTATTAAGCCATACCGTTCTACTGTGCTTCATCTTGCTCTGCGGAATTCCATGCCCACCAGGACCGCAAGGACAGCAGCTTAGCCCAGGCTGGCCTAGCTCGCTCACGGTCAACGGGCGCGGCATTATTACGGCGCGTGCCCTTTCGCCCACCTAGGCGAGGGGAGGACGACGACCCCCGCGATGACGTTGTAATGGAGCGGTGGCTTGCGAAGAGGCGGAACTGACAGTGCCTGCTCCACTTATCAATGCAGACATGAGATGCTTCTTCGCCCGGCAGTCCAGGTTGGGCCGGCACTGGCGAAGGAGGGAGGATGTGCAGTGCTGCATACAGTACAGTACATGTCCCAGCCCGCAGTATAGCAAAGGTGGAGGGACATGGGGAAAGATGGGCATCTTGAATTCCATCTCTGCGAAAGGATGCAGTATCATTGGGCCCCGAAAATCAGGTTTCTCGCCTCCAGCCGATCGCCCATGCCTTTTTCCTATTCGAAGGTCCTGAAACGTACGGTCAGCAGTTTAAGTATGGCAGCCGAGATGAAACAGCAGGCAGGTCACTCAGACCAGAACAGATCATCAGAGCAGCTAGGAGCCCAATTGGCCCTGTTGCAACCTCGTGTGGAAGCTGACGCGGTGCACAGGTTCAACATCAGAATCCTGCCATAATCGCCAGACTGACACTGCCAGCCCCTAACGCTCCGAGGGACGTAGGACGCGCTGGCGCCAATGTCCCACCATTCGTGCCTGGAAGCTGGAAGCTGGAAATGTCGGTCGCTGTGTGAAATTACAACATCGTCACCGCCGCCAGACGTACCATGACAGCAAGGCAATAACGCAGCCACGTTATTGATACCACAGTACATGCCCACGTTCCCTGCTCCGTGATAGCTCTAGCTCGAGCTCAATCCGGAGCTTCACCCACGGGTCCAATCGCTTGCTTGCCAGACAGCAGGGGCAGCTGTCGACTGCCAGGGAGCATTCCAAGAAACGAGTGCTGGCGCTAACAAATCTGCAGCTATTCCTGTATTGCGCCCCACCCTCGAATTGCAGGCTCCCTCGGATATCGTGGACGAGGCTGTTATGGGGGACTTTTGCGGAGGGCCCGAGAGAAACCCCACGGTCGAACGTACGTGCGTTTGAGCAACTGCCTAGGCTCTCAGAAACCTCAACACCATTGCATTCGGCCAATGTCAATACGAACAACTTGGCGCATGAAGTCGTGGGTTGAAAACTTTCTGCAGTTGCTCACGTTGGCAGCTGACAGGATAGGAGAGAAGAAAAGCCAGGGTGACGTCATTCTTCCCGGTTGGAGAAACCAATGCTGCAGCCCTGAGATGAGGTGACGTTTTTCTGCTTGATCTCTTTTAGAACCAGATCTTGGGCGTGATAAGGAAAAAGAAAAACGACAAAATGGAAGAGGTACATAACACAGGTATTGGCGGAATTTGCGCCGTCTCAGACAAGTACCGTGAAGAAGGTTGGACAAGAATCCACCCCAGAACTTGAATTGCTCCTGGTAAAACCTCGTGATGACTACTTCCTCAACTCTTTTCTTTGGTAGCGACTCGCTCATCCATTCTGTGGACCGCCTTTCCCAGAATATCAGTGCCTAGTTTTGTCGAAGAGGTCGTCATTAAATTCCCTCAAGAGAGAAATTTATAGAATTGTGCAGCCAGACACTACACTACATAGTCTACAGCCTCCCCGCTCCCACGGCTCAAGCCCCGAGTCGCTGTCCCGATGTGAATCGCTCCGCTGTCGACGTGTCAACCCGTGTCGCAGCCCGGGGCAACCATCCGGTCGTATCACCGCAGCTCGGCCGGGTTCGTGGTGAAGCAGACCACCCGTTCTCCCAGCACGGGCACGACTCGTTTTTGATGGACGTGGGTTCCGCCGGGCGGATTTTGTTGCACACACGAGTAATAAACACAATGACTTGCTTGGCAGCATAGCACCGCCACGTCGAAGAACGACGGCTGGTTGCACTGCACAGTTTTCGCGAGTGTTTCGCGAAGGTGTAATTTAGTCAATCTGTTCACCCCAAACAGCGGCGGTAACACATGGATGGTGCTTCGCGGGGTGGTACGTGTAAACTCTGCTGTCCATCACACATGGATCTATCTATCAATGCGGGCGGAGGTAAACGTCCTGGGCGACAGGGTGGTTAGTCCCGGTCTGCCAGCAGCAAAAAAAGCGTGCAAGAGGTGTGGCAATGTGGCGTTGGAGAGTCGTCAGCCACTTCGGATGCCTCCAGGTTACTCCAACCTTCAGCCGTCATCATGCCTGTCATCCCGTGCTGATCAGGGGCCGCATGGTTGGCTGCCCTGAGAGAGCTCCAGGGACAAGAGGCACGCCCCGATGCGATGCCACCTCAGCAGTGACCAATCACTTTTTGGCAAACCGCCCGGCGGGCGCGTGTGTGCGATTTTGCTGCGATGTGATCTGACCGTGTTGCAGCGTACCGAGAAAGACCCAGCGGGCCTGGCGGGCCTCTCGTCTCGTGTATGGTCGGACGTCGGTCAGGCCAGCACGTCCAGTATGTGCCCTACAACCATGCACATGCATCTGGGGAAATGTTCGATGAATGGACCGATGCTTCGCTAGTTTCAAGTCTTGCGCTCTTGGCCCCAAGGAACCCTAACTTCAAGGTTGCTAGCACGTCTCCTCTGTTTTGCCGCTCTGCCCATCAGCCACCGCATTAGTGAGTTCAATTGCGCAAGCCCCCGAAGATGACCTCTGAGGCCCGGCAAGTCTTGCTTTGTGAGTTTGCCTCCAGCTGATCCTGATGTGCTGCTGCTGTGCTGCTCCCCCAACTGTCTTCCGGCCGTGTGCAAGGTCAGTAACTGCAACTACGCGTGTGGGGCTGCTCAGCCCGTGGGCCGCTTCGAAGCTGGAGCTGGGGAGCTATGGAAGGCTGGGAGAAGGCGAACCCTGCTGGGAGCTGTCAAAGGGGCCTCCCAGACGCAGGTCTGCTGCAGGTTCTTTAATTTAGCTTTTGGGCGGCCCCAGAGGGTGACAAGTCGCTCGCACGCCAGGCCCGTCATCGCTTGTCTAATCCATCAATCAGCCCAGTCGGCGGCCACTTCTCTAGGCCAGCACTGCCCGACCCGGGCCAACGACCCCCATCAAAGGCCCTGCTTGGCAGCATATCATCGCCGCCTCTGTCCTTTTCTCGCTCATTGTCGCCTCCTGTACGACAGCTCATCCAGGTCAGATTGTGACGTCTTGGCAGCTGCGTGAACCCACACGAAGCGAGAGAGAGCGAGCGCCTGGACCCAACCAGCGGAAACTTTAAACGTCAGGTCCCATCGAAACCAGGTGCTCCCCCAAGTCCACAACCCCATTAAAACCTCGCACGTCTCCACGCCGCCGCGCCTCGGTCGCATCGGTCCCGGATATAAGATTCGATTTGCCTCTCATCATTCGAAATCTCTCCCTCCTGAACTCAACAACAGAGACAGAGAGAAGAGAGTACACCAACACCAATGGCTTCGTCCTTTCGCCTCGCCAACCCCGAGGCGGCGCCTCTCATGATGGCGCAATCATCACCATTCGTCGTCTTCACGAAGCCCCACGATTCTCACCCGTCGCTTGACCATCTTATCCTACTGGTTTTCGAGGCTGTGATGGAGGTGGTGTGCGTCAGCTTGCCCGGATACATCATCGCAAGGCTAGGCCATTTCGATGCCGACAAGCAAAAGTTCCTGGCGAACCTCAACGTGATGCTATTCACGCCATGTCTAAGTGCGACTCCAGACAATCTTTCCATCGTGGAAACATGAAGGATCATTCCGGCTAACGGGGAAACTGCAGTCTTCACGAAATTGGCCTCCCAGCTCAACGCCGACAAGCTTATCGAGCTCGCTGTCATACCCATTATATTCGTCATACAGACTATCGTGTCTTACTTGGTTGCACAAGGCGTCTCCCGGCTTTTCGGATTTCACAAGAGGGCGTCAAACTTTGTCACAGCCATGGGTGTAAGCAGGGACCTAGTGCGCCTCGTTCGACGAAGACGCGCGTTAGCTGACAGACTCGTGACACTTAGGTTTTCGGCAATTCGAACTCGCTCCCAATCTCCCTGGTGATATCCCTCTCGCAGACACTAAAGGGTCTCCACTGGGACAAGATACCCGGCGATAATGACGACGAAGTCGCCGCCCGTGGCATTCTGTACTTGATGATATTCCAGCAGCTGGGCCAACTGGTACGATGGAGCTGGGGCTATCACGTCCTGCTGGCGCCCAAGGAGAAGTACGACGACTACGACGACGAAAGAATCGAAGAGGGCCGATTTGCCAGGGACGCGATGGGTAGCGAGGAGACGGACAACCTCCTCCGGCCTGACGATGATGACGAAGACACCGACGATCACCGGAGCAGCGCATCAGATACCTACGAGCCTGCTGGCCGTACTCCAGTGGCGAACCAGTCACGATCATCCCTCGCTGATCTTATCAACGATGACGGCACTACAACCCCTAGGAAGAACGCGAATGGCAAGCACCACTACAAGACGAACTCGGCGCGGCCCAGTACTGCGGGCACCCTTGGCGAGGACATTGGCAGCCTGCATAACGACAGCATCCTATCCTTCCCCCGCATCCGTAACAACGACGACGAGGCCGAGATCCCCGAGGGCATCAAGGGCTACCCGGAGCGCTGCAACCGCTGGGTCAAGCAGACGAAGACGAGGACGACGGCCGCCATCAACAGGAAGCGCCATGAGGCGTATGCCCGCCTGCCGCCGCCCCTCAAGCGCACGGTGGACTTCCAGCAGGTGGTCGCGGCGAAGCTGAGCAATTTCTTTTGGGAGTTCATGAACCCGCCGCTGTGGGCGATGCTCGCAGCGGTGATTGTTGCGTCGATCCCTGACCTGCAGAGGTTGTTCTTCGAGGAGGGCTCGTTCATCAAGAACAGCGTGACCAGCGCCGTCAGCTCGAGCGCCGGCGTGGCCGTTCCGCTCATCCTGGTCGTGTTGGGCGCCAACCTGGCGCGCAACACGCAGAAGCGCGACGGCGAGCCCGAGGAGGCCGTTATCGGCAGCAAGCTACTTGTTGCCAGCCTCGTCTGTCGCATGCTGCTGCCCACTCTGATCATGGCGCCCATCCTGGCCGTCTTCGCCAAGTACGTGCCCGTGAGCATTCTGGACGACCCTATCTTCGTCATCGTGTGCTTCCTCCTCACCGGCGCGCCGAGCGCGCTGCAGCTGGCGCAGATCTGCCAGATCAACTCGGTCTACGAGAATGTCATGTCCAAGATCCTTTTCCAGAGCTACGTTATCTGGTAAGTCAAACCCCACGGCTGTGTGCTGTATTACTATGCGATTGCTAACAGACACGCTTCACTGCAGGATCCTGCCCTCAACCCTCATTCTTGTCATGCTCGCGCTTGAGGTTGTTGAGTGGGCTGCATAAGACACCGGCGCACCCTCGCTACTGAGCTGGATCAGCTCTCTTTTCCTTTTAAATCATTTCCAAGTGACCATACACAAAACAAAAAACAGGGTACAGGCGAAATAAGCATAGACGGCTGAGATTGGTCGTATTTAGCAGCGGCGTTTTTGGTTGGGTATAGGGTTCCGAGGGGAAACAAACAATACCCCCCTTTTACAGCGCGAACTTTTTGTCTCGAGACACTTTTGCGGAGTGGGTTGAACAGCAAATAGGCATGACACCGGTGGAAAAAAATCCGGTAGTCGGTTGACAGTACGGCATTGTAGGATAGGCTTAGAATCAAACGAATTACCTAGGCTGGTGCCAGGCTCTGGTGTACAATACAACTCAAATGATTATATCACTCTCAAAGAGGCTATCGGAGACGTTCTATACAAGTGCGGCAGTATATACTGGAGTATTTCGGATTTTTTTCAGCAGGATATAAGACTTGTTCGTATGATATCAGCACATGAGGTGTTTTCTTCAGACCACATCATCATGAAGGCACTATCTACAACTGCTTAGTAGCTATATCCTCAAGTTTTGGATGACATCTTTGAACTCAACTAGTCATCTTCCAATTACATTCTTCAACAGCTTTGTATGACGGCCCAAAACTGCAAGTCTAGCTCTTAGAAGCATTTGTATGTGATGTGATATGTGATTTCAAGTCAGGATGCTTCGCAATCTTATGCCCACGGTGGATGGACAGCATCGATCGAGAGCGATCCAACCTCATTCCAACCACTTCCAAATAGGTTCTAATCCGACTTTCCGCGAGCAAAATCTCCCAGCCTTTCAAGCCATTTACAACTCAACAGGACTGCTGGCCATAGCCTGCCCTGCAGGATTTTGTACACAGGCGTTCGTGGTCCCCCGCCCGCACACTCGCGGGTCCGTCTCACACACATGGAATCCTGACATACTGCCCTGCAACACTGGAGCAACCCTTCCTGGATTTTAACGCCTCGCACAGCCTTAGCCGCCCCTTCAGCTAACACCGTTCACCAGAACAGGCTGCTGGTCGCCCGCCGCCGACCTGACAAGCTCCCAGTCCTTTACGTTGCCCTTCCAGTCGCTGATCCTCACGCCCCTCACGGCAACAATGATGACCCTGACCTCCTCGCCGGCAACGAAGCACTCCCGCCCGCCGTCCTCGGTGCCGGAAGCCCCGTCCCCTCCGGCCCGGGCTCCGCCGGGCTGGCCGAAGGGGTTGAATCCGGCGCCGGCGTCGTCGTCAAAGGTGTTGTTGTCGAGGTGTGCCTGGCGGTAGAACCTCTCCTCGTCGGTGCCGGCGTCGGCGACGCGGGCGCTGCCGTTGATGGTGGCGCTGATGCTGGACATGGCGCTCGTGTTGAGGTTGAGCAGCAGCGAGGCGAGGCTGGAGCGCGAGGGCGAGACGGAGGAGGCGCCGCCGGAGAGGCGGCGGGCGGTGGTGGTGGGCGGGCGGTGCGAGACCCAGTCGTGCACGAGCAGCGAGACGTGCGGGTTCGTGACGAGGTTGGCCATCTTCTTGGAGGCCGGGTTGGTGGTCATGACGATGACGGGCTCCGAGGGCGAGTACGGCGAGGAGGGGAGGTAGGTGTAGTTCATGAGGGAGACGTTGGGGATGTTATCGGTGCATGTCGCGAGATGGAGCTGGCGGTGGTGGCATTGGTTAGTCGCGCGCAGAGCGAAGGGTGTGTGAGTGTGTGTATGCTGGGGCGGGTGGCATGGTGTGGTGCGCACGTACGAAGCGGGCATTCTCGAGGCACTGGATCACCTCTGGCGGGAGGGACGAGGTGGCCTGGCGGTTGTTGTCGCCAATGGAGGCGGCTGCGTTGAGAGGTATTTGGGACATGGTAGCGTGGCTCTTGGTGTGCTGAGCCTGTGATGTGGTCTGGTGTAGTGCGGACTACCGTGGGTAGTGTTTGATGGCGGATGGAGGGACTGGCTTGTACTTCGCGGACGGAGCTCTCTCCCACATGCCAGCTCTGATGACGGCCAGACGCTTAGCTAAGGAGGGGCTGGCTCTTGGATGGGCTCGATTTTCCATTTTCCCATTACAACCCCTGTCAGCCAGACCCGCAGTGACGTGGAGGCATTCCCCGGAGTCGGCAGGGGTCTACACTGTAATGGACGTACATAGTGTACCTAGGTAGAAAGACACAGGTACATAGATACATGATAATAAGTGTTGGCAGTTCCCCAGATTCCAATCGAGCACCAGAACCACATCATTCGTATTTTGACACTGTGTAAGTGCCCATGTCGTCAAGTATCCCCCACGCCATTTTTCATAGTAAAGAACAACTATTTCATGACAATTGCCGGCCACCGCCTCTACTGTATATCGTACTGTCCCCCTGCAGGTGGCTTGGGAGTCGGAGCTTTCGAGGGAAGGTTCGGCACAACACTGTAGGCTTGAAGACGGCTATCAACGGCTGACCTCCAATTGTCCTTCACCTCGGGACGGACGACACCATCAACGTCGCGTCTCCCCAGGAAAGACAAGACGGAGCCAAATTCTCTGCCAGTGATGTGAAGGTTTCCTTGCCTCGCCTCCCAATTGACTGACTGAATCCGTACTCCAAAGACCACAAACGCCACCACACACGAAACACCATGAGATCCATCAAGAGCGCCCATCGGCGTCTCCCCCTCCGCCCGGCATCGAGGGCCCTACTTTCCACATCAACATCTACATCTTGCTCTCAAACTCCTACTTCAAGCATCACACCCATAACATCCGTAATAATAGCAAACCGCGGTGAGATCGCCCTCCGCGTCCAGCGCACCGCCTCCAAGCTCGGCATCCGCACAACAACCCTCTACACTGACGTCGACCGCAACGCCCAGCACACCACAGCCACCCCTTACTCTCACTCCCTTCCCAACTACCTGGATGGCGACCGCATAATTGCTCTGGCAAAGCAGAATGGCATCCAGGCCCTCCACCCAGGCTATGGCTTCCTGTCCGAGAACGCCGCCTTTGCCCAGAAGTGCCAGGACGCCGGCATCGTCTTCGTCGGGCCACCTGCCTCCGCCATGGCCGACATGGGCGACAAGGCCCGCTCCAAGGAGATCATGACCGCCGCCGGCGTGCCCTGCGTCCCGGGCTACCACGGCTCCGAGCAGGCCGTCGAAGCCCTGCAGGCCCACGCCGTCGACATCGGCTTCCCCGTGCTGCTCAAGAGTGTCAAGGGCGGCGGCGGCAAGGGCATGCGCATCGTCGCCTCCGAGGCCGACTTCCCCGCCCAGCTGCGCTCCGCCCGCGCCGAGGCCCGCGCCAGCTTCGGCGAGGGCGGCGAGGTCATGCTGGTCGAGAAGTACGTCGTGCGCCCCCGCCACGTCGAGGTCCAGGTCTTTGCCGACAAGCTCGGCAACTGCGTCGCCCTCGGCGAGCGCGACTGCTCCGTGCAGAGGCGCCACCAGAAGATCCTCGAGGAGAGCCCCGCCCCGCTGCTCGACGACGCCACGCGCAAGGACCTCTGGGCTAAGGCGAGGACCGCCGCCCTGGCAGTTGGCTACGTTGGCGCCGGCACTGTCGAGTTTATCCTGGACAGGGACACCGGCCGCTTCTACTTCATGGAGATGAACACCAGGCTGCAGGTCGAGCACCCCGTCAGCGAGATGGTCACCGGCACCGATCTGGTTGAGTGGCAGTTCCGCGTCGCCGGCGGGGAGGCGCTGCCCCTGACGCAAGACGAGATTGAGGCGAGGATTGAGGAGAGGGGCGCTGCTATCGAGGCCAGGATATATGCCGAGAGCCCCGAGAAGGAGTTCATGCCCGACTCGGGCAAGCTGGTTCACCTCGTCACTCCCAAGACGGACGAGGATGTCCGGATAGACGCTGGCTTCATCGAGGGCGACACCGTGTCCTCAGCCTACGATGGAATGATTGCCAAACTCATCGTTCGCGGCAAGGACCGTGAGACGGCGATACGGAAGCTGGAATTGGCGCTTCGCGAGTATGAAGTGGTTGGCCTTAGCACGAACATCGAGTTCCTGAAGAGGCTCTGCAGGAGTCAAGCCTTCATCGACGGAGACGTCGAGACAGGGTTTATAAAGAAGCACGGCGACGAGTTATTCAAGCCCAGGCACATAGACAACGAGGTCTTTGTGCAGGCTGCCCTCGGACTGCTCACAGCACAGCTACAGAGCGACACCTCAAGGTCAGGCGCGCACGGGGAGGTCCTCGGGTTCGGCTCAGGGAGCGCTTCATCAGGCGAGCGAAACTACTCCTTCAAGAGCATCGACAGCTACAGCTCGCAAGAGGGCGAGGTCGTACAGGCAAGCATCACACAGCTGGGAAACAACCTCTTCAGCGCGACCGTATCGCGCAAGGGCCAGGGCCAGCCGCAGGTCTTTGAAGATCTCGTCTGCGAGCCAATCTCCTCCTCCACCACACTACCCAATCCGTCAAAGACGGGCGTACGGACCTTCTTCCCCCGCGAGAGGCTGGACACCACCGTTGTGTCAGACCCGACCAACTCGCACAAGCTCAGTGTTTTCCAGCACGGCGTTAAGACGGAGCTCCTGCTGCAGCAGCCGTCATGGTACGAGAAGGCGCTCGGGCTGCAGGAGGTCGCCGCCTCGGTGGTGGCGCCGATGCCGTGCAAGATCCTCAGAAATGAGGTTAGTGAGGGAGAGAGCGTGGAGAAGGGAGCACCGCTGGTTGTGTAAGTCCCCATAAACTTTGTCTTTTCCGCTTGTCCTACGGTCGCACTAGACATCGAAGAAGAACAAAATAGCGATCGAATCTTTTACTAACACTTTCAAAACCACAGAATCGAGTCAATGAAGATGGAGACGGTTATCCGGTCACCGCAGAGCGGTGTAGTCAAGAAGCTCGCGCACAAGGAGGGTGATATTTGCAAGGCAGGCACTGTTCTAGTTCTGTTTGAGGAAGCCGAAGAAAAAGATGAAGCCTCACCTTAAGGAGGGTTCAGGATTCTAGAAAATAAACAGAAGGTGTATTTGCTGGATTCATACATGTAGAGGACTACTATATGGTCCCGACAATGGTATAGTCTGCTTGGGCTTATACGACTATAGACATTTGAGTCCCACTAAACAGCGGAGGTGAAGTGATAAGTGACCTTAAGTCGGGTAAGAGAGAAGAAAGTTATGAACAAATAGCGTTGTTCGGAGGATAAATTGGCTTTTGCCCAGACCCCTGACTGTGACATTCCTGTATTCGGCTGTAGACCTGGGCACTACTATTTCGCTCTCGTATTCGTCTTTACGAAGGCGAGACCACCCTCTCGCCAATTGTCCACACGGGCCAAATACTGCGGCCCGACTTTATTGAACCAAGGGTTTACAAGCGGATTCTAACAAGACTCCGAAAAGTAAGGGCTATGGGATTGAAGTATAAAAGACCCAATGCGCTCTGCCTATTCAAGGTACAAGAGGACATATCTGTAATCCATTATTCCATCGCAGCACCCACAAATTACCCTCACTCTCTACCTCTTAACAACTCAAATAGCAAACATGACGGCTATCAGCAATCACATGGTTGAAGACGATGCCCACAAAAAGGGCGAAGCCATACATCTGGCGAGGGCCGCCGCTCTCAGAGCTTCCTACCAGCAATGCCAAGTTTGAGGAGAAGCCCTTGAACCTCACGGACGTGAGGACCCTCGCCGAGGAGGACAAGCCCAAGGTCGATACCCACGGGTTTTGCTTCGTCGATCTTAAGTCCGAGACTGTCGCAGGCGTCCATAATGATAACGACGCAGCGCCATATGTGGAAGAAATGGCAGAATTCCTGAAGAAGTTCCTAGGTGTGGAGACAGTTATGGGTTTCAATGCCAGAGTAAGATGAGCCCAACCGCACAGAAATGTTGACGCCCGTCTTAAGAAAACTCACAACTCCCTTTATTTAGGCCCGAAGCACAAACCCCGATCACAAGATCACGCCGGTTAGCATCGAGGCACACGCCGACACCAACAAGGATATCGTCTGGGGGTACTGTCTCGAGGCCCCTGACCGAAGACGAGAGAGACCTCGTGCGGAGCGGAAAGCTCAGGCGCGAGAGTTTTCAATATCTGGCGCCCTAGGGTCACCCACGCGGAGGATTTCCCCCTGGCCGTCTGTGACCCTAACACGCTCGATGTAAACCGTGATATCATCATGCTGGATAACACCACGCCTGAGACCTTGGCGTAAGTACTGTGAAAGCAGTGCCCCAGGGCTCTTTCCGCCTTGTTCCATTTTCCCTCAAGGACTTGGGCATAGGAAAATAGCAAGACCTTCACGTGTGGGTTATATTCAGGCCAATGCTAACAGTTGATGTCAAAATAGTGAGCTGTCGTACGTTCGATACAGTCCGGAACGCAAGTGGTACTGGCTCAGCAACCAGACCCCAGACGAATTCATCCTCTTCACGCAGTCGGACTCGCACCCCCCACAAGACCAATTCAGGAACGACTTCAACCACGTGCCCCACAGCGCGTTCCGCAACGAGGCCGCCCGCCCGGGCTGCCCACAGCGGCAGAGCATCGAGGCGCGCTTCATCGTCCTGGAGCCCGCCCCGTACAGCCCGCCCGCCAGGAACCCGTCGAACAGGCCGCCCCCGGAGACGAGGAGCATGCCTTACACCAAGCACATCAAGGCGCCTAACGCCCTGACGGCCGAGGCGCCGGCGCCGGCTTCGAAGGAGGACAGGGGGGTCAGGCTGGGCGCGTATGTGGCCAAGAAGGTGGAGCTGAAGACTGCGCCGGTTGCTGTCAAGGCGAATTGATCTGCTTGAATGTGCTAGATTTGACGTATTTTTTTCTAGAAGCTAGAATAGGGTATTACACTACTTGCATGCCCAGGTGGAATTCCCCATCGATGGTCATAATTTGTCAGTTGAAACAGGAATTAAACAGGTCGCGCAAACTTAAGGAAAGTCAAGAAAATGGACTTCAGCATTATTTCGTTGTCCACCAAGTCATGTGATTCTTTGCGTCTTGAAAGCAAGAAATTAAAAATGCCAATCATTGCGCTTCTCACAGCTATGTGATTTCCCACATCAGACATGGGAAATCCACCTCCACTTTAGAACATCAGACACTTGTAAAGGTTCCGTCAATAAACTTTGTACGGAAACAGAGTGGTGTCGAGGGAAGTAATTGATGTAAATGTGTGCATAGAAGATTTACCGTACCCAATTGCGGCAGACACCTCATTCAGAGGTCTTCGGCCCGAGTTCAAGTTGATCGATCAGGGCTCGCTCCATCCGCAGCCAAAAGGGCTTCTCTGAGCCCGGGACAGAAATCTGCACTAAGACAATATGGACAGCCTGACCCCACGATTCTGCGAGTTTCTTGGCCCAACAGTGGCTGAGGTCTCATGTTTCAAGCCATGATCTGAAGAATTTACCATATACGAAAGCTTCCTTGTGAGGTATGAGGTGGCTTACTTGAGGCAGCTGTTCAGTGGAGTGGCATCAACGCAGATCTGGGCGTCCAGGCAACTATTATGCATGTCTCATTCACGCATTTGGAGAGTATACGTTACCAGGTTGCAATGTATTGGTACCGTTTGGTCAGTCTTGAAGTGGGCAAGGGGTGGTAGCTTAAAAGAGTGGCTTATGGCAACTCTAGGGACTCCAGTGGGAAAAGCGTTTACGGGATATTGCTCGGAACGGTGTGCTGCTGGCAGCATCTTATTCAGCTGCGGTTTGTATTAGTTTCACATACTATTATAAGGCTAGACTGCGTCTTTATATGTCTCCTCCCCATGGCGAATAGTCTTGGCTCTGTCCCGTGACCTGAGTTTTGCTGTATGTGCCTGTGCCCATATACACAGTAGTAAACCGAGGTACGTCAATTCAAACTCGGTCCATTAACATGTCCAAAACTTTGATGCCTTCATCAAAATCTTTTCTGAAGATTCCCTGCATCACCCTAGGTCGTAGTGGCACGGCCGGTGCATCACGGATTGCCCGTTGAAACCCATATTCGTCATACCAGTCATCGTTGCTGTCGGCAAGACGGCCATCCACTGTCCTATGGTAGATCATGATGTGCTCTGCGGTGTGGTTGATTAAGCATTCCTAATTCTAGCTTAGCGTGCAACCGAGGGAAAGGAACTGTATTCAAACTACTTGGTATATATCTTTTCCGTCGCGAGGCCGACGGTACCTCACCTGATGCTTTTGCAAGATGATGGCCGGATAGAAAGGTTCTTGAAACAGTTCCTCCTCACTCTCCGTGAAGCCAATATTACAGAGACTATCATAAATGATGCGTTTCTCTTTCTCTTTAGGTGTCAGGTGATCAGGGTCGAAAATTTGGCCCATGTTGAACCATTGAACATCATCGCAATCAACAAATTGTGATCAGTCAACCTGCAGGTCTTCAGTTTGGGCAGATGGCTAAGCGTCTGGGCGAACAACAATGCTTCATAACCCTGATTCCCGCCGCCATTTGGAGATGATACATTTGTGATGTGCTGCTCAAGTGGACGTATTGCCTCGCATGACTTGGAAAGACAGCAAACATCGGCGCAGCGCCAGAGCAAGGTTCCATATCAACGACAGTCCGGGACCAGTAGACGGGCATGGCTTCCTCATACACAGCCTGGCATGTGAGTAAGAGCTGGTGATGCTGCGAGGGTCGCAGCATCCACTTCTTCACGGGCATCATCCAACCTTGATCAAAGGTGGCGGCACGGTGCCAAGGGAACGAGGTGGTCTTGGCCGTGGACCCCTCGAGAGCCTCACCGTAGATCTTGAGGCGCAGTTCGGCTGGGAGCATCGTGAAAAATAGCGAGTCGAGTTGCCCACTTGCAGTTCTGTGCCCCTTGTCACAGGGCGTTGCGGTATCAATGGTACGGGTTTTGGTGTTTTCCATGATTTCGGCTGGCCAGCGTTTCAAGTGTACTGAAGGCTTGCAAGAAAAGAGATGTCAACCTCTTGTGATTAAGTTGACTGACATGAAGTGATTTGTGTAGCACTCATGGAAAAGAAAGAGAGAAAAAAAATGACAACCCCTCCTTATCACCAGGCAAATGTCAGGCAACGTGCCCTCTCAACGGTGGTCTGGAATTCAGCCAGCAGGTAGCTACGTCACAGCGCGTCACTCGACCCTAAGAGGGTCACTGCAGAGGCCTCAGGTCCCAGGGGTAGACGACCGCGGGCTCATTCCCTGGACGAGGCTCTACTGCATCAGAGGTGCTGTATGAGTGCGCAACCACAGTTGTGCGTATTTTTTGACTGTTGAGTCAACGGCGTTGGTTTAGGTGTTGAGACAAGGGACGGGTTGGGAGTTTTGGGGCCGCACTTACACACGCAACAAGAGGTGGAGAGAGAGGACGGGAAGCATACGGGAGGGACCCACCTGACAGGTGTGGACCGCCAGCTGTGGACCTACTGTACGCACCTAATGGGTACCAGGTAGACAGATCGACTACTGGAGACGAACCAGCCCAGGTCGGTCGTCTGGCAGATGAGTTGGCAGAATAGGGGAAGATGGATCCAATACCCGCCCAGGCTATCTAGTTAGGTATACTGGGCATCAGTCCATCGACACAGGTGATTCCCACAAAGGTGTTTGCCCCAAGGACACATACATGGTCGCATTCTTCGCCATTGTCTAGGACACTTGCAAACTCCAATGGAAAAGGGGTAGACCCAGAAGTAGCCTTGGCTGACAGTGGCCTTCTAAATTGTGTTCCCAATAACCAATATCGATGAATTCGTGTGGATGTTGGAGTGTGACTGGTCCCAAACGTTGATGTCTGTTCCTGTTTCACGAAGCGTTGTGCTCACCGTGCAACCAAGCCGTTGTTTGCACATCATATCAAGGACTGTAATGCCAGGCCCAGGGACAATGAAAACTTCAGTGTGACAGACAAGGAAAGGTGTTTGATTTGTGATCTAGGATCAGGGAGTGTCACTACTTAATCCTCATGCTGACAGCAGCCTCGGCCCTTCTTCCGCCCTTTAAAGATACAAACTTCGCATGCGTGAAGACACCCAAGGAAAACCCAACCCGTTTATGATGCGTGAAATTGGAGCACCCGTGTCACGACTGACGGTGCTATTATGCTAGATAAGCCAAGTCCCACCCAGAGAACCACTTTGGAGTGGGTCTAGAGAGCCCCTTTCAGGTCTGCCCCGTCCATCATCTGAGGACGTGAAGGTTATGGCACATGTTCCCCGCTTTAGGCGTGGATCTCACCGAGAAACTCCTTGAGCTCCTCATCGACGAGCTCATGGATCTTCTCGGAGAACTTCTCGGCCTTGTTGGCAAAGGACTCGCCGGCCGACGTAACCTTGCCAGAGATGACCTTGAAGTCGTTCTCGATGGCCTTCTCAAGCTCTGAGACCGACTCGAGGACCTTCTCATCAGCACTCGACTTCCTCTCCTCGGGCTTAACGACGTAGCTACCGCCCTCGACGATGGACGAGTAGTTGCTGCAACCGCCGCCGTTCCAGGCCAGCAGGTTGGGGGTGTCCCGGGGAATATCAGTGAGGGCATCAACGGTGGCAATGCTGATCAGCTGGCTCTTGAGCTCCTTAGGTGTGATGGCAGCGACGGAGTACTCAGAGTCGGAGGAGGGCTGCAGGGACAGGTAGTAGGCCAGAAGACCGCAGATATGGGGAGAGGCCATGGAAGTTCCCGAGATGGTGTTAACCGCGGTCTTGCTTCCGATCCAAGTAGACTGGATGCTCAGGCCAGGGGCAAAGATGTCAGTGCACTTTCCGTAGTTGGAGAAGTAGGCACGGCTGTCGTCAATTGCCGAGGCACCGACGGTGACGGCCTTGTCAGCGGCAGCAGGCGAGTAGTTGCATGCATCCGCGTTGTCGTTGCCTGCGGCGACTGCGAAATGAAGACCAGCGTCGACGGCAGCGTTAACAGCCTGGTCGAGCAGGTTGGTCTTGCCACCACCGAGAGACATGTTGGCGACGGAGCCCTTGAAGCCCTTGCGCTTGCCATTCTTGGCAGCCTTGACCGCGTCCTGGTGGGAAGTGGCAGCGAAGTCGACGCCAGCAATGACATCCGCCATTGTGCCACTACCGTTAGAGCGGAGAACCTTGACAGCATAGACGTTGGCCTTTTTCGCGACTCCGTACTTCTTTCCGGCGATGGTTCCGGAGCAGTGGGTGCCGTGTCCGTTGCCATCCTCGTCGGCATCACCGTTGGGGATGGTCTTGCCCCAGTGGGCGCGGCCCTCGAAGTCAACGTGCTCAGTGTTGGTGCCGGTGTCAATGACATAGGCGTCGACGCCCTCGCCACCGTCCTCGGCATAGAGGTATTTGTTGAAAGTGCCGAAGGAAAGGGAGTTGCGATGGGAGACACGAGCGAGACCCCATGGGGCCATCTTCTCGGTCTCGCCGTCACAAGACTCCTGAGCTTCGTACTTCATCGTGTGGACGACGGTGTCTTGCTCGATGGCCTCAACCTGTCGGCAAATACCGGATCAGCAAATGTACGATTGAAATGATGGCAAGGGGATTACTGTTAATCAACATCGTGGTACTCGTAGCATCTGGCAACAGAGGCAGCCGGCCAAGCCGCATACGATGTTCTGAAGGAGAGCGGTGCTCTCCGATGAACGGAGTAGCTGGGAGTTGGACTTACGTCAGGATGTCTTCGGATCTCCTCGATGGTGGCATCATCAAAGTGACCGGCGTAGCCCATGAAGGCACCGCCGATCTTGTAGGTGTGCTTAAGACCCTCGAAGACAGTGTCGACGAGAGGGAACTGGCCACGCTTCCGCAGCTCACGCTCGCGGGACTCCTGGCTGGCGGAGTGGACCGAGCTCAGCCAGGTGTGGTGGTCGGCGGCGTGTGAGTCAGTCACATGCTTCTTGAACTTGATGATGTAGCGGTTGGGGATGGCGTCGGCGTTGGACGAGCTCAGGATGGGGGCGACCCCATCGTGGATGGTGCCGGTGCTGAAGGATGGAACAACAGCAGCTGCAGCGCAGGCTGCGAAGGAGAGGGCGGCGAAGCCTCTCATGGTGACTGCGAGCCTGGGGCGGAGATGACAGGAACGATAAGGAATGGAGGATGGTCAGTGGATGTCTACCAGCGACGACAAAAGGTTGCGGATAAAGTAGGAATCAAGAATGACGAAGAATAGGCGCAAGGATAGGAGATGAAGAGCAGAGGTCGTGTGGACGCAAGATACAGAAAACGATGATGGACGGACAGGTTGATGTTGTTGTTGATGGTGATGGTGAAGGAAGAGGAAGGACGAGGGTTTAAGATGGACGAGGGACCGAGGAGTAGAGCAGGTCGATCAGCAGCGGCCGTGTTGCGTTGTTGGGGCAGCTGCTGTCGTTATCAGAGGAAGGCAAGGCACGGGACCGGCGTTATCACCCACTAAGGATGACGACTGACGACACCACGGGCACGATGGACCAGTGCTAGACAGTACGTACCTCGTGCCAAGTGGGGATCCCAGGCGCGAGTGGGGCCCCCAAGTCGCAGGTACGTCTCGCCCGCTCGCGCCTGCCAGGCAAAGGGTCCCGAGAGCCAGCACTGAGCAGCCCAGCTGGCAAGCTGCCCAGGCTGCTAGGGTGCGCGCCCAGGTGAGACTTAGGTAAGCCGTGTGCGTAGCCCACGGCTGCCTTGCCTTAGGTGCAAGCGGTTCCCCTGCCAGCTTGCGCCCCACAAGGAGACGGGGGGGACGCTGGTAGCAGGAAGCTGCACCCAGCGGTCTTCTTGTTCTCGCCTGCCTCCAGCCTGCCAGCTGCCTGCCTGTCAGGCCCTCTCTTGGTTCGGAAACGGAAGGGGGGGCTGGGCTGGGCTGGCGGGCCGGCCAGGGGGGGCTAGGAGCTTTCCCCGGACTTGCGAGGCAGGCAGCTGCACACCCTCGCTCCCCCGGCACGAAGCAGGCAAGCTCCCCTGATAAGAGCTCCTGTGCTGAGACGCCTGTATCTACCCACCGCAGATACGGTTTGGATTCGAGCTGAGGCCGGATGCGATGTCAGACATCTAGTTGGCACGAGACCTGCTCGTTTATCCATTGCAGAAGCAAGAACAGTGTGAAACACCCTCCCTCCCCACACAACCATCTAGTGCCGTGATCACGCAGTCTAAGCCTGCCAGAGACAGACACTGCACTATGTCCAGGAAGTGAGTACCAGGTACGGCGGCTGAGATCATGCGGACGAGGACCCTGCGGGACAGCAGCAACCACCGGCCACCCTCGGGTGAACCTTATCTGAGATGATGGATGGTCGCCTCGACTCAATCCGCAACCACTTCCAAGGACCGGCGTTCGCCACACCTGGCAGGAGCTGTCCACGACAAAGCTGATGGCTTGCCCTGCGATGGGTCCTCCTGGAGCTCACGTTGACCGTCGAAGTCCACAGTGAAGTTATGTGTCATCCCAGCATCCTCGCTTCCCCCTTGCCCGTTCCTCCAGCTCCTCCAGCAGCGGAACGGGAGGCTTGCAGATCCCGCGGTACCTACGTAGGTCAGATGGACGCGCAGATGGCACCACGTGCCCTGAGGCCGAACCGGCCACCCACACGCACCACCATGCTGGCCCTGAGTCAACTGCGAGGCGAAAAGGAGCCCATCATGCCTCTGTGGAATGACTCGAGAATTGATCTCGGTCGGGAAGCAAAGCCCCCTATGACGCCCTTCTTGACGATCCCCGCCCATTCTAGGGGAGGACTGTGCTGCGAAGAAGGGACCCCTAAACCCATACGAGCACACGGGCCATGAAAGCATATTCTACACCGCACCCTGAGGGAGGACGGTCAATATCATGATTGTCGTTCCCTCACCGAGTCCAGACGACAGGGTAAGAATACACAGGCCGATGTGCGAGCCTCTTACTAAAACTAGACTGCTTTGAGTTGGCATTCAACTAGACGACCGGTTTGGTCACCGGTTCAGATAGATATTGACACTGCAAGTCCGAACCTTCTTACACCACAGCCTTTTGCCAAGTATACAATCGTCGAGCACAAGTCCGTACAAAACATATTGAGAACCAAAATGTCCATTGTGCCGTCTATGCATGGAACCTTCCGAACATCGTAGCGCAACCGCGCAAAGGCATCCACAACACCCAGGGCATATTCCCCCCTCCCCCCCTTCTGTTTGCCCGGAGCACCAACCTGTCGTGATCTATTCACCAAAGTACCATCTATGGAGCCACTGGGAGAATCTACCAAAGGCCGGCCGGATCAAGCCGCTGTCAGCCTCGAAAACCGGCCAAAACGGATACGGCCGTCGCAGCGCTGTCCCTCTAAAGTATGCCGCCGAGAGCTGAGCGTTGGCAGCCTTCCATATCCTCCTCTCCTCGATCAGAGCTATCACCATTGTAGCGAACCACAATAACAAGATGAACAGAGCGATCTGGAAAAACGGAATCCTGGCAAGTACAGGGCGCCTCACGTTCTGCCCGGCCAGGTATCGCAAGTTCAAGTACCAGAACATTTCACCCACCCAGAGAGACAGGGACATCAAGATTTCGCGGAATCTTACGAACAAAGCGAGAATGTAAACGTCCCAAAGCAGTGTCAGGAACGTCATGACTCGATCTCGGGGTGCAGCCTCAGGCGTTGGGACGGGAGTGGCAGGAGGCGTTGGGTCGTGAAGGGCAGGAGGCGCCGACCCCTCTCTGCGTCCCGCCCCCGGGATCCGGGGGGCGATAGGATCGGTCCCGATGGGAGGCTCTGAGCTCCCGCTATCTCTCCTCCCGGGCCCGGCAGGTTCTGGCTCAGCGGGAGCGTCTGCGTCCCCTCCTCCCCTAGGGCGAATGAGACCTGCTGCTGCCGCTAGCACATTTCTGAAGCCCTCTGCGAGACTCAACGGGGGCGCGGCTCGCGGAGGCGCTGGCAGTCCAGCCATGTTTCTGCAAGTGTAGTAGGCGACCTGTGGCAATCCACCCGCCGGGGGAACGCCATATGTGCCCCTGCCACAGCAGGGGCATCTCCCACCGCGCCGGCCGCCAGGTGCTATCGCGGGGGCTTCCACTGCCGGCTCTTGCACTGCCGATCTCTCTTCCTCTGGAGGTTGTATCGGCACGGTCCCTGCTTGGTCGCCTGGGGCTTGGGCCTCAGGTTGTTCGCCCGGGGCTGGGGCATCGGCAGGGGCATCGGCAGGGGCATCGGCAGGGGCATCGGCTGGGGCATCAGCTGGGGCATCAGGCTGGCCGCCCTCCGCGCCCGCCGGATATGGTGTGTTCGGCCGGTCGGCGTCATTCGCCTCCTCGACGATGCCGAGTGCGGCCAAATCAAGCGGGGCAGGCCTCCTCCTGCCGTTGCCCTCGTCTGCCGCCGTCCCGTCGTCCGCAAACCTCACACTACGGCCGCTGCTAGCCCGAGATCGTGACGATCCTGCCCCTGATGAGCCTCCCGCGGACCTCGGCGGGTTGCCGAGAGCGAGGTCGCAAGTACAGCCGCAGGTTGGCAACTCACCCAGCTCCGGTGGGAAGCGGAAAACGGGCACGCAGTCGTCGCATGGTCCGTTGGGGTGCGTGGCGAGCCATTCCGGAATCACGCGGAGAGGCGCGAGATTCACAGCATCCGGCTCTCCAACTGACGCATTTGAGCGCCTACTGGAACCGCCGGACTGCCTGCTGGAACCACCGGATTGCCTACTGCCAGCCGCTGACTGCCTGCTGCCAGCCTCTGGCGATGTCGGAACTCCACCTAAGTTGCTACCGGAACCATCCGATTGCCTACTGCCAGCCTCCGACTGCCTCTGGACCCAGCTGAGCGATTACCGGGAGGATCCGACTGCCTGCTCCCGGCCTCTGATTGTCCCCGAGACCTGGGCGATTGTCTACTGCCAGGATCTGATGGTCCTCCCTGCGCCTCTAGTTCATCCGGGATGTTCTGAGGGCTCGCTGTGTCTGCGCGCGAGCCCGACCGGCTTCGTGAATCGCCACTTGACGACTCTCTGTCGCGGTTGCCTCCGAACAGGTTGCTAAACAGGCCAGTCCCAGGGCGGCTAGGGGGAGAAACTCTGGTAGCTTCGAGTCTCGCGACCTGTGTGGAGAGCCCTTCAGCTTCCTGCCTGAGTTGTTCTCTACTTTCTGTGACGTCGCGGAGCTGGAGCAGGAGCTGGGTCCTGGATAACTGAGCGTTTTCCGAGAATGGCGCCGTGTTGGCATCCAAACCCTCAGAATTGAGGCCGGCCCTTGCTCGGAGCCGCCGCACCAGTTCCTCATGCCGCCAGAGGTTGGTCAGAAGGTTCGTCAGGTCCGTGAAGGTCTGCTCACGCGCTGGGGATCTAGGGGGTGACCCTGCCGGCGATGTGGATGGCGCCGCTGGGGCGGATCCGTCGGAGCTGCCCTGACTTGGTGGCTGGCCCTCGGGATCCTGTCTTGGTGGTGCGGCTCGGGAGTTTGCCTCCTCAGCCTGCCGCCTGAAATAATCCACCTCGAATTCAAGTTCCTCTATTCGTCTTAGGTCGTCTCTCCGTGCTGCGTTTGTATTGACTTGCCATTGTCTTCTTTCTTCCTGTTGTGCCTCCTGTGTTCTTTGCTGTTCATCTTCGAGCCCAGTCGTAGCTTCTACGGCGTCTAGACGAGCCTGTTCTAAGGCCAGGACCTTGCCTATGAGTTCTTCCTTCGAATTTCTCCTCAGCGCTTCAGGGTGCAAGGGGGGGAGCTCCGGTTGCGATGCTTGTGAATCGAGCGACAATCTGCCAGAGGCGCGGGACGTGCCTCGCCGGCGGCCTAGGGTGGGTGAACTTCTTTCCATAAGGTCTATTATGATTTTGGCCGTGTTTTCAACATAGATCCTCTCGTCGTCGAGGCCGTTATTCACTCTATCCCTCGCCGCTTGGGTTCTTCTCTCCGTCTCCTCGATAATTTGAGTCTGGACGTCAGCCGGAACCCTCGCTCCAGCCGCTGCGAGCACTTCTCTCATGCCCGCCATCCCTTCGGCCGCAATTTCATCCAGAGTGTTGACGCCCAGCTGGAATTCCCACTCCTGGGCGCGGCCACGTTCCTGCTTCCATTTGACCCAGTCATTCGTGACTTCATAAACCCTCATTTGATCGAATATACCGAGGAAGGCGCGGTTCCGTCTGTTGGACACCCAATCAGGGTCTACGGGCGTGGCAAGAAAATCCCCTCGATTACCACCTGCGCTCCGTGACACAAAAGGACTGGGCCGATTGCGTACTCCGATGGGGGTCGGGGTGTTCTCTCCTCTGGCTTCGAGATCGGCAACCTCAGTATCGATCGAGAGCCCCGTATCGGCGCGTGTCGCACGGGGGCCGGCATTGTCTTTACCTGGAGGGGATCCCGCGCCCTCCTTCGAACCGCTGCCTTGGCTGTTAAGCCTACGGCGGGAAGGGCCAACGAGCTCGGGAACCTGTGGTTCAGGAGTCTTGGATCCTGGCTCCTCCACGAGAGAAACAGGTCGAGACCCAGATGTTACTGACTGGTTGGACCCCTGGGGAATGTTGCCTGCGCTACCAAGCGTGGCCGAGGTAGCACGTCGGCCACCGATCAATCGCGTCAAACCAGACAGGAAGCCGCCCTTTGACGGTGTCGCAGGGACAGCTCCAGCTGATGAGGGTGTTTGTGCAGAGTTCTCATCCTGCGACTGTGGGCTGAAGGGCCCGGGGAGTTCTGGACGCACTGGGTCAGCCCCTTGAACGGCTCCTTGTTGAGGCTGCCCGGTGGCACTTGTGTCTTGCGTGCCTCCTCCGTCTGGGTTCTGGTCGGCGCCGGCCGGTGGCTGAGGGGGCTGAGCATCGCCGCCAACATTAATTTGGTCCCAGTCTGCGTCCTCTGGTTCCAGGAGAGCGGCCAAAGGATCATCTGCTGTTGGCTCAGGAGATGGTGGTTTGTTTCCGTCGCCATCATCACCGCCCGTGTTCGACATCGCGGCTGGCAGCAATGGTATTCGAAGTGCCAGTGGATTGTTGCTTCAAGTCTTCTACGACAATCCGCTCGTAGGCAACTCTAACAGCTTTAGACAGAACAACCTGGGTACTATCGAGCGCGACACCTTCTCGGTGCTTCGCTGGTTAAAGACCCTCTTATGCCGCTGCACCATTCCATTGTCCCGTACGCATGAAGTCGGACGTTTGTGATAAAGAAACTCTCCAAAAGCAGTAAATTGAGGACATTTTGATGAAAACGGCGATGCGTACGAGTGAGGGGATGGAAGTGAAGACCAGCGGCTTTGTGTTGTGCTCATGAACGCGAAAGGGGCGTCCTAGCCGGGGCAAACCATTGTCAACGGATCCGGACGTCACTGCCCACCAACTCGTCGGAAAATCACTTGCGCCACTCACTGCACGTCGGAAAACTTTCCCTCCTGTTGAATTGAGCCTCGTGTGGGCATCTCTTCGTCGCAATTTCATTGAACTCGAGCCCATAAGTCATCAGGCGCAGCCTGTACTCATAAACGCTACCGCTGGTCGAATGTCGTATGTAAGCGGTGCGCCCCATGGAAAGAGGCCCTCAAGAATGAAATACTCTCGCAATGAATCCCCAAGTCTTTTTTTTGGCTGGCTGAGTATGATCATGACCAGGTCCCTCGCAAACGCCGAACGCCCTTTGCTGCACCCAGCCCAGTGGCCCTTTAGCTATACGCTCTGCAAGGTTTGACATGCGACGAGTGATGTGGATCTCTTGCTCGTCTAGCTGTACCAGCCTCGCGCTCCTGGACCCTGTGTTTGTGACTCCTGTCTGTGTTCAATTATGGGCTCTTTGATGCTGAAGGCCTGTATAAGATCCCTCCACGTTGGCATGTCGATTGACATAATTGCTTGCCGCTTCATGGTCCCATGTTTGGAGACCGAGTTTGACGGCTGTCCCTTTTCACCAGCGCTGGATGGGCCTAATTGATGTCAGCAAGATGTACAGTCGAAGAAGCCATTAGTGTCCAGACTCACAAAGAGATGGGAGCCCATTCTCCTCGAAGTGCACTTCCACCATTCCCTCGCGAATTAAGAAGCTCACGTAAAACATATTCTCCACTGTCTGGCCGAAAGATCTAGGATTGATGCAAAACCGCACCAGATCCATGTTGCCTGTCTCTGTGACGCCCAATATTTCCATTGCCCGTTCCATCTGCTCGTCATCTACGCTGTCGTCGTCTTGCATCTTCTGCAGCTCATGTATCGCTGTGTCTCGCACCGACTTGAGCTGCTTCAAGATCTTGGTGCAAATGGCAGTGAGGTCGTTCTCGTTCTTTGCAAGGTCCTCAGTATTCAAGACTTCAGGCCGAACCTCCTGTAAGTCCCGTACACGCAGCGGGGCCGTCCTTGTGACCAGTTTCCGGACTTTCTTCTGTACCGACAGCGGCCCAAGCAGGAAACCCGAAAGTGCTGGTCTCCTCACGTTGGGAATGCAGGCGTACCGCCCGAGGTGCGCCCAGTCCATCATATCACCACCCTCCTCGTCATCCGAAGCGTCGTCGTCGGATCCAATGGCGCCTCGTTGCGCACCGGCCCGACGGTTGCGCTGGGTGTGCGTCAGCTCCTCGTCCTCGTCGTCCGCTATGCCGGCGCCGCGGCGCATGTACGTGATGCACTTGGAGACGAACTCGTCCGTGTCAATGCCATTGCCCAGGTTCCCGGCGGTGAGTTTCTGCAGCTTGCGGCTCTGGAGGTCGACCAGCGTAACGAGGGCCTTGGAATCGATGGCAGCCTCGTTTGTCTGTTTAATATTCTTGTTGATCTCCTCGAGGCGTGCGAGTGCCTCGGCGACTTTTGTGGAGCCGACCTGCATGTAGGCCTCTGCATTCTCATGCATGTCTCTCTCGAGGTTGCGGATGCTCTGCTGGATCTCGCGACGCTCCTCGAGCGACTGCTCTGGGTCATATTTGCTTGCATCTTCGTCGGGCTCCATGATTGGTGTACTGGGAAGTGAGAGAAGCCACGAGTGAACTGGGAGAGTCAGGACCAAAGTGCACAGAACAGAAACGACGGGTTGAGATGAAAGACGTGAGCGATCAGGATGTTGGACCCTGACGCGACTAATTAGATGGGAGACGCGTTCAGGTGAAAGTGCTGCGGGCGGGTACAGTGAAGCGTGGGGTAGGCGCTGACGCCATACAGGGGCTGCCCTGTCCTCCAGCGCAGCTCTCCTTTCTGATAACGGCTTATCGGAAGCTCATGTTAGCGCTGCCTGCCGCTGAGGCCCCATTTGCTGTGGGCGCAGCCGTGCTTGCGGTGATGATCTCACAGGCAAACAGGCCAAATGATCTATGCTTTGCGATTCCGCAGTTGACCATTTCCACCACCTCCTCGTCAACTCACCTTGGCTATGATCCCGCTCCTCAGTTGAACATCGAAGCATCTGGCTTCTGAGAACTGCCATTTTGCAGCTATCGGGCTGGACACAAGGCAAGATATGAAACGATGGAGCCATTCTCTTTCGCGAGTTCCGAGGCAGTCCAATATCCTGTCAGGGTCCGCATGTAAGCATATCTTCGCACTCGGAAGATCATGTGTCTGTGCCTTCTGATGCGCCTGGACTGTACTGACTCTTTTCAGAATCAACTTGGAAGGCGACGAAACCCCTTACCTGTTCTCCACGCTCCTCGAGAAAGCAGAGCTTCGCCATGTCGGGTCCAACACCAGCCCTCACTCGGACCTCTATGTCACGGTGCAAGTTTGGGCAGGCTCAAAGCCCCTGACAGTTCCTGTCCAGACAGCATACAAAGCTTTCAGGACAGAACGGAAATGGAACGAGTGGCTGACGCTGCCGATAAACTACTCCAACCTGCCAATCAACTCGTGCCTCGCCGTCACAATATGGGACCTCTCCCCCACGGGTGGCAACAACGCCCAGGGGCATGCGATTCCCTTTGGCGGCACCACACTCCCCTTGTTTGACAAGGATAACCAGCTCCACAAGGGACGCCAAAAATGTCATGTTCACAGACACAAGCTCGCCGACGGCAATGACAACACGACTACACCGGCGGTTGAAGGGAAAAAGAAGCCGGGAAGGAAAGGCGAGATCGTCGTTGTTGATAAGGACGCTGAAGAGATGGACCGAATGGAAATACTATTCAAGAAACACGAGATGGGCGAGATAGCCAAGGTGGACTGGCTAGACCAACTGGTCTTCCGTGGCTTCGAGAAGCGCAACCTGCAGGTTGCGAAAGCATCCGTCAAGGACTTGGAGCGGCAGCGTGCGCACAAAAGCGCCGCCAGAGACAGCAATGGAGAGAACACGCAAGAAACGGACCGAAATGGAGACACTAGTCCTGGACCCTCCAAGTTCACACTCAACGTGGAGCTCCCCCGTTTCGACTTTCCAGTCGTTTTTGCTGATCACGAATACGCCCCACCACCAATATCCTCGTTACAACATCTCTCGGCCTCACAGTCTAACATTCAGCTCAAACCGCCCCCAGAAGTCATGTATGGCCCCGGTATCGACGGCGTTGGTGTATCAGATGGCGTGGGGAGTCGACTCGTCCGCGTATATGACCCCGAGGTAGGGCAGAGAGACAATCCGGCCGAGAGTAAGCACAGGCGGCTCGTCCGAAGCCAGCATAGGCATGGGATACTGGACAAAGACCTCAAGCCGAACGCGAAGACGCGAGACGAGCTCAACAACATTATGGAGTACTCTCCGACACAACCCTTGTCTCCTGAGGAGAAGGATCTCATATGGAAATTCCGGTACCACCTGAACCGTGACAAAAGAGCACTTACCAAATTTGTCAAATCCGTCAACTGGCAAGATCAGAGCGAAGCCAAACAGGCCGTGCAAGTTCTCGGCAGGTGGACCGACATTGATGTGGACGATGCTCTGGAACTCTTGGGACCGACCTTTGACAATGCCACTGTGCGAGCCTACGCTGTCCGACGATTGCACAAGGCAGATGATGACGAGCTCCTGCTTTACCTTCTTCAGCTCTGCCAGGCCCTCAAATTCGAGCACATCTCTCCCGAGTCTGGTCAAGAAGTCACACAGGACTCATCGTTGGCCCAATTTCTGATATCCCGAGCAGTCAACAACTTCATACTCGGCAATTACTTTTACTGGTACCTGATGGTCGAATGTGACGACGTTAGCGACGACCAAGCACCTGAAGTCCGGAAGATGTTCCAGAAGGTGGCCTTCGACTTCATGACCGAACTCGAAAAGCGTTCGGACGGCAAGGAGACGAGGAAGCTGCTCTTGCGGCAAGCCGAGTGGATTGCGATCCTATCGAGGATTTCCATCGAGATTAAGGAATCGAATGAGTCGATACCTCGAAGAACGGACCGGGTGAAACACTTCTTGGCTGATCCCAAGAACGAGCTGATCACCATTGACCCACCCTTACCATTGCCGCTTGACCCCTCCGTCAAGATCGTCGGCGTCGCGCCGCAGGAAACGATTGTTTTCAAATCATCCCTTCACCCTATCAAAGTGGCTTTCAAGACCACGACAGGGCAGAACTACCCAATCATCTTCAAGACGGGAGACGACTTGCGGCAGGATCAGCTGGTGATCCAGATCATCACGCTCATGGACCAGCTTCTGCAAAAAGAAAATTTGGACCTTAAGCTCACCCCCTACAAGATCCTCGCCACGAGTACGAGCGCGGGTCTGTCCCAGTTTGTCCCCTCGATGCCGTTTCAAAATATCGTGACCAAGTACAAGAACGCCCCCGTGCTCGCCTATCTGAAGCAGAACAATCCCGACGACAAGGCGCCGCTCGGCCTGCGCAAAGAAACACTGGACACGTTTGTCAGATCATGCGCCGGATATTGCGTCATCACGTATATTCTGGGAGTCGGTGACCGACATCTGGACAACCTCCTCCTCGCCCCTGATGGGCACTTCTTCCACGCCGATTTCGGCTTCATCCTGGGCCGCGACCCCAAGCCCTTCGCGCCAGCCATGAAGATCTCCAAGGAGATGGTCGAAGCCATGGGGGGCACGAACAGCGAGCAGTACCGCCAGTTTACACAATACTGCTACCTGGCGTACGCCGCTCTACGGAAGTCGAGCAATTTGATTCTCAACTTGTTCAGTCTGATGGTAGACGCGAACATCCCAGACATCAAGCTCGAGCCGGATAAGGCGGTTGTAAAGGTCAAGGAGAGGCTGCAGCTGGAGCTCAACGAGGAGAATGCCCTGCGGCATCTGGCGAGGGTGATTGACGATAACTTGTATGCGTACGCGCCGGTGATGATAGATCGTTTGCATGCGATGACGCAGGCATTCCGAGCCTGAAGCAGACCTCCCAAGCTGTCCGCCTGTGGGCCAGACCGCCAATGGCGTAGAGAATCTGGGACTGGTTGCGATGGATTATGGGGTTATCTTGCCACTGCTATGTACAATTTTATCTGCGTTGATACCCACTCGAGCGAGAACACAGTGCAGCCTCTTCGGCTTGTGTGATTGCACCTTGTGTGATTGCACCTGCCCGCTTCCTGTAATATTCATTCCCAAAAAATGCGGGTTGCATTTAGATCACGCGTCGCCAAACACAAAAACGCCCTTGCCGGCCCTGAAGCCCTGCAGCGTGCCCTGGACAGCCTCCCTAAGCGTCGCCTCCTCGGTTTGCCAGTTCCACTCAACCTCCTGCACAGGTGCGTCCCTGAATTTGCCCTCCCTGATCAGGCCCAGTATCTCGTCGACGGTGTTCTTCTTGCCTTCGCGGTCGGCGTTGGCCCAGCGGCTCAGCCAGAAGCCCTGGAAGCGCAGGTCTCTGAAGATGAGGAGGCCGGTGGGCAGCATGACGGGCTGCTTGGACATGGCGCCGTAGGTGACGAGGGTGCCGCTCTCGCTGAGGCACTTGGCCATGGCGGTGGCGGACTTGCCGCCGACGCAGTTGAGGCCGAGGGTGACGGGGTCCCTGCCGCCGCGGGTGAACTCGTCCCGCAGGCGGGCCGTGAAACCCCTGTCGAGGAACTCGGCCTCTGTGACGACTGCCGTCGCGCCCAGGTCGAGCAGCTCGCGGCGCAGCTGCTCGGTGGCGGTCTGGTCCTCGCGCTCGCGGATGACGTTGATGCTGCGCAGGCCCCACAGGCGGCCCAGCTGGATGGCAGCGCGGCCGACACCGCTATTGGCGCCGTTCTGGATGAACCACGCGCCGCCGGCGGCCGAGGAGTCCCGCTGGAAGGTCCGGACGGACTGGCCGATAAGGTCGACGTAGTCGCGCAGCATGCGGTAGGCGCTGCAGGGGTTCACCGACACGGTGGCCACCTGGATGGGGTCGAGCCCGCTCTTGTCGACCTTGAGCAGCGACGCTTCGGCGTTCTCGACGAGGGCGTGGGTGCGCCACGTGCCGAAGCCGGTCGAGGCCGGGATGCACCAGTCGCCCTTCTGCAGGCCCGTCACGCCCGAGCCTACCGACAGCACCTCGAGGCAGCCCTCGTTGCCGGGGATGGAGGACGGCTCGGAGGTGCCGATGGATGTGTCGTAGGACGGCTTGGCGCCGTAGGTGCCCTGGACGGTGTTCACATCGGCCGGGTTCACGGGCGCGGCGAGGGTGCGGACGAGGACCGAGTTGGAGGGGATCTGCGGCGAGATGGAGTGATTGTGTAGCCTGGCCGGTAAATCAGCGGGTGCTTCGAGTGATTGAGTGATTGACGGCCTCGATTTGGGCATCTATCTGTACCTCAGCACATCGGAGGGCTCGCCCGGTTTAGAGAAGACGAGCGCTTTAGCCTGTGTGTAGCCATACGGGCCGGATTTGTGGCGGACGGAGGCGGCGCCGAGTGGTCGGGAACTGCTCTTGCATGCGGCGGCGGCTCGTGGGCGCAAGAATGTGAGGTTCAGGCAACGAGCCGGTCTTATCGTGGCCATCGTGAAGCTCTCAGGGGACTGTTTCGTGATAGCAGCTCCAGTTCCTCTGGTGTTGGGAATTGGGGACCCGGGTGGGATGCTGGGGTGTTGGGGTGCTACAGTGACTTGCTAGTACTACGGGTAGCTACTGTAGCTTCCTTAGCTGTTTAGCAGCTGCAGACGGAGCTCCGTTGAGGCCCCGGGGATGTCGGCAGCATGACGTCGACTCGGGGCAATGGAGCTCTCAGACGGCGGGCATCGAAGTCCCTAAGTACCCAAGTACCGGGGGGATTCAGCTAACCCCTGCAGCCCCCCGGGCTTCATGTCGGCCCTAACCCTGTCATTAAAACTTATTGCTAGAACAGACTCCAAACTAAGTGAGCGGCTCAATTGATACATTATAAGCAACGCCTTTACATCAATCATATCACTGACGACTTGTTTGGACCAATTTAAATCTCATCTCTCTCACTTTGGATTTTCAGTCTCATCTTGTAACATTGACTTCACTTGGTGGGTTCATTCCCAGAGGAGTCCTGGTCAAAACTCCCCGATTTGTCCGGCTTTGAGTTCAGACTAGGAGTATCTCGCGAGTTCCTCCGTTGGGCGTGGGAACATGCCTCGGTGAACACGATCTTGGGTACTCTTCTTGGTCGGAGGAACTGGTGCACGTCCATACAACATGGCATCAATATTAACAGAAACAGCTGCGAACACAGCCAAGGCCGCCTTCTCATCCGCCACCCTCACATCCGCCGCCCCTTTCACTCCCCGGAAAACCTTCGACGTCTCCTCTTCAATAGTCCGTTCATACTTTCTCGGACATCATCATGCCGCTCTGTCGCGTATGCGCCGCACTCTTTCTAACGTCGGCCTGGTCATCGAGTGTCGGGACATGCGGGTCCCCCTGACCTCCTGGAACCCCCTCTTGGAATCCACCCTCATGTACGGCAACTCCCTCAACTTCGGCCGGGGAGGCGACAAAGGCTTTGTTCCTGGTAGCAGCAGCGGGGCCTGCCGCGCACGCATCATCGTTTATACGCACAAGGACCTCCTGCCGGGCGCTGAGGCGCACAGGATAGCCCAGACACTAGCCGCCTTCCACGAGAAACATGGGGCAGGCAACACCTCCGTGTTATTCCATGGCGCTGGGAACGAGAGCAAGGGCACCAAAGATCTGCTGAAAGAAATCAAGCGCGTAGCAAAAGACGACGAGAGCATCACGGGCCTGCGAGCACTGGTGGTCGGCATGCCCAACGCAGGCAAGTCATCACTCCTCAACCGCCTGCGGTCACAGGGCAAGCCAACTCGGGGTGGTGCCTCCAAGGTCGCCAAGACGGGCTCCGAGCCGGGCGTCACGCGGAAGCTCGGCACGCCGGTGCGAATCATCGCCGGGGATGACAACTCGGAGGGTGTCTTTGTCCTGGACACGCCGGGAGTGTTCATCCCGTACGTGCCGGACGCCGAGGCGATGCTCAAACTCACGCTCGCGGGCTGCGTCAAGGATGGGCTTATCTCGTGGGTCACCGTCGCCGACTATCTCCTCTTCCATCTCAACCTATTTGACCCAACCGGGAAGGTCTACGCTGAGTTCTGCGAAGAGCCCACGAACGATGTCCATGAGTTTCTGAAGGGCGTAGCCAGGCGCACGGGGAAGCTCATGAAGGGTGACGAGGAGTTCTTGGAGGGCGCTGCCGACTGGGTGGTCAGGAGGTGGAGGAACGGCATGCTTGGACAATTTGTCTTGGACGAGGTTACCTGGAGCAGCCTCGAGGCGGCAAGGAAGCTGAGCTTGGAGCCGCCGTTGAGTATGAACCAGGCGAGGAAGCGAGAGAAGGAGGCGAGGAAGGATAGGGCATTGGCGAAGCATGCCCAGAAATAGGAACTTCTCAGGCGGTCGCTGAGAAGTGAGAAAGAAATGATACCCTGCTCCACAGCACTCATGAAGCATCTCTCCAAGCTTGCGCTCGATAGTGCTCTTAGAGATGTTTTCATCCCATGTTACGCTTGAGCTGCCCCCCCCCCATTCCAACCAAGGCTTTGCAAGCTTTTGCTGCCAACTGTTTACCTGTGTTGACTTTCGCCGCGTCGAGGCGTTCCTTGCAGAGCTCTTCTACCTTCTCTCATTGCACCACCTTCTGCCTCGAGCAACCCTCGCCTCGCATACTACCTACCGTCTTTCAGGCTCGCCTTTGTTGACTCCTCGCGTCTCTTCTTGTCGCGACCCACTTCCCTTCCAAGCTGCTTCTTCCTTTCAAGACTTTCAGCACAACCAATCTCTCGGTCGGTCTTGTGCACTGAAGCGATAACGCTGACGCTACATATCCTTTGCAGTCGTTCAGGTATGCCGTTAACCTGACCACATCTCATTCGCTCCCGCTCACGTCGCAACCTACTTCTTTCAAGACAAATTCGAGTAGCAAGAGACCCAGAAGTTGGCCATCATGAATGGCGGATCGAGCGCGAAACGGGAGGTGCACGCCCGGTTGACTACCATCTGCCCGAACGATGATCCAGCAGAAATCTTCTTCGACCTGTGTCCGACTCTCGAGGAGCTCCACGACGTCACTAATGCAGATGCTCTGACGAAGATGAAGAGCCGTATTGAAACTATGCTGGCTGCGTTCAACATCGTTTGTCACAACGGCAAGGTTTCCAAGGACCATGACTTCAACTTCATCTTCGATTCGTTTATCAAAGGAGCATCACAACAATCACTCAACTCCATGACGCTTTTTGAAGAGTCCATGGCTTCCCTCGCACTGAACAAGAGCCGCAACGGGGGTTGGTCAAGCCAGGGGACGAAGAAAGATCAGCTTCTGACCTACTACCTCTGGCGCCTCCACGGCTCAAAGGACGAGGCATCTCCTTTTCCAGTTTCAGTCCCCGCAACAACCCAGGTCATGGGAGCCTTCCAGGAAGCCTCCCATGACTTCTTGCCATCATCGACAACAACGCGCGGTCCTTGCTCCAACTGCGGTCATGCGCAGTCTACAAATTGGTGCTCTGGATGCCGCATCTTGAAGTCTGGCAAGATTGTCTTCGCCACTTTCTACTGCGATCGGGGTTGCATGAAAGCCCACTGGAAGGCCCACAAGCCTGCTTGCAATGAAGTGCGCGTCCTGCGGCGCGCCGCGGCACTCTTCACTGAGCTCTGGCTTGAATACTCACAAGTCACCAATCCTGGCCACATTGAGTCCGTTACCGAAGACAACGGTCTGATAGAAATAAATCTCCGGCCAATTGAACGATTTAAGTCTCTGGTCCAAGCTGTGGCCCGCCCATTCCCGCGACATCTTGTCGCGTCGGAAGAGCAGGCGCTGGCGTGCATGGCGCTGGCAACTTGCGAGGCTGTCCTTGATCAGGGCAGGAATCTGTTCGAGCTGATCATGCGTCGTAAGAGCCCCATTATTGAATACAAAGCCTGCTCGTGTAATGTCGCTAACTCAATATTCAGCTGCTTGTGCGGTCGTAGAGGCCGTCCGCGTTCAGTCCAAGAACGCACACAAGACCGCTCACGTTTCCTATCGCTCCAACCATCAAACATTCCCATCCATGTGTCTCCACTCAGTCATCCGGTTTACCCTGCCCTCGGGTTTGAAGTTCGCCTTCGATCCCACTGGCGCCCAGAACGGTTGGCAAGAACACCTCGCTCCCTGGGACGAATACGCGAAGCATCGCGTCCACTTTATTCAGGAAGTCAGAACGATCGACGCATGGGGCCTCGAGCAGTGCATGGCCAATCTTGAAAAAGACGTGTTGTCCGCCGGCGGAGGAACCGGACATCCGGGACTGGACCTGGAACTGGACCAAAAGATAAGGCTTGCGCTTGTGGCTGTTGCGGTGGAGCCTGGCCTGAGTCTTATGCTCAGCAAGAAAGGAACGGCGGAGCTCTTTTACAAGCTCTCCAACGACCGTTACGATGCCGTCAAGGAGCTGATTATCAGGCTTGTCAGTGAGACTTTTGACAAGCTACGCCAAAAGAATTGACGAGTAATCGGCGAAGAAGCTTTCCTGGATCAAGACTTACGGTCCACATGACGCAGGACTTAGATCAATCCCATTGCTTGGTGAAGACCTCAGTCTCGGAGGCGGGGTATGAGAAGGTTGTAGGCGACGGCTCGGGCGGCGGGAAGCTGAACAGAGTCTGGTTTGATCAGTTCGAGAAGGTGCTGATGGAATGGGAGAAGTGACAAGATTCTCCGACGGTGCTGGAGGGACGCTGAGGGGATGTGCGCCTGGATGGCACACACACAACAGCGGTCAGAAGCCGCAAGAGACGGCTTCGTATTGAAGCTGCCCTGACTAGTCGGTTTGTGTTCCTGGTAGGTGTGCTGGAAGCTGATCGAGTACTTCACATTACTTGTAATAGACCAAAACACTTAGCGGGCTCGTCGAAGCCCATGAGCTCCAGTCAAAATAGAGCAGTCGTGTCTTTTCATGTTCCCATGTCCCAACACAATTCTCCTGAAGGAATTCTTGCCATAACCGACAACTTGATCATAATCTTTCACGAGTATGTATGGGCTAAGAAAGCCCACCTCAACCCGAAATCCGGTTTCAGGTGATCTTACAAGCATGAGATTTCCCTGAAGCTGATTTCTCACTAAAGGTCATCCCACAGTACCTCAATCCACAAGAGGTCATTTCGCCAAAGATAGTCTAACCAGAGGTCGCCTCACTAGAAGGCTGCGTTGACCTGTGTCACATTGAAACCCATGATTCCTGGGACCTACAATGACCTCTTCTGGCACTAATGATATTTTAGAGACACTGCCAAAGTAACTGTGACTTCAAGCCTTCAAGAAATGGAATGCTTGATCCATCCACCCAGCACAGCTCTGCATCAAACAGTACCCGCTTTCATCCTATCACCTCTGGGTATCAGCAATCGTCCTGCTATATAACATCTCGGCCTCCATCATCTCACTCGTTGGTGATATGTACAAGGATTTCTTTTGACGCATGGACACGTCTTGCTATGAACCGTGAAAGACCGTAGCGGAAAGCCTTCGGGAGTGAACGCCGGCATTATGCAATAATTCGTATATCAAGACCATCTCGGTCTGAGACCAACAGACGCCACTGAGCTGCCGTCCAATATGCAGCCCTCGCTCCCGGTATAAAAAAAAAGGGCCGTCAAGCGTTTTGAAAGCAACTGGGAACCAGACACCGTGGAGCTTATGAAGCAAACTCCTGCTGCCATTTGACCAGGTCGGTCGACAGACGCGCCATCATCTCCATGGACGAAAGATCCTTGAAGTCTTTCTGCTCTCCTGTCGGGCGAGCGCTGGAGCCCAATTCGCCATTAGCAAGTTCGGACGCCTTTTTCTGTCCTGATCGGGCACCGTTCCCGCCGGTCTGTGGAGCGACGACTTCGACAGACTTGGGACTGTCGGTGTTCGGCGGTGTCGCCTCTCCGGCCATCTCGACCTGTGTTCTGGATATGTAGTCTAGCATTGCGCTGGCCTTCCGCTTCATGTCAGTCATCGACACCTTGCTATTAAATCCGCCCTTAGTCCGTGAGTGTGGCTTGTGTGAGGCCTCGCCCGATTTGGAATGATGTGCATGTCCAGTGTCGTGTCCCTGTACGTCTCTTGACTGAGACCGCGCTGGAGAAGTCTCGTCGCGCACGTCTCGATCCTTGGTGTACTGATTTCTCCCTTTGCCTTTCTTGGCTTGGGCCCGTTTGGGCTTCGATGAGCTTTGAGCGGGTGCGTGGGTTGGGGGCGTATCGGGTGTTGGTTGTGATGAGGGCGGTGCCTCGACTGTGAACGTCGTCTCCACCTTGCCCTCGCTCGCTCCTGTCGCCGTAGTCGTCGCTGTGGCCGTCGCCGTCGCCTTCTCGCCCGCCGACCGGCTGGCTACCGTCCGGGTTGCCAATGGCAACTCCTCCGAGGGGTCTGAATCTGTATCCACTTGAGCCTCCAGCCCCTTCACAAGAATCGTAGATGCGGGTGTGCTACCATCAGCTCGCCGGCGTTCTGCTCGACCGCTACGCTTTTTTGCTGCTTCAGCCCTTTGGCGCTCACGTTCCTCCCGCTCCTTTTCCTTGTGCTGGCCTTGGTTGCGAGTCACCAGGTTGCGGGACTTCTTCGATCCGCTTCTGTTATTTAGGGCTTCTTCGGAATCTTCGAGGGCATCTGGCTGCTCATTGTTGTCCTCTGCCGGCGAGGGGGACTTGGACTTTGTCCGTTGCCTTTTGCCAGCGTCTTGTTTCCTGCAAACGCCTCTGTCAGTCGCTCACTGTGTTACCAGAGAGAAGCAACGTACTCTTCACTGTCGTCGCGGCCACGCTTGGATCTCCTGCTACCACTAGCACTATCAATGGCGCTGTCTTGGCCAACAACCTCCTTGCTGGCCTCAATGGCGAGGCGAAGCTGCTCCTCCTCATCATAAGCTGCGTCTCTACTGTTCATGGTAGATCTTCTCTTGGATGCCTGAGTGATCGACGATTGCCGACCGCTTCTCGTCTCCCTCTCTTTGCTGTCTTTGTCCTTTGGGGATCGTGATCGCGTGGTGGACTTTCGGTGGTTAGGAAGGATAGGAAAGTAGTGCGAGTAGCGTTGTCTGAGAGCCACGGAGTCAGTCTTGTCGGAAGCATCATAGTGACCAAACAGGCCATTGACACTCGAGCACCTCGAGGTAGATGAGAGGGTGCGATGTTGAAACTACAGCGCCCTGATACACAAGAGCGCTGAAGAAAGAAACAGAGCTTACCCATTGCTGGCTATGTGTACTTTGTGGAGGTCTTTCCTACACTCCTCACAGTAGTACTCATCCGGTGTCGTGTCCTCACTCATAATTCCGACGCAAGCACCATGCTGCCAGACATTACAAACGTCGCACTGCACGAACAGCCCAGCCACGTCATCGTTAATGTCGGATGGCAGCAGCGGCTCGACGTCAATTGAATCTTTGGGGCCATGCTTCTTGTCATCATCCACCGGTGGCGGGCCGGGATAGTCGTCGAAGCCACAGACGCAACGGACAGCGCCGTCGTCCTCTTCGAGCAGTTCGTCTGGGTCGCCGGCCATCTCAATGGTGTCGCGATGTGGGAGTGGTTTGTCGCGTTCCTCTTCTTGTCCTTGGGCACGAGTGCGACGCCGCCTGGTGGGCAAATCGTCGGTGCTCGCGACAGACTCGTCGGGCGGCTCGTCAGAGAGGCTGGGGGTGGACTTCTGAGGGGAACCGGTCTTATTGACGGATCTGGTGTTTCGCTCAGGTCGACCCGAGAGACTCGAGGATGTAGACGAATGCTGTGATTGCGGCTGCGACTGCGATTGTGACTGTACTGTTCTTGCACGTGAACTCCGTCTCGGTGGAGAGTTCCCTGCCATTGCTTGCCACGAGGGCTGTGTGGGGGAGAGGCGGGAGGCGGGAAGCGGGAGGAGGAATGGTGCGACGCGCAGAAAGCTGGACCTAGCCTCTCCAATGAAAGACTGGCAGCCGTGTGGCGGGAGAACGAGGGATAGAGAGTCGAGGGAGGGGAGCGACCGTTCTGGAGCTTGGTAGGAACGGTGAGGACGAAGGCAATTGTCGAGTAGAGAGGGGTGAGAGAGTGAAGTCGAGCTTCGTGGTAGGTGGAAGAGGCGTCGAGATTAGTTCGAGGGAGGCAAGGACGGAACGAAGGAGGTTTGCTGCTTGAGCAAGCAGACAACCATGACTGGGAGAAGACTGTAGGGAGGAACCAAGAGCGTCGACGGCAGGTAGGGCTGGACAGAGCAGCAGGACGAGGAGAGAGAGGCAGGTTTGGAAGGTGAGGTGGTTCAGGACCGGAGCGGAGGATGGACGAGTGGGAAAATCCAAACCCAATAATGCTGAGCGAGAGGGCAGCGCAGCGCAGCGCAGCGCAGCAGAGCACCGAGCAGCTCGCATCGGGCCAAAAGCCAATGTGCCGGAGGTACCCTTGCTGCATGTACAGTGTGTGCCTGGTTCCGTTTTGTGGGCGGGGTCTGCTAGGCAGGACTCCCTGCGCCCGGCTGCCAGAGCGTAGGATCAAGGTCTCAGCCTAACAGGCGTTTTCTGGGACGGCTTGTTCACCATCAGCAAATGGAAGGCTCCATTCCGTTCACCAGAGAAACCGGAGCTCTCGTCGATACGGGAGGCCATTGCGAAGAACAACAAGCACAAAATGATGATGTGAGAAGGGGACGGATAAGTACTGTATCCATGGATATGTAAGCGCTGTAGTCGGCGCAGGCAGTCCGGCCGAGACCTGATGAGCCTGGGTGAATGGACGTCAGGTTTCTCGGAGTGTGGATGTGAGTGAGGATGGATGAGCTGGCTGGAGTGAAATCTCGTCGTCTGGGGGAAAAGAAGGTGAGTGCGAGTTGGCTGATGATTGATTGAACGGTCGATTGATTGGATTGAGGAGCGCCGTGGGATGGGCCAGGTGAGTGAGGTCAGTGAGCCGATGACAGAATGGAGGGGGGGAGCAGGGGTTTGTTCAAGAGAGAACGGCCCTGACTGACGGCAACGGCCAGGGCGGGCCGCTCACCTGGTACAGAATGGTACTGAATGGATTCATCACAACCCCTCGAGATCAATCAAGCAGTCATCAACAAGCAGTCTGGACAGTTGACCATTGATAATCTCAGACATCCAGACTGCTGCCAGACTGCTGCCCAGACCGAGTTGAGCTGTCGCGGCCGCCCGCCAACTCGGCATGGGGGGCATCCACCTCCCCAGCTTAGGTAACCCTGCTCGCTCATCGGTCCTGGCTCCCACCCAGTGCCACAGGCCCGATTATCATTGACCCATCCCATTATCAAGAATTCCCGTGTGTGCTATGCGTTTTAGGGAGAGCCCCCCAATTCCCGACTGACCACCTTGTGCTGCATCCTGCATCCAGCAATCTGTATTTCACACAAAGTCCTGGCCCAGCTTGAGGTTGGAGAGAGCATCGACCTTGTCCGAGTCTCCTCCTTGGTCCTGCTGCATCATTACCCTTTGCCCGCATGCTTGTTCGTCCCCGTTGCTTCTGTCCTTGCCGCGACTCTCTGTCAGTCGTCATTCTCGCTTGGCCCCCGGCCCCCGACAGGCGGGCAGTCGACCTTCCTGAGACGCAAACCCTCGTTCCGGGCCCCAACAAAGGTGGGTGGACTCCGATCCTGCTCTGTTATATACCAGCCGTTCAAAACAGCAATGGCAATGCCATCGAACCTGCTGCGACCGGGGAAGGGCCGGCAGCTTCGTTCGCCCGCGTCTGGATTCTCGCTGCGCAGGGTGATGACTCCGCCGCGGGGGGCGACCGCTGAGTAAAAGCAGTATGGAGACAGTGGGGGAGCTTGCTTCCTGGCCCGTTGCCCTCGCCCTCCAGCAAGGTTGGCCAGTCGAAAGCACCTGGTGGGCGGTTTGGGACGGTCATTTCTGTTGCTTTTTTAGAATCTGTGTCTGATGACGGTGTCTTTTGGGCAGGCGAGACGGCCACGATACCCAACTAACTGTGCACCGAGCTGGCGACGACGCTGCCGCCCACCACCGCCTCCTCCACCCCCTAGAGCTGCCCCCGGGTCCGCTGCTTCGCTATTGCCGATCAGTTGCGAACAAGACGGAGAAGGGAAGAAAAGATCGGTTTATTGGGAGCTGGACTTCGCGGCTTGTTTGGAGTAAAGCTCGGAGACTCTGTCTTGTAAGGCCGTCAACGGTCAGTCAGTACCTGGTTGCCTTGCCCTGCATTGCCCTGCCTTGCATCGCCTCGCCGCGTTCATTCTTTCCCTCCCATGGCACCTTTCAAGCTTGTCCCGCGGGGAACAAGTCCCTTCCCAACACCTACCACCCCCAAACTCTACCTTCCTTCGCGACCCATAATCAAGACACCACTATGCCCCTCTCACAGAACCCGGGCACGGCTATCGGCGTTCTCGCGGGCGACCCAGCGCGCGAATCCATCACAGAGGGGCTGTTGGAGGGCCACCAATATGGGATTTTCGCCTTCCTCCACAACATCTGCCTTATCACCTTCACCTTCATATGCCTATTCTCAGGCCTGTACGTTGGGCTAATGCTTTGTGGTTGTGTTTTTCATCACGTAGGCTTCAACAAAAATATGGCTTCAGATACTGTACCTTCTACTCCAGTCTACCATAACGACCGCTCAGATCGACCCATCCGACCGCTCCCTAAACGCCGCCTCCGCGAACGTCTGTCGCCCGAGGTCGCTGATGCGATCGAATATCCACCGGCACGCCAATCGGCGCCTGCTCTGTTTTCATACCCATGTAACCTCAAAGGAGCGCTGTTGGAGGAAGAGTCGAGCTCGGGCATCAAAGACCCTCGTCCAGATCTCCCAGGCCGTCCCACGCCTCGAAGGAATGGAGTCAGTGCCGCGTGTGAGATGGACGAGGTCTCGACCAGGAGAGCTGTGGTGGCCCGACCGCCGACGGAGTCTCTAGGTCGTTCGCCGCGGCTGCTGCAAAAATCCGATATGGCGCGACAGGGTCATGCGCCACAGCCTCCACCCTCGGCATCTTCGTCGGCCGACGGGTATGACTCTTTCGAGAACACAAATAACAAAAAGAAGAGGAAGATTCCGACGGCGGGAGAGATGAACGGAGCCCATGGCCTTAGCGACCACGGGTTAAACGACACCCACGCCGCGTCCCCTGGCTTGGCAGCAATACCAGACAGACCAGGAGAGAATGGGAATTCTACCTCAGTGCCCTACTACGGATCGGGAAGTTTCGTGTCTGCCGGCCAAAACGTCTCTGGTCCTGGGCGGGGCCGATTTGGGAGGGCGAGAAATGGTAGGAGCCCGTTGCAAACTCTCTCAGATGCTAGTGGCAATTGGTTGGGCCGAAATTCTAAGAATCGTCCAGGCCACTGGTCCCCCACGGGTAAGTCGAGTTGCGGTCTGGGCTGCTTTTTGAAAAACGCCCGTCTTGTCTTGGTCAACCCCAAGAAACGCGAGTGGTTTTGTTTGCCAACTTTGGAGTCAAACTGACGTTGTCTTTGTCTTCAAGTCCAAAGCACCGGCATTATTTCTAACGCGATTGCCAACGCAGAAAAACTCCCCGCTCTAGAAGGCCAGGAAAACACCAGCCTACTCCACCAACAGCAATCGGTCAAGTCGACCCCAGCGACCACGCAGTTCACTTTCACATGTGACTCTCAAGTCCCGGGAACTTTAGCCTGGCCAGGCTCCGACCCCAAGATGTCCAATTCGGCTGCAATGGATTACAACCAAGCCGCAGCAGGAGGCTACACGCACCCGCGTGCTACTCAGGGCCACCAGGTGGTAGGCGCCATGGGCACTCCCGGCCAAGAAGGTGCCCCCTCAGAAAGCAGCTTGCGTGGCGAAGCTCCTCAGTCTGCGGCAACTCTGGAACGGAAGAATCGACGTCGAGCGGCCAGAGACTTGCATCTCCAAGCCAGGAAGCGTCGGGAGGGGACTGCGAGGCAAAACTTCCTCAACCCGCCCAAGCTCGAGGATCAATGGATTTGCGAGTTCTGCGAGTACGAGCGCATTTTTGGCTATCCGCCAGTAGCTCTGATTCGACAGTACGAGATCAAGGATAGGAAAATTCGCCAGCAAGAGGAGGAACGACGTCGGGTGTGGGAGAAGGCTAAGGCGAGAAGCCGCAAGGGCAAGAAGAGCAAGGCGCCGTCCAAGAACAGCGCCAACAACAGTGGGAACGGCAACGGAAACGGCAACAACGTGCACAGTCACGCGAATGACGCACATGCAGCACCGTCGATGAACCACACGCAGAGTCAGGATACGCAGAGCGACGTATTCGATGACGAGGAGTACGAGGGAGAGGGCAATTACGAGCTTGATCCAAGCCAAGCACCGGCCGACTTTGGTCGTTCTCAAAAGACAGATCACGGTACAGCCGAACATGATCACGGCGGTGGTGCAGGCGGGGGAGGGGGCACAGGAGCAGAGGGAGTACGAATTGAGGGAGAGCGGGGCAAGATCTAAGAGCTTGTGTCCTCACTTCGCCAAACGGCTCCGTCGAAGGAACCAGGGACGTGGAAGGATCGATGTCGCTCCTTTCCGTTTGCGATTCAGAACTAGACGCAACAGGCAGAAGCTGTGGAGAATCCATCAGAGCCTACTCTGGGTGCTACTGTGCGGACGCCACCGACAGTGTCTCACTGGACAGACAATCTCATCAGACAGGATCTCGCCCACCTCAGGTATACCTTCTTGAGGATAGGTGTTCTTGGGCGACAGGGAGCGAACGTGAGGTCACCTGGGACGGAAGCGTTGAAAGTCGGTGCCCTGACGATGCTACACAACCCCCCTCTTCTGCACATGATACAACAAAAATTCAAACATCCACATCATGGCACGATCTTCCCCAGGAATGAAAGTGCTGGACGGGCTCGTGAGAAAACGGGAGGTCTCGAACGAGAGGCGCTGGGTGGGAACCCCGGAGACTGCGGCTCGATCCTCACCTTACCTACAATATACCCAGATGATGGATAGCACCAATGTACGAGTTGAAGCCTCAGAAAGATAACCAACTATGCCAGTGGCCGTGCCGTCCTACCGAACCTGACTATCTGGATAAAAGGGATTGAACCCTGTGGCAGTTTGATATGGTGTTGCTTTCTTGGTACACTGTAGGGTGATGCATGTCGTTGGCCAGATGAGTAATCAGGTGTTAGTCTACCGAAACTTACGTATAGTACGGCCGAGCATGTGGGCGGCGTCCATCGGTGACAAGCTATGACGTATGACCCCTCCAAGCTTGTCTAGGCAGTGCAGAGCGGAAGAGTCGAGGTAAGCCGAAAAGCATCCACTCCAAACCAAAACAGCTTGGGGTAGCAACGATGTCACCCTCTCCCCAGCGGAGCAACCTGAGTAGCCCATAGGGAGCAATTTGGTTGACCATTGACCAGACGTCAGACAATCTAAAACTGCGAATCAGAAAAAGATCGGGCGGGAAGGGTGGTATTGATGGGCAGACATGCTAGAGGGTTGAATATGTGAAGCGTTCTTAACAAGTACAACAATATACATCGCGTGGTCTATGCAGTCTCCCAGACTAGATAACGCTCGTGGATGTCAAAATGGATGTCGACCGGCGCATCCGGGCGGTCGAGTTACTACCGGGCCGCTGGAATCGAGCGGTTGAGAGCGGCCGAGTCTACCGGGGAGCTCGGGCGCAGTTGCGGGCATTGAGACAACCGCTTCGCCCTGGGCCTGGGACTCCCAAACAATGTGTTTCGCTGTCTTGGACCACGATGTGTCGCAGCATCTACTCAGGTAGTACAATACCTAAGTAGGATACACAGTCTCGTGGAGCCGGAGACGGGCGTCGTTGCTGGGACAGAGTCTCTGCTAAACAGGTCACCATTCGCCCTTTTCGGGCCACCTAGGTACCCTACACACCCTTTCTGGCTAGATGGTCTCTCTGAATGGAGCCACTGGTCACACACTTGCTGTGGTGTGGTAATTTTGTCGTGGTAGGAGAAGAAGGCTGTGTTCAAATTTTATTGAAGTTGGCTTGGATTCCCCGGTGAGCATAAATGGATCGACGACAGGCCTCCTGCCCCGGGCCCCAGCTGGCCCCAGGCGGTGTCAGTGCTTGGCGGGCCCAATTCGACCCAGAAACAACCCTAGCGCCCGAGCTTTTTTAGGCCTGCCCAGCCCAAACTCGGTCGCTCTTGTCGATCACTGGCACCGACCAGCATCGGGAACCCGGGGCTTGACAGTCCAGACCAACCAGCCTGGAGGATCATCCATCGTCATGCTGTCTCTGGCTTGCGGTGCTGCCTCTGTTTCTGTTTCGCTCCCTCACTCCCACCTTCTCCCGATCCCTCTGCTCAGCTCACACCAACCATCCCCAACCCAACCCAACCCAACCCAAGCTTGTGTGCCTCCGCATCAGTGACTATCTACTTGATCCAGTCCAAGTCTCGTCACCTTCTCCCTACCCAGAGTACACACTCTCTTCTCCCCCAACGTTAGCTCCAATCATTAGTCTGGTGCTGGCTCGCTCGCTCGATTCTCGCTAGACTTATAGGCGCATGCGACTATACAATACCATACAATGCGCGGTCGTACCCGGTAGCGAAGCAGCGAGAAGCCATGTTCGGGTCTAGACGACGTCGCCCACCCAATCCGGTACGTCGAGTGCTCGCCACCGTTTCTCCTTTGTCGCACATTCCAACGTTTGGTGGACTTGTCATGGACAGCAGAAGCAGAAATCACACCTTGGGAGTAGAAGTACATGTCTACGTCTGCCTGCATGCCGCTCCCTCCCCAGCCTGAATCCTGTGACATCCGCTCCCCGTCCATTATAGGCCGGGCTGGGCAATGCTCTCTTCCCACCCCTGTTTGATCTAGATAGGCTTTCGCCGCCATGGCCATCCACAGCCAGGCATCTCGGGCTAACTCTACTCCCTCCCTCTCCTCGCAGCCTCTCAATGCTTCTACCGCAAACCCCAGCGCAGCCACTGCTGCCATTTCGGCCTTCACCCGCCGCGAGTCCAGCACCGCCTCGCTGAGCGCAGCCGCCGCCGCCGCCGCCCTCAAGGCCCGTCCCACGACTCCCACCAACGTCGCAGAGGTCCAGACGAAGAGGAACGCGCGGAGGAGTGCCTCGCGATCCTCGTCTGCCGGAAGGAGCACACCCGACACCCGCCCGGGAGGGCAGCTTAGGAGGCAGGGCAGCTCTGGGTCCATGACAGAGCGCACGTTCCGGTCGCCGTCACCCGGAGCGCAGGCAAAAAGATCCTTGAGTAGTAGTGGGTTACCGAGGAACTCGTACCAATCTGACGATATGGCGCCCCCCGTGCCAGCTATACCACAGAGTGTCAACATGCAGGCGGCTCAGGCGAGGCAGAAGCCCAAGAGCCTTGGCATAGTCACCGCGCCTGTGAGGACGGCGTCGCAGAAGGCCAACAAAGCCGGCGGGACTTGGTTCGGCGCAGCAAAGACGGGTGACCCGGCGAATGTGAGGACCTCGGATGCGATAATGGCGACGTCGCCGACGGCACAGGCACAGGCGCAGGCACAGGCACAGGCACAGGCGCAACCACGCGAAAGCTTGGAGAGGCCGGGCAGCCGTGGGTCGCCGGTCAATTTTTCTTATCCTGCACGCATCCGCAGCCCGACATTCGTGAGGCCCGAGGAAGCACCAGCTTCTGCTCTCGAACCTCGCGTGAAACCCAAGCGACGGAGCTCGACCATGTCTCCCCAACGGGGAGGCTCGGTCAGGTCGGCACGGTCTTCGTCTGTGACCTCGGACCAGACGCTCGTCTATGACCCCAATTCTAGGAGAATGGTGCCCCAGGCCGATCTGTCGGCCCTCGAACAAAGGATTCAGACAGCTTCTGAAGCCAAGCCAAAGAAGAAGAAACAGGTGCCTGCTCGGACTGGCTCGCATCTGGCTAAGGGTACTGTCAGTCGACCCCAGGGTAGTGCAGTGACGTCGAGTTCTACGAACGCCGCACAGGTGGCTGCCGCTACTTCGTTGCGACCACACCAGGCAGAGGAGAGACCAAGCGTGGCACATGATCCAGAAGATGAGGACGACCAGGCTCACCTGGAAGCAGCTCCCAGTCCCCCGCGAGAAGCAGTGACAGAGAATAGCGCGGGTGCTGCGCCACCACAGAATCGATATGCGCAAACGCCAAATTCGCCTGCGTCTAACGCGCCAGAAGTGGTTCCTGCGCCAGAGTCCCCGGATGTCGATTCACACGAGACCGGTCTGCAGAGGAGACCATCTGTGGTGAGAGAAGAGTCGGAATCGGAGGGTCTGGAGTCTGAGATTGAGCTTGAAGCGCCGGCCCCAGTATCAACGCCACCAAAAACCTCTGCTGCTCTAGATTCTGTGCCTGCTCGACAGAACGTCTATGTTCATGGCGTACCATCACCGCCTCGGAGTGACCTTACAGAGGATGTACCAGTTGAGCCAACCCGACCGCCTCCTGCGATCCCGTCCGAGCTTACTGCAGCTCCACCTTCTTCATCGACGGAGCCACGGGCCATCACTCGTGATGGGATCGAAGTGGTCGCTGAACCTCAAGATGTGCAAAATTTCGGACGCGACTCCAGAACCCATTCGAAGAGCCCCGTGCGCAGTGCCCGCTTTGGGCCGGTACACGATAGCCTGACTGTGCGGCATGAGCCTCCGCCGAGATCAATATCTCCGCGAAAATCTGCCTTGAAACACCAGAGTCCTTCTCGTGGTGCATCTCCCGCAGATGCCGCTTCGGACGGGTCTGAAGCTGGTATCCCTTCGTATGAGCAACCAATGCCTCGGAAGAAGGCGGTTCGTGTCAGCTTCGATGATGGGAATACAGTCGTCGTCGGCGAGGCGGCTGGGAGGGCTGAGACGGACAGTCCACTGCCGCCAAGTCCGCAAGTGGCCAGCAGGCGACCGTGGTACAGCAGCCTCGGGATAGGCAAAAAGAAAGACGCAATACCTTTAGAGGAGGACGAAGGCATGAAGCCGAGACCAATGCTGCCTACATTCGGCAGCGTGAGAGGCAGGAAACAGCAACCTAAGGAGGCCGAGGAGCGCCCGCTTGTTAGGCCTCACGAGCCAGTTCACGAGGAATCGGAGCCCCCTACCCCGGAGGCTCTTGGGGGAAACGCTGAAACTGTGGGCCAATCTAGCGACCATGCTCTGGGTGCAATGATCCACGAGCAGGAACCTAAGAATGAGGCTAATATTTCCAAGTTACGAGAGCCCTTGCCGCCTGTCGTGACATCCGTCGAGGGCAGCGGGTATGCCTCGGATACTGCGAGCGACGACAGCGAGGCTGCGCTGATGGCAGATACGCCCAGGCTGCAGGCCGACGAAAGCCGGGTCAGCGACGCTTCGACCCTGGTGCCTGATTGGAAGCCCTCCAACGGCTCAGCATATGAGCCAGCAGGAGACGAGCAGGTTGCCAGCGATGTTAAGGACTTTGGCGGCGACCCACCTGATGTGTCTGCGGAGGTGCCTGCTATCTCTGTCACCCAACCCAGCCCACGTCTTATTGAGACGGAACAAGATCGAGCCTCCTATCGCTTCCCGGGAGAGTTCCCAGAGACGGATGCCGAGTCAGATGCCGAGAGTAAGCCTCTGGCTCATGATGCGACGTTGACCGACTCGTCTGCGCCAACCCGACGGGTTGCCTTTGAACCTGTGGTGCAAAGAGAGGACGCGACGGCTACAGTGCACACTCCCAGCACGGTTCTAGCCACCAAGCCAGCCGCTCAGGAGCTCACGGACGAGTCAGATGGGGACAGCGTTTATAGCGATGCATATGAAGATCCGTTGGATCTTGAAGGTGACGGTTTTCAGTCACTTGATGCTGTCATCGTCAGCCCCCCGCGCCAGACACCACCTGGGATCGAGAAACTGCAGGCGCATGTCCCTGAATCTTCGACACCAAGCGTGCCACAGAAGGCACCTGGACACGAAACAGCGGCGATCGCCATGATACAACAAGAAGGGGTCTCCGGGCCTGTCGACGACTGGGAAGCTGCCAAGGCGTACTGGAGGAGCTTGACCGCCGAGAAAAAAGCCCAGCTGGAAAAGGAAGCTGCTGAAGAAGCTGGTGCTGAGGGTGACCTCGAGGACTTGAGACCGGAGGTGAAGAAACCGAGGAGAAAGAAATCGATCGAAAAGAGAAGCGCTGAGAAGATGGTGATTGAGGAACAGAGAGCGGCCGTTGACCCGGAACGGACTTACATGGTCAAGCCGGGATCCAAGGCCGAGGACTACAGCCCAGCGGAGCATTCGAAGCCGCGTAGTAAACAGGCCTCTGGGAAAGTGGAAGCAGGCACTAAGCTGCGCAAAACCATGCGTTCTCCGGGCGGCAACCCCTCCCACCCCGCTCAGCCCACCGAAACCGGGGCCCGAATGCGCAAGTCTCTACGTCCAGACACACCAGGTCGGTCAGCTGCAACTCCACAGCAGCCTGCGTCACCTCCACCAGCTTTGGGAATCACCACCCAGATCACAGGGCCGAAGAGGCACTCGCGAGCTGTCTCGGAGCCTGAAGGAAGGCCCAGCATCACCCAACCCAGCCTGCGCCGTCATGGTTCAGACTCCAGTGCCAGCAGCTTCAAGCGGTCGAGACGCGCGAGTCAAGGATTCGGTTTCCGCAAAACCATGAGAACAGGCAATGGATCACAAGAAGTAGAGGAGAATACTCGTGACAGGCAGCCAAGCCGCTTATCTTTACGGTCTATGTCTCCTGGTGGCGGCGGCTCCTCCCTCCGTGGTCATCCTCCGGTGACAATGGATGGCAGGATGCGGACGACACTTCGTGGCGGTCCACCCGCCAACAAGCGCCGAAACTCATCGGATTCCGGGAAAGGCTATTTGCGCTTCTCTGGTTCCTTTGGGCAGAAAGGCAAAAGCAAGAAGGGGTCTCGCTTCGGTGATGATTCGAGTGACGAAGATGAGGCTGATGTGCCGCGCCGATTCTCGAGCCGCTTTGACGACTCGAGTGACGAGGACATCGTTCCTGAGCCACTGCCGTCGTTGAGCATGCCCAAGACGATGCGTGGTACCAGATCGCGCAACGCCCTGCCCAGTCCGCCGCTTCCGGAAGAGGAAGAGCTTTCCGATGAACAAGAGCCTGTCGGGGCCGATGAAGACGACAAATCCCATCGCGTCACCTCTGGCCCGGCTTCGCTACCACATGCGCAGACCGAGCCTGGCATTAAACGCAGCCGTTCTGGTCGTGGTTCCCTACCCAGAGCTGACGACGGAGCGGGACGCCCCGCGCGCCGTAGCTTCATGTCGTCGGTCCTGAGACGGAACAAGAAGCAGGGCAATGGTGCGATCTCGCGGCCTGAGCGGAGGGAAAGCGCGGCAAGGGCGGACACTAATCTGGAGAGGTCGCCAGACGAACTGAATGCTCTGAGGTCCAATAGTCTGCGCGACAGGGCGGACAGCGGGGCTACGTGGCCACTGAATGAGGAGCAGGAACCGGTTGAGGTGGAGACCCACGAACCAGATGATGTCAAGGGCGCACATGTCGTGGACGGTGGCGCTACTGCTACGAACGGTCAGAGGAGCCCCAGTGTCTTGGGCCACTCGAAGTCACAGCCGTCACTGTCCAGACCCTCGTTCCTACAGCGAAGAACGATGTCGCATCAAGGAACGATCGATACCGACATCATCGGTAGTGACGCCGGGGGCAGGAAGAAGAAGAAGTTTGGGGCCCTGAGGAGGATGTTCAAGCTTGACGAATAGCAGTCGGAAAGCGAGGGGTCCCGGGAGGGACACTGCTTGCTATAGTAAAGCAACTCACGACGGCAGCGACTTGAGGCAACGAAGCCAAGAAAACGAAGCAGACGAAACGGCAATCGCATCGACAGATACACAGAATCTCACATCATCACACTCGTTGGCGATTCAACTTGGAGGCATAAAGGAAGGGAGCGTCGGGGCGGCAACAACAGCAGCACAGATTTCTTTTGTTTGGACGCTTTTGGAAAGGCCATGGTTGTTCATAGGATGGGCTGGCGGGCAGGTATACACGGCAGGCACAGGATACCCCAAGAAAACAACGGAAGGAAGATTCTCCGTCACGAGAGGGAGCATGGTGCTGTTGTTCTTTTCTTGCTTTTCGTAAATTACGAGCTCAGGATACACAAGTCCAAGATAATAAGTTAATTACGCCTTACCTTTTGTCAAGCCACCTTTATGATATTTCACCAAGTTGCCTTACAATCTCTATAAAGTAAGTTTTTATATAAGTAATACATTAGTGAGGTGGATAAAAAGAGAGAGGTCTAAAGCTCCCAGCCAATAGTCTCTTTATACCAACTCTGGCGATCAAGGTACTAGCTAGCTATATTATATGATTGCTTCCTTAGTTGCAGTATTAAACTTAAGCAGCTACCCAGGTGAGTTAAGGCATACTGGTAATTCAGACATCTTTGGTCACCCCTCACCGACAGATGTGGCACCGAGTCCTTGAAGACCGGTTATTCTCGAGCTCCGAAACGCATGCCATGACAACGGTGTCGCGCGAGTTGCGCAGAGACGATCGATTGTCCACGCTGCGTGTCGTCGATACGCTGCCGCGGCGCAGGGTGTCCAACTCGTACTCCAGCTGCTCCTCGTGCGTGTTCTTCGTGTCGAGGAGCGCGCGGAGCTTAATAAGGGAAACGTTAACTATAGCCGCCCGCTACTGCTGATTCTAGACAGCCATATTAGCCACAGATCCGTACGTTCATTTCTGTTGATCGTTTCAGTATGACGAGGGGTCCTCTAACCCCTGCTATATAGTGTGCAGATACCATTCATAAAGGTGTGCTTCCTCAACAATATCCAGCCCTGTTATCTACCAGCACACTGCTCCACAGTCTACAACCTTGAGACAAGGTCAATTCTACTGTTTTGAAGGCTACGCTAGACTGATACACCCACACAATCCACGCAAAGACTGGATCTACGCCTCTAGACACAATCGATTTGAACTTCGTGCGGTGACTCTACAAGGCTAGAAATAAAGTCTCGCTGCATACTATCAAGTATAGGTGGCCCACTACTGGAATCCGGACTTGTCTTCGCTTATGAAATGCATCGACAGAGCTGTGTATGGGCTCCGTGTTTGAGAAGGGCAGAAAGCTGAATGTTACCGCGACGTAAGGCGTCGAAAACAACGAATGATTGGAATGGATGAAGATTGATACACGTACCAAAAAGAGCTAAAATCGCAGCCACAACGAAGGAGGCTAGGGAAATGAGAATTAAACGGTCATTACACCTGAGTCCTTGCTTGAGAGGGATCCGGGTGTAGAGACGCAAAGCCACAGCAACAATGGCAAGTACGATCATAATGGCGCCGACTATGGTGCTGGCAGCGCCGTCTGTGTTGTCCCCTGCAGTGACGGGAGAATTGATGTTCGCCACTGTTTCGTAGGGATGCCCGCCAAATCAAATGACCAACCTTGTTGTGATTCTGTCATCTTGAAGGATTGATAGAGCGGCAGCAGTCTACTTATGGCCTGGCGAGAATGGCCACTGGGGAAATCGCCAGGAATTGTGATACGGCACTGCTGCGTAATGTTGTTCCCTTGCATTAGCTGCTGTTTTACATACCCGCAGTAGGCCTGGAGGATTGGACCGGTGAAAACCTTTCTGGCAAGTGATGTGGCACGGTTGGTGTTGGTTCAAGCCTTGCAGATAATCAGCAGACAAGTGTTGGTCCTTTGAGTGAAACACCGAGGACGAACGGTCTCTGCGTTCTTTTAGGCCTGAGGCCTCGGCAACTCATGTTTGGTACCGTCGCTTCCACATCCGCGTGGCAAGAATTGCGAACAGAAAGACCGTCCATTCAGTGCTCTTACATCGATGGATGAGGTGATGTCTGAATACCTAGGTAACAACTCGCAAGCGGCAAAGAAGACGAGAATCCACCAAACATGGTGAGGTCACTCTCAACCAACAAGTCCCTGTCCAAGGAAGAGTGCGTACAACCGTTTCACCCTCATTTTCTTCTTCTTCCAGCAAGCAAATCTCGCTTGAGATGCGAGCTGACTTTTCAGACTGTTCTGATCACAGGAGCCTCCCGGGGTACTGGTCTTGAAAGGGGCGAATGTCATGATGGTGGCCCGAGACGCAGAAAGGCCCCGTGATGGCGTTCGTTCCCTAGAGACAGCAGCGCTGTCACCAGAGACCCAACGCTTCCAATTCATTCCCGCAGATCTGACGGATACCGAGGCATGGTGCTCAGGTCATGTCACAGACAATGGAGTGGAACTCAACGCTGCCACCAGACGTTGTCTGGTCCCAACTCTTGACGTGTTGTTATAGAGATACCATCACCACTGCCCGCGGCCTCATGGCGAGCCTCAAAGGGCGCCATGCGAGCCCCGGAGACTGTTAGGATGACCTCAGTTCCATCTGTGCAAGAGCCAGAGCCCATGGCACTGTCTCCGACCAACTCTGCTGAGCTCTTGAGCGTCAGATGATCGGCTGGACTCCGAGAAAGCGCCAGTGATGAGATTTTTACTGAGATGAATTGCGAGTGAGCATGTGAGCGAGCAAATTGTGCTATTGAGCTCTGGAGTTGGAAGTATGTGCCAAGAATGATCGGATGGAGGTGGTTTTCTATTCGTTCCCTGTGCCATAGAGACAATTTCCTCGCCCAAGTTTGCTCGTGCCAGGCGTTGTTGTCATTGAATCGACTGAGACAAAGCGAGGCCCGTATTGTATTCCACCATGGCGCATTTGCTCGCACCACTTGCGCATGTCAACCTTTCGCGGGACCTTGTCATCACCAGGCGCACGACGGCCCCATCGCCCCAAGAGGTTGAGATCGCAGCGCGAACTTCACCCCAGCAGTTTTTCGTCAGTAGTGATCAACTCTGCCGGCGTGTAGTCCGTGTCAGGGAGGACGAGGGCAGTCGTTGCTGCCCCACGCCGCATTTCGACCCCGTGTTGAATACCGCAAAGTTGCCTTTTACCGCTTCCGCGGCCACGGAGACATAGCAAGCGAAGGGGAAGACAATAGAGTCTCGTATCTTGAGATTAGTTTTCCCATCTCTGACACAACTCAGGCGACGTTGGTACCAAGCGAATGGCGCCGCCTGCCCCGGCATTACCCATCCAATCTAGGTGAAAGCATTTACAACATAATGACCTACGGAGTTTACGGGCTCGGAGGCTCACATTGTACCGAGAAAGCCTCACCTCGGACGTGTGTCTATGGCTACTGGTCAGGCACCGTTGATATCATCTCCGATTGGCTTGATCCCAAAGTCAGACGGCAGATGGCGCCGCACCCATCACTTCTCACAACGAGCACGCATAGATGCTTCTAAATTTAATCTAATGAGACGAGAAGAAACCGAAAGAAACCCAGGCAGGAACGGGAGAATCGTTGGGCAGCTAAGCCCACGATACCTCGCACAGGGACGAGAGGGTGCTGACCGACGGGAGTCTGTCGCCCTTGTGTCACCTCACCGGGCAACGTTCCGAAAGGTTGTGTTTCTGTCGGAGTCGGGCCAACCCCCCCCCCCCTTCGCTCCCTCCTGAAAAAGGCTAAAGGCAGATTTGAGACCCAACGTCTTGGAACTCTGTCTGGGGCCTGTCGGGATGCAAGCTGCACGTTTCTCTTTTTTCTTCCCTCTCTGACCCATGGAAGCTCGGTCGGCTGGCTGCAGCCGCTGCGGCTGGGGTTGCATTCTCGCCAGGGTCCAGGGGCACTGACACCGGGGAGAACGTGGATGGATGGATGGGACGGGGACGGGATTGGGCAGGGGTTGGGTCGGGAGTGGTGGAGCAGTTGAGGTAGCGACTGTAGTCTTATTATTATTCGTTGGTCCAACAACGTTGGTAGGATCTAGCTGTTTCTCCCATCTCACCCCTCCCCTCCTCCCCCTGGCTTATTTATGCCTTGCCCCGGACTTTTCTCCCCCAGACCTTTCCACCCCCCCAGGAGATCTGCAACCCGTGCAGTGTGTACAGTAGTGCAGTATTGACTAAGCCTTGGCGGATGATGTCAAGCCTGGCTTACAGCCAGAGACGGGCTCTCGTCACTGGATCTCGCCCAGTGACACAAGGCGGAGGATAGTCAGCAGCGTGTGAAGGGATGATATCAATGGCTTGGGAGGGTGCTGATCGAGCGATCAGACACGACGGAGGGAAGAGCGTCGATTCTCGTCGCTGTCCGTTGTCGGGTTCTGGCCCCTTTGTCCCCTCCGCCTCCTTCTCCATGTCTCACGAGACTCCGGGAACAATCAGCCAGTCCGTCAGTGCAGTTTACATACGAGCATACCTGCCCAGGAGTGATAGGTGTACCCTCGCCCTTCGCACTCGCCGGCCCCGTCTCCCCGTCTCCGTCACCCTCGCCGCCTCACCTGTTGCGACAGGACAGCTCGGCACAGCCATCCACCTGATGGTGGCCAAGCATCTAGAACAGTCTTCCCCAGCTCCCGGGACCTTGCGGGCACAGGCATTGAAAAGGGACGCCCGCCGGCCAGCTTGCTTCCCGTTGTTGGAGTAATTATATGCCATCGCTACAGCTAATGCTATTATTACTGCTACCCCTACTGCTACCCCTACTGCTACCGCGATTTGCTGTTACACTACCCCGCCATCACATTGCATCGCACGCATCTCAGCAGTGACAGCTACTGCTTATTGTTTACTTGCTTTTCCACAGCTCGAGCTCGAGCTCTACGCATACCCTACCCACCACCTGCCTCCCTGCGCCTCCCTTCGAGGTCGACAGAGCACCGTTGCATATCAGGTAAGCTTGGTGCTTCCCAGATCGAGACTGAAACTCTGTGACGAGGTCCTCAGATCTCATCCACAATCTTTCCCGTCACATTTCATCAAACGAATCCGTCTCAGTCTACCAGCACTCTCCCTCACAATGTCCTCCTTCTCCAGAGCTGCGGGCGCAGCCTTGAGAGCCGTCGGCCGGCGGCCAACAGTAGCTCCTGCCACCACCATCACCACCACAGCTAATCGGCCAACAACGGCCACCACCCCCCTCCTCGCCTCCAAGAACAGCCAGATCCGTGCCTACGTGAAGGAGTCGCGGCAGCGTCCCCAGGCTAGCAACCGGGACAAGAGCGAGCCCAGTCACGCCGGCACCTTCGCCCGTACCGATGATAGTATCACGGTCGAGTACCCGGAGGACCACGAGCTCCCTAGCTCGGGGCCCATCGTCGGCGCCGGCCGTGCTGGCCTGCAGGTCTACCCGACCCTGGCGACCTTCTCGCTGCAGGGCAATGTCGGCGTCGTCACCGGCGGCGCGAGGGGCCTGGGGCTGGTGATGGGCCAGGGGATGGTGGTTTCTGGTGCTGACTTGGCCATTGTCGACATGAACAGTAAGTCTCACTCGAGATGGCCCTGTTGAGCAGTTGTGAGGCTGTGAAAGGTGAACGAGCTTTGAGCTGACGAGTTCTCGTGAACGATTTATAGAAGACGAGGCTGAGGTGCAAGCCCAGGCCCTCATGGATCAGTTCAAGAAGGACAACCCAAACGCGAAGAAGTGAGTTTCCGCCCGGTCAATTCGACCTCCGGCGATATAGATCCCATCGCGACTGACACCAACGGCAGGTCCCCCAAGGTCACCGCTCACTACGCCGACGTGTCGGACCCGGACTCGGTCAGCGCCTGCATCGCCGACATTCTCGCGCAGCACGGCAAGATCGACAACCTGGTCACGTCCGCGGGCTTCACCGAGAACTACAACGCCACCGACTACCCCATCGAGCGCATGCGCAAGCTGTTCGCCGTCAACGTCGACGGCACCTACCTCTTCGCCACCGCCGTTGCCCGCCACCTTATGGAGCGCAAGGCAAAGGGCAGCATGGTCTTCATCGGCAGCATGAGTGGCTCCATCGTCAACGTGCCGCAGCCTCAGGCGTGAGTGGTTTGATTTTGTTGATGTTGCACCTCTCCCTCCCTCCTCCCTCTACCCCCTTTGTCCCTCTTCGGCGCGAGTGCGGCTTCCCAAACTCGTTTGCGACAGCGGGGCCGAGTTCCTCGTCCGGCTGGGCAGAGTTGGGTGTCATGGGATCACAAGGTTTGCCATGGCACGTTGTCCCCAGCGGCCGCTGCAGGTACATTTGGGGAGGGACAGGATTTCGGGCCCCGACTGGCTCGCGGCTGATCCGGGGTCGCATCCCTCATGGGGTCGTCATCGCCAAGAGAACCAAAATCTTTGGCAGGACTGGGAAATGCTCTCTTCGGGTTTGGGAGAGGCGGAATGTCCAGAAATAATTGCTGACAGCCACCAACCACAGGCCCTACAATTCGGCAAAAGCAGCCGTCCGCCACCTGGCGCCGCGTCGTTGGCTGTCGAGTGGGCGCACGCAAACATCCGCGTCAACTGCATCTCGCCGGGATACATGTTGACGGCTCTGTAAGTTGCCTCTCGTTTCCCGTGCCGCACTGGCGGCGGTATCTCTAAGACCTTCGCTGACACCACTGGCCCGCAACGCGCAGCACCCAGAAGATTCTTGACGACAATCCGGACCTCCGGAAGCAGTGGATTTCGCTCATCCCCCAGGGAAAGATGGGCCAGCCCGAGGACCTCATGGGCCCCCTGACGTTCTTGTTGTCGGACGCGGCCGGCTACGTCACCGGTGCTGACCTTCGTGTCGACGGCGGCTACACCGTGACCTGATCCGTGGGGGATAAGCCCGTTTTTTTCCGTCGGTTTTGGTACTGAGTTCTGGCTTTCAAATCGATATTGGGGCTGTTCGGCGTTGGGAGGGCAAAATCTGGATGGTTTGGTAAAAAGGAAGACCCAAGTGTGTAATTGTTTGGGGCCGGCAGAGCGTATCTGCGCCCGTGTATAATGATCCAATTCAGTGATGTTCTTACGACTCTAGGTGCGGGAATCAACCCCATGATACCTCGTGGGAGCATCCCGCAGTGCACAAGAGACATCTTGTCATATGCCAACACCTGGAAAGTGCAGTTTCACGCGTTCTTTGGCTCTGCGGCAGTCTTTCCCGTGTGCTTTCGGGAATAGTCCATTCTGTCACGGCCCGCAGGTCGATGGGGTCAATGGTTCTGGCCAAAGGGTGAGCATCAATACGCAAAGTGGACTGGGACCACTTTGACCTAGGCCTGGGCCTGCAGGTGGCGAGAACCGCCCAGGGAATTGAAGTAGATATTTCGGTCGACAGTCTTGGTCTAGATGCCGAGTAGAGCCTGGCCGCAGACACTTGAGCTGCGGATCGGCCTGACTCATAAATTCGGCCTTTGAAGATTGACCACGGATCGGCCTGAACGGAGCCATAATGCCTTCCCTCATCGGCGGTGTCGAACCGAATCATCCAGTTGCCCGTAAGTGTTGAGCAGGGGTTTGCCACCCGAGACTGTCAACATCTGTGGGCCCATTCCCATCTCAGTAGGCCCTCCCATTCCAGGTTTGTTTTTTCCCCATTCCCAGATGCGATACACATTTGGAATAACTCGTTTCTGTATTCGTCTTGGCTGACCGGAGGAGCCGCTAGTCGAGCTGTGCAAGGGATGTTCCGCATGTATCGGTTTGCTCCGGACGGGACCAGCGCAGGGCCGATCGATGGGCGGCGTCGTGGCTTGTCCAACGAGGTCCGGACCCGACCCTCCTACTCCCGTTGTCTCCTGGCGGGCGAACACCTTGCGCCAAGTGGGCTCTCACCCTGCCTCTTCAGATCGCTAGTTTGACTCCTCACATTTCCCAGTGGTGGCGGCTCCATACTTGGACTGTCAGAGCAAGCCACATCGACATCCGTGCTGCTTCTCTCGCTGACGCATTCACAGATGAGACAGTCTGCCGGAGCGTTCCGTCCTCCCGACAATCAATAGGCAGGATTCCCCACGACAGGTCAATCCCCCATTCATTCTGGCCAGCTGGCTTCCGTGCGAAGCGATGTGTCTAGACCTGTCGCGAGATATGTATCGACGCTACGAGACGGGGAGCAAGATCGAATCGACAACACATCGGCTTTTGATGTTCTGTTGGGATACAGGAGAGACTGTAACCCCAACAGGAGTTCGGCCTGGTCAATGCATCCAGAGCTCCGAACTCGCGGAGGAGGGACCATCCATGGGGGGAGAGGCGATAGAAGGGCGTGTATATGTATGCAGCGGCGATGGCACTGCTGCTGCAGCTGCCTGCGCATATGAAGACACCATCTTTCCAGTCCCGTCCTGGAACCGACTGTTCTCGCCAATCTGCGCGTGGGTTCCTGCAGATGTCGCTTTGTGCCCCACACGCCCAGTAGTGCGTTTCCCCTTGTGTTTGACATGTGAAAGAAAGAAGACGGGCAAATGGGACCGGCACCCAGGTATGCAATGCGCAGAGACCGAACTGTCGACAGTCTCGGGGAATCCTATAGCATTCTGTATCAGTCGTGCGGTAGAACATTGGCAGGAGCTAGCATTTATTTTCACAGCATTACTTTCGAGGTGGTGGCCACAGTTCCGGGGCCTGGTCGTTTGTGTGAACTAAGCAACTCCAGCCTGCGGTAGCTACAAGCAGCAACATAGCCTGTGACACCTCGGATTTCCCGGGCTGGCAGGCACCACACAGTGGACTTTTGCGCGTGCAGAGAATCAGCTAGACCCAAAAGGACGCCCCGACAGAAGCAAATCCATATTCACCTGGGTCGGTAAGCATCCGGTTCTGGGTGCAGGCATAGAAGGAAAGGCGCAGAGTGTTGCATCGCCGGGAAGAAGAAATGACGAGCAAGTCAGGTGGTGCATTCCTGGAGCCGGTGTGATGGATTCAGCACGTAGGCACAGATGTGTACGACCAGCCCCGGCGTAGAATTTGGCCATGCCCAGATCTTGTCCGGGGTAGGCTGCATTCATGTTGACTGGTCCCAAGACGAGCGCCCGTAGTACACGAGTGCTCTAGTCATCTCGAGGGATCTGACGAGAAGGCGAGAAGGAAGGGACAGGTCTCAGGTGAACACCTCTGAGCCCATCCAATAAGAGCCCCGCCATGTCGCAACGACATAAGGTAGCCATGTTGCGCCGAGATTTGTGGTCACACGACCTCTGTTCTCCGCAGCTCTGATCAGACGACCCGTGACCAGGCAGGACCGAGAGATTGCATAGCACCAAAATCTGCGAGCCGCGGCTTGGGAGCTGACGGCATCAAGGCATGGCAGATAGAAGGCGTTCGTCCACTGTGTTTCACGGTGGAGAGTAAGACAGCCGCGTCACGAGGTACGGACCAAGCCGCCAGGGTCCTGCAGAGGGAACCGTTCGCCGCGTAGGCGGTGTGGCCAGAGAGACGGCAGTTTGCAGGGCCATGACATGGGCTGAACCCTTGCGGCGGCATACTCAACTTTGCGCAGGTTGCCACTTTGAAGGTTTGTGTGCGAAGCTGGTTAGGCGGCCAGGCTGCCGTGGAAGCGGAAGTGGACTGCGGGAGTCAAGGCAAAAGTTGCCCGTCGATCATCCGTTTGCTGCTCGCCGAGCCAAGCATTGCAAGGTCATGGTTGTAGGAGAGCGCAGCTTGCAGATTGCGGCAGGGCCTAATCCCCTGCCAAGGAGCAAAGGCCATGCTCCAAGACTGTACTGTACGACGCCACGCCACGCCGCCCGCTGGTCAAGGTTGAGCTTGTGCACGAGGCTGCCTCAATCTCGAAACCTCGTTGGTTAGCCAGCCTGGTCAGGTGGACGGAAAGTCGTACGAGTCTTGGTTCCGTGCTGAAGTTTGCTGGCTGGCTGGATGGTTACCGATGCCGAGGCGTTGAGAAAGGGGAAATCGTCGAGTAGATGGTCCGTCTGTCTATTGAAAATACGTTCGGAGTTCTAGAACAGCTGTGCGCGCGTGTTCGTGCCGAGACGTGGGGGCGGGCGGCAACGGCTCCAGGCTGCCTGTCCGCACATGGCATTGGACATGGGCCATGAGCCATGCTGCAGGATGCGGGCTGCAGGCTGCTCGAGGTACGTGTGCGTACTGTAAGAGTTCGGAAAGGCTCGGCTGTTCGGATGGAAGAAGCTGCTCGGAAGGGTCGAGAAAACCGGGGCAAGCTGAGCCGGAGCTGGTGCTGGCATCGCCCGGCTGGCCCTGATGTCCTCAAGCCAAAGCGCAGGGGTGTGAGGGCAGGAAGAGGTCACGAGGGCTGCTCGGAGAACACTGTAATCATGCTCATGCTCATCCTCGTCCGCCGTCCACGTCGGGCTGAGGCAGAGGCAGTGCATGGCCGATGCAGGTGCAAGATCCGCACAAAGCACAAACAAATAGTGCGACCAGACATTGTGGTCCCTGGACCGCTGGTGAACGAGAGCTCGAAGGGTGTTGCAGTCCACATATATTTACAAGTGATTGCATAGACTAGGTACCAAGGTAGACAGACTGCTGGTGCCTTGGCCGGTGGGCGGTCGGCGGACGGAGTGCTGGGGGCTGAGAAACTCTGCTTGCTGCGGTGCCAGGTACTGTACTCCTACCTACCTTGTAGCCAGCCCAAGCATGCTGGCATGTCAACCATGGGCCATCAGGTACCCGGGGTCCGAACCCGCCAATGGAACACGGGCGGCAGAGGGTTGGACGTTGGGTTCTTCCACGGCCGTCCAGCTGCCATCCGGCCATTCACCCGTGCCAGCCCCATCCTGATCCTCGGTGCCTCGTGGTACCTCCCCATCTGTCAGCCATCAGCCATCAGCCCTGGCTGGCATCATTGGTCGGTCAAAATGCCATTTTGCCGGGGTTTTGTGGTACCTGAGAGATGGGTGGTGTACGGATACTCCGTCGTGCTGCGGGAGTAATGAGATAGGTACGTAGGTACTTTTCCCCCAGCGGGGATCGCTTCGCCGCCGCTTCCTGCTGCACGACGAGGTCAGGAGACCCGTGACGGGCAGGCATGTCTGTCCATTGTCCATTACACAGTACTGCCCCGTGCTACTGTGGTAGACTCTGCAGGTGGCCTGAGGAGGGGAGGCACGTTCGTCGCCGCTGACTCAAACCTCGTGTTATACACACGTATGGTCAATCCATGTATCCTTTGTCTTCTCTTTTTCCCCCTGACCCAACCCTCGCACTCAGCAAAGAGGACCTGCTACTGCTCCTGATGATGATGACGACGACGACGACGACGACGAGAATTATCAGCATGGCTGGGTTGGTTTAGACTCTGCGCGGTTGGCACGGCAAAACATCCGGTGCATTGATCTGTGCGCTTCGGGGTGCCAGTGTCTGATCAGGGCCCATGGAGATGGGACGAAACAACGGAGATTTCTTCAAATAGAATAGAACCACAACCTTGAAATCTGCTGCGTACCGCATCGCCGTACACGGCGCAATGCGGTCAGGATCTGGTAGCTGCTAGTTAGGTGCTGTACGGTAATAAGTGCAGGTCCCATGGGTGTGCATGTACCTGCCCGAGTGGTCAGTCATCGTCATCCAACCTTCCAAAACCTTCCAACTTCGCACCTTCGCACCTTTCCAGGCACGGCCAGGGTCGCCGCCAGTATGGCCCATTCCTTCCCTTACCATTCCACCCGGCTTCTGGAACAGCACACACCTGTACACGGTAGTTGCTCCGGTTCCCATAGTCCAGTTCATCCTGCCTCGGCCCTTACCCATGCCCGCTGCCAGCACACACCTGGGCAGTCACGGTGAGAGCGGTTTCATAGGGCCTGTGGAGTTTGGGCCGAGTGGACGAGATATTCGGGGCGGCGGCGGGGAGGAACAGGCTCCCATGCAAGTCGGGTACGTAGGTACTTCAAGTACCTGGTGAAGACGTGCGGATGCCAGTCGAACAAGGGCGGCCCCTGATCCCGTCCCAGGTGGGCACGCACGACTGGAGACAGCCCTTCCAAGGTTGGGAGGAACAAAGGCAAGACATGACCACGTCCGAGGTCCCTACGACCAGATCCCTAGGCTCCTCACTTCCCCGGGTCCCTTGCAAGGAAGGTACCTCTATCGGGCGCGTACCTACCCCTCGACTTCCTGTATCCAGCTGCCATCGATACCTCTACCCGCCGCGAACGGTACTCTGCCCAGGTAGGTATCCCGAGGGGGCATCTCGGTCTCGCCCTCAGTCACACAACTGTCTGCTTGTCCTTCTCCTTCTCCTTCTCCACTGCTGCTACTAGCTGGCCCAGTAGCCTCACACAGCCAGGTCCAGGACGGCATGTCCAGGCTGTTTGGTTGCGCCGTGCTGGTGCTGCTGTGCTGGCTCCAAAAGTGGATCTTGGGGCTCTGCTTTGCCTCAGTTGCGCCTCTGCACTCGTGCCCCTGTCACTCCCTCGCCGCTGCTCTGCCTCTTGGCCGTTAGCGGCCCACTTTGCCCACTCGCGCACAAGACCCGTCCTCTGGCCGTCTTGATCTGGACTGCCCTGGACTTTGTCCTGTCCCGTCGAATTTTCCAAATCAAATCGTTGTATGACTGACCTTACCCAAGGTAGGCACCTGGTTTTCTCCGCCCCTCCGCTCATTACATAGGTACTAAGTACCATCTGCCCTGTGCCCAGCCCGTCTCGATACCTAGGCCTAGGTAATATGCCCCTGCCCCTGCCCTGCTCCCCGTCGACATGCCCGGCCCAGTTCAGTCCAGCCCGCGTAGGGTCCCTTCTTTCGAGTGAGAGAAGCGAGAGGGAGAGAGAGAGAGAGAGGCAGGCGGTAGTAATGTTTTCTTTCCACCCTCTCGGTCCACCAAGTTTCCTCCTGGGCCACTTTCACTTTTCCTCCCTCTTTTTTCTTCTTCTTCTCTCCTCCTCCTCCTCTTCCCTCTCGCTAATCATGACTTCAAGGCCTGTGTCCCGTGCCCGGATTCTGTCCCTTCCCGGCTTCCCGTCACAGTTGTCCTCTCTCCCTCTTTGATAAAACGAACCATACCCGCGGTCCGGCTAGGCAATGCATGTTTGCCCAGGATTACATGCTACTTCCCTGGTACCGTGTACATCACCACCGACGGCCATCCTTCTCGTGTCGCCCTCCTAATTCTAACCCGCAACCGCACCGGCTCATACCGCAAGCCTCGTAATGTACGTCCTGATCACGTTATCCTTGGATTGCCGGCTTCCAATCCTGCCCAAGACCTAGTCCTGGCTGCTCCTACTCTCGTCTTTAAGAAACTCACCGCATCATGGCCGCGTCGTCCCCATCCGGAGACTGACCCATCAGACAGACACCTCTCCGTCACCTAGTGCCATCCTGTCGGCACATCCGTACTAACTTCTGCTCTTTTCCCCCAGTCTTTGCTCACGTTTCGGTTCCCACAAAAAAAAAAAAAGGTCTCATTGCATTTTCTGGCGCCTCATTTGCTTTGGCGGTGTGGATGCAGTGACCAAGTCACATCACCTTGACCACTGGCCCCTGAGTGGCCCTGTCGCATAGTCGCACCTCGATCCAGCATCAGCACAGGGTGCTGAGTACCTCGCATTGAATTCACCTTGGACGCTCGGGTTGAGGCATACCGGTGCTTTCCACGCACACCCAAAAGTCAGCATTCTCAGTCAACCTACGGGAAGAGGCATGTTTGCGACACTGCACTACCATCAAACTCGAGGCACCGTCTCGACGAACCAACCGATATCAAAATCTTTGTTCAGGCGTTGACTCTGCTTTCGCCGAAAAGCCAATTTTTCCTAGCCCTCGCTTGGCCAAGCTAACGGACTGGAGTTGCTATGTGCCCTATTGTCGGTTTACGATAGCATCAGACATTTGGTTGCGTATCACTCCTATTTTTCTTGCCTTTTTGACAGGCTTCCATAGCCTTGCCCAGTCCCCAGCCGGTGGGTGTACACCTGAAGTTGCAGCCGTGGTTGGATCTCACGAATCATGTCGAGCTAGTCAGGCGCCCTCGAACCGTCTTCGATGAATTTTCTGGTCAACTAGTGTCTCATCACACGGCGCGGCCCCTTCGACATGGAGGCCATAGTCGAGGCTCTCGAGCAGCTACTGCCCAAGGGCATTGTCTTCGACTCACCTACTATCTATGCCGAGGTCGCCAAATTACCAGTCGTACCACTCGAGGACATACATCGTCACTGGAAGACGTACACTAGGACGCACAAAAGCCTGCACGATCCCACTGCCTGTCGTCTCGAGAACTTTTGGTGGCATGTTTGGGGAAGCGACAGGCGAAGCTTGAGTGGCAAAACTCTCGCACGTATATGGGAGCAGATAGCTTCCGGGCCAACGTTTGTTCCTCTCAGGGGACCTCCAAACCGTTGGGAACCACCTCCCAAGCCTACCCGAAGTATGCATGAGTCTGACTCGGCACAACCTCCGCAAGCCCATGACGTGGGCAGCCAGATACAAGAGGCACAGTCGAGCATCGCAAGAGGGGCAATCTATGGCTTAACCCCGTCCTCATCGAGGCCTCCGCCAGCACACACCATCTTGAAGAAGCCTAGAGGGCCTTCAAATTCTGGCCCGAGGCCGACCGCCCGATTCGTTGACGTTCCTGATTCAGAGGACGAAACATCGCAGCAGAGCGGAGAAAACAGTGTTGGCACTTCCACCAAGAAGAAACCAGATACTCGTGCATCGTCTAGCTCCATCTCACCGGTAAAGGTGGATAGGAAGCCCGCGCCCAAAAAGTTTGTGGCCTCGTCCACTACGTCAAAGAGACGCCCCGTCCTACCAAGGAGACAGAGCTCGCAGTCATCGACCGGTTCTGTAACTGCTTCTGACCCTAGCCCTCGAGATGCAGCTTCTGCCTCGAGGAATGTACCTAACCACCAGGCGTCCACCGTAAATAGCAAGGATTCTAGCCCCTCAAAACGACAGAACGGCTCAGGTCTGTCGACAAACACGGAGGATCCAGCAGCTCGCGCCAAAGCAACAGGGAAGCGTTCCCAGGCCCCTGGTCTAGGGAGGGAGCCCGCGTCGGCGAATAGCCAGGACGCACACGCTCAAGATGGGTCACGCAAAACAGCCCCAACGAACAGACCGTCGCCAACCCCTAAGGGAACCTCACGGGGCAGTTCAGGAGAAATCCCGAATGCGAAAGTGCTTGGAAAGCGACCAGAAGCCTTGACCTCGGGGAGCAAGGCCCCAGCACAGAAGAACATTCATTCGGGCAATTACGATGGGTCAACAGGAGTGCAAACATCACCACCACGATCGGTACCGCAGTCCACGCAACCTGCCACGAGCTCTGTCAACTCAGCAGACACGGCCGAACCAAGCCGGAGGAGGAGCGCGCAGGAAGTTAGTTCGCGGGCACACAAAGAACAGGGTGACACGACCAGCTCCAGTACTGCACCAAAGATGGCTCGATCGAGGTCAAACAACGAGTCGAAGCGCATGAGTTCTGGCGGCCTCAAATCCTCGAGCGTTGTGGGACTGTCAAATATTGCGGTTGCCGGGGGCTTCGACTTTGAGACCCCCAAGGCGCGCCCTTCCGACGATGACTTCCCGCCCCTTGCGGCGGGCCAGCCTGACATTCGAGCAGCATCTGCCCTCGACTCGCGATTGACACCGACGCAGCCGAGTCCGAACCCCCCACCGCCGCTGGGCCGATCCAAGTCGCAGTTGACACTTGTGCTGGAGCGCGAAAGAGCAAGGGTAGGCGATGGCACCCAAAAGAACAAGAGATAGGCCTGGACGAGGTCGTTTGTGACGACAGGGCACGGACATATACACGGCGATCGACTAGAAAGGAAACATGGAGACTAATCTGAACTGATGTCTGACCGAATTGCATTGGCATTGGCGTTTGATCATATTGCTGGAAGCGTCAAATTCTCACTAGTCGTGGGCCGCGAGTCGCCTCTGGCATTTGTTTGCGCACAGGCTTGTTGTACATACGTGTTTCCGCAGCAAGTAGGCTTGGATTAAGTCTAGTAGCATATTCTCACAGGGTTACTAGACTCGGCACGCCTTCACAGGCCATCTGCGTTCTCGGGGAAGGTGGGCAATTTAATATGGGGTAATGCCACGGTGTATCAGTGTGAACAGTGCGAAAGGAAGCGGGAGTGTGGGAGAGACAGCTTGTACCTCTATGTGAGCATGTACACGGCACGACAGTATCAGACCAAGTTCCACCTTGGACATCGGATGAATTTCAAAGAAGAGTCTTGGTTCAGTCCTACAATGAAAATGCGCTCTGGTCAGATCCCGCATTTATTGCTCGCTCGCTATCCTCTGCGCTCCCGCCTGCGAGGGCAGGGCATGAGGGCAGGACGTGCAAGGCTTGTCGGCCATACGCAGTCCCGATGTTCGGGGTGCCTGCCTTCGGCGGAGGGGAAGTCGGAGGCTGCTCGCTGCTGTGATAGCCCCGGGGCGATCGCATGCATGGTGCGTGTGACGATGGCCTCTCCGGACGGCGAACGGTCACCCTTACTCACCTCTCTATAGGCCTGGCGGTAGATACCCACACGACCCTGGCACACAACCTCGGTCAATATTGGCGAGAGCCGGCCAGGCAAGGCGAGTGTCCGTCATCTGCGACGATGAGTCCCGTGGGGGACCGGGGTAAGGAGAAGGGGGGTTCTGTAGCACTACAAGTATACCGCAACAGGTAGTCTTGTTGATGTAGGTAGGTGTAGGTCTACGGCGCCCCCCGTTATGTGTGCCCGCTTGTGTGTGTGTGTATGTGTGTGTGTGTGGTTAACAAGGTGGGTGGTTCGGCATGGGTGTCGTCGAAGGATTGCGCTACGCACGACAGCGAAACCTTAAAAAGCTTCCTCACTGGTCCCTAGGATCGCGGGAGGGTTGCAGTTGGCGCAGGGGGGGGGTGATGGGCATGGGGGTGTGTGTGAAGGGGCACGTGGATTGGGGAAACGGGGAGGGGGGGTGAAGGGCGAATAGGTGATGGCGCTGGGACATGGGCGGCCGGGGAGAGGAAGATGGATGGAGCAGGTCGGTATTCTGGCACCCCCCCCCCCTGGGCGGAGGAGCCCTAGCAGGGGGGAGCTGCCTGTCACAGGGCAGAAACCCCCACGTCTGCGGGCGGGCGGGCGTCCTGTGGGAGTTTGGGGGGCTCCCCCCCACGCTCGTTTTATGTCACCTGTGTCCCATGGGTGTCGTCCACGTGTGGGTGGGAGTTTTGGGTTCCTTGGCCGCTTGGTCGCCGTTTCGGTTGGGGACGGATAGTCTCGAGTGACCGGGTGAAAGCGATGAATGTAGAGATTCTGGGAGTATGACTGTTTATCGATCGAATCCAAGGTACGAATGGACCTATCTCTACTACAGGAACGTACTCGGGTAGCTGATCTGGGTGTCCTGTCCCTCTTTACACCCCACGTGCTTCCTGCAGTCACAAAACAGTGATTTGTATTTGCAAATGTTATCTTGGATCATTTGGCCGAGAAATGTTTCTACTTCGATTTCTTTCCACTTTTCCGCGCTGTACCATATTGTCAGTGGGAGAAGCGTCCTGCCTGATATGTGTGCGGTGTTGAGTCGCCAATCCTAGTGCTAGCATGTTATCACACCTAGTGGAGGTTCAATTGCCTCTTGCAAGCAAGCAACGTCTCAGGATACCGACTTCAGACTGCCAGAGCTTTTGCAGAGCTCGTGGTCTAGGTTTATCTAGTCTCGCCCCAGCTCGACTGCTTGGATGGAGATCTTCCGCCAACTGAACTGTCTTTTGTGATGTTTCGGTAGATACACTGAATGTTCATTCACTCTAATACCCATTTTCCCTTGTACGGAGACGGAAGTATAAATATATAGACATAGGATCTGAGATAAAGACGGCCTGTGGTATTGTGTATCAAAGCCCATCATATGCCTACATGCTGAGACTGTATATGCAATACTATGATTCTCTTTCATTACCTCTCATCGTCCAGACATGGACGTCTTGCTTCCATTTTCATATTTTTCTGTTCGTAATTGAAAATATACGGGACTAGTCTGATGAAGCTCATGGCCAAATACGAATTTACTCTCGATATGGCATTGTTGAACTTTGACAACCTGTAGGAAGTGGCTGAAATCCAGACACTTTCGGCGAAGTTTGAAGTTGTTCGAATATTTGCACTTGAAATTTGAGACTCGGGGCTGGGATCAGAACTTGCCGCTCAATGCGAGATACCTTCCTGGTATCAACATAATTATGTATTCAGTGCCAAGAATCCAGATGACAGTCATCTATGGGTCCCCCCATGATGAGCTACGAATTATGCCTCCCGTGACCATGTTCCAAAGACTTCTTACTAGCACAAGAAGAGACAAACATGACAACCGGTCAGCTTGAGAGGTATCGACTTATTCTCGTCCTATTTGCATTTGCCTGAAGGACCTTAAATCCACAATGGCATAATTCTTGCTTACAGGTGTCTCGTTTGAAACAAGAGTGTCAACGTCACTGCTCAAATGATATCTGATCATCAATCTGGCAGGAGCGTCTCAGTCTCACCTGTGATCTCAAGTTATTGGTTTAAGCCTTCCAATACTCGGGCAGCAGGAATTGCACCGTGGTCTGCGACGGAGCCTTGCCAAGGCCGCCAGTCATTCCAGGCACAATAAGTGCTGGCTTGCACCGATGGACTTCCTTGATGTACGGGCAGGATCGGGCAGCTCTTCTGTGCACATGAAAAATGAGCATGGCTCCTTCCCTGGACGAGTTTTGTTCAGGCAGAAGTCGCCCCGTGGCAGTTGCTACCAACCCCAGGGGTCAGCTCGTCACAGTCGACTTGAGCACTTTGATTGGACTGCTCCTGCGATCCTTACCTCGATCCTGTTTGTTGACAGGCATCAGTGGTTTCCGGATTCTTTCCTGCATTGTCCTGTCATGACCTGTATGCTGATCGCCTCAACCACTTCGCATCATCGCCTGTCAACATATGGTCATTTCCGAATCATTCAGCCACTTTGTGAATCTCAAACTTTTTGGTTACCCACGAGCACTCAGTTTAACATCAATAATCCGTCCTGCGATCCGTGTAGAATTTCACTCTGCTTAGACGAATATCTCTGCTGCTACCACTCTCCAGCCGCCAGCAGCTTAAATCCCTATACTTGGACCTTGAAAGTTGCCAGTGTCTCCTGATCGATGCTTCGCAGGCACAGTACCAAGTCCAAAGCGGACCTCCCCCGCCGCAAATCAACTACCTCTGTCCGCAGTGTCCATCTCGAGCACATTGACGCCGCAGTTGCCCAGAGAGACGCCCAGACCGCGGCAATGGAGGCCTTCTCCAGAGCCCAAGACCGTCAGTCTACTGGAAGGACTCTGTTCCCTCCCCAGCCTGCGTCCGCAAAGAAGGAAAACACAAGTCCCGCTGGGCTGTCCCGGGGCGACAGCACGACCAGTCCTCGCAGCGAGCACAGAAGACAGGGCTTGGAGAGAAGACAAAGCGTCCGCTTTGTCGGCCCCGGATCTGGTCTCCAGACACGCGCGTCTCGGATCAGCATGCGCACAGCTGCCCCTGAACCTCCCACCGTCCCGGCTCGTCGACCCATCCAACGATCCCAGAGCACTCAGAGTATCAGCTACATGCCGCGCTCAGTTCTCCGCAATTCCGAGAATCTACCACTGCCCGATCGCACTTCATCCGTTGGGAAGACAATAGTGACACCAAAGGCTGCAAAGACTGGGTTGAGCCAGGCTTATCTTCAGGCTTTGACTCCAGATTATGAGCAATACACGCCAGAGGATGACATTGCATCTATGCCCTCGTCCTACCGGCGTATTCGCAAGACACGCTCCATGCTCACAACGAGGGCTCCCATGAGAGAAAGTGTCAATGGAAACTCCGTTGGAGCTCACGGATCATTACCGCACAACACGGGCACAACGGCGCAAAACAAGCAGACTACTCATGGAGCACTGTTCCCCCGATATTCATTCATGAAAAGGAGAGACAACGATGCGATGCCATCAACGCCGAAATTGAGAGCCCCAAAGTCGATGAGCTTCTTAAAATCCCGGCGAGATCGTCCGTACGAACAGGCAAACAATGGCAGCCCGAGCGGAGACGCTTCACCGATTTTGTGCGTTCAGGAAACTTCCTTTCGTTCTCGCATTCTGCCCAAGCCTCCCAAGCTCTTCGGATCCAAGTATGGAGAGCCCCAACGGGAAATGCCAAAGACTTTGAGAAACAGCAGTGCAAACATAGAGAAGCCTGCTTCTGGAACAGGTGCAAGCTTGGGCCGAAGCCGATCTGGAAGTTTGAGAAATAGAGCTCGCAAGGCCTCAACATCACTCAGGTCCAGGTTCAAGAATCTTTTCATCAACAAGAGCGAAGAGGAAGCGAGACTGCCAGCACAGCAGATAGAGGCACAGAAGACGCATGTGTCGGAGGTGTTTGATGAGAATCCTTGGGCATCTCCCGTGCCCGAGCACGATCATTGCCGTGAACGGAGCTCTTTGTCCAGGGTTTCGACTCGTATCCCTTCTCTGCACGCAATACCGTCTCATGAACGCTTGCATTCTCGGAGGGGAAGTATAGATAGCTGCAAAAGTGCAGCTAGGCAGGCATCGGACGAAAGATCGCGAGTGACGAGTTGGGCCAGTACTGATACTGACACTGTCATCGCGCATCGCCCGCAAGAAGCCATGGAGGAATGGGAGAAGCAGCGGCTCTCCATAATCAACGAGCATGGCGTTAGAAGTTCACTTTCATCTTTAGGTTGTCCAGTGATCGGACTCCAGACCATCACATCCCAAGAAGAGCTGGCTCCTCCGATAGCCCTTCAACGTTTGCCGCCTGGGGCCACAGTGGACAGCCAGCGCGTATTCTCGGCTCTGATGAAGAAGATGAACGAGACTCAGCAACTCGCTGGTATTGTGGAGCAACAGCGCAAATTGAGCGACGGCTCAGATCCTTTCCGCACATTGTCACCTTCAAGCAGCATTGGTAGCGGCGACAGCAGTGACGCAGTCGCTTCCACCCAGGCGCGCAATACTCGACAACCATTATCCATCTCAGGCAAAGACATGGAGGAATATCCCAGCTGCGCAAGACCTGCTTCTGAAAGGGAGGAATCATCGAACAACGAGCTCACACATAGCGTCGCGGATGACCACCGCAGCCTGTCTCCTCCGATCCACCTCACTCCGAAAGGGGAACGTCACGTCGCTGCCAAAACCATCACAGACAGAGGCTCTGCGTTTTTCGGAAGCCCGACTTCTCATTTATTCCGCACCACCAGCCCATACAGGCGATCGCTCCAGGAAGCCATGCGTGCCGAGAGGAGACAGTCTCTCTGTCAAGACCCAGCAGAAACAACTGGTGAGACGATTGCAGCCGCCAAGGTGGCCTACTCTGATAGCAATTACTCCTCGGATACGCTCATTCACAAGACGGAGATGAGGCAAGGGTGTCCGGTTGCGAAGCCTCTCAACGTGTTGGACTCAGGAGAAGAGGCCAATGTCTTCGAAGATACACCGACTTATCGGCCCACTGGAGAGCGTTACGTTTCCACAGCAAGCTCAATAGGATGGAAGACATGGCTATCTGCCGACATTGCCAAGCAGGAACCATCTCCCACGAGAGTGAGCGGGCAATCCCCAGAGGTCGAGTACAGGATCCCAACCATGCCGAGGTCTCTTGGCCATGGGCATGTTCGAGAAGCTGCTCAGACGGGCAGTTGTGAGGAAGATGAGGACAATGCAAAGCCGCCTGTTCGCATGCCAACCAGCTCGGCGACGCCTCTGAGTGCCATTGACTCGAACGTGATCAAGCTTAGCCCTCAGCAGCGCTCAGTCATGCGTACAACAACGCCACCTGCTGCTGATTTACACCAAGATCAAGTGATTACACCCTTACAATGCAAGACCTCGGCATCGTACTACGGAGACGATGCTTCATCCAACTTTCGTAACAATGCAACGAGACCACAAGCGCCACCCTCGGAGAATATAAGATCGAGTCGCCACTACAAGCCCGTCACTCAACCAGAAACACCTATTCGAGAGCACACTGTCAGACAAATCAAATCTCTTGCTAGCCTCAAGAGCATGAGCAGAATCAGAGAGCCGCAGACGGGCTCGCCACAGCCACCAGCCTCTTCCACGGTTCGGCTAGTGAGGAAGTCAGCGAGCAAGCCGGCAATGAATCCCGCATCGGCGGCGTCTAGTCCAGGTTTTACTGGTGTGTTTGAGCGCCGGTTTGGGTCTATCGGCCACCATCTGGACGGCCAGCTAGTGGAGAAGGAGAACCAAGTTCCTCATCACGGTGGTGCGCAAAAGCAGTCTCCGAGCACCAAAGGCCAATTCAGGGGTAGCAAGGCGATGGTGGATCTCTTTCTCAGCACCCGCAGGCGGCAGGGAGTAAGCGGCGGCGACCCAACGGCATTTGTTTGAGGGTTACTGCCATTGTCTCTTAGACATCGCCTGCCCAAGACTTCGAATGAACATGTTGTATTGGGACGAATCGTCATGTACTATGTGGAGGACTGTTCAATGCAACCAAAGGCATGGCCATGAAATTACTTATGAGAAGGCAAGAAAGGACACAAGGGCGTAATTGGAAATCATTGTTAGTCGACGTCGGAGCTTACCTACAACTGCCACTGTTGCTGGTTTTCTTTTGGTAGCAGAGATAACAAGACAATTCAAAGACACTGGTTTAGTTGTTTACTTAGCCACCATCCACCCGAATACAAGTCAGGGAGAGTGGCAAGTGTTATGCAGGCCCGCGATGTCATACTTGCTTGTACGGTGATCTTCGGTGTTTCCAAGCGAAATTCAAAATTTAGTCTCAAGATGTAGTTAGCAGACAACCTGATTCTTGAACCTGCCTTGCACAGCGACTGCAACAGGCTTTAATAGATAATTTGACTGCTTGTAGCGGGTATAGGGGATATGTTTGTTTAGCGCCGCATATGACCATATTAGCTCATCAGCTCGTTTTCCTGAGCCAAGTTCTGGACTCCTAGAAACGCCTTGTGTCCTGTTCGTGTATGTACGAGCAAAAAAAAGTCGAACTCCGGTTCGCTGTTGGACTTTTGTCTCTCTGTCTCTCTCTCTTTCGTGGTCTTGTGACTGTATTTTTTGTCTTGGTTCGTAGGACCACCGCGACCTTCTCTCGACGATGGCTTTATGCAGAGTAATACGACGGTCATGGACGTGAATACCAGTTCTGTCTTCTGCCGTCATCATCCAGGCTAACCTGGCCTTCGTACACGTAGGCGTCATTAAAACGGCCCATCGCGCCAGAGAAAAAGGGACCCCTCTCACTTGCCTCCTTTCCTAGCTCGTGGGTCTATGTCAGGGCAGAGAGCCCTTACGCCTGCATGTCTCATGTTGGCCCCGATTGCGAATGGTGCGAATGGTGAGAGTGATGCGAGTGATGCGTGGCTTTCCCCTTGCTTTTCCGCCTCTGCTTGGCATAGACTAGACCGCATGCATTACACAGAATCTCGCCGTCCGGGCCCTTGCGCCATTCCGGGGTATCGGTTCGCCCGCACTTCCAGCAGGACGTGGCCCCTTCCGCCTCGCTGTTGCTGCTGCCGGCCCTGTGCGAGTGAGAGCGGTGGTGATCGTGGTGGTGCCGTGAGTGGTGGTGATGTAAGGATCTCGAGCCGGAGTGAAGGCGCTTGTAGGTGTCGTCGCGGTGGCTGCTGTCGGGCCGGGTCTTGCGCTTCCTCGCCGCCCGCAGGCCGTGGTGCCTGATGGCGGAGATGCTTCCGACGCCCCGGGAGATGTCACTGGAAAGCTGCGTCATAAAGAGTATGTCCCCGTCGCTCATTACTGGAACGGGGCGCTGGCCCATAAAGGACTCATGGTTGCCTATTATGGAGCTGGTGAAATCTAGCAGGTGTTTGGTGCTGCGGTGGATCTGGCTCGATGGTCAGTGAGACTGAGTCTGCCTTATTCAAGGGCTTGAGAGAGAAAGAGAGAGTGTGTGGTTTCTTTTTTTTTTTTTGGAAAGGGGGGGGGGGTAAAGAGAAGGGTGTGTGGCAATATGGCAAGTACTTTGGGGAAATATATCAAATTGTAAGACTTACGGTGAAGAGATTCTCTGCTATGTTGGAGTCTTTGACCCAGAACTGGTGGTTTTCCTTGAGATGTAGGCCCGAGGTTGTGTCGACCCATTTTGCGACTTGTGATATGATACTCTCAACGGCGGCAGGGCGGGGGGAAGCTGGGGCTAGCCCCTCCTCGTCGATGGACGGCAGCGGATCAGACCCAACAGCAGCCGGTGGCGGGAGGTCTGTCTGTGGTTGTTGTTCCTGGTCCTGTTGTTGCTGCTGTGGGGGGACAGCGGGGCGTAGGGGTAGAGGGAAATGAAGACATATATGTCGCTCATGAAGGACGGGTGCGGCTCCAGGCTCAACCACCGGCCTGACTGGCTGGCCTCAGTTCAAGGGCCGGAGGAGACAAGTGGCGCGACAATGGCAGACGGGCGTGGCACGCGCACCCCACGGACTCGGGGATAAATGGTATGCTGGGTTCGTGGGGGCCAGGGCTGAGTAGTGTATACCTCGGCAGTTCGGTGATATTGCAGGGCTTGGTTAGAGAGCAATGGGACCCAAAGGTCACGATCAATTGGCTGAGGGTGGGAGTGCAGAGATCGGGCGGAAGCCGTGGGATCGAGAGGAAGGGGGAGAAAAGGATCGGATCAGACTGTTCAGTTAATGTAGGCCAAAATGCCTTTCGGCAACTGCCAGGATGGACAGGACGGGAAACTGCGTCGAGGTTCGATGGCGAATCGAAAAGGTCTAGATTCTCTGGATTCTCTACTTGGGAAGGCTATGAGTGTCTCGCTAGTGTTGGGTGGCAAAGAATTATGTCCTGTCGTAGGAGCATCCTCAGTCGGGAGCATGCCGCTAGGGTACATTACCTAGCAGGAAATGCAGCAGGCCGAGGGTCCAGTCCAGGAGGCTCGCAACGGAGGTTATACCCCGGACCGCAAGCAGGACCCTTATTACATCAAGGGTCCATCACGTTGCATTTCTCCTAACGCGAATTGAGTTGGTCACTGTTGGGCGGTGGAGACGCTGGTGAAGATGAATGGCCAGGTTGGATTTGCAGGGCACCGAGCCAGACATGGGAAAGCTGCAATGCCATCAGTGGCGCGGCATGGGCTGGGCTGCCTGCACTGCATTGCCGTGAGACCGTTTAGACCGTCTGGTGCGGTAGTGCTGCCGCAGGTAGAAAAACGGCCGTTTCCCGTCCTGCCGTCCTGGCACCTGGGCATCGTGCGACGGGACTACCCTGGCAGTTGCCTGGGCGGGACGCAGCAAGGGTCCTACTCTTTAAACCCCAGCAGAGAGGTACCTGCATGGCCTCTACTCAGGTACTGTATGGTGCTGTGCTTAGGTCACGCATCACACGCCCTCCAGAAGCTCTTATCGCGGCGGGCATTGGTCCCGCATGCGTCATCCAGGCCCCGTGCTGCCTGTCGCTGCCGTCCAAGCTTCAACACCTTCACACCTGACTGGCCTCCTGTCACCGACAGCTCTTGGCCATCAAGCTCCCTGCCCATCAAGCTCCCCCGCAAGCTTTGACTGATTCAGGTTGGATGCTGCGGCCGTTGCTGCTATTACTACTTGGTACTATCTGCCGCATGTTTGGGACTATGAATGACCTGACACCTGCTTGAAAGCAGAGCACAACAAACAGCTCCGCCCCCACCTTCCAACGTCTCCCAAATACACTGCTTCATCCGATAGACGAGAGCCGAGCACTGCAAACTATAGCGGCGTGCAGCTGCCGACGTCCAACATGACCCCCAGAACCCTCCTCGCTGGCGGCTTGCTCGCAGCTGCCGCCCGTGCCATGCAGCCCAGTGCTGCGAAGCCCGTCGCCGCCCCCATGCGCGATCTCCAGTGGGCCCAGCTCAACTTCCTCCACACAACCGATACCCATGGCTGGCACGGCGGCCACTTGCAAGAGTCCCAATACTCGGCCGACTGGGGTGACTATGTCTCTTTCGCCCATCATATGCGCAACAAGGCCGACCAGCGGGGCGTCGACCTGCTCGTCGTTGACACCGGTGACCGGGTCGAGGGCAACGGCTTGTACGACGCATCTCGGCCCAAGGGACAGTACACATATGACATATTCAAGGAGCAGGACGTAGACATCATTTGCACCGGAAACCACGAGCTGTATCTAGATGATACTGCCACCCGTGAGTGGAATCAGACCGTGCCCAACTTCAAGGACAGCTACCTTGCCTCCAACCTGGACTACATCGACCCAAAGACCGGCGAGGCCAAGCCCATGGCCCCGAGGTACAAGAAGTTCCAGACCAAGAACCAGAAGCTGAACGTCGTGGCTTTCGGCTTCCTGTTCGACTTCACCGGCAACGCCAACAACACCATCGTCCAGCCCGTTTCCAAGACGATCAAGGAGGAATGGTTTCAGAATGCCATAAGAGAGAAGCCTGATGTGTTTGTGGTGATTGGACATATCGGCCTGCGGATGGACGAGATCAAACAGATATACAACGAGATCAGGAAGCAAAACTGGTTCACCCCACTCGCCTTCTTTGCCGGCCATGCCCATGTTCGCGATGCCATCAGTTTGGACGCCAAGACTTTCGGCATCGCAAGTGGGAGGTATTTTGAGACCATCGGGTGGATGTCCATCGACGGCATTGCGAAAAAGTCAAAGGACGTGGAAACGACAGCTGTGTCTTTCAACAGGAGGTATATCGACAACAATCTGCTGGGCCTTTATCATCACACAGGGCTCAACGAGTCTACATTCCCCACAGAGCATGGCCGCAATGTCAGTGAGCTCATTGCCAAGGCTCGGACGGCCCTGGACCTGGACCAGAAGTTTGGCTGCGCACCTCAGGACTACTGGATGGCCAGGACGAAATATCCGAGCAACGATAGCGTCTTCACATTGCTCGACCAGCAGGTGCTGCCTGACATCATCGCGAAAGAGTCGCGGAAGGACATCCCAAGGCTTGCCATCATCAACACCGGTGCTATCCGCTTCGACATCTTCAAGGGCCCTTTCACTATTGACACCACCTACATCGTCTCCCCGTTTCAAAGCAAGATGGCCTATATCCCTGAGGTGCCTTACAGCGCTGCAAAGAAGGTGCTGCCTCTGTTGAACAGCGAAGGTCAGATCCTCGACCAGCCAGCCTTCGACGCGAGGATGATGGGCCCACCTGAGCAGTGGCACATTACTGAGGATATTATATATCCAAACCCGACACCTGTAGAACGTCTGCTGCAAGGCGGTGGCCAGAAGCCCCTGGGCGATGCTAAAGATGACCCGGACCTTGTCGGTGGGTACACCACCAAGGATGACATCGGGACTGATGGGGATGATGCTGTGCACGCCCCTATCAACTTCCACACACAGCCAAACTGCATCCAGGCAAAGATTGGCATGCCGCCTGAAGGCGAACCAGAGACTGTTGATCTGGTGTTCACCGACTTCATAACGCCCTGGGTCATCATGGCTCTGAAGTTCAGTGGTGGCGACTACAATGAGACAAGCGTCCAGTTGTGGGACGAGGCTGCCTTCACGGACATGGTGGCCAAGTGGGTCAAGGAGAATTGGAAGGGCAAGTGCTAAGCGCTGTAGGATGGCACTGAAGCAACTGTTGGCGCGAGCTCTAGCTTGCGTCCATGTTCCAAATGAATTGAGCATTTTCGACCCTCGGGATGGGCACGGCGTTTGGTTTACGATTGAACATTGATCCAGAATGGAGTATATTATCATTGGCTTTGGATATGGTATTTAGAAATTCATCAACCCTGACGACCACCGACTCCATAAAATGCAAAGCGTAGTGTGAGAACAAAAAGCAAATACCCCATAGCATCATCAGAACTGATCGAGCAGCTTCCTCCGCCTACGGTCTATCAGCTCCTCCTGCACCTCCTCGACGGTCGGCAGCTCCCAGCCCCTGCCATCACCGGTGTCACCCGGCAGCGGCTCCCAGCTCGGGGGCACGTCCTTCTTGCCCGTCTTGGCCAGGTTCTCGAATGCGGCGGCCTCCTTGGCCTGCTCGTATTCCAGCAGCTTCTCGTCCTCCTCGCCGGGCGCGTAGCCGTAGTACGCGGCGTCGACGACCTTGCGCAGGTCGTCCCGCGCCTCGAGCGGTCTGGCGTCGTCGCCCCTCGCGTCGGACCTCGCCTTGGCCGCCGCCTCGAACAGCTCCTTGACCCCCGGCAGCTCCCTCGCGCGGCCGAAGTACTTGTACCCCTTGTTGCCCACGCCCGGTATCTCCCTGCCCTGCTCGTCGTACATCTTGCCGCCGCCCCCGCCGCCCCGCATGTAGTTGGGCCCGCCCAGGTTCCGGATCTGCACCTCCCACATGTACTTCTCGCGCATGAGCTTGTTGATCTCGTCGTTGACGTCGCGGATCTGGTAGTCGCTCAGGGCCGGGTCCTGCACGCGCGACACCTTGCGGCTGATCTCCTTGAGCACCTGGCCCCGCCACTTCTCGCAGTTGGGGATCGAGTCCTGCTCCGTGATGAGCTTGGGCCGCCGCGTCCGGCCCGCGTCGATGATGCCCAGGTCCGCGGCCTGGGCCTCGCGGAAGCGGAAGAGCATCGACTGGGCCTTTTCTGAGTTTCGCGCCTGTTGGAGGGGGTTTGGTTAGCTGGGGGGTTCTGTTCGGTCCGAGGATGACTTTGGGAAGAGACTGGGCGCACATACCATCTTGAGAGAGCCTCTGCGCTTAAAGGGTGAACAGAGAGAATAGTTGAGGGGAGAATGGTTGGACTTTTAGAGAGTATGGGCAGTGGGAGTGGTTGGGTGTATGGACACAGGCAGAATGGCAATCGCATCCATCTTTCAGCCTTGCAAAGCTGCTGTGGAGCAATTATTTGCTGGCGAGTCGGAAAGCAGCCAGTTACAGGCAGGTGGGGTGTCTGTTAGCGCTATCCCTCAGCCTTGAGCAAGCCTGGACGTCCACTACCGCCCGGCGCGTTTGCTAACGCGTCTAGGCACCGTCCAACTCACACCTCCCACTCCACTCTGTCTGCTTGCTAGCAACTTGGACAATCTCCCAATATTGGGCTGATGTCGACCACTGAATGACCGTTTCTCTTTTGTCTCCGTTCTAACGAACCAGCAAAGATGCCGACCTAGGGTTCTTGGATCGTCTTCATTCTACCTGAGCACCGCACAATGATTCAACGATTACAACACATCGCTCCCAATGATTCCGCCTATTTCCTCTGGACACCCGCAATCCATTCTTCAAGGGCTAAGCACCGACTTGTACCTCGCCCCGACTTCTGGATCTCATCAGACTTTCCCTCCACTGACATACGATACGCTCGCTGCACTGAAGGTGTGGCTCATGGACCGCTTCCGGCCAACCTGCCAGGGACTTTGACGTCAACCAGCCGAGGTGGATGGCAGACCTTGTGGAGAATATCCAAGCTGACCCTTGGCTGCTGGCCCATGTCTGTATGGACAAGCTGATGCTTATGAGCGTGTCCCTCGCTCAATCTCACCTATGTGCCTGGCCGCTTGGAAAGGCGAGACAGACGTCTTGGGACGGAATGACCCTCACGAGAGGAGGCAGACCATGCGCAACGTGTACCCACGAATGACGTCGATCTGCGAGAGCGGTCTGCTCAAGACCTAGGTAGGAGGCTGCCCAGCAACAAGGGGGCCACCCGCTCCTACGGGGTCACTCTCCCTACCACGCCTAGTTCTCTCCATCCTTCACAGCCTGTTTTCCAAGTGGGGATCAGAATCGAGTCTGCCATGAAGATACAACCTAGGGATGAGCTTTCCCACTTGTTAATCCTCGGCGTTGGCTCTCATGCTTGCCGTTGCGACATGATACAGCCCACAAAGAACAGAGATCTGAGCAGACAACAAAAAGAAATTAACATCCTGTCTCCCTCCATCCCCTTCTTGCCAGGCAACCACCCTTCCTCATTCATCTACCCCTTTGGGATGCACGTCTCGGCCGCGATGACGACAAAATCAGCAAATTAACCAGAGGCATGTGCTCCATTTCTCTTGGCGGCCGCCGGTGATGGTTCAAAAAAATAGTTTTCAATCGGATGCGGCGAGGCGTCCTCTCTTTTTCTCCCATTGGGGGACGTGTCGCGGAATAGTGATGCCTTCCAAGCGGTTGGCTCTGGTGGAGACAACTACGTTAAACAACTTCAGCCCGGTGATGACTTCAAGGTCCAAAAAGCCAAATTTGCAGACAGCAGAAGCCAGTGGGCCTTCCCTGTGGAGGGTTCTTCTGGCGACGGTTGTCGTTGAGAACTCAAGAGAGCTGATCTGAGGGCACATGAAGTTGATTTCCTTCCCCTCGCGATCCCTCGTTTTTTTGTTCTATCAAGTCATCATTCACAGCCCATCTCTAAGTCACGGGCTTGCACTGCAGTCCATACTGAGAACCACAACAATACTGTATCTATTCTCATGTACACTGAATGAAGAGGCAAGGTCAGCACACAGAAGTCGTGGTTTCTCTTTCAAGTATGGCTCTCAAGTGTCCTATTTCTGCCTGGAGGAACGGCTATTATTTACTTGGTATTGTCCAAAGTCCATGAAGACAGAAGTTTCGAGAACATTTGGTGGACATCTAGATCAGTCACAGGAAGGGCCTCGATAGGGAGTCAAAATCATAATACTCGTTTATTGACCCTGTCGACTTTTGTGAACCCGGGTCCGCCCTAATCGGGACCCTTATCCCGAGGTATTGTACATACACACACAGGACGATGCCAGACCCATTTCCTCCAGATCCAGCCACCTTAAGATTGCGAAAATGCCAAGTACTTCTATGGCTGAAAATCACTACACTGATCCTGATGATCAATCCTCCCTGTAGCGCACTCAATCTACTGCTTCTTCTTGGCGTCAGCAGCCTGCTGTGCAGGCTTGTTGAACATCCAAATAGCGACGAAGGCCAGCCAGCCCACGCAGGTAACGCCAATGCTGGCAAGGTAGGGCCAGGCGGCAGGGATCTCGTGGCTGTAGGGGTACTCGTCGTGGGCCATGTGGCGGACGGTCACGGAGTGCTTCTCCTCGATGTTGGACAGGAATGGGCGCTTATAGTTGGTTATGAAGTTGTAGACGCCGTGGTGGTCGGGAACCCTGAAGGTCACGCGGAAGATGCCCGCGGTCTCGGACGAGGCACGCTTCATCTTCTTGATGGGAATGCGGTGCAGGGCGGACAGCTTGCTGAACTCGAGCTGTAGCTCATCGCCCTCGGGGACCTTGAAGTCCCACCACCTGTCCCAGACCCACTCCGAGAGGGAGATCTCATATGTCTAGAAAACGGACGTGTTAGCTGCACGGCTTCTCGGAAGGTTGGACCGTGGGTGACTACATACGACATTGTTGTTGACACGGTAGATGGATGGGTTAGACACGTTGGCCAGCGGACCCTCCTCAGCCAGGTGGTGCTCGACGTGGTTGACGCGCAGGTGTCCGATCTCATGGAACGTCCAGGCGCTGACGCGTCGGGAAAACTGCAGGTTCCAAGCCGTGACAGCCTCGCTGCCGCTGGGGAGCTTAACCTTGGCGTCGAACCACTTGTCCTGGAACATCTCGGCGGAGCCCACGACGGTAAAGCGGGCAGAGTTGCGGGATTGGAAGGCGGAAACGAGCGAGAGCTGCTCGCCGGCAGCAAAGACCTCGTCGACAACCTCGGACTGCTCCTTCTGGTTGTAGATGTAGGCTGTCCGGGGCGCCCTCAGGATGGGCGTCAGGAGGGGACCATTGCCCAGGGTGTGGCCGAGACCGCGAGGGAAGGCGAGCAGGTCTTTCTTTCCACCGCTGCCGAAGTAGTTCTTGGTGTCGTCTCGGTAGTCGCCGGGAGTGGGCATGAGGATGACATCGTGAAGATCAGCGGCGGACTTGGCATCGTAGTTGAAGTGGTCAACCACCAGGCCGGTTCGCTCGGCGGGGATGTGGATGTCCAACTCGAGAAGGAGAGCGTTCAGGGCGGTGGGGACGGGCTGCGTGGCGCTCAGAGCAAGCAGGATGTTGCCGCCGGCGTTGAGGAAGTCGAGAATCTTCTGGGCAGTCAGGTTGGGGCCGAGTCCTGCGACATTGCACCTATCAGCATAATTGCACTGGCGTTCCTGGAGATCTGAGCTTCATTCTCACCCTTTGACTTTGTTGGGAAGATGATGAGGTGGTCAAAGGTCTTCTCCCCGAGGTGATCCAGCCTCAGGTCCTCCTGTTTGGGAGTCGCATGTGTGATCTTGTACCCTCGCCCTGCACAGCAACAGAGTTAGCCAATGCAAGCTCATTGGGGGATCTCACGAGGGGCTAGCATACTCTCCAGGTCTCCTACGAACTTGGAGTAGAGCTTCTGGTCCTCGACATCCTCCCAGATGCTCAGAAGGCGATCGCCCGTGGCGCTTGCAGCTTGCGTAACAGCTGCCAGGGCCAGCAGAAGAAAAGAAAGGAAGAGCTTCATCTTTAACAACAACAGGCGCCTACTTGCGCGGGCAAAGGAAAACGGTGAAGATGGCAGCTATGCCCTGGTTGTCATGTGGCAGCTACCAATTTGACGGTTTCAACTGCGGGTGAGGGGGGAAGAATGAGGTTGTCGCAATTGCTACTAGCTGGCCTTCACATCACCGAGAAAGTGGATGGACAGCCTGGAACTCTACCTACCTAGGTACAGCAACAGCTCTGGATACGTCGCCCATTTGCCAAGACTCGTGGGGCCTCTAGGTCCCCTGCCAGGCCCAGCGTGGCTTCTTACCTACACCACACTAGAGAGTTACGCCAGCATCGACAGGGGTCCTGGTGCAGCACACTGCAGAGAAGCCGCAAGCTGGGCCAGAGCCTTACATAATCCCGATTGGCCAATGGCACCTAGGCTAACCGGCCTGACCTCTCTCTGACTTCACCCGATGAGAGTAGCAGCTATACGGACAGAGAGAGACGGCTCTTGAAGGAAGCAAGCACAGTCCGACAGCCACATCCCCCCCGACCCAAGAGCACAAGTAGGTGGCTCCATCACCACCCTTTACAGCTACCACGTTCAATCTCTTCTAACACTCCGTCCACAGCAGCCAAAATGTCCGGCCGAGCGCCCCTCTTCTGGCAAACGCCCATCCGGTACTGGCGCTGGTCATCGCGCGAGCGCCCCGCCCTCTTCTGGTCCTGTGTGATCGGTGCCCTCGGCCCCGTCACCCTGGCCGTCGTTCCGCCCATCAGACACGCCTTCGGGGACTACGACGCGAAGCCCATACCCACGACCTACCCTAGTACGCCTCCCTGGCCTCTCCCAAAGACGCTGTTGCATACCCCGTACTGATGTTGTGAACAGTCCCTCCCGGTCCCAGGAAGACGCTGAGTGGATATGATGACGGCTCCGAGTAGCGACCGCGCGTCGAGGCACGAGAGAGGTGGCGCAAGGAATACACACACCCATCGAACTCGAACGGGCCACGTGAGGGTGGGGAAAGCTCGCGGTGGAGGCCACGTCAAGTGTACATAGGGTGCGGCGTTGGGGGTATTTGAATCGACAAAAAGAAATCAAAACAGAACAAGCCCATTTGTCACTCCGAGTCGCGGGTCTAGTGGCTGGTTTGACGCCTGGGGCGCCTTGTGCCGCTTTGCTGTGAACGGCCAACCTGTGACGATCATTTTTCCAGCCGAGAGACCTGGGAGGGTATCGATGGAACGGGTGCAAAGACCACGGATCTCAGTGCCGATTCGCTCAGCGGAAAACTCAGTAAGGAAAGGGGTTGAGAGGATGGATAGGCCTCGAGGAACGTGTTCAAGATACCGATTGATAACGAACGCTTGTTCGATATCTAGAAGTTGAGACTTGTCATCCATTCCCAATGGTTCCTAGAGACCCAGAGGTCTGCAGCGAAACTGTCAGGCCCGGTAATCGCTTCCGAGGCCAAAGGCCCGGATCGGACATCGTGGCGGGATCAATACATCAACAACCCTAGTCAGTGGTCCCTAGGATGGTTTAGCTCTGTAAGAAGTGAAGACAAATTCGCACATGGTGGCGGCGAGCTGGTCAAGATTTAGTCTCTTTGATATGACGGTGGGGTTGACTTTATCTTGTCGAAACCGCATCTCCTTTTCTTTTGACGAATTCCATATGTACTTGACCAACTGTATATCTATACCCCCAGTCGCAATCACCACAGCACGCCTCTCTCTCCCACTCTAACCCAAAAGACAATACCAGCGAATGCGGATCCAAATTTCAATGGGAACTTTTATATGACCAACGTTCAGACAAGCACCCATATGCCAAACAGCGCTTTCCCGCCTATGCCATGCTATGCTGTGCCCAAGCTCCCCATCGTTCTATACTCACACGCTCGCGACTGATCCTGATGAACCGGAGGAAGGGCGCCACTAACGCTCCCGTTGGACCAGGTTCCATTCATACTGAAGACGACACTCGGGTCAGTTGCAGTTCCATGTGATCTCACGATGGAGTCTAGTCAGAAGAAAACTCACCACTCGCCCATCGTCGTCTCCCGTGTACACCATCTGCGGCATCGGCGTGATACACGTGATCGGCGCATCTATGTTCGTCCCGGTCTCGCTCTTGTTGTCGATGTGGTCCAGCCTCCTGAGGAGCTCCAGCACCCACCTGCCGTCGCCCCTCCGCGCCGTCTTCTTCCAGACGTTGACCCTGCCCCTCCTGTGGCCCGTGAACACGAGGAAGTTCTCAAGCCACTCGCTGCTGCTGCCCTCGTAGAAGGCGCACGAGTGCACATAGTCGTCGTGAGCTTCGCCCGAGCCGCCGCAGACGTTCTGTTCGAGGATGAGCTCGCCGTTGAGCGTGAAGAGGAGCACGTTGGACCCGCAGCAAAGCATGATGTCCCCCGTGACGTCGTTGATGCGGGCGCATTCGACCGGGCGTGACACCGGAAGCTTCCGGATGAAGTCTAGGCGGTTGAGGTCCCATAAGAAGGCTGTGCCGTCTTGAGATACCGTAAGGAACGTGCTGAACGCCTTGGAGACAGCGATCACGTTGACTGGTGTCTTGTGGCCGAATAGAGACATCCTGGGAAAAAGCTCGACGTTCTTGCCGGCCGAGGATTTGATGGCGAACACGGATATGACACTGTCATCGCCGGCAGTGATGAGCGTCTTGGAGTCGGCGAATGCGACGCATGATATTTGGCCTTGGTGGAGATTCTCGAGAAGGCCGACGGGTTTCCGGTTGTCGCTGAGGAAGAACCGAATGCTGTTGTCCGCGAATCCCCACTCGAGGAACTTGTCGAAATGAGGTGGCATGTTGAGCCTGAAAGGAGATGCGCACAAGAGTCGATCGAGCTTTGGAGCATAGATGAGGGAGGCGACTCGTTCGTGGCTCTCGAGAAGTGGGTAGTTGACCCTGGTCAGCGACTGCACACCAGTGTCAAGCCTTCTGGTTTGCACATGTACGTATTCTCGAGCAGGATGAGGCTTGGAGAAGACTTGGTGTGGCGTCTGCCCGAAATTGTGGATGATGTTGGTAGTGATGGCCCGCTCATTTTTGTCGACAAGACTGTCCAAATCAATGGCACCGTGATAGGACAGATGATGGAACACGTTCAGGTTTTCCACAGCAGCTTCGCCCCTCTGCTTATAACCAAAGACCAAGTCGATCCAGTGGTTCAGGTTCTCTGTCACGTATGGGCTCTCTAGAGCCTCTCGATTCTTCGCGATGAATATCTTGGGGTCTCCTTTGGCCCATGGAGGAAGTATAACATGGTCAACCTTGCCAGCATTACCTTGACGGTGACCAAAGTCATAGCCGTTTGTATTGGTGAGGAAGTCAGGCAGGTAAAAGAACTCGGGAATCAGTTCCCGAACGTCAGTCCCATTGTCCCTGGACGATGATTTCCACGCACCCTCAATGGAATAGAATAGACGGTCAGGATGATCGAAGGTGCCACCTTGGAGCAGGATGTACGATTGTACAAAAGGAGGCAGGCGGATCAGGTACGATGCCACGGCCATGGCTGAAGAGTAGTGTGTTCCGTAATGGAACGGAACTTCACCCACTTCCATCAGGTTGCTGTATCTCATCATGTAGTCGGTCTGGCGAGCAATAGTCTGCGCACCCATTGGCTTCGAAAGATCTCGGAAGCTGGCCGGATTTGTGAGGTCAAGCTCCTCGCTGGTGTAATCTGCGAGGACCCAAGGGAAGACTGGATATTGCGTCAAGTCGTTGAAAGTCCGCCCCGCCATCGTGTTCACGAGCATCAAGTAGTGGAAATTAGATATCTCTCCCTTTTGCCACTTCCTCATGATCGGAGTCCATGGTGAAGCATTGAAGATACTCCCAAATTTGGAGCCAAAAGACTGAGGAGCCTCATCGAAGATCTTGATGCCTTCCAACCTCCAAGCATCCTCTGGGTTGGGCAATGACTTTGGATCCGACGTATGAGGAGTCTTGTTGGATAACCTTGCGAAGACCTCGTCCCGAATATTTGGGTTCAGTGCAGTCATCAGGTAGCTCCGACCGTCTGTGAAGAAGATTTCGATGGCAACGTCTCTGAACAGGAATCGACGCTTGGAAATACTAATCACGTCGTGCCATCTCCAGCTGCGGGACTCTTGTTCACTTCCCCTCTGCGCCTTAGGCTTCTCGGCGGCCTTGCTGCCAGTGATGATTTGGGAGTACGGGTCACGCTCGTCAGGTGGGGCTTGCCAGACGTTGATGATTTCTCCGTCAGCGCTGCGGAAGACATTGTCCATGATGTACAGCGCTTCTTTGCCGATGATGAGAATGCCTTCGCACGCCTCGAGACCAATGATTCGTGAAATGTTGTACACGCTTTGAACGGTGTCGCCAAGCTCGAGGCGCCGCATGACCTTTCTGTTCTTGTCTTCAAAAGAGTCGTCACCTTCAGGTTCGTTGAGATCCTCGATGAGCTCAAAGTCCTCTTCTGGCGTCACGCCTGGCTCTGGCTGTTGCTCAGTCGAAGCCGGCTCGTCCGTCAGGGCGATGCTCTCCCCAACCTCGTTGATCGCACTGACTTGGGGCGTGTTCGTGCCAGAAGTCCCTGGCCCAATCTTTGTATCCAGCTTCAGGCCAGCAACGGCAGGTAAAGACTCCGATGGTTTGGACTCAGAGGGTTTCTTCTTGGCTTGCTTAGACTGGTACTCTTCTCCCAGCTTCGAGTTGTCTGGCAGAAGGCGTAGACGCATCCGGTTCCTTCCCTCTGTCCTGTCAAGCTTCCACTTGATTGTGCGGTCGGTCTCTGCAAAGACGCCGCCAGGACGTTTCAGGTCTCGGTCCATCTTGCCAAAGGAGCTGATTAGGAAGACAAAGTCGTCTTGCTGGTCCTGAGTAAGACGCTGATGTTTAGAGTGCTCCGTGCAAAATATGCTCTTCATCCAAGCACTATTTGCCATCTCGTGACGCAAGAGAACGTTTTCGATTTGCCGAGCTTCGTCCCGCCACTGCTTAAGCTTTTCTTTGCGTTTTGACAATCGCGATCTGGCAGTCTCCAAGGTGCGCTGATTCTCCGAGCTCACATATTCCTCCCATGTCTTCGACATACCACCCAGGAATAACGCATCCAGCGAAGGCCTGTGTTGGTCAACCCATTCGACAAAGGTTCCGTCATCGACTTCGGTCAGACGCGTGAAGCCGTTGGTCAATTGATTTTCGTCTGCCTGCATTGGAATCTCCCGGAAGACGCGTGAACACTCATCAGGCTTTTGGACCATCATGATGCGCAGAATTCCGGCTGCCGCTAGACGGATCGGTTCACGAGCATCAATCAGCTTGCCGTACAGCTGATACCAGATGAGACTCATAGAATCGTCGTTTGCAGATAGACAGTCCAGCAAGACAATCTGCCAGTAGTAGAGGTTAGACAACACTGCCAGGTTATCTTCTTCAGATACTTGGGCATCATCAGTGTCAGAAAGTCGAAGCAGAACGAGCTTGATGATAGACCCCTTAAGGACCGATACACTCTGGCTGCACAGTCGGACGCTCTTCAGAGATGATATATCAGGCCGCGCAAGATATTCCAGAATGCTTCCGAGGAAGTCAGCAACAGGTTCGGCACCATTCATGAACCATCCTTCAAAGATTGTGTCCAAGATGTGTGTAGCGAAGCGAGACATGTTCTGAAGAACCTTGGTATGGTGCAGGATAGTTTGATCAGATTGAATCAATGCACTCAAGCGTGAGATTGCGTGCCGCAGAACGTAGGATTCGAAATAGGCCTGGTGTTCCTGAAAGCCTGGAGGTATTTTCAGGAACAAGCTAAAGCCTGGAAATTCCTTCCGCGCCAGTAATTGGTCGACAAAGACGTCAAGCACGAGATCAAGCAAGCCCTCTAGCACGACGTTGCTGACTTTCTGTGCCTGGACTTGCAATTTGGGAGACATGACGTGAGCCAGCCTCGCACTGCTCTTTGCAGCTTGCGGTGATTCTTGCGACGTCAGAAGAACGAAGGAGGACGCTCGTCGGAGCTGGGTACCTCGGGACTGGTGAGGCGACTCCGCTGATGAGGGAACCACAGACGCCCTCACGATTGGCGCCGGACTGGATGAACCTGCCAAAGGTCGAATAATAACATCGCCACCATCAAAAGTGAGCGCAGAGTCTCTTGAGTTTAGCTCCGTCTCGGGGCTCACAGGATCAGTGCTAAGCAGCACTGGATACAGAGCAGAAAGAAGCAGCCGTACGTAGTCAGAAGAGAGGGCAAAGTCCCGGAAGTCCGCTGACCGCTGATGAAGATTTGACAGGAATCTAACGACAGTTTGGAGAACAACAGCGTGGCTAGCAACCCTCTCTTTGTCCACACCGCGTGTATCTGCCAACTTGTTAGCTAGGAATGGGATGAAGACATGGACATGGAATTGGTACGCACGCCTAGCTCCGAGTTCGTCAACAAAATTCATGGATCTGGCTCGCGGTCTGGCTGATGCGGACTCAGAGGTGCTCAGGTTTCTGGAGTGCCCTCTTTCGACACCGATTGGTGAATCCGGGTCATCCTGGTACTTCAAGATGTCCCTAAGGCCATGTTGGAGCATTGTTGTTATAACCGGTAGGACATCGGGATATGTCACTCGACAGTCGCCAAAAAGATCTACTAGGTTAAGCAAATCGAAACTCCGGTCAAAGTCGACCTTGGCCACGTCAACCCCAAAAAGTATACTGAGGCACATTGGCCACAGAGTTGGGATATCCCACCAATGCTTCAAACGGTGGGACATGATTGCGAACCCGCCCGTCTTCTTGGCAAATTTGGAAGCATAGCTTGACCCATGCGACACGAGCACCCTGGCGATGATTTTGCAGCCATAGACGATGACTTCTGGGTTCTCCTCGGCAAGTAGGTACAGAAGCCACTAATGTGTCCACGTCAGCATCCAGAATGAGACGCGGCGTATTGCGACTTACCTTATTCGTTACCGTACGGGCAAATTTGTGGATATCCGTGAAATTTCCCTTGTCGCAGAGCAGTCGTGTGTACAGCGCCAGGATCTTGACGCCAACTTGTTTTCTCGTCAAGACGGGCAAATGTGCACCATTGGCGGAATCCACCGTGGCGCGACGTAGACCGATCCTACCATTAGTCGGGGTGATCGCAGACATCGGCCTCGGAGTTCGCGGTTGGGAGTTTGCTGAAGAGTGGAAGGTGTAAGTGATGAACAAGGCGATAGTACGGTGGACCTCGGCGTTGAAGTTGCATTTGATGAGACTCTCAAACGCATCCAGGAAATGGGGCATGACATTTTCTGATATTGTCTCTGCTTTTAAAGCATCCAGCATTCTTTTCACAATTCCTGTATGTAAATCATCAGCATGCTGAGGGTGGTCGTCCTGGGTACTCCAATTCTTACGCATTCGCTGCAGCCTGCGACTATTGAACTCGTGAAATTTGCTGTTGACGGCGAAAGTCACAAACTGCTTATAGTACAATTCCTGGGTTATGGGGGCTGACTTCCGCCAAGTATCAAAGTCGATCAATAGGATGCGGTACGCAAGAGGGTTGATGATGAAGGACTCCACGGGTGAAGCATGCTTGTAGCCGACAAAGTCCAGCACCAAGCTGAGTAACTGGAAACTCAGCTTGTCTCGGTCCTCGGGGGCCAACAGGAGTCGCCATCCAGGTATGTCGGTTCCAGAAGTCGCGTAGCCGAGCTTCGATCTCAGGAGCATGCCTAAGATGGCATAGCCATTATCTCGCTCCATCGCTTCACTATTCCTCCAGCTCTTCTTGATGGACAAGAACATCAGCTCGACGGACCTAATGAACTCTTCCGCGGTCTTGGCACGCTCAACCAGCTTCAGGGCAACAGGCGTGAACCCGCCGATTCGCCAAAGGTTGTCATCGAAATTGTAAGGTGTTGTTACAACAGGGTCTCCTGTGAGCACAGCGACCCCATGAGCCCTCACGAGAGCGTCGTTAACGCATGGGAGAGCGGCGTTTATAGAGATAGCGGTTCCGCTCTTGGTCGCCAACTGGAACAGGTTACTAGCTGCATTCCTGGACAGAGACCGAAAGAGGAAGGAATCGAGGAACTGGCCCTCGGGTTGGAAAATTGCGGTAGGCAAAGTGCTCATGAGGATCTTTTGTTCCGGCACGAGGCTACTAGCCTTGTCCCTGATGGCCTTGAGAATGTCTGATGAGCCCTCTTCCTTGCCTGGGTGCAACATTTCGTTCCGCAGACCCAAGGCTGCCGATGCCTCGTACGTCTGGAATCCTCCGAGACAATCTTGAAAATTCCCCTGATACCTTGGGCCCAGGCGATAGTGGACTGCAAGTAAATCATCACTTAGAATTTCTTCGAAGAGATGCGCCGAGGCCAAGGACCATTTTGAAAAGACGAGCCCAGGACCGAGCTGCGTAGACAGATCACGTGGGGTTCCTAAGAAGGCTTGCACAGGATGTGGCTTGTTGGCGACAGAGTTGAAAGATGCGAAACTCTCCGTGCTTGCATTGCTCATGGGAGGAGGCACGGGATATTGCGACTTGATCTGTTCGGCAAATTCACCATTGACGTACAACGAAGCCTTGCTCGCTGACATTGTCCTTGGCCGTCGGTGAACGATTGCAATGTGGTACCATCGACCTTCCTTGAACTTGACCGACTTGAAGCGGACGCTTGGCCTTTGAGAGGTTACAGACGTCTGCAGAATAAAATTGTGGGTATCCTTTTCCAAATACGCCAGAAGAAAGCATGTCTGGGTAGCATCAAAAACGCCAAATATTGTCGTGTGTGAGCCTGGGTCGAAGCGGTCTACCCGTATCCAGGCGGTAAAAGTGTACCCGGCCGATGAGGTTGGGGGGAACGAGCGTCCAAGCGAGGGCAGCTCAATGGACGAGTGCCCATGCAGGGAAAGATCGAACTGTACAAACGGAGGGCCGTTGAATCTTGTTGCCATATCCAGACAGAACTGGGAAGCAACAGAGTCCTGTTTGGATAAGAGCAGCTGCACGTCTGCCAGCCTGTTGACACCGAGATGCATCAATGACTTGCAGAGACCGAGGATCACCCCTCGTTCATGCTCCGATAGCCTCGAATCCTCTCTAAGGTACAGAGCAAGAAACCTCGAGAGTGCGCCGGTCCCATGTAACGCATTCAGGTTGGAGAATGAAGCAGAGCTGGCTAGCTTCATGGTAGCCAGAACGATGGCCGAAGCAAAGGACTCGGCAGTTTCCGGATCCCTGGGCATGGACTCCCAGAAGTCGATGACAGCACGCATGATCTCGGGATTCCGAAGCACCGTAGTGGATGTAATGATCTTCTCCAGCTCTCTCTCGATTATGGCCACTTCGAATCGAGTTATCCGGTCTCCATCGCCATTCTGGTACGCGACGTCATCGCCGGCCTCGCTGGTTCCTTCGGGAGCGGAGGTGACGGCTACAGCCTGGCAGAGCTTGTCCAGCCTCTGGTCGTCGAGAGAGAAAGAGAGTAGCTTTCCGAACAGTTGACAGTTTGTCCACACGTCCGAGTCGGTGCCTCCCAGTCCGACGCTGGCTATAATCTGTTCCAATGCCTCCCAACCGCCGCCTTCAACCCGGCGCTTGAAATAGCGGCGGTTGCCATGGTGTTCCCTGAAGGTGGCCGAGAATACCGCCAGAACGGTGTGCAGAAGCTCGAAGAAACCCTTCTTCTCTTCCAGGCTGCGCCTTTGTGGGTTGTAGAAGCCAGAGTAGGCACGGAGGACGTTCAGCAGATGCCGGAAGCCATCTAGGTGACGGAAGTCGTCTTGGGCCGGGCATGGTGGGTTGGTCGCAGCGACATGCTGGTGCACCTGTCGGCCGAGCTCGATGAGCGCAGGAAATTCGGGATAGTCGCTGCCCTGGGGAGCTTGGAGTGCGGTAGAAAGCTTGTCAAGGAGCGACTGCAGGACCTCGGCGGCCTTGGTCACGACAGGAGGGTTCGAGGCTGAGGTCGAGGAACGGTATCGGCGCGATCGAGCAGCCAGTTTGGGGCACAGAGAGGGATTCCATAGTCGAGGCCGCTCAGAGCTCCCTTCACAGACTTGTCATCGCTTCAGTCGTGCGTCAAAAGGTCGTCCCAGCACCCGTCAAGGGTCCAGGCCGCAGCCACAGGCTTGCTGCATGGAAAGCTGGCAGGAGGGGCAGCTTTGCCGGGTGCTGCTGGAACGGATTGCAGGTTGATCTTCGCCGGGGCTCCTCTGGGGAAACAATGGTTTAAACCTATAGAAACCGAGCCTCTCCTATATTCAGAGATCCAAGGTCCGCCGAGAAGCTCACAGGTTGTATGGCCGGCCTTTGGTGGGTGGTTGAAAGAGGCCAAGACCGTCTCAGAGTGTCAGCCTTGGGGGTCGTGTGTGGCTTGTCGGAGCCTGTGGTGGGGCTCTTTCATAGGGGCCCTTGTCGATCCCAGCCCAGCGCAGCGTGTAGTGTAGGTGCGTCAGCTTCCCCGAGCGTCCTAAGCTAAGATGAGGTCTCTCATCAGCGTGGGAGAGGCGCACTTGGCCAGCCTTGAATTCTTGGGGTGCAGGCTAAACCTTGCATATCACCACAGCACCGAACACAATCCAGCGGCATAAACGACGACCTCACACGTCAACGCTGAATTTCTCAGCTTGCATTGAAAGTACAGCTGTCAAGCTGATGCGTATGCGCCACACAGAGGTGTCGTCACTATACAGATAGTACAGACGGTGGGACCTGATGGACCAGCAACAAAGATTTAGGCTTGACTGCACGTTCGCGCAGAACCACCGAGGTACCGTACCTTCCTCTGGGCCACCGAGCACAATGGGTCCGCAAGCTCTGGCCGGTATGAACGCCATGGGCATCGTCTGCTTCGGGACCTGGCGCATTAGCACTTGAGCGGCTCAGACCTCGACCGACCAGCTCAAGCAGGCCGCTTATTATGCAAGCCTTGATTGTGGCCTCGGCCTCGACCTCATCCGCCGGGCTGGTGTTGCCCAATATATCTACCTTGCGGTCACACTGCATGGTCTGATGGACTCCGAAGAAGGTGCTCAGCTTGGGAGCTTGAGTACACTTCATCTCGTTCACGCTTCAGCTGCTCGTCAAGGCGAACGCAAGGTCTTCTGAGACACACAAAATGTGGTCTTTCCTGGGGGGTGCCATCCGGGGTTGGATTCGCGAGGCATGTTCCTACTGTGTTCCTCGAGTAAAGGCACTTGACTGAGCTGTTTTCTTTCATGTCTTCTCTCTCCCAACAAGGCCTACCACCAATCTCCAGGATGGAGTCACACACCGGCATCTTCGGGCCTCGGGCCAGAGGCATAGACGTCTGGTAATGGACCCTTCGTGTCACGACGAGTGGAGTGATGCTTTGTTATAGCAGGTCCGCCTCTCTGTCGTCATGAATGATGGGATTGAGTGGAAGTGGGGGCATTTCCAAATGTTCGGTCATTTGCGCCTCTATGTGTGGCTGGCAGTCTTCTAGGCAGCCTCATATCATGGTCTCAGCCGGAGAGGGGTCGTCGCCCTGCCATTCGCTATTAGACGATCGGTGGCATTTGAATCTGAGACATTGTGCTCGCAGACTTACATGTGGGAACGGCCCCTGAGGTACTAAATGTCCTAGCGACACTTCCGAGAAAACCGCTACGACATTTCTTGATGACCGCCCGTTCGTAAGGAGACGACAACAGCAAGTTCCCAAGGCGTTGATTCAGAATGCTGGAACTGGCGCGGTATTTCGTCGTCGTTCTCGGTCCGAGTCCTATCAGAGTGTTTCCCGAAGTCCCCATCCAGCCCTTTCCATTTCAGATCGGCATTGAGGATGAAGCCCATGATCAAGTATCACTTGCCCCGTCCGACACGCCTTCCCCGGATCATCATCATCATGGTGACTCCATCGACCTCGCCTGTGGCCTATATTGAAATACCGCAACGACCGCCTCAAAGATCTGTCAGGAAACCGCGAGTTGGACTTGCGAGATCGGTGATGACCCGGAAGTCCGGAGCCTTTCAGCACATTCCAGATCTTTCCATTAATTTTGTGGCCTCGAGCCCACCGCCAACCCTGGCCCAGCGTTGTCTCTGAACTTCGAATGGTGCCGAAATCGCAGCACACACGTTCCTCGCCAAGGGTCCAGGTCTGAACAAGCTTATGTCTCGAGATGGTAGGAGGGCAACCACGTCTTACATGTCTCACTCGCACGTCACTCCGCAGAGGCCGCAACAAATGTTGCTTTGCCTTGAACTGGACGCTGTCAGCCTGGAATAGACGCTGGAGCAAGATGTGAGCTCTCCCAAGACTGTTCTACCGATGAGGACCAAAACCGATTTCGACTTCCTCGCCTTGGATGCACGACGCAAAGACTGAGCCGAATGGGCTCTATGACAACGACATATTTTCACACGTGCTGGCCTATTAATCGATTGCATGATACAATCTCTTCAGACTGATTCGTGTGCAGTGATATCTCCATCGAGGTTGATCCTACCGAGCTCCACCCTGCATCCATGTATGGTCATCCTGTCTCCGCTGGGGAGCAGGAGTCCTTTTTAAGGAATACTTCGACGTTTCAAAACATACGGTCAGAATGATGTCTGAGTAAAGCTTAACAATCGGCGGAAGGGTCGACCTTTGTAAGTTGAGACCTTGCGATCAGGGCCGAAGCAATTTACACTGCACACAGCCTTTTGTCTACATGGTAGGCGATATTTCTGGTTTAGTCAGCAGGCAAGGATTCTGATATGTCCTGGCACTGCCTGGCCTTTTACAACCAATCGAATGATTGTTTATGGTCGGAGGATGACACCGGAATCTTTCACAATGCCGTGTCTCCAGACCTGAGATATTCTTGGTCTCACCGCCCCGAAGAGGTCAACGACGAAAAGCGGTGGAACAATCCAGAGCCTAGGTGTGAGCGTAAATACTGTACGGACGCCACTAATCACGACTAGCCAAGCCCGACGCCCAGGCTGAGCATCAGCACCCCCGGCAAACCGGCAAAAGTGCCATAACCACCGTTCATCGCAACTTACACCTCCCGCCCCGCCGGTCTCCCGGGCCAGAGACGCGGCAGAAACCTCTTCGGGCTTTCGTGGCAGACACGATGATTTCATTCTCGGAACCCTGGGGGCGGCGTGCAACTTTCCAGACCGCGGGTCTAGTCGTCTGCCAAGTTTTCAGCGGGAACAGGAAGCCTTCGTCCTGCCGATCTTCTTTGGAAGCAGCCGTCAACGGGGTCTAGGTACCTGGGGATGACCCAAACGGTGGGGCACTATCGGATCATACAGACGTATCGTGCAACCGGCCCAACCCCATACAGTCCAGCTCTCGCGGCGCGAGCGTCCAGCTACAGTGTCCTGAGTGTCTCACGCCCTCGCGCCCGGGCGAACTTATCTCTTGATGACTGCATGGGGGATCCCCCTCATCGGCTCGTCGGGATAGTCGCGGCGAAGGAAGTAGATGGGCAACATATCTTGGCTCTTCTCCAGAATCTCACGGCCAGTCTCCCACTCATGCTGGGGCACTGAGGAGCCGCCTGCCTAGTTCAGGGTCAAGACGCAATGCACGCGTCGACAGGAACGCCAATGGCTGCAGCTGGCTGGGCACCCGTCAATCCTTCCGGGGGACAGCCTGCGTCTCTTGGGCGCGCGATATTGCTGCAAGTCTCCTGCAGTCACTGCGCCTGGACCCCACACTCGTGCAGCAGCGGGCCACCCCCCACGGTGCAATACGGCCTCCAACAAGCCTTCCGAGGTCTCCAAGCTTCCGGCTCGGTGGTCGAAGTCCCAAGTCGTCTCCACTGCCCCTCACCTCCGCATCCCTGCTCGCTCGATGAGGAGCACATGTCCACCCAGTACAAAGACACCAACCGGACACATACATTCTAGCGGCACTGGTAGGTCTTGGACAGCCGGCTCGTCTCTTGGTATATAGCCTTGTGGGTGGTATTTCTGCCGTTGACCGAGAGCGTCTGTCTTCCTCGAGGACCATTTCCCTTAAGATCTTCCTTCCGGTCTATAACAGTAAGGAGACGTCGACCTGCCTCATAGGCCAGAGTTGAGAGACACATTCCCTTTCCCGCCGATCTCCTTATCTATTGCGACAGTATTCTACAGACTGGCGACTGTTTTAAGCCACTCGCCTGTGCAGGATACTCAGCGTGACCTCTGTGTCTCACGCTACCGAAGTGATCGCGTGCTGCGCGTTCCAAGGCTTTGATAGACCCGAGAGCAAGGCTTCCTTACAAGCTCGGACTGAGCTATTTTGTTGCCAGGCGCCCCGGTCTCACTCTGTTCCTCTCGTTTCAGTCCGGACGAGCTATATCCATCGTCTCTAAAGCGTCAAACGGTTTTTGATGCCAAGTTCCTGCGTGCTTCAAGTCGGGACGCTCTTATATCTCCAACCCCAGCCTCACTGCCCGCCCACCTGTGTCTACCCCGGCCACACACTTATAACCGAGTCGAAATAATGGCGGCCATTGACTTCGACACTTCGCGTATGAACGCGTTCAGCGCGGAGGATTTCGAGACGGCCTCTATTCGCTCAGCTGCTCCCTCTTACAGTAAGTCACTCACATGTTCCGCTTCGTCTGTTGCCAGCTGGTGAGGCTGCGCCGGATATTCACCCCACCCCCGCCTTTCTCCACGCGAATATAGCTGCATGGTACGAAGTCAACCAGTCATGTACCAATAACTGATATCAACAATCCAACCCCAGTCTCCGAAGCGCCATCCTACCACACCACCGTCTCAACCACCGAGACCATCCCGCCCTACTCGCCGCCGCAGAGCGGCAACATCAATACTAACACCAACGGCACGCCGGCGTCCCGCTCACTGCTGCCGTCCCACACCGCACACATCCCCTCGCCGGGCCTCCCGCCAATCCCGCCCGCCCGGAGCTCCTCCGCGGACCTCCCGTCCCTCGGTGCGTTCCGCATCCCGTCTTGGAGCGTCAACACGAACCCGATGTACCAGCGCGTGGCGACGCGGCGGGCGCAGGCCGCCATGTCCAGCGGCGAGGGCCTGGTGCGCAACGCGGCGAGGGTGCTGGAGCGGGTGAACGAGGAGGGGGGCAGCGGCAGCGGCAGCGGCAGCGTCACGCCCGCCGACAGCAGCAGCAGCCGGGTGCGGCCGCTCGAGGACCCGTACCTGGTCGGCGAGGTGGCGGCGGCGAGGGCGAGGCGGGAGAGGCTCGCGAGGGAGAACACGGAGGACATCCTGCATAGGGAAGACCGCAGGTGGGACTGGTTCCTGGGTGAGTTATTGTGAATGTGGCCTGAATCCCTGTTCCCTGCTTGTTTCGGGCCCTCTGCCTCGGGTTCAGGTCCCGAGGAGGGGGGGGGGGTATTTGCGTTTCGGTTTCCTTGGAAAGAAAAAGATCGGATCGATCATGGGTTGGGGCTGACACCGTTTATAACTCGCAGGCCAGGTGAACGAGCGGGAGGAACGATCGACCAGCTGGAGACCGTTCCGCCGGAACAACATGCATAGCGGATCGCGGGGGAAACTGGCCCGCCGTGTCGGTACTGGTCGCTAGGCGTCTCGGCTCTGTCTTTATGCTCTTTGTCGGTTTTTATGGTGTTCGACTTTGCGCGCGCGCCGTGCTGGTCTGTGAAGCTCTTCCAGAAAGGCGGCCGGGTTTTACTTCTGGTATCATACTTTCTACCGTTCTTGTCCCTCATTGCAAGAGCTGGGCTTCCCAGCCTGCGCCGCGATATTCATGGCATTGGCGTTGTTTCCTTCTTACTTCTCATCGTCCCTTTTTGTTTTGGGTTATCACGGCGTTCTGGAAGACTACATCTTCACCCTATCAGCATTGTGCGGTGCCTCACTCTCTGACAAGGAAGGGCGATACAGTACATAACGATCATGTTGATGAAGTTGAGGATTGGATGAAGTCTGTGCTGAGAATGACGAATCAAATCTAAAATTGACTATGTTCCTGTTTTATTCAATCCGTATACAAGAAGGGCCAACATGATGGGGGGGGGGGGGGGTTGACTGCTTGTGATCAGTCAGTGACCCCCTCTTTGCCGCTGAAACAAGTTACGACCACTCAGATTCGTTAATCGGGGTTGCGCTATAGGATTATTCATACCACACGCCTTATTGCAACCTACCCGTCAAAGCCTGCCGGCCTGTATGTTCTGTTTCAGTATTTGTAGTGAAGTGAATCCGGTGTCCTTCAAGAATTGGTGCGCCTAAGTAAACAATATGCATGAGCGGCAGGTACAGGTAGATCCTCCACGTGTTTGGCTGCACGTCAAGTGATTCCTGGTGTATTGTATGGGGTCGTGAATAGCACACTGCTCGAGGGACTGGTGTACTTGGGACCCCCTGACCAAGAAGGTAGCAAGGGGGAGAGAGCTTGCCTGACAAGGCCAATCTTGGGCACTCGTTCGTATACTGGCTTCACTTACCCACCATATGCGCTCCGTCAGTCTTCAAAGATGGGATTCTGCTCGATATGCTTTCCTAATATATTTGGATCAGGAGCAGTTTATCTCTCTTTCTTTCTTGCTTTATCGAGCAGGCCAGACACTTATACATTGAGAGTATCAGGGAGACGGACGGGGAAATAAGGAAGTGGTGTGGAAAGAGACGTAATGATCAGCAATCTCTGTCGAAAGGAGAAATTTGTGTTATGGCAGAAAGGGCCAGGTATGTATCCAGCAACGGTATAAAATCGAGTTGAATTCAGCAGTGCCGGCCTAGTCCGAAGCATGTCAATCCCTCAAGCAGCTGCCTCGAGGGTCGACCGGGTGTTGCAGGAGTTCAAATCCTTAGTACGGTTGCCATCGTTGTCATTGTGTGGAATAGAAATGGCGCGACACAAGTCGAGGAGTGACCAACTGCCCCCCTACCCCCCTGTAGTACCACTGTTAGTTAGTATCTTTGCAGCAGCATTGAGCATGAGGTAGATTTCGAATCACACGCAGCTCTATATGTGCCATTCGGGGAACCCATTGCCGGTGCAGAGGCATGTCGACGTATCAAACATCAGCTTCATTCTCATACATTCCATCTCTGCCTATGAACAGATTCCTTGAACGCCCGGCCATGCAATGATGTAGTTCGTGCCCTGCGTAGAGCACAACCTCTTTGTGTTTTTGGTACAGCCACATTCCTCTGCCTACCTCGTTCTTGTTTGGAGCAAATCGAACAATCCTGGACCGCCACTCGAAGCTTAACCCTTGCTCTTGGTGTTCAGGATCAGTGCGACAATCAGTCTGTTTCGTGCCGTTAGTCACCGATTACGAGCGTTGGGGGCGAAGAAGATTCAAGGAGGTAAACTCACCCGTAAAGACCCAAAACTTCTCCGAAAATGAGGATCAGGACCATGCCAACGAAGATGCGGCTTTGGGACATGTAGGCTCGCACGCCCTTGTCACCCACAACACCGATGCAGTATCCGGCCGCGAGACCCGTCATGCCGACAGAGATGCCGCACGCGAGGTGCATAAAGCCGCTGAATAGACTGTAGTTGGATTTCGGGTCGAGGTCCTGGGCAATCAGGACAGAGATGACGAGGGAGTAGACAGCGATGATACCGGACATGACGACGGGGATGAGGCACTGCAGATGTGAGAGCGATGGTCAGTAGGCTGGAAAGGAGAGATAAAGATCAAGGTAATGGGTGTCGCTTACCTTCATGATCAGGTCTGGCCTGAATGTTCCCACGCCCGCGATACCAATGCCAGATTTGGCTGTGCCGTATGCGGCTCCTGCGCACCCGAATATCATGGCCGCTGCGATTCCGCCCTGTAACCCAGCACCGTTGTCAGCCGGTCAAGAACACCACAGACACAGACACGGTGGATGGAAATGGACATAGAGGTGATGGGGCGGGCGGGCATACCATGCCGATGAACGGCGCGAACTTAGGTGACAGCTCGGAATCAGCCATGATGGCAGGGTCTCGTTTGCTCCGGTGCTCAGGAATTGGTGGTCTCGACAGGAATAGTTTGTCTCCCGTCAGGGATGTGGCTCGGCGGGGTGGACTTTGAGGTCGTGTCGAAACGGCTGTTGCAGCTTGCTTGCTTGCTCCAACGGCGGGACGGGTGTTGCTGACGATGATGAAAGCTCGAAGAGAGCTCTACGCAGCCAGACTACGCCTGGACGGGCTGGCTGCCAAGATCCACCGGATCACGTGTAGGCTCGCGCTAATCATAGGTACATGCGCCTTGGCTGTCAAAGACTGTGCTGTTACCGAGTACAGTACCTACCTACCTACTAGGCCTATCCACTCGATACCTAGACAGTTCACTCGCGATTGGAAGTACCAACAGCGACCCCGTTGCTGCAGTTGGCCAGGGCTCATGTATGATCCCAGTAATCCGGGGTAGATAGTATAATTCTTGGACCACTCTGTTGTGCAGACTACCTAGCATGGACTTTTTGTATTATTATTAATGAACGAAGCTTCAAGGCTGCTGGAATCCTGAAGCTCGTGTCGTGGCCAGTTGCGGCGTTAGCCCCCAAGCTGCCTGGGGGTGGCCTGCTGTCAACTGCTGCCGACTGTTAAGCGACATGGTGAGGTCGCGCCTAGAACTGTTGGAACGGGGTCCAGTAGCGCTAACAGCCCCGAGCCGCGAAATTTGAGTTCCATCCAAGCCTTCTGGCTAAGATTTGGAGGCCTGCGTCCCACGGGGGATGACTTGGGTGCAGGCTGCAGCTGCAGCTGCCAGGCTGAGTGAGGAGGGTCTGAGACCGATACCAAGCTCCCAGGATCCAATGACGGACTGTACCTAGGCATTGTGTTGACAGCTACAGGTAGTTCGTTCTAATTCGGAGCCCCCTGGGCTCCATGGCGGTGGTCGGAATCAATCAAGCTCGAGTCCATAGCGAGACGCATCTGCAAGACCCAGCTGTGCATTTGGCTCGGCGTGTCGAGACCACGCTGTGCGCTGTCTGGAAGAGAAACTCAGCTCACGGGCATTACGACGGCATAACCAAGGTCTTTTTGTCCCTCCATCATTCTTTGCATTCTTGGTGATTGTAAATTCCGCATAGCCCTGCCTCGCCTGCATTGTTTCGGCTGCCACAGGGCCACGCCATCGTCCTCCACCTGGTCAACAGCAGGTCTATAGTCGTCCGTCTTCCTCTATCCTCCGTCTGATTCACGCGGGCAGGCAGCAAGAAAAAGAAAAGAGAAAGGGGAAAAAAAAAACTACTTACTCCTAGCGTCCGAGGGAGACGACCCAGTTAAGCAATGCAATGATTTGAAGGCGGCCTTGAGCCGGAGCGAGCACAAGCACATCCTCTCCTCAGCAGAAGCAGCAGCAGCAGCAGAACAGACAGGCACGGCATGACTTGATCGCGTCGTCTGAACTTGGCCCTTTTCCTGATCCCCTGGCTATATCGAAAAGCCCAATACCCAGCATCGCTGTCGACGATTATTCTGATTGACCGATGCCGCGCATGTTCCGATCCGCAAATAGTTCTACCGTGTCTTCCCCATAACGTCACAGCCGTCGATTTTCGGCCGCTGCTGTCCCAGTCGAAAGGGGGGTGCCCAGAAGTCCTCCGGAACATTTGAACCTTACCCACCGCAACCCACGTCGCGACCCGATCCAATCCAAGCCAATCTGCCCAGTCCAGTCCCAGTCCACTCCAATCCAAATCCAATCCACAACCGAACCTCGACTACCACCACGAGCCCACCTGCACCTTGGCCGACCAAGTGGCTGCACCGCGAGCGAACAGGCGCACCGAGGCCCTTGACACATCTGTTATCTCAGCTCCAGGTTGGCGGCCGTCGAGGCCAACTCAACTGCCCCCGAGCAGAGCACGAGTAAGAAGAGTACGGCCACCCACGCTCCAACGCTCCACACTCGGCCATTTTGCCATTCTCCCCTGCTCTTCCCGCCTGTCGTCCTGTCCAGTCATTCAACACCTCGTGCGTACGTAAGGTGCTGTCCCCGGCTGTTGCGACCTACGCCTGCACCTGAGCGAAAGGGGAACAAACGGCTCGTCGGCTTTGGCACCCAGCCCGTTGCACTGCGACTTCTGATGGACGTCCCGGCGAGTGCTGATAACAGCTCTTCTCAGTTCTAGCCTCCCACCCCCCACGGCCCCTGACGCGCGCCATCCGCACCACGAGCCCGACCCCGACGCCGAGCAGCAGCCAGAGTCATGGCCGACTACCATCAAGACAGAATGCCTCCTCCCAGGAGGCCACAGGAGTACGGCCAGCATCCGCCTCAGCGAGATGCCGCCTACGCCAACATCTTCGGCGCCTCTCCAGGCCCCGGCCGATCGCACACCATGACCTCCTCGTCGCAGCCCCCTCCGATGATGCACTCGGACCGCACCCAGACCATGTCGTCAATGTCTTCGATGCAACGGCAGCCGCCTCCTCGAGCACCCCAGGGGCCTGGGTACGACCGAACCCGCACCATGGACTCGAGCATGGCAAACGGGTACTACCCAGGCCAAAGAGTTATGCCTCCTGGTCCACAGATGCCGTCTCAGCAGTACTTGCAGCAGCAGCGGCAGCCTCATGGCCCGCCAGGCCGATATCCTCCTGGCCCGATACCCCCAAGATTCGATCAGAGAGGACCCCCACCAGGCGCATATGGTGTCCGGACGCCAGCACAAAGATTCTATCAGAACGGTGCAGGCCCCGCTCCGGCGTTGAACTCCGACTCGTACCGATCCCAATCTCTCGCCGGCCCTCCGAGGCAGCCGATGTATCAGGCCCAGTCGAACTCGATACAAAACGGCCCACCACAGCAGGCCCCCGCAAATGCCTTTCGGCATGCACCGTACAGCTCGAGCTCTTCTCGAACGACCGCCCAGGGTCGTGTGGTACCCGAGCGCCATGATGAAAGGGCCATGTCAATGACTGGTGGTTACCCGGGGCACGAACGTGATGCGCACCAGACCATGAGCGGGAGGGTGATCCCGAACAGGAGGGCGCCTTCAGTGGAGGTCTCACAGGATGGACAGAATGGATACAACGGGTTCACGCCTGCTCCTGGGGCACAGACGAGGTCTAGTGTGCAGTCGTCGGCCAGCGGGGACAGCGGTAGAACCATGTCCATGGCTTCCACCATTGCGCCCTCTATATCCGAGAGGTCTGACACCACATTAACACACCGTCCCTCAATGAGCTATTCCACGACGGACGGGGTGGAACGGCCGCCCACGGCGAAGATACGGCCACCACTGGTCTACCCCGCGCTCCTTTCCCGCGTTGGCGAGTGTTTCCGGGAGAAGATCATCACTGGAGACCGCACGAAGAACGAACTGACCTACAAGAACGCATTCAGTGGCTCGGAGGCAGTGGACGTGTTGTCGTACATCATTAGGACCACGGACCGAAACCTCGCCCTGTTACTGGGCAGAGCATTGGACGCCCAGAAGTTCTTCCACGATGTGACGTACGAGCATAGGCTTCGAGACTCGGCCTCTGAGATGTACCAATTTCGGGACATAATGATGGAAGAAGGCAGCGACAAGCCTCCAGTAAACGGTGTCTTCGTCCTCTTGTCCGAGTGCTACTCCCCGACTTGCACACGAGACCAGCTATGTTACTCGATTGCCTGTCCTCGGCGCCTGGAGCAAGTCTCGCGTCTGAATTTGAAGATTGGTGCTGGGCTCAAGAAGGAGGAAGCGCCGCCCAACGACGACGACGACGTGGACCAGACGGACGAGCAGAAGCTCTGGATCAACACGGTGCCGAAGGAGGTCGCTGATAGCGTGAGTGATAAGGAAAAGAAGAGACAAGAGGTTATATCTGAGATTTGTTACACGGAACGGGACTTCTGCAAAGATTTGGAGTATCTGCGAGACTTTTGGATCAACCCTCTTCGGTCGAAAGCGTCGCCTATCCCCCCTCAGCGAAGAGAAAAGGTGGTGCGCAACATTTTTAGCAACATCATCGATCACCCCAGTATACATGCGGTGAGCTCCAAGCTGGCCAAGGGCCTCACAGATCGACAGTCGAACGGCCACGTCGTGCGGAACATCGGAGACATATTTATGGAATGTGTCCCGCTTTTCGAGCCGTTTATATTGTACGGGTCCAAGCAATTGGAGGCGAAATACGAGTTCGAGAACGAGCGATCTATCAATCCCCAATTCAGCCGATTTGTGGACGAGATCGAGAGGCGGAAGGAGTCGAGAAAGCTGGAGTTGAACGGTTACTTGACCAAGCCAACAACCAGATTGGCGCGTTATCCCCTTCTGCTCGAGAACATTCTCAAATACACAGAAGACGGGAACCCGGACAAGGAAGATATCCCGAAGGTGCTGGTCATGGTACGTGACCTGCTAACAAGGGTCAACGCTGAGTCCGGGAAGGCAGAGAACCGTTTCAATTTGCGGCGTCTGCACGATCAGCTCAAATTCCGGCCAAACGAGAAGGTAGACTTGAAGTTGACGGACGAGGGCCGTGAGCTTGTCTTCAAGAGCAACTTCAAGAAGTCACCAACAGAAAATACGGATATAACCGCGTTCCTTTTCGACCACGCTGTTCTGCTAGTCAGGATAAAGCAAGTTGGCAAAACGGAGGAAGTCAAGGCCTACCGCCGGGTAAGATGTATTCCGCTACTCATCATATGAGCAGAACGCTAATAACCATGTCCAGCCGATCCCTCTAGAATTACTGTCAATTAAGGAGATGGAGGAAGTCATCCCATCAGCAGGCGCCCCCCGAAGATCCACCTCCGGCTTGCTGCCAAACATAAGGAACGAGGTCGGCAAGAAAGGGGAGGGCTGGCCCATCACGTTCAAGCACATGGGCAAAATGGGATATGAGCTGGCACTCTACGCATCCACACAGACTGGGAGACAGAAGTGGCTTGAGTTCATCGATGCTGCGCAGCAAAAGTTGAGGGCGCGTGTGGACTTCCTCAACACCACCATGATTTCACAAGGATTCTTCACAGGCGTGAACAAGGTCAACTGTGTTGCTCCTTTCGGTCAGTCGAACCCTCTTTTGTACGCACATGGGCTTCTACTAATTCTCCGAACAGATGGCGGTAGGAAGTTGATATACGGCACTGATGCGGGTATCTATGTGTCGGATCGCAAGTCAGGCGGTCAGCCGCGCAAGATTCTGGAGGCGACCAACGTCACCCAGATCGATGCGCTGGAGGAGTACCAGCTTCTCTTGGTTCTCTCGAACAAGTCGCTCATCTCGTACAACCTGGCAGCGCTTGACCCCAACGAATCCGCGCTCTCCAAGAAGCCCAAGAAGATTCAGAGCCACTGCAGTTACTTCAAGGCAGGCATCTCCATGGGTAGGCATCTGGTGTGCTGTGTTAAGCCCACGACACTTTCCACCACCATCAAAGTGTACGAGCCCAATGACGCTATGTCCAAGAGCAAGAAGCAGAAGGGTTTCAGCAAAATGTTCAACGCCGGCCAAGACGAGCTCAAACCATTCAAGGAGTTCTACATCCCGACAGAGTCTACATCTGTGCACTTCCTGAAGTCGAAGCTGTGCGTGGCTTGTGCTCGCGGTTTTGAGGTCGTATCCTTGGAGACGCTTGAAACACAGTCCCTGCTCGACCAGGCGGACACGTCGCTGGACTTCGTGGCTCGAAAGGAAGCTGTGAAGCCGATTCACATCGAACGTCTCAATGGCGAATTCCTGCTGAACTATTCCGAGTTCTCATTCTTTGTTAACCGAAACGGATGGCGGGCAAGGCCTGAGTGGAGAATCGACTGGGAAGGAACGCCTCACAGCTTCGCACTCTCCTACCCCTGGATCCTGGCTTTCGAACCCAACTTCATCGAGCTTAGGAATATTGAATCTGGTGCGGTGCACATCGTGCCGCACAAGAACATTCGCATGTTACACAGCAGCACACACGAGGTGAGCACACTGCATAACGCACTTAGTACGAATGACACCCCGCTGACACTTGACACAGATATTGTTCGCATATGAAGATGAAAAGGGCGAGGACGTCGTTGAGGCCATGGATTTCTGGAAGAGTCAACGAAAGAGCACCATGCCTGACGGCGGGATGAACTCACCGATCGGACAATACGCCAGAATTACGCAATAGTAATTGGCTTGTCACTCACGCAATGATGCGAGTTCCATGTGGAGTATCTGATAGCGTCTCTTATATGAGAGGCTCGGTGCCTCTGCCTGGGTGCTCAGGACCCCTTGGCGGCCACACCGGTCGAGGCTACGGGCTGGGGCTTACGCCATTGACGTCGCGTGTTGAAGGATGGATAATTACTCGGCATCGACCTTCGCTGGCCGGCCTATGAGCCTACATCCGTGTGCATGCAAATCGCGTGCAATCCTCAAACGCAACTGTCATGCGCCCACTGCGTCACTCTTTCGCGCAGCATGTGACGGCATCGCGAGGGACCCCTGGACCAGCCGGATTCTCTTCTCTGCCAGCAGTACACGCCACATCTTTGATTCAACAAGACGACATATCTAATATCAAGACCGGCGGGGCCATAGGTGGACGGGCTTAGACGGGTGCGCAGGCGACGGTCAACAGGGCTGGTGGGTTAAACAGGACGTGTAACCACCGACTTCCGTGACTCCGAGGCGACATGAACGCCACACGAGGAGAACTGATGCCTCGGAGTCAAGAGGTTGGTGGCGGGGAGGAGGGGGCATCAAGAGCGAGGATGAAGCTCGAGGTGCCGTTGTCTTTGTTTTCTGGCTACGACAGTGGGAGATCTACCACACAAATGTGCGTGTTTAGAGTGTGAGAATTACTTTCGGCGACACCTGTTTCTTGTCATTTTTCCTCCCCGAACTTTTTCTCGTCTCATTTGCAGCGGCAGCATCCACAAGGACACACTTTAATAAGCATTGTATGCGAGATGGACTATTTTTTTTTTTTTTCAAATTGATGTGATACCACCGCCATCACCACCATCACCACCACCACCACCACCACGACGGACCACCATTCTCACAATCGCAACACCATGACGCCCAGTCACCGACATCGCATCAGTCTGTCTGAGGGAGATGTGACCTGTCAATTTGATCACCTCGCTTGCATGAGTAGCATGTGTTAAAAGGGTGGCGTACCCGAAGATGGGGGATGTCGTGCGGCGAGAGCCTTGATGCAAGGCCCGATGCGACATCGTTCAACGGTGTTTGGACACTCGTCATTCAATCTGCAACATCTGTGCAGCTCTTGGGGTGTTGCGTCTTTAGCCACCGCATCTGTCTTGAGGCAGAGCGCACATGCATATGCACACTGACATGCTTGACGTCTTATCATCTTGGGCTTGCTTGTCAAGATGACACTGCTTACGCCCCATGGGGCGGGTGGTTAGGAAGGAGTCGCATTCGGCAGTTCCCCCTTTTTCGTTGAACCGACGCCCCCCCCCCCTTACACCCCTTTTCCCTCTTCATTGCGATCGAACAATAGCCGAGGAAATACAATCGGGGAGTCCGGCCGTTCAGACATTCTTCGCAATCGAGCAATGGCAATGGGGAGGCGGATTCAGCAAGAGGGACGGGCGGTTGCTGGCCTGAGCAGTGCTTCAGTGCCCGTTGAAGGTTTACTTTCGGACGCACCCGATCCATTCTTGCTACACTCAGGGGGTCCCTTCGATCTACTGCGCCCGCATGACGGAGGCGAATCTCGGGCTCGGGGGGTTGGGACGGCGAGGTATCGAGCATGCGCGCGCTCTGCTGTGCTTTTCTTTCTATTTGTTTATTGTGTGTGTGTGTGTGTGTATACGAACCAATGTACAAAGATGAGCCCCCCCCCCCCCCCCCCTTTTGACATCTCGTGTTTTTTTTTTGGCTGCGGATGATGTCAGAAGGTTTTCGGTGGGACGGACATCTCGGCATGACGGAGTGCAATTCGCAACGCCCGTTCGTGTTTGCCTCGTGTCAGGGTCCAGCTGTCTCTGGAAACTTTGGGCAAAGCTGCCTTATGGCCATGCGCTGCGACCCTGGATCTATTTGTGTGTGGCAACCTGACCTGCCCACCATTGCTACGTAGAACACTGGGGATGTGTTTATGTGTGTTTATGTACTACAAAGTAGCTTTCCAATGAATGAGTGCGGTTCACCAAGTAACTGGTTCGCTAAGCAACATGTTCACTAATAAGACGCCTTACCTCTTGTGTGTAGTATCCCACGGTGGGCTAGCATCAGAACATCGGATAACGTGGACTTGGGACGGGAGACTTCCCTTGGCTCCCTCCTCCACGGTGGATACTTCCGTACGTACGAACGTACGCGTGGACCGCATAGCCCAGCCGAGCCACGCCCCCCAATAAACCTCGATGGACCCGAATCTCTGGAATTCAAAGGGTCCTTCCCTCTCTTGGGAGATCACCAAGATGGGTCGCACCAGCGAGGGATCAGACGATAACCCGGGTCGGTTCGCGTCTGGGTACACAATGGATCTGGAAGGGGTTTGTGTGTGTGCCTCTTGTGTGGATCATACCGTCGATGGTATGCTTCCCTCCACCATAAGGCATGAATGGTCGCGCATCATGTATTGGAATTGTGGTAAGAACCGTCTGATGTCTTTGTCAAACGTGAGCAGGGACGGCAGGGCCCAATTCCCCATCCCTGCCGTGGATCCAACTGTCAAAGAGCGCCGGAGTATTTCTGTGACGTCCGTAGTGTTGAGATCGCAAATTGGGATTGGCTCCATAGTCAAGAGACCTGTACGTCTCGGTGCAGACAAATACTGACATGCGAGGCTAAGCGATGCCCGGTATCAAGGTGTTGTGTAGGAGGGGAATGCAAATCCAGTGGCTAATGATGGAGGAGGGGGAAAAAATGAACTGTATGTACGGATCATCGCTTAATGACGGCCTCCGTCGTCGCACTTGCTCGTCCGCCGTTGGATTCACAACCGATGATGCATTAGTAGTATGCAGTCAGACTGCCCCATCGCCAAGGAGGCCTCGACCACCAGCGTAGATCCCACAACCTTAATTCCAGTGCACGCCGTGCTCTGTGGTGGCTGCATCTCCCTGTGTCTCCGGTCCTAAGCGAGCCCAGCATGATTGTGGGCTAGATTCCGCGACACCGCCCGAACTTTCCTGCCGGGACTGTGGAGTGAGCGACCGGTTGTTTGTTTCGTTTCACGGGCAAGGCCTCGACTGAGCACGTAACAAGATGCATGCTGGCATTGACTGGCGTTGCCTGGGTGCTGGTTATAACACACCCGTGCGGTAGAATGCCCGTGCGATGGAGGAGGGAAGATCCTCGACACCATGGCTGCTACGTGGGCGGGAGGACTCCTCGTTGTGGGCACGCTCCGCGATGGTGAGGGAGGGTTGGAGGCGTCGGTCCGCCGAATGGGAAACCGAACCCGCTCAGCCCAGCTGTCTGCAGCCAAGTTCCTTGGATTGCCACGCCGCGCTGGCATGAAGCGAACGAGCACTCGCCCGTCATGCCCGATGGCGCCACATTTCACACCGTCCACACCTCAGAGATGCGGCTCTGATACGTCTCCCGTCGTCAGACATGACTGATGAAGTCTCCGCGGGTAACCTTATTGAGACTGCCGTGAGGGCACGTCGGGGCGGGGTGGGAAGAGACCGCAGAATACAGCGATCCAATCTCGTTCTTGACTGAATGAATCTCTACCGGCCTTTGGATGGGAGGAAACCAACAGTGGGGCCGGTCAGGGCGGAGGTGATGGTCGCCGGAGTCATGCTTGCTGCGCGGAGTCGCCTGGGCCAGACATTCCTGCTCCGCGGCGAATAGCGAGCAAGTGCTTGTTGACGTGGCCAGCTGTGTACAGTTTTATTGATCCGGCATTTTATGCTGTCGCATCCCGGATTAGGAAAACAGACAGTATTTGCGATCTGAATGCGGTGAGACTGGGCGCCAGTAAGCTCGACGAGGGGAGGAATTGCCCTTGCCCTCCCCATGCCATGCACACACTTGCGCGTGCGTGCGTGCGTGTGTGCGCATGCAAGCCACCATGACGAATGTTGGGGAAGTTGTGCGGACGACAACTCAATCGGTTGGGCTACTAGTCCCTGGTGGCAGCGGAGCCAAGGAGGTCCAGGCTAGCATTATCAGGAGAAAAGAGGCGTTGTACCTGACACTCTGACAGTTCCGGCGGCGGGCTGCCGTGGTCTCCTGTTAGTCTCGCAGTTGAGATGCTGGAGCTGCTAGAGATACTAGAGATGCTAGACTGCCATGCTAGACTGCTGGGCTAGTCTCCCGTGCTAGTGACAGCCGGTCTTCCAGTGAGCGACGGGACGGGAATTTTTGCTTCAGGGACGGATCCTAGCGGGGCCAGACAGTCACTGTCACAGGTTGAACCGCCGTGTCCAGACGCAATCAGGCGGAGCAGGAGGGGACCGACGTCTCGGCATCCTTGACCCCAATATCTGAGTGGGCGATATGATAATTGTTGTTTGCCGCTGGTTTGGAATCGCCTATGGTGTCGTGGAGTTCCAGCCAGCCAGATGCCAGTCCAGACCTGCCAGCTCCCCGGATATCGGGGCGACGAGAGACTATTATTGACCATCTTGGCTCCCATTCGCCGGCCAGCAACTACCGGCGTGTGCCGTCTTTAGTATCAACCCACCAGAGCCAGACGTGTCAGCGAGTTTGACGGCGGCAGTGACATAGCACCGAGATTTGCAGGCTCAGGCGTCATGAATGCGAAGCCGCCAGGCGAGATCGGGCCTGCTGCGCTTTCATGCAATCCGTCACTCGACAACTGGCACTGAACTGTCACTGGTGTCCAAGCATCTCGCCTGCCGCGTGCCCGTTGCGACAGAGACTAATGTAGTGGGCGATATGTCGTGGTCATGGCCCAGGTATCACCGTGAGATAGTAAGGACGAGCATATATCAGTCCACCAGCGATAGTGGGCGAAGTCAGGGGACGTCGACTCGTGCCAGCATCGACCTGCGGCTTATCTGCATGGCTAGTTCGAGCTCGCGGGCAGACGGAGCGAGGGCCTGGTGTCAATTCGACGTTACGGGCTGGGACAAGAGTTTCGAGGTGGCAGTGTGCTGCAGCCTCTCTCTCAGGGCACCGCAACCCGCAACCCGCAACCGCTCCGCACCAGCCGTCCCCCATTCCTGACGTCGGGCCAAGGAGCCCTCTGTGCGTCTGACTGGCTCGGAACCTCATCCCGGTCTGCTGGGTTCAGCCCAGTCGCCGGATGTGATGCAGGCCTGCCAGGACATTCCATGCAGCGACGAGGTCTGGCCTCCTTCGTTCCAACTTGTCCAGCCTGTGCGGGACGTTCTCGAAACCAGAGTTTTCCAACAAACCCAGTCCTGGCTGCGTGTGTCGAGTGAAGCCACAGCACCGCACGCAGCGCGAGCGGGCTGAGAGGGCTGGTGCATGTCTGTCCTGATCTGATCTGCTCGGCTCGCTAGCCGGCGAAACTCGAGGCGAAACCGAGCAGGTAGCTGACGGGGAACCTTCAGACGGGGCGGGATGCTCGTCTTGTCGGCAACCATGTCCCCAAGGAGGAGTCTGGCCGGCGGGCAATTTCATGCCCATTGACAGGCTTGGAATGTTGCGCACGATACGACGACCTGATTGATGGTACGGGCACACGAGAGGCGGCAAGAGGCGCTGGCTGTGTCATTTCCAAGAATATCCTGTTCCGTGTACTCCGCAGTGCTGCCGAGTCTCGGTCCGTGTGAGGTTCACACAAGTCTGGTAACGCACGGGGGGCGTACCCGTCCCGACTCTCATGCAACCGAGTGTTGCCAGCCGCCTTGGTAGCAGTCACAAGAGGTGGTTGGCACTGGGGTTGGCACTGGCACTGGCACCTTGGTCTCGAGGGGAGATCCGAGAGGGGGCCAAGGAGACACGGCCATCAAAGCTGAGCCGCCGCGAGCCAGCGTCGTAGCTGCAGCACCAGCATGCACCAGCATGCACCAGCATGCACCAGCATGAGGACGAGATGAGGGTCTGAGGGCGGGTGTCTCTGTCTGCCGCGCCCCCGTTGTAACCGTTGGGCGGAAATGGTATGGGGAAGATACGAAGCTGCAAAAAAAGCAAAAGTCAAATATCAAGATAAACCTCTTGCGTGCGTCCTGCTAAAGACGGGTCACCCCAGGCTCGCCAGGGGGCCGGCAGGGGACGAAGCTTAAGCTCGGGGTTTCGAACATGATTTGCGAGTTGTTTGCTTTGTCGAGCTGTCTTGGACTACCCGGTCACTAAGCTCTGAGTGGCCATGCCTTGCTACCACCATATCTCTATAGCTCGACTCGAGAGAATTATAAAGCGTCGCTGGTTGATCTTTTCCACTTTCCCTCCACCCTTTGTCTCTGTCCCAAGACAACACAAACTGCTCAACCACAAGTTCCCGATCATTGAACGTTTTCGTCGACCAGAGCCCTCTTCACCTACCAGCTCTTCAACCTTTGGCCACCTCGCCTTGTATCTCGTCTTTGTCCTCTCGATTCTACCTCTTCAACCCGCCTTGCGTTCAGTTGATCTGAATATCCGCACTCGAGGTCTCTAATACCACTTAATCAACTCAAAATGTCTTCATACTGTGCCAACTACTACGTAAGTTCCATCATTGGACCCGGCGTTGCCAATTCTGCGAGGATCGAGACTGACATCTTTCGTCCAGGGCTCCGTCAACTGCCACAATGTTGTCAACCGCTTCGGCGACCGATGCAAGCTCTGCCTGGCTCTGAAGAGCGGTGCGTCCCTCACAGATGGCATCCTGCCCGAGGACAAGTACCGAAAGAGCAGCTCGGCCGTTGAGGCACCGAGGAAACACCACCACCGCAGCCACGATGGGTCGTCCAGGTCCATCCGGGTGGACTCCTCGCGACACAGATAATGAGGATCACCACATTATATACGTTTCACACAAGCACAGCGACAACAAGTACACATAAAGTTGATCGTCAACAACCAAAATCATAGAAACCAACGGCGTATGGGGGGGGCTGGCTCATTTTGGGATCAAAGGGCCGGGGAAAAGTTTTGGGGCCGAAGGGCGCCCCAGGAGCTTATTGCAAGCCGAGATCGTCCTTGATGAATCGGAGCCGTGATGAACAACGGCTGGACTGGTGTTTTGGACTGCATGGTGATTTTATATGGCGCTGCGGGAGGCGGTGGAATCAAGCGTGCATTCAGCGACAGTACGGTGGTCCGTAGTTGTCGGTTGGAGCAGAACAGGGAGTAGGGATTGAAGACTCCTCATGAGACTCAAGACTGTTGTGGGCATAGATGCGAATATCAGACAGACTGAATTTGAAGCAACTTGGCCTCAGGTACACTTGATCGTGTTCATCGTTATGTGATTTGCCTTGACTGCTGTAAAAAAGACGGGCTATATAAAGTAAACGGAAAATGCCAGCTCTCTCAAATGCTGGCTACTCCCCTCAGGCTATTCAGCAGCCCGGCCAACTCCAAGCTCTAGCCGTGTCTCCATGACTAGAGTACCACCGCGGTCATAAACAGGTTACCACAGTCGGCGCTGATAATACACAGGTTCATCAGCCTGTGACAGCCTCATAATCTCCTCCTTGATCAGCCGCCTCCTCTCCGCCCTGCTGACGGGCTTCTTCGTGTCATCGCCCGGGTGCTCGTTGCTGTCACTGGGTGTCTGCTCGCCCTCAGCCCTCACCTCCCACGGAGCCGCCTGTGGCTTCGTCTCCACCGGTGGCTGCTGTTGTGCTTGGTGTTGCTCCTGGCTCTCTGCGTTTTCTGTCTCCTGCCGTAGCTCCTCGATCGCCAGTACCCTTTGTTGCTGCTGCTCGCCCAATGACTCTGCCGGGGTCTCCTTCACTTCAACAGCCGCCTCGCCATTCTCGCTCTCATGCACAGCGCGGTTCTGGCCACCCGGTTCCCCAGGAATAGCAATTCGCTGCCTGGTGGGCCGGTTGTACTCATCCAACACGACAATTGTCCCGTCCGCGAGCTCGGTGGTGTCCTGCCTAAACCGGTCGGGGAGGTATATCTGGGGCGAAGGATTTGGCCTTATTGCGGCACGAAGATGTCCCACTGTGCGTTGCTGGATCACGTAGCCGCTGAGGAAGAGAGCCGTGGTACATGAGATGACTGTTGTGCTGTTAGTCTGAGGTCGACTGACCGTGACGTGAGCAGCAAGCTTGGGTGGGGGAGGGGGCTGGGAGACATGCCTATAAGTGAGGAGAGTGCAACAGACACTTGTGACGATGTGAGAAGCACCATGTTGACTGAACAATGTAGTCTAATTTAAGATGTCGAGGTTGATTTTGTCGATGGAGAGACATGAGCCAACCCAGAAACGGACTCGAGACGGCAGAGCACAGGCTCTATGTACTTTGTACCCATTCCAGCCACCGGGAAGCCGGTTTGTTGCGCCCAACCTTCCCGAACGGGCAGCAGGAAAACAAACCAAAACGGGGCAACGCTATCGATAAGCGTCATCCTGCACGACATCCTTGTCTCCGTACCCGCGTACCTGCCGTCATCCCACCCACCCTGCCGCTTGTGGAGCCCCCGCGTCTGCAAAAGCTCCAACATTTTGCATCTGAAAGTCCGGGGAAGCAAATCTCCCGCCATCCAACCGACCTTGACCCGTCCAGACCTTCGAGGTCCGCTCCTGTGATCAAACGCACGACCGAACCAACCCTGCGACAGGGCCAGCGCACAGTCCTACCTGGGAAATCTCGAAGAGCAACATCGGTCTGATCCACCAGGCCAATACACGAGCCGTTCGCGAAGCACATCTTTCACCGAAAGACGAAACCTTCCTCCTTCTAGAACATAATGGCCGAACGAACGCACCGCGCCGACGAGCGGCGCTTCCTCGACGAGCGCGGCGGCGATATCCACCTGACCCCAAACGGGCTGAACCCGGCCAACGTGATGGAGAAGGCAGTGCGAGAGCGAATCGTCGACAGCTACTTCTTCAAGGAGCAGTGCTTCGGTGTCAACGAGGCCGACATTGTCAACCGGGTGGTAGACCACGTGTACTTCATCGGAGGAACGTACGGCTCGACACAAAAGCCGACGCCGTTCCTGTGTCTCGCATTCAAGCTGCTGCAGCTGGCCCCAGGGGACGACATACTGAAAGAATACCTGGAGTACGGCGGGGAGAAGTTCAAGTACTTGAGGGCACTGGCTGCTTTCTACATCCGGTTGACAAGGCGGGCGAAGGACGTCTACCTAGTGCTGGAGCCATACCTTGAGGACAAGAGGAAACTAAGGCGCAAAGGCAGGGCCGGCACGAGCTTGACATATATTGACGAATTCGTGGACGACCTGCTGATAAAAGAACGTGTTTGCGGCACGAGTCTCTTGAAGATGCCCAGCCGAGATCTTCTAGAAGACCTGGACGAGCTGGAGCCCAGGGTCAGCCCCTTGGGAGACCTGGAGGACTTGCTCGAGGAAGACGAAGACGAGGAGATGGCAAACGGACGTGAAGAGGATGATGATAGGAGGAGCAGGTCGGATTCAGATGATAGGGACGACGAGGACCGAGCGAGAGACCAGATGGAGATCGACCGCGAAGAAACGCCTCAGAGCCCAGACCGAACCCCTTGAGGTCACAGCACACGAGGGCTTTTCTAACGGGCTGGGACAGTCGCATGATCCGGATCCACAACACATCGGGTTCCCTATTGGGCTTGATAAATCACTCAAGCCCTGCAGCGGCCCAACTCCAGAGGTCACTGGTATACAGGGCCGACAGTACCCATACTCGTGTCGAAACGAGGACATCAGAGCGACGTTACCGACTTGGTGTCGAGAACTCGTGATTCGCAACTAAGACGGCCACACCCTCTGAGACCTCGCGGCTACCACCGTTCAAGATCTCTTGAAGACACCGCAACCAAAATTGTCGCCTGGCCAATTCCATGAGACCTTCTGCTGCACTCTCGTGGACCGTGCTTGCCGTGTGACGAGTCCAAGTCCAAGTCCTTGCTGATGCACAGATTGCATGCACCAGCAAAGGCGATGAAACCTCTGTTTACCAGCAGGTCGCACGATCACTATTGGGCAGAGATGCGCTTGTTAGGTCTCCAAAATTCAATCGCACTGTTGCTGCTGCTGCGGGCTCGTATTCACCAACACAAGGTCGGCGCCGACGGTGGAATACAACGACCAGATGATCATGTGCAACAACATTGTGTCAACATCGACTGTGGACTAGTTCACTGTAGCTGCACTAATTCTGCGTGTAATATGTATACATGTCCAATCGGAGAGTACGTGGCTGGTTGGGAGGGTACGTCATATTCCCAAGACCCTGTTTTTTCGCCACACTCTCACCTAGACGTTCATGAGAGCAGTTCAGCCCCAAGTTTGTGGCTGATTTGATACCAGACACTGAATTCATCAAGACTACCTCATTCACTGGGTTTGCTTGATCTACATACCTCAAAATACCAGGCTGTTCCCACCGTATACTACCCTTCTCCTCACCAAAATGCCTAACGAGGGCCTCATCCCCTCAATCCAGCGCCAGATCCGCAACGGGATCGGGTCAGCAGGCGACACAGTGGGCAACTACGTCAACAGCAATGGCAAGGCCATCCAGTACAGCGCATCTGCGGCCGGCCGCCGGGTCGACGGCGTCGCGCGGAGCGTCAGCGGCTCGGGCAAGACCGCCGGCAAGTCCGCGACCAACGGGTCGACGGCCGCGGGCACGTACATGCAGAGCGTAGGCAGGAGCGTCAGCCGCCAGATGGAGAGCTACGCTAACTACGCGGGGAGGCAGGTCGGGGCGGCAGGGAAGTATGTCGACGGCAGCGGCAGGGCCGTCGGTGGCCGGGTTGGTGACTTTGGCAACCAGATCAAGGACAAGAGCGGTGCCAGGGGCGCGAAGATGACTACGGTCAAGAATCCGTTGGGGCTGAGCGGGAATCGTGCGGTGTGAGGGAATGAATTTGGAAACGTGTCAATGGGGGTTTTGGTGCTCGAATGGTTGGGTTGACATGCAACGTGCCCATACCCATATATCACCAGGTTATGGCTTTTGTTTGCTCTGCGTCACCTGGCTTATTGCTCAGCTTTGATCGATCTATACTGCCGAATACATAGAATGATACCCTTTCAAGGCATTGACGCCTAGATGAGAAACACTGTGCTCACTCTTGAACAATCCTTGTCTGCTACTGTCAGTTAATGATGCATACATCTCTTCCTCACTGTAATGAGCGCATGATACTCTTCCACCATGAGACCTCTATCCTTCTATTCAAGCCGGCTTACAAGATCTTCTCTTCTTCCCACTTCATCTTGATCGATACACTGAGACTGTAGAGCGGATGCTACGTCAGCCCATGCTTAGTTACACAATGATAATCTACTCGAGTCACAGAGCCAGCCAACCTGCTTCGAGACTTTGTCCCCCGGGTTTGGATCCGTACGAGCCTACTGACTCGCACCGAGCGAAAAAGTGATGACAATTATGATTGGAAATGTCTGAATCCCATGGCCTCCACCTACATGGTGGTGTTTTTGCGATCGTGTTGGCTCCACAATGGTCGCCTTGAGGACATTGAATATGACAATGACGCAGATCAGTACATATCGATCTGAGATGTACTCGGCCCCGGAGGATTAGTTGATTCTGCTTAACCAAATGGCGAACGATTTCATTGTTCCTCGCATGCCTAAGGATAGGGTGTTGTACCTGTGGTCCTGGAAGAAACTTGTTGTTGTCAGGTCATGTGTTGATACAAAGCCAGCCCTTGTGGTCAACTAAGGGCTGATACAATGACCATTGTTGTGGGTATTCCTGGCCAGTAATACTTCAAAAGCCCTCGAATGATGATTTACTAGTTGTAGATGTGCTTCGCCGCTCAGTGTGTAAAGCCTGAACCTGCAGAACAGCTCTCTCAGAGATCCTTAGAAAGGTCAAGATATCCCGTGCGCCACGATTCTAGTATCTCAAATAGACATACCGGCAGCTAGACGACCAACAACTATGCCGATACCTCCGCAGACAGTACACAGCAATGGAGGAAAGCATGTCTTCGTGTCCACAATCTCAAGCCCCAATGTTCACGAGTACCGCAATGAATCAGAGCATGTGGTCATCAAGCAAACAACGGCTGAGGAGGTCAACATCCTAAGGCGAGTGGGCAAGAATCACCCGAACATAATCCGGTACATTGACAGCCTAGGTGACGAAATCGTGGCGGGGTACAAAACGTGCCCAAAACTCCTGCTCGTGATGGAAAAAGCCGATGGAGGTACTCTCAAAGACCTCGTTGCGCACGTCAGAGGTTTGAACACTGCTCGCAGGCCCACATTTGTCCTCCCGGCTCAGTTTCTCTATAACGTCCTTGCCAGCCTCATTGAGGCTGTGTTGTACCTGGAGACGTCCCTCACAGTACCCATGCAGCACATTGATTGCCACATCGGGAATGTCGCCTTCTTCAGACGACGTTGTTCCTGGCCCTCGGTCAAGATACTGGATTTCAACAGGGTCCAGCCTGGTGGCAAAGGGTATCCGTCCCCAGCGATTGGCGTCTTTGCTAGGGGTCTGCTCCAGCACCGGTGCGTCTTGCCGTCGGAGTTTGTTGACATTCTTGAGGAGCTGTCAGCGCCCCTGACTAGTCTTGGCATTCTGACGAGTGTTCAGGCTCTTGTGTTGGCCAGAGCCCGGAAGTGTACTCCTCCCCGTAGCCACCAGTGGCTGACTGAGTACTTCGATTCGCAGTGAACAATGTGTGGCAGCAATGCTGTAACATTTTTTTTTCTTGTCATCCAATTGTAATGCTGCCACCCAACTCGCATGGAGCACTAAGTAGTACACATTCGTGCATGTAAATGACTGCATTTACACTTTATTTACCAATATCAAGTGATATTCTGAGCTTTCTGCTTTGCCACCTTCAAATCTGAGGAAAAGAACACTTTTGCGCGCTTCTTTTTTTGCCCAATGATGTTATTATGCGTAGGTGTTTGCTCGACAGGTTCAACTTAGAAGGTTTAAAGCCCATTTGAATTCCACGACACTATTGAGTCTAGTTAGACTCAGGCCACATTCTGTATGTGTCAGACAGCTCCCATATATCGCATCTACTATTGGATAGTCCTCTCTAGATATAGAATGTTCTCTGTTCTATCACTAAAGTTCAATGTCCTCAAGTCCCAAGCTCCAACCAAGCCATACTAAAGACCATGAACTGAAGTGTACTGCCAATACTCTAGGTTCTGCAGAATAATCGGCAGTCTGGTTATGGATAATGTATTATGACATTTGGGGGCTAATGCCATTATTGTAGACTGCTTGGGTAGAAATGGGTTAGGCGGGAATTATTAGAGCGAGGTCATTACGGTTGGGCAAGAACCCAGAAGTGGTAATACTTGCTCAAACTAAACCCTGATGTCAAGAGCTGAGCGCGAGACGATGGATTGGAAATAAAAGTCGGCCTTTTCTGTCGTATGAACTGCCAAGTACTCGATTGTGTGCAACGTTTTGAGACTTAAGACTTCTGTTGCTGGTGCAGGTTTTCTGACTTGTTACATAACAATCCGCCAGTGGCCTGCGGGTGAAAACCAAATTCCCTTCTATTTTCGAAATGAAATTTCCTTGTGATTCGTCTTGCACTCCCATGGTCCATAACCCTTCAAGACAACTTCCGAGACTGAGCGCATGATGAGGACCTTTTCCGGTATTCCGGGAGTGAGGCACGCTCATCAATCACAAGAGACCGGGGAAGTCGAGTAGGAAATTCGTACATGAACATTATACAATACAAAGCTCAAATAGGATCAAAAGTGTATCACTCTTGGGCGGTCCTGGAAGCCATCTATATCTGGATTAAGATTTGACTAAGTATTCTTCAAGTCTGTAGTAACTTGGCAAAATTACTAAAACGTGCTTCAGACTTCGCACGTCTTATAGAGAATTGCATATTTCTTCGCGTCTTTTAAGTTGAGCATGGAGTGAATAATGAATCCATATGAAATCGAGTAGGAAAGCCATTCTGCATATTTTGATGGCTTAACAGGCTGTGCCAGTGACCACACGTGAATGCAAATGCCGTTCCATGCTTTCGTCAATAGAAACAACGTGGCCTCGAAAGAAAATCCAAGCTGTTCAACGAATTCATCCCAGGTGAAGCGCATGAACACTGAACCGTAATGAATATTCGCAAGCAGAGCACTGGCTCTGGAATTCAGTTTTCAAGACAAATACAATAGCGATACTCAAACATGGCAAGCACTTGAGCCCGACTGTTATCATGTCCGACACAACCCAGGACATGGTGGACACAGTATTTCCCGGCTCTATCAGCTGTTAGGATGAAAAGCCCGGCTTCCAGCTTTGAATTTATAACTCAAGACTCCACAAGGTGGTCCACTTGTCGGAGCACTCGGGATAGCAATTATCGTATGATATTGTCCATGAAATTCCGTTCTTGTCACCGCTGCCCTACACATCTCATCTCGGGAGCTGCACGTGGCCGGCCACCTTGGCCAGTCAGGGTATTCCTGAATTAGGCAACCGTACATAAGAGTCTATCAACATGTTTTTCCCTCCAAGGTATACATACAGGTGTCGTAACTGGTGCACAATACCCCCGACGTCGCCGGCGATGGGTGTGATGGGACTGTTTCAGCGGTCCGTGCACGACTATTCTGGGCCGGTACTTAACCAACGAGTACTCTAATTCCACTCCTCTGAGTCAGCCTCGAATGATGTGTGCGGATTAGTCCCTCCAGAATTCATGCGAGTATTCCGCGAGTTCAAATTTCCTAATCTGCATACTTGTCTGCATCCATCGCGTAGCCATATCACCCGGTGTTTCACCATGTCTGCAAACGCAACCAAGCAGCCGGCCGGCGGCGGCAAGAATGCCACAGATAAGCCTGTGGAGAAGAAGGAGTTGAAGATACTCATGCTACATGGTACATCTCCCTTCCGTCCTCAGCCGTGACGATGTTCAACTTGCTGACTCTTCACTCAAAGGCTATGCCCAGACCGGCCCTCTCTTCCGGTCCAAAACCGGCGCCATGTCCAAGCTGATAGCCAAGGCCCTGCCCGACGTGAACGCGTCGCGAATCTACCCGACCGGCCCACAACGGCTACAGCCCTCGGACATTCCGGGCTTCCAGCCCCGCGAGGGCGCCGAGGGCGAGGAGATCCCCGAGACCTTCGGCTGGTTTTATCACGACGAGGAGGCCGGTCCCTACCGCGGCTTCGGGCTGGGCATGCGCTCCATCGCCGACGCCATCGAGGAGGCCGGGGGCGTCGACGGCGTGCTCGCATTCAGCCAGGGCGCAGCGGTCGCCGCGCTCGTCGCAGCCGCGATGGAGCCCGACCGCGCGCTGCCCGAGGACCCGGAGCAGCGGGCGTGGGTGCAGCGGCTGCGCGAGGCCAACGGCGGCAGGCCGCTGAGGTTCTGCGTCCTGTACTCTGGCTTCATCGCGCGGCCCGGGGCGGGGCTCGGATGGCTGTACGAGGGGCGCATCAAGACCCCGACGTGCCACTTCTTCGGCAGCCTGGACACCGTGGTCGAGGAGCAGAGGTGTAGGGCGCTCGCGGACCTCTGCGTCGAGCCCGAGGTCTTTGTGCACCCTGGAGGCCACCATGTACCGGTGAGGAAAGAATGGGTTGCCCCGTTGACTGGATTCTTGAAGCACGTGCTCGAGAAGGAGGAGGCGGCGGCGGCGGCGGCGAGTGCGGCCTCTTGATGGCGGCCATATACACGTCAATACTGCCTGGGATGGCAGCTACGTACGGCCGTGCTCAGCCCAGTCCATTTCGGCGCGTGGACAGTGGCCTCAGCCGGCTGTTCTGTGCATTGCAAGCATCTTCACAATACTGGTCCGAGAGTGTGCGTCACCACAGAGCCAGGAATGTTATAGACAGCAGGAATAGAAGGATAAACGGATAGATAGATCATTGGACAATACCCAGCCGACGGAACTTTTTTCTGGTTGACACGAGTTCCCCACAAGTCAAGCTGGTACAGTGTGACTCCGTGGCTTCCAGTTGCTTTCATGCCGGCAGTCTTGCCATCTATGCAGAGTCAGCATGAAGTCTGATCATTTTCAATACTACACGGGCGGCACACGCGCCGAAAGAGCCAAAAAATGGGAAACAAATTTGTGGGGCCGAAAGCGTATGATGTCCCGTTTCCCCACGAGCATCATTTCTTGATTGTTTTGTTCACTTTCTCAGTCCTAGTTTCAGGCCAGGCTGAGGGGTTTGCTTCCTGTTACTCATCAGCCGCAAGGAATACAAATCAGTCTCACACCGGGAATAGTGGTTCAGGGCCCGAGTCAGTCAGCCGCTCTTTCGGTCAACCAAACGGCCTAATGCGACAAACCCAGGCAATTCTCGATAAGAGGCGCGCGATCATGGCTTTGTCCTTCTTGAAGGTTTAGTGGTGATTGACGTGCCAAAGGATCATACGATTCACGTCACCGGACCGAAATAGAAAGTCCGGCAAGTCAGCCTAGTGTAGCGTATTTCTGAAAGTTAGAAAGTCATTGGCACTGCTCCATGGTATCAACAGCTGACAAGGCTGGCCCGGAAGGGTAGCCCGCGCGCTTCGGCGACTTGACCCCACCGGAATAGACGGGCAAGTCCTGGCCTGTCTTGTGGCAGTTTCGAGCCCTCGTCGGCAAATAACTCGTGGCATGCTCGACAAGTAGTCATATCTTGTACGAAATGCCATGACCAAATGCATCTTGGGACAGCAGTATTTTTTCGCACAAGTTGCCAACGAGTGCTGGAGCAGTTGCGACCCAGGTTGGTGATTTTGACTCAGCTTGGTCACAAGCCGGGGAGAAATATTTATCGTACGCATCTGCCCGCTATTACGGGATTTTTGAAATATATCATGCTCCCTGAAAGAAACATGCAGCGTTACAAAAAGACAACAAGACAAGAAAACCCCCAAGTAAAGCTCGTATCGTCCACAAAATTCACTGGGAGGGCTCAGCAGGCGCAGCCTCGGATGCCCGACCGGAAGAACCCAAGGAATGTTCCTTCAGACGAACCTAAACAACGTACAGGCATACTGGAGTGCTTTTGTAGGGAACAGCAACGAAGTTGGAGATGCAAGTTCTCACGTGTAACGAAACACCACTACGGGTAATTGCTCATCCGTGTTGATGTATTGAGACTGCAACGCGTCTTTCCGGATGCCACTCTTCAGCTGATAGAGGAATAGGAGCCGATGCAATCTCACGTGAAGATTCCTCCAGACATTGAGCACATGAGTTGAAAGGTGAGCCGGTATGAGGTAAGCCTCGGTGTCAAAGCGCAGCCCTGATGGAAACCTGGTTCGGAGTTTAAAAGGGTGACAGTAGATATCATTGGACGTGATGTCAAGACGTTGGGAAAAAAAAGCAGCGTCCGTCATTGGGTCTTACGAAACTTTCAGCAACAACCGAACCATAGGGACACAGATTAGGAAGGGGCTTCGTCGGCCAGCTGGCACCGCTGGAGGCGAGACTCGCTCGGATGTGTCACAGATCAAGACATTGGCCTCCTGATAAGCAAGAGGTGGCTGAAGTTATGGTTGGGAAGGTGCAGAACGCTCACAGGCCCGATGGGCTGACATTGCTTCTTGGCGACGCAGTGGATGATGCAAGGCCGACCTCTCATCTTTTCACTGGCCTGCAGCCCGTCCGCCCATCGCTGAATGGCCTCGCCTGCAACGGTCGCAGGCGCCCTTGCATGATGTGCCAGGTAAACGAAGCGTCACTGCTCAGCCCCGGGCTGGAACCTTAACGAGGGTTTGTCTGGCATCAAACCCTCGGAATAAAAGAAAGCAAAAGCCAAATATTCCGCGGGGCCAATGGAGGAGGAGAGCACGAGTGTGGTTCGCGATGCGGAAAGATCTTGGGTAGGGCAAAGGTGTTCGGGAACCCTTGGCCGGTTAGACATTAGCCGGGGTCGCATTCTGGTGCCGTTCGATCTTCGACGCGGGGACTTCGGAAGGCCGTTCCCAGAGGGGTGGGACATTCCGGTCCACTACGGTCGAAAGAAGCCTAGGGTGGGCTATGCCCATGTGGGGCCTGGATCTGTGAGATGGCTCGTCGCCCCCAGGGGTGTCACCAGGGGTGTCACCAGGGGTGTTAGGGTGGGAAACTGGCAGCGGCCGGGATTGCCGCAATGTCACCTGGGCACCTGGTATCTAGCGTGTGCTGTACGAGGGCCCGCACAGAGGGAAGGTGAGGTGGCACGCAACACAGCTCCAGCCTCACAGCACACACACACCTTGGGCTGGGTGCCGAACGGTTCGTTGCCCTCCCGAACAGGCCCGGCTTGGGCTGGGAACACCATTCAGAGTCTGGCACGGTCGAGACCTAGTATAGCGGCTGTTCTACCGAGTTTGGGAGTCTCTGGATGAGACGTCGGACTGGAGAAGTGGACCTGCACAGTCCCTAGTACCGGTTCACTGAGCTCTCACTGTCACCGACCAGTCCGACCGTCTTCTCGAATCCGAGGCCTGCTGGAGTGTGCCGGGGAAAGAGAGGGCCGGGGAGGCATGCCAGGCAGTAGCTGGCGCATTGGCAGGTGGATGTGCAGCACATGCATGCACAATGGCCGCGGTAGGGCCAAGCGGGCCTTTTAAGCCAGCGACTCTTCCCAGATCGGAAACCGAGCGCATGGTCAGTCTATGTAGTGAGTGTAGTGCGAAAATGGAGAGACCGGGGGTGTAGACACGGGGCCGGAATGTTGATGGTGATGACCTAAGCATTAGTCCAAAAGGTTCAGACCAAGACGGAGATGGACCTCGACCGAGAGACCCGCAACAGGCTCCTCTTTCTGTCCGGATTGAGCCTGATCGGGTGGCAGACAGGTGGTTGATGACCGGTAGTATGATCAGCGGGGTGTCAGCCTATGCCCAGCCGTTGGGGGCAAGGTTTGTCGACCCGAGGTGCGAAAGCCGCGGGATGTTCTGCCGGGCTGTTAGCTCGGCAAGAATACGCTAAAGCTCGGCCTAGCGTCACCACCTAATTAAGCTTAAACTAATTAAAAGGTTTTTTATAAATACAATTAAATATACATTTCATTAAATACCCTTACATAGCCCTTATATAGCTAATAAAAACCCCTTATTAAGTTAATAAGGTTAGGAATATAAAATATACATTATACATACCTTTAACTTATATAATAAAATTACTTACATTTTACTTACTCTCCCCTTAAATTACCCTTAATATATCATTACATAATTACTTGCCTATTATGCTAATTAGCCACTAGCATATTTAAATTAAGCTTAAACTAAGATTAAGATATTTTGCTTAATAAATTGCAATTTAATAACTTTTAAATTACATTTATATTACATTTATAATATATTTAAAATATAATTATATTATACTTACATTACCTTTAAAAAGCAATTAAAAAATGGCTTGCCTATTATATTAATTAATCACTGCTATATATTTAATTACTTAAACTTATAACTTTTTTATATAATAATTATTAAATAAATACCCCTTTAAGGCCCCTTATTCAACCCCTTAAGTATAATTTAAATAGCATTTAAGTATATATTTATAATTACTGCAATAATAGCTAAAACCATTTTTAATATAAGTTTTAAGTAATAATTAAGAAAAGCCTAAAAGGCATTTACTAACGATTTATATAAATAATTATAAATTGCTTAATACTTAGCTTTTAAGGAAAAACCATATAACTTAAATATTATTTCACTTATTATTGGATTTAATAAATAGGAAATTATTTACATTATTAAAAATATAATTTTCTGCCCTTTTAAGGGATGCGCAACTAAGGTATGGGTTTCCAAGGAATCCCTAAAAGGTAATTAATTAATATTTAATAAACTAAGTTTAAGCAAATTACTTAGCTTTATTGCCAATATATTAAAAAGGCTTATAAAATTAATAATAATAATAATAATAATAATAACCCTTCCTTTATTAAGAAAAAGTTTAATTTTATTAATAAGTATTTAAGGGCATTTTAAGAAGGTAATAAGAGTTAATTAAAAGCAATATAATAATTTTTTATAAGCAAGCTATTAAGACTTATTTCATTATTATAAAAACTGCTAAAAACAAGCTTATAAGCAAAAGAATTACTTTAATTTATATGCTTAAATCCTTTATTACCCCTTATAAATCGCTTATTAAGGTTAATAACACTATAATTACTTTAAAGCTAAGTAAGTAATTAAATAAAAAAGGTTTAAAGAAAGGCTAAAAACTAATTAAGAAATATTTAATAAACCTTTGCAAGCTTTTTTTTAATAAAGTTATAATATAAGAAATAATTAATATTAATAGTAAATAAAACTTTATTTTAAATGAAAAGAATTAGCGCTATGCTTTTAATTAAAAGCATTTTAGCCCTTGCATAATTAAATACCTAATTTAAGTTAAGGACTACTTAAGTTATAAAAAGCAAAATAAGTATATTATTAAATATATTAAAGAACTCCCTTATAAGGTTATTAATATAGCTATAATATATAATAAGTTTTATTAAATTAGCTGTATTAAAAAAGCCTTAATTTATTATAAAAAGTATTTTAATAATATATTTAAGGTATTTAAAGAGTATTTAAGGGTAAATTTATTAATACTTATATATTAGCTAAAAGCTATAATAATATTAACATTTCATGCAAGTTTTATAAAGCTTATAATAATATAAACATTATTATTAATACCTTATATATTATTTTTTAAAA